GGGTTAGAACCACGACCGGTGGGTGACATTCTGTTTATTTGGGAAACAAAACTCCTATTGTATAAGTTGTTGGCCAGCAAGGCAGTTGAATTCACCACTCGAAGCCCACTCTCGTCCGACAGAAATTGCAATGGGAAAAAACCCTCGAAATGAGCTGATTTGAAAAGCTTCTTTCTTGGAACTGACCGTTTTTTTGGCCAAAAATCTATCAAAAAAGACATAAATCCGAAACTTTATTGCAAACTGAGCGTTTGAAGGATCGGTTCACATAAGCTGCGTCGATAATTTCGACCATTTTTGCCGCGATTTCGCGATTCAGCGGTTGAAGAGGCCGGTTGCAGGTGCATTCACACTTCCCCACTTTGACTTGAAGTATTCTGTGGTTCAGTGGGCCCCGGCTCATTAACTCTTCCGTTATCGACCCTTTTTAGTAATTGCTATTCCGGATATTGATCACTGAATTAAATAAAATTGAGCCCCGCTTACTTGACTCTACTCTGGCCAACTGCCAAAATACGCCAAGAGCAAAAGAAAGAGAAATCTCTTTTGCAAGAAAATTCAGTAGAAACCAAATTAACCTCTTTGGTGAAAAAGTCACTGTGCAATCGATGCAGTCCCTAAAGAAATTCCTATATTTCAGGAACACTTGAAACAGTGCGGAAACATCAGTTGTGCCTGTGTGAACGTGTCCAGCTGCAAGCGGAATGGAGTTCTTTGAAATGAAAAATTCATTCCTTGAGAATCTCAATACCGGCTTTGGGACGAGTCTAAGGTCGCTCTTACGTAACAAATGCTTACTTGCGATTTATTTAGACATAATACCATACAACTGCTAATTTTCCAAGGGATTCCCTTCAATCAGCCCTTAAAATAGATAGAAATCAGGCTTTACAAAAGATTTTAAGGGGGTAGAGGGCGATAAACCGAAAGGGTTTTTCTCCTATTTTCTCTTCAAAACTAATCCTAATTTGAAATTTGACATGTTTAGCCATTTCAATCTTCAACCCTTTCCCCTTAGCTTAGCCTGAAATTAAGGGTTTCAGTGTCAACAATGACAATTTCAGCAGTGCAGCACTCGATTGACCCTTGCCACGTTTCGGCGGACTGAGAGACGCTGCCGGCAAAAGTGTAAACTCAAGTTGATCAACTCTCAAACAAAAGAAGAAAACGAGCCACCCTTAAAAAATGCCACGCCGGTAGTTAAAAAAAATCGACGCCAGTGAGCTCTCCTTTACACGAGCTCGAGACTAAGGCTCTCGACAAGAGTTTCTAAGCGACGCGGCAGCGATATTGTTGAGTTGCCAAAACATCGCCTGAAATAAAAAGTGCTTTGGCAATAATGCTATTTTGCATTCTCCAGTTTGGATAACTCAATTATTCGCCCGGGTCTAAGGTCAGCTGCAAACGAAGCAAGGAAAGGGGGTTATTACGTAATGTAAATAAATGCGGCAGTCGAGCATTCAGCGCTTCGTTGTGGCGAGTAAGGATAGGCCTCGTTTAGTTGCTAAACCCACTCTACAGGGCGCTATCAACTCACTGCCTAACGAAAAATCACCGATAGTCCATTGGAGGAGACCCTTCACGCTGCTCCCCTTAATTCTAGCGATGAATGAGAGTTAAGAGGAGCAGCGGGTACGGTAAGGGTCTCTGAAGGAAGTTGGCTTCTGTCAGAATTCTCTGCTGATTTTGAGCTCTCTAAAGTGGTACTCCTCGTTGTTTTCAACTAAGGTGAAGGACCCTGCGTGGATCTATCTATCGTGTGCGGCTATGTGTGTGTGTGAGATGCTGTGTGAGAGTTGGCATCGTGGCGTGTTGATTGTGTAGTCGTGGCTCTCGGCTCGCGTTTGCCCTTCGTGGCCGGCGGGGCCCCAGTGCGCGGGGGTGGCTAGGGTGCGCTAGACAACTACCGCGCGCCACGGCGGTCCACCATCAATTTACCAACCACCAAGACCAACTATGGACTATGGAACTCTTGAGCTAAGGAACTCTTTCTTGCTCTTAGTTTACCTCAGCATGTATTCATTATCGTTTTAGTTCTCTTAACTTTTGGAGAAAGCATGCTTCAATCTAAGAAGATCTTTCTTAGGCTTTGAAAATAATCGAAGAAAGATTCGTCTTTTTATTACTATTATTTTTGTTTTGAACAGAGGTTCTATCTTTTTTCCAGGCCAAGGAGAGAAGAAAATGATGAGTATCTTTCCTTTTTAGAAAGCTACTTTTCTCCCCCAGGAAAGTCGCTACGTCTTGACGTCTAAAAAGTTTAACGGGCTTGTGCTTAGGTCCGCGGTCTTGAGTGAACCCACCGTGAAAATACCGAAAAGGGGGTTAAGTAACCGAGACCGCCCTTGCTGAAATAATAGGCGGCTTGAAAATGTTATCCTTTTTTTTACTCCTAATCAAGGCGAATTAATTTAATTAATTAAAAATGGCATTTCGAGCATTTTGAAGAGCGGCTTTTCAAATTTCATTTCCGCTCTTGATAAAGCTAAAATCTATTTATTTCGATAGTTTAAATCAACTTAGCAAGCAGATTTGAAGAGCGTGAAAAAGATTTTGTTGAGGTCTGTGCTTCCATAAAAAATCGCATAATAGGCGGCCATTGTGTGGCCTGAGTGGCGTGTCCTAAAAGATTTAATGACCCGGCAACGGTGAAAAATTCCCGACACTGGGTAAATGACCCTCCAATAGACATCAATTGGCAGCAGATGCAACTCGACCGAATTCACGCAAATTGGAGCAGCTCCGTTTTTAAATCAGCTGACATAGACTGTAACAAATCAATGATTCTATTTTAGGCTGGAAAATTTTTCAAACTTATTTTAGTTTTCCACGAATAAAAATGGTCTTGGATCGATCTATTGAAAACTGGACTGACTACTGGTAAGGCGCAAAAATATGAAACCACTTGGAAAATTTTATCGCCTTTGTGAGTTTTTTAAAAAGTTCAAATTTGCTCCCGCCGAGGACGTGGCAAAACAACTGACCCCGCCGGGCGGATTTGTAAATACACCCGCTGTGGGGATAAATTTTCACACCAGGAGTTTTCAACCAGGAGCTGGCTATCCCGTTGGGGGCTAATTTCGCTCGCCCTTGGCCTTTGCCGATTTTTTAGGGTGGCAACAGATGACGGCGTTATAGGAGGTTACCGATTCTATTTCTTAATGACTGTAGTTTCATAAAGTACAGTAAAGATGTTAAAATATGATGAGATGCAAATATTGACAGTAAATTTCATCATTTTTTTATCAAAAATCGACGCATAAATTCTATTGCCCCAATTGATGTCGTTAGATTGACGTGGATAGAACCGTGGGATGTGAAGAAAGACTAGTTTTCTTATCGATGTTTTCTGCGGAATGCACAATAACATTGCGCATTGATGAGAAAATAACTTATCAATTTGGAAAGCCGCCGTCTGAAAAGTGTATTCATCAATTAAATATTCTCACGAAATAATTATTTTCACAAAAATATTCACCAAAGTTCTTGATTCAAGGATTTATTTACTAAAATAATTGACTATCCAAGGTAAAAATTTCAGCTCTGGTCAAAATATAGGGTTCCGCGAAAAAAAAACTTTTCGATCGCTACCCCCTTAATTCTGTCGAAAAACGAAAGGTTCTTGATTGAAAATCTTAAAATTATCTTCCCGCAAAAGCAAAAATAAAAATTGAAGATAGAAACTTGATGCGCAATTTTAAAGAAAATACGATGATTGATAGATTCTCTTCGGATGAAATTACGTGGCCAGAAAGCACCAAAATTTGATCTCAACTCAATTCAACTTGCTTCCTACAAAAGAAATGCTTACTAAAAGTAAATAAATCCAGGAAATGGCCGTACAAGGAATGGGCAACAGCATTCTAGAGGAAGTTAGCTGGATAAACACCGGCTCACTTGCATAAGGGAAGGCGCCTGACCCAACCACTCCGGATAAAAAGAACATCCTAACTCGTGCATATTTCACATTCTTTTTCAAGCGCCCCTCGAAACGCATTTTTCTACCGTCTGAAAATTTATACTCGTCTGACTCTTGACCTTCTCCCAATATTTTTAACCATTTTTTAGCCTTAGACCTTATTATTTTTCAATGAAAATTTAACCCATAAAGAGGCATGTTTATGACAGTAGGAAAATAACTAGCATTGTACGTCAGATAGCCATTATTCACGTCAAACATTATGTTTCTTTACGGTCGAGCAATTTAGATAGACTCCTCGAGCAACGAACTAAAACAATTCACTTGAGGAAAGTATCAGTTTTGCTGACAATCGACAATTGTACTAATATTTTATTTCGAAAAAGAGATATTTTTGCTGAAAAGAGAAAGGAACTGGTGCTTTAGTAAAAATAGTTGACTAAGAAGTGCAGAGCTGTTTTTGAAGCTATTGGAATAGAAAATGAAATTGGGAAAATATGATTTTCAGACTTTTATCCCGATTCTCGTCGTCGATTAGGAATTAATTGCTCGAACAGATATTTGATTTTCATCATTTTTATTGCGTAAAAGTAGATGAATATATCAGCTACTAGTTCAACAAGTTAAAAATTCATCTTCTTCAGCATATTTTTGGTTAATTTTTAAGACGGAGGGTTTAAATTAGATCATCCAGGTCGACCTTCTGTCAAGATATACAATAATAAACCTACAGAACCATTCATCAGTCTGTCCGGATCACTGCCAATCCAGAAGATCTAACTGTCGTGTTCGTCTGCATCTACGGTGGCTAAGGGGCGTACCCACCCTATTTCGCCGTTGACAAAGTGAATAATCAGCTACCTCACCTACTCAGGAGGGAAAAAAGAGACCAGTCGCCTGTGTGTGACTCACGAAAAAAATAGCCAGAGATCCAAGATCGCCATCTTCCAAAAAAAAGCACTTTTTTTTCGGGGAAATTTATATAAGCGGCGAAAAGGCAATTTCAAGTGGAGAACCTTTAGAGGAAAAATAAGAAGCGAACGAGGAGCGGCGGAAATTTGAAACACCTGGCTATTGAGAAATGAGTTCAACGACGGACAGGAAGAAACTCGTCGTTGTTGGCGATGGAGGAAGGGTTCATAATTCAATTCAACTTTTTAATTTTCTCGGCATAAATTGTTGGTAAAGCTTCTCAAAAGAGCCCTAAATTGTCGATTTTTCTTTCTTGAAAAGGCATTATTGACATTTTATGACTCAAGTTTGGTCATTTTGACGATAATTTTAGTACGACTTTTTAGAATTTTTATTTATTTTTTTGTCTAGCAGTAAATCTAACCCTTTTAAAAGCATGTGGAAAAACTTGTCTGCTGATCAGATTTGCCGAAGAAAGATTTGAGCCTGATTACATCCCGACTATCTTCGAAAATCGCGCAAAAGAGATCTCGGTAATTCCAAATGCCCACTCTGTTCTGACAGTATAATTAACGATGCTGTCTTCTTACTTGTCAGGCTTTTTCTTACGTCACATGACAAAGAGGTTTAATAGTCTAATTCAAGTGATTTCGGAAGTGAAATATCCTAATTAAATTCGGTTTATTTCAAATTTTGGATGATTTTTGATGGCCTTTTTTCAGTTGAAAATCTTTAACAATTTATTGCAACTCAAAACCAGACCTTTTGTTTGCTTCATAAATGGTCAGGAAATCGGAGTGCTGTCACCATAACAATGGAATTTTTACGTCTCGCTCGTCAAAAAATAAAGACTCCGCTCAAATATAAAACTTGCCCGGGCAAATATAAAGAAAACCGCATCTCCGGTCTACTTTTTGAGTGGCACTCTAGACTCATTAAGGGTGTCCCGGCTGTTTATACTTCGCTCTTGCGTGTAACAAATAAAAGCTTATATACATTTAGGTTTCGACAACACCGGGCCCAGAGGGCACAAGTTTTAAGGGTGATTGAAGTCTACTTTTGGGATTAAGGGTATCCACATCTACGTACACAAAAATGAAAGTCTAAAATGTCAAGTTTAATTCTTGATTTTTGAAAAAATAAATGCTTTCAAAAAGAATCGCGCCTCGGCAAATGTCATGGTCTCTTTCAAGTTTTTGACTTTATAAAAATTGACTTTATTTGTTTAGGTAGATGGAAAGCCTATTGACTTGACCTTATGGGACACGGCTGGGCAAGAAGCATACGATCAGATTCGACCGCTAGCCTACAATAATGCAAGTAAAGTATATTCAAAATTATTTCCTAGTTGAAACTCTTGGATAGGCTTTTAATAATAACTTTATCAAATTTACTAAATAAGAACATCATTGCTTTGGAATACTTTACTGAGAATTGTATTTTAGACGTAGCGTTAATTTGCTACTCGATCGACTCGCCCGCATCACTCCACAACGTCACTGAAAATTGGATCACAGAAATCAGCCACTATTGTCCGAAGACGCCAGTTTTACTGATTGGAAATAAACTTGACCTCGCTTCGGACACTCTTCAAACCGTCACGTAAGTTTTATCCACATACCAAAAAGAAAACGGCCGTCAAAGAGGATGATCCTCTGGTATTGTGAAAATTCTCTTTACCTTGAGAATACAGTAGGGTGTCCACGCGTTTGAAACTCAATTATCGAGTTGTTTAAAACTCGTTTCTTTAATGATAACTCGCTTGTTAAAAATAATGTGCGCTGATCAAAAGTGTCTTTGAAGTTGTCGACTTCGATTTGGACTTGAGATGTAAATTATTTTTCTTTTCAGAAAGGCGCAGGGCGACGAGGTGGCCGAGAAGATCAAGGCGGTCGCTCACATCCAGTGCTCTGCCCTCAACGACGAAAATGTCCAACAAGTGTTCGAGCGAGCCGCCAAGGAAGCGCTCAAAGGAAGCTCCGACAAGCCAGAAAGTGGGGGATGCTGCACTGTAATGTAGAGTCAAATTGACTCAGTCAATTACAGTTAGGAAAAGTGCCTACGAATGCTTCTGACGGGCAAAAATCGTCTTCAACAATTTCCTGAAATCCGAAAAATTCAAAACTCAAAGTCCGAAAAAAATAATTTTTTAAATCCGAAAACTCAAAAACTACGAAATCATACTTCTCAAAAAAAAGCGACCTCTCTTTTTGTCTTCTGAATACGAACATAAAATTAACATCATGTGACATATTTCCTCCCTTTTCGTTTTTTCAACCCTTTTTCTTGAAATATTCACGCTTCCTGTTACTAACTGTACAACCAAAAACCGGTCACGCTGCGAATTTTCTTCCACGCTGATTTCATTCCAAAAATAGCCTGTTGCAATTCTTTGATTAAATAATTGTACAATAATAAATTTTGAAAATTAAAAAAAAAAACAGAATTTCCTGAGAACTGCGCAGATGCAGGTTTTCTCTTTGCTCAAAAAAAAACTCTTGTTTTCAATAAAAAATGAGGCTAGCGTTTCTAGTCCTCTTCGGCTTCGCTGTAGCAGAGAAGAATTATGATAGATTCAAGGTCCTAAGAGCATCATGGGAAGACTCAGAGCAGACAGAAATTGTTGGATCGCTTCTTGAGCGTTTTGAAACGATGAATCTCTGGGAGCCAGAATCATTGGAGAATATTAAGTACACTCAGGCGGTTGATTTTATGGTTTCGGAAGAAGAAGCGTTGCTGTTTCGTGAGCAAGTTGGGAGCTTTAGTGAAATTAAAACACTCATCGATGACGCAGGAAAGATCATAAATGAGCAAAAAGTCGAGCAGAAAAGAGCAACTCAAGGACTTCGAGGCGCTTCGTACCCATATGATCAGTTTTTGACCTATCCTCAGTTGGAAGAATGGATTTTAGGCAGAGTTTAAGATTGATTACTCATAAAATTGATTTTCATCAAGATAACTTTCTCAGAAATTCTGAAACCCGACTTCAGAGAATTCTGATGAAGAGTTGATGTCTTCAGAAGTCATTGGAACAACCATCGAAGGTCGAAAAATATACGGTGTCCATCTTGGCGACCAAGATCCAACTAGTGATAAGAAGAAAGTTTTCATCGAATGCAACATCCACGCTCGAGAATGGATTACTCCTTCCACTTGTCGATATTTTATCCACATGCTCAGATCGGCAAAGAATGGCGTGGATTTAACTCCATCATCGTTTTCCATGCAAGATCTATTAGACATCCTCGAGCACAACTGGTACATCATCGTTTCAATGAACCCCGACGGGTATCAGTACACATTTGATCACGATCGAATGTGGCGAAAGAATCGAGAGCCGAACGACGGATCCCAGTGTATCGGAACAGACGTGAATCGACAATTCCCTGTTGGTCATCTTACTGAAGGAGGAAGTCCAAATCCATGCCATTTTGGATACGCTGGGAGCGCGCCTTTTACTACAAGAGAGGCGAATATCTGGAAAGATTGGTTCATGGCGCTGAGAAATGCAGGAGGAGGAGATATGCATGCTCAGATTTCCGTTCACAGGTGATTCTATCACCAAAGAAGACTCAAGTCTTAAAAAATTAAAGTTATTCTCAACTGATCATGCCGCCATGGGCATCTGACAGACTCGCAATTCCTGATGAGCCTGAAGATATCGACTATAAAGGGTCAATGCATCTGCTGGAAACACTCTCCCACTGAGACTCTAGCTCCTGGGAATAAAAGACAACAATTCTAGTATTTTAGCTGCTGCTTCTACTTTATTCGAGAGACAACTGACCAGCCGAGACTGGCACTGCGCGCGCAACGTCCCACTGATCAGTATCAAAGTTCAACGGGTTCGCCCGGAATGCGCTAACCCTTTACCTCCCCTTGATACAGAACAGTGCGACAATAAGTAAGATACAGGTAGAATGTCCCTTTCGGGCTCGGAGGAACATCGGTAGAATTGGGACAGTCGGCGGCAGATTTTTGAAGAGGGTTTTGTACGGTGATGAAGCAGCAAACATTTTTGATCCTAAGCAGTAGACAACTTCCAATCCCCAAAAAGCATCAGAAAACCCAATTGCCAACACTAGCCTTCATACTGTTTCTTCGTAGAATCCAGCGAGAGGGAGATGGACGGCGAATATTCCGCTTGAGGCGAGGAGTACGGGTTGGAAGCAGACCTTTGGGGTTGTGACGAAGCCAGGATCAGGAGCAAAGATGGTATCAGAGATGTTGAATCCGTCGCCGAGCCAGATTTTTGAGCTTCGAATAGAGGCTTTGGCGGAGCGATCGGAGGGAGAGAGGATGGAATCTTTTCGGGCGGTTTGGGCTTGCGTGACCGAGATTGTGACTCGATACCCTTACCTCCCCTAGTCACATGATCGTTCTGCTTTATTTTCGACTTGAAGTTTTTGATCAAGTGTGGCCACTCGGTCAAGTCCAGATTTTGATCAAAGTTATCAAGGAAAGGAACTCTTTCCTCGATCGCGGCGACATGGGAACGGTGAATGAGGTCGACGGTGCCGTTTGCATCTTCGACGAGGCAGACCTGCTGGTTGGTGGATCTGAGGGTGGAGGGGCCACTCCATTTTGCATTGGAGTTTTTGGCGTCTCCGGCGAGTGGGCGTAGCTTGACAACTTCGGGTTTTAGTTTCGAAGCTTCGGTGAACTCGAACTTGACGTTTCCAAGTAAATTGTTTATCGAGTAGGAAGAGATATTGCTGTTGCGCAAATAATCTCGTCCTAAGAGTGCTGGGCGGCATTGTCCATCCATCACAGTTGCGGCGAGCTCAAACTGAGGGCCTTTGTCGAATCTAACCTTGCAGTAGAGGGTTCCCCTTGGAGTTTCAGCTACTCCGCTAATACCGGCTACATCGTGGTTTGGAGCGCTCAAATTGCGTAGCACGTTTTGGGGGATAACATGCGAAGGTAGAATTGTTGAATATGCGCCAGTATCGAATTCGATGTTGCAGTCGAACGAATCTTGTCCTGACTCAAATGTGGCGCGTAGAAAATATCCAGGGCGGGATTCGACCTTTTCGGTCAGGTGCACTGGAATTGCAGAGAAGAGGGCATGGACATCGGCGAAATTATCGGGTTCCACGTTGTAGTGGCTTTTACGCTGCATTTGATCGGGCTTTTCGGACTTCTCGTCCTTTTTCTGCGCAGAATTCTGGTCCCGATTGTGCCAAGAGCGTTTACCCTCGCCATGTTTTCCATAACCTTGCTTCTGTTTGTTGTTGGATCCGGGTTGAGTTTTGTTGACGTTGATGACATCTGAAGAAACGCGGTTTCGGCGACTGGTCTCGGCTTTGAGTGCGAGGTCGTTAAGCGTGAAGGTTTTGTCGATGGAGGTCAGAAGGGCATTGTAAGTGTCGGGCTCCTGGTCTCGGAGGGCTCTGACAGCGAACATTGTTGCCCATGCTTCGTGGATATCTTCCACATTTGGCTCAGCATCGTTGTTAGCGGCTTTGAAGGTTTCGAGAAACGCGGCTTTTGCCTCAGCAAGTTTTGTAGCTAGCTCGGATGTAAAATGAGTCACGGGGCGCGATCGGTCAAAAACGATGTCGCTGACATCGAGCATCAGTAGAAAATGCGAGATTTTTGGGCCATAGTGCTTTTTGAGAAGCCCGATGGCGGCGTCGACGTCGTCACAGGCGCGGAGATCGTTACCGATAAAACGGGCGACGTTCGGAGCTAGTTTGCTGGTAAGAGCGTTGAGGAATATTTTTTCGTCGCCGTCGCGGCGTAGATGACTGTCTTTGAATACCCTCATTGCTGTTATGAAATCCACAAACTGGCCGGGGCTATTCCCTTTGAAGGGCTGGATTGACGCGAAGCTTTTGTAGAACAAGTTGCATATGTGCTGCTCGCGCTGGTCGTATTCCCTGTTGGAATTTTCGGCCGGTGGATTGGCGTATTTGCGTTTTCGGACCAGGTCCTTGTAGTGCAAGAATAGCTCGCGTTCTTTTTGGAGCTGTTCTTCCTTCATTGTGAGTAGTGCTTTATCAGTCGGAGCCGATTTGAGCTTCTTGTCGAGATCAGCGATGAAGTCGGCGATTTGTTCCAGGGCGCCGTCGCATCTTTCGACGGTTTCGGGGAGATTTGGCATCACCGAGATGTACTTGACCGACCCGTTTCTCAAAGACAAGAATTGTCTAGGAGAAATTTACGGGGTTTGAAGAGCAAATGAAGATTCAATAGTGGTCGTAGCAGTTGATTGATGTCGTAACTTGGCGGGAGATGTGCGATTTAGAAGAGCTGCCGGGCTAAGAAAGGCCGATTTACTGCTTTCGAGCGAAATTACCTCGACCGGTCCGACTAACTGAGACTTTTGAGGGTCAAAGTTAGATAACGGACTTGGAGAGCGCGAAATGTCGTTGAAAATAGGCGTCAGCGGCGGCGCGAGATCGAAATCGCAGCGGTTGCACAAGTTGACGTGGCAAAACGGTTGGCGCGGCGGTACTTTTCCACACGCGACGAGTACCGGAAGTGAGAACACGAGTGCTTATCCAGGTTCGTAACGGCCTTGGGCGGAGAAAAACGCTGGACAGGGTAAAAGACGATCAAACGTTGGGTAGGGCGGGTGGTCTTTGACGAATCGTAGGGTACTCAGCTGATTTTGGAGAATTTGGAGGGATGAGATGGATGTGTCGAGCGGTAGACAAGGTGGAGGGTTGAAGGTGTAAGTTTTGGGGCCGCGGGAGTTCTCTATGTCGAATTTATGAGCGAAGTCTCTGACACCACTAAAGGGTCAATGCATCTGCTGGAAACACTCTCCCACTGAGACTCTAGCTCCTGGGAATAAAAGACAACAATTCTAGTATTTTAGCTGCTGCTTCTACTTTATTCGAGAGACAACTGACCAGCCGAGACTGGCACTGCGCGCGCAACGTCCCACTGATCAGTATCAAAGTTCAACGGGTTCGCCCGGAATGCGCTAACCCTTTAACTATCAAAAGGAAGTTTCCAATAGAATGAAAGCTGCAGCGTACAACACTCACGGAAAAGTATACATTGCTGGACAATCACGTGATGTTCTCGGATACCCTGCTGGAGGAATGACTGAAGATTATGCTTATGGAGATCTTGGTTTGAAACTTTTTTTGAACGAAACTAATTTTCCTAGGAGTGAAACTTTCAATGTTGATTGAACTTCGAGATACTGGAGACTTTGGATTTCTCCTTCCGGCGAGTGAAATTATTCCAACTGCTGAAGAACTAGTTGCTATGTTTATTGAAGTTTCAAAAGCTTTATCAAAATAAATCGAATCGAAATGCCGAGAAAGGGGAATGACGACTTGGTTCGTGAGGAATAGGTTCGGCTGACTAGGTTCGTGGTGGGTTCTGCCAGAGTATTGAAATCGGCCTATATTTTGGGGCAGTAAGGGAAATGGCTTGATGACTAGGTTCGTGTGACTAGGTTCGTGAAAATTTAAATAGAAAAAATTTTGGGGCAGTAAGGGAAATGGCTTGATGACTAGGTTCGTGAAATTTAAAAAATGAAAAAATGTGGGACTATATTTGCCAAATGAGTACCCCCCACACCCCCCCCTGTATAAGCCGCTAGGCTCTCAAATTTTGTTTTATTTAAAGCCTAACATCAACTAGTCATCAACCCATTTCCCTTACTGTCCGAAAATGCTGAAGATACAAAAAATACATATAAAAATCCAAATTTCACGAACCTAGTCTCACGAACCTAGTCACACGAACCTAGTCTTCACGAGCTTAGTCTTCACGAACCTAGTCACACGAACCTAGTCTTCACGAACTTAGTCTTCACGAACCTAGTCCCACGAACCTAGTCATCAACCCATTTCCTTTACTGTTCGAAAATTTTTCTATTTAAAATTTCACGAACCTAGTCACACGAACCTAGTCATCAACCCAATTCCCTTATTGCCCCAAAATGGTGAAGATACAAAAAATACATATAAAAATCCAAATTTCACGAACCTAGTCACACGAAGCATTTTTTCCGACATGGCACCCACGAACCTAGTCACACGAACCTAGTCCTCACGAACCTGGTCATCGGTCTTCGAAAAGTGTCTCAATAATGCCAAAAAAGACAGAAATCAGTGAATAATATTTTATTTCAATAATAGTCTTCAATATGAATGAATCAAAATCTAAAATCATTTGGATTTGGGGCAGGATTCATACGCATCATACGGTCGTACGCGCCGTATCCGCCGCCGAGGTTACTAGCTCTGTTTCCAGTAGTCAACTGATGGCTTCTTCCTCCAATTCTAGCGCCACAAGGACAAACTGCATTTTCCATCGCTCCGCCACACTCGCCAATAAAGTAAGGGTGTCCGTTCGGGCACTCGAACCAATGTCCTTAATTCAATTTATTGATGGTTATTTTGAAGACCATACCTCCTCTCATTCCCCTTTCAGCAGCTGCAATAGCCTTTGCGACAGATTCTACTTCCTCGCTTGTTACTATTGTAAAAGCGCCAATGATCTTTTCGCTCCGCTTAACGATGTCTTGATGTTGCGGCTCTAGCTTTTTGAACAGAATACTGTTCGAAATCTCGACCAAAGCCTCAAACTGCCTCTCGGAACTTGCACCAAAAAGCCTTTGGAACCTGAAGCCGAGCTTGTCCATTCCTTTTGACCAAGAGGCAAATAAATTGAGCTGAAAAGATGTAAAAATTTGTTCATGAGAATGTTGCTTTATACCTTCAACAAAATGTCTTTTGACTGTAGTATTGAGTCCGGCGAAAATTCCACTCTGCCGTCCAACGACGCAATTTGGTTAATTCGAGCAAAGAAGATTTTGTTTGGATCAATCATATTCTGCAAGCCTTCAGATATTTTCGTCATTGATTTTTGCGTTTTCACCATAAACTGTGCCCTCGCTAGAAGCTGAAATTTCGCTTTTGCTGAGCGAGCGCGCAATGCTTTCTGAGAGAGTCTTCCACTAGGAAAATTGGGAGTAAGAGAGTTAAGAGCATTGCTAAGCTCGTCTCGTCTTTTTCTGTCGGCTTCTCTGTAGGTTCCTTTGATTCGTTCGTACTTTTTATTCCAGTTGTTGAATATTTTAGTGTAGCGACTGGAAGCCATTCTTGCCTTGCATTTTGGACATAAGATAGCTTTAATTTTGGTTTGCTAAAATATATCCAGAAAAGCTTACTATCAAATCTGTATCTTTTTCAAACCAAATCCTTTGAACTCTGATTCTTGCGAAACTGACTGAACCCATCCATCAAGACCTTCCCATTCGATACGATGCTGACAGTCCGGCAAATACACGTACAGCTCGTCTTCTTCATATTCTTCTGTCATCATAATCACAGAGTGAAACTTCACCGAAATAGCAGGGTGACATTGGGCGCATTGGTTGTCTGTGTGTAAAAATCTGTCGAAGGCTCGATTGTGTCTAATCAGCTCGCATTGATGGCCGCATAATCGTCTGGCCGAGCATCGTTCAGGTTTTGAGAGTTCATGATCACAATCGTCAGAGCAGCGTTTTCCGCAACCCGGCTCGGGACACTCTTCCATGCAAGGAGTACACATTTCGAAGCAGGGGTGATTGCAGACAGAGTGAGCGCATCGTTTTGTGCATTTTTCCTCGCATGGAGGACAGTCTTTGTGACACTTGTCTTTGCAGATATGGCCACAAACCTTTGTTTGATCGCATATCTTCTGGCACGGTTTGTGGAACAGTCCTCCGAAACAATCCGTACAATTTCCTTCGCATTCATGTCCACATTCGAGAGTGGCTTTGCAGGGTTTAACACAGCTTTGAGACTGACGAACGGCGCCTTCGACTCTACACTCAACTTTCCCCACTTCACCTTTCTTCGAGCATGTGAGACAGTTTTGATCAACCAATCTTGAGCAAGATCTGTTACATGGTTCAGAGCAGATTTTTGTGCACATATGACCGCAGTTCAACATTCGACTACACTTTACTGGGCACTTTTTAGTGCACGGCTCGCTGCAAAGAGATTCGCATTGATGTCCACATTTCAGTTTTCTTTCGCACATTTCGTTGCAAATTGGTTGCTCCGAGCAAGTTGCAATTCCTTGGTGGCCGCATGGAAGAGTTCTTCTTACATTTTTAGTTGGACAAGGCTTCTATGATTGACAAAACATTTATACCCTTTAAATATCAGACTATTGAATATTTTTCTTAGTATCTTATCCTCTATAAAAATCCTAATTGTAAATCATTCCTCGCATTTTTCATGGCATTTTTTCGTGCAAGTTCGTTTTCCACACTGGCCGCAGCTCTTCTCACATCTCTTCATGCATTTTACTTTGGAATGATCAAAATCAACTCCTTGATGGCATTGTAAGGGACACTAGAGATATTTTTCTCGTGCAAAACTTGACTATCAATCACCTGATGTCCACAAGCAAGTCGCTCTTTACATTGATTAGTGCAGGCCTTCACAATCCTCTTGGAACTACATTCAACTGTCAGGAATCCATCGCAGTCTTTGCATTTTACTTCGATAGGCTCTTTACACTTCTTCGCATCGCACTTTTGATTGCACTTTCTTTTGCATTTATGTCCACAAGTTAGAGTTTTCAAACAAGGCTGCTTGCATTCTCGTACCAACTCGTCATCAGTTTTTCCACACTCAGCATCTCTTTAATTTTAAGTTTATAAAACGGCATATGTTGAATTCGAACAAATAAATTTCCTTTTAGTACCTCGAGTTTATATATGAATGAAAACCTAGTGTGGCCACAGCTCAAGCTCTTTTGGACTTTTTCGTGGCAGAATATTTGATCCGGATTTTTATGGCAGAAGTCTTCCGCCTGATGACCACAAGGAAGCAATTTCCAGGTTTTTTCTTCGCATAAAATGGTACCTTCCAACTCATGACAGCGGACATTTTTTTTGTGATAGCATTCAAGAGTCGTTGTGACGACGACGTCGCAAGGTTCGAGTTTAAAATCTCCATTGCATGGGACACCGATAATGTGCTGTTTGATTTTCAAAAATAGTTCTTTAAAATATAATTTTGACCGAAGTCTTATTAACTTGATAAATAATAATTTGAAAAATTTCCTCGCAGCTTCTTTCAAATGGTTTGAGTACTGTACATTTCATTCTGTCACAACTTTCAAAGCATTTTTGCACACAAGGATGACCGCATTCATACTCTTTCTTGCATTTCTTCTTACATTGATAGTCTTGAGGGTCAATAAAACATGGCATTTTTGCATTGTGTGTACATGGGAGCTCTTTCGGTACCATTTTCTGGCACTTGGCAGTTGCACAGTCTTCGAAGCATCTAAGATTGCATTGATGTCCACACTGTAGCATTCGTTTGCAGCTAGTTTGACAGGGAAAATCTTCAGGAGCCACATTACATGGCACGTTCTTCCCGACATGTTCACAAGGCAGCTTTTTATCCACTGGAAGAACACAAGTTTTGCATTCAACAAAGCACAATTCATTGCAGCTGGCTTTTCCGCACTTCTTACAGGATCGTTCACATTGTTTTTTGCATTGATATTTTTCATGAACATCGCTAGTCGTGTGATCCTTACAAAGAAGAGGACACGGGTGACCACAAGGCAACTTGTCTTCACAAGGTTTCAAACAAGGATCAGCATGGTGATCTGCTTCGGAATGACAGTACTTTCTACACTCGTGACCACAAGTTTTCATTTTGAAAATGCACTTCTGCTTGCATGGCTTCTCAAGCTCTTTTCGCTTTCGACATTCTTTGGTGACAGTATTATTGCACACACCACAGGTTTTCTGAACCGGTTCTTTGCAGTTACTCGACGAGCATTTGACATAGCATTTCTCCTTGCAACCGTGGCCACATGAGCTTATTTCTCTTTCGCAATTCGCCTGACAGTTCCAGTTTTCAGGCTTTATGTGACATTTGATTGTAGCTTCATGTCCACATGGAAGATTTTTTCGAACCATAACGCCGCATTGATATAATTGATGCTCTTCAGGATTATGGCAAGTTTTCGGACAACGATGGCCGCAACTAAAAGTTGTTGGACATGGAAAAGTGCAGCCGCCCAATGGAAAAGCTGCTTTCACTGCTCTTTGGAACTCTTGCTTTTTAACGTAGGGAATCACAGTCTTGTAAATTGGATGCCATGGACACTCGAGTTTCAGTCCTTCAGAAACAACTCCTTCTTTTTCAGCATGTCGCATGATCTTTATCCAAACATTGTCCGAGCTTCCCGCATTTCGGAGCATTTCCAAGTTGCCAACAACGATGAGTGCACTTCGAGCTCGGCTGAGTGCAACACAGGCTCGATTTTTGATCGTAGCAAAGCCACCTTTGAAGTCAGAGTTTGATCGGACAGTTGACAAAATAACCACTTGATTTTCCTGACCTTGATAGTTGTCAACGGTCTGAACGTCAGGACGATTATCTTTAGGTAGTAAGCGAACTTTTTCCCTGATTTGGAAAAATTGACCGATGTAGAAGGTAAGGATGGTGATTTTACTGGCGTCGTAACCGGCTTTGATTAGGAGCTCAGCGATCAGGAAAACATACTCATCTTCCATCGCATTTGATTTGGAGGTGCCATCATCATCAGCAGCTTCAGAGTATTCTGGCAATTGGTTTTCAATAAGTCCATAATTTATAAACTGCACCCGCCCACGGTCGCCGAAATAGAGAACTTTGTCAGACTCGCGATTGTTAGTCGAGACATGATTCTTGAGATTTTCGTAGAAGCAAGTTGACATGAAGGTTGAAATATTCGGCTGCATTCGATGTTGCTCGCCGAGTCGGACGAATTCGAAGTTGTTTTTGATGAGTCTCTCAAAGAGCGAAATGTCTAAATTACATTTCTTTTCAAGCTCGTAGCAGTTCACTTTTGGCCGCAATTGCTGGTGATCTCCAATTAAGATCATCTGCTGAGTATGTTCTGTCAAACAAGCGACAAGATGACTTTCTGGAAGTTCGGCACTTTCTTCTGCCATCACGATTTTGCAACCGAGGTTTTGAATAAGTCTGAAATTCTTGGTCGCAATAGTTGCTGTCATTGCTACAAGTCTAAATTGCTTGCAGATGTGCGTATCCTGAAGAATACGAACATTCGCAAGTCCTTCTTCTGCCTCTTTTATCTCGTTGTTGGATTCTTCAAGCTTCGACTGCATTTTTTCCTGATATTTTTCGATGACGCTTCCGTACCAAAGCTGACGATTCTGATAATTTCCTCGAAGTGCTTCATCCCAAAGTTGTTCTTGAGTCTTTCGGCAAGCGCCAGCATTTTCATATGCAGTGTCAATCACCCATTTTTCCTCTCGTCGTAACTTGCGAATCCATTTCTCTGCTAAGTGAACATACTTCGCATTAAACATTTCTTGGGAGAATCCAGGAGCATTGTTGTTGTTTTCTTCCTCTTTCCCCTTCTTTTTAGATTTTTTCTGTCCTTGGTTAGTTTGATTTGCTTGACTGTTCCATTTGGCTCTTTCATTTTCTTCATGCTGTTTCATTGAAGGTTGGCTGAAAACATGTCGAATAATTTCCTTGCGAATATTTTCCTCGTGTCTCATTCGGGCATTTTTCTTTCTTCTCTGATCTTCTATGTGCTCAAAACTCATTCTTTCGACATTTTCCTCATCCTCATCATCAAATAGTTCTTCTTCGACGTAGTTTTCCATTGCATGCAAATTTTGAACAAGATTATTCAACTGGCTCAAGTAATCAAGTCTGAGCCAGACTTTCAGAAGGTTGAGCGCGTGGCTCTTTGGCTGTTCACCAATCGGCTGAGAGATGTAGTTAAAAGTTCCAGCATCCATGCTTGCTTGTAAATCACCAACAATTGTTTGATACTGCTCTTCTGTGATGGCGTCTGCATCGTACAATTTTTCAGGAGCAATGACATCCGTAAAGGCCAGTTCGAAATCTCTTTCGAAGACATATCGCTTGCTTTGAATCTCTTCCACTGATCGTTCTGCTACTTTAACTTGCTTCCAGAGACTTTTGTTGAATGTCACTCTTCTTCGCTGCTCGTGAATTGTGTACTGTTGGACAATGTCACTCTTAGTACGGCCCCCATATCGAACGATAGACTGCTCAAACTCGTGTATTCCTTCAAGAAATTGATCCAAGGCGTGATTGGTGTAGCAAATGAGCAGGATCGGTGTTCGTTGGTCACCATACCAATGGTCTTTATTATCGAGAAGACATCGCATGACAAGCTTCGCGATGAAGGTTTTGCCAGTGCCAGGAGGTCCTTGAATGACACTGACAGAGCCTTGAAGAGCGGATTTCATGGCTCGTAGCTGTTCTTCTTTGATTATCATGCTTGTTTCATTATTCCAACTCTGGTCTCGGACAAAAATATTCGGATTCTCTGGCGGATTTTTGAACAATGAGTTCATATTGTAAATTGTATCCTGATCATCCAAGTAGGGCGGATTGCTTGGAGTTCGATCCAATCTGCCATCAGTTCCAGTGACAAGGATATTCTGAAAGGGAATTCGGTTGAAATCATCAGCTTGAAGTCGCTCGAGGACATTCTTCACGGGGAGGAAGAATGCCTTGCTCTCAAGCATGTCGTATTCGGTAGCTTTTCAAGATTAATAACAAAGTAAGAAATTCAAAATTCATCAATTAAATCATTTTTAACATTCCTGGTTTGATGTTTCCTTGCATAATTTGTATTTCAAGAATACCCTTTTAGCATTATCCGTTCCAGCGACGACGGCCAAGACAAGGTTTTCATCATCTTGAAAAGATCGCAGGTCAACACAAGCAAGGATCCGTGCATCAGGCATTTTGCTCGATCCCAGTTGATCTTTCGACGAGAAGTAAATTTAAGCTTGAATACTGACCCTCTGTTGTTTTTGGCTTTTGATCCACCTAATGGTTCGGCAGTGTAGATGTTGACATCAGTTATACGTTTTAGCATCTGTCTTTTGTCTCTGTAACTGCTTCGTTGATATACTGTGGTTTCTTCAACCTTCTTGTTTTCCATGAACGTCCGGATACCATTGCGCAGAGGGCGCATGAAATCTTCTCGGGTTATATCAAATAGTTTTTTCGCATATTCTTCGATAGAGTTGTAAGGCCCATTTACTTTCAATGCCAAAGCGTCGAGTTCTCGATCTCGTTCGTCCCTTCCTTGGTGAATATGGTTGGTGGAAGTAAGTTCTTGGACAGTTGGATAGATTGGCCTTTTCTTGATGTTGTCCGGATCATTTTCTTGAGCTTGAATAAGAGTTGGTAAATTATAGTATATAATTTATCGATTTTAGTTTGTAACTCTGGCTTGATAGTTTTCTTTGAGTTCTTCTTGTTTCTCCATAATTGCAATTGCCTTCGTTTGAGCATTTTTATTCATAACTGCAACTCTGTGAGAGCTCATGGTGTTGCATACCATCTCCACCCACTCGATGTCATCAGAATGCGAGATGCAGAAAAACTCCACATAATCGGAGCAAACGTCCAAAATCGCATTGATTTCGTTGACAAGATTTTTCAAGCCAGACGATGTCGTTAGATGCATAGGAAGAGTTTGTTCAAAAAGCTTAGATTTGGCGATTTGAAGAAGTGCAACTTCTGCACTCGTACTATTTTTGGCTTTTATCATTTTCCATATTTTGCATTTAGAAAATTAGGAGGTGGATAAAGTGAGACCGATGACCAGGTTCGTGAGGACTAGGTTCGTGTGACTAGGTTCGTGGGTGCCATGTCGGAAAAAATGGTTCGTGTGAGTAGGTTCGTGGAATTTGGATTTTTATATGTATTTTTTTGTATCTTCACAATTTTGGGGCAGTAGAGAAATGGCTTGAAGACTAGGTTCGTGTGACTAGGTTCTTGAAATTTTAAATAGAAAAAATTTTGGGGCAGTAAGGGAAATGGCTTGAAGACTAGGTTCGTGTGACTAGGTTCGTGAGACTTGGTTCGTGGAATTTGGATTTTTATATGTATTTTTTTTATCTTCAGCATTTTCGGGCAGTAAGGGAAATGGGTTGATGACTAGGTTCGTGGGACTAGGTTCGTGGAATTTGGATTTTTATATGTATTTTTTTGTATCTTCACAATTTTGGGGCAGTAGAGAAATGGCTTGAAGACTAGGTTCGTGTGACTAGGTTCTTGAAATTTTAAATAGAAAAAATTTTGGGGCAGTAAGGGAAATGGCTTGAAGACTAGGTTCGTGTGACTAGGTTCGTGAGACTTGGTTCGTGGAATTTGGATTTTTATATGTATTTTTTTTATCTTCAGCATTTTCGGGCAGTAAGGGAAATGGGTTGATGACTAGGTTCGTGGGACTAGGTTCGTGAAGTTCACTCATTTGGCAAATATAGTCCCACATTTTTTTATTTTTTAATTTTCACGAACCTAGTCACACGAACCTAGTCATCAAGCCATTTCCTTATTGCCCCAAAATTTTTCGATTTAAAATTTCACGAACCTAGTCACACGAACCTAGTCATCAACCCATCTCCCTTACTGCCCCAAAATATAGGCCGATTTCAATACTCTGGCAGAACCCACCACGAACCTAGTCACACGGACCAAGTCCTCACGAACCTAGTCGTCATTCTGGATAAAGTTGAGAGCCTTTCCTTGGAAGATTTCGAAAAAGCTTTTGCATCAGCGCTAGAGTTTTCTTGAACTGACCATAGATCTTATTTTCTCCAGTAAACGAGTCTGTGCTTAGAAGCTTTTTGAACCCGGGTGAACTCACTAAAGCACCAAGATCAGCTGAGGGATCATCAAGTGCTTCTTGGATTTTTCCAGCGCCGATTGGGAATTTTGGAATGTAAGGACTTCCACCTGCTCCACCACCTCTTCCTCGGCCTCTTCCGCCCCTACTGCCACGTCCAGAGTTCCCACGGCCTCGTGAACCGCGATTTCCGCGGCCACGGTCCATTTTTACGTTTTCTCTTCAGGTGTTGAAGTCTGAGGTCGTAACGGATACCGGTCTGAATCACAAATCTATGTGAAAAATGTAAAAGTCTTCTGTATTTATTCTCTGACGCGACAGATGAGTCGCAGATAAATAGAAAAGGTCGTTCAGGGCCATAAAAATGGATCAAAAATGAGCGAGCGCAGTGACAATGATTTTTATGAACAGTAAATTTTCTTCATTTCTACCTATTTCTCTTGGTGAAAATAGTAATCAAATTTGCAAGCGTTCGTTTAGCCGAGGGATGTTTCCCACACCCGTAGTTTTCCCTTTTGTGACTCATTGCTCTCGCTCAGCATGGCGCAAGGTCAATGAAGCTGAGAATTCGTCGAACTTGTTTTCGTGCATTTTAACTTTTTATTCTAGAGCTTTTATCAAATTTATCGTAACTTTAATTGAGTTTGTTTCATACTTCGCCATATTTTTTCATAGGTGATATTCTGGAAAAAAAGGATATTCTAACAAAAAATCTTCTTCACGATCACTCGATGCACCTTCTTAACTAAGTACTGTATTGCCTGCTTTTTACTTTGTGATTCCCACGTCTGAGTTTTGTTTGAAAACTTCCGCTACTAAAATTGCTGAGAAACTTTCAGATGTCACTTATTTCTACTTCTTTTTCCGCGCTTTCAAAATTGATCTCAAAAAATGAAGATTTTTTCAGCACTCGCTCCTTTGGCTTTCGGCCGACAGGACTACGTCGGCTACAAAGTTTTGAGAACATCCTGGGACGATGCACACACGAGCATCGAAGTCGGAGCTTTTCTTGAGCGATTGACCAGTGTCGATATGTGGGAGCCGGAACATGTCGAGTATCTTACGTACACTCAAAAAGCTGATTTCATGCTCTCCGAGGAGGATTCCGAGGCTTTCATCGAGCGATTCGGCGATCACGTGGACATCCTTCCGATCATCGACGATGTCGGTTTCGTCATCGATCAGCAGAAAAACGAGCAAGAGCGAGCCACCAAAGGACTCAGAGATCTCGACCTTCCATATGACCAGTATTTGACTTACCCTCAACTGGAAAGCTGGATTCTTGCTAATGTCGATAACGTGCTCGTTTCTGCCGAAGTTCTTGGCGAAACTTATGGAGGCAACAACGTCTACGGTGTCCACATTGGCGATCAAGATCCAACTAGCGACAAGAAGAAGATCTTTATTGAATGCAATGTTCACGCTCGAGAATGGATTACCCCAGGTTACAAAAAACCAACACCTATCATTTGAAAACAATAAAATTTCTAGCTACTTGCCGATATTTTATCCACATGGTCAAATCTGCAGTCAATGGCGTCGATCTTACTCCTCCTTCCTACTCAATGGATGACCTCACCAGCATCCTCGAGCACAACTGGTACATCATCGTTTCCGCCAACCCCGACGGCTACCAATATTCCCACGATTCCGACCGAATGTGGCGAAAAAACCGAGAGCCCAATGACGGAAGCAACTGTCCTGGTACCGATTTGAACCGACAATTCCCGGTTGGTCATTTGACTGTTGGTGGCAGTTCGAGCCAGTGCTCCAGTACTTACGCGGGTGAAGCACCATTCACTACTAAAGAAGCTTCAATTTGGAGAGATTGGTTTCATCAACTTAGAAATGCTGGAGGTGGAGACATCGAAGCTCAACTTTCTGTCCACAGGTAATCTTACTTTCCATACTTTATTGAGAGAGTGAAAACCTAATTTTACTGTAGTTACTCGCAACTTATTATGCCTCCATGGGCGACTGGCCGAACAGCCATTCCAGAAGACCCAGCAGATATCGAGTACCAGACCCGAGTTTCAAACAGAATGCAGACCGCGCTCTACAACGTCCACGGAAAGGTCTACCGAGTCGGACAATCCAGAGATGTCGTTGGCTACCCCGCTGGTGGAACTACTGAGGATTACTCTTACAGAGATCTTGGTAATTTATTGTTGAAAATCCTCGCTCTATATTTTCAGGCGTCACTCTCTCCTGGGTTCTTGAGCTCCGAGATACCGGTGCTTACGGCTTCCTCCTCCCAGCCGACCAAATCATCCCCACCGCAGAAGAAACCGTCGCCATGTTCATCGAAGTCTCCAAGGAGCTTTCCTCCCGAAAGTAAATTTTCTGTAAACAAGGTCAAAAGTTCAGTGGCCCAGTTTTTAATATGAGATTTCTCAGATTCACTTGAGCGGAACAATCTTTTAATAAATTGACATTTGATGGTATTTTTGGTGCCGGTACAGGCGCTAGGCGATGTGGCGTTAGGGTTTTAAATCTCGTGCATACTATTTTTTCATCTTTGTTCATTTTTCGAAAAGAGAGAAGGAAAATATGAAGCTTTTGAAGCTAGGGCTCGCCACGGTCGCTTCCTGCTTCGATGTGGTTTATGATGAGGAAAATGTCAACAACTTGGATAATGCGGAGATCGCGGAGATCCCTCATCACTCCGGTAAATAAAATTTTTACAGAAGATGGCTAGAATAATGACTTGAAGGATTTTTTTCGTTAGAAGGTAGTGTTGAATTGACTTTTTTCCGGAAACAACTTGTCCGGACTTTTTCTGATAGGTTTCATTGACTAAATATTTCTAGAGAACGTTGATCTTGGCTGGGCAGGCGCTCGTGAACCACGTGGTTGGGGCGAGTACTACGACTGGGTTAATATTCTTGATGCTACCGAAGAGTTCGCGGATGATAAACCTATCTTGCTCCTTATTATTCCAGAAGATTGCGACGATTGTGTCCATTGCCGCTCAATTAGAGAGGAATTCAAGAATGATCAAGAGCTCTTGCGCATAAGCAAGCATTTTCATGTTGTGAACTTCTTAGGTGATGCCTTTTTTATACCTTTCTTCAAAAATATTTTTAATAGGTTACGAAGAGTCGCAATCTCACTGGGATCCTAAAATTGCGAACGCTCATTATTTCCCGCGATTTTACTTTTTGGAGCCCCATGGAGACATCATCCCATGGGCAGTGAATACGATGCGTAAAGATGATAAGGCTTTTTACTACAACCACTCGTCGGAAATTCTTAAAACTGCAAAAGAGGTTTTTCATGGATACTACAAATATAAACACGATGAATTGTAACAACATGGAATGTTGGTAGTTCACTATTGTTGATATGATGATTTTAAATTTATTATGGGACGCGTTCTGGTAGAGAATGGGCCATCGTCAGCCCATTACAATTTTTACTGAGCTCAAATGATAATTCAGAACTTTGAGCGGACGATGGCCCCTTTACCACCGAAATGCGTCCGACAATATATTTTAAACAATCATATAATAATAAGGTCATAACATTGATCAGAAATTATTTTGAGGTTTTGATTAGTCTTCTCGTTTTTATTTAAATTGGAGTAAGTCGGACCGAGAAAGCATCGGGAAGAAGGTACCATTCTGCTGTTTCCATGTTTCCAATTTGTTCATTTACACCATCGTCGTCAATTATTTTTTTAATCATACCGTTTTTATATCTCACAGTGTTAACAGGCTTATAGTAAAGTCTATTAACTGGTACTCGAATAACTGGTGCGTCCATTGATAACATAGTGTTTTGGAGAACATATTCATCGTTTTCGACGCGATCCAGAATCATTTGATGAAAAATAATAGAATCATCAGGTAGAAGATAAGCTCCAGTAACAGATAGAGGCCTTGTAAAGAAAAATGTTCTGTTAAGCGTCTCTAAATATATTTTATTGACGTACACACCATTTCATCGAATATATATTGAATCAAACCTTTTTGATAATCGAAAAATGACTCGGGTACCATCGGATATCCCATTTTTCTGATAATCTCCCACCCACTTCTCATCAAATAAGTTGGAAACTTTATCCTTTTCAGAAGCAGTTCTATTTCACTTCCTTGATATTCTTTTTCTCTATCGTCGGAGCCAAGATTCATTCCAGCCAAACTTCGAGGATAAACAATCATGACCAATGTAGTGAATATATTTTCAAATGAATGATTGTTATAATTATCAAGAAAGCCCATATCTGCTTTAATTGAATATCTGATGAGAGAAGAAACTGTAATTGGAACACAGAGGTTCGATGATTTTTGGTCAACAACATTCCTTGTTACATTTTGAAAACTAAAGTTATGCACTTTTGTCATCTGTTGCTTCAAGCTTGACATTTGAGATGATTTGGTCAAATTTGGATCGTCGAGGCAAAAATATGGGTTTGAATCCCTAAGAGAAACAACTTTTTTAATTGCATACATCTCTTCTTCAATCGGGTCTTGTCTGAGGATACAGTCCGCGTTGGTTTGCTTAATCATTAGATCAAATTTTCTTTTTTCTTCTTCTTTTTCGACTGGCCTGTATAAAAGAGTCCAAGCAGTTTTCCATTCGCAAAAAATGAACACGAAGATAGTTGTTATCAAATCGCCATGACCACTTGTTAGCTGAGGAACTTGGGAAAAGGCAGGTGAACCAGAAACTAAAACTTTTAAAGGATTGCTCAGCAAAAAATAATCTTACACAAACTGTAAAAATACTTGTACTTTGATCCTTTCCGGGTGTAGCCCATTTCCCGAAAACTTTTCTTTCCAGAGGCGTTCATTACAACACCAAAATCAATTATTTTTGCTTCGCCATTCTTTATCAAAATATTTTCCGGCTTCAAATCATAATGTTGAATATCTATTCGCTTCAAATGCTGAGTTCCTTGGCGTACTCCATTTGCGATTTTCTTCCTTTCTTCTAAATTCAATCTTCCACTCCTCAATAAAGTCCTCAGATCATTGTCGCATTTCTCCATGATTGTTATCCATCCAACACAATCTTCTTTGTACATATCGTCTTTGTCGTAAACCTCGATATTAACAAAGTTTTTGATGACATTTTTATGCAATGGAATTGTGTTATTTTTCGTGCGATAATCTTAAATGTTCATTATTTCCGTTCTCAAATTTCACACCGTCTTGAAATCTATCTACCTGATGCGAAGAAAATTTTGAAGGCCGTTTCATAATTATCCGTGAAAAGATAAGGGTCAAAAGCTTGAACTCGAACAGCAACATCAAGATCATCAAATCTTTCTTTCCATACAATTGCTTCTCCTCCAGCTGAGATGAGTTTTCTTTCCAATTCAATACCATAAATCCATTTTCCAGTCTCTTCTTTGATATCATAGCGATTTAATCTTTTTCCAGAAAGACCTGGATTTCTCTTGAGAATCTTCTTTTGAAAAGCTGTCGTTCCCGATTTCTCGAGTTCTGAATCATTTTCATCAAATAAAATTAATTTGTTGATAGTAAAAACAACATATCTCCAGGTGGAAGCATGATTATCTTTCTTCAAATTGCTTCTTTCTATTGAAATTAGTAGTCTGCATGTTTGTGCTCGGGATGTTGTTCTCTTTAGCTTCGGAATTATTTTGTTCAACCAATGTAGTATTGACTCTCTTGTCATGCTAGGAACGCTCATACTCTTAGGGTTTTTTTTTTTGTTGAAATGTGAGCTCGGTCTTATTCTCAAGACTGAACAAATTTGATGAATGACCCCTTTTGTTTACGATCGTAGCGTCGTTAAAATCTTATATGCCTGAACGATCTAGTTCGCTATTTTTTACGCATATTTCATGTAATAGTTTCATAACTAGGTAAAATCACTAATAAATGAGCTTTTTTTCTAGCTTAGTAGGGTTGGAGTATAAAACAGTTTTAGAATCCCTAGAAGCTGGGTATCATTTTGACTATTGATAGTGGGGCGTGATCTCGTACCCTGAGGGCATTTAGGTACCTAAGAAGTCCCAAAATCTGACCAATTTTGGAAATGGGAATTTTTGCTGTGTAAAAAGAGGTTGCTGTGTAGTCTAGATTGTAGCCTAGGCTCTGACGGTCATTTTGAGCCCTAGAAAAGTAGTGAGGGGGTGGGTCTCTGGGGAGCTAGAGGCTCTTGAAATTGGGCAACTCGACAGAAATTGAGCGCTTTTTCCGAAAAAGTACATGATTTATATCAGAAATGCCTTCCAAAGACTTTTTATCGATGCTTATTCATTTTAAAATGTTAAAAATGTCATTTGGGGTCATCTGAGGTCAGATCGGGTCAATTATCACAATTTTCTGAATTTTTCACAGTTTTTGACCAAAAATGGGAATTCTAAAACTGTTTTATACTCCAACCCTACTAAGCTCATTTATTAGTGATTTTCCCTATTCATAACGGTTCGCATAAGATGTATTTTTATCGAAGATATTATAAACATCTCGTTTCAATTTTGTATTATCGCTTAAAGTTCTTATTCTTAAAAAAATTGGCATTCTCATATGGAACCAGAAAAAAATGCAGAAAATGCAGAATTTGGACTTGGTGACTCAATTGTCACCTCGTCACATCTTTTACTGTAACTAAACAGCTTGATATGGAAAAATGTTTTCAAAATGAAGTTTCGAGTCTGCGAAATAGAAGGCCAGGGAAGAGGACTAGTAGCTACAGAGACGATTCAAAAAGGGGCAGAAATTTTGAGAGAGAGTCCAATCGTTGCAAAAGTGAATGGCAACCCTGACGAAGGTAGGAAGAATAATTACTTTATTCAAATAGCAGAGTTCATAAGGAGAAGGAATTTCGATTCATCATTTGAATAAAAAATACTCATGCTGTTCATATTGTTGGCGATTCACTGAAAACACTAACTACGATCCCACGGTCCTACAATTGAATGTCTGCTCAAAAGAATGCATAATGAAGTACATGAGCAACTTTGGCGATTTCATCCAATTTAAGCGAAAAGAAAAAATATTACAAACGCATCCAGCACTCCAGGAGTGTGGAAACGACCTTGAGAACGTTAGTTTTAACAGAGACTCAAGTGTTAATTTTGTCTGTATCCAGGAAAAAGACAAGTAATCCGTCGGCACAACAACCACTATTGAATACATACACAAATGTCTTGAAACTTCTGACGATCAAAGAAAAGCAGCCAAGGCGGTTTCTTGAAGCTTGGAAACTTCATGTTATTTTCCTTGACGAACGGAAAAATCTCACTGCTCTGAATTCAAAAATTGCTTCTCGCCTAGACGATGTCTTCCCAACTTTTCAACACTGGTTTTCTTGGCTCAACCGAAAAAGCTTTGAAAAAGTTTTCATGATTGTCAATTTGAACTCGCATCATTTCTCGATCGTCGCACCGGACTATGGCTACACAGGAGGATCTGGACTGTACTTAGGAGCTGCAATGTTGAACCATTCGTGTGACTACAATGCAAGATTTCTTTCGTCCTTTGTAAGTTCAGAGAAGATACTGTACTCGACAAAAACGATAGAGAAGGGCGAGCAAATATGCATTAGTTACATTGATGATCCGTCAGGTTAACCAAAAACTTTCCGCTGTCAAATTAAAGTCTTTCAGAATTTACTGCTGAAGAACGAAAACTAGAACTCTCTCGCTGGGGCTTTGAATGCGCCTGCCCTCCGTGCAAAAATAACACTGCTGTTTTTCCTGACAAAGAAGTTGAGCAGAATCACTATTCAAAAATGGACTCTGTTCGTGAACAAATTTTAAAATAAATTTCTGGTTGTATTTCTGTCTTTTTGGAACTGTTCATGGAAAAATTAAACACTAGAACTTTGCAAAGGGCTTACAGTACATTATGGCTCGGATTGATAGTTTTCATCTTCATAGTCTTCATAGTCTTCGTCTTCGTAATCATCGTAGTCGTAATCGTCGTAGTCATAGTCGTCATAATCCTCGAGATATTCTTCTAGCTCTTCATCGTCCATCAATTTCAGTTCCTCCATCATTTTTCTTAAGAAAATTTAAAGAAGGGAAACTATCCTTGATGTTACTTTTCACTAGAGCTGCCTTTTTTAATCCCGGCTAAGTTGAGAATATCTTCAATTATCATTTCCCTTTCAGTCTTCTTTTGAACTTGTTTCTTATCATTCAACTCTTCCCGCTCTTTTCGTTGCTTTTCTACTTCCGCAATAAGAGCATCTCTGTAATTAGGGTCGGTCAGTTTCTTCTTGTTCTGACTATCATCGTAAACTGCCTTGGTATCAATTCTTCCAGCTTGTGATTTTTGAGGTTTCTCGAAGGATTTTACCGTCGAGCCTTTTTGTTTAGCCATTTCTTGTTGCTCAGAAATCGTGCTGAAAAAGAGTAACGCTAGAAAAAATGACTGAGTGTACTTAGGATGTTTCGCTTTCCAAGTTTTCGGTCCTTCCGGAGATTTGGGTTGATCAATGCTCTTGTCGATAATTTGCTTGTTTTTCTCGTCAAAAGCAACTTTCGAAGCTTGGAGAATATCGCCTTCCTCGTGAATCGGAATTTCGCAGACGAAATAGGCACGGACCTAGAATAATTTTACCCTTTTTCTTCTTAGCAAACATACTCGGCAATTGTAGTCATGCCAAGTTCCATCTGACCACATGATCACGCACTCTTCTTCGCCGTCTTTTCCGTAAGGATCTCGCCAGTTTGGTTGGCCATCGCCCCAGGATGAGTACTGTAGATCCTCGCCAGTATCCCACGCATATTTTTCTAAAAATACTATAAGCCTCTGTCAATTGTAGTGCGTTTTTACCTTGTTGAGCCTATTTAGTCCGATCCAAATGTCCCATCTTTTGAAACCCATCACGGCATCTAAAACAATTTGCATTTTCTCTTCATCCAGTATCGTCACTAATTGAGCACCAATATCTCTGCAGCTTGCTTGAGCCTCACTGTATCGAAGACGCGAGTCAGAAACCAGCAAGTTAGTTCCAGACGAATTCTTCAGGTGCTTTCTGAGCTCGTTGAAGACGAATTTGATGGACTTGACAAACTCGCCAACGCCATAAGTTTCGACGAATTTATCCGGTTTCTCAGTTCCCAAAAACTCATCAAAAGCCGCGAGTGTGTCGATTGCCAAAGTTTTCGTCTTCTGAAGAGATTTTTCGACTTTGGTAAGTTTCGTTTTTGTTTCTGAATGGCGCTTCGATGCTTCTGACAAACGCTTTTCTAGCATCTGATATTGGGCAGTTTGAACACTAGTGCTTTGGCCGTTTGCGAGTCGCTGGACGTTTTCTGTTTGAATTCTGTAAAAAGGGTTCTTTCAAATAACGATCAGCAACCAACTCGGCTGACCCGAGTTTTTACTGTCTTGAAGGTGTTGCGAGAATGTTTAATAGCTTATAAAATATGGCAAGTGCGTCCATATCTCTATAAAATTGAGTTTAATTATGATAATTTTACGATAGCAAATTGCTTGGTTCTCTTCAAAAGACTAAGCGATAATGTTTATCGAAGATAATTCATTTTTTACAAAAGAAACCCTTTCCTTAGTTCTTTCCTCAAATACTCAATCTCACTAATGCTGAGACTTTTATCAGGCAACTCCGTTACAACATCAATCTCGAATTTTAAATGCGTCGAGATAAAGAACCAAACCGCCAAAGAAACGACAGTAACGACGATTCCCTTTAAAACTTGATATGCAGTGGCCATCTTCGTTCTCTTCTCTAACGGCTCATTTCAGGAGAGATTTTCGTACATTCAAAAAAAAGGAAGAAAATAAAAATGTTGAGCGCCCGCGGGAAAGCCAAACGGTCACCATTGAAAGCGAACAGCTCATGCATGGAACTAAGGCCACATGTCTTTCGCTGGTCATTTTTATAGAAATAACTTGTTCAAAATGAAGATTGGTCATTTCAAAATTTTTGAAAAAGAAAGATCTAACCCTAACCCTAACCCTAGCCCTAACCCTAGTCCTAACCCTAACCCTAATCCTAAAGCCGCCCCCTAAAATTAATACGAATTTAAATCGTTGATTTAACAATACAAGATAAATGAATCTCGCCTTATTTATTCAATATTTCGAATAGCTTCAATTTCATTGAAGAAATTCTAAAGCATAAAATCGAGAAAGCCCAGCGCGTGGCAGTCCGTGAAGCATAAATAACCCCCTCAATCCGGAAATGTATCCCCTTGGCCATAAAAAGCCCGATTTCACACCAGCGGAACGTACCAAGAAACCAATTGATTGTAGGAAACGATCAGTTTCGACCTAATTTTCCGGTTGCTTTTGAAAATTTTCTGGCTTCGATTTCAAATAAAAAATCTGGCTGAGATTCGCAGTCGCTAAAGTCGAACAAGTTTGATTTATTATTTCTAATTACAGTAGCTAATCACGTGAGGATTGATTAACTCCACGGAGGATCGTCGACGATTTTTCGCGCAGAGACTCAGTTGCTCTTTCTGGAAATTAAAAGAGGCCCGTCGCGAAATTATGGCTCTGTCACAAATCCCCGAAATTTCAAAGCAGAGGCCCGATTTTTTACGAGATTTGTGAACACTGACGGTCCCAGGAAACGGCCCCTTCCGCGGGTACTGAGGGATCATTACGGGTCGTTATTGGACCTGGGATTTGGATAATTGACGCGTCTAAAATTTCCAATTAGAAATGATGAGCTGTCATTTTTTCTTTGTCTTTTATGCCTAAAATAAAATCGAAAAAGTCTAGCTGCCTCAAGATAATTAAAGAAGAATCTGCCAGAACAGAAATGAGAATTTTTTCCTTTTTGATTAATTTTGAAAACAGAATTCCAATCGCGAAAATTGCGCTGAATTTACCACGCTCGGCTTGTTCCAGCTGTTTGTTTCAACATAAAAAACATGCGTTTGAAAAATCGCAGCAGATTTTGATACGCTAGGGAATGAGCGCGAAATTAGCCAAAAGACAGAATTGGCCTTCCATGTCATTACACGCCAATTATCCAGATGAGGATGAGAACTTGTTGTTTTCGTCTTTTTCTCGTGGCACGAGGTCTTGTTGTTTGAACTGGTTGTTGTTTATTTACAAAGTGTTTGTTTGTGGATCGTTGTCCCTGAACCTGATGAATGTGCCCGCGATCCAAGTGCATCATTTTTTCCCAAGCTACTCGAGCGTTGAATTGCTGCTCCGTCTCAACTTTGAACCATCAAAAAATCGGCTAATCCTTCATTCATCAAACATGCACTAATTTTTTTCCAATTTCGTCAAGGATCTGAAGGATCAAAAATTCTCCGAGGAAAGGAGATCCTTTTATTCAGCCGTCGACGGAACGTCAAGTCGAAGACGTCATCGGAGGATTAATTTGCGTAAGGATGAAAGAGGGTCGACTGACAGATAATTAGAAAGTGGAAAGAGTCGATTACTAAAGCACATGACTTGCTGTTGCCTGTGTTTTTGGCTTTTAGATGATTAGGTACAGTCTTTGGCATTTTCTTTTTTGAGTTTTATGTTCATGATTTCTAGCAAAATTTACTGGAAGCAGCAGATTTGATCAGAGATCTTTTAAAACGGCATAAATTTCAATTTCAAAGACGCTTTTCAACTCGTATCAGATAAATTATCCGCTTCCAACACCTTCTAAAGGTGTTCCATGTCCGATAGGGATCTTTATGGTTACTGTAGGAAGTCATCTGCTGGCCATACTTGCGATCACATGGCCTGCGCCGCGGCCCCCATATTTTCATTCTGTCGCGAGATGGCGCGCGAGCTCGCTTCGATGCTATAAATCCCCGCTGCGAAGAAGGAAGAATATCAAAAACATTCTTTATTCATTTTCACAAAAAATAAGAAAAGAAAGCAAAGAGACTCTAAAATGGCCTTCAAAGTCATCGACAAGCACGACCTCAAAGAACTCTTCAAAATCAAGTCCAAGAGACTCTCCGGACGATTCTTCGGCCGCCGCCACCAGATTCTTGAGTCAGAGGACGAGCAAGACCGAAACGAATTCCTCCGAAGCGAGAAAAGCTCCAGATACTCGTCCAAAGCTTCTTCGCCGCTCATCCCCGTCGATTTTGACCAAGTTGATTGAAGAAGTCCAAATTTCCAGTTCGAAAACAACCAGAAAATGGCCACGGTTTATATTTTTCTTTTCGTCAATTTCTTCAATAACGGACTATTTACAAAATTGTACTGTAAATAAAATATTTCGAAAAACAAAAAAAAAATCCTCGATCCAAGTAACCTTTTTTTGAATTTTTATTTTTGGAAATAAGAAGTGACACCCTTATTCATATAAAAAAGCGGAGTCTACTTAGACTCATCCGTAATGGCTAATTAAAAACTAAAGGTCATTTTCAACCACTTATTCCAAACTCAAGTTCTCGTCCTTCAATATTCATTCGGTCACGTGGGTCCGATTCTAATTGCAAAAATAACATGAATAAACACAGGTCAACCATTATCCGTCATCATTCTGAAACGAAGCCAGCAGACGCATATTTGCGCTAGATTTTGATAAATCGAGCTCATAAAATATTTCAAAAGCAAAATAGAAAATTCATGAAATTCTCAAATTTTCAAGACGAATTCGCCCGATCAATACCGCCGTTTACACTTGAGCAAATTTTTCGAAGGCGCTTGTTGCAGCTGCCCTCGTGCCCGTTCGAGCTTGGCAATCTTTGAGATTACAGGCACACTTGTACTGTTGTTTACATATTGACCAGTTTCTATCTTTGGAGTGAAGGATTTTATTGCTTGTTTGCGAAGACACAGAAATGGAAAAGCAGAATTAGTAGCTTGGTGGAGGAGTTTTGTTATTTTGAAACATATATTGCGTGACTTGATCTGGAATTTCGGCGAGGACGTGTTGAGCCAGTAACTGCTTTACAAAGTTCTTTATTTCTGTTTTACCGCAGTGACCAACGATCAAGAAATTCAATTTTTGGTTTCTGCGGTGGCTTACAATTTGAACAATCAATGGTTCTTTTTTTTTTGCTTTTTTCGAACTTTTCCTGAGAAGCCCTATTCGAAGTGTTAAATTGATTAAAAGGGACGAACTGGACAATATCTCTATTCGCCGTTCTCCCATTCGCCCTGAGCGCATTATCATCACCGTCTAAAACATCCATGGCGCTAAAGTCAGCATCGCCGACTCCGACAATAATGATCGAAAACGGAAGACTTGAAGCATTGACGATTGCTTCGATAGTTTTGTCCATGTCAGTAATGATGCCGTCAGTGATGATGAGAAGAACGAAATAATCTGGAACTGGTTTTTCAAGGTTGCCAGGATCTGCTGCCATTCTTGCGACTTCGTTTATCACTAGAATTTTTTCAATCAAAAAAAGTCTTCTTTTCGATGAAAATTCTTACCTGGTGAAAAATTGGTAGGCCCGTAAAATTGAATTTGTGGTAGACAATTATAATACGTCGTCAAAATTCCATCAATTCCCTGGACAAATGGGTTTTGAAAATTAAAGTTGCAGGGGAACATGTGCGAGACATGCCCCTGTGGAGGTATTTTGGCGCCGAAGCCGAAGACGGGATACATTTTGTCCGTGTCGTAGTCTTGAATGACCTGGCCAACTGACTGTGTTGCTTGGTAGTATTGACTGGGGGTAGTTCCGCAGTGATGAAGGCTTCGGGGGTCTTGGTAAGCGCCGTTGGACCCGGTGAAATCGATGGCGACGACGAAGTTCATTTGCATTCCGCCGGTTATGTAATCAAGGAAGGTGAATTTCTAATCCCGGATTTCAGTAAATGCAAGAATTTTCATCTTTTATGTAATTCTGTAGTTATAAAATCCTCTCCTGTGAGTGTTTTACACTGTCTATCGAAAGAGTTCCATAACCAAGGCTGAACTTTTTGCCAGATTGTTTCATATCTTCAGCAGCTGTTTGCTTCGACCCTATTAGTTTATGCCCGTTGTCTTTGTATTTGAATAATCTAATGAAAATTAATTAAATTTTCTTCAAAGCATCTCTACCTAAGTTCTAGTGTTCGCTGTAAATCTCCATTACAAAGCTGCCTGGATCCAATATCAAGATTGAAGCTGAACATTTTTCCTGCTTGATCTTTGCCTCTGTAAACAGTGGAAAAGCTTCCATCTTCATTTGCCCTTGCAATTTCCAAGAAATGTCTGCTACTCCCGAACATTGATTGCTTGAGTCCAGAAAGCGACATTTTAAACTTGAAGAAATCACGCGCCGGTTGAATTTCCTCCGCTCGAACTGTAATTGATCCCTTGAGAGTTTTGTCTTTGATCTTCAATTTGTGAGTAAGTCCTTTTGAACCGGCGGAGACGATTTCGCCAATGTTCATTTGTGCTTTTCCGAGATAGTCTTGGTCTTTGAGGGAGCCGTTTTTATCGTCGATGTCGAATACTTCGAGTTCGATTGTTTGGACCATTTCAAAGAAATACTTATCAAGGTTTGAAAGTGACATTAGGAAGAAGAATATTTTGACAAAGCTCTTACAGAAGGGAGCTTTCATGAAAATTACGATAAACCTTGCCTCATATTCAAATCTCTTCGCAAATTTTGGGTTCAAATCATTCTTCACTTGCTCTGTTCTTCCCAACTCAACGAAAGGCCCTGTATTCGATGCTCTGTGACGAAGAACAACCATGGGGTCCGACAATGACGTGAGATCCAAATCTTCCAAGTTGTGGCATTCTATCGACAGCTCTATCTTCGTTTTTGGCACAGCTGCTGATCCAGGGTTAAAATTCATTATTCTCCGTTTCTCTAAATAATCGCGAAGTTACTCATCAAAATCAAACGTCGTTAAATAAGGGCGAGTCACAGTTTTTGTCTCATAGCTTCAATAATTCATTGAATAAGAAAATGAGCTTGGGGAATCAACGATGAGTTTGCTCCGCCTACGTGTCGATGGACTCGTATAATTTCATTTGCCGTTCATTTTGCTTTGAAGCAGTTTTAAGAATGCCCGCGGGCCGTTTATATATTCCATCTCTTTACTTTGTGATACGTAAAACAGCATGGAAATGGAATGATTCAGTTTATTTTTCGCTGTTTGACTAATGCAAACAGTAAGAAGTGAATAGCAAATAGTAGTCGTTTATTTCAGCATCTCAGCAGATCGAAGCAGATTTTCAACTATACATGGGTGCTCTTTTGATTCACAACTGGCTCGTGGGTGTAACTGTACTTGTAGCGATAGTCATCCCTGTAATCGTCAGATGAAGATCGTCTCCGATGATCACGTGACCTGGGGGGTTGGGTAAGAGATTCACTGATCGTTGTTTACCTGTGTCTTGAGGAGGATCGATGATGCGACTTTGAACTTTTTGATCCTTTTTTCGAAGACGAATGTTTTGACGAGCTCCCTCTTTCGCTAGAACTCTGGTTCAAGACTGTTGAAGGAAGAGTTACAGTTCCCCCGTCGATTTGCTGCACTTCCAGAACAAGCTAAAAAGGCGTTATTACGGTGCGTTGATGTTTGCTTACCGTATCAGATCCTTTTATTTTCTCAAGAACTTCCGGAATCGTTAGAGAATCTGTCGAAGCTCCATTGACGGAGAGAATCAAGTCGTTTTGGTTGACCTTAAAAAAGAAATAATTCAGAAAAAGAGATGAAAAATCGACTTACATCGTTATTTTCCGCGACTCCGCCAGGATTGATGCTTTGAACGAAGACGCGTGTTCCCAACTTCATTCCAAACGACTGCCCGTGTGACTTTTTCAACGTCACCGTCCTCGGTTCGTGAGCTTTGACAGGGATGACGGCGTACTTGTCTCTGATTTTAATCTGCGCGAGTTCACGTTCAACCGAAGAGCCGCGAGAGTAGGACGAGGATGATTTGCGAGCTTTGGACTTTTTCTTCGACTTCGACGTCTTTGTTCTTCCACGTGAGCTCGAGCGACTGAAAATTTATCTCGCCTTGAATTCTGCGATTTTATGCCTCCGTAAATTTACCTGGAATAGCTTGAAGATCGTTTACGATGCTTTTTCTTGTTCTTTTTTGGCTTCTTTTCTTCGTCCGAAGAGAAGTCTTCCGATTCTTCGCTTGGTTCAAAATTCTTCAACCTAAAGAATCGTCCACGACTGATTAATTCAAGATCTTAGGAACCTTTTTTGACCTTCAGCAGAGTTAATAACATCTCCCATATTTTGAACTGGCGGTGGAGCCTGCTGGGTTTGATTCAGCATCATTTGCTCATTCATCTGTTGCTGGAATTGCATTGTCTGCTGCGGGTTCATCGTCCTGAAATCACTGTTACCATCAATTTTAGCCCTTTGAGCTTACGAATTTTGCATCATTGCTTGGTACTGTTGCATTTGAACTGGCATCTGTCCCATGGGAGCCATCATTGTCGACATTGGGTTCGTCGGAACTCGACGTGCCACTTTGAAGGTAGCTGTTTTGCTCCGCTTCAGGAGATCGGTGGCTTGCGGTTTCTCCGCTTTCTCCATTGAAATACCATTGATCTCGAGCACTTTGTCGCCCGCAATGAGTAAACCAAACGCTGGTCCTTGGAGAACATCGGAGACGAAGATTCTTAAAAGAAAGGGAAAAGCTTGATAAAAATGACGATTTCTTACAAAAAAATCGTTCCACAAAAATCCCATGCTTTCGAGTTTTATTCAATTTGATGATAATTAACATACCCTGTATCTCCTGTAAATTGATTGACAGTCTTCGCCCCACCGTTGAGCGCTATCCCAAATCCATTCGCCCCTTTTTCAATCTTCAGTGTCTTCGTTTGCGTCGCGAAACTCCCGTTCATCGCCCTTTAATTTTCTCTTTAGAAACTCAGTTCTCTATTGAAAAGTAAATTCCACGATGTTTCGTTTCTTTTTATTTGATCGTTTTTCCGAAAATGGAATTCTCGTATCGTTTGTTTGAATGAGATGTTTAGTTAATTTTTAACCAGACTGCTATTTGATAATTGACACACGCGGGGGAGTCCATCGCTCTATTGTCAACAGACGATGCAAAAAAGGGATCATCCAAGCTAACGAGCAGCTCTGGAGATAAGAACGCAAGCTGACTTGATGGATGTTTTTTTGGAAAAAAAATTGGATTTATCAATTTTTGAATGTTGAAATCAAGGAAGAGAACCATGAAAAAGGACCTCCCAAAGATATCTTTTTAAGTATATACAGTATAAGTCCGATCGCTTACCATCTGTAAGCGGCAACAATTTCCGCCGGGTTGAAGACAACCCCATCTCTCGAGGTCATCCTCAAAATTGACAAAATTACGTTTTCTCCCCCTTTGAAAATTAATTTTTCTGCCTCATCTCGCGTGAAAAAAAGGATGAACTCACGAGGGACGCAAGGGAAACATCCAGATCCGTGGCAATAATCGTCACAATTCTAATTAGATTTAATCGATCGAGAGCCACTTTTCATTTCTTGCCGAGCTTGGCTCGCATAGCCGCAATTTATAACCTGAGGGTCTTTTGACAATGATGGTGGATTAATTCTACTTGTTATTTATTGCCATAGAGTCTATGGCATAGACTAAGTCTATTATATAAAACGCTAACGTAGACACATACCTAATGGACTCTGGACTAGTGTCAATATCATATTGACAATATGTTTGTTTATCTGCAAGGAAAGAAGGAAAATGAGTATCCTTTTCCTGATACTTGTGTTTACTGAAGGCCAACGCCCATTTCACTACAAGAGAAGGCTTGCATTTATCCTGAAAATCTGAATGTCTTGAAAATGGAGAATGAAGTTGTAGAAGGTGATCCTTCAAATATTGAGATGCTTATTTTACTTGAGACGGCAGACGATGCAAACAGAGCATATTTTACGAACAACGGTGGAAACGAGTCACGTGCTCGGTATCGGATCAATTCTACAGTCGACAATCATCGTGGAGAGATAAACGATGCTCGTCTCAATCGCCAACCGAGGAATGACTATTGGAATAGAGCGGCCCAAAGAAGACCAACACATAATGCTCCATTGGATTGGATTCGAATTGTCGCAATTTTGTTCCTCGCATTTTTAGTTTCCGAGAACATTATCTTTGAACCGATTTTTGAAAATGTCGACGATAACCAACCTAAAACCAAGCTTGAAAATCAAACCGATCATTTTCAATCAACAGAAAAACATCGAGATTCTACAAAAACATCGATTTCATACGACATTGAAGTCATAACTGGTAATGTCCGATTTGCCGGCACCGATGCCAATGTGTTCATTCAAATCTTCGGACAAGACGGCAAAACAAAAGAGAGGAAGCTTGATAACAGCTCAAATAATTTCGAGCGAAGGAGAGTCGACAGGTTCACAATAACCGAATTGGACGTTGGTAAGATCCAAAAGATCAGAATCAGACACGACAATTCAAAATTTGGCCCCGGATGGAATCTTGATCGCGTGGCGATCATTTCAAAGAAAAACGGCAAGGCGGAAAGGACAATTTTTGTTTGCCGAAAATGGTTCAGCAAGAAAAAGGGTGACAAGCGAATCGAGAGAGAACTTTTGCCAACAGATGATTCTGGCAATCCGATCTGACTTTTCAATTTCATTTATTATGTCCATTTAACGGTTTCGAGCCGTTAATTCATTAAATAAATTGAGTTTATTTAATTACTATTATTAGCAAAAAAATTGGCATCAATGAATTTAAAGAAGCCAAATATAATATTTGAAATATTCTGTAAATTTGAAATATTCTGTAAATTGACTGAATTCGAATCATTTTCCTCGGCGAATCTTCAAAACGGCATTCTGAGATATATTGAGAAAGTTGAATGCTTCATTTTCGCTGAGATTTTGAACGCTTTCCTCGTTGATTTCTAATATTTCATCCCCTTCATTCACAAGTCCAGTAGCACTTCCTGAGAATAATTTTTAATTGGCTGCAATGAGAATTTACCCAAAACGACATCTTTGACAAACAATCTGGTTTCAAATTTTATTCCGTGGCCATTTTTCCCTCTTTGGATCGTTTGTTCCCAAGAAGTAGAGCTTTCCTGACGAGAAACGTAGCCCTCGTCTTTAGATTTCGCCGCCTTCATATTTTTTATTTCATTTTTGAGTCGTTCGTTTTCCTTCTTTAGCTTGTGAATTTCAACTCGAGTGCGTCTTAAAAGAAAGTATTTAAAGAATAATTCTGAGAATTATTCTCGCTGATGTTCTTACTTGTCATGGAGATGAAGGTTTTTCATCATTTCCTGGAAACTAGGCGAGGGCTTGTCAATATCTTCACAAGTAGAGCAACTCTCAAAATATCGTTCATTTGGTGTCAGTTCCATCATTGTGTTCGTACTAAACAGACTCTCTGTTTCCCCCAAATCTTCCGGCAACTTATCAATTGCCAAAGTCTTTCCTCCTCCATCTTCCTCAGGATCACTCATCTCAGGAACGTAAATTTAAAATTTCTATTGTGCGCAGAAGAAGTCAAATAATGGATTTTTCTGCCGGGTGTATTTAGTGAGTGTTCATCTTTACGTAGCCGAATTATGTATCAATAAGGCTTTTCCTACATTAATCGCTTGATTTATTTTGAAGACTAGACTAGAAAGAATTTAGTTTCATTTCTTTTCTTTTATTTAATTAAAATAACTTCGTGCGTTACAGACAATCCGACTTAGGCAAGTAATTTCGCATGTTGTTTTCGTCTGAGTCTAAATGCATTGAATCCGAGAGCAGCGTTGAGAAGAAGAGTAATGACCAGTACCGCGTGACCAGACTCTATGAAATATTTTTCATTCACTGCCTCGCATTGATTAACTCTTACTCGAGTTGGACCAAGCTGCGAATTTCGATGAGCTCTGAGGAGCAAAGAAGATTCGAGCTTGTTGTCCTGCTTTCAGATCTCTCGGCGGAAGAAAGAGCGGCCATGGACCAAAAGTTTCGATTCCTACTGATTTTGCTAAGAGCTGTTTTCTACCACCACGCTGCTCGAAGTATGTTGGGTGGGCACTTTCGTAAGTCAGTTTGTCTTCAATCGATCTTTTTGATACTTTTACCGCTTTTTCTTTTTCAAGCGCTTGCTGCAGTTTTTGAACGAGCTTTTTTCGGCTTACAGAATATTTTTAAAAATCGAATTCTTAGATAGTAAAAAGCCATTCCTCGAAGTACTCCTTGTTGTTTTCAACGGTGATTCCAGTTGTATTTCGGATCGCCGTTGCGTTTTTATTCCAACCTCCCCATGGCGTAGTTCTATGAAGTGAGTTTTTCTTGCTTTCAAAGGACGAGTCTTGTTTTTTATTGTATTTTTTGTGCTTGTCTTCGTTCATTTCGATCACTTTATTCCAGAGCCTTAATGAAAGTCAAAATCAAATGAAAATATAATTTTTATTACGCAATCTTTGCTTCCAGCGTTTCATTTCGTGGTGGAATGTCTGGAGTTATCGCCACTTTTCCAATATTATTCGGTTTATAATTGCTCAAATCATTTTTCGCCAAATCTAAGCACAATGATAGTTTGACTTTTGGCTTTGGTGTTGGCATTCCTTCTTCTTGTTCTTCCGGCTCTTCTTCCTCTTCTGGTTCGTCGAGGCACATAGAGGTACCTCGCGAAGAATCCATTTGCATTGGATTCATTCTATCGAACTCCGCCTTTAGTTCGTCTTTTCAAGTTTCAAGATAACCTGTTTAGTTTCAAATAAAACCTGTTATCATCTAAAAACTCGTCCCGTCAGTACAAGTCCCATAACAGTTCTCTCCATTGGTGACACAGACCTACAATCATCTCTTATAAACCATGATTTTTTTTGAATAAAAACCTTCGTTACAACATGGATAAAGAATCCCGAAAAGTTGGGCACATCAACAAAGCCTTCCGAAATCCCCATAAAGTCAATTTCAAAAGCCGTGTGCGGATGCTCTTCCGGGTTCGCTGCATCGTAAGCATTTGGCTGTGGATACTTGCCGCCCTCCATCAGAGGATGAACAATCGCACAACCACTTTGAAGTTTTCTGATGAGAACCGTTGCGTCCGGGTCATCTGGGTCCTTTGTCGCCGTTACCCAGAGTTTTTCGACGACAACGACCATCGTTGGTTTCTGGATATCAACCAGTTCGATGCCAATAAAAGTCCTGTCCGTCTCTTCAATCGTGTCATCAGCCGTAATCGGCCGCTCCAAATGCTCATCGAAATACAGCCCACTTCTGACATCAAAACTGCCGTCGCCTTGAATCGGCTCTAGAATGACAGCCTTTGGTCGCCCGCAAATACAAGGCTTGGTAATATCGCAAGTGTAGGTGCAGTTGTTCTCCGGGTCCCAGAAACAGTCCTGACATTCATCGCATTTTGTGGTGACACAGAGGCTTGTGGACATTGTCTTCTCGAATTTGCACGAGAAGTTTGATGTTTTATACCACGTATCGAACTTTTTTTATGTGCTCTTTATTTGATGGCCGAATTTTAAAATCGTTCGAATAAGAACACAATCCTGATTTCCGAAAATGATTTCAGGAACTGTCGAGTTTGACTTCTTCCACTGGATTGTGTTCTCAAAGATAACATGAGTTTCAGTCTCATATTGCCTAAAGAGGGCGCTAGAAAAAGGCGTTCAGAAGGATCAGGGTCAAATTATGATTCAGGGCCCTTTCCAGAAGTTACAGTCATAACTCCAAGTTGCCATGTTGTCTTGATTCATGAATTTGAAGATGTTCCCATCTCCTACTTGACAGTTTCCAATTGCGTCCACAGAATAGTCTTTCAAGACATCTTTTTTTCAGGTCGCCGAGGACATTAAACTTGAGCGATTCAGGCTACTGGTCTTAAAATTGGCTGAAAATTGACCAATTTTCATGTGAAGAATAAGCCTTTCTATGAATTTTACTCTCTAAAAATCTGCTTGGTTCTGACCGAATCCTGGTATCTCGTTGATTTCCAGAGTTATTTCGCTGTATCCACATGATATGAGATTTGAGGCCTGAGTCTTTGAGGTCTTCAGATAATTCAGTATTTTTCGACAAGAAAGATTTCTTCCTAGTTACAATTCTCTGCTTTTATTTATCTCTTGGAATAAATGTTCTGGAAGACCTGGGCCTGTGCACTAACAGTACTGGCGAAAAACGCCAGAAACGGGGCGCGCACCATCGAGAATAAATCGATCTAATGGCACCGCCAACAGACCACTCGGTAAGGCAATTAGGCCACGCGGATGAGCGATTCTCGATTTTCTCAACCATCAAGATTTATGAATCTACAAGTGTACAGTTGTAGACTTAGGGGAATGTAACAGTCCGAATTCGGAACATTAGTGAGATTTTCGGAAAGTTCTCCATCTTTGAACCTTTCTTATTGTTCGGGAACGTGGCTACAAATACGTAGCTGAACCGAATGGTCGTTCCAATGGACTCCGATCTGTTTGTCTTCTGATAGAAAATGTCGCAAATTTTTGTTACTGGGAATTCCGGATTGAATCTGAAGTTATCCGAATTGCGCTCTAAAAACGCTTGACGTACATATTATTAGATTTACAATCAAATCCTGTACCTTATTATATTTGTAGGTTTTTATATAGCCAAGAGTTAAGGTCTTTCAATACAAACTGAAAAGAACGCCAGAAAAGCGCGGCGCTGATTGGCGGAGGCGGAGAATTTCCAGAATTAGAAACGCTTCCACTACTTTCGCTAATTGCTGCTTCAGAGAATTTCGAAGAAAACGAGAATGAACAGCAAGAGAGAGATTCCGATGAAAATTAACCAAAGAAGACTTTTGAAGAGAGTCCTTGGAAATGGTGCTGAAATTCGAAAAGCTCTTCGACGAATTTCAACAGGAAACAGACTGTAATTCGTGTGTGGCATTACTGCAGCTGCTACTCAATCGCAAATGATGGCTCGACGAAACCTTCAGTTGACACAATCCATAGTCATTTGTCGACACCGGAAATCTTCGTCGAATAAAAGTCGCTCTTCTCGACCGTTTCCTTCAGAAAGAGATTTTTTCTGCAGAAATTATCTTGCAAAAATCAGATAAGACGAAGATGCCATACAATATGTCAGACAGAGTTACCTACATCCGGAGAATCATGGATGATCAGTTCAAGGAAGAGTTTTCACGATTTTTCAAAGGGTTATTTCGCGTCTAAGGCCAATCACAGACGCGCAACACCATCCCCCAGGGTACCCCCAACTTGGGGACGCCAAGGGGGGTAGTTCGTCTTCGATTCGCTTACCCCCTTTTTTATAAGTGAAAAACTCAGTAAAGGATTCTCTCCAGCGACGAAAACAAATTCAGGTGACGCATGGTTCTGCGCTGAACATCACTAGAAGACTTGGACCACTCAACAAGGTACACTGAAATTTCTAGCGTTTCCGATTTTCATTTTCTACCAAGGACTTTCGATTCTTCTCCGAAGAACTGTACGAGATGAACTCAAGAGCCAGAGAATGCACCAGACGACTCGGTAAGTTTACAATTCTACAGAGGCCTTTGTGAATAAGGAGTTCTATTCAAAGTCTTTTTTTGAATGAAAGCCTCTTCTATATGATTTTTTAGTTTAATCATCTTGTTTTCAGAAGCAATTTTGGCGAGACCTGATATGAAGAAATATAAAGACTACTCCTAAAAATCCTTTTAAGGGACCTTGGCGAGCTGGCTGAAGCGCGACTTCACGAGCGCTTCATTGATTTTTGACATAAGCTATTTTCAAAATTCTTTTTGCAAACATAATCTACAGAGACTCTTCTTTCTATTCCAGTTTTTAGATTTTCTCTACCATTTGTAATTCAGTCGCTATTGTCGAAAAGAGAAGTTAAACTTCAAAAAGATTCAGCACTTTCAATTTTGAAGATATGAAATTATAATTACTTTCATCGGAAAGCCCAGAAAATTCTGCACAAAAGTTACCTAATGGGGTTTTATGAAAATCATTGATGTAGTGGTAAGAGTCTGTAATCAATAGTTATTAGCGCGCGCTTTGCGGGAATCGAGCGCAAACAAGCCAAAATAATGCTTCGCGCAGCGAGAACGCCCGCTGTGGAACCGATACACTCCGGAATAGCTCACCTTGCACTTGGCAGGCTATTGTTATCATAACCCCATTAGGTAACTTTTGTGCAGAATTTACTGGGCTTTCCGATGAAAGTAATTATAATTTCATATCTTAAAAATTGAAAGTGCTGAATCTTTTGAAGTTTAACTTCTCTTTTCGACAATAGCGACTGAATTACAAATGGTAGAGAAAATCTAAAAACTGGAATAGAAAGAAGAGTCTCTGTAGATTATGTTTGCAAAAGAATTTTGAAAATAGCTTATGTCAAAAATCATTGAAGCGCTCGTGAAGTCGCGCTTCAGCCAGCTCGCCAAGGTCCCTTAAGGGTAATGGTATACATCGGCGCGGCGCCGCTCGCTCGATCCGCGCTCTGCAAGAACCTATTTCTCACGAGGCCGTAAAATCTGAACGGATCGAGATTTTCGAGATTTAAACAGATTCGGAATCCTCAAAGTCTCTTCTATAAACTGATCGAAAATTAAAACAATTTTCAAAGAGGAACAATGTGAAAAGTGCCAGTTTCCTTCAAATGACATTTTCTCCATAATTTGTCATCCAAATTTTTTGAAAATTAGACTGTCTTGTAGAGAATCGTCAGCTCTACAATTCCTGTGTTTCAGATTTTCATTTGGGCTTTCAAAAATTATGTGCGCTCTTTTGAAAAGAGAGTTATTCTCGCCCGCGCCTCTCCGCTCCCTATTTCTCGCGGCGCGCTCCCGCTGCGCTCTTTACAAATTGCGATGTAAAATTAATGAAAGCTTAAAACAAAAATCTGAAACACGGGAATTGTAGAGCTGACGTTTCTCTACAAGACAGTCTAATTTTCAAAAAATTTGGATGAGAAATTATGGAGAAAATGTCATTTGAAGGGAACTGGCACTTTTCACATTGTTCCTCTTTGAAAATTGTTTTAATTTTCGATCAGTTTATAGAAGAGACTTTGAGGATTCCGAATCTGTTTAAATCTCGAAAAAATCTCGATCCGTTCAGATTTTACGGCCTCGTGAGAAATAGGTTCTTGCAGAGCGCGGATCGAGCGAGCGGCGCCGCGCCGATGTATACCATTTCCCTTAACCGATGCTGCAATTTTACTGTTCTCGATGAATCTACTGTTAGAAATTGTGAATGATTTGTTGCTTGGGGACGCAGATTCATTTTCATTTCGACCTTTAGTTTTTGACAAGAGCTTTTTGTAATAAAAAACGACTTTGAAAACCTCTCTTTGAAAGTTTTTCTTCAGAAATTTATGTGTAAATATGTTGATACGATACTTCTCGATATTCCTAATCGCGTTTATTTTTGCTGTTGAATCAAAAGAACATGTCTGTAATTTCAAGTCCAGCGCCAATTCTTATGTTCAAAATATCCTTCAAAAGGTAAACTCTTCTCATGATTTTTCTCTTCGAAACTGATTTTTTCGTTCAGTTTTCTGGTAAAAACTTCTCAATTTTCGACTCCGAATACAGCTACACCGTGAATTTATGCTCCGAGAAAATCGCCATTTCTCGGCTTTCGACCAATTCTCATTTCGAAGAAACGCTCGCTTTCAATGCTCAAATGACATCCTCAAATGGTGATAGTTGGGCAATGCTGACTTATCCTTCCGAAAGAGACACTTGCGACGAAATCATTAGCGTAATGATTCGCTGCCCAACGGGAAATGTCAAAAATGGACAACTTTATCGTGGCGACGAAGAATGCAGGTAAAATCGTCTTCGACCCTTTTTCATTGAGGAAATGTCTTTTAAGTCCATTTGAAATCGGCGACAACTCGTTGTGTCCGCGAAGTGGGTGGTCTCAATTCTGGATCTTCATTTTGATCTTCATCTGTACTTTTGCGCTTTATTTCTTTGGCGGGTGCCTGATAAATCGCCTAAAAGGAGCGCAAGGAAGAAATCAAATTCCGCATCTGGCGTTTTGGGTTTGGATTGGAGATGGTTTCGCTAACGCTGCGAATAAATTCTGTAGATGTCATGGATTCCCAGAAGATGATAGGAAACCGGTTTTCTTTGAGATTCAATAGCAAAGACTTTGATGTTTTCTTCGCGAAAATCAGATCGCTTGATGGACATTTTCGTTATCAACAGAACCCTGTGTAGAAAAGAATGAAAACCCTACTAAGATCTCAAATCTCAGCACACGACGAAGCAATTCTCCCGATTTAGTAGCAGCGACATCCCCATAAATTCTTCGCTCGTAGAAACATGTAAACGCCCATAGATTCTATTCAAAACCTGTTCAAACAAAAAATTTCGCTTCCGTTAAAAAATAATTTCGCTTTTCGTGAAGTCATGAATTCATCCCGGGATGAATGAAACCGAAAAACCGCTCTAGAATATTTATCCAATCGAAAATTCTGCCGCCTCGTTTTCCGTCTACTTTGCCTGTGCCTTTTTCTCAATTTTTAGTCTTTATTTCGTGCTTTTTGATGAAACAGTAAATATTCAATCAGAGTGGCTATTTTGGACAAAAAATAGGGGTCTATCCATCCAAATTCCATCCAAAAAATTTCTAACCGGGTCTATCCATCCAAAATCCAATCCAATCCAATTTTCGCCCAATTCCCAACTAAAATCGAATTCCAAGTTCTTCCAAAATTCCAACTTTTCCCAATTCCCAATATGCCCCGATTCCATTGGATTTCCAATATTTTCCAGCTAGCAAATTCAAAAAAAACAAACAATTAATACTTATTCTTCAAAGTTTATTTCTGTAGATCCAAGGGCAATGTCTAGGATTGTGCTGGCAGCAAGTTTATGGCGTCGAATAGATCGCATCAATGTCGTGAAACTGAAGGCTCGCTCCAGGCTTGAACTTGAGACGGAAGAGTGATGAAGCTAAGAAATGCTTTATTTTTAAACTCAAAAAAACCGAACCATTAATCCGATTCTGCTCAATCTTGGCAAGGTTTCAGCGTATCGCCGCCAGAACTCTCCAACAATATCATCTTCCACAACCTTCTTCATTGCGCAATACTTCTTGTCTAATTTCAAATTAAGTAGATTAATGATGAAAATTACTTACGCGCTTCTATATCAGTATCATTTACTTCGTCGTACTGAGCAATCTCTTCTTCGATCTTGGAACGGATTTCTTTTGGCTTTCCTAGTCCGCGGCGGTGACTAAGTGGGCCAACAGCGTTATTTTGGCTGTCACATTGAACATTATTAACGCCAGCTTCAAGGAGCTGTAACAACTGTTCATCTGTCAGCTCGTCGTCTTCCATTGTTCGATCAACCTCTGTGATCCAGTTCTTCGCTTTTTCGAGCCAATCCTTGGTTCCGTCGACGAGTACTTTCTGAATTATTTAATTTTTTGGCATGAAGATAAATACATACCATTATTTTGGAGATGAAGGGGACTCGGGAATCTTTCATTTTGGCGACGACTGGATGAAAATTCATCGCTATCGATGTAGAGTCGGGTGCCAGGTAAATGCTTGCCAAGTCTTTGTTGGTAAAACGAAGGGGTACTTGACATGGGACATCGTTTCCATTCATATCAATCCGCTTTTTGTAACCTGTTCCACTACACTGATGAGCACAGCCTTCGCAAATCTGGATTCCTCGGTCCGACTGATTGTGATTCGATTGACGCACTCAATCATTATTCGTTCGATTTGCTTGTAGTACGCTGATCCGCAGGCAAGCGAGTCAGACTCGAGAATATTGATACTGCGATGAATTTCGATAAGAAGAGGGTTGATCGATCGCGCAAACTGCAGATCTGGGACTGGACACTCAGCGAGAAGATGGCGTTGAGGGTGGTTGATAGAAAAGAGGTTGTTTAGGCTATCTTCGCTCAAAAGGAGACGCTGAACTCCATAGATTAATTTCCGGAAGCGCGTGGAGCCGGAAATTCGATCGATGGCCTTCCCTTTCTCCTTTCTGTTGAGGAATGCATCCGTCTTTTCTTCAACAAGTCGTTTGACTTGATCGTCTTCAAGAATTTCAGTACTCGCTTTTATTTTTGCATTATAAAACTCTTTTATAAGCAAGCGATTAGTCACTTCTTGAGAAATCAAAAACGCATTGATTGACTTGTATCCGACACCAGCCGGAAGATCACTCGCCGATACTGTAGCTTCACACTTGTCGATGAATTTTTCAAGTGATTCGTACTTCTTATCCTTCGGTCCACCTGGTCTGAGATTTTGTTCGCACGCTCTCTTAAGGTTGCAACACATTGAATGACTTCCGCAAATGCTACGGTTGATCGTAAAATGCTCGGGCACGGACTCTGCTGCCTGATCGCTCACAATGCAGACCAAGTTTTTCTCTATCGCATCGGTAAGGTTGTATTCTTCAAATATCTGCTTCAGTTTTTCTATGGTGTGATCCGCAGTTGAGTCCGGCATCGGAACATAACCGATCAAACAGTTCCAAAATCCGTTTTTGCAGCGAATATTGACCTCAACCCCGAGTATCTTCCAGAGCGTATTTTCTTTAGTTTTCACGTATTTGTGGTCTTTAAAGGATATTAAATTGTTAATAAGACAAATTATTCAAAAATTTTTAAAGAAACTTTGAAATCCTTATCCTAGAGAAATTGACAGGCGGCCCTTTTTTGCCATTTCCGGAAGAATCTGTTGAAGGCGCTCCCGAATTTTCTTTGCCTCTTCTTTCATGTATATTTTGATGGCATCCTTCGAAAGGCAAAGTTGATTGATGAGCATCTGGCTAAAGGATACATTTTTGAGAAGGCAGCGCATCAGGGCCTTGACAGAGTCATGTGACCAAAACCGGAAGCTTGTTCCGGTATCGCGCATGACTTGCAGAACTTTCTTCTGGACATCAACTCTGTGGTCCTTGGTGTTATTCAGAAGCGCGAGTACTCTCTGCTCATCTGGTGCTTGCGCGTGGCGATCCACAATCGGTTCGAGAGTCTTTTTATAGACATCTGTATTTTGATCGTATGTATGGAATGGCTTAAGGTTTTTTAAGAATTTTTACAAAATGCAAATTTTACCTCTCCTCTGCATTTTTTGCACTTAGCTCCATCTATTCTTGCGCAGCGCAAGTAGCAAGTCGGAAATCCCTCGAAATAGTACTCTTCAAATTCAAGGTTGAGCTCTCGAATCTTGTCTTGTAGTTTTGTAGGGGTCCATTTCTTCCATTCACCAGTCGGTTGCTCACTTTTTTCATCAGCAGTAATTTCCGCTTTCTTTCTATCAACCTCTTCTTTTCGTTTATCCTTGTCTTTTTCGTCACTCGCCACATAAATGCATCTCTTGGAACGCTTGGCAGGTGGACTCATCCCTTCTGAAAAAGGTTGACTAGTAAAAGAAAAGAAAATGCCATTTAAATCGCAGTAAAACTCTCTAATGATCAGTATTTATCCGTCTGAGAAAGGTAGACTGCGCGTGATGAGTGTAGGTTGAGAACAAACCTGATTGGTCGAGCATTTTTCGCAATTTTTCTCGGATCCAATCTTGCCAACAACTGCCAATTCCCCAAGAAGATCCAATTTTCCAATGTCGCCAATCCCCAATTTCCCCCAATTACCCAATTTTACCCAATAAAATCCGATACCCTGGCCATCCAAATTCCATCCAAACCTTATTGGATTGGATCCAATCCAATTCCAACTAACCCCCAAGTCCAAAATAGCCACCCTGTATTCAATCATGATTATTAAATTATATACCTCGCTACTTTTATAGAAACAAGTTTTCACGACAAATGTTTTTTAGAGCTTGAAATCATCGAAGATTTAGAGACGGGATGACAGTAATTTTGACTGACGAAGAGGCCAGAATAAGAGCAGAAAGATTGAGGAAAGGGTTCGCGATAGAATCAAGTTGTAATAAATTATTTATTTAAAATTTCTAACAAGTAAAACTCGTTGTCGTTTCTGACTCTCGAACTCTAAAAGACGCGACCATGATCAACTGGAGAAGCTACTTGATCGAGCAGAAAAGTACATTCGCCAGGTAAGCTTGCTCGTTTTTGCTGGTCCTTGGATAAGGTCCTCCCGTGAGAGGATTAAAAAATTATTAAATGGATATATGTTCTATTTGCACTATCAAAGAAAACTAGCATTTAGTAGTATAAACGCGTTCCCAATTGCACCATTTTATTGTCTTTGAACCACTTTTTTAAGCTTGACCAAACGAAATCGACAGAAAACCTCTCGATGCCGCTTCCCACGCCAATGTCAGTAAAACTCCTGTCCGACGAGCGCCCGATCAAAAGTCCAACACCATCATATCGAAGCGAAACGAAATCACCAGCGCCAGATATCAGGAATCAAATTATGTCGCCGACAGAACGCATGAAGCAAATTACAATCGACACGGACTCGGATTCGCAATCGAGTTTTTCGCAAAGCATTCATCTTTCTGGAAGAGACAATTTTCGTAAGAAAATTTAACTCAGCTTCTCATTTATTTTTCTTCAGAGAAAACTCCCGACGAATTAGCCACGAGCGCTCAAGTGACATTCAAGCCAACTTCCAGTTCAACTCGTTCGAGCACCAAATCTCCGTCACTTTCCAAAACGGCTCAGAGACGTTACAAATTTACCGGGGCAAATGCGTCAAATACAGTGTTGTGATTGGCTGAATTAGGGACACGTAACCCTTTGAAAAATGAAAAATCGCCATAAATCCGAAAATTTATGAGATCTCGAAAATCTGAGATGATTGTATCCTGTGGCATAGAGCTTGAGATTCTCCATCGATCCGTATAAAGATGTCTTAGGCTACAATGTAACCCCTAGGCGCTAGAGCAATAGTAAGTCTGCCCCGGTAATTTAGTAACGGCTCTCAGCGACTCTCGAAAGAGTCCGCGAAGTCGACTGATTTTTCCGAAAAGACTGAGGCGTCGGAGAAAACCGCCTCCAAAGCTGTTTCTATCGCTTCCCCAAGATCGACTGGCAGCAGCAAGAAGCAAGTCAGCGTTCGAATCGCCTCGCCAGCAAGCGAAAGTCGAGCGACTAGTCAAAGACCGAGCTCGAGAAAATCAGGATCAAAGTCGCCAAGGTAAATCTTTCATTAAAAATAATTCGCTTGAAATCAAAATCTAGTGTTTTGAAATCTTCAACACGATCTTCCAAAAGCTCTGGAACAAAGAGCCCGAAGCCGAAGCCAATGCGCCAGATGGAAGTGATGCTAATCCCTTCCGACTCAGATAGCGACTGGAGCCAGCTTGCTGGCCCTTCTACAAGCAAAGCCAGCAAAGCAAGACTAGCCGCGCAAACCAGACAGAAGCCAGCGAACAAATCGTTCAACTCTGTGATGAACGCGCTCGACGATGATGATTCCTTCCAATTTGATTGATCTGTTTTGTGCTTGATTTTCTCTTGATTATTTTTTTACACTTTGAATATTTTCTTAAAAAATCATGTCTGAAAGACAAATATCTATTGTCAATAGACTATTGAGGTTTTTGCTTTCAGAATTCGAGATATGACTACTCTTGTGAAGGAAAGGACTGAGCAAGGGTATTCGAACGAAATATCGAAAGGTAATACTTTTTTATCATTTATAAGTCATTTCAAGCCTCTAATTTAGGGGAAGAAAAGGAGAATCAAAAACGAATCGACTATTCTCGACTAGGATCGACAAGTCCCACCCGACACCCGATCGAAAACCGACGTTTTTGTCGGGTTTTTGTTGGATTCCGCCTACCCTACAAAAACCCGACGTTGAAATTTTGGCGACCCTAAAAAATCGGGTTTTTGTAGGGTTATTTATCGGGTTTTTGTAGGGTATTTTTGTCGGCAGCTCCCGTTTCGGCCAAAATCCCGGATCGCCCACATCCCGGATCGCCCATTTTCCTTGATCGCCCATTGTGGGCAAAACGGGAAAATGTGCGGATCAGGAAAATGTGCGATTTTCGGTGGACTTCCCTAACTTCTAGAGCTTATAGGAGCGCCAGAATGGGGGGTGTCCGGTAGTTTTCTACACAGAATGACACCGATTTCCAAAGCCGTCGGTTTTATTTTTGCAGGGATTAGCACGCGCAAGTATGAGATTCAACCTTTTTTGGAGGTGAAAAATTGGAGGAGTAAAGAGGAGTTTTTGCAGCAGTTTCTAGTAAAAATTTCTAAACCACCTTCTTCCATTATCAAATTTCAAATTTACAATTGCAAATCCTGGTTTGCACACAAATCCCGTTCCGGGGGAGCTACCTGTCGTGGCCATTTCGCCAAATTTGCCTCTCGTGGCAAGTTGCCTCTCGTGGCCATTAGCCTCTCGTGGACATCACGTATCGGCTTATTTGACGTAAGGCATTTAGATGATAAGTTGGGTGTGAAAGATTCTTTCTAAAATACTTCGAGAGGCCTGTTTATAATTTGGATAAATGCGAGTTATTTTCTATAAACGCCTGCTCTTTCTTGGCACAAGCCAACCAAATTTCTTTCTGAATGTGAATGCAATTAAAATTTTCAAATTGATCGAAAGTTTAACTCTTTTCGAAGTTTTTCTTATAGAGATGAGTAAGGTATTCAAAAAATTATCTTATCTATACTACTCGAAAATAATTTGACATCTAAGAATATTAGGCTTGTAAAAATCTTCCCTTCGAGAAAAATTTGGATACCCTAAGGTTCGTAAGCCGATACGTGATGACCACGAGAGGCAAATGGCCACGAGAGGCAACTTGCCACGAGAGGCAATTTTGACGAAATGACCACGACAGGTAGCTCCCCCCCGTTCCGCACATTTTCCCGTTTTGCCCACAATGGGCGATCAAGGAAAATGGGCGATCCGGGATGTGGGCGATCCGGGATTTTGGGCAAAACAGGCGCTGCCATTTTTGTCGGGTTTCTCATCGTATCTACTCATCAGTTTCTTTAAAGAGAGCACCAAAACTTCTGTTAGCCAAAAATTATGTCCATTTTCGCCGATTTGGATTCAATTTATTTGATTCAATTTCAGTGTTGTGAAAACCCGACGAGAACCCGACAAAGACCCGATAAAAACCCGAAAAATACCCGACAAAAACCCGAAAAAAATCCTACAAAAACCCGATAAAAAACCCGACAAAAACCCGACAAAAACCCGGCAAAAACCCGATCGGAAAAATCAGAGCTCAAGAAAATCCGATGAAAACCCGATCCGGATTTCGGGGGCATTTGTCGATCCTAGATTCTCGACTCTTTCTTCTCCGAATGAGGGATCATCAGTTATCTCAGGTAGAACCCTCTATCAGTCTTCAGATTTAAAACTAATTCAGGTGGTACCACTTGACCTTCCAAGCATTCAAGGAGTCACTTTTGTGCAAACTACCGACGATGATAATAATAATAAAGAATGCATAACAATAACTGGCGATTTGAAGCTTGACCCAGGTACGGTCTCATTCCACCAGTTTGAATCAGTTTATTTTTAGAATTCTACGAAGAAGCAGAAGATGGAGAGATGATACAACAAGAAAAAGACGAATGGGACGAGTAGAATTAAATGAAATCAAAGAAGACTTTAACCGCGCTTAATCTCTCCTGCCTCATAAATGCGCAATCACTTCAGTTATTGAAAACAACCATTTTAAAGTTCACTGCACTTTTCACTTCACTGTCCAAAAATTAAATAAAAATAAATTATATACATGTATAATTTATTTCAGAAATCAACGAAGAGCACAAAATATCAGAAATAACACTTTTCGGAAGGGTTTTTGTTTATTTTTTGCTTGTGCATTTGAAGTAGGTTTTTCTCGATGAAATTTGAATTTGAAATAAAAATCACATATTTGTTCTAAATAGCACTTATAAATAATTAATCACTAAATTATTTATAACGAGATAATTTTGAAATAAATTCAAAAGCGGGTGTTTCATTAAAATTTCTTTTGTATTTGCAACCAAAGGCTTTAGGCAAGTTTTAATGGTTGTCTTTTATAATTAATTTGCAATATTTCTAAAGGTCTGAGTCAAAATAAGAATCAGTATTGTAAAAAGTACGGAAATAGATCCAGAAATAAAGATAGGTTTGAACTGTTTTGGTATTGTTAGGTGACGAGTATTCTTTGTCTAGGCAATTGTCAGGGTACTATATTGCTTGATCCATACAGTGTCGTTTCGGTGCTCTCTGAATCCAGCTGAGCCACCGCGGAGTTGATAGGCCGTTCCGTCGTAGATAACACCCTTAATTTTCGTTTGTGATTTTGAAGGTTTTGAAACGCTGTTACCTTCACTGTTGGTTTATCGCAGGCGAATTCAAAAGCAGCTGTCAAACTGCTGAATTTCTTTCCCGCGAAGGGATAGGCAGTCCCAACAATCGTGTGATTCGGGAACTTCCTCCACATTCCGTATTTACAGGCGTATTCATCCTCGCCCATACACTGCATATCATCAGTTCGCTACAATAAGTCATTAATCCTCGTTGATCTCAATGGCGATTTTGTTACCTTGGTGTAGTAGCCGAATTTCGTCTTCATCTTCGCTCGCACTTCCATTCTTTTTCGTTTAAGCCTTTTATAAATATTTTTAATTCTTGCTTTTGGTAGAAAAAGAGCACGGAGTCAGGCTTGTTTCTATGATTGGAAAACTTACGCAGAGTCAGAGGGCGGCCCAGCAACGGCAAAAACTTCATCAACGTCGTAATTATACAGCACGAAGTCCCTAAGAAAATCACCGTCAAAACGGTTTTTCTGTTAGAAAAAACTTACGGAAAATACGAAATGTAAATTTTCTCGATGATATCTCTTGGAACGTCTTTGTAAGGAGCTGCGATTTCTTCCATGTTGATTCTTGCGGTGACGTTCGAGTTGTACCTGAGTATTGGAAATGGATATTCTGCTGAGTGGAGATGAAACTGACCTGCCGGGAACATGGAGGTTTGGATGAGTTTTGTCAAAATTGAGCACTTTCATCAAAAAGTCATTCTCGGCCATGGCAGTTTCTTGCTTGAGGACGAAGTCGTACTCGATGTGGCAAGGAGTACAGTACGTTTGGATCGTTTTCCAATGCCTTGAGGATAAATTTTGAATACTGTCAGATTTGCGTTAATAACCTGTCGCGCTCTTGATCATATTCTGACAGCGCCATGAGCTCCAAAAATGCTCTAAAACTGTACTCGTAGTCTTCGTTCTCCATGTCTTCCGTTTCCATTGCATCAAGGTATGTTCCAAACTTGCTTCTGATGTATTTCATCCAAGGGTGTTTGTTTCGGAACTTGTCTTTGTACGCAGAATGAAGCCGGGCGAATGGATGGCGAACGGTGATCATCGTGAAATAATCATCTTTTCCTTTTCAACGGATTTTTTTATGAAAAAATTTCGGTCCTCTGATGAACATGTCTAGCGGGATTAAAGAATTTTTCCGGTTAAAAAATCCGTTCCTTGTCTCGAACGAATGTGTTCATCCAATTCCGCCGCGAATCTCGGAAGCTGAGGCATTTGATAAACCAGATTCGGATCCACCTCGTCTGGGTCAAGTTTTCCGTCTGATGTGTAGAGAGAGAACAGCATTTTCAACCAGTTCGTACTGCCTGTTTTTGTTGGCAGACAAACGTGAATTTTGTTTTTGTCTAAAACAAATGTTTAGTCAAAAATATTTAGTAAAAATTTTCGTTTAAAAGGCTTTATATCAGAATCATCTAATTTATGTGGACACGACATCATGTCGCCGCTAGATTAGAGCAACTATAAATTATCAACTTTATGACATTCTCCGGGAAAATTGGCTGTGAATCGAAATATCCCTCGTAAAAAATCTTACCTGTGTAAAAATGGTTCTCAGGTGATCCCTCGCGTGCCAAAGATGGAATACATTTTTCCTCGTCGTCTTTATTAGTTCCGGTTTTTATGGCTTCGTGGAGGTGCTTTTTCGCCTTGAAGCTTATGCTCGTGTCGAATATACTTCTGATGCTTCGGCAAGCGCTTAATTTTAGGGTAAGTTATCGCTTTCTTTTCTTTTTATTGTTGCAAGAAGATCCGTCGGGGATTCAAACTTACTTGTTCAAAAACTTTCGCCTCTTCTGGAATGTCTCAAAGTGCGGGTCCTTTTTGAGCTCATCCGAGATCGGATATCTGATACCACTCTCATCCATCGGAGAATAAATAATTTTAGGGGGGTTGTGCTCATCGCCATCTTCTTCGCTATTTTCTTGTTGGCTATCAACCACTCTGTCTCTGTATACAACCTGAAATTTATTTAATAATCTATGAGCGCTTCAGAATCATAAACTTTAAGTCTCATATCATAATAGTGGAATGATAATAAAGACCGTCTAAGTGTCACTTTTGAGGGCCGTATTATTAGTAAAAAAAATAAGATCTTTTATAAATTTTCGCGAAGAAAAATCTATTTGCGATTCTTCAGGAGAAGAATTAATTTTTCTTTATTTGATTAGTTTTATAGAGAATTCGCTCTTGAAATCGCTTTATTTTGCCTGCGTGGCGTTTGGGAAATACTTAGATTGCATAATTTTCTATGCTTCTAAATTGCCATAAAATCGTAGATTTACCTTGACAATTTCCTGAGGAGGAGCCTGATTGCAAGCTACTTTTTCGGCCTGTAAACTCGTATGCCTTCCATAATTAACGTAATTAAGACCCAAGAAGAAAACTCCCAGTCCAAGGACGGAGACGAAGTAGCGGGCCAAACCGCTTCCAAAAACGGTCATTTTTGAGGATCAAACTCGTTTTACACGATCTTCAGCATTTTCCGGAGTTTCTTTTCTCTAGTAGAACTGACCTGGAAAGGCACAGAAAGTCACGTGACCGGTAAAAAGACGTAGAATTCTATTTTCGGTGAAAGAGCCAAGGCTTGTTGTCTGAAGAAGGATTGAATGACGCCTTCGCTGTGCCCAAAGGCAATACGCGCTAGCTTTCATCCCAACTAGAACAAGCCAACCAGAACCAGTCGGTTCTTTATCAATTTTTCGTGATAACAAGTGAGCTTCAATGGAGCTGTAACAAACAATAAAGTACCTATCTATCTATGAAAAGGCACTCCAGCACGCAACATATACCAGAGGGCCCCCTTTTGAGTGTGGGTCTATCACCAGAATTCGTCCTTAGCAGTGTGGCTCTAATTAACCCTCATGCCCGCAACAGGGTTGGGGGTAGATGTAGCAAGTTATATACATTTATATATTGCTTATGAATTAACACGAGTAGAAAATCTAACCTTCCCCCCTGCGGAAATTCAGCGACATTGACAGAATTTCAAGCGACATTTGCTTTTTTCTTGCATGCTAATTGAATCATTAGTTTGACAGCTTACCAAGACTTAATCCGTCTAAGAAGAACCATTCACTTTTAATTTTATTAAAGCATCATAAGTGGAAATCCGACCAATAAAAATGAAGATGGAAGAGGAGACACTTTATTACCATTCCTAAGCATGGGAAGCGCTAGAGTACTATAATCTCCCTCTGGCGCCGTCTAAGAGCACTATATCACGGACGGTTTTGTGTTAATTTTTCATCTTTTTGATCGTCACAAAACTTTTCAAAAATGTCAAAAGAAATCTGCTTCGAAGCTCCCGAGATCAACATGGCCTCCGAGTAAGTACCTAGAGTTATTTTCCTCCTTCTCGTCATTTTCAAATTCTAGCATCGTCCTCGATGCCCGAGTGTCAATCGTCACCGTCACCAAGCTCGTCGATGTTCGAGTCAGCGGCAAGTGCAACTGCTAAGTCCTTATGCCGAAGCAGTGAGAATTGATCCGTTCGAAATTTTGAAACCCGAAATGCCTTCACTTTGACTACGAAATCGCCTGCTTTCTTTCTTTATTTTTCTTTATCCTGCATCCTTTTTTTTATTGTTCGTTGTTGCCCGTAAATATACTAACCAGGTTCCTCTTAATCTTTGTAGTTTTTTTTTATTGCAAGGTAAAGTTAAAGCTCAGTTCTGGCATTCTGTTCGGAAACAACTTCCAAGTCAAGATTGAAGAGCTAAAATTTACATTAGTATGAAAATAAAAATATTATAGAATATAAAATGGCGAGAGCTTACTTTTGTATTGTAAAGTTTGCACATATTCATCCTCTCTTCTAATGTGTGAGGCTCATCAAAGATGTATTTATCTTGCGTGGCAACAGCTTCATCATCCCTTGCCAATTCAACAAGTCGTCTTTTTAACTGCGATATTAAATCAGGAATGCCTTCTTCCGACTTTGGCATCCTAAAGACATTCTCGCATTTTGTAATTTTTGTATCTCGAATTCTAGCTTCATAAGTCTCCTCATCCGGGAACGGACACCGCTCGTCCGTGCAGGAAAAGCCTTCAAAAGTATTATTCATCATTTTATCAAGATCGTCCTTCGTGTCGCCATGTCCCCAACAACCGACAAGATTCATGTATTCCTCGAATGTCTGGTCATCTCCTCGCTCGTCTGTTTCATCGTGAAGGCCAATTACCAGGATTTCCGCTTTGAGGCAGAATTGAACACTCCTTAGACCTCTTATGAGGGATGTTTCTTTGTTGATAGTTGAGGCAATTCCACCAGTGTTCGACATTGTCATGATAATGACGTTTTTAACTGGTTGTCTTTTCGTTGGCTTAACAAAATCAAGAAGTCGGCATAAGTAATGCCTTCTCGAAAATCTTCGTGCCTGAATTTTAAGCCCTTCCTATCGCCAGAAAAGAGTGCATATTCATTATCATTCTTCATCATAAAACTGACCCCAGCAAAGTACAGAGCTTCTCCAGGATTATACAGGCCTCCCTCATATTTCCACTCGTCAATTCTTTCCTGAACATCGGATCCGACATTTTCAATGGTTTCGTTGCCAATCATATCTTTAAAAAACAATAAATAACACGGATGCCAGTTCTGGCAGGTTTATTACCTCTGAGGCGCTTTCTGGGACCGAAACGCTTGAACGAATCCGTCTCGTACACTTGGTACGCTACTTGAACTTCTTCGTCGTCTACTGAGTTGGTGCGCTCTAAATACGACTTGATGAAGGATTTCTGCAGGTTGAAAATTGTTGCGTTGGAATTTACGATTTCTTCTCGATGTTCACGGATTTCTGCAACGGTTCCATCGTTTTTGCCTGTCTAATGATGGACTCAATTGAGTTAAAATTTGATCATTTCGTTCATTTTCTTGCGAAGTGATACCCTTATTTTCCTAAAAAAAGCCCTTACCCCGACCCTTTGTTTTTTTTTTGAGCCCTAATCTTTTCCAAAATCGTCTCCGCATTATCAACCAGATCTTTATACAAATCAACTTCATTGCTTCCGTCAATCAAGAATAACAAATCCAATTTGATATCCTTCGTCGTGAAGAGCGTGAAATTACTCAAAACTGGTCTGATATTCTGAAGAGTTTGCTCATCCCCATCCATTATTGCTGCTGTACTAGGCTCTAGAAAGGTGGTAACGGTGACTTGATAGGTCTCTCCTGGTTCTAAGTCGCCAAAAGTAGGATTAGCGATGCAATCTTCGCCAGTATCTGCGTTACAGCTACTACCATCGCCACTTTCTGACTGTCCTCCTCCCCCAACTCCACCAACAGGGCTGATGTTCACGAACCAGGAGTCAGTATCTGGCGCTGGTGCGAGATCAATACTTATAGTTACATTTCCTGCTTCGATGTTGTCCATTGAAATCAAAGCCGGATTACTAGACGTCTTTGCTTCTATGATCCTTACATCTGTGGTACGAGGAGATGAATCCAGAGGTGGCTCGGAGTCGAAAATACCCACTAAAGAGAATCTGTAGGTCGTTGAAATTTCCAGACCATCAACCGTTGCCCTTTTCATGAGTTTTTACTGCTACGTCTGACAGTTTTTTTTAATTTTGCCTCTTCAAGTTTTACAGTTTTTAAACTCGTCCCGATAAGCTTCACTACTATAAAGTTCCTGAATAGGTGGATCATAAAAATTCCATGTTGGAGGGTTCGTTGTATTCATAACCGCAATCTTTTCGAGCAGAAATTCACTTGGTCTTTCCGTATTGTTGAGAATATCACCTTTTTGAAAGGTATTTTCCCATCCAAATATGATGTAGTCTGAACCAAGCTCCAGAATTTCCGGGTAAAGACGTCTCGGGGTTTTAATTTGTTCAATTGTCTGCGTGTTCGTCCACTGCTCGAATCGATGGGAGGTGGTGGTCGCTTCCCGAATCAATCTTACAAGATCCATGTTGAGCCGATAAAATTCATTTGGGATGAGTTCTGTGGTCTCGAACTCTGTATAATCCTCGTTGATCGTTATTTTATGACCTTGTTTATAAGTATTCTTTTCATCATGGTCACTAACGAGGATATTGTACTCGTCTTTTGAATGAGCAAATCCAGGAGTGTTCCATTTCCCATAAGCGCGCAAAGAATCCGTTTTCTCAAGAACCAATCCAGAAATAGTCGGTCCAGTACCATCAGTATTTTTGATTTTGATTGAATCTGTCGATTTATACAGCAACTCGTCAAGATCACTTATGTATTCGAAATCGCAGTAAAGCTCGATTTCGTATGGCGTTTCTGCGAGCATTCCTTTAATCGTCGAGTGGGCTGTTCCGTTTGCCAAAATATGAGACTGAGTTGTTCCGTTTTGAGTGGAACTTGTCAAGCTGCATTTTCGCTTGTCATCCGCGGCGTCCCACTCTTCTTGGTCGTACGTCCACGTGAGCTCGACTTTTGTATCTGCAGCCCTTTCGAGGGAGATAACAGGAGCACTGGGTGCCATTCGTAAAAATCTCGTGATACCATTTTGGGGTGGGTTTTTTCCCGGTGGAGGATTATAGTCGATGTCGATTTCGAGGATGATGTCAGTCGACGGAATAAGATTTTCAATCGTTACAGTTTGAATAGAACAGTATCTATTTTTATACGTTTTGCTATTTTCAGCCCTAAAAGGTGAACAAGCTGGGGTTCCATCTAAAAATTTGCAAGAGTCATCACACAGCCTCGTGTTGTCGAAGAAGCTTGGGTCAATTTGGATTGATTCTATGACGGCTCCATCCCGCGTTATGTTCAATGACGCCGACCGGGGTGGAAGATCGTTCAAATCATAATCGGTCGTAAACTCGACACGTATCCACGTTGATCTGCATTCAATACTATAATAAAACGGCGGTAGAATATCATCTCTTGTAGTTCTTTCAAACGTTAATTCTCCATTGCTCATGAAATTTTGGTCGAAGTTGGCAAATAGTTGAAAACCATATTGTTTGTCTTGAATGAGATTTGTAAGTGTTATTTCTGAAGACTTCAAATTCATCGTAAAGTATTGATCAGGGAGGGTTGTTCTGTCGGGATTGCTGTTTATGAAGTATTTGAGGTCGTAGGAAACTGCGTTTTCCACGGGATCCCAACTGATAGTCATGTTGTTCGGATGAATTTCGGTGAAAGTTAGGTCGCCGACATAATTAGCTGTCGTGAAATTGGCAACGTCCTCATCCGTGGTCATGTTGAAATCAATGGATTGGAATGCATTGATCATTCTTATATCGTTCTCCCATCTATAAGAAGTTTCGGCTTTGTAGGTCTTGCCCGCTTCCAATCCTTTCGCGTGATATATGTGACTGTCGATTCGTTTTCCTTCCTCACTTGTGTAGTCGGGAAGAATGACCATATTCACAAATTTACTTTTTTCAAAGACTTCTTGGTCGAGCTCGAATTTTACGGAATTCGTGTCTCCAGAAATGACCTTCAGCTTTCTTGGTTTTGGGTTTGTTGTTAAAGTTACAGGGAAGGTATTCGTCTGGTTGAAGCTTGAGAATCTGATGAAAGCTAGAATGAAGTGTTAAAAGACGGAAAAATGAATTGCCAGTCTTACATGCGAAGGGCATTTCTGTATCTTCGGGTAAACCACCAAGAGTAACATCAGGATCTTTATATTCCTGAGTATATGGAATATCACCAGGAAGTAATGTTGTAACATTAAAAGTACCATTGAACAAAGTGTCGAATTTGATCTGGATTTCAGTCGAACGAATTTCTGACAGTAAGATCTCCGGCGCTCTAGGAGCAGTTCCAAGTTCTTCTGAAACTACAAGGTCTTCTTTTGACGATTCAAATTGAAGCGTCAAATTACCAACATACGGAAACCTGTGTATTAGACCAGTTATCTCACAAGGAGAAGCAAAACAAACCCATACAGGTTCAGTTCCATAACCCCATAGAGCAAATCGCTCACTGATGGGCAGTTTACCGTTGGCATCCTTTACAGTAGGCCAGGAGACTTTCATCCGGTCACTTCTTATTTCTTCGATAACAATGTCAAAATCTTCTACTCGAGCGTGGGTTATTCCAACGATTGGATCAGCCGGCAAATCGTAGTAGATACTGTCATTCGCGTCCCTCAATGTCATCGTGAAGTTGTACTCTTGATTGCTAAATAAACCGGAAAATTCAACAGAGTTTCCCTTTATGACGCCATTCGATATATCTGGTGAAATGCTAACAGTAGGAATACCATCAACATTCCAGCTGAAAACGAGATAATCGCTGCCAACGTCTTCTAAAACGATTTCCAGGACCTTTTTTGTCTTGAAATTAATAACTGCCGGCATCGAGTAAATCTTCAGTTTTTCACTAACATCCTGTTTGACTAAGAACTCGATGTCAAATTTATAGCTCGTGTCAGAATACGGCAGATCAATGGTCGCTAGACTAAGGCGAGGATTTCCGGAAACATCCGTCATATTTGCCCTTTGGACCTCGTAATTATAGAAGCGGTTTGAGATGCGCACTCCTAAGTACTCGTAACCGGGGTTTTGAAGTGAAAAGGTTGCTTGTTTCTCGCTTGTTGAGAAAACAGACACAACTGGCGCCGGCCGGATTGCTTTGTTTTCGTGCTCTCCTGAAGTCTGAACAACAATAACTCTTGATCCATCTTCTCGCACAGCTACTGCCTGGAATTGATACTGTTGGTCTTCGAGTACAGTGAATTTATACTCTGTCTGCGTCGCGGAAATGATCACTTCTCTTCGATCAACAGCTGATCTTCGTTTTCGATCGCTTCGGTCAGTTAGAGTGATGGTTATTTCGTAGTAGAGTACTTCAGGATCTGTTGGATTCCCGCTTGCCCATTCGATTACAGCGTTTTGGCCAGAAAGCGTGTGAGTTTTCAGCAAAGAATCTGGCGTAGTGACGGAAACAGCCGCCGAGCCTGGTAGCAACTTGTCGTAGGAAGCAGTAAGATCGCCTCCAACGAAGCTTTCCGGAAGTTTGTACACACATTTGATTTTTGTAAACAGCTCGTTCTTTGCCGTTTCCTGTGGCTCTTCACAAAAGTTGAAATAAGCCAACATTGAAGCGTCATTGTCGCAAACCAAATCGTTGGAAATATCAATATTGTCGAGAAAAACAGAGTCCTTTGCCTCTGTCGGTGAAACTTCGAATTCAAGCGTAGAGTGAACCAAATCAAGGATTTCAAGAGTCACGCTTGTTCTCGCATTCTCGTTTGGGAAAGCAAAACCCATTTCTGCTCGAAGAAGACAGCTTTTGTAAGTTTCATCGATGCAGCCCGGGCAATCGCATTTTCCGTCACAGAAAAACTCGTCATCAATGCTCGTATCTGTACATTCACACTTTCTTTTTTGCTCAAAAACGAAATTTTCAAGATCGAGAATGGGGAGACAAAGTCCAACGGTTCCACTGTGAACTGGTTCGTTTGTTTGGGTCCATACCCAAGCGACTTTCCCTGTGTCTGGCCGAACTGAGCATTGAATTGAGGACACTCCGACGATTCTTGTATCGTCGCTTGGTGTAACGCAACTGATCTCGCACTTGGAATCCTGCGAGTTTGTTGGGTTCTTCGTGCATGTTGCTTTTGTTTTATCGTCTAAAATATAATAATAATTAAAGCGATGAACATTATAGTAGCTACCATATTGAAGAAGTTCATCGATGGGCTCGCATTTATTCGGTGTGCAAGTTGGAATGTGAGACCATTCGCGATTGATGCAAGTAGGAAATCTATTTCCAACGATATAAAAACCTGGATCACATGAGACTTCGCATTTATCCGAGCCACAAGATGCCGAGCCGTTTGGAATTGACAAGTGCGGGCATAGTCGTCGTGGAAAGCAGTCATCATCAACCTGAAAAAGCTCTCAAAATTAAAGTTGAGATACTTGCTTACGTAGCAGCAATTCGAATTTCTTTTGCATTTCGTTTCTTTCTCTGGATTAGTGCTTGCAAAATAACATTCGTGGTTTTCTTTATCTTGTTGAGGAAGCTCTGATTCAGCAGGCCAGCGCCAAGGTTCTTGGACTCGGCAATTGTAATCAGAAGGGCATTCTGCCACCGTCTTCCCGCCGTCTGCTGAGTATTTCTTGTAGCATGTCGTACTTTTCTTGCAAATATCGCTATCTGTAGTAGTATTATTTCCGCAGGAAACCTGAACAGGATTCTGATGCGAACAAAGATACTCTTCGCAAGTAACAAAGTTATTTCGCGAGCTCAAGGTTCGAGTAAACACGGTCTTTTCCTCAACGCTTTTGAAGAACTCCCCGTTTTTGTATCCAATCGTCCAGATTTGCAAAACATAAGGGTGGTTTTCTATCAGCCCGCGGACGGTAAAATAAGATTTCTTCGTTAAAATTTTATTCTTCAGTGCGTATGACACTCGATACATTGTTTCTTGGTCCAAAATATGGACCAGATAAACTATGTCGTCGACGGTGTTATCAGGAATGGTCGGATTGAGCCACTGGAAAGCGAAGCCATCGGTGAAGTTGGCGGTTCCAAATACTTTTTGAACCATTGGAAGGTCATCTCTTGGGAGAAAGTCGGGCTTTTTCGAATAATCGGTTGTAATGTGAAGCGGGTCCGAGCGACTTCCATTAGCAGTCATTATCGGCGTCAAGCTTAGATGAACGGAAAAGTCCTTGTAAACATCTTCGATTGAAAAATCTTGTTTCTTGAGCGTCAGTGATTTTTCTTTGGTCGCGCGTCGGAGAAAACGGTCATTGTCGTAGTCAACATGCGCGAAGTAAAGATGCTGGCCTAGAAAAAAAAAAGTTGAAAACAGGTGCGCCCGTCTCTAGAACCGGTCTTGACGCTTTGAAATTTTCAAAACAGGTCGTCAGTTTATAAGATTCCTGCGCGTGAACAGCACCTATGACGAGCCCGGCGATGGCAAAATTAGCAAAAATCAAAAAGGAAGAAGGTTTGAAAGAGATTTTTTTTTTCAAAAAGGCAAATTTTTCATTCTAGCAATTCCGATAGCAATCGTCGTGGCCGCCACCGCCTTCACCGCTGCAACAATTGGAGCCCTCGTTTATCGTCGTATTGTCCTTTTCTTCCGGACATCGAGTGACCAAACCGAGTTCAACGAGCCCCTGCTGCTGGCTTCGCCCCGCAATTTAGGTAAGGGCGATGCGACTGAGCAACTCGAGCTCGTTGAAGACGATCTTGATGAGGAGGTAAGTTCTGTTTCTGTTAAATCGAATGCTTCAACATTTAACAAGCAAGCTTCCGTTAAAACCAGTTCTCAAAAGCTACCGCCTGCAGCGCAAAAGTCAGTTTTACCTAAAAAATCCCAAGAGTTTCCTTCACAACTAGAGCTTCCCGTAGATACTCAAAGTCTTCCTGTACTTCAAAATTTCAATAGTGACCATTCTAGTGTCAGCTCAGAAAGTCCACTTTTTGAACGAAAAAAGTCTTCGTTGATTTCAAACTTTCAAAAAGGCGACCAAAAATCTCAAAATTCTTCGTTCATTTCAAATTCAAATGTCCAAAACAACAACATTTCCCGCGCTTCTTCTAGAAAATCTCGGAATTCTCTAACTTCAGCCACTTCTTTTGGGGAAACTGAGTGTTCTCATTCTCCCTCAACTTCGGCCCGTTTTCCTAGTTACTGTCCAATACCAGATCCGCCTGTACTCTCAGCGCAAAAGATCAATTCGAAGGTATCCGACCTCAGTATTTCTGAACACTCGCGGGCTTCTCTTAAAACTGTTACTGCAGCATCTTCAAAAAATTCCCTCGCTTCACCTCCAAAAAATCATCAAGTGCAAGAAGCTTCTCAAAAGAAAAACATTCCAGATCCCTTACCACCACCAGTTATCGACACAAAAAACTCAGAGCCTAACCAAAAAGCTGTCCAAAAGAGCTCATCGGGCTCATCCTCCAAAAATACGAGTTGTAGCGATTTAACCGATAATAATTCAAAACCTTCTGCTTCATTCGTTAGAGAAAAGACATCAGGTTCTATCTGCAGTCCTCAAAACATTCCTCTTTCCCATTCAAGCCCTCAGACTTCAAATGTTCAAATTAGCCAAAAAACTGGTTCAAAGCCTTCACATTCCACCATTCAAAATATTCAAGCGTCAAATTCAAAAGAGTCAGACACTAATTCCATTCAAAACATTCCTCATTCATATTCAAAAATTTCCAATGCTAGTATTCAAAACATCCAACTTACCGATTCCAAAACCAATCATTGCACTGTAGAAGCTGCTTTATCAAATTCAAAATCTTCTAGCCCAAGAGTTCATTCAAAATCTAGTTATTCCACTGTTCAAAATAATCAATTATCAAAGCCAAAGCCAAAAAGCAATTCTTCTGATCAAAATATTACAATTTCTCATTTAAAAACTTCAAATTCCAATGTTCAAAAGGTCCAATTGTCAGATTCAAAGTCAAAAAGCAACCCTAGGCTTCATAAAACTCCATCCGCGGTCAAAGACACCCCCTTATCTTCGTCAGTTAAAACTAAGCCCAATATTCTAAAGTCAGATTCAAAACCAAAAGTCGCAAAAACGGATAAAATTGTGAAAAAAGATGAGACGAAAAACGTCTCCACGGATAAAACTTCTGCTTCAAAAAGGCCAGTTGCCGGGAAAAACACTGTTCCAACCAAAACTGTATCTATTCCAACCCGTAAATCTACCTCAAAAAATGTCACAAATCCAAGTGAATCGAAAGCTACAGTAAGCCAAAGAACAAGCAAAATCATCCGTAAAGAAACTCCAGTTAAACCTTTATCAAAGCCAGCAGCAGCTGTAAATAACCGTACTTCAACACATTCCAGCCGCCTTAATAATTCCTCAACTTCTGAAAAAGCTCCTCATCAAGAGCGTTCAAAACCGCTTTTGCAAAAGAAGCAAAGCTCGAGCCTAAAAGTCGGAAAAGAGCCGAGCGCGGGGATCCTCGGCGAGCAAGGAATGGCGATGTCCAAAGACGACCACGTCTCAATTTCAGCTGAAAAAATAACCAGCAAAGATGTCCGGAATAAAACGACAATGCAGATTTTATCGAAGGTAAGTTTGACTTCCGTTTTAAAAATTACGAATCTCCAAATTTAGAAAACGAAAGAAGAAGATGAAATTATCCAAAACGAAGATGCACCAGAATCTGCCCGAGCTCAAGAATCCACCCCTAAAGAACCGTCATCGTTGAAGCCATCATTATCAAAGAACTCACTGCTCGACATTGTATCAATTCCCGACAATGAGTCGATTCCTACATCAAGAGCGACTTCTGGAATTCTCTGTGACGGTAAGTTCTTTTCTTATTTTTCGCGCTACTAATTTTCTTCATAGCTGATCAGGTGATCGACGAAGTCTTGAACGAAACGTTTCTGGAGGACCCAGAATTCACAGCGGAAGTGTTGCCAACTCAGACTGAGCCTGAAATTGAACCCGAAAACGCCACTGAAAGCAAATCATTATTATCATCAATATGGAGCCAAACAGGAACTGTGACTCGTGTTCTTAGCGCCATGTCAATTGCTTCAGCTGTTTCGGATCCATCAATTTTAGGAAAAGGGTTGAAATTCAGCGAAATTGGACTCATAGTGATCTTATTGTCTAAATCTCTTTTCAACCCTTGAAAAGTCGACTCTCTTTATAACGAAAAAGCAGCACCGCCGAAGAAAGTTTCGTCTGAGAATATCAACGTCGCAGTGAACACGATCTTCGACAGTATGGATTCTGCAACTATTCAAGGCACAAACGACATTCCAAGCGAGTTTGTGCAACATGCAGAATCGAGACTGACTCTCAAGAGTGCTTATCAAGATACAGAAGCTTCTATTTCAGTAAGAAACGTTTTTCAAATGTAAATTATTTACGTCGCCTTTCAGGAAATTCCAGAAACGCTAGACATCCCATTCGACAATCCAAAGCCCCAAAGCAAGCCCGCCAAGCCGCCAAAGTTCTCGAGCGCCCAACATCTACGAAGACATCAATCTTCCGGAACAATCCGAGCTCCGAAGAGGAGAACTTCAACTCGTGCGGTGAAAAGTGCGAGAGGCCCGCGAAAGTCTGATGAAGATCGACTACGAATATAGGTTTTGAAAGAAGTCGCTTGGAGTGGAACTCGACTACCAGCGGAAACTGGAAGTTTGAGGAAAGCTAACACTTCTGGAGGACCTTCTGATGATGCTAATTCAAGAGCTAAAGCCTCGCCGAGAATCGCGAAAAAGGTAATTTTCAACCACTTTACTCTCATTGAAATCATTTTAGCCAACAAAGCCCGTGGCCTCCAAAAACCCACAGTGCCAAAAGGCCCTCGACTGGGCCGCGCTTCTGGACAAGAAATCGTCGCCCTGAGGCAACCATCCGCCGTCAGAAAGACCAAAGACGACAGCAAGAAATCCTCGGTGCGAAACATCGCCGAGAGCAGTTACGTTCTCGCGCGAAGGCTGTACTCGAATAAGATCCGCTTTGGTCTTGGGCCGATGAACTTTCTTTTCAATGTTGAGCGAAAGGACAAGGACAGAACGACGCGTCTGAGTTTGGGACATGTTCTTGGACGAACGAAGCTCAAGGAGATCAAAGAATCGCCAGAGAAAAAGTCGCCAAGAACGAAATAATTTCCTCTTCGAAAATTTTAAATTATTTATTTAATAAAATATACTCTTTCTAATCCCTTTTCTTTACCTGGCGAGGCATCATCTTCCCAGGTAAATGCCAAATCTCCATTTGATTTTCTTGTGTATCGCAAGTTCTCTACTTTTCCTTCAGCGCAGTTGAGCAAAAGTATGAAGAGGAAATTCAAAATCATATCTTCATTATATATTATATTCTAATCAGTAGAGAAAATAAACAAGCTCGGATTTCTAATTGCTCTATTTTTTATGGATGATGCGCTAACGATTGAGCTTTACGACAGAACCGAGCATACGTCACAAAATCATTGCCGTAGACATCATTAGCGTTAGAAAATAATTGGATGACTTGCAGAATTAGCAATCTAGGTATGTCTTCCTTGATTTCATGAGGAATGAGACGGGCTTGATTTTTTAGTTCACGCGTTTTATTTGAAGAAAGATCATTAATAACATAAACAATAAGAAAAAGAAAAGATTTCGTTTCAACAAAATATATACAGTGGAAACTACCGCGGGGAAATCTTCTCTAGAAGGGTAGAGCGAATTGCTGGGGGACTCCGAAGGCGCTGAGCGAAGCGGGGAATCGGGCTGCTCCGGGGCCGGCTCGGTTGGAGATCGGAGTTGATGTCATTGACGGGAGGAGGGCTTCAGGGCAGCTAGAAGAAATGGATTAGAGATTTGATTTTGATTGAAAAGCGAAAGTGGAAATTTTAGATTTTTTTTGAAAAAATTTTTTCTTTAAAAAATTTACCTGTGAAGCTTCATGTGAGTCTTCAAGTTGGATGAGCTGGTGAATCGTTTGAGGCAAACGTCGCATTGCCAGGGCTTCTCGCCGGTGTGCACTAGGTCGTGCTTTTGCAAATGGGCCAGCTGGGTGAAGCTCTTGTTGCACTTTGTGCATGCGAATGGACGCTCTCCAGTATGCACTCGTCGGTGAACCTTAATTTCAAATGTTAAAAATGAAAGGAAATTTTTATTAATTTCTCGTAATTATTGCTGCTAGATTTTTATACAACAGGTGCTCAGGCGATAACAGTTTTCTCTCACCCGCACACCTGTTGTATAAATTTGATAAAGTTTAAACTAAAAATGAAATTTACCTTCAAGTTGGAAAGCTGGCCGAATCTCTTTGGGCACTTGTCGCACTGGTAGACGAGCTTGCCATTTTCCTTCTTCAGTTCGTAGGGGAGCGCTCTGTGGCCATTTCCAGTAGCTCCTCTTGGCTCGGCGCGCATCTTTCCCGGAGCAGACGAAGCTGGTGGCGATAAGCTTTCCTGTGGCTCAGTTTTCGGCGCTTGGACGAAGCTTGGTCGAGGAAGAGCTGGTGTAGGAAGAGATGTGACTGGAAGAGGAAGCTGGGGAATGGCGGGAAGGCGGGGGATCGTTTGGAGAGATTGGGCGGCTTGCTGAGTCTGGATCTGCTGGATCATGTTCAGGAAGTTGGAGTAGGCGAGGAGGTTCTTGTAGATGTCCGGGAGCACGGGTGGGGATGTGGGTGCTTGTGCAGGGTACTCCAGGGACTAAAACAGATGGTTAGACAGTGAATAAGATTAGTTTCATATTATATTAACTTTTTATGGCTATTTAAAAAAAAATTTCTTCTAGCAATTTTTTCAAAATTGAGGATGTGTTACGATAAAACATACATTTCTTGTTTCCTATCATTATCTCTGATTCTTACCTTCACAGAAGCCTCAACACTGGGTTCTGGCGAAGCAGATCGCGAGTCAGAATCAGACTGAGCCGAGTAGCCGGAGTCATTTTGAGATCTCTCTGGTGATGGAATCGGCGATTTCTTGCTCTCTTTGATCAAGCTGGCGATGGAAAAAGGGTTGGCGGAAGCGTTGTAGCTCTTCTCCTCCATCTCTTGTTTCATTCTTTTTTTTTCGTTTTAGATGATTGAAAAAGAGTAGTCAATTTGTGTTTTTGTATGTTTGGCGGAAGTAATTTCGATAATGTTTACTGTTACTGATTTTGCTCTGGAAGCGAAGGGAAGGGGGAGAATCTTATGGGCCAGGGACAGCGCCGTCTATTTCGCGCGCCACAGCGCCGCAGCCTTCCACAGCGCGCGAAATGGAACGCGAGGGTGGATCCTTAGCTACCTCAACAGCTTGGGAGGGAGATTTCGGGGAAAGAAATGATGCTCGATTTTGAGCAATCTTCAGGGTTGAAGAAAATTGAAGTTAGCATTGGAAAAATTCACGTCGAAATTTGAATAATAATTTTTGATCAGCTAATTTTCGACTCGAAATTTGTTTCATTTCAGCACTTTCGGGTGTCTTTTTCAAATTTTTCATTGGAGAAAGTTCTTCTTGGTCACTAATTTTAGATTTTATATATCTTTGACCGAGTTATAGTTTTTGAAATATTGTTTATTTGTGAATACAAAACTTGGCAGAAAAAATAGTGCCACTTTGTAAATTGAATAATTTTCGGCGCGATGAAGTTTGAGAGCTCTTGAATCTGAATAAATGCGGATGCGCGATGAAGGCCTTTTGCTGATTTGGTTTGATCAAAGTAGAAGTCGCGCGTCACATGCTTTTGATCAACCTGTGCGCCCACCCACCTGGCTTATGAACATCTTCGTATTGTTTTTTATTCAGATACGGAAGTTGTCTTTCTAAGATTATTGTTTTGAAGTAAAAAATTTTGTCCCAAAAGGACGATAATGATGGATAGTTTGGTGATTCTTAGGATCGAAAAAAGGGTTTATGAAATTAAAAAAGGGACATAAGAAACTATGATAATAGTCACATAAAGAAATTTCTGAAACATAAATCAGCAAATATTCAATTCGCGAAAAGCCCTCAGTAAATTTCGCAAACAAAAAAATTCTCGCTGTTGACCTGAATAGAAGCGAATGGGTCTTATTTTTGTAGGTCACGCGAATTCGCCAAGTTGGGATTAGGGGAATTTATTTGGGGGATTCCCATCCGGCGTCTCCGAGATAGAAATAGAAACGCCCCTAATTCCCCATTTGTGAGGAGATGTTCTTTCACGGAGAAAGGTGCAAAGTCTGTGGGTCTCTCAAGAAATTCGTCTGTAACTGTCGACATTTCGAAAAGCGGCGCGAAAAACGGAGGCAATAAGCTATCGCAGATGATCGCGCTAATGGAACTGTCGGCGGCTCACGTAATTACAGAGGCCAGCGAAACCTTAACCCATTACGTCATGACCCGTTCCTAACGAGGTCCAGTCGTTCCCTTTCCCATAATCGACTATCAGATTGCTTCCTTTTATCACTTGAGCGTTCCTCTCAGAGAGTGGTTAGTTTTAGCAAGAAATCTGCTGAGTTTCAACACGGAACTGAAATATAATCTGGGCCTCAGAGCCCGTGGATAATCTGGAGAAAGATTTTTATAGAAATAAGGTAGCAACGCTACCGTAGCAACAACTTTCCGGTAGATAGATGTTCTCCATTTAGGAGCCCAAAATTCTGGTATCCGGCTTTCCAAGTAAGAGTACCTAAGCACTTGCTATTTTTTTCCACTCCTTCCAGCTGGCTAAAAGTGGGCTCCGATAAAAACTGAAGATAGGGCGTAGCAGGTGATCACTACTACTCGCACGAACGCGATCGTTCTTCGCGATATCTCTCCCGGGAGACTCAAATGTAAATTTTATTTTTTCTGATACTGATCAAAATTGAGCTCCTACTGTTTCAAGGGGTTTTTACTCGAAACGAAGAATGTTGATTCAGGAGGCGAATTTTGCGCAATCTTCTGAAGCTCAATTGAAAGTTGTTCTGGTGATGCGTAGATTTTCTATTTCCGATCTTGCTGGGAGCCTCTTGTAGAAAAAAATCCATCAGAAACAAGCCTAAATCCGTCATAAATGTGTCTTTTACCTTTTGTCCGGTGCCGCGTGGACATTTCTCGGACATTACGCGGCGATGTCAAGAGGCAAACATCGTCGCTAGTTAGTTAGCGCTCACTTATCCCCGATTAGGTTTCTTTGAGCAATCAATTACGATTTCGTTTTGCGAAGTTATTATTCGATTATGTCGACATTTTGGTTAATTTGTCGAATATTTGCAAAATTGAATGAACTGTTCCCATAATTAGCGTAGGAGAAAAAAGAGTGCCCGATCGAGGCTGGCAATAATCGCCCGCCAAATTTTTGGAGCTTCCAAACTCGCTTCGAAGGTGTCAAGAATTTCGCGAAATTTTGAGAAATTTTGCGCCGAGTGCGATGGATCAAGCCCTAATTGCCCTTTCACATTCCAGCGCCAAGTGCACACCCGCCGACACCTCCTTCTCCACCGACGCTTTTTTTGTTTATCGGACATTCCGGTACTCATTAGCCGCAAAGATCGTTCTCAAGGAAGGGCGAAAGAGTTATCTAATTTTTGACACTTCGCTTGATGACAGAGAAGATTTTGAGTTCAACAGCTATTTTTTTATTTTCTCAAAAAACAGCCCTCTGAAAATTACTCTTTTGAGGGCTACACCCTTATTTGATATTTAAAAATCAAATCAATATTTTTTATTAGCCATAATTTTTGAAAAAATATGTTTTCTTGAGGTGAAAATGAGGACCTTTGACATTGGATCGCACTTTTGAGAGTCAACTAGCGACAGCTCCTGAAGATGCTCTCGTGTTCGTTTTAGAGCGTCAAGTGTCCATTATCGGAGGTTGGAATTGTACAAACGTATCCGTTTTTCAAAAAGACGGAAATAATGAATCGCCAAATCGAAGAGGCGAAAGAAAACTTCAAACACCGGAAGGGCGGATTCAGCACTTGAGGGCCGCTGGGAAACACAAAATTCTACTTCAATTTTGTTGAATCCTTTTCACCGAACACGGGTTTTGTTTCCGCCCAGTACTCGCTTCGCACCCCATTCAGAGCCAACTTCCGAAAGAGGGATTCAACCCTTTTTGTTCAAGGGAAAATTGAAACCCCAGAAAAGATCAAGGCGCGTGCTTATGATTTTTTTTTTCAGGTCAATAGCAGGGCTCTAAATCTGAGGCGAAAATCAAAAGTCCGGTCTGTCCAGGTCCGGGCACTTGGCCGAAATTTACAAGTCTGGTCTGGTCTGGTCCGAATTGGAAAACCCGGACTTTAAGTCTGGTCTAGTCCGGGAAAAGTCCGAAAAAGTCCGAAAAAGTCTGGTCCGAGAAAAAAGCCAAAAAAATCCGGTCTAGTCCGGTCTAGTCCGAAAAAGTCCGAAAATTTTTCGAATAAAATACAACAAAAACACGATATTTTTTGATTCTTTCGTAGCTCGACAGTTGCTAGGGCACTAGAAGAAAGACTTTTGAAGACTTTTCGGACTTTTTCGGACTTAATTGGTCTGAAAATAAGTCTGTAAGTAGTCTGGAAGTGGTCAAGTCTTCTCGGACTTTCTCGGACTTCTCGGACTTTTCGGACTAAAACATAAGTCTGAAAGTGGTCCAGCTTTTTCGGACTTTTCGGACTTTTTCGGACTAAGTCCGGCGAAAAAGGCAAGTCTGGTCTGGTCTAGTCCGAAAATTTTCTCAGCCAAAAATCAGAAGTCTGGTCCGTCCGGCCGGACTAGACCGGACGGACTTCGGACTAAGTCCGAGCCCGGACTAGTCTATTTAGAGCCCTGGTCAATAGTTTACCCTGTTTCGCGAATTTCTCAATTTCTCATATTTCTTTATCAAAATTATTTTATAAAAGCATTTTATCAATGATTAACAGATTTCAACACAAAGAAAAATTTTCAAATGAACATTCGGATGATCTTTTTCTCGTGAATCTCGAATCCGCAGTGACAATAGAACTTCTTTTTCTTTGCTAATAATCAATATCAATGACGTCCTTTTTAAATTTCTAACCTTCTCGTTGTCGAGCAAACTCCTTTTTCATGCAGGTCCAACAGCATCCATGGCCGCACGCGTGGGAGTACTTTGCATGATTTGCTTCATCATAAGCTCTTGAATGGAGTTCAAAATGAGCTCAGAATTCATCATTACTTACTCGTAACATATCTGACACATCAGAAGGCTTTCGAGTCTCTCCTTGAGCGCAGAATTTTCCTTTTTCAGCGCAGCATCTGTTTCTTGCTCTGCATTCGTTCTTATCTCATCATTTTCGGGTTCTTCTTCCAGAACGCAGTCATCTTGAACCGGTTCTTCTGACGAGAGGATTTCAGAAGCGTCTTCTTCTTTTGAGACCGAAGACAACTTCTCCTCCGTCAACTCTCCAGGATTCGGCGATTTTCTTACTTTCCGACTTGAGCGCTCCGATTTCGCTTGTTTTGAATCTCCAACTGTTAGCCAGTCTGATCCATCAACATCATCGAGTCCAAGCTAAAGAAGACTCATGAATGTTTCTTTTGACTTCTTACCTCGGCAAGTGATGTATTCTTATCTTCACTTTTTGCAGGCGTGTTCCGAGAATTGATTTCTTCGTAAGAAACTGGATTATTCGACCTGCTTTTATTTTTTGTTGTTTGTTTCTTTTTACTCCTTTTTGGCTTGGTCTGACTGTGTTGTTTCTTTTCACGCGATTTTCTGTCTTCCTCCTCAATCCAGTCAGGGATTTCCACTCTATCAGGAATTTCCTCGAAGTAGCGTCGACGGCTGAGGGCGTCTGGCATCGAGGTGAACATCATGTGATTACCAGTGCTTGTATTTATTTCGCTGTTTTCGTTTCTTTCTGTGAGGACTGTCGAAAATAGAAGCGATCCAGGAGATTCAAAATCGGTTACTTCGTTGTATTGAATTTCAGAAGCTAGAAAGAGAAATGATGGAAACAATTATTTTTTACCAAATCATTCTGACCTCTACCGTCATCACTAGCGACCGGAATTAACAGAAACTTATGAGCCAAGCGAGATTCAGTGAGAAAGAACACTTCTGAGTTTTCTGGTCTTTTTTCGAGTAAACCGTCAATGTCTTCAAAATCTTTTGTCACTTTCAGATAATTTATTAACTTCAGGGATCCTCGTTCGAGTGGCTTGACATTCATCATTTTCATAGAAAACCGATCAGTAAATATCCGAACATCTACTAAGTCCATATGAAGGCGAATGAATTCCAGACGAATTGCTGCCTCTATATTTTTCATCTCTAGTTTAGTTTGTCTTTCTTTCTGTAAGTACGTTCGCAGTGTTCGTGAGTGACCAAAAGTGACGAGAAATGCACGTTTGATTGGTCGCAGTCATAATTTACCCCCTGGTAAAGTTCTCTCAACTTGAAGTCATGAGTATTTTTACCGTTAACATAAACGTCATGCTGATAATTTTGTCTATTTATTCAGAATATATCAAATATAAGATAAAATTGATACAATAACAAAGGTTGATTCAATATGATAATGGGAACTTCCCTTACCCTAACCTTAACCCTAACCCTTAATCAAATAATGAACATGAGCAACATTAGAGTCAAAACTACTGAAAGGTAAAATGCCGGGCTGCGCGTGTACCAAGTGCTCTCGAGGAAACAAGGAAGAAGACGAATTAGCTGACAGCTCAGCGCCCTTGCTTGGAAGTAAGCGAAACCCGGAACTAATTAAGGCTTGAGCAAATAAGATCACTTAAAAATCGCAATTGAAATCAACAAAAAAGATTCAACGAGCTTCAATTGACTTCTACCTTGGCAACGTCAAAAGTCTCACAAGTGTTAGCACGTGGAAAAGATGGACTTTCTCAAATTCTTGAAAATATTAAAAATAATTGAAGTTTATTTGATAACTGAAAGTTGATGGTATAAAATCCGCGTGAAAATAAGCGATACAGTAAAAATTCGATGTGGTTAAATAAACATTCTGATGATCTTCTTTTCATGAATTTCGAATCCACAGTGGCAGTAGAACTTCTTTTTCTTTGCTAAAAAAATCTTTACAGAGATATTTTCAGGGATTCTTTACCTTCCCGCTGACGAGCAAATTCCTTCTTCATGCAAGTCAGACAGCATCCATGACCGCAGGCGTGAGAATATTTTGCGTGCTTTTCATCATCAAAAGCTCTTAAAAGTTTAGTTTTATTTTTGAAACACGCTTAGGGCTACAATTTACTCGTAACAAATTTGACACATCATGAAGCTTTCTAGTTTCTCCTTCAGCACAGAAATTTCTTTCATGAGCGGCTGATCTGGCTCGGAACGACAAGGGTTTGCATTAATCGCGCTACTTTCGGGTTTTTCTTTGGGCAAATAGTTTTTAGTAGGACTTGAATCAAGCAAAATCTTCTGATACTCTTCAGCTGTTGAAGGCAATCGCTGGGCTGGAGTCGTTGATGTTTCTGAGTTTGAAGATTTTTTTAAAACATTCGAGGGCCTCATTTCTGTTTTATCCACCGGTGGCGTCCTCAAGGCTTCTTTCTTCTTCGACTTCTTCGAAGACTTCTTTACGCGCTTGTTTGAACACCTGATTTTCGGCTGTTTTAGTTTTTCTACCGTAATCCAGTCTCCTTCATCAAAATTATCAAATTCAAGCTAAATTTTTCGTTAAAAATGTTTTCGAAAAAGCTAAAATTACCTCTCCGGTCGGAAAATTTTTATCTTGGCTTTTTGCGATAAAATTTTTAGCAGGAATTTCTTTCTTCGGAGTCGGCTTCAGTGGCATTTGTTGCTTGTTCTTTTGTTTAGCTGAATTCGTACTTTTTCCTTTCTTCGGCATTTTCTTCTTTTCTCTAGCTTTTTTGTCCTCTTCTTCAACCCAGTCGGGAATCTCATATTTGTCGGGGATTCTCTCCAGCCTGTCGAAAAGAGAAGAAGGGTCAGATTCAATGCACGTGCAAAGAGGTTTCCTAACACGATTGATTTTCTTTTCATCATCATCTCTCTCGTAAACGATTGTCGAATTTAGAAGGATATCAGGTCGATCTTCCTTAGCGGGCGAATATTTAATTGTAGGAACTATGGAAGACGTTTTTTAATTATAAAAACTTTCTCAATAAAGTCATTCTCACCTTTTTTATCGTCACTCAAGACAGGAATCAAGAGAAACTCACAACAAGCTCGGTGAGTTGACAGAAAAAATACAGGCGAATCTTGAACTCTCGCTTCAAGTAAACTGTCTGCTTCATCACTTTCTTTTAAAATTTTGACATAATTAGTGAACCGCAAGGATTTGGGATCAATAGATTTCGCATGAATCAATTTTATAGAAAAACGGTCGGTAAATACAACTATCTCTTCTGTTTCGAACAATTCATTTATTTCGTCGATGTTTTTCTTGCTCTCTACCATCATTTTTTCACTTTCTCGGGCAGTGGGCAAAGTTACACCAGTTTATAGGTCTCTTTCGATCACTGGTTAACGAAGGGTTAGTTAACTAAATGAGCTCATCTCTCGACTGAACGAAGTGATCAAGTCTTGATTGGCTGCAGTGAAGTAACCCCCTGGTAAAGTTCTTGTATTCCGACGAAAAAAGATGTTATGACATAAACATGGATATATTGTGAGAAGAAACAGTACAACTAGCTAACCAGAATTGAATGACTCTCTTGTTTTATCTACTTAGGTGCATGTTTATTAGAAAATAAGAGCATAGAACTCAAATGAACATTCGGATGATTTTTTTCTCGTGGATCTCGAATCCGCAGTGGCAGTAGAACTTCTTTCTCCTTGCTAAAATTATATGATGAAAAATATTATAATAAGGTTATTTACCTGCACGCTGACGAGCAAACTCCTTCTTCATGCAAGTCAGGCAGCATCCATGACCACAGGCGTGCGAATATTTTGCATGTTTCTCGCCATCAAATGCTCTAAATTGCTAATGAATTCGAGTAATAAGACTTTTTAACTTACTCAAAACAAATTTGGCACGTCAAAAAGCTTTCAAGCTGTTCTTTGAGCACACTGTTCTCCTCCCTGAGTTCTGCTTCTGTCGATTCGGAGCAAGAGGTTTCCTCCATTTCGCCGTTTTCAGGTTCTTCTGTTAGCACACAGCTATTGTTGAGCTCCTCTTCTAGCGAGACGATGCCGCAGACGGTCCTTTGGTCTTCATCTCTTCTTGAAAGAAATCCTGAATCTCCCACTGTCACCCAATCGCCATCTTCATCGACATCCTCGAGTTCCAACTAAAAATATGTTGTATAATTTGATGATTAATTAAGGTTCTTTTACTTAAAACGGTTGATGATATATTCGGCATAATATGCATGCATGTTATGTCTGATATTGAGACTCAATAATTGAGTAGTATACCTCTCCAGCAATTGAGTTATCCTCCCGACTAATTGAAAATATGTTGGTAGCACTTGAGTGTTTCTTCGATATTTGTTGATTTAATTTGCTCTTTCGTTCTTTTTTAACCTTTTTTGCCTTTTTACTGCGGGATGGTTGCTTTTTTCTGTGCTTGTCATCTTCTTCTTCAACCCAGTCAGGCATGTCATATCGAACAGGAACGTTCTCTAACCTGTTGAAAGCAAAAGGCTTTGCAAACTTCAAGCGCCCGTCTATTACTTCCAATTTCATTTTCTTCTCCGATCGTTTCGTTCTCTTACTCTGTCGCCAAACCCAGCCAGATTTCTCGTGGACAAACTTCTTATTGCAATTTTTAGGGGTGATTGTTGTTGAAAAAATCAGCATTTGGTCGAAGCCAGACGTGCGTGTTTCCGAATACTCAAGTGAAGGCGCTAGAAAATATATCTTACTAAGTAAGCAAACATGCTTTCCATACCTTTAGATTCATCAATAATCATGGGAATAAACAGCAATTGATCAACCACAAATGAATCTGAAACAAGATACACTTTCGAGTCTTTCGGTTTATTCTCGAGCAAGCAGTCGATATCTCCATCGTTTTCAGATGCTCTTGTATAATTGACAAATTGTAAAGTGCTTGGATCGAAAGCCTCAATACAAGTCAACTGGATTGAAAATCGTCCTGTATTCAATGTTATGCTGTTCTCTTTGAGACATTCATTTATCTCTTGGATATTTAAACTCATTTTCTTTTAAAGAAAAGAATTGAAAAAACAAGCCTTAAACGACGACTGTTGCTGTGAGAGGTCCTTTCGTATTTGTCTCCACTGAATTCAGCCGTAAAAGCCCGTAGGTGTTTTACCTGAAAACGTTGCAGGCGCCACAAAGGTATGCATGTTCGTCAGTAACCTACAGTATCGCAAAATGAGCCAAGTTCTACGTTTTCTCGGCCTTAGGAATAAAGGAAGCACAGTTTGATTCGCGAAACTGAGCTGAAGAATTTGAATTTTCAGATTCAAATACTTTGAATCAAAGTCTAAATTTGATGAAACCCAAGACGTTGAGCTAGTTAGGTGTTGTTTTGATAGATTCTGGTAGCACCAACGATTGATTTCGAACGAAAGATGCTTGAACGAATCTTCCCTTCGTTTATCAAGTGACGATATTTTCCTTGTCCTTCAACTCATAAACATGGTCTTTGTCTACGTTTTATTTTTAGCATAAACCTTAGTGGAAACGACGAAGCCCCTGTCCTCAAGGCCAAATTGCGTTATGCTAATAACAAACGCAATAATATTTTTACTAAGACGCTGACAATTATCGTCTGACCATGTTTATACTCTCATTAGCTTTTAACTTCAATGACGAAATAAGCAAAGAATCTGTACTTAGCATATCAGATTGTATTCATCTTGGTCTATAACAATTGGGAAGCTTATTTTGTACATATTCGGTAGAATAACTTTTTCCCCTTCTTCGACTGCAATGCCGTTCCAATTAATTTTCACGTTATAATTGCTGGGAAAAGAGAGATTCAAAACTTTCAATCTTTACTTTAAAAAGTTAAAACTAATAAATTTGCATCTCTTCCTGTAAAAACCCTGAAAAGACCAGATTTCTCCCTTCACGTATCGAAGAGTCGACTCAGCAACGTACTAAAGAAGTGGTATTTTTTCAAGAACTCACGATAATTACAGCGTTGCCGACGAATTTCCAGGTTTCTCTTTCTGTATTGAACAAATAGCTGCTTCGATCAAAGTTGAAAAACAAAACACCTTCAGGAACAGTCACGCAATTCGCATTAGTAAGTGAATTTCCCCTGAAAAGAGCTTTCATTCAGGGCTCCGAATCACGGGGGCGCGCGCCGTGAGCGCCAGAGTTTGAACGCAAGCGCGAACGAGAATCTCGGGAGCAAGCGGCGCCCTCCCGAGCAAGTTGGGGAGCAAAATTTCAAAATGAAAGTGCCGGCGGGTCGGAGTTTGCGCCTCTTTTCTCGGTTTATAATCGATCAGCTTGTGAAAAATTGAATGAAAGAATCTTACCCTGAAGAATATCTTTAAAAATTATGATAAATTATCTTCATTATGAATTTTGACATGAGCTATTTTCAAAAATTCTTTTTGCATATATAATTTATATACACTCTTCTTTCTATTGTAGTTTTAAGTTTTTTCTATCATTCTTAATTCAGTCGAGATCGACGAAAGAAAATTTTAACTTCAAATGGATTCAGCACTTTCGATTTTGAAGATATGAAATTATATGTAAAAGCTTCCACCGGAAAGCCAAGAAAATTCTGATCAAAAGTTATCTAATGAGGTCTTATGAAAATCATTAAAGTAGTAATAAGAATCTATAATCCATACAGTATGGACCATACTATGGAGCCTAAGTAGTCTAAGAGTATGGACCATAGTTATTAGCGCATACTTAGCGGGAATCAAGCGCAAATAAGCCAAAATATTGCCTCGCGCAACGCGAACGCCCGCTGTGGAACCGATCCACTCTGGAAAAGCTCACCTTGCACTCGGCAGGTGATTGTTATCATAACCCCATTAGGTAACTTTAGTACAGAATTTTCTCGGCTTTTCGGTGAATCAAATTTCGTTGAGAACAAATAAAGTTTGCAGGAGTTTATGCCTTTTGAAGTTGAATTTCTCTTTTTCACTCTAGCTCAAGAATTAATTGTGATGAGGAAAATCTGAAAGTGGGAGGTGAAGGCTGAGAGAATGTAGATATGTTTAACAAACAAAAATTTCGAAAAAACTTTTCTGAAACATCAATGGCGACCGCGTGAAGTAGGACTTCGCGTTACTCGCCCGGGTACTCCTATACATCGGCGCGGCGCTGCTAGCTCGGTCCGCGCTCGGCCAGAACCTCGGCGGGATCGAGCCCTTGGTTCGCGAACAAGAGGCTCGGGCGCGCCCGGCACTCGCCGTGAGCGCTGAAAAATGTTGCTCCCGAATTTTTTGGGGAGGGCGCACCTCGCGCCCAAGAGTTTTGTTCGCGCGCGCGGTTTGACTTGGCCGCTCCCGGCGCACGCCCCCGCGATTTGGAGCCCTGCTTTCATTGTTGAGTTCATGAAATTCCCATTTTACGGATAGTCCCAGTCGGAAGAATATCGCCATTGCCCGTCTCGATAAATTTCCAGTTTATTGGCAACGCCACTTTCTTTCGTTCCTCCACCACCGTAAAGAGCTCCATCTTTTGAGCACATGACAGCCCAGTTATGGCGGAAGTTACTTCTTGCTGGCAGAATGCTAAAAACTTGATAGAATAAGGGACGAAAGAAAGTGACAACCTGGCGACTTGTCCATCAAAAGTCATGCATCTGTTCCCGTCAGAGTAATACGTCCAGCACATAAAAGCTTGAAGATAACGAAGTTTTACGCAAATTTGGCCAACCTTTATTGTCCATAACTGCAAGGACATCAGAATATTGGCTAAAATCAAGCGGTAGTTTTACTGGAAGTTCATTGTATTCGCAATTCTCAACAGTGGCGACTCGATAGTAAGTATCCGTCCCACCAAAAAGGAAAAACGACCCATTCAAAAAAGCATAGCCGCAAAACTTTAACTTGACATTTTGTTTCAGAGTAAGCGAGCTGTTCAAGGTTTCAATAAAAGTCGAAAATGATGTGATTTCTTCAAATAAAACCTAAACGAGGTCGAAAATTTTTGCGGGAGCGGGGGAGCGGGAGCAAGTCCAAAAATTTTGCGCGGGAGCGGGGGCGGGGAGGAGGTCTAAAATTTTTGCGGGGGAGAGGGCGGCGCGGGAACAAGGCCTGAAAATTCGCGCGGGAGCGGGGGCGCGGAAAGGATTCCCCTCCTTTTGCTCCCGCGGGTGCCCGCGGGAAAGAAAAGTCAACGTGAGGGCTGGTTTAATAAGGTCTTCACTAAGGAAGAAGCCTGAAACAGGCCCCTAAGATAATTCGACAATTAAAAAATAAAATTGAAAAAATAAATAAAAACCATAAAAAAGCTAAGAAAATGAACAATATTTAGTTTCACATTGAATGGGGATGAAACTGAGATTGATCAACTCAGGCTTCCCCGGCCTTTGTCAAGCCCCTTAAATTTGAAAACCAAGGAACGGGGCTGAGACGGCCCGAATTTTAGAAGCTTCTTCCCCGCTGCTCCCGCAGCCCCGCGGGAGCATTTTTGAATTTTCGCGGCGCGGGAAGAAGGCGGGAAAGAACAATTTACGGCGGGAGCGGGGGGGAGGGGGAAAGATCACGAGAAAATCTCGAGGGAGGGGGAAAGAATATCCGAATATCTTGGGGGCGCGGGAGAAATTTTGCTCCCCCCCGCTCCCGCGGGGGCTCGCAGGAGCTTGCGGCGCGGGAAATTTCGAACTCTGCTCCGAGGTTCTTTTCTGAAGTCTGATTGAAAAAAATCTCCGATGAAACAAGTTCATAACAAAGGACTTGAAAAATTTTCATTTTCTCAACAATAATTTGAGATTTTCATTTGAAGATGGTTTGATAATCAGACCAGAAGTTCATTTTCTCACGTCAAACAACATGAACATCTCATGTTTTTATCCTACCAAACAAACCGGTGTCTACAACTGGCTGGCGCCCAGTCGGCGCTCTTACCTAGTAATGTCGTACTTGTTGCTACTTTCAATTAGATGCTTGCGGAAATACTTCTACAGAAGTACTTATATTGGTATATAATTATACACCGAAGAAACAATAAAATGAAAGACTTCAAATTTTTAGAATTTGTGTAAATTTTATTTCACATATTTTTCAAGCCAAACAGTAGCATCGTGTTGACCTTGGTTCATAATTTTATCCATCCACTGATCATTCCCACCAAACAAGGCTCGGTAAAGAAGACGTTCGAAGTTCTCTGATGTCAGATAGAATGTCAAGTGTTTTCCAGCGACAAGGCGTACGTTTCTCGCGTATTTTTTTGCTGGGCAAATATTCGCATCGTTTGAGGAGGTTGAAAATGGTTGTATTCGAACAGTTTTAGATGGGAAAATATCCAGTAAATTGTCTAATTTTCGGTTAGTTTGGAGTTTGATTGTGTTTTTACCTGTGAATCCGCCGTCATAATAATTTTTCCCACTCATCGTCACGGGAACAGTTCCCGCCCAGTAGGGAACAAGACATGAAGCAAGAACAGTGTTGACGAAATCTTCCTTGTTTTCGAACTGAGATTTAATAACAGACTTTTCATGAATTCCGAATTTCGGGTGCTTCCCTGACATTTCAGTGATTCCAAGATGAACTCTCCCGTTACAGATATCATCGGCGTCGGCAGGAAAGTAGTCATCCAGTAAATCTTGATTTAGCTCTGCATAAATGATCTTTCTTTTTTAAATAAAATACCTCTGAGAACATGTTTCAACTCATTTGTAAACCGAGTTTTTGCCGCTTTTGCTCTAAACTTTTTGACGAAGTCCAGCTCATAATCATCTGTTCTCAGTCCAAAAACTGCTGCTGAACTTGCTGAAATAGATCCTGCCGATACTCCTGCGTAAAGAGGCTCTTTTTCAATGAATTTCGACAAATTAGCAAGCAAGACTTTGTTGACTCCGAGATAGTAAGCGCCGTTGAAGCCGCAGCCAGCGTAGCTTATCATCCGGAAACGTCCCATTTCTGGAAGTGAGTTTTTCAATTATTGAAGAGAGTTTATTTTTTCATTTATCAAAGATGGAATTATCTGGGTAAAATGGAACATGTAATAATCAGAAAGAACATTTGAACGCATTTTTGAACTGAAATACGAAATTTTTTATCTGAAGACAACGAAGAAAATCAAGTCAGTGATGAAATCGTGGTAAAAAAATTACAAGGCAGCGCAGTTGTCTTCGATCCAGGGGATCAGATCGTCCCAGCCCTGAGCTTTGCACTCTGGAATTAGAAGCTCGGCAGTCTTCTTGTGGTACTCGTTCAGCCATTTCTTTTGCGAGGAGTCGAGCATTTCTGCGTTAATAAGTTTCTTGCACATTGGAACGAAGCATAAAGATTCAAACTAAAAGAAAAGATAGATAAAAAAAGAATAGACATTTCTACCTTCAAGAATTTAGTGCCCTCAGGGAGATTGTATTTCGTCTGGACATCAGTGACATAAAGGGCGTTCTCAATTCGGATACCGAACTCTCCATCTTTGTAGAATCCGGGCTCGTCGGTGACGCAGTATCCTTTCGCGTAGAAGAGATCAGCAGACTGAGTGACACAATCCAATCTTGCAAAAATTAAAATCACTTTAGTGTTTAAACAAATCAATTTCTTGCCGTGGAGAAAGATAGAGCCCAGTTGGCGGCTCGTGGACGTTCAACCAGCAGCCTATACCGTGTCCAGTTCCGTGATTGAATTGAAGGCCGGCTTCCCAAAGTGGCTGTCGAGTGAGCACGTCAAGGGCTGGGCCTCGAGTTCCTTCCGGAAATCGCAGCTTAGCCAGGTTGATGTGTCCCATAAGAACCCGAGTGTAGCACTCTTTCTCAAATTCAGATGGTTCTCCGCAGTGGACAGTTCGGGTAGTGTCAGTAGTTCCACAAGTGTAGTGAGCACCAGCGTCGAGGAGGAACATGCACTTTTCGATCTTTCGATCAGAACCGGGCTTTGGCTTGTAATGAATGATTGAGCCAGTAGGGCCGGAAGAAGAAATAGTGTCAAAGGATTGACCTCGGAAGTCTTTCTGAGCTCGGTAGAACTCGTTGAGCTTGTCGACGACGTCGCACTCAGTAATTCCAGTGCCAGCGTTGTCTAAAATTGGATTGATCACTCAAAAAAAAAGACATAAACTCCCTACCTTCAGCGTATTTGAGTGCTTTGACATGACAAACAGCGGATCTGACATTGGCAAGAAGCATTCCTTCAATCTCAGTGTCGTTCTTGTACGCTTTAAGAATTCCAACAGGGGTGTTTGTCACGACCTGCTTGTTTTTCAAAGCATTCACGATGGCTGCGGGAGAATTTGATGAAGCAAGAACCTTGTCTTCAAGAGATTCGAGAGTAGAAAGAGTAGAGGCGTAGTCTTCAATGGTGACACCAGCAAGATGGGCTCGAACGGCATCAGATGCCTGGGCCTGGTTCATGAACAGTTGCACCTTGTCGAGGGAGATGTAGCAGTAAGAGAAGAAAAGAGGGTTGAATGGAATGTCTGTTCCACGGAGGTTGAAAAGCCAAGCGATCTCGTCAAGCATAGTGATTACCAAACCCTTAAAAGATGCGTTCCTCATGGAATTGATGGCGAAAACAAACCTGGCAACCTTCTTTCTTGATTTCTTCTCGGACGGCGGCGAGTTTATCTTGCCAAGATTGACCAGCTTGGGCGACTTGCATAATTTCGAGCTCTCCAGCGGGGCGTTCTGGCTTATCAGTCCATGCAGCATCGATTGGGTTGGCAACAGTTGCGAATTTCAAGTTGCGGGACTCGAATTTGGACTTGTATTTCAGAAAACCGTTGTATCTAGTGCACCAGCCATCGCAACCGACAGTAGAGCCTACGGATTCATAACAGAAATGAAGATAAAAGAGGGTACCTTGAGGAAGAGTTTCAATAAGCCAGTCCTCGATAGAAGGAGTTCCAGAAATGCCATCCTTCATGAGCGTCCAATCTCCATCGAGCTCCTGATTAGCCTGGAGAAAGTAGCGACCATCGGTCCACAAGCAAGCCTTATCCTTTGTAAAGACAGCGGTACCGGCGGATCCAGTGAAGCCAGAAACAGCGGGTCGTCGATTATCACATGGAGCGGTGTATTCAGAGCCATGAGCGTCATCGGTTTGTTGGATGAAAGCATCGCACTGAAGTTTTAGATAGAAAAATGGTTGGATTTTCGAGCTTTACCTGTGTGAGATGCTTTCTCGCTGCTGCCAAAAGCGTCATTCTGCGAGTAACTGAATAAATTAACCGGTTCATTATTGTTCTGAAGAAACATAATCTGAGCAGTCAGTAATTCAATCAATGTTATTTCTCTTGATAGTGGTTTTTGAATTAGGAAATCAGAAGGAGTGGCAGTGAAAGAGAGAAGTTGAAAAATAAAACAAGTCCGTGTAAATTTGCTTTTGAGCGTAAATATTGACAAACCCTCGGTTTGTTGCGCATTTTTCTTTTTCCGTCTGATCGAAACTGTGCGCTGCAATACCGCTGGTGCCTCCGGTTTATCTGACACGTTATTCGATTTATTTGATCGTCCATCTTCAAGTGTACGTAAATTGCCGATGTTTTGCTTCTCCGTTGGCGTGTTTAGAAAGGGCTTGAGTGTTTCCTTCTTCGCCCGACGAGATTTTCGCCGAAATGAGCGTGTCCTTTGAAGTTTTCTTTTCAGGTTATTTTATTAACTTTTGAGATAACAGCTCTGCTCTAGAGATAGACCATCTTTACATAATACATTAGTTATGTTCATAAACCTTCCCTTCCATTTTCAGATTCAGCCATTTTTTGCAAACAAAACTGATTCTCTATGAACAAGAAATAAAAATAGACAACTTCTGGGTCAATTTCCTTTTAGATGAATCATATTTATTTTTGAAAAAAGGATCGAGTCAGTACTTTGAGCTCGTGAGCCCCACACTGTCTTTTGCTTTTAGCATTTTCGAGTTTTCTTCTAAGACGGCTAGAATCGCTTCTTGATCGGGCGCAAGTTGTTCCTCTTCGGCTTGTTGGTGGGGTGATTGAAGCCGTTGTAGATGACGACGAGTGTGCGCGTTGAAGTTTGATAAATCGCCGTTTTGGAACTTATTTTGAGATTGACAGTAAAACTCTTCGTTCGCTATTCTTTCCCGCATCTCCATGTAATTATTTGCGGAGACAGCGAAGAATATTAGCGAAAATATGAAAAAGATTTTTGATAATTGGGCTTTGAAGGCTTCATAATGAATGATGAACAATAAGAGTAAGTTGGATATAAAACAATTTTGAAGCTTTCCTTTTAATTCTTGCTCTCTTTCTCTCGATTCATTGACCGCTTCTTCAGTCCTCGTCTGAAACAGCTTCTCAAACTCCGCCTTTCTCTGCGCCGCCCACTCGTCCTGTCTGTCCCTGTAAGCTTGATCGTGGCCAGCATACTGATCGTTTTTGTATAAATTTTCACGGACACGTTGAGCTCGTCTCCTAAACTCGTCGCTTTCGTAATCATATCGTTTGAAATTCTGCCGATGGCCTCGGAATTCGTTCCGCTGATAATGGCTGAAATCTTTGTCGTACTCTCCGTATCCTGCATCTTGCGACCATCGCGCGTGGTGTTGGTAAGCGTGCTCGTCGCCTCGTGCTTCACGTTCCTTTTTGATTCTTCAGCAGGTTTTCAAATTAAAAAATCATTCCAAATATTCAAGGATTTTTCTGTTGGAACAAAACCTTGTTGCAGCAATAGATTTTTCGGTTTTTCAGAGGCCTAATTCAAACCGCAAAAGACTTTAACCAAAAATAGTGCTTAAAAGTATTTGCTCTAATGAAACACAAGAGTTTTACTTTTTAGCTTACAAGAAACAGACAATTTTCATTCAAGAAACCTATCCCTCTCCCATTCTGCTCTCGCCTTCATCCTCTGTCTATAATTATACTCAAAATCGAAGCCTTCTCGCTGTTGCTGACTTCCGAATCCCCTATCGGCCCAGCTCTTTTGTTCCCTCATCCTCTGGCTCGTTGATGATCCGGGTGAAGCACCAGCTGTCGAGGCAGTTCCGTTTTGTATGCTTTCATATGCTTCTTGAACTTTTATAAACTCGGCGGCTTTCTTCTCGTCGCCGGGATGCAGATCTGGGTGGCATTCTTTTGCCTTTTTTCGGTAGGCGTTTTTGACTTCTTTTTTGGAGGCACCAGGTGTGATTCCGAGGATCGAGTAGGGATTAAGAAATGGGATGGAGACGGAGAGATATCTTCTGCTTGTAGGTTGAACCCGATTTCGAAACAACAGTATCATTGTCTTAATAACTCAGGTTTGAGCATTTCATGACTAGAATTTCTAGCTCTTGACGTAGACTGTGACGTAACGGAAAATCCTACTAATGCACATGTAACATGTTCTAAAATTATTACCGAAAACACTCGAGAAAAAACGATGATTCAGAGCCTCTCTCAGGGTCTTATTCGGAGCCTAATCAACAAACTCCATTTCCAAATGCATGGAAGAATTCAAAGAACATTTTTGGAGTGAAAAGGAACAAGCTAATTTTATGTTTTCACTAAACAATGATTGAGAGGTTTTGCCGTGGACGGCCACGGGGGCTTAGAAGCTCTTCGAAAGCGCATTAATCAAATGACCGAGTCATAAAATTGCATCGCTTGACATCCGTTATCGCGTGTGAAAGTGCTGCTAATCATCTCCTCTTACAAGCTCCGCTTGATTTTTCTACGAAAAAGATGTTTTCTTCTAAAAGACTCTTCCCCTGTGCTAGTCGAGCCAGAAATTACAAATCCCTAATTCTTGTTTAGCAAGCCGCAAATTGTAAACATTAAAATCTTTAAAAGATTTTATCTGGCGTCTGAAGGAGGCTGTTCCTAAATTCCTGGTAAACGTTGTGTAACTAAGGAGAGGGGCTACGATAAAAGGGAAATTTCAAGGGAGCTTATCTCTTACGGCCGGTACAATCCTTTCGTGACCCTTTACGACTATCCAAACATCGCAAGTCGGATAAGAGTACAACCGCAGTTAGGCCGGATCAAGGCTGCCATTCAACCACTTTACTGCAACCACTTATTAAACAGAGATATTTCACATTTCGAGAGAGTTTTCCGAGTACCTTAGAGCATCCCTTCAGAATTCTTACATAACCTCTTCATGAAAGTCATTTTTGATCAACGAAAAAGCATACTTTCATTCAGAAAACTCGTTAATTTATTGTTAATTTAGTCAAAATTTTCTATCAAGTTTACAATTCGGAAGATATACCTTTTCTTGCTAATAAAAAGCCTAGATGTTGTCCATTTTGCATGTAAAAAGAGCATTTTTTTCCGTTAATTTATATTTCCAAAAAGCACCGAAACCGTCTTTCCGAAAGAATGACGACTGAAGGTACTCCACTGAAGTCTCCTCTTATCCTGATCGTCTCAGATAAACCTCCATAATGAACACTTCCGGAACAAGACTAGAGAAAAGAGATAAATCATCGGTTCTATCAATTATCCGAATGTATCAGGTGGCGTGCGCGCTTAGACTAGATGGCGCTATTTTTACGCGCAAAAAGCCCGCTGCAGCGCGTTAAAAACGCAGACTTTCAAATTCTGAAAGAGTAAAAAGTACTTGAATTAATAGAAAAGAGCTATGAGACTTTTTGTTGTTTTGAATCTCGCTTTAGCTGTCGCAGCTCAGGGTCTTTCGAAAGAAGAGCGAGATGCGATTAGAGCACAAAAAGCGGCCGAGAGGAAAGCTGCTAAAAAAGCAGCAAGGGAGAAGAAGAACAACAAGAAGAAAACGACTACTGCTGCTCCGACAACCACAACTTCAACCACAACAACCTCGACTACTACAACGTCTACGACAACAACGACAACTACGACTACAACTCCAAAACCTACAACCACCAAAGCTACGACTAAGAGAGCAGCCCAGAAGCCAAAAGATTCTGGACGATCAGCTGGAAGCGGTGCAACTATGGTAACAAAAAGAACAAGCAATAATATTCTTATTATTGCTTTATTATTGTAGTGCGTTTCTTGCAACACAAAAGACCTCGCTGGCTGCCTTGCCGATTCCACTGCATTTGAATGTCCCGAAAATACATTCTGTTCGTTGACGATGCGAACTCAAAATGGCGCCCCGACACAGGTAAGAGAAAATTACTCGTAAAAATATCTTACGTGGATTTTTTAATTTAGTACGAAGTCGGCTGCAAGCAGAACAAAGCTTGTGTCTCGAACAAACGAATGAACGGTTGGGCTAAAAAGCCAAAGCCTAACGATCAGTGCAACCTGTCAGGTTCCGGTCATAAAATTCAAATTAGATAAGCGCCGCCCTTAGAAATCTGATAGCTTAAAATTACTGATTACGGGCTGCAAACCACACGGGACGCCTTCCGCTGTCAGGGCCGTTAGCGCATGTCCAGGGAATTCCTATTGACAGTAAATGACCCCGAGAAAAGGATCCAGCGCTGCTACTTGTCGACAATGCTGTACTGGCAGTGAATGCCTCGAGTTCTATGCAAAATTTACAGAACGAGGTGAGCCATCCGCTACATTCCAAAAGCATGTTTAGAAATGCTTAAGATTCTAGCTCGAAAAATACAAATCTTGTCTAGCGACGTTTCACGACATGAATTCTTTGCTTATTTTAACTATTTTTTTAAGAAACTTACTCAAACCGATGGTACTGGAATATGCCCCAACTTGATCGACCTCACCAAGCTTAAATCACTTTTAAACCTACACTTGTTGCAGCACCTCTCCTGTACAAATATTTCCCATTTAGATAGAAAAATCTTTGAATATGAAATAATAAACATATACGCATTGAAATTATCACACAAGCAAATTTGTATTTTTCATAATTTAAGCTCCTCTCAGCCGGAGAAGGAAACTCAAAACATTTTTTATTAGTCAGGCAGTTACAGCTAGAGAAAGAATCTCTTTCACAATGATAAAAGAGCTAGGAAGAAAGAGCAGAGAGATAAAGTTAAGCCTAGAACTTGGCGTCTTGGCGGGTGCGTTTTCGAGTGCTAGAATCGATGATCAAAGCAAAAGAACAAGAAAAGAAACTTACCCAGAAGCGTAGTTCAGAACATCTTTCTGCGACTCGAGCAAATTCAGCTCACTTTGCGCCGTTTTGATTGCCTCCTCATCTTCACTGATCTAGAATACCAGTTATGAGCAGAAGCTACTTTCTTCCAGTACCTTGGCAACTTTGAGCTTCCAGTTCAATTGAGCGGCGCGCAAAGTCTCGGCGATGTTGTCATCTTTCACCTTGAAGACTTCATCTTTTCTCGTCGTTGGAGCCTTGACAACGATGTGCTCCTTCTTCAGGTGGAAGTAGACGTATCCTTGTCGGGCTTCTTCGATGTTGTCAGTGTCGTTTTTCGGCGACATATTCGGCCGTGCCGCGGCAGAATCGAGAGAAGTGGACGACGACCATTGTCTTTTCGGCGTTGACTTCCTTTACCAGACCTTTTAGTCAGATCAAAAATTGATTTTTTATCTTATTCATAACTACAATTTTGATCCTCCTTCCTTCGTAGTAATAATACTCGAATTTGTCGTTCTTCGGATACGCTGCACCGACCATGTCCCCCAATTCCATATGTTAGTGTCCGCATAACCGGGGAGCTAGAATATTGTGCCGTTACCGGGTAGAGCTACTCGCCCTTTGCCGAGGAATATAAAACTAGCATCACTAACATTAATGACCGTCCCTTAAATCGGTCTCTTTTTACTCAATAATAACATAGTAGGGTTCTAACCCGCGGTAATCTCTTTATTATGCACAGCTTCTGTATTTGGTCTCTAAGTACAGTGGCATTTCGCCGATAAAAAGCAGGGAGCTCCGCTTCTTGCGAAGGTGCGTGGATGAGTGAAGAAATCGGCGTCGCTGGCAGTGGGTATCTTGAGAGCGTAGGCGGGCGGGGGCCAATCCGCGGTCAAGGAAGATTCACGCGGCAGGCTCGGTGTGAGAGAGTCGGAGGACTCGGAAATGATAGGTGGAGGACTTTCACACAGGTGGAAATCCGGACACTAATATAGTCCCCTCTGTCATTTTCGAGAGCTGCTACTGTCGGGCAGTGTTCTTCGCGGTTTCGAGCTTGTTCTTCTTGGCAGTGTAGCTCTGGTCAAGGCTGGAGACGAAGTTATGGTACAGCGACATGTATGGGCCAACGGAGAGCCTCTTCATCAAAGTTCGTAGTGGGAGCGATTTTTCAGTCGACCAGAATACTTTGGAGTGGAGTCGATTTTTGGTACCATGGTGTTTGATCAGCTTGAGGAGCTGGGTAATTCGTCGGTGGCATTCCAGAGCAGCTTCCGGCGTGCGCTGGATTCGTCGAACATCCTGGCCTTCGATTGCGGAGCCAAGGATTTTTGCGTTTATTTTCTTTCGCCGGAGGTGAGCTCGTCGGGCCGCTCGTCGTTTTCGCCGCTCTTCTTGTCGAAGATAGTCAGCGATGACTTTGGGGATTTCATCTTCGTCGGACTCTGGGTCGCTTTCAACGACGCGCGTTACTTCGATTTCGTCTGGTCGCGGTTCACGGGGCGCTTCAACCTTTTTTTGGTGGAGGTGGAGGCGGCGGAAGATTTTCTTTCGCTGGAAGAACCGGAGTTGGCGCAGATTCGTCGATGACTAGTCGTGGCGTGTAACTGCCGGGCGACCAGGTTGGAGATAATCCATCGTCGGACGAGATATCGATGTCTGACTCATCTGGTGGTGATTTCGATCGTGGGGGAGTCTTTCGTCGCGGTGTTTCGGATCGTCGTGGCGGAGTCTTTCGGCGTGGAGTTTTGGATCGTCGGGCTCGGCTCGGTGGTCGATCTCGAGGGCGGTTTCGTCGATCAGTTCGGGAGCGCTCCGACCGTAAGTTTCCGGACCTTTCGGTCTTTCGCGAACGGGACTTCCGTGTAACTTCGAGAATGACGCTTTTCAGCCGAACCATTCTAGAAATCACGGAGATCACTTTTTTGTCAGCCATAAAATGCCTGACAGGGTATTTTTTACGGGGGCTTTTCGCCAACACTCGTTCGTAGTTTTTTACAGTATTTTTCGATTTTTTTTGTAATATTTTTTAAATTTTTTATTTTGGAGGGCAGAAAATTGGTCCGAGTAAATAAATGGGTTAACATGCGGTAGGTTAACGGGGCTACTTTAACAAGAAAAGAGATTTAGAAAATAGTGAGTAGAGTAAGACAAAAAAAAATTTTTGGTAATTTTACGTCGATTGGTTAAAATTAAGAAATTCTAGATAAAATTGGTGACACAAAGAATTAGTAAAATTTAGTAAGGGATAATTTGAACAGGTAAAAGGGCTGTAAACGGCGCTTATTGAACAGAGAAAAATGGGCTCAAAGAGCGCGAAAAATTTCATTTAAACGGCTAAAATGGCCGGGGAAGGGTCGAGCGGGAATTTTATTTTGGGGTTTTGCGGTTTCTTGATGATCTTCTAAGTTGAAAGGGGGCGAGATTCTTGAGTAGTTCTTGTGTCTTCTTGTCCTCTCCTCTTTGAATTCTTGATCGGCTTCTCGTTTTCATCGGACCTGGTGACATAGACCGTCTCGCAATCCTCACAGGTGAGGTTGACTGTGCCCTGGGAGGCGGAGAGCAATCCTTCACAGGTGAAGTTGGAGGAGTATGGAACTCATCGGTTGTCAGGTCGAGATTTGGAGTCTCGGGCTCAGTGGGAGCCTTCTCCGCGGTTGTGCTGTCGAGAGAGTCCCCTGGACTAGGGTCACGCATCTCGACTCTTTCAGGTTCGTTGAGCTGTATTTTTGGCGGCTCGTGATGGTATTGCGTTGCTCTGAGAGGGATTCTGAAGTCCGGGAACCACGGTAGCGGGCCTAAAGCCGGTTTTCGTTCTTCGACTTTCTGGACTTGTGTTCGGTGGACCCAATCTTCGGCGCCTTCAACGTCTTTGATACGGACGACGGAGCCGTTACTGGCAGTAACTTCGAACGGACCGAGCCATGTGACTTTGGTCCTTTTGGCGGTAGCAGAGTTGGGTCGATGAAGGAGAACAGAATCGCCTTCGACAATTTCAGGAGCCGGAACCTTCGGCTGCGTTTGTTTTCGTAACGCGGCATCTGCTTCTGCTTGAAACTTCATGATTTTCTCGTGAAGCGTTCTTTTCGCTTCGTATCGTCTCTTCGTATATTCGTCGACCGTCAGATCTTCTGTTTGCGTGACTAAATCGTATTCACACAATCGCGGTTTTTCCAAGTATACGACCTCGAAAGGTGAGATCTTGGTGGAGCAGTTCGGAAGTCGGTTGATGGTAGAGACGACGTGCTGGAGACAATCAGTCCACTCAGCTTGAGTTTCGTGGACCATCACAAAAAGTGCGTCTTTTATGGTTCGATGTTGAACCTCGAGGAGGCCAGTACTTTGTGGTCTGTAACTCGTGTGATATCGCCAGGTGATGTTATGTAGCTTGGCGAATTGTTGATTCATCTCCGCGACAAAATGTCTTCCTCTGTCGCTAGAAATTGATACTACCCGCGGAAATCGATGAAGCACGTGGTCTCTGATGCCTTTAACTGCGTCGACTGCGCGGTGGTTTCTGCATGGTACTGCGATCAAAAATCGCGAGTATGTGTCGATGACAGTGAGGATGTATTTGAAACCAAGTTTGGTGACCGGCATGTCGACGAAATCGCATAGAATGTGTTCGAAGATGCGCGTTCCTTTCGGAATGCTTTGCGGTTCAGGTTGTCGAGATTGACCTCGTCCACCTTTTCGATGCTGGCAGTTGATGCAACTCCTGCTGAAGTTGACTATATCGTCGGCTTTCTCGGGCCAAGTTAGATGGATCATCGCACTTTTCATGCGCGCGGCGCCCATGTGGTTGTTGTCGTTATGATATCGACTGAGTACATCAGGGCGGAGGGCTCTGGGAACGTAGATTTTACCGTCGACGAGAAGTGCGCCAGTTTCTTCGCACCTGGTGAGTTTATTTCGGTGGCGGCGGAGCCAGCTTACTTCATCGTCTTCCTTAGCGACGGACAACTGCGGGAACTCGAAGTTGTGTTCAACTGATTCCAAAATCTTCTTGATGTTTTCATCAGCATATTGCTCGCTGCTGATTCTGGTTTTAACGCTGTCGTCCATGATCGGTTCGTTTTTGCTCACCAGAGCGACGATTGATTCCGGGCAAGTTAGATCATCGCCGTTGAGTTTGATCTTGTCGACACTTTCTGTGTCGGCCCAGGACGGGATGTAGACTTCGAATTTGCCGATATTCACGAATCTACCGGCCGGTTCTGACGGGATATCCTTCGATGTGCGGCTCACCGGTTGTTCAGGATTTCTGCTGAGGAAGTCTGCGATGGAATTGTCTTTTCCGGGGAGGTAAGTAACTATGAAGTTGAACTGGGAGACGGTGTTTAGCCATCGCGCTAATTTATCATTCCGCGGTAGTTTGCAGTCCAAAAAGGTAAGTGCTCGGTGATCGACTCGAACAACGAATTTTCGGCCGCGGAGGAATACTTTCGCATCCATAATCGCCCATACAACTGCTAAACTTTCTCGTTCAGTAGCTGAGTATCGTGTCTGAGCGTCGTTGAGCGTTTTTGAATTAACGCGGATGATTCTCCATTTCTGTCCCTCTACACATTGGGTCAGGCAGTAACCCATTGCGTATTTTGAAGCATCCGTGGTAAGTGTAAATGGAAGCGACCAGTCTGGGTGGTAAATCATCATCGGGGAGCAGAGTCGTTCCTTGATGATTTCGAGGGCTTTGTCGGCTTCGCGAGTCCAGGTAAGCTTCTTTCCGGGTTTATTCGTTTTCAGCAGATTGGAAATGGGTTTGATGATGGCAGAGAATGACATCTTTGCTACATTTTGATCTTCGCGTGCCGCGGCGTATTGTCTAAGCCAGTTCATGGCGCCCAAGAGGCTTTGGAGCCCTTTGTACGTTTTAGGAGGGGCCATTTTCCGGAATGCGTTTGCGTTTCCAGGATCAGCAATCGATCCAAGCGGGGTGATCATCCGGCCGAGCCACTTGACGCGGTCGTAGAGAGCGTGAACTTTGTTTCCAGCGACAACCCAGCCGAATTTATTGAGACAGCCAAATATTTCGTCCACGGTTTGGTAGAAGACGTCGAAATTTTCGGCAAAGATGAGGATATCATCTATGTAGCATTTGAAGTTTTCCTTGTGAGTGACGCTTTCGAGAGAGTGGGCCAGGGCACGACTGAAAATCGAGCCACTGGTCTTAAGACCGAACGGTAAGCGCGTAAACATCAGGTTTTGCGACTTCCACATGATGGAAAGCTTGTGTTGGTCGCATTCTTCGACGGGCACGTTCCAGTATCCAGCTCTAACGTCGAGCGTGAGGAGGTACTTCTGATAGGGCGGGATGATCGACTCTGTTCCGAGGTCTGGCACGCAGAAGGAGTCTTCTTCGCACAAGATCTTGTTGAGGGTTGCCTTGAAATTCATGACGAGTCTAGTAGATCCGTCGGGCTTCGCAACAGGGAGGATCGGGGTGTTAAATCCCTTATTGTTTTTGCATTTTGCGAGGACGGTGATTTTCTTTAGCCGTTCCACCTCGTTGTCCATCGGTTCGTCGTAGGCAGTCGCGGTTTTATACTGGTGTGCACTGGCAGTTCTGCCTTCGATGGTGGGGATTCTGGCCTTGTATGATGTAAATTGACCGATTGGGCGGTCTTCCATCGCAAAAACTCTTTTATGTTTCTCCATAAGTCCGCCAATTTTGACGGCTTCTGGGGCATTGTCGTTTGTACAGTTGATATCTGGGCCGAGTCGTGATTTTATTCCTTTGATGTATTTGTAGGGGTCCTCTGAGCTGCTGATCGCGTAGAACTTGTGCTGTTCCGTTTTCTCGTTAAAGGCGTCTCGGGAGGGCGCACCAATGTACGGCACGCGGGCCCATCCGGCTTTGTTTTTGAAGAATAATGTACGGTTGACGGTGTTGTACGCGATTTCTGAGCATCTCAGATTCATTGGATTTCGACCGAAGATCGCATCGAGTTGTATCATATCGTTGTTGACAACGTAGAACTTGACTCGAGGCCACAGAGTGTTTTTTCCTACTTTGATGTCGCAGGTGACTTCACCGAGGCATTGCTTATTATTGGAGCCGACGCCAGAGATTGTCTGCGTAGTTGGTTTGACGTCAAGTTGAAAGTGTTGTACGACAGATTCTCGTAGCAGGCTTCCGAAAGAGCCAGGGTCGAATAGTGAGTTGATAAATGTATCGGGGTAGGGGCTTTCTGGGAAGAAAACCGGGATGAATTGAGGGGAGCAGCTGCGCTGGACTCGCCTTGACAGGATAAGGGGACCACTTGCGTTTTCTATACCGGACGGTGGTCCTTCACCGGTGAAGTTTAGTTTTTTGACGTAGCATCGGAGTACGCAGAAGCCTCGGATGCGTCAGAGAAGTATTCATCTTCTACTTGAGTAGGGTCTCGGAGCTGGTAGCTTCCGTCCTCTTCGTCGGAGGGAATTTCTTGGTTGCAGCTTGAGTAGTGGGCGCCATACTGCTGCTGGGATTTCGATGGCTTGGAGCCGACGTGGCTTCTGCGGCTGCCATTCGATTTTTTGTCTTTATCGCCACGCTTTTTGGAATTGTTGGCGTTTTTGTCGTCTTTGTCGCCCTTATCTGCGTTTTTGTTCTTCTTTCTGCGGTCGCTGCTGCCGGGACGGCTGTTTCGAGGACTATCTCGAGGACTACCGCGGTGAGCTGCATTGAATCCGCTGTTGGAATGAACTTGCTGTCGAATTTGCTCCGCACGTGTCGCCAACTGGGCAGGGGAGGTAATTGAGGTGAGCTCGATTGAGATCGCTCTGAAGAGGGACTCGTCTTGTGTGCGCACTTCAGTCAGGATCTTCAGGAAATTTATTAATTCTAGGCAATCATCGTAAGAAGGAGCGAAAACCTTTTGCTCCTCGCTACCATTTCGTGAAAGTGAAGCTCGACGCCTCAACCACTCCTTATGAATAGTAGCGATAGAGGCGAGCGATGCTTCAAGCTCAGATTGGTATTGAGGGAAGCTGGTTTTGTAGCTCTTTCTCTTGGAGAAAAATTCTTCGAGCCGTTGGAAGATATTTGAGTGGCTTCCATATGTCGCGGTTATTGCTTCTTTTAGCTCGTCGCTAGTCGTGATGGTTTTACCAGCGAGTGTTCGTATGATGGAAGCGGGCAAGCACGGTTGCACGGCGTTCCAAATTTCCATGAAGGAGATTGAAGGGCAAGCTCGGCTAATAGCCTTGATTTTGGTGAGGAGATTGCTGCAGTCCTCATCAGAGCGTCCGCTGAACTTCAAGCTTGTAATGTAGCTTGTCATGAGGGAGGCCTCCCGAAATGCGTTTTCGTTGGACATGGGAGCGTGGACTATTTCGGGCTTGACGTCCGCGGTGGGGTTAGCCAGGTTATATTCGATCACTGCATCTTCGGCAGCTTTCAGATCGTTTTTGAGCGCTTGATAGTGCGCGTGTTGCGGATCGGATTCTTCGGGTGCGACGGTGAAGCGCTGAATCTGCGTCCGGAGAAGTTTGACTTCGCACAATTTCATTCGAAATTCTTCTGCGGTTGTAGTAGTAGTAGACATCGTAGACGTAGACAGCAGAGAGGGTACCAGAGGTGTCGACTTTGACTCTGTGTACGGGCTCATTTTTATCTATTCTAGTAGAAGCTTTTCACGTGAGTCTCCATTGATCCGAAAAATTTTCGTCCCCCAGAACGTATTAATATTTTGTCCCCCAGCGGGTAAATTCGTTTAAAATTGGGCATATCTAGGTATAATCGGGCAACTGTAACGTAGAATAGCTTTCACTGCCTTCAGCAGGAATATTTTTATTCCGAATCCGCGGAAAATAGGCGTGTTTGCGTGTACCGAGGGCTTATGTCAATGTTTACTAGAAAAGAATTGTTAAATTTAGATTTATTGAGAAAAAATCCCTTTCCTCAAATTAATTTTGAAAAATTTCGAAAAATTTAAGCTCGTGTCGATTATACGCGGTTATTTCGCCTTTTCGGCTTGATTCTGGGCTGTTCAGCATGAAAATAGGCATTTCTAGCTTAGTTGGGGATTACCGGGTCGTGATTGGCCAATTTGGAAATACTGGTCGCTGATTGGACGAGAGGGAAATTCACGTGCGGCTAGGGGTCCTAATCGCCTGAGTATTTCGCCAGTGTTCGCTAACCGCATAACACTACTAGCTAGCTCGCACGTGGGGGCAGTGTCTTTCAGGCGTTCTGATTGGTTGGACTGGGGCCGCGGATGTAATTTCATTTTTTGGAAAAAAATTTCGTTCTGGATGGACTTACCTTTGGAGAGCTCACGTGGTGCGTTTCCTATGGGCTGAACTTCCGGTACTAGGTTACTGTGAGTTAAGAGTAGATTAAGGGTAGGGTCAGTCGAGGAAACTTCCAAATCCGGAGATTTGAAAATGACCAGGTATCTGACACCATTTGTTAGTGTCCGCATAACCGGGGAGCTAGAATATTGTGCCGTTACCGGGTAGAGCTACTCGCCCTTTGCCGAGGAATATAAAACTAGCATCACTAACATTAATGACCGTCCCTTAAATCGGTCTCTTTTTACTCAATAATAACATAGTAGGGTTCTAACCCGCGGTAATCTCTTTATTATGCACAGCTTCTGTATTTGGTCTCTAAGTACAGTGGCATTTCGCCGATAAAAAGCAGGGAGCTCCGCTTCTTGCGAAGGTGCGTGGATGAGTGAAGAAATCGGCGTCGCTGGCAGTGGGTATCTTGAGAGCGTAGGCGGGCGGGGGCCAATCCGCGGTCAAGGAAGATTCACGCGGCAGGCTCGGTGTGAGAGAGTCGGAGGACTCGGAAATGATAGGTGGAGGACTTTCACACAGGTGGAAATCCGGACACTAATACATATCTTTGACTTTGAAAAGCGCCTGTTTGTATTCCCTCTGAATCGCGTCCTTTTCTTTGTCCTCCTCAACGACGTTGACTTGCTCTTTTTTTACCCCTAAAATTGCATTAGAAAGAAAATTCTACAAAAGAGATTATTACGTCGGATATTGGGGAGCCAGTAATTCGGGATAACGTCACAATGAGGCTTTTCTTCGGCTAACCATCCTCTCAATACTGGAGTGTTGAATTTGGTGCCTTTAACGTCGCCCCATGTCTCTTGGCAAATCCATGGGTCGGTATACCACTCGAAGAGGGCTTTTTCGTATTGACTGCTTGAGTATTGCCAAGCACGATTGAACTCGGGAATTTGGTCTTGTCTCACCAATCTTTGCAACTGGTCTCTCTCTGAAAGCCACGTTGTTTCGTGTGTTCCGTAGAAGAACACAGGCCACCTGAGATAAACGATAGATTAAATTTAGAAAAGGAAAGTGAAATCTTACTTGAAGTCCCAGTCGTAAGCTTGTGTTCCCAAGGCATTTCCCAGATTTGGAGTGCGTTTCTGCTTCCTTGTCGGACACAGCTCGGGATTGACGAAGTCGATTCTGGCGATCCACCAAATGGATTGGCTGGATCTTCCGTTTCTCGCCAGAACGACATCGCCAAAGTACAAAGTGGTGCGTTCTTCCCGCCATTCCCTCAAGGTATGCTCTCTCGGCTCCGAAGGCCCGGGTGTTTCCGATTCCGAAGTTTCTTGCGCTTGGCTCATTTTCTAAAATCAACGAATTTTACTTCAAATTCCACATAATGAGTGTCAGAGTGTTGAGCGCAGAATTTATTCCGTAGTCTCTTCCACAACTCGTTCGGCCATTCCTTTGATCTCGACAGCTCCTGGCTTCGAGTGCGCTTGCAAGTTTCGTTCTTTTCGCTTTCTGCTGCTGATCATCGTCTGCATCTTCATTCGCTCCTTGTAAATCGTCTTTGGCAGGTGACGATGGCGAGCGATTCGGCGCACATCCTACAGAAAGAGTAGCATTTAAAATGAACCCTTTTTCGGTAACTTACGTTGTGATGAGCAAATTTCTTCTTGAGCGCTTCTGAGTACTGCAATGATTGTCTCTGTCTGAAGTTAAGAACTCCAGTCTTCGCCCAAGCCACCGTCTTCCAAAGACGAATGTTTCCTTCATCCGAGCCACACATGAGATACTGCGCATCACCTGAGAAGGCACACGAGAAGACGCGCTGCATCCGCTTGATGTGATAACATTCTCTGCTTCTATTTTTCCCTTGTTGGAATATTCTCACGGTTCGATCATAACTTGCTGATACAAGCTCTCTGCCAGTTGGAGACCAATCGACATCCAAAACGGCGTCGGTATGGTCCACGTGAATGGAAAAGGCTTCAGAAAGCTAAGAAAAAGGTTAAGTCTAGAAACAAGTAAAAAATAATGGGCGTGAGTCAGAGTCTGCCAGACACTGAGCTTGGCTCATATTCTTTGGCTTACATTACGAATATCGAAAGTATACAGATTGTTATCTTCATTAGCAACTGTAAACAGCATGGCTTGCTGCGGGTTCCAAGAAATTCCATTACTTTGCATGTCCAATTTCATTTTCTTCATCGGTTCGTCTGCTCGAACATCGTATAGAACGACAGATTTATCTATCAAGATAATCAAGGTTAAATATGTATAAAAACGGGAATCGAACCTGACACTGTCGTGCAAGCAAGATCAGTTTCTACTGGGTTGAATTTTACTCTGTTGTAACTGTCATGGCCCCATTGCCATCTGCGAATAGGGTCGGATCTGGTCGAGTCCCAATATTCGACGACAGAGGAGCTGGTGAGGAATTTCGAACTTTCGTCTTTTACCCGGTGAAAATCATCGATTTCTGTTAGAATTTACTTAAGTTACTAAAGTTGTTATTGACTTCAACGGACCTAGAGCAAAATCACACGACGTAAATGGCGATTTTCCGATAATTGTCGCAATCTCTGGCGCCTCAGAGAATTCATCTCCATTCCAAAGTTTGATTTGCTTGTCAACACCAACTGTTACAATCTTGTCCGTTTTTGAAACTGCGAGGCCGCGAACCCAGCCATCGTGAGCTTGGATTTTCCTCGTTGTCTTCCGGCTTGTCAGTGACCACTTTCTGATTTGGCCGTCTTGCGCTCCGCTCCAGAGGACGTTCAATTTTGCTGGGTGTCGCGCGATAATTGACACACCATCTGAAGCACTTACAGTTTAAAAAGATCAGAAATGGCGAAACTGACCAGTATGTCCCTCCAATGCGCCAACAAACGGCTTGGCCATGACTCTCTCCAACTTCTGTGCATTTAACGCTCTCTGGTACTCTCTGACTGTCTCCAACGGATTGCTGTTTTTAGAAATATTTCTGTGGACTGGGTGAAGCTCTGTCTTTGTTTCTCGCTTATAGTGTGATGGATTGCGGCTTAGAATCTTGATATCTTCCATCTTACGACTTCTACAATAAAGTCTTAAAAAAGAAATCGTTAACGTTTTAAACGTAGTTTTATTCTTCGGAATTATATAATTCATTCGCTCTGTGTGTGATAGAGCATCCCATATTTACTTTAATATCGTAGACAGCTAATCTATCTGTCCGCTCATACAGGAAATATTGACTAACAGAAGATGTAGGAACAAATTGGCAGGTAATGGGATAAGTTTGTTGAAGATGAGCAATATGTTTTAGGAAGCGATCTCTCTCGGTCGATTCCACGGACATTGTGTCAGTCATGAAGTTCGGTCGCTCTTCAAGAGAGACTAAAATTCTTCGTGTTCCCGAATGCAGGAGCTTTTTTATCATCCGAAAAAATTTCATTGTTGTCAAATGGCTGTAGCACACATCCGCGGCGATACAAACTTAACGGATTATTCACGACTGAGTGGGTAGAATAAGGTTATTACCGTCAAAACGACTGCTTAATAATCTACCATTCGGATCATCCCAGGAGCATTTTGACACGAGGACAGGCTTCAGCACATTCAGAGCTTCGTGGTTAAGTTCTATCGATTTTCTCGTCACTTTTAGAACATGATCCAGATCTGTGGCCATCACTTCTTCGCTATAATGACGAGCGATCATGCTCGGCAAAGCTGATCCCGCCCCCAGCTCAACGACACATTTCCCCTTCAACATCTGCGGATGATCCAGCAAATACTCACTACACGACAGTAATCAACCTGTCAATCGATTTCTGATTCTTCTTACCTGAGGAAAAAACTCGCACGCCAGATCTGAAATCCGACATCGTCGATTGCTAATTTTCCTGGGAGAAATGGCAGTTGATATTTTGTAATTTTAATCAAATCGTCGTCGGCGTCTTTTTCATTCGTCAAAAAAGGTTGGAGGAATTTGAGTTGGAAAATCGAGTACTCCCCTTCTTTTGCACAGGTTGCTATATCATCCTCCACCTCCTCATGAATATCCGAACAGTACAATTTCATCTACTGTTGTCGACAGTGTCCGTTTCTAAATACTGTTGCTTGAACTTTATTACCACTTGATTAACGCTCCTTTTCTCTGGTTATGGGAATGAAATATTCACGTAATAGAATATAGAGCGGTTAACAGTTGTCACCAGAAAGAGCATCTCGATTAATTTGCTTCGAATAGGGCGCTATTTGAATTAGAATCCCGACTGTACGAGAACGATACGCTTTGGAACTCGCTTCTCTCTCTCTTCTTTTATTATTTATTTTTTACTCGTTTTCAAAAGAGAGATGAAAACCTTCTATCTTTTTCTCATTTACATGTGAGTCAAGAATATGACAAGTTGAAACACAGTTTAAGAGCTTATCTCCTTGGACTTACGCGAATATTCCAATTGACCGAACGAGAAGCCGAGGAAAAATTATGCAGGGAGTCGAGAGAAAAAGTGGTGAAATACAAACGAGAACTGGCAATCAGCAGTTTCTACGAATTCGGCTACAACAAGCGACTTTGCAACGTGCTTGAAAAGCGGCTTCAGTCTGGGAAAAAATTCTCTTTGGCCTTTTTGAAGGAAGGTTTTACCGCACTAGTGAAGCAAAATTGCACTGAAGATGCAATTAACCAGCTCAATATGGAAGCTCGCAAAAGAAAACTCAATCGTCAATGGGTAGAAAAGGGTTTGAAAAAGGGAAAATTGTCGATTTTCAGGGCAAGGAATGGTCAAAAGCGCTTCGGCCGACGAATTTGAGCTTGTTCAGAGATGAAGAATTCAACCTTTCCGGGACTTATATTAAAAACCTTCTTACGTAAGTAACAAAGGTTAATAACATCGACAATTTTGTTATTGGCTATAAAGGGCCTTGAGCCTGCTGAAAGTAATTATAAATAGAAAATGAGATGGGTCGGCTAACAGCCTCTCTCATCAAAAATTTGTTACTGAGAAAGAGGAATCGAGCTAAACTTGGGTCAAAGTCAGTAAAACACCGTGACCTGATAAAAAAACAAGATGCGCTTCTTTATATTTAGAAAGAAGTTGATAAAATAAAATTTAAGTGATGTGGTTATGTTGAGCTTCGAGTCCTACCCAAATATGATCTATAATTGCTTCGAGGGAGAAAAGTGGTCCTTCGACCAAACATTCGTCTATGTCGGCTCAGTGGCAACCACGATTGGGTTCGGAAATGTCACTCCGAAAACGCAACGCGGCAAGATCTTGACTATGTTTGTTGCGGGCATCAGCATCCCGCTTTTTGGTATTCTCTGCAGCAAAATTAATAAACAAGGTATAAAGAGCAAATAGCTCGTATCCAAAAATGCGCTCAGTTGACAAGGGAATCATTAAACTGCAGAAATGGATCAAGAAACGAAGCTCAAACTATGCGAAAAAGGACTTCATCGAGCGCGTTTTTCACAAACGAACAATTATGCTACTATATTTTACGAGCGGCATATGTTTGTTCGTCGTCTTACCATCCTTTCTCTTTCGATACATGGAAGGTTGGACCTATCTAGGTTCGTTTTCACAAGTGGCAAGGCTTGATGATTATTGCATCGTTTCAGATTCGGCATATTTCTCGATCATCACAATAACAAAGATCGGTTTTGGTGACTACATTCCGCGAATGGTCCCGCCCGACTTTGCTGCAGATTACATCTTCAATCAACAATGGTGCCTCAGAGGTAGAAAAAAAGAAAGTTCGAACATGAATTAATTACAATTGGTTTAGCCTTTCACTTTGAACTTAACTTTCTATTAGCACTAACAAATCCATCGCCACAGAGCGGCCCGACAAACCAAGAAACTGGCATGCCTATTGCCTGCAATATGACTACTTGGCCACCGCATGTCGAGAAGATCTTCACTCTTTATAGAGTGCTGATTTTCTTTTGGATGATTTTTGGGATTTCTTTTTCTATGACTATCGTCACTTTAGGTACATAAAAATTGGAACCCAAAGCAACTGAAATTTCTCTAGTGAACCGAAGAGTCGAAAAATACCTCCAAAAACACTTCCCCGGCGCCTTCATCGCCGAACAGAAAGAAACCTCTCTGCTCCGCGTTTTCCAACAACACTCTGCGCCCAAAATCTGGGACAGCAATACTGGCACCCGCCAGCCACTCAAAGAAAAAACGCAAGAAGTGAAATACGTGAAGAACAATCTCAAGTTGAGCTAAATATATTGAACATACAGAATAGCTGTAATACTGAATGATGAGGATATACAGACAGAGAAATTTCTTTTTAATAAATATTTATACAGAAACATGTCTATTTAGTATTGGCTTTTTGACGATCTTGAGAAGGAGGCGGAACTACGCGCTCGGCGAGTTCACAAAGAGTCGGCCTTTTTTCAAAGCGCTAGAAATTTCGATGAAAATAGTGAAAGTTTTTAATTGACTTACAATTGGCTGCGACTTCTTTTCTCCAGACTTCCAATTTCTGTGTCGGTCAAGGATCCTTTCCGTCTTTTCCCGTTCACTATTAATATTTGGACACGTTTTTTCTTCTGTTATCTTCAAGTTTGTTTTTATAGCTGTCGAAGCCGTGTGTCGAGCATGAAACGGCAGTAACCTACAGCAAGAGATTAGTGGAAGTTTTGATCAATGAGGACTTACGCTTGATATTTATCATCGGTGTAATTTTCGGGATATTCTCCAGGCATCCAGTTGACTTTTTTCGCAGTAAGGATTTCGTAGAGGTAAAAGATCAACTGTTGAGGCGCACCAGGCTTTTCATGAATCGTCATTTCAGTCATTTGTTTCAGCTAAAATCAATTTTAAATGCCATAAGATGTAAGTAGCTAGTTCTTCTAATCTATCGGCTATTTCAGCCAATTAGATAGAAGCGTTCATTATCTTATTGAATAAGACTTATTCTTGACCCAGAAATGTCACAAATCAAAAAAGGCGACTTACCATCTCACTTCGAGATTGTTTCTTTCCAAATATCTTCTTAAATGAGAGCTCAAGCTGATGCCAGTTTGCCTGTTTGCTCGGAAAACTATCGCCATCGCGGTACTGTTCAATCGACACGACCTAAATTGAGGATGAGGATCGTCTCTAGAATTGTTTTGCGTTAGCTTACCTCTGGATAATAATGACCAAGAATCTCAGCGAAAGCGTAGCCATTGCTGAAATCTCTGATGACGTTTTTGATGTTCTTTCGGAGACTCATGTTTTGGAGCCACTTCCAGATCTCTCGCGGAAGTTTTGAGGATGGGGGCGTCTCGCCGAATTTCTTTTCGGTTTTGGCGATGACTTGACGGCAGTTTGCATGCTTAGGCTCTGTCTGAAATCGGATTATTAGCGATTTGAAAGTCAAGGGGAATTTTTACCTGTGTGGAAGCGGAAACTTGAGTATCTCTTAACGGAATGGCTAACGATCTGCGACTCAGTCTTGGAGTCACTCGATCGGAACCATTAGTTGTTGCCAATAACGTTGTAACAGGGGCTAAAATGTTAAATTAGATCAAAAAGTAAAATAAAAAATTCTACCTAAAATTAATTGTAGCGACTTTATTTTTCCAATACCTTGGCCTTCCACCATTTTTGCACCTTTGAAACTGATTTGTTTGTCATTTTTGCGAAAATCGAAGTCGATGTTCTAGAAAAATAAACTTTTCAACCCTTCAAAAAAAGACATTCGCCATTTGAACTTGAGGAATTTTTATTGGAAATTCGGACAGTGCGAATAGAAGCTGATAACAATAAAGGATCAATAAAGGTAAATCATAAAGGGAAGTTGGGCCGAGGTTCATTTTAACGGCAGTCAGGATTCATTTTTCTAGCTTGTCGATTTTGAGGATTTTGTTGATGTTCTGAATATTTTTGAAGACCGGTTGATTGTTGCAGAATTTTTACCATAAAAGACACTTGTCGCAAGAATGACTGGAAAGTGAATGTGATGTCTTCTCGTTGTTGCTTTGTTAGTGTGCCTTGTTCAAAAATTATCAGTTGAGAGGCTTAATAAAAAGTCTTACCAGCAGCATCACCAAGATTTTCCTCCGGCTTAGCGCCTTCGAAATTAATCTCACACCAGTCTCTAACGCCAACATTTTCAGGGAGCAAAATTCCAGAAGAGATTACAGCCAAAACTCGTCTGAATCCATCTCCTAAAAACCAATAAAGCTCGATCCAACTAAAAACGCCATACCAGCTGTGAGAGGATATGGAGAGGTATCCAATGCCTTGTGGATGATCAACTGAAGAGTCCAGTACTTCAACCCAGCCAAATCGCTCGACCACTCGTTGAGTAAAAATTTGAGGATTCTGCACAATGGGATTGCGTTAAAATTAGGCGCCACGCGTTTCTGAAATCGAAAAGTAAACTCATAACTCGAAAAGGCTTCATTGAACATGCGCTTTGAGTATAACCGTAAAAAACTACCTGGAAAAAAGTTGCACGTCTAAGAGCAGCAAGAGCCTCAAGGCATTTAGTTCGTGGTAGAACGTCCGATGGATCGTTGGACTCTACATAACACAGGTGAGGGCTGTTTCTCTACCTTCACCTGTATCAATAGAACAGCTCAACTGCTTGCCAGAAAGAAAAAGAAGATATTTCGATCAAGCAGTTGAGCTTTATGATGGGGCAAGATTGAGAAAACTCCTCCGGCGCCATCATTCTCCTTTCAATCAAGTCTTATGCGATCTTTTCTGTGCGCTCGAAAATTTCAAATATGGCAAAGAAAAATTGGAAGCGCACAAAAAGATCGTTCTTATTTAGTATCCTACTCGGAAATTACTGTGTTCTTACCTTCTATGATGGTAGTATCGTTACTAGGTCGCATCTTTGGCGAGGTAAAACTAAGAGTTATACGAACAGGAAGAGAATTGACGACTTTTTCGATGATGATTCGACTGTTTTTCGCATCGTTAGTGACCATGTTTGGATTGTGGAGCAATCCAAATTCTTTGGTGAATCGAGTCAGCAGCTTGATCGTCGGTTTTTCTTGGCAGGAAATCACGAGCTCGGGAGTCAACTCGCCTTTGAACAGTAAATCGTTGCAGTAATCTCCCACTGGCTAGAAAAGGCATAAAAACGAGAAGAAAATTGGGTTCGAAAACCTGTGGTGCTGTAATGAGCCACTCGGTAGTGGGATTGATCGCTTCTTCTTCGGCTTTGAGTTTTTCAGAAATCGTCTTGGCATACCCAGTTACTGAATCAACAGCGCTTGTGATGGCGACTCTTTCTTCTTCAGTGAATTCCAATTCTTCCAGTTTAAACTGCAAGTGTCGATCGTCAAAGGGCGTGGTTCGTCTGCTTCCCCAAGAGGGCATTACAATCGGATGCTTGAGATCTACACTCGAGTCTGGATATGCTCGGCCGTCCTTTCGTTGCTTTTTGCTCCTTCCTTGTGTCTTTTGCCGGAGTTGCCAGGAATAAGGCCCGCTTTGTAAAGTTGAATTACCATCGACAACGCGCATTTCTTTTGCGCGCTCTTCTTATTCGGCGCTGTCGCACTAGCTGTGAAATGCTGACCATCAGGCATGTCAATCTCCGTAGAACAGACGAATTGCTTGTTGAAAGGCCCTCCAGATTCCTTCTCCTCGCAGTTGAGCTGTTTTCCTTGCTTGTGAAAGAACTCAGATAGCCGAGAGCGCGCCAGTTCCAATGTCCAGTTTCCGTTTTCGTCGAATTCTTCCTTGACTTCGTCGACTTTTCGCTTCGACCCAGCCGTCAACTCGTCGCAGTCGGCGTCGTTCACTTCTTCGATGTTTTCATCGCAGCTCATTTGCGTCGAACTCGAGCGTCGTTTTTCGCCAGCTTTCTCGATCAGTCCTCGTTTGAATAACTCCCGGACCATATTGAGCGCACATTGCGCGTTGGCAGTCTTCTTGTTACTCGCTTGGGCGGTTTGAGTGATTTGACCTATTTTCTTGATGTTCAAGGTGAGTTTAGAAATGGCGATGTGTTGGAATTGGGATCCATGAGAAGTTGTTTCAAACTCGCAGCTAATACGTTCTTCCATGCAAAATTCGTTCAATCGTCTTCTTGCATTTTCAGCACTCCAGCCGCCATTTTCAACTAAGCCGATTGTCTGCAAACTGGAATTGGGCGGATGTTTTGAAACAATGGCAGTGTCCTGATTCGCCTGTAACTCTTCCGTGCTGACTTTCTTTGGCAGCGCGCACTGGTTGACCATGTTGTGCTCGACCAACTGCTCACAAAACTCCCAGGCGCAGAGCGTTTGCGCTTCTTTCTTGTTCTTAGCTTCTTGGACGGCTTCTAGCGGCTTGGCCAAACCGGCAACTTTCAGCGTACAAATATAACGCACTTTGGGGTATTTTCCCTTTGCAGTGAAATTGTACTCGGGCTTGAGCTTCTTCTGCGTGCACCACTCGAACAACCAAGCTTTAATTTCCGTCGCTTTGATCGGCCTCGGACCTGGCTGCTTTGGCTTGGCAAAACTGTTGAACTGTCCTCGACCGCGAAATGGAATTCCTCTTGGTCGAACTGGCGAACCTCTGCTAGGGACTGGCTGTCCAATCGGGCCGAAATTTGGTTGCGGAGATGGATAATTGGTATGACCGTAGCCATAATTTCGTTGGAGGTTGCTTGGAGCTAATTTTGCGTATTGAAAAGATGGACTCTTATTTTCGATTTTCTAACCTGGTGGACCAGGCGGCGTAACCTGTTGATTCCAGCCTTGATTTATGTCCGGCGTATGCTGATGAGAATGATTGTAATTATAGATATTCGGGTGGTCCTGATGTTGCTGTCCGACAGAATGAGCGGAAAACGAGTTGTAACTCGAGGGCGAATACGAGTTATTGAAATCGTTCCCTGGCAGATTGTAAAACTGACCAGACATTCTAACCAAAGAAAATCATGCTTGCTGTTGCTGCTGTTTTAGCTTCAAATCAAAAAAGAAATGTTTTATTAACAGAAGTGACGTTTTACTGTAACTGTGAGTGAATGATCGGTTTTTTAGCTGAGCTCATTTTTGCTGCGGTTAGATAATTTAAGGATAAGCTGGATTTCGTTAAAAAGAAAGAAAGAAGTGAATAGAAATCGTATTTTATTATCATTTGTTTCGTATAAGAAGGAATGAAGTAACCCATTATCGGGCGTTTTTTTGTATTTTTATTTAGTATGATAAGAAGATAGTTCAGTGGAAATTGTGTGGGATCGAGCGAGGTACGGAATGTTACTTTAGTTATTTTCGAAACAAGAAGTTGAAAGAATAAAAATTGAAAAAAGAAGGAAAGGTCAATGAATTTTTTATTTCAAAAGTTGGAGCGAGAAAATAAATTAAAAAATTAAACCATATGTGCAAGGTGGGGAAAGAACGCAAATAAAAGTAGTAGTAGCTGGAAATTGAATCTACTGTTTGTTTTATAATTTAGCTCTTCTCATCTGGAGCCGAATTGCTGCTCCAGTTCGAGAAGCTTTTTGCTCATTTTAGGTTTCGTATTTGTTTGTGGACTGACGCCAGATTGCTCAAAAAGCTTTGCTCGATCGCGAAAGTTAAGTTTTGAAGGTTCAGGCTGTGATTTTCGCATGAAGGAGTTGTCCCTAAAATCTACGATGAGGAGAGCACTCTTCCTTGATTTCACCTCTTGATGTTGGCCAGGCGCTTTTCTCGTGGATCATTGTAGATTTCGTTGGTTCCGATGACCCCGGCAGACTCGTCTAAATCCGGACTCGGGCTGGAAGTGGGCTCGTACGCGCTTTTAGGTCTCGTCGTCGGCACTGTTGGTTTTTGAGGCAACGGAGTCTGTAAAATTGGAAGTGAGTAGTCAAATTATTGACGGTTGATTATTACGAATTTTTCTTGAGGAGGTTCTTGTGTTTTAGGATTGTAGCTCGATAGTGGTCGCTTATTTTTGGTGAAATGGTGATTTGGAAGAAGAGGAGTGTACGAAGATATACTTGCATTTCTTGTCTGAGGTGGCTATAAGAAATGGTCAGTGACTCTATTTCGAACTGGAAATAGGAAATTTACAAGGACTGGTGATTTATTTCGAGAGAGCAACTCTTCGAGCTGCTCTCGTTCGCGTTCCATACGGTCTTCAGCAGCTTTTTGTTCCTAATTTGGTCGGTAAAATTTTGGTCTCGTTTGAAATGTTATGCACCCAGAAGATGAGTATATGAAGTTTTGGAAATTGAAAGCTTTCACTTCAATTTGGTACAATTTCATAGAAACTACGGATTGACAAAAATCATATACAGATCTTGTCAATTTTTAAAATTAGTCGAATTCACCAAGCAAAGTTTACAATTGTTACTTTACACACCGTTAATTAACGCATGAACGCACAAAATTGTTTTCCTGCTGAACGCATATTGCGCAGATTTCTGCGCAGCACCTTTAGAGCGCTCTAGCGACGACTGTGGTCGAGATTTGAGAAAATTAAAGCTACCAGAATGAAGCTCAGACGCTTGCAAACAAGCTTATAATAGTTTAAAATCCTAACCCTTACCCGAACCTCGCTAAAAATAATGATTTCTAAAGTTACTCGAAAATGAACCATTTTTTCCAATTTTTTTCAATTTCATTGATCGCAAATACAAATGCACAAAATATATATCTACGAATGATAAAATTTATATTAAATTCGATGCAAATATGCGATTAAACATGGAAAAAAAAATTTCATCGACGGAAAAATTAATTCAGAACTGTTGAAAAGCTAAAAAAGCATGATTCGAAAGAATCGGAAATTTTTGTTCTGAAGCCAAAATTTTATCCTGAAGTCAAAATTTTTTTTCGATGCTAGATTCTGATTCCTCATCGAAAAAGAGCTCCTAAAGTGGGGGTCCATTAAAAATTTTGGTCAAGTAAAGTATGAGATATCGAGCTTTAAAGGGGCTCTGCGCAGAAATCTGCGCAATATGCGTTCAAGCGTTAACTTCACCCAATCATTTATTTTAATTAATTATTGAGTATTTCAGAATGCGATGTTTTTCTCGCTAATCTACTGGTTTACCCTTAAGCGCTGTTCAATACTAGGACGATATCGTCGCTGGAATTTCGTGTTGGAATTTGAATCAAAATTTCCATTTTCAACATGAGATGTTGATGGAGTTCTTACGTAATTAGAAGTGACGGAATCTGGTGGAGGTGGAAGAGGGGCGTCGGGAGCGGCGTAAGGGTGTGCTCGTGGAGGACTGGCTTCGCGAACGACTCTTTCGATGTCGTCTTCGACTTCTTTGAGCTTTTCCTGATCGTCAAGCCATTTTCGACGTTGACTGAGCTTGTCTTCTTCTGAAAGAAGCCCTTTTTATTGACCATAAAAAGGGTTGTTCTGTGCGACATTGATTTCAAATCGCTCTCGATTTGAACAAAAAAGACTGATACACGAACATTTAGCAAAAAAATCCACTTACCGGAAGCTCGACGTCTCCTGACTCGGTCAAGTTGTCGATCAAACTTGTCAGCGTCAACTTTTTTCGCGAGTTCTTTCTTTCTCGCTTCCTCTCTGAGTTTTCGCTGGAGTTCTTGCTCCCGCTGCTGAGCACGCTGCTCAAGTTCTCGCTTCTGAGCTTGTTGCTCTCGCTCAAACTCGGCTCGCTCGCGCTCAAACTGCTCCTGCTCTTCTTTCATTCTGCGGAATTCTTCCTGTCGTCGGAGGAATTCTGCACGCTCTTCCTCCATTTTTCGGCGCTCCGCCTCAAATGCCTCCTAGAATTTGCTTTGAATGCAAGAAAAATAATAGCGATGACATACTTTTTCCGCCAAGAAAGCGGCTTTTTGAGCATCTTGCTCTTCCCGAAGTAGCCTTTCTTGTTCTTTTAATCGCTTATCTTCGCTCCTCTTCAAATCTTCCATTCGCTTTTCCTCCTCAATTTTGCGTTGTCGTTGTCTTTCTTCCGCCTCTCGAGCACGCTGTTCCTCTTCTCTTTCGAGTTGTTGCTGCCTCTCAAGTTCTCTTTGTTGCTGCTCAAGTTGGGCCGCCAGTTTTTCCTCTTTTTTCCTTTGCTCAGCAAGTTCCTTCTCCTTCAGCTCGAGTGTTCGGGAGATTTCGTCAGCCATGCTCGTTGAGTTAGTTTCTTCCTCGGCAGATTTATGGACATTGAGTGAGTTCTGGCTTTGAATCTTTGAAAAAGCTGTAAAGAAGTCTGTTCTAAGCGAACTTACCTTCAGGAGAAGATCTCGATCTGGACGGTCTGGAACATCTTCTTCCGAGTATGAATCGATTTCAGAAGTCCCCGATGGAATGTGGTCGCGCTTTAACCGCTGGCTGAACTCTTGCTCGGCCATGAGTACTTTTAGCCTACAAGAAATCATGAAAAATGACGCGAAGAATATATTACCTCTCATTTTCAGAAGCCGTTTTGTTCTTTTTGTTTTGCAGTTCGATTATCTCCTCATCTCTCATCATATCAAGTTGCTCTTGAATAAGTCGTTGCTAGAAAAATCTAATTATCTTTTTGCTCGAGTTTAAAGGACTCTTACCTGAGGATCTTCCCACATTCCGCCTTTGTTCTTCCTGCCTAAAGTGCCCGACTGTGACGTCAGTGTTCCAGTCTTATTCGCACTCTTAGCGTCGGATTTCTTCTTCTCTTGGCTTCGTTCACGATGGCGGGATGATTTTCTTTCCCGGTTTGCTCGATCATCGCGATGTCGTCGACCAGAACGTCTGTCTTTGTGAGTTCGCTCGTTTTCACTTTGACTGTCGCTTTTTTGAGACTTTGGACTGGCCTAATGAAAAAATTACAGGTCTGAAAATTACAGAAGAGAATTACTTTTGGCTTGAGCTCGACCATTTGATCCCTTTCATGATCAGAAGGTGTTTGTTGACGATGATTTGGCGTATTCTCCTTGGAGGGCGGCAAGCAATACTCGTGCCCGTCAGAATTGACAGTGGCCTCTAGCAAGTGTGCTGGTGGCAACGGAAGCTCCGTCTATGACAGAATAGTAAATACGCATTTCGTCGAAAGTAAGTCCCTCCTCTCGAAAGAACTCCAACTTACTGTTAGCTTAACTGGAGCTTCAGCTGACACAATCTGAGGCTTATCGGGATAGTAATTGTTTATCGTCGTGTAGGAGCTCTGACTCTGACGGATTCCTGAAAAAAGCTTGTTTAGTGAAGAAGTCCCTTTGTGATTTTAAATTCAGGATGTACGCTTTTGAAAATTTTGTAAAGATCGCTGTCGCTGGCGAGATCTATTGTGCTTCAGCTGGCGGCTGGTGAGATCCTGTAATATTTCCTTATCAGGCTTTTCAAGCATCAAGCCCTCGGAAAGAGTATTTGCTTGTGGATAAGTTCCTGTTTACTCTAGTAGCAAAATGACTTGAAAAACTCTGCCTTTGACGATATTTCAGAGCCAAGATTATCATTCCAAGAGGTTTTTCTCTTGTATGAAAAATCTTTGTCGGACTTTCGTCTCTTTTTATGGAATTATTCAAGAAAAAATCCAAGCTTAGATCTTTTGAAACGACCAAAACTAATGTTGAAATTTTAAGAAATTTAAATCCAATTGCCCAAAGCCATGATTGCGAAGTCGTAGCTTTTACTGCATCTAATTTAAGTTCATTTTCCTTGACTTCAAATTTCCCCACTAGGGATTTTATGCCAGTCTTTTTCGTATTTGGCTTCGCATCCTTTTTAACGAAGTACTCTGAGTTCAAAAATCGATCCAGCGCTGACATCTCTGCTTCTTTTAAGCGGATGTAGTTTGGATTGTTTTAGAAAGCTCTCTTTTTCTTTTGTTGATTCTTGCGGCAGTGTTTAACGATAAGAGGCTCTTTATTCCCGCCAGACTTACACAACTTCTACTTTTCACTACAAGTGGACACCTTCTAGTGGGCGAAAACACGCACTGTATATTCCCGATAGATAAATAGATAATTACCGTTTAGTTTGACGCCGCTTTCAACGGAGGCTCGTGTCGGACTGGGCTGAGCCAACAGCTGATCTACGCCGTAAAGGGAAGCTGCATCTTTGATGACGGTCAGTTTCACCGTATTCCCTGTGTGTCGCATTATGTCCGCCGCTCTGTCTTGCGATAGACCTTCCAATGATCGGTCATCAACAGCCACTAGAAGGTCGCCAGAAGCTAATCGACGATCATCATAAGCTGCTCCTCCTTTTTCGGGGTTAGATTCAATAATAATTTCATAGATTCAAAGAGGAAATTTTTAGCAAATTTCATTGCGTTTCTTATTTGCCCGCTTTTATGTCTCCAGAACAATTTTCAAAACCCTTCCTGGGACAACAGATTTAATGTAGATTCCATAGTCATGCTGCGTAGCGCCCTTAGCAGAGACGATACTGAGTCCAAGACCACCACCTTTCTTCTCCAAAATTATATCTTCGTACACAGGCTCGGGCTCCTGATTCAAAGAGCCACGGATTGAACTACCAGCTTGGTGTGGATTGTGATGATCTTGAGTGCCATATCCATCTTGCTCATGCTCGAGAAAGTAGATGGTCCAGCTAATTGTGTTGTCTTCGTTTGCGTAGAAGTAGCAAAGGCCCTTCGCTTGAAGTGGCTCCATGAAATCGTAGAGGCCACTTGGGACGCCTTTTAGCACGTCAGAAGTGTAGCCATCTTCTGGCAGCAAGAATGGCAATTGAAGATCAGGATCTTCTTTCAGCACGACATCTCGACCATCTTCGCGGGCAAGTTCATCAGCATTCGATTCAGCGAGACGAACGACGTTTGTGATAAGATTGTGTGGAATCGGCTGCTCTCCTGGTTCTGGGCGATAGGATTCTAACAGGGCAGCCAGTTGAATTGAATTGAGTTTGAAACAGCTCGAGTTGATTTCATTGACGTCGTGGTTGCTCTGCTTGGGGATGACGAGCAGATGCATCGCCTGGTTCACTCGAGCCAAGTGGCACTCAGCCGCAAGTTCAAGGCCTTGTTTCTCAGCCCAAGCCTCCACTCGTGCTAATCGGAGGCGGATAACGTTGCCCCAAGAGCGATTACAGTAGTGTTGAGCATTATCCTCATCGATAACTTCGTTGAACAAGGACATGTTGACAAAGTGGAAAAGCTGTGAAAAGAGTTGAATCGTCAGAGCAGCGTTAACTCTGCATCGTCGGAGGAGGCTCATTGCATTGTTGAGCATTTGAATGATGTCGTACATTGTTGAATTCTGACTTCTGGGCATCGGGATTTCGTCCATGCCATCTTCTCCAGGGAGATCTTCGCTCGAGGTCGAGAAAAACGCCTGCATATGATCCATTAAATTAGCTTCTAGCGCGTGAACAAGGAATTTGAACGCCAGCTGCACAGTTTGAGCAAGTTCTTCTTGATAATCTTCAGTAGTGTGGGAGAGTTCGCGATCCTGTCGGAGAAAATTCAACAATTCAGAGCTATTTGCCATCCAGAAAGCGAGAAATCCAGGGTCAGAGTTGTTTGACATTATGTATTGCTTGAGCTTGTGCGTGATTTTTTCGATCAATGGAGTGTTGAAGCCGGCGACTAAGTGGTGACGGGTGAGGAGATAAAGAGTGTAAGATGGTGAAAGGCGGAATTGAAGGGGTCGTTCTTGAGCTGCATGGAGAATTTCGTCGAGGAGAACATCTTCTGTTGACATTGAATATTCAATCTTAGCGGGCAATAGGGTTCGATAGTTCGTCGGCGGCGTTTGTTCGTACTCTGGTTCGTCTGGAATTGGCTGAACATAACCTGCATCGTCGCTGTGTTCATCGTCATGGCGAAAGCCAAGGCCAGGTCTTGGTTCTTGATCAAGCGCGTGAATACTTTGATCAGCACTTCTCCCGTGGCGAGGGACGCGAAGAGGCTGAATTGCATTACTAGATCCATATTCTCGGTGGAAGTGTGTATAAATCTTCTGCTCGAGATCTTGACCGCTGATGCCTGACGGTTGGCCATCTTCATGCGCGTCGAGGAAAACAAGGAGAGTATCCCTACCGAGACGTATAACGACGCCATTTTCCAACATGAAAGTTTCGCGAATTTCTCTTCCGTTTACTTCGACAGGCGTCTTTCCCTTATCAGTGTCATTTGGCGTTATCGTTACGATTCCCTCCATGTTTGCCAGTACACAGTGCCTCTGCTCTATATCCAAGCCACGCTGCAGGCGAATGTATTGACTGAAGCTTTTTGAAGTTGAGGGAACGTATCCAACTTCTGTCACGTTTGGAAGGACTTCGTGGACGATTGCCGTAGCACCTGGAGAAATAATTTCGAGAATTTTAGGATGGCGGCCTGCTTTGACCCCTTCGAGGACTGTGATTGTATTGCTTGTGGTGACTTGAGGAGATTGTGGGCCCTGCATTTGGTGAGGTTTCAAAGGTCGGTTCTTGTCATCTGGACGTTTCTTTCTTTGCTTTTTGGGCTTGTACCCAGGTGGGGAGGCTGCATGACGAAGACCATTGTACCGCGAGAGCGATCCCATTTGTTCATGATTTCTAGCGGCTTTTCGTCGTATTCCATGAAGGTACCTCTTTCGCGAGGGGGACAATGATCAAGGACAGAATTTACAGGAATGACACACTAAAAAATAGTCATGAGCGGGGCTTCCCTTCTCGATCACCCGAGCTTACCTTTGCAATGAGGTAGTTTTCTGGGTCATCTGAGACGTTGAGCTTCTTTAGTGCTCTTTCTACAACTTCATCAACATTATCAATAGGATAGGCTTTGGTCATTACAAGATACTTCCCGGGGCAGATATCAGTGTAAATCGGTATTTCCTTCGCTTCATGCGCCACTTTATCACGCTTTTTACTTCGATTTTTGTCGACGACAAATTTAGGGTTCGAAATCGTCCGGGTAAAATCAGACGGCTTTGCTTCGTCAAAAATGACATCAGCGATTCCATCCTGCTTCTGAGCATTTTTCTTCGATTTCTTAGTTGATTTACGCTTAGAACCGGGCTCGTTGATGTAGATTTCGCCCACTGTCTTGTGAATTGAGAAGTTGTCGGATTCGTTATTGACGACAAAGCGACCGTCGAGATTGTCTTTAATCCAATTCAGCTGGACGAGCAAGGGGTATTCGTTGTGCTGTAGTTTGATCGCGTCTTTGTTCGGATAAGCGACGTAAAGGGAATAGTTTGGCTAAAGAATTATTTTTTGAATTCCTGATTATCAAATTGTTGATTTCTTACCGGCGAGAGCATGCGCATGTCTGATCTTAATTTCTCCCTAAGCGTCTCTATCACGTCAAAAGTAGAGGCATTCGAGGCCACGCGGATGCACTTGGTCGCCACTTTCTCGCCCTGATCCTTGTAGTAGAATCGGATGACGCCGAAGAAGTCGCCCGAGTCGTTTGGCTTCGAGATCGCGAACATGTCCAGCCGCGTCTCGTTCCATTTTTCTATTCTAGCGTCTAGATCATTCATATTCGCATCTGAAAACAGAAATAAAGACGTAGGTCTCAAGATAGGTAATAATCTAATAACCCAGCAAAGAGATGAAGAATCAAGGTAAAACTAGTTACAGAAAAAAAAAAGAGAAAATGAGCTTACAGAAAACTGAATGAATTGAGTGATTATCAAATTACTCCGCCGAAGAAGAAACTCGTAAGCGTTCGAGCGAAGCGCCGATTAATTTAACAGCGCGTTCAATTTGCTCTTCTGTGGTCGTGCGGCCCGTCGAGAAGCGAATTGTTCGTTTTTGAATTTCAAAGTCAATTCCACACGCGTTGAGCACGCTAGAGCCAACTGATCCAGAATGGCAAGCCGCTCCCGTTGATGCTAGAACTTGCCCGTTGAGAGACTCGATGAACTCTTTCCCACTCGAAATTTCGCGGATAGAAACAAGAAGCGTATTTGGCAAACAAGGTTCCTCTGAAAAAAAAACTCATCATCAATCTTCGAAAAAAGACAAAGCATACCAGAGAGCCAAGTAATAGAAGTCATGAGCGCGCTGAGTTTCTCTTTCAGAAGGTCTCTTGTTCGCCGCATCTGGGCAGCATATGTTGCCAAGTGTTCATTTACCAAGCGTGCCGCTTCCCCTGAAAAACGATATCTTATAAAATAGATCCATTATCGTAAAGGCCGATGTAATTTGAGAGTTACTTGTTTTGCTTTTCGCCAAAATCTGATTTAGGCGCGTAAACAAGAAAGAGAAAATAACATTACTGATCAAAAAGACAAACGCACCTAAACCGACAATCATCGGCGTATTTTCCGTCCCAGGGCGTAAACCACGCTCCTGCCCTCCACCGAAAAGCATGGGCTGCAGTTTTGACGGATCACGAGCATACAAGGCGCCGATTCTCGGTCCGTAAAATTTATGGCCCGCGAGGACAAGGTAGTCGCATTTGATGTTTTCAACGCTGATCGGGATCTTTCCAAAACACTGGGAGGCATCTTTCATGAATAATAAATGTATTCGATCGTTTTTAAACAAAAACATTCTTCATGAATAATACTTTTCCTTTTAAATTTATTATTACTTCCTACGAGATATTGGACTTTATGTCCGTTCTCTTTCAGTTTAAAAATTTCGTCTCCGATTTTCTCTGCCGGTTGAATGGCACCTGTTTCATTGTTTGCGAGCATGACGGCGACGAGACTCGTTTTGTTGGTAATTTGTTTGATAATCTGATCAGAAGTTACGGCGAAGCGCCCGTTTGCTGGCCGCACGTAATCCACTTGACAGCATTTGGGAGCGAGCTTCTTGAGAGGGTTGAGCACAGCACAATGCTCCAGGGCACTTGTGACAACATGGCACTGTTCCTCATGCTCATTATTTTCTTGGGAGCAGCATGAGTTTATTGCCCAGTTCAGCGCTTCAGTTCCGCCAGATGTAAATATAATTTGGGATGTAGCTGCGCCGATACCCTAAACACATATTAACAAGAATCTCAATTGATTTGATTTCCGCTCGTTCTTCATTCAACGAGATAAAACATAAATCATCTTACCTTGGCTAAATGCTCACGGGTGATTTCGATTTTCTTCCTTGCTATCAATCCAAGCTCATGACCAGAGCTTGGATTCCCCCAATCTTCTTTTAGGCTCTTGCTAATCGCCTCCACTACTTCAGGGTCGATAGGAGTAGTCGCGTTGTAGTCTAGGTAAACACTACTCATTCTAAAGTAACAGAAGCTTGAATGGAAAAAGTTTTTTCTAAAAAATTATTTTATGATATCGTTTTCGCACCATAATTCCAGAAATATAGCTTTTGAACTTAACGTGTGTAGAACAGGGTAGTAATACTTTGGATAGTAGATAATAAATAAGTTATTGTATCAGGATCAAACGTAGGTAAAAAGAAGTTCCAATCAAAGAAACAGACAAACGTTGAATTAATAAACGATTTCGAGGGATTTTAGGCAAGATGATTTTAGTTGCGATTTTTAGCTACTTTTAGCTTTTAGAAGTTGAGTGTAATAGATAAATAGAAGCAAAGTTCTTACTCCAACTCGATAAGAAGATCACCATCGGCGACCTTCTCACCGCTAGCGACGTGGATAGCCTTAACCTTTCCATCACGAGAGACAGAAAGTGCGTTCTGCATTTTCATTGCTTCGACAACTGCGCAAGTCTGGCCAGCAGCGACCATATCACCGACGGCGACGTCGATGGAAATGACGGTACCGGGCATGGGAGAGATGAGCTTTCCAGCGAGATCTTCCTTTGGCTTCTCTGGCATCAACTTCTCGAGCTCTCGGGCCTTGCTTGGAAGAATAGAAATGGTGAAGACGGAACCTTCGAATTGGATCGTGATGGATTCGTTGGTGAGCTTGATTGGTTGGACGATATCGTCGTTGAAATGAATAACAGAGTCAGAAACATTGGGCGAGGGATAAGCAACAGCGTCAGCGCCATCAACACTGATAAGGAGTTGGTTGCCTGACTCAGTGACGTTGATATTCGCAGCGGTATCATTGACGATCGCAGAAAAGCTGGAAATCGGCTTTCTCTTGATCAAGTGACGCTCAGAGGAAGTGTAGTTGAGGCGGGAGGCAAGTCGGGTGTAGTAAAGAGCAGAAGCGATCGAGAGAACACGAGTTGTTTCTTCTGGCGTTAACTGTTTTCCCTAAAGCAGATTTTGTTAAACAGCTGTTAGTTTATAAAAAGTTTCTTACGTGGAATCCTTCAGGGTAGTGTTCGTACAAGAAGTTAGTGGTAATGTCGCCAGAGAGGAAGTTGGGGTGCTTGATGATCTCTTGGAGAAGCGATGCGTTGTGAGTGACGCCTCGGATGACGTACGAGTCCAAAGCCTTTTCCATTCGCTTGAGAGCTTCTTCACGCGTGTCAGCATAAGTGACAAGCTTGGAGATCATGGCATCATAGTAGATCGAAATTTCAGAACCTTCTTTGATGCCTAAACAAAGAATTTGCTTGAATCAATCAGAAAAAATTTTTACCAGAATCGCATCTAGTTCCGGGCAACTCATTTGGTTCCTGGTACCGATGAAGTCGACCAACAGAGGGAAGACCGAATTGCTTGGTTGGGTCTTCGGCGTAAACTCGCGATTCGACAGCCCAACCGTGGATCTTGATGTCGTCCTGCGTGATGGAAAGGGGATGGCCGTAAGCGACACGGAACATTTCTCGCACAAGATCGACTCCGGTGATGCATTCCGTAATTGGATGCTCGACCTAAAAGAGGATTTAAAACTTTACATTTGGAAAGAAAATACCTGAAGACGAGTGTTCATTTCCAAAAAGTAAAAGTTCTTCTGAGAATCGACCAAGAACTCGACAGTACCAGCCGAGTGGTATCCGACAGCTCGGGCAAGATCGCAAGCCTGGAAGTTTTTAAAATTATAAATTCTCAAGTGAATCAGGTACCTGCTTGCCCATTCGAGCTCGAAGATCAGGGTCAACGAAGACGGAAGGAGCTTCTTCGACGACTTTTTGGTTTCGTCGCTGGACGGAGCATTCTCGCTCGTTTAAGTAGACGACGTTGCCGTGTTTGTCAGCAAGGATCTGAAGATTAATATTTTCAACTCTACTTCGATGTTGTTTTATTAACCTGAAGTTCGATATGTCTAGGATTGTCAACGAATTTCTCAATAAGCAATCGATCGTCACCGAAGGAAGAAGCAGCTTCTTGCTTCGAGAGATAGTATCTAAAAGTGTTTTTAATATTTAACTTCATTCCTTCTTTTTCCATACCCCTCTTTTGCTTCATCATCGTTCCATGCAACTCGCATGCCCTTTCCTCCGCCACCAGCAGAGGCTTTGATCATGACTGGATAACCGATATCGTTGGAGATTTCAAGAGCGTGGTCCAAACTTAATTATTAATTTCATAAAAATGAAGTCATATTTTTCTTACTCTTTGACAACACCGTTAAATCCAGGGATAACATTGACACCGGCCTTTTCAGCCACAACTTTGGACTCAATCTTGTCTCCCATCGCAATAATCGCCTCATTAGGGGGTCCGATGAAGGTGATTCCGTTTTCCTTGAGCTTGGTGGCAAAATCGGCGTTTTCGGAGAGAAAGCCATACCCAGGATGGACAGCTTGAGCTCCAGTCTTCTCTGAAAATAGTGATACGGGCGAGTAGGACTGTTGGGAAAAAGAAAATTAACGATCGTCTGAGCCGAGCGTGAAAGATGATTCTGAATCACTCTTTCAAATAAAAATTTCTAAACAAAAGGCACCGATAGATTTTCACTCGAATCAAGTTTTTTGTCTGACTTACTGATTGCCTCAATGATTCTGTCCATTCTGAGGTAGGACTCGTTAGTTGGCGCTGGTCCAACGCAAACCCTTTCGTCCGCCATGTTGGCGTGCACGGTCTGCGCGTCCGCCTCAGAGTAGACCGACACGGTCTTGATTCCCATTTCTTTTGCGGTCTTGAAGACGCGGCATGCGATTTCTCCACGGTTGGCGACGAGAATCTTGTCAAACTGGGGCTCGTTGGGATCGTACGTCACAGTCTTGTAAATGTCCTTCTGCCAGTTGTGGGCAGAGCGAGCCGAGAGTCGGTTCACTTTTCGGAACATTCTGAAAACAAAACTGCTTATTTACTGTTCAATTTTAATTTAAGATTTCCTTAGCGCTGACAAACTTTGAAGCTTGCGGTCTAGAATGTTACATAACTAGTAAGTTTGCATTTTAAACTTTGCTGACATCATCGAATTCCTTTGCGACCTGCGTAATTTAATATGAATCGAAGATTTTCTTCAGAATATTGGTAATTTAACATTGCTTACCATTTTAGTTTATGTGCTGATAAGTGCTCTGTTAGTAGATGAGAAGTTAATTATCATTTATTCTGCATAATATTTTCTCTTCACGCCGGGCGCCGAAATGTTGCCAAATGTCAGAACGAGGTAAAGGCAAACATTTGAGGTATGGAATGAATAATAGCTGCCCTTCGGTCGGTTATTCAAGCACTTCATTCAAGCGCGAAAAAAGTAGTAAATCGCGGGTTAGGTCAACGCCCAGAAAATCGTAGTCGCCGCGCGAGTAAGAATAGCTCATTGGGTTAACCTAATCACCCAAATATAAATCGTTCTCTGAGGAAGATAGAGTTCGCAATTTAAAAAATAAAGAGGTGATTTGCCATTGATTCAATATTTAGTTTATATAAATATAAAAGCGGAAAATATATTGCACACCAGTAAAGAGGATTGATACAGAAAGAAAAGGGAGTTTTGAAGGGCGTGTTTTTAATCGTTTTCGTCTTGTTTTTCTTGTGGTTCTGATTCCGGCTCTGGCTCAGGCTGAGGAACTGTCTCGGGTTGATTTTCTTCTGGAACATTTTCAGATTCTTCTGGAGCGTTTTCTGGTTGAGACTGCTCAGGGGGCATTTGAGAAGCTTCAGATTCAGCTGGAGTTTCAGCGTTTTCAAGAGGAGCAGGTTCTTTTATGAGGTTAAATTAGTACTTATTAGTTACATGCAAATGCTCAAACTGCTATTTTTACAAGCGATTAGTGGACAAATAGATGTTAGTTATCCTTTCCTTGAGCTTCCTCTGATTTTTCCTCTTGCTTTGATTCGTCTAGTTGGTTTTCTTGAGCTAGTTCTGGTGTCTGCTGCGAATCGCCATTTTCTGTGATCGCGGTTTCTGGAATTTTCTCTTCTTTCGGTTTTGTTTGAACTTCAGTCGTACTGTCTTCTTCTGTAGGGACATGCTGTTGGAGTCTTTTGCAGATCGTTGCTACGTCCAAAGAGTAAATTTCAACAGATTCTCGGACGGGAATTCCTAAACTCGCAGCGAGAGTGGCCGCCGGGAAGAGATTTGACAAGCAAGTGTTGATAAATGGCAAGAACTCGCTGATGACGGTGGAGCAGAGTTTCGTAAATGACTCCTTTTCGCGACTGGTAAAAGAGACAGCTTCGGCGCGATGGAGTTGGATAATCCGCTCGATTACTGCATTCGCCATTCTTTTGAGCCGACCTTTGACCTTGGGCGCTAATGCGATCGGGCAGCACAGTCTTAGGTTGGAAAATGCAGTTTGGCATCCGTTCGCCAGGACGGCTAATGGAATGAACTCTAACAACGAGGTCGGCGGTTGCAAGGAAATTCCGATGCCACCCGAAGCAATTGGCGTCGAAAAGAGCGACACCGATTCCGCCAGTTGAAAATGCGCCATGTAATGGAGAAAGTCCTGTTCTGCTTTTGAAATTTGATCGTCAAAGTACTTTTCTGCTGCGTCCATGAAAATTGGCATCAGTAGGGGGCGGAAATCAGCGCCGACGCGCGAGAAAGAGAGCCCAAAGTACATGGACTGCGCTAGAATTGCTTCTAGGTGAGAAGCGCAGCCGCGATCCAAGTCGGTCTTCAGCACTTCCAGGAACTCGTTGACTTTTCGAACGACCCAGGAGTGGAAGAGCAAGGACTTTTTTAGGTTTTCAATTTGCTTTCTTACTTCATTACTGGGATATTTAGAGAAATGCTTAGAGAACAAAATTGACCATTTATTCTAATTTTGAACCTCTTTCCTGAGTTCCCTCGCCACTATGATCATCCGAAAAGATTGCCCTGTATTGAGTAATAATGTCGAACATGTGCACTCTGCAAGCTTCGATAGTTTTTGTTATGTGCGTGTGAGGATCGTTGTCAGGAATCGCTTTCAGATTTGTTTGGAGCCAGAAGTCGCGCGCTTGGAGGAACTTGATTCGCAACTCGGCTTCGGAGAAACAGTTCATTCGGCGCAGATAGCTGATGATTCGAAGACAGGCGGGGAGTTGAACATTTGTCTGAAGGAAAGATAATGAAGAAGGTCTCGGGGTTGATGAAGGTACCTTGAGTTGTGAAAGAAGATGATTGAGCAAAAGATGAGACGATGCCTTGACAGCGCGAACGATATTAGCGATGATTTCAATATGAGAAAATTTCTAGGGATATTTTTATCATTTGAAAAGGAGGAAACAAGTTCGTTACCCGTTCAAGTTTTCGGATAAACTCGATAAGTTCGAGCGCTTCTTCGTAGTAGCCATTTCTGACGGTTGTGTCGACAAGCTGAGGTACTTCCAGAAGCTCTAGAAGCTCGGTGTAGCGCAATTTCGTCAAGTTGTTCATTTTGCGATCGTGGGAAATTGTCGAGACTTTTTCGTGGAAAGCATTGCTAGAATCAAAGAATAAGAGGGGGAAGTGATGAAAGGGAAAAATTACCAGTTGTCAATTGCGCCAGGAAGATGCTCCAGGAGATTTTCGAGTCTTCCTTCAACAGTTGAAAATTCTGAGAAAACGTCTCTCGTGCAGTCTGCCGTTTGAATGAAAGTCTTGTAATTCTTAAACGCGAGTTCTTGCGTTTGATTTTGATTTTCTTCGCGCGCTTCGGCCAGCCGTTCTGGTTCTTTTTTCAGAGTAGCGAGAGGATAGCCGCTGAGTTCTTGGAGATATTCGCAGAAATCCGGGTCGGCAGCCCATTCCGCCGGGAAAATATCGGTGAACACGCCTTCCGACTCCATTCTAAAAAAACACAGGCTTGTAAGGGAGTGAGCTTCATCTTTTTTTTTATTCATTTATATTGAATTTATGCAGTGTCATTTTATAAGTCAGTTTATATTTAGTTTCGGGATAAAAAGACAACCCCTGATAACAGAATTTCAGAGCGTAGTTTTTCTCAAGATTTCATTTTAAAAAATGTAGAGCCGATCATAGACGATTTCATTCTAAAAAGATAAAAATAACTAAAAATTTCAAATATTCATTTTGATTATTAAATTCTTAGGTACGAATTTGAAATATTTTGGGCAGTGACAACAGAATTTCAGAAAGATCGTTTAGAGGTGCATTCATTTTAGTTATATTCATTTATATTTTTATTCTTTTATTTATTCAAAACAAGGAATAGCTGACAACCGGCCTGTAGAACGTATTTTTTCTCAAGAATCCATTTTATAGGATTTAAAGCCACTCATCGACATGTCCATTCTAAAGACAAAAATAACGCTGTTTGTTTTGATTTAATTCATTTATTCAACTGTCACAATAAATTTCGTTGAAAATAGGGTTTCAGTGTCCATTTCAAGGAGTCAGTTTCACAAAAAGTAAGGGAAAATTTGAGATCGCTGAGGCAAGATGGAATTTGCAGTTCTTTTGCTATCATTTTATTATCACAAAAAGAGGCTCAATTTTAAAGGAATCAACATTATTCTTGAAGAGAAGAATTTTTGAACGTACTTTCGCAATTATAAAGAGCATTGATATTGTTTTCATTTTACTTTTGATAATTATGTGACAACAGCATAAGTGAGAGAGTTTTTGCTTTTGAGTTCATTTTATAATTTTTCATCAAATAAAGCTATCATTTAGCGAAGATGTCCGAGACAAGATAGAAGTCACAGTTATTTCGCTTTACATTTTTTTGTTTTTAAAATAATCAAAAATCATTATTTTTATGAAGAAAAGTGCCTACCATAGGTAATTTCGGGCGAGGCATGCATATTGTTTTATATAAAGAAATTGCTATCATTTTATTTTCATTTGTTAAAAATTTATCTCGAACAATACACGAAGCAGTTGAAGCATTCCAGCGTGCTGTTCACTAAAAGATAAGATGTTGCAATCATTTTATTTTTAAGAAAAGAATCAAATTTTATAATATAAGAAAAACGTCATTTCAATAAAATGTTACATGAACGAGTTTTTGGTGTTTTCAATTAATATGATAATGCTATCATTTTATTTTAATTTTTTTTTGGAATCTTCAATCTTTTTCTTATTTTTTCGTCATCAGTTTCTTATCATTTCGGTTGACAGTTGATCGATTCTCCCAGACATTCTCCATTCCAGTCGAAAACGAAACAAACGGTCGAAAAAAGGCACCTCGCGCTAAGTTTTCATCATTCTCTGGCGCTGAGTCATCGTAGTAACAATTGTCGAATGAGAATCGAGACTGCGCTGCTTTCATTCCATCTCGCTCCTTTGACTGAATAATCTCAGATTGACGCAAAAGCTGGTGGAAGATGAGGAGTATAAAGAGGAATCGACAAATTGAAGATTTGGTCTTTGATAAACTTCAGAAAAGAGGATTTATTGAGAATGGCGAAGAAAATGCGAATTTTATTAAGAATCTTCCGCTAGGTATGATTTAAATTACAATTAATTGTGTTACTAATAATTTTAATTGACTATTATTGTCATTATTCAGTAATTTAAAGAATCAATAAAAATGATTAATTTTTCGGCACAATTAATTGAAAAAAATTGATTTAATACGGTCTTTTTAAATATTTCTAGAGGAAAGTCTCGAAAAAATGTCCGAGCGCGCTCAAAAACGCCGATTTCGCCCGTCGCTCACGCCCGAAGGCGTTTTTAACACGCCCCGAGCTGTCGAAGAATTTCTCGCCTTCGCGGATTCGGATTTGTTTCCCTGGATCAATGAAGTCAAGCAGATTCTGCAAATTCATGTCGCTTATAAAATCGCCCTTGATTCGTGTTGTTTAGGCGATGGGAAAATTTTAGTTTCTTGTGGGTTTTTATTATTTATTTTTTATCCCTAAAAAGAGTCGTTGTTGGCAATTTTGGAGACAGAGTGCGGAGAAGATCGAAATCTTGAGTTGTTGAAAAACCAAGTTTTGGAGGAAGTTTACGCCTCGCTCCAAAATCAACAAGATTCGTCGCGGATAAGAAATCTGGTCAACTCGGGAGATTATCTTGCTTTTATTCAATCGAAGAAAGAGATCAACGTTCATCCGGTCGAACATGAAGATTTTTGCTCGTTTGCTTCGCAGTTTCCTATTTTAGGAGCGGATTAAAACAATAATAATATTTAGTAAGACAAAGTTCCTTTCGGAAATTCTCCCAAATCGACAATTTAGGAGCACTTATTTGTCAAAAAACTTTGCGAATCCATCTGAAAGTAGCAATAACTTCCCTCTCGATCAAATTCGACACCAGCATCGTCGAGAGTCAAGCCGAATCGACCTCCGAGATTTCTCCGCTGACTCCTCCAGAAAACGACCCTGTCGAAGAAAATGCGGAAGAGCCGCTCTTCAAATTCCTCCTAAGCTTCGCGAAATGACGGACACCTTCGACCCGTACATTTCCGACATTGATCATTACTCCCTTTCGCTGCCGAATAAAGTTACTTGCTGCTCGACTGCGTTTAACAAAAAGTTTCTCGCCTGCTGTAGGAGTGACAGCATTACCACCTTGGTCGATGTAAAACGCAAGGTCAAGATCGACCTCAAATCTCACTCTGGCCCCGTTTTTGCGTCCACCTTTCTCCGCCACAGCGATTATCTCCTCACTGGCGGCAGAGACAGAACAGTTCGGCTGTGGAACACGTCCGAATTCATCAATTCTAGAGAAGGCGCCGTCTCCCTCGACTTTATCTACCGCGGCCACACGTCACATGTCACTGATATTGCTGCTTCCTCGCTTGATCTTTACTTTGCTACTGCCTCGGACGATACTACTGCTCGATTGTGGAGAATCGAATCTGATCAAAACTTACGAGTGTTTGTTGGACATTTAGGTTTGTTTTTCTTTCCTTCAAAAATATCTAAATATCTTTTTCGAAAAAAGGACTCAGAAAAAGCATTTTGAAATTTTATAACACCTCATAATAAGCAATAAACATTTGTACACCTTTTTATTATAGACGTAGGTCGGCGAAAAAAGCTCAATTAAGATTTTGCAACATAATTGAATGCATGGATATTTAATGAGAATTTTTATAGAGGAAAAGTTACCATGATAATTTTACGAAATTTTCTCAAACAATCTGTAAGCAAAAGCATGCCATAGTTATAACTATCACTAGCTGCAAACTTTGTCTTGTGATCATCATTACATAACGAGTAATTTTAACAGGACATCATTGATTTAGGAAGCAACCAATTGTCCTGGACTTGGATTAATTACCTCTATATCTGATTGATGGATTATTCAATAAATCTTATTTTTTATCAGACGCTGTCAACACGGTGGCCTTCCATCCGAACTCGAACTACGTTCTGACAGGCTCTGATGATGGATCCGTGCGTCTGTGGGACGTGAACACTGCCAAATGCCAGCGCGTTTTTGGAATCGATCCAAAAGGCGAACAAGGAGGCCTCGAAACAGCAGTCCTGTCTGTTTCAATGAATCCCAACGGCCGTGAAGTGGCGGCCAGCTATAGAGACGGAACGATACGCGTCTACGACCTCAAAGAAGCTCGAGCAACGCTAGAATACGCAACCACTCAAGTCGCAACGCAGCTTTCTTACAACGCCGATGGATCCCTTCTCGCGTCGATTTATGACGAAGCCCTGCGAATTTGGAACTCAGAAAAGGAAGTCTGTAAATTGCAGCCGAAATTTAACATTTCCGAATTCGAAAATGATGAAAACGAAGCGCAGAATGAACTCAAGAAATCATTGGTATCTGTTTATTTTGAAGGCACGGGAGATTTGACACTGATTTCTTCATGAATTTTGGACTTGCGCATAAACTGTCTTTTTCAATTTCTGAATTTCTCTTTTTCTTTTTTATTTTCGTTTTGAATTCTTGGGACCACCAGGGACCTTTTTAGGCGTTTTTTCTCCGACTTGTTTTCGTCGCTCAAGTTCCTTTTTCTCGAGAGCTTTTCGTCGAGTTTTAGCGGCGAGTCTTCTGCCGCGAATTTTGCCTAATTCGATCATCTTGTTTGTCCACTTTTCGTAGCGTTTTTTCATGCATCTGTGCCGGCGCAAAACGGGTTTTGCCCGTTCTGTCTGCTTTGTTGGCCAATCTAAGATGATTTTAACCATTTTTCAAACGGTAGAAGACTTACAGTGGCTCTTAGCTGGAAATTTCTCGCCATAGCAGCAGTAAAACCACTCGCCGCAGTTTTCAAAGTCCACTTTTATTTCGCCATTTAGATCTTGAGGCTCCCAGTAGTCCGGATCATCCCAAATGCTTTTGAGTCTTTCCACGCATTCGGGATCTTCCCAGCTGAATTTTTTCTCGATCTCGGTCGGCTCGCTTGGTTTTTCGTCATCATCTGTTTTAGGCTCATCTCTAATTTCCAGTCAATATTTTTTTTTGTAATTTTTAGCTTACTTTTGCCCAGATCTAAGAATTTCAGAGAATGTTTTCTTCAGTTCTGGCTTCTCATAATCTTCTTCGACAATTCGAATCGCTTTGCTAGAATTCAATCAAACCCGCAAATGGGACAGTTTTAGCAACCTTTCCAAGACTTCTTTATCTCCAAAAATTACGCTTTTATCTATCTTTTTGGCTAAATTCAGCATCTCTTTTGCCTCTTCCATAAATTCTGCTTCTGTGGGGATGTTATGCTGCCCGAATGGTATCTCTGTCGGCGTCTCCATCGAGGATATCTTTTTATCCATCGGTGCTGATTTCTATTTTCCGACTGATACAAGTGGCATGTTTTGACGGACTTATATATTCTGGCTCGATAAAATATGATAGTTCAAGCATCACATCCGGGATATCAACGATCATGAGGAATCTATGGTCGGAATGATCTATCATAATTAGGGCAATCGAAACTAACACCTTTCCCAATTATAATTCCCGAGTCGGGAATCCCGACAGTTAAAATTTCCGACATGATAAATTAATTAGTAGATGTCCTTGATTATTAGACAGAGTCTCGCTTTGCAGACTAGTTTTTAATTCGGTAGATAAAGAGAGGGCGTGTTGCCTTTTTTAAATCATCAGTGGCAGAAGCTTGGCACTTTTTCAGTATTTCATAAGCCAGAGTTTGCTGCGCCGTTTGAGCAATTATTTGGCCTCGCTTTTTTGCTTTGCACTTTGGCGTAAAATCCTCTTCGTGTCAACATTATTTGTTTTCGTTTTGAGCACGAAAGAGATTTAGTGCCAACAACGGGTCATTAGTGAAGTTCTAGTGCTTTTCTAGAGAGGCTTTTTTGAGATTGAGCAGCTCATTAGCGTTCTGATTGAACCTTAAAAAGTTGTGACCCCGATCGTTTTTATTTTATTTTTATTGCGCTGTTAAAATCATCGGCTGATTTAAGTGGTATTTTTTCGTAAATTCTTAGCGATAAGCGACAAAAATCGACGAGAAAAAGGAACGAGAGAATATCAAAGAAAGCGTACTGAGAATAAGTACGGTGGTAGTAAATTTTTGTGGCCTCTTAAAATTTTTACCGGCGTTACTTTGAAGGGATAAATTATTTGGACGGGTGTTTAAGAGCCTCAAAATTTCATGTTTCAACTTTGCCGGCCGTAAGGTCGTCTGGCAGCAGCTGAATTACAGATTTATCTGTTTGTTCCTCGCTGGCAAGAGTTGAAGTAAGCATCAATGTTCTGATTTTAGACGGTTAGATCTGCTCGGATCGCTCAGTTCCTCGTCGAAAATGTCGAACAGAGATGAAGAGAAAATCGGCCTCAACGATAACAACAATGAATCCGAGCCGCTTAACAAGCCAGGACTTGAAGAGGAATCGCCTGGGTCATGGCAAGAGTGGGACAAGGAAAGGGAACATCTCGCTTTCTTTTTCATTTTGGACTCGTCTCGGGTTGAAAAATAGAGCTCACAAGAGAACAAACAAATGATAGAGAAAACAAAGAATGATCCTTTACAAGACGAACTTCTTGCTCTCGATTTTCAACTTGATGAATGCGATCCTTGGCTCTGGAATTCTTGGTTTGGCTTATGCTGTCAAATCGCTTGGAATTCTCCTTTACATTATCATGCTTATGGGAGTCGCTGGAATGGCCTTCTACGCCATTACTCTTCTTCTTAACATGTGTCAAATTACTGGTTACCGAGTAAGTCGTCAGAAATCCTCAGCTTTTCAAATCCTTCATCATTTTTTCTAGTCTTACGAACAAATCGCCGAAGCAGCTTACGGTGCGCGCGGAAAGCTAGTTGCTGTTATTTGCATTTCCGTTCACACTCTTGGTGCTATGGTCAGCTTCTTGTTCATCTGCAAATACGAACTCCCTCCAGGTACAACGAAGTCAAAGTTCAAGGCTACTAACGCACGAGTTTAGTCGTTAAAATGTTCCTTGGAATCGACCCTTGTGTGGACACTTGGTACACCAATGGTGATGTTCTTACCGCCATGGTTGTTTTGTTCATTGTTGGTCCACTCGCTGCTGCTAAGGATATCTCCTTCTTGGGATACACTTCTGGTAAGCGTTTTTCTTTCTTCAATAGCTTGAAGCCGTTCCTAGGTTTTGCCATGGGCTGCATGATTTTCTGCACGGTTCTTATCGTCCTCCAGTCTTCCGGAATCCCATGCCCACTTGAGCCAAGCATGCCAGACGGTTATTGGCAGTTCATGTTTCAGAAAGCGGAAGAAGAGTGTGGCGCTGATTGGGGAGAGCTTACAAAGGTTTGAGGCCATCGTCATGTGACCTTACCTTATTTTTTCCATTTAGGAGTCCTATCTTGCGGATAAATACGACGAAGATTTGCTTGCCAATTTCCGAAGCAATGAAAACTTTGTTCTTCAGAACGAATCGGTTAGAAAAGACACCGTCCTTCGTCTCTGATTACCTTTTTAGTGCTCGCTCGCTGACCCTATCGCTGAATTTTACCACGAGGTTCCGACTCAGAGCTGCACCTCTGAATGGATTTCTCTCACTCTTCGATCTGCGTACGCCATCCCCACCATGGTCTTTGCCTTCCAATGCCACGCCTCTGTCTTGCCAATTTACGCCGAGCTCAAACAGCCATCAAAGAAGAAGATGCAGTACGTTTCCACGATTTCAATCGGTCTCGTTTTCATCATGTACTTGCTTGCTTCTCTCTTCGGCTATTTGACATTCAAGGTATCTATCTTCCAAAAGAGCTATTTTCTAATGCATTCTTAGAACGCTACTGGTCCAGAACTCTTCGTCATGTACTCAGGATACATGCCTGACGATCGTCTTATCCTTTTCGGTCGTTTGATGGTCCTCATTTGTGTTATTTTCTCAGCTCCTCTTCTCCATTACCCATGCAGAAAAGGTAAGAACGCTTCTTTCATCCTCTCTCTAGCATCTTTTCTAGCTCTTATCGTCGGAATCTGGGGCCCAGAGTACATGCCCGGCGGAAAAGACTTCAAATGGTTGATCTGGCTCGGAACTATGGTTAGAGAAATAGGCTTTTTCATTGAATAAACCGATATTTAGACTTTTATTTTGACTGCAGTTGTATTGATGGTCATCTTCGTCCCTGGAATCAAGGTCGTCTTTGGTTTGGCTGGTGCTACTGTCGCTACAATGCTGGTCATCATCATGCCTGCTGGATTTTACTACAAGGTACCGATTCTCCCAACGATGACATCGATTTCCATCGTTTGTTCAGCTCGGCCCAGAGCCAAAGGACTCCACAACGAAGCGAATCAACTACGCAGTCGTCATCGCTGGCTTTATCTTCGTCATCTTCTCCGTCTCTCTCCTTGTCTATGACATGATCAAGCCTAAGCACGAAGAGCACGCTTGCAGCATCATGCTGGACAGCTTGAAAGCCGGTGAAGCTCACTGAGCCAGCGACAGCACCGTAGAACCGCAAAAATTGTGAAGACCTAACGACCCAAACCACTCAAGACATACAGTATCATACTTCATGCACGAGCTGACACAAAAAAAACGATACAAACTGCGTTTCAAAATTTCATTTATTTTTTCTTGCCTTTACTGCCTTCTTAAGTTCCCCTTTTTGAAACAAAAGACTACCAATGTGGTGTGATAAAAGGTTCAAAAATGTCCGATTTATTCGGATTTGAACGCTGGTAAAGGCTTTACCGCTTTCAAATCTGATTAAATTGGGTAAAGCGCCAGGTGTCTTTTCTATTTTTCAACTCGTACGGTCAAGAAAACAAAAATAATAATAATAACTTATTCACGCTGATTATTGGTGATCTCTCTTTCGCATCTCCCTTTTTTTCGTGCGTCTGTTTATGATGATTTAAAATATTTAAATAAAATTTCTGTAAAAACATTTTCCTGAAAAAAAAAAGAAATAATGTCATGGTCTTGAAGTTTCTTATGATTGAATTTTTACTATACCAAACCTACATCTACCTTCTTTGTTTTATTGTTAATTCAACTACTCAGTAGTATTAGTGTGGTGTCTTGCCTACTTTCCGTCAAAGCTTCATTAGACTTCGAAGTTCACCGATCCTAGACTTTCAATGTGAGAAAAAACTGGTGTGAAAAAATACTCTTAGAATATCGTTAAAATCACTTTTTATTCGTTTCTTTATTATTGTGAGGAGACCTAGTTAGTCGACTATCTCGATTCAGGTAATTTTCGAAATGTTACTCGATTTTCAAAAAATATCAGAAATAGTCCGAAAGTTTGATCCGAGTTTAGATAGTCGACAGTATTAAACGTTTTAGAGTTTAAGTTAAAGACAAAACAGTTGCCAATTCTTTTCCCTGTCATTTCTCCGGTTTATTTATTTTATTTAATACACTCACCAAACTTTACTGTCAAGTTAGAAGCAGAATTAAATAAACATCCATTTCTATTTACGACTACAGCTGAGCATTAATTTACATGCTTTGTAAGGGTTTCTTTTTAATGCATTTTGAAACAGACAGGAAGCTGGACTTCTTCATCATTCCCGAAAAATATTTAAGCATTGCTGTAACTTTAAAACAACGATTTCGCACTCTTTTCAGCTTGTTTTGTTGCGCAAAACCAAATGAACTCATGTCCATGTCATGACTCTTCAAATATTTGCATTCACATTTTAGCAAAGAAAAATCAGCAGATTCAATCTTTTCAATCAAAAATAAAAATATGGGCTTCAAGTCAAAACTAAGCGCAAAAGACCTTGAAAAGGCTCAAAGAGAGCTAAACGAAGACCCAAAAACCAGAGATCAAGCAATAAAATCTCTGCGAACAAAGTGCAAAACATCGCGGAAAATCCCTAGTGTTTGCTGGCCAAGGCTCGACGATGGCTTCCTTCTGAGATTTTTGAGAGTCTCGAAGTTTGACCTTGATAAGGCGGTTGATAGACTTGAAAAGTACTTCGAGCTTCAGAAGGAATGGCCAGAGCTGTATGGGTAGGAAAAGAACTTGAAACTCACAGAGACAGTCTGATTCAGAGATTTTACATACAAATCAATACAAAGTCTCCTAGAAAATGGGGTGTCAGAACTGATGCCAGAAAAGGATGAAAACGGACTGACAACCATTGTTTTTCGCTTATCAAAATGGGACTCAGCAAGACACAGCGTTCATGAAGTTTACCGCGCTGCTGTTTTCCTTTGGGAGTATATGCTTCTTGAGTAACCGCATTTAACACTTGCTCTTCTCAAAATTTTATTAGCGAATCGGTTCAAGTCCACGGCGTCCGCGTTGTTGGCGACCAAGGATCGTTGAGCTTCGCGCATATTCGTGCCACTCCGATGCGAGTGAACAAAATGTGGAGCAGAGCTGTTGATGGATGCTATCCTTTCCGAAGCAAGGGAGCTGTCATGATAAAGTTCCCTGGTTGGTTCATGTCTATTTTCAATCTCTTCCAGACGTTCATGTCCCAAAAGATGAAGGATAGAATTGTCTTGATTGGACGAAATGAACCGGATGAGAAGCTTTTCCAGGTAGCAATTTATCGAAAATTATGAAAAAGAAAAGCGGACTTTAGCATGTTCCGGCGAAATATCTTCCTGAAGATATGGGAGGAGAAGTGAGCAACAAGAATCAGGCAGAATGGACTTGCAAACTCAAGAAACTCGCACCAAAGGTACAGAATAATTTTTATCTGAAGCAAAATAAAGAATTAGATCGAAGCAGATTTCGCGTATTTGAAAAGCCACTGCTCCACGACTGGAACTTATCGAAAAATTGAAGATGATGATACTGATATGCTTGCTGCTATGGAAATCGCAAAAGTACTATCAGACTCCTCAAAAATACCTTGACCCCTCTTTTCTAGCTCAAGATCGAAAACGCTGAAGTAGAAGAAGGAACTGAATTGTAATTGTTTATTCTATTGATAAGGCAAAATAAATGTACAGAAAATTAAACAAAAATACGATCTCCTTTCATGCAGCTTGCTTACTGATTCCATCCATAGTCGTGACCCATGAATTTAAAGAAGTCCCTGTTCAACGGTACGAATAATTCTATCTCAAAGTCACGAAAAGTCAAAGCAAAATGTTTTACCTCTCAGCCTTGATTGAGTTTCTTCGCTGATTTTTACATGATATCTGCCCTTAGATTTGTTCAGGCATCGCATTCCATCCGGGTGTTCGGGACTTGCATCAACTTTTATGCAATAAAATCCCTTCAAAAATATGCATTTTATCACACCAACAAACGAATGTAATTACCCTTGGACCGACGGCAAAACTTTCCTTGGTAACCTGGCTCGGCAAACTCAAGTGCTTTTCAACTTTGATAACTGATTCCCATGGTGTCTTTTGAGCACGTCTGCGTCGAGCACCAGAAGATCGTTGCCGAAAACTTCCTTCCATTTTTTGATAAATTTCATGTACCAAGAAGTTTTGATTTTCTGATCTTGAAAGTTGAGACCTTTCAGAGGTCAAATAACGAGTTGTCTCTGTTCTATTTTCGCTTAGACATTTTGTATGAGAGAACTGAGATCATCTCGTGATTTGACCCTTTCCTTGAGCTGGATCGCCATTTTTAAAGACTTCTTGCTCCAATTCTGGGCCTTTCAAAAAGGAAGTTTGAAGGAGGAAAAAAATAAGACCTGTTACCTGGTTCTTTGTTGAGCTTGAGCCTTTTGTCCTGAATCTGTGTGTATCCAGAGATGAGCCTGCTAACAGGCTCTCTCACGATGAGAACGAGTTTTAGCGGCTTGCATGTCCATTTACTCGCAAATCCTCGATCGCAATCTTCTTGTCTCTTTCTTTGCAATTCCTAAACTCTTCTATGCCTCCATCGAGTCTGTACGAGTTTACCTGCATTCTTTCAACTGCTTTCTTCACGACAAAGTATCGAGGTGTCTTCTCGATAACCAGTTGATCTTCTGTAGCTTCTGGCATCTGCTCTCTTCAAGAAACAATCAGAAAGTCAAGGAAAAAAATACGGGAAAGATACCGATACCATGAAAATCCTTGGTTGTAGTTAGCATCGCGATCAAAGAAGTGAATTTCCGGCCCAGCAGCAGAAACCTGCAAAAAGGAAGATGAAGTATGAATGATAAAACTTTCCAAGAAAAGAAAAATTGAATGAACTTACTTTTGAGTTGATCTCGACGAATTCTAGCAGTGCTCTTGTTCCACCTTTTCTGACTCCGAAGATAATCGCATCTGGCAATCTCTTTTGACTCTGTGCATGTGAAAGTCCTATGAAAAGAAGAATTCTCAACATTTTCTTTTTCAAAATATGAAAAAATTTAAAAGTTCGAACAATGTGTGAGAAGAAGGTGGTTGTGATTCGATGAGTACTTTTTGAATTGTTTGAACAAAAATTAAACCCCGCGGAGAACAGTTGACCCGCGCTACCGGAAAATTTTTCTCCCTTATCTGATAAAATCGGAAAATTGAAGATTTTCAACTGAAAATGAAGATTTCGAACGGACAGTGTGAATGAATTATATGATACTCACCTTTGGTGTCTGTTGGTCCTGAAAACCGCAAGAAACAAAATATGACTCCAATTGAGGAAAAGAAAAGGATCTTCACGAGGATAATTATAATTATGACTATCTTTTCGATGCAACAATTCGATGACTTTTCTTTTTGAACTTTTCCCGCCTTCTCGCTCATTTTGATAATTTCTAACAGAAAAACTTATTTTTTGTGAAACTGTTAGTCGACTTCCCCGCTGTGTAATCGCCTCGGTGTTCAATCTTAGAATCTAATTTTACTATTCTCTATCAGAACAAATTGTTGAATCGTTTTCTCAGCGAAACTTGCTTTCCCAGACTGCTACTAATGTCTTAGTTGCCTTTGGATTAAATGATTCATATATACGGATATATGCCGCATATAAACGGTATTTATTTATGTTTATGCACCTGATATCACAGAATTTTACTAGAATCGTGATTATCAATGATAAAACAGTTTACAAAAGTGTTGGAGCTTTTTAGCATTTGCCTCTCTTCATTTTTGTAATTCTGCAAGAAAATGCTCGTTTGGCATCGCAGGGGACATCGTTGAAGACTCCTCCGTTCATCATGAGGATTTCGCCGCACCACTCGTTCCCGCCAGAATTGTTCGGCTCACCAGAGTTCCAGTTGATGTAAAAATCGTCCTCTCCATCCGCGGTTTCCCAATCGTCTGAGTCATACCCAGTTCGAACGATTCCTAAAAGACATTTATCAACTTGTTTTCTTTGCGTTTCACGATGTTTATTACCGAGCCATTCTTTTCTCTTGACGTCTTCGTCCATGAACTCTTCAAACTCGTCCTCATCTTCGAAGAAGCTGACGTATCCATTGTGCTCTGCGCAGATGGCCGATGCATTTGCATACGTCACTTCACCTTCCATTCTGATGAACTGGGGGCATTCCAACAACTCCTCGCACTCGGCACCATTTTCTGTGCACTCGCAAATTTGCTCTTTATTTTTGCCCTTGGGTCCCTTCTTGTCATCCTTGATATTAATGAAAAAGAATTCACCAGGCCCAACTTCTTTTCGGCAAGTGTAGTGTCTCTTGGATTCTCCTTCGCCTTTCCCTCTTTGATCCTTGGTGTATTTACAGGGTACGTCGCTCATCTTTCCGTCGTCTTCGACGTCGATTTCAGCGCAATACTCGTTGTCGTCCTCGTTGTCAGGCTCATTATTCTTCCAGTTGGTGTAGAAATCCTCTGAACCATCGGCTGTTATCCAATCTTCTTCTCCAGGGCCAGTTCGCTCGTAGCCTCAAAAAGTGCTCCAAATCAAGTTAATTGAAAATCACTTACCGATCCACTGTTCAGCTTCTTTCGCCATGTCCATGAACAAATCGAATTCATTCTCATTTTTGAAGAATGCAAGATGTCCTCCAGCCGCTTCACAGTTAGCCTTAGCATCAGCGTAGTACTCTTTCTCTTCTTGTTTTTCGAAAACGCCGCAAGTGTACTTTGGCTTGCAAATGAGCCCAGTTCCAGTACACTGGCAGATCTCATCATCTGGATTTGTGAAACTTTCGCCGAAAGGAAGGACTTTCGCGCAGCTATAAGCTCGATAAGTATCGCATGGGATATCGTTCAGGCCACCGGTAATGCCGATTTCTCCACAACCCTCGTTGTATCCAGAGTTGTTTGGCTCTCCCCAGTTCCAATTAGTGTAGAACTCACTTCCACCATTACTGTTAACCCAAGTTGTTGAGTACTTGGATGTTCTTTTGATTCCTAAAACAAAAAATAATCCACAAAGTCAAAACTGCTTTACATACCATACCACTCCTTTCGTTTATCTCCCGATTCGAGGAATTGATTGTACTCATCGACAGTTCTAGCGTAAAAAACAGCGGCGCCAATGTCTTGACATTTCGTGGCAGCATCATCGTATTTTTCCTGACCGTCCATAGTAATGATTGCATAACAATCTTCAGGTGGCACCAATGTCGTAGTGGTTGTTGGTGTTGTTGTGGTGGTGGTGGTTTCAGACAATTCACCAGCTTCGCAAATTACACGGAGCTTTAGATGGGCTTATCATTTTTCCAAAAAAGGAAGAATTATCGACATGTATAGACTTTAAACTAATGATTACAGTATCAATAAACCCTGGCTGAGTGCTGCAGTCTTTAACAGTTTCAGCGCCATTCGCATCGATGGTTCCACAGCTGTAGTAATTATAAACCCAAAACTCACCCTCTTGCCCATCCAAAGCATCGAGAATCAGATCTTTTTTGATATTATTGGCAGGATCGGCGAGCCACATGTCCTTTTCGTAGCAGTAGTTTGCAGCAGCTTCGCCATCCATGGCTTCATCGGAAATGGAATAGTAGAAAAGCTGGGGAGCATCGTCGCCAGTCAATTTTTGAGCAAGTTCTTCGAGGTTGTCGATGATTCGGGACAGGACGTGAAGATTTTTCTTGGCTTCAAAGGTGTCTTCTTCGAGACAAACGAAAGAAGAGACCCAGTCGTCGAGAGTGTTCGACAAAACCTTGAGGTTAGAAGCAACTGAACGCTTGATATCGTACTCTGGAACATCGACTTCTTCAAAAGTAGGGTAAGTCAAGTAAGAGTCGCATTCTCCTCCGCTGATGTAAAGTGGGATTCCCAGCTCTTTTATGCGTTCCATTCTCTCTTTGAACGATTCAGCTGGCTGAATTTCCAGTTCGTGTGCAACCTGAGCGGAAAAGACATCAACATCTTGCCAAAATGAAATAAAGGGGGTTGCTTATTCGAAGATCAATATGAGTTCTACTGATTTTTGTAACATACCCCCTAAATTTCCGCGCAATTCGTGGTATTTCGCCCAAGTTTACGTTTCCTAACTTTTCCGAAACCCCGAAATTTACGCTTCCTCGCGTTTCCCCGCGTTTCCAAATTTCTTCTCCTAACTTTTCCGCGTGCGCCTAAATTTACTCGCGACCCGCTGAAATGCGCGTCAATGCTAATGATTCATTAACGGGCGCGAAAAAATTAAGTAATACTTATTTATTAGTTCATGTTTTCAAAGTTGTATTGACAAAAATTTTAACTCTAATTAGAATAGATAATTTTAAGTAACAGGCAAATACTAAAAGCATGTGAAAAGCAGTCGAATACAGTTGGTTTTCAGGTACTTGATGCGCTAGAATTAAAAATTTTTCGTGGCACATAAAAATCATAATATTCGGGTAACTTAAAATATTGAGGTCAGGATTTTGCTCCGCAGAAGTCGTAACGACTTCTGAAATGAAAAATTCTCAATGAAAACTTTTCATCTATCTTCACTGTAATAATAAACAATAATTTTATCCAAGATAACATAAGATAAGGGCATCTGGTTTTTTATAAAAGATGATCCTTTCTTTGCCCGGAGCGAGCTAAACAAGACTTTTGCGCACTCAGAAAATTAATCGACGAAGCGAATCAGCGCCGCGAGAGTAAATTTGGGCGCATGCAGAAAAGTTAGGAGAAGAAATTTGGGAACGCGCGGAAAAGTTAAGCGGCGTAAATTTGGGGGTTTTTGAACAAATCAGGAAGAGTAAATTACGGAAAATGTACCGAGGAATGCGCGAAAACTTGGGGGTGGGGTATGTTAGCATAAGAAAGTATTCTCCTTGATTCTTCTAATATTGATCTTTTCCTGATATTCCAGCAATTTGCGCGGCTAAAATTATCTCTTTCATTTTTAAAAATGCTCACTTTTCTGAGTTGCTTTTTTTCGCAATCACCGAAAACGTGAGTGAGGGATGATAATCGTCTAAGGTTTCTTTTATAGAAGCCCCGTGCTTAGGAAACATTGTAGATACCGTTCGCGACACTTGTCGACATGATTAGACCCGAAACAAGCATGATAATGTCGTAAATCGTAAGCTACCATATTCTTCGCGGAGCAAGTAAGTTTTTGCATTTGCAAATTTAATTTTTAAAAGATATTTTACGATTCCGAAGAGGCGTTTCCGGTCACCGAAGGCAATCAGGGTTAAATTACCAAACTAGGCCAAAAAAAATATAAAAAAAACCAACCTGTCTAAATTCACAAATTGGCCATAAAAATATGCGCCAAAATAACTGGAGAAATGATCTATCGTCAGGTATCAACAAGGCTGTCTTTATTCAAGTCTCAATTACGAAGCATCAAAACCCTTGCTATCTTGGTAATATTAATATTTTTAGCTCTAGCACCGAATTTCACACGTTTGCACCCCCGAACACTGATGAATGTAAGGAAAAGACATCAACTCGAAAATCGTAAAAGGTCATTTTGGGATGTCTAATTTTGCACATTGTCTAAAAAAAATGGTAATAAGAAATACGGCCGATAATGAGTCTGACCTCCACCAGGCAGGATCTCCACTAGTCTTCTGATACGATACACCGAGTTTGCAAATTTTACTCTGCCAAAATGGAAAAGAATGAAAAACGTAGAGAATTGTTGAATTTAATTTTCTGCAACTTTGGTCAAGTCATTTTTGCTTTTAACACTCTTTTGCCTGTTTTTGGAATGGTAATTTTGACTGAAAAAGGAGAAAATTCAAGTGAATTCTAGGTAGTACCTGATCATGACTGTAACGACGCCGAAAAAGAGAGATTCTTCAATTATTCAAGCACTGGAATTTCACATAATCATCAAGTAAGAATCTTTGTTCTTTGATTTTTCTGATTTTTTTAGTATTTGAAAAGAACTGGTCTTTTTTCCAATAAGAACGAAACTGATCATCCTTGGGAATCAATTGTGACTGAACTATTTCTGGTCTGCGATCAGTCCTCCAAAGTACAGATGCTTTTCGTGATTGGAATTCTCGCCGAGATTTTTTCAATTTTATCCGAGTTCTTTTATTTTGATTATTCTTTTCTAGGTTTTCTGAGGGATTTAGAATCTTTTTTTTATATAGAAAGGGCTTAATTTGATTTAAAGAACATTGAATAAAGTCAATGGGTGGTTGCAGGGCTGGCAAATTAGGGTCCTAACAGCCGCACTACCGAAAAATTGTTAGGGTTCTAACTCAAAATTAGTGCGAATTAGTGCGGCATCCCCGTCCTACCCGTCCTATTTTTTTTCCTTGATATTTTTTCGTCTATTAGGACTGAATCGCCGCCCTAACCGTACTAATTCGGAGGCTCTTTTTCATCATCCAATCGGCGCGCGCTTCCCACCAGGCGCGGAGGACAAATTGGTGGAAGATTGAAAAAAGAATGGAGCTGAATGGATGAGAAAAACGAATGACCCGCCATGATTGGCGGACAAATAAGCGCGCGCCTCTTTTAGGACGATTTTAGTGCGGCTTTTTCCAACTCGTCCTACTCGCACTAAAAAGTTATAAAATGAGAGTTAGGGTTCTAACAATAGGGTTCTAACTCAAATTAGTGCGGTTGGCGGGACCCTAATTTGCCAGCCCTGGCTGGTTGGCCGATACGATCGGCAGAAAAACTGCACTTTTTTGGAATAATGTCATTTTCTTCTCAGCCATTGGTAAGCAGCGACAATTATAACGACAGTACGATGAAAGATGTATTCTTAGCGGTCAACCTGATCTTCATCAATTTCTACGTGTACGCCATTTGCCGATTTTTCATCTGCAGCGCGGCATGTTCTTTTACGATGATCGGGGGCCTCTACAGCTCTGAAACCGGGGTTCATTATAGATCTGTTGGTTACCTGCTATGGTCAGGCTCGGAATATGGTGGGGTGTTGGTTGCTTCTGTTCTATTCTACTTCTTTCCAGATTGGAAGGAACAAATGCTCATCAAGTTGTTCCTGTCGCTGCTCTTCTTTTATGTAAGTCAGGATTTGAGTACTTAAAAGGACCGATATCATTTTAGGCTATCTTATATTCCCGAAACACCTGCGTTCCTCGCCGATAGAAAAAACGAGAAAGACATGATAAAATATGAGTCGCAAAAGAAATTTGACGTCTTCCCAAATGTTTATTATTTCTTCACAATGTTCATTTTTGCTTTTTGCTGCGTCACAACAGCCTTCACTTATTACGGGCTTCTTTGGGGAGCTGGAAATTTATCCGGCAGTCTTCACTGGAATTCAGCAGTGAACGGAATGATGTCGCTTGCTGGAGTCATTTGTCTCTGTAAGTAAAAATTTGCGCTTTCAGTTTTGAATTTTTTTTTTAGTTTCGCTGCTGAAAATTGCAAAATCTAGGACCATTCTAAGCTGCAGTTACTCTCTCATCTGTCTTGTCATGGGTCTTGCTTGGGCAATTCCTTCAGAAAGAGTTTTATCAATATCAAGCTTCATCGGTATATTTTACTCCCAATTTTCCGCTCACTCAATTCTTCAAGGTATTGCTGCTGGTGTTTCCACGTTTTACGTGTTTTTGACATTGCAAAAACATTTCCTGTCCGATGCAGATCAACAACTTCTGGATGTTGCACCGTCTTTGGTCGACTGTTTATGCTGATTGTTCCGGAATGGGATCATTTATCGATAAAAATGAAGAAATCAAAAAAGTCCTCCGTTCATTTCTAAGAAAGGATCTTTTTGTAAATATTTGATTCCAAAAAAGTACTTGTCTCTTATGCCAAAAACCGTTCGAATCGGTTTATTGTGCATTTTACCTGGCATCTGTGGCCAGGCATATAAATTCGCTTGGCGATTTTCGCCGAAAGCGAAAGCGAAGCGAAAGCGAATCGAAAATTTCGCTTTCGCCCCCCGAAAATGACACTCCTGATTTTCGCTTCGCTTTCGCTTTTTGTCCCCGATTTTCGCCAAAAATTCGCTTTCGCCGAGGCCTCGCTTTCGCCAAATTCTCGCTTGTAGCAAATCTTCGCCAAAATTTCGCTTTCGCCAAGGCCTCGCTTTCGCCAGGAGTTTGCTTTCGCCAAAATTTCGCCAAATTCTCGCTTTCGCCAAGAGTTCGCTTTCGCCAATATTTGGCCGAATCTTACTTTTTTGTCTTTCAAAGCGGTATAAATAGGGGAAATCACTTATAATTGAGCTCTTTTTCTAGCTTAGTAGGGTTTAATACAGTTTTAGGACACCTAGAAGCTGGGGATCATTTGGCTACTGATAGAGGGGGTGATCTGAGGGCATTTAGGTACCTCCGAAGCTGGGGTCGGCAAGCTACCAAGCGATGGTTGGTCACCAACCGTTGGTGGAGGTGGGTGGGTTGACAAGAAAATCAAATTTTCACTGGTGGGGGTGGTTGGTGTTTGGTGGGTTATGGATTTTTTCGTAAGCGTTTTTCTGACCCCAAAATTTATAGACTAGCAGTTGATTACACCGATTCTTTGGTCATTTTTAACCAACAGAAGGAAAACGAAGTAGAGGTAAAGTCATTTCAGATAGAGAACTGATCTTTTTGAAAGATTTCGCCAAAAAGTTTGGCCGAAAAATCTTTCCCACCACTTCCCACCATTTCAGATTTTTTAGACTTGAGGGTGGGTTGGGTGGGTTGCCCACCACCACTCATCCACCGACCCACCATTTCCACCATTTTTTGCCGACCCCAGCTCCGAAGTCCCAAGATCTGGACAACTTCGTAAATGGGAATTTTTGAAAGACTAAGACTTTTAGGGTCTGCCACCTATACTCGATGTTAGCCCAGGTTCTGGCTGTCATTTTGAGCTCTAGAAAAGTAGGGAGGAGATGGGGTATCTTGGGAGCTAGGGGCTCTTGAAGTCGGAGAAATCGGCAAAAATTGAGTACTTTTTCCAAAAAGTCTTTTTGTCGATTTTAATTCATTTAAAAATGTTGAAGTTGTCATTTGGGGTCATCTGAGGTCAGGTCGGGTCAGTTATCAGAGTTTTCTGAATTTTCAATTATTTTTGACCAAGAGTGACCTCAGTTGACCCTAAACGACATCTTAAACACTTATGAATGAATAAACGTCGATTAAAAGAATTCAAATCGTCTACTTTTTGGGAAAAAAGTACTCAATGTTGGTCGAGTTCCCTGACTTGAAGAGCCTCTAGCTCCGCAGATACCCCACCCCCGCCCTACATTTCTAGAGCTCAAAATGACTGCCAGAGCCTGGGCCTTCAAAAATTCTCGGTTTAAGAAAGCCCAGAAGCTGAGCTTTCATTTGGACGGGTATCCCATATCAAGGGGTCAAGGCATTCATGGGACCGGAAGTTCCGAAATCGGAACTAGATCTCTTCAATCGAATTTTTGAGTAGCGGAAAACGGCTCAAATGAAAGCTCAGTTTCTGGGTGTTCCAAAACTGTGTCATAATTATTATACATTAATTATTATACATAATTATTATTATTAGAGAAATGGGTCGAAGTTAAATCTTATTAGATCGCGTTTTATTCAAATTTCTTTCAATATCTTTCAATTTCGGCGAAATTTCGCTTTCGGCGAATTTTCGCTTTTGGTAAATTTTCGCTTTCGGCGAGTTTTCGCTTTTGGCGAATTTTCGCTTTTGGCGAATTTTCGCTTTCGGCGAATTTTCAGTCTTGGCGAATTTTCGCTTTTGGCGAATTTTTCGCTTTTGGCGAATTTTTCGCTTGGCGAATTCGCTTTCGCTTCGCTGTGCAAGATAGGCGTTCGCTTCGCTTTCGCTTCGCTTTTTGGCTGGAAAAATTTTTCGCTTTCGCTTCGCGTTCGCTTTGGGTTTTCGAACGAAATTTATATGCCTGTCTGTGGCCTTCTTTACCATCTTGTTCCACTTGTTCCTGACAATGTCACACTGCAGAATGTCTCTGATGCAAATCAGATCTTCAAGCAATCTCATCGAATTATGAGGAAGAAAGGTCTTTTCTTTCACTGATCATCTTATGGCTTTCGTACCGCAAATGAATTATTCATTTATTCAATAAAAATGCCTGAAATAGCGTAAAAAGTGAAAAAAGTGTGGAATTTATTTTTATTAGCGGAAGCAGAACATAATGTTAAAGAGGTTGATAGCAGTTGTCTTTGGCTGCATAGGCGCAAACACAGAAGTCAGCAAAGAAACCTTCGATGACGAATCGTTCGCCATTTCTATTTTGAAAGAGAGCCTCTCCGCCAATATGAGAGCAAGTAGCATGTCTCCTGATTCCAATGGCGCACGATCCACGACATCTGCCAATGTTCATGAACTTTTTAAAAGGTCGCCTTTTTGAGGGAACGTAGCTCCAGCCAGTCAGCTTTTCCAACTCGACCAGGTCGATGAAGTGATCCTCTCGGTGACAACCGAGCTCGCAGGAAGGCGGGGTTTTGTAGCCGTAGAGCACCTGGCTCAGAATTGGGCGGGAAACGCTTGCGACTTTTTTGTTGATCGCTTTGAAGTTTTTGAAGCAGGAGGTTTCAACGTTTACTCCTGGAAAAGTCCTCGCGCATTCCATGATTTCCAAAAGATCGTCAAGATCGTAAGCGGAGATGCAGAGCAAGTTGATGATGAGGAAGACCTTCATTTTTTTAGTTTCTTCAGGAGAGAAGAAGATGATTTTTTATGGAGCGTTTTGGCAAGGAGCCTTATTTTTATACCAAGTGTTGATGTCAAAGAGCGCTTGTCTTGCAAAACTATTTCTAAATCACCTGATGTGTGTATGAGAAGGTAGAAAATATGAGTACTCTATATTCATAAGGATATTCTTAGGGATGCCAATTGAATTGTTAAGTAAAAAGAACTTTATCTTAATAATATTGGCGGGCGTGGGAGCCAAATCTCAACCTGAATATTTCATTTTTTGCTCTCATGGATAATCCATTCAATTTGAATTTATATAAATTCATTTTGATGACGATGGAAGCCTCAAGTATATGGACTTTTAAAAGTTGAAATAAACGGTATTGTCTAAATTTTTAATTTCAAAAAAAAAATGTCGGTGAATTTTTCGCCAAAAATTTTGACTCAGAATAGCTAAAATTTATTCTATAAACTCAGAACAATAATAAATATTAGAGAAAATATTTCTATCGATCTTGAAACAGATGAACTAGCGACAGTTTCGTTTTGAGCGAGTTTATCAAGAGCGTTGATGATGTTGTTATTCGGACAGGTCGTATTAGGCTTTATGTCGCTTCCATCGATGACTGTGTAGAAAACATTCTCTGGAATGCATTGGTCGTTGAATTGGATCCAACAGGCTCTTGGGGGCTTTTCTGCTTTGAAAAATTATTTTTCGGAATGTCAAAAGCAATCATTTTTTCAAAGCATTTTCCTGAAAACGCCAACCAATTCTTCTCGCAAAAAGCCAGCATTTTGAATAACCAAGGGATTCGCCAGCTACACTGTATTTTTTCTCACCCCTGACTTCTTTTCCAACTGGCCAGCCATTTTCCTGATAGTCGGGGCATTCGCATCTGTATTGAATACACTCGACGAAGTCGTTTATGACTTCGGTCTTGGAGATTTCTCGCGGCCGGGCTGGAGTTTTTGGCTGCCCTTGTAATTTTTTTGTTAGAGGTTTTTTTTTGAAAGAGTACCGATATGATCTTTTTCGCCGTTTGGATATTTGACGTTGTTTTTCATCGGGATAAAGCACTTAAATACAGTGTCGCCGATTTTTTCTTGCTTCAATCAACAAGAAAGGTTACCTTGTCAGCTTTCGGGCAAAAATCAACAATAGCCTGCTGATCCTTTGCATTCAACAACTCAAAGTTCATATGACAAAGATCTTTCCACATCAATTTCGTGTCTTCCAGCCATCGATGTTTTCGTTCATCGAGTTTTTTCGTCACTTCTTCTTCGCTCTTAAGACTGTCAAGATTCTGATGGATTGTCGTTTTCTTCCCGCTTGCAATTTCTTTGTAGTAGTCTTCCATGTATTTTTCTTTTCCGAAAAACCCGGCTTTTTCTTGTTGTTTTTTTAAAGTTTCGATTTTTGCTTCAAGAGTTTGATTTTTGATGACTAAAAATATTTAATGCTGAATTTTTTTGAACAAAAAGATTTCTTACCTGGCATAGTCCAAATAACATCATCGAAAAACTGCTGAGCTCTGGCTCTTTCGAACTCGACCAAAACTACTACCAAAACGCTCAACTTCATATTTTTCCTCTAGTTTAAGGGCCAACCCTCTTATTTCTTATTCTGACGAGAAGATTATCGTGAAAGAGCAAAAAAACGAAACAATAGTTTTCCGAGCTCGACGTGCGTAATTGGATTGAGGTGCGATTGTGTGAGCAGGGCTCTCTAATTAACCATAATCAATACTTCCAATCCCAAGGCTTCTCCCCCACAGTTGCGTTTTCTATCAAAATCACAAGGGAAATGAAGCTCTGACTCTCTGACTGTATTGAAAAAGGCGAAACGCATTGGCACATTAACCGATTACCAGATTTCAAATTGTTGTTAATATTTGATGAAATCAGGGCATGCTTATTATTAGAATAATATATTTATGATCATTTTTAACAAAAAAATCATGAAAATCAAAGAAAATTTTGAAAAAATATTGATTTATTCACATACAAAAATCTAAAATATATCAGGAAAGGTCTTTTTGTTCGTTCAGTCAAGCGATATTTCATGTACTGGCATATAATTTCTAAAACTTGAAACTTGAGGTTCTTCGTTTTTCGCTTCCTCAGTATTCGAAGGCAGCGCATAGTCGAAATCGTGTTTACTGAAAGTAAAATCATGGAAGAGAATCTCCGAGAGGCTTACTTGAGACCGTAGCGTTTTAGGACTTTGGCGACGATGTCGTCATCATCTTCCTCGTCAAGGTCCTTTAGCAGCTTTGAATAATCTTCTTCGTCTCCGCTTTTGTCTTCTTTGTCCAGATCTGATGATTGTCTCAAATCTTCTGTCGACGTTTTCTGAAAGTTTCATTTCTCTATGAGCCACAAAAACCAGCTCTCACCAGTATTTCCTCACTACGAGAATCCTTGAAGTTTTCCTTTGCTTTTTTGATGATGTCTTCGATGCTTTCTACTTGAACCTTCGTACTCATCTTGTATTTCTCAGGGCACGTGGTCGAAACTGTCTCGTTCGCGCCAGGGAATGTGTTTTCTTTCGAGTCAAAATCGGGATCTCTTTCAAAGGCGGTTCTCTTCTCGCTCTATCTGTGGAACGATTAGGACCTTCTCTAAGGTCATCAAAAAACCGTTTCCTATTTGATTCTGAACTTTCGCGCGACGCATTTCCGGCCTCCTGCGACTGCGCGACTTTTTCAAGTACCTCTTGCGCCTTGTCAAGCACTTCATTTAGCGTGTCATTCTTTGGATTTTCTGGATTTCCAGCTCCTTCCTTATCGTTAGTTTTCTTCTTTCCGGATTTGGATGCTTCTTTTTTCCCCTCAGTTTTGTTTGAAGAGCTTGAAGCCAGGATTTCGGTGTTGGGGACGTAGATAATTGCTGAATCGAACCTTTAGAGATGTATTTTTGGAGAAATTTATATAAATTTAACAAAAAGAAACCGTTTGAAAAGTAGCCTCCCATGAAGCAAAAACCCCTTTTCCGTTGATTTTTGGTCTCACAGGAATAAAGTTTATAACGACGATTTTTAAAAAGCTTTTTTTATACGAAGCCCTTATTTTTGTTCCCAACAATAACTAGCTATCGGTTATCAATCGTAACTATATTCCCTTTATAATAAACTGAGAAAATCTTAAAAGCACGCAATTGCTTCCCAAGCTCGAGATTTCTGTCGCAAGAAACCTTTTAATAATTGCAACAGTCGAGCTCGGCTTATTGAAGAGGAAGTAGCATTAGGACCTATCTAGTGAACAAGCCGGCTTTGCTTTGTTGAAAAAATTGGGAAATAGTCACGAGTTGTTTTCGAGATGATCCTATGCATTCAGGATAATGCATTTGGGCATGAAATTTCACGAGGTGAAGAAATTCCTTGAAAACGTGACCGGCTAGCTGACAAGTCTCTAAGACAAGTCTTTCTTGTTTCGAAGATTATAAAATAATTAATCAATAGTGAGGGGATCATCCTCCTCTTGATTCGGGTAAGAAAATGAACTTACCAGCGTTCGAGTGATTTGAGTCTCCGAGACTTCCGATCGCAACGACGGTAATTTTGTACTCGTTCTGAATCCTCATGCCTTCCACAAGAGCGCGATTTTTATGAGCCTAGAACATTTTAGATCTTTTATTAATTTTTTAAGCTTTACCTTGACCATGCCTTTGGGAAGGCCATTGACGTAAATCCTGTAACCAATGATGGAGTGCTCTTGACTGGTATTTCCATTTTCGTCGAACACTTGACTGGGCCACCTTAATCCAGTGTTGTTATTGGAAAATAAACTGGTAGCTTTCAAATCCTGTAATCGAGCTATCATGCCTTGTTTGCATTTTCATGACAAGCTGGAGGACTTGCGATGGCAGATTTATTCGTAAAGTACCCTTGTTTGCTATTTATACGACCAGCATTTTATTTATCCTAGTAATTGCCAACAAAAAAGACTTCATTTGGTAGCACAATCGAATTCTATCTTACCATCTAAGAAGAGCACTTTTATGTTTGAAATCGTATCCATCTTTCAGCTCAAATCTGAGTGCTCTTGGAGCGGATGGTATTCCAGGGCGACAGCTCTTAAAAATTTCGTTTATTTTGATATGAAAAAGTGGATGAGGACTTCTCCGTAAATTGGCCTCAATAATTTTGACGAAAAGACATTTTCTCGGTGGATAAAATTTAAAAGAAGAAAATGCGTCGGAAGTTACAAAGAGCGAGGGGCATTAATGTTTCATCCCATGGTCAAGGTGGCTTTGACTCACGTGATGAATTTTTAAGGAGGATATTATTCAGCAAAATTACCTGTTCTACAAAAGCCCTGACCGAAGTAAGTCTGAATCTCTTGTTTTTACCCATCTATCGTGTAAAGAATATCGAGTTAAAAAGTCAGAATCGATTTCTCAAAAAGACTGCCAAATTTTTTAAATCAAAGGAACAATTACACCGTCGAGAAGGGCGGTCTCTGTTTAAATTGAACTGATTCAATAGAACACAGTTTCAGCGGGCCAGTTCTTTGACTATTCAAAACGCGAGCAATAAATTTTATAGCCGCGAAATAGGGGACACGCGCAGGGAGATAAATTTTTCAAATTGATAACGCTTTTTTCTCACACTTGTCGATTCTTTGAAAATAAAATTATCTTTTAAACGTTTTAATTATTTAAAAAAGTCTTCCTTTAAAATATAAACCCAAGAAATTCTAAGAAATAGCGACCCAAAAATAATAAATTTTGAATAATTATTTTATTTATTTTTCCTTCATTTTGATCGAGAAAAAACAGTTGTTCAAAAGAGATTATTTCCTAGAATAATACTTCGTCAATAAGCCGGAAGCTAAAACCAGGAAATCCACTACTAACGCCTTTACAAGGGGCATAAAAGAAGAGATTTCAGAAGCGTGAGAAGACACTGTCCACGGTTCAAAGATATTCATACAACTGATTATTAGTTATTTGTTCGTTAGTACATGGAATACGGTTCCTTCAAAGCTGAGATTTTAAAACCTCTGATAATATCTCTGGAACCACCTCTTACTAGCGTACTCAATCAATTCCCCACGTGTATTCCGCTCTTATTTTATCTCATATTCTGTAATGAAAAATGATTCACGGTACGAAAGTTCTATGTTGCATGATTTTTTAAAGTCGAACTTACCTCATCAAAGTCCATTTTCGTTTTTTGAATTTTCAATCTCTTTATTTCTTCTGCAGTTTTATGTTTTCTTACAATTTTTTTTTCGTTTTTTTCACGCGCTATAAATCCGCAAGTGACTTAGTAAATCCGTTGGTGAGTGGTGAGCTCGCGTAATAATTCTTGCGTATTTGGTCTGACTGGCTGCTCTTGACGCTACTCAAATAGAACTTCAGCGGATAAGGGAGAAATCGGAGTGATACTCTTTTTCTATCACTCTCCCGCTGGATGGGCATTTGACAGAAACCCGAAGGACTTTTCAAACTTATTGGCGGAATTTGTATTGACAGATTTGATGAAACGGAAAGACTAAAACTACAGTAAATTTCAATTATAGAACCCCAAAACTCTAGCTTTATCATTGTCTTTTATCAATATTTTGTGAAACAATATTCATCTTCGATTCTTACTAAAGGTTTTTGTGTAAAACTTCATCTTCAAATTTTCAGTAGTTCAAAAACCACTGATCAAACAGTCCTATCAGCAAAAGTTCTGGTTTAATAACCCGCCGCCCCTTATAAATCCTAGATAGCGCCTCTCTTGGTAAATACTCTTCTTTCCAGTAAAACTTCAAATTTCGTATTTTGCTTCTTTAAAAAATCGCCAAGGTGGCACTTTGGCGAAGAATATTTTTCAAAAGGGGTGATTATGTTTCCCAGCGTGAGTCGTTTAGGGAAGAATGGAGCTTGCTTTTTTGACTTTTTTTTTGACAAAATGAGCTTCTACCTGTAAATAAAAATGTTTTTTATAGAAAAAATAAGAAGCGATTCTTTGTTTCGGATATTTTTGCGGGAGTCTTTGTTGATTTCATTGCAAAAATAACCGTTTTAAACTTTTCGCAGGATAATTTATTAGGCAGTCGTGAGAAACAAAAGTCTAAATTGTAATTATGTGCTCACTGGGGGATGAATGGATTGGGGATTTCTTCCATGCCGTCTTGAGGAGAAATGAGAACGACAGAAGTTCCTCGGCAAACAACAAGTCCTGAAAATAGTTAAGAATATGCTCTGAAATGCGATCGAACCTAGATTTCTTGATTCAGTAGACGGGCGGTAAGGATCATCTAAATCTCGAAGCTGTTCGGTTGTTGAGTCGATGACCAAATTTAGAAGCTGATCATAACTACAATCAAGGTAAATCACCAGCTCTCAATCATGTTTTCTTACCCTTTGAGAATCCCGCTAGCTTCTCTTCCTCCTTGAAACTTGACCCTGATTGCCTTGTCGAGATATTTATTCAGTTCAAGAATCGACTCCTTCTTTTTCGATCTGTCTTGCTGTTTTCGATCATCAGACATTTCTTTCTGAAATCAAGAGGCTGACGAGGCGATGTTTTAAAAATAGAAAAATGAAAAGCGACAAAACGCATATTATATTTCAACTCAAAGTTTTTCAGTGACATTTCCGTGGTTTTCTAGCGCTGATTCGCCATCACTTTAAACATTTTGCACAGAGTCTCTATATTCATCTTCAGGTTCTTCGCGATCTTGTCCTCACTAGAGGAAATACAAGAGTTGAGCACGCACGCTCTTCTTTCGCAGCTGGTATTTTTGACGATTCAAGAATTTTAGGAAATCTCAATCCTCTTCTTTTTTGATGACTACAGCGGGAAAGGCCTAACCAGTCCCATCATCACTCGTAGTTCACATTCTAAAACAGGATTACATGTTAATTTTTCAACGAGATTAGTGTTTGTGTGTCAAAACTTCCGACTCAGAAGTTTCTGCTCTTCTATTCCCAAACAGATTCATTCTCAAAAACAGCTTCTTTTTCTTTCCTAGCTGTCGGTTTCGCCTGAAGTGACAGGTCGTTCATGGCAGTGGTCTTTGGGCTAGTTCCGTTCTTCTCCGGCTCTGATACTTTTCTCTTCTTTGGTGTTGGGGGAGCACCGTTTTCTAGGAGAGTTATGAAGATATGACTTCATAAGCAGAATTACCTTGCGTCGCTTTCCATTCCTGATACGGTAAGATACAGTAATCAGGGTCTTTCTTGATCGAATTGACAAGATTAACAGCAGAATGATCCTCAATCGCCACAAAAGCGCTTCCATCGTCAATCCACATTACTCGTATGCGTCCACAAACTCGGAAAAGCTCGTAAATATCGTGTTGTCTCTAAAAATCAGGATCAGAATCAAGCAAAATTGAGCGCTTTTACCCAGCTTGTTGGAAAAGAGAGGTGAAAACAATGATTTCTTTTTGGAACAGCATCGGCTCTATCCAACGAAATATGATGAATGTCGTACATTCCGCTAATTGAGTATCGGTTCTTGAAGATTTTTGAAATCGCCGACTCCGTCAGTTTTGAACCGGGCTTTGTTCTGAACGTTTTCTTTGAGATTATAGCTCTTGGAAGCGGGTCTTACTTGGAAACAAGGTTCAGATAGCCCATCATGTGGATAAAGGCGACTCCAGTCATCCAGGCATCGTAGCCAGCTTCGTGAACTTGACCACCGAAGGCTTTGTAGTCGCGGTATCCGTCAGCAATGTGGATTTGTGCGGCATTCAAGGCGAAAGGCTGAATAACTTGAATAAGGGAACCGGAAATTTAGAGAAAAAAAGGACAATAAGAAAATTTTCTTTGGTAAATCTACCTGATCTTGGACCTTCTTGAAAATCTCGCCGAGCGAGTTGCCCTCTGGAAAGTTCGACTTTAGCGGTTCGTTTCTCGACATCAAAAGTGTATCAAAGATCTGTGGAAAAGTGGCAGTGGTAATTGATTTGAACTCTTCTAGGGTTTCCGGTAAATCGTCGAGGAAAAAGTGCTTCATTGTCAGATAAAGATCCAGCTCGCCAGCGTGGAAGACCAGCGGCGTCTTTGAAACTGAAATGACGCGAAGAATGTGAAGAAATCCGAGTTTTTCCTTCATCGCCTAAAAAGATGCGCTATAAAAACGGTTTCTTCGGACGACAAACCTCTTCCTCAGCGTCAACTTCGGCAAGCTTGACCTCTTCTTCCGTCTTCATCGTTTTCAAAATCGTTACAACTGGTTCGTTATTCTCATTTCGACCAGAAATGAACTGTGCCTTGCCCGCAAATTCTGGCTTGACGACCATGTGAACTAATCTTCGAATGAAAGAGTTGCAAGGCGGAAGATTGAAGGAATTCTTCTCTTCTTGAGCAAGGAACTGTTCGATTTGCTTTTTGTATTCGTCCAGCAGCGCTAGAAAGAGCTAGAGAAGACGAGTAAAGGTTCCTTTTACCGATTGTTTCAGCAGGATGCTCGGCCATCAATCGTTCTCGATCAAGCTTCGTATTGTCTATGCAAAAAATGAAGAAAAACGTCAAATATGAGAAGCCTAACCGTCATTATTTGATCGCCGAGCACATTGCTCCCGAATCCGCTTTCTTTTTTCGTCCAGCTTTTGTTTGAACTTTTCGAGGGCTGAAAAATGTCTCCATCGAGATTTTGATGATGAAAATTCTTTCGGCCCTATCCTGTGCTTCTTCTGGAACAGACATGAATCTCACTCCCTTTCCAAAAGCAGTATTGAAGTCGAAATTATGCTCGCAAAGAAAGTTTATAGTCGAACCGAGAATTTCGTATCTTCTTGAAGATCTGTCCTCGTGATGAGGACCGACGGGGGATAGGAAGAAGTTGTAAGTGTAAGATGTGTACCCGTTCGCGGTTTTGCTGAAAATTGAAAGGCCATATTGAGGGATGAAGAATTTTTCGATCGACTTTTGAGAAGGATGTGCATTGCTCATTATTAGAGAATTGAAGAGCTTAAAAAAATTATGTCCTGGTTCCTTTGAGATTTTTCGATATCTGTCTTCTCTTGTATCCAATTTGTTGTACGCTTTTGGATGGGGCAAACCACAGAACTCAAGATCGACTGATACGAATTCGCATTTCTGTATCTGCTTCAATATCTTTGGAAGCAGTTCCAGGAAGTTTTTACGAGTCACATTCATATTGTCTGAACGATAAAAACGTAAACTACTGTCGAAAGCTTTCTTCAAACCGTTGGAATTTCTTCAAAAATTGAACCAATACAAAGATAATTATAGAATTCTTGAGTACTGAAGGCGCTTTTCACATGTCCGTCTATGTGAGCTCAACCCTCGAAAACTTTGCGCTTGAAAACCGCAATCAATGCACTCAAAATCGTCTGAGGAGTGAAGTGCACGAATATGGTTATTCAAGTTTCCACGCGATGAGAAACCTTGAGAGCAAAACTCACATTTAAAATTTTTGATATTGAAATGAGCACTTAAATGGTTTTGCAAAGGAGCACTAAGTGCACATTTATAGGGACAATAATTGCACGAAAGAAGATGATTTTCGTGAACATTCAAATGATCGCGCAAATTGGTAGTACTAGCGAAAGAACTTTTGCATGATTGAAACGGACAGGGAAAATGACCATGATTTGTTGGTCTTTTACCATGACCGTGAAACTTCGATTTGTGATGCTTAAGACTTACCGACGAGTATGCGATAAAAGAGCAGTCAACGTGGTCACATGGAATCTCCCGGTAGCTGTGAACAGTAATCATGTGATCAAAAAGGCACTTCGGACCAAGTTTAGTTGTCAATTTACAGGTAGTTTCGGTACATTGAATATTCGTCCAATCTTTAAATTCCCAGTTGAAAGATGTTCTGTTTTCGTAGAAAAAGTCTAGATGCTCTTCTGGCAACCCGAATGTTTTGGCAAGTTTCTTGAAGTCTTTTGGAATGTCGACAGTCTTACTCTCCCTTTCGTTTTCTTCCCTTTTCTGAGGCCTTTTCTTTTTGCTAACCGGCTCGATAGTAATTTTCTTTCTTTCAGGTGGCTTCTTTATTGCAAAACTGAGTTTGACAGGCTTACATTCGGCTACAATTGATTTGGTAATTGAAATACCCAATACATGGTTTTGATTACAAACCATTCGCATTTGAATATGATTTTGAACAATGAGCTTCTTCTGCAGATGAATTCTGATTCTTCTTCGATCCTTTTTCTTCAGATTTCCTTCCAGCTAAAGTCGAGGAACTAGATATTAACAGTCAAATAGTTTTTATAAGATACCTTTTTCTGCCCTTTCTTCCAATTCTTTGTTAAAAATCTGTAGCACGTGAAGTCTTCCATGCTTTTTCAGATATTTCTGAACAAACCGCTCTTCCTTTGTCAATTTGACTCGTCCCATTTCTGAAAAGGGTTTGATTTCTACAGAGAAACAACTGATTTCTGAACAAGACATTTTATTTGAGTCAAAGAATTTGTCTAAAATTGGAGGACAGTTTTGATAGCTTTCTATCAGTAAATGGCCTGTTTGGGTCGAAGTTACAGTAACGGTGATTTTTCCTTATCGACTTTGGCTCTTTAGTTGTTCCTTCAGTCGCAAAATCGAAGTTCTCTGGTCTTCCGGCAGTAAATTAATCTGCTCTGGCGTCAGTTGCAAGACTTGCATAATGAGCTGAACAAATAGGTAGAGGGCAGAATTAGGATAAGAACGGGAACCTTTGCTTTTTCGTCATCGTCATTTCCAGAGCGCGGCTCGGTCTTAATGTGTTGTTGTTGGCGAGCTTGTTGTTGTCGAGGATCATGCCGCATTTGCGCTGCTGGCGGTTGATTTTGAGGAGGAGCTGAAATTCGAGTGTATTTTCCGCTTGTGAATTGTGAATTTTACCATTTCTTTGGTAGGATCGGTCGTAATCGCTGCGCATTGGTGGCATTTGCGGAGCAGCTTGTTGCCTCATCATTTGTGGCTGAGGAGGAGGAGCGGATGCTTGAGGAGCTGGCTTGTTTATCACTGCTCTGAAGGAACAATTTATCAATGGAAAATAGTTCAGTAACTTACGGTTCAACAGCTTTGACCGTGTTTGTCTTTGGATGAAGCATGGTAACTGCATGATCTGATGTAACAATCCTCATGGCTACTTGTGCCTGAAGTAGTCCATACGCAAGTTGAGGGTTTTGGAGAAGCATGTTTCTCGCTTCTACTGGGTTTTTCTGAGACAAGGTAAGTCTAAACCAAACAAGAAGCTACAAACCATGATGACATCTTTCATTTCTTTGACGAGTTTGTAAATCTGCTCTGGTGGTAGCGAATTAATCGCTTGCGATATCAGCTCCGGTGCATCAGCAGGATTACAAGATGGTCCGTAAATTGACTCCACTGGCGGAGCGACTGGGCCACCAAGGCCAACAGTGCCAGAGCGAGAAATTGAAGCTTGAGGCTGTTCTTTTTCCATTCCGTGGTCGCGGGTAGCGTGATCGACGCGCAAATTTCGCCCATGAAGTTCTCGACTGTTTAGATTTCGCATCGCGGACATGGCTGTATCCGTGTCCTAAAACGAGTAAGCGGCTAGTTACTTTCTTGGAATTACCTTGTATTCGCAGAAGCCATATCCTTTGGGTTTTCCCGTTTCCCTATCATAAACCAGCCGGAAACTAAGTACCACTCCGACTTCGCTGAAAATGTCTCTAATCTGCTCTTCCGTCGCTTCGTAAGGAATGTTTCCGACAAAAACCGAGCGCGCTGCCTTCTCCGATTCACCGCCGAAATCGCCGAACCCCTGAGGACCACCTGGGATTTGACGATACATTTTCTAAAATCGAAATTTTAGCCACGATTATCATTACATTTTCAGCAACAAAATTATATTTTGAGAAAAAAAGCATAAGAAACCCATCTTCTTCTTAAATTTCTCTAAAAATAAATGAAGTTTCGTTGAAAGAGCGCGGAGGACTCTTATGGGAAACTCGGCGCGGAAGATTCTGCTCGCTTGAAAATGATGCGCTCTTGGAAGAAAATATTTTTTTTCTGAAATTTTGCCCAGATCTGATTATATTAAGGATATAAGCTATGAATTTGAACTTTCGTAGCGCCTAAATGCGAAGTAGGATCATTTTCACTTCAAAAGTAGTCCTACCTAAAAATGCACGTAAAAGTCAAATCTGGAACTTTTGAAAAAAATTTTATGGAAAATTTTCTCTCTAGAGCGATTCAAATCTTACGCTCTCGATTGCTCGAATTTTTTCCATTGAATCGCTAAAACTAAACCGTGTCTTTTATTTTGATGATGTTAAGCTAGAAAATTGACGGGCTTTTATTTCGAAACTCCCTCAAATTTTCATTCTAGCGTTTTCCTCTTTCTTGCTCGAGTTTTTCTTCTTTTTGTGCTTTTTCGCGTGCAACCAATCAAAGCGCTCCGCTCAACCGCGCCACTCTCACGGAAAAGAGGAGCTGAGAGAGCGAGCGCCCATCGCGCCGCTTTTTACACTATTCACGCGCTGGGTAAGCCTCATGGAAATGGCTCTAAAATCGGTTTCGGTCGGAATTAGGGAAAACTGATCCGTCAATTTTGTAGATAAGGGTTAAGAGAAGTTATTCATCGAAAAAACTCGACCGATTTAGTGGAAAAATTTCGAGAAATCGAGAGCGTAAGATTTCAAAACGCTCTAAAACGAAAATTTTCTATAAATTTTTTTTTAAAAGTACCAGATTTGACTTTTACGTGCATTTTTAGGTAGGACTACTTTTGAAGTGAAAATGATCCTACGTCGCATTTAGGCGCTACGAAAGTTCAAATTCATAGCTTATATCCTTAATTGCAGTGGAAGTGACAAAATAGCTATAAAAGTAATCTACTAGATAAGTAAGAGACCTTTCTATGAGAAGAAATACTTTTCGGTGTGGTAGATTAAAATAAAATCCGAGAAATATCACAATCGTTAACTAGCTGAGAGCGAATGGAGTTTTAGTTCGACATTTTAGAGACTAAGAGTGTAGCAGATGGCGGGAATTTATCTTTTCTTAGCCCTGTTAGTCAGCTGTTTTGCGAGTGATATTCCATATCCACGTAAGTCAAGGGTATTTTGTTTGATATCAAAGCTTGCTGAAGAGAATTTTGGCAAAAATCGGCAGAAGCTGCAATTTACAGTTTATCAAAGTTAATTAAGGATATAGCCTATGAAATTGAACTTTCATAGCGCCTAAATGCGACGTCGGATCATTTTATTTCAAAAACAATCCTATCTAAAAATGTATGCAGAACTCGATTCTGGTACTTGTTTAAAAATTTTTAGTATATTTTTTCTCTGTAGAGCGTTTTGAAATCTTACGATCGCGATTTCTCGAAATATTTACATTAAATCGGTCGAGTTTTTTTTTGATAGAAAAGTAATCTAGACCCTTATCTACAATATTGTGGCTTCGGTTTTCTCTTATCCCGACAAAAACCGATTTTAGAGCCATTTCCATGAGGCTTCCTCAGCGCGTGAATAGTGTAAAAAGCGCTGCGCTGGGTGCTCAATCTCTCGACTCCTCTTTTCCGAGAGAGTCTGCGCGTTTGAAAGAGCGCTCTGATTGGTTGGACCCGAAAAAGCGCGCATGGAAGAAAAACAAGAGCAAGAAAGAGGAAAACACTAGAATGAAAATTTGGCCGAGTTTGAGGATTTTCTAGCCACAATATTTTAGTTTAGCATTTTGCTAATGCAGTCATTGGTTTAGTTTTAGCGATTTAATGTAAAAATTTCGAGAAATCGCGATCGTAAGATTTCAAAACGCTCTACAGAGAAAAAATATACTAAAAATTTTTAAACAAGTACCAGAATCGAGTTCTGCATACATTTTTAGATAGGATTGTTTTTGAAATAAAATGATCCGACGTCGCATTTAGGCGCTATGAAAGTTCAATTTCATAGGCTATATCCTTAAGTTAACCCATGCTGGACCGGCGACCACGTTTGTCACGCCACGGAGAGATGCATTCCCGAAGGTCAGCATCTCTACGAGTGCTGTAACGAGGGAAGCTATTCTGCTTTTTGGAGTATTTGCCGGCGAGGGAGCAGTATGTACAAAAGGTTTTTTTTCTGAAAACGAATATTTGAGGTCACCCTTGTCTGGACTCGCATAGCTGCAAAGAGGACGAGTACTGCCATCGGCTCATTGAGGTCAACGAAATTAATCATAATTATGAGTGTATTAATGAAAACACTGATTGTCACGGTAATTTATAGGCTTCGACCTTACAACTAAAACAGCCAGATCTCATACTTTTTTAAGAGCTTTCTGTTATGTGTACACATGTTCTAAAAGGTTCATGCGCTGCTGCTCCAGGGAACATGACCGGAATCGCAGCAAATGTAACACGAATTCCCGTCACCAGCATCGACGACTGCTACAATCTTTGTGAAAGTTCGAAAGTCGATGGAAAGGAATGGTTTGCCTTTTAAAATTATTTGTCGTTAGATAAAGAGGTTTAAACCGTTGCAAAAGCCGTGCGTTGGTTTTGATATCGACGAAAAGGGAGGATGCTATTTGGGTTACGAGGAATGTGAGCCACCGCTCGTTGAAAATCCAGGAGCTTTGGATCTTAACAAACTTGATTACTGGTCAAGACGCGATGAGGAATATAGAAGACAGAAACATCTTCAATTCCTCTACTATCCAATGAGCGGATGCAGAGCGCCAAGTAATGAAAACCGATTTGTCGAATATTTTGCAATTTTATTTGATTAGAAAAATCGGAGGAATGCTTGAAAACCATCAATGACTATCTCAAAAGTCATTTCAAAGAAGTTCATTATTCAATTGATTCAATAAACAAGGATATAAGTGCATCGAGGGAGTCACTGATGCAGGAGCTTGGAAATGAGCAAAGTCTGAGTTTCTCATATTTCATGAAGGTCTTGGAATTGAAAGCATGAAAAACTCAAGGAAGCAAGTATCAAAGTCTCTTCATGTTCCAGCCGGTTATTGGACTAACATGCATTCTGCTTGTCCTGAAAATCATTGTGACTATAAAAACTATGTTCTTCACTGTTTCTCCAACGAAACCAGCACCTCCCGGACAGCAGAATCAAGAAGCAACTAGCGAGAATAATCCTTCTTTCTCTATCGCTTAAAATAAACAGAAAAAAATGAAAGCTGTCATATTTTCAGATGCTTGATCATTTGGTTGCCGTAGGAATCCTTTCGTTAGAAATCGAGTTCTTTGCGTTAAAATTATATGCTTTAGAACATTTGGTTGATTAACGGACCATCAGCAGCAGCTATCGCTTAGCGTCATACCGCGTAGAATGAACCAGTTCTCGTCCGATCACTGAAGTTAAACTACGACGGGCGGGGTTAGTACTTACATGGGTGACCGGTTGGGAATACCTCGTGCGCTAAGCATTTTGACGTTTTTGCGAAGAAAAACAATCATCCTTTTCCCACGTATACATTTTTGATTGCCGTTCACTCGAGCAATGAGAAGCTAGTAAGAAAATCGCTGTGAGTTCGCATCGAAAAGGTGTTTAGAGTGGAGCTTGCGTGGCGGGCGGCGTGGCACTTGAGAAAAAGCGCCCTCCACCGCGCGCTTCTGTGAAAAGAGGCCGAAAATAGGAGCGCGCAGCGACAAAACGACCTCGAAATCAAGCACCCCTTCTCTTTACTCATCCCATTTTTGAGTCCGATTTCGATTGTCTAACAGGTAAGAATCGTCTCCATGCCCTCTCTCTCCCATCCCTCTCGCCTCTTACAAACAAGAACAAACTACGAAAGTGAAACCACGTACAGCTGTGTTCGTACTGACTCGCTTTTTGGAAATTCTTAAGAACTAAAGTGACCCTTTAAGTTTTCGAAAATTCCACTTCCGGTCCGATTCTAGAGCCGGAACTTGACGAAATTTAGGAGTGAAAAAAGACATAAATTGATGAAATTTTATTCAGTTTTAACCGGTTGGTTTGACCACCGTCGGGATCGATTCTTTTTTTAAAGTATAGGAAATCATCACTTTACCCTAACTCCTAAATTTCGTCAAGTTCCGGCTCTAGAATCGGACCGGAAGTGGAATTTTCGAAAACTTAAAGGGTCACTTTAGTTCTTAAGAATTTCCAAAAAGCGAGTCAGTACGAACACAGCTGTACGTGGTTTCACTTTCGTAGTTTGTTCTTGTTTGTAAGAGGCGAGAGGGATGGGAGAGAGAGGGCATGGAGACGATTCTTACCTGTTAGACAATCGAAATCGGACTCAAAAATGGGATGAGTAAAGAGAAGGGGTGCTTGATTTCGAGGTCGTTTTGTCGCTGCGCGCTCCTATTTTCGGCCTCTTTTCACAGAAGCGCGCGGTGGAGGGCGCTTTTTCTCAAGTGCCACGCCGCCCGCCACGCAAGCTCCACTCTAAACACCTTTTCGATGCGAACTCACAGCGATTTTCTTACTAGCTTCTCATTGCTCGAGTGAACGGCAATCAAAAATGTATACGTGGGAAAAGGATGATTGTTTTTCTTCGCAAAAACGTCAAAATGCTTAGCGCACGAGGTATTCCCAACCGGTCACCCATGTAAGTACTAACCCCGCCCGTCGTAGTTTAACTTCAGTGATCGGACGAGAACTGGTTCATTCTACGCGGTATGACGCTAAGCGATGGCTGCTGCTGCTTGTCTGTTTATCAACCAAATGTTCTAAAGTTTATAATTTTATTGCATGTCTACAAAAGCTTTATTCACAGTAGGTTGACATTAAATCTGAAATAACCGCAACGGCCTTCGCTCTCGTATTTGATAACTTGCTTCCCATCGTCTGGTTCACTGTTGATTTCTTTTCTGTTGTACTCGTCTCCATTAACAAAGTTGATTTCTTGCGTCAGCGCTTTAAATCGCACATTCCCTTCTTAATTTTCATCAACAAATTTTCCACGCTAGTCTTTACCGGTTTTCCAAATCCAAAGATTATACGTGCCATATCCTCCTTTCGCGCTTTTGAACTTGATATTCCATCCGTTTCCCTTTGCCTCCAGATCCTGGCTCCACCAAAACTTCAATTGGAGCTTTCAGAAACCATTTATTCGATAGAAAAATTGCAAGAAAGCTCCCGTTCCTTGAGGTTAATTTTGGTTTCTCCCAAAGCCAGGAGCATAAGAATATTCTCCATTTCCGATTCTTCCATCCAATTTCTCACTCCACCAGTCGCAATCATTCGATCATTCCCCCAAAAGTGTCCCACGCCCCCGACAGGTCCAAGCTCTCTTCTCATTTTCTCCAGTTCCCGTTGCTTCCAGGATTCCGAGATTTCATCTGTCACATTGCACTGAAAAAGAATAAATTGAATATTTTTATCGAGCATGAGGATATCTTCTACGTTCTGTCCAACTTCCGCGACGAAGAGTAATTCTTTCAAGATATTGTATGCATCCTTTTCCGGCGTTGAAATTAAAAAATTCGAAATCTTTGAAATTCAAAAATCCTTCAACGCTTTCCTTCTTCCACTTGAATTTCGCCTCTGCTTTTCTAAACGCATTATCAATTTCTTCCTCTGTCGCGTTTTTCGAGACTCCCAAAACCGCGTAGTAATCAGTTCCTTGTAAAGAACTCATCGGCACAAAAATGATTTAATTCATTGTTAGGGAATGAAAATCCGAATCGAGGAACAGTATCGATTTTATTTTTTTTACGGGAGACGCTGAAAAGATGCGCTGAAATCCTGTCGCTGAGTCAGATTGACGTAAAAACGATCGTTTTTTGGGCGAACCATTTTTGGACAAGTGAATTTAGACGTAAAATCGAGGAAATATTAATTTATTTCATGAAAATTTGACTGATTTTCAGAAAAATGACTTCGGTCTGTGACCAAGTAGAGTCGTTACTGTGACTAAGAAGGCCAAAATCAGCGAGATGCCAGTGAAAGCTAAAAAGTTTGGAGCAAACAAAGTTTTACTCTAAGAATACCAATAAAGCTTCGTTCAATCATATTCGTGCAGCCAGATCGGAAAGGATAGACGACTGTTTTGAAATCTTGAGCACCATCGATCAGTTCATTTTCAATGCAAAACCCGGTCTCTGAACAGCAATTATATTTTCTCATTTAGGTAACCCAGGCTTTATACCTTGTACTCGTCGCCGATACCAGTTATGATCAACCGGTACTGGTAAACTTTTACAAAAGGCACTTTTGTCATCTTCAATCGTTGTTTTTACATTGATCTCAACGCAGTTGTCAATCACGTACGCCTGAACTGTTTCTACTGCAAAACAAATCGCAGCAGAAAGCTTGATGAAGAGCAAAACGAATCCCATCCTTTTCGAGCAAGTTCCTGTCGCTTTATCCAGCTTTTTCTGCTCTTTGTGAAATTGGAGACACTAGAAATGAAAACTTCCACTATTTTATCAAAAACCTGTTTGCAGCCACATTTAGGCATACACAAAGATGCAAGCGCTTCAATGATTTTGATTGCTTGAAGAATGATAAAGGCAAAAATAGAGACCCAGAAAGCATTTGTTACTTGGCTCCCTGGAATCATGTTTCTAGCCATCTATTTTTGATTTCATTACTTTACGAAGGATTAAGACAATTAAGAGAATTGAAATCATTCATAAAAGTAAAGAAGTAATTTCTGAATCCAGCCAAGACTGTCCAAAATGATATTATTTTCCACAATCAAGCTGAATGATTTTCCAAGGCATTTGTCCTCGTTGTTGTCAACTCTTTCTTTGGCGAAAAGAAGAAACAACGTAACCATAAAATTGACGACTTTCATCGCGCTGAATACTTTGACAAAAGTTTAGTTTTCAGGTCATCCTAGAGCTTCCTACCGATCAAGAAGACTGACACGTAGGAATTAACGGACACGGCAATTTTATCATCAGTGTTGTACTCGTACCATGTGTAGACATCAGGGTAAATGTCTACTACTTGCAATACTCCCATCATGAGTGAGTGGAAAACGGTTGAACAGCCACCAGCAATGATGTTTCCAATCAAAAGACCCAATCCTCCAGCTCCGACAATGGCGACAGTACAGATTTGGACGATGAAATATACCATTGTTTCGGGAGTGTAAGGGATGATCTTGAGCAGTTGCAGGTTTCGTTTTGTGAGGGCGAATTCAAGAGTAGCAGAAAACTCTTCTTCGTCAATTTCTATTTTTGAGCGAAAGGCGAAAGTAACTGTAAGAAGCTCCTAGACATTGAAAGTCAATCAAGATATTTTCGGACGACTTACCGAGTTTTCGTACTGCTCAACTTGGCGGTTTAAAATGTTGCAGTAAATGAAATCATCGGAAAACACATAATCGGTGCGATCGAGAAAATCATCATCAAATCCTTCTCCTCCAAACTCTAATATTTCTGGGTTGATGGGTTCCAGCGCCGATGTAAAAGTTTGATTAAAATAACCAGCCAAAGGCGTGTTCCCGCTTATTGCTACTTGCCCATTCGTGAAAATATTGGTCAAATTTGTGGAAACGGTTGTTTGAAAATCGCCATCGACGATTTGATACGCTCTGGCAGCTTCGTAACATGCATTGATTAAATCATCGTTGCCAACTATTATGCCGAAAATAGCCCGGACTTGCACCTCATCCTCTTTCAATTTTTGCCTTCTACTTTCGTCTTGATAATTGCTAGAGTTTCCGACTGTTGTTGTATCGTACCTAACCGTTCCATTTCCATTTATTATATCTGAAATTGGCCCATCTCCGTTTTGGGCAAAAACAGCGTGAAAAAGCAAAATTAACAACATCCGTTGATGGAAAATTAACTCTACTGAAAAGCAACGCCTCTGCTCGAAAGTCTTTATTTTGCGGTTTTACGAGTAATCCTGCTCACAATTTATGAACTTATGCTCTTTGAAAGAATATAAGCTCAGACCCTGACCCTCAGGGTCGTATACAAAGGAATCTGAATTGACAAAGGTTGTTTACGATTATTTTCTAGAGCTCTGTAGATGTTGCTTTCCCCTTCTAGCCCTCAGGGGTGTTGATGAATGAAGAAGCTGTTTCTCTAGATGCCTTGAAAAATCTCTAGATTTGTTGTTGATGTCAGGGCTCCGGCGAGCGAAGTGAGTCAGTCTTCGGATTTTTGAAGGTCCGGCCCAGATACTTTACAGGTAAGTGTTTTTCGGACTGTGAATTATAAATTTATAAATAATTAAGAATTCGCGAAAGAGTGTGCTTCAGAGAGGGTTTCATAGAAGCACTCTCTGTTATGAACTCCAAGATGGAGATTCATCGAGCCTGCCGAATTATCCAAGTTTCCACCGGCATCTCAAGCCAAAAGGAAAAAAGAAGATGATATTATTGCAAAAAAAAGCAATAAAAACCTATCTCTGTAAAACTCTTTTTGTGTCATTTCTTGCAGGACGTTAGCTTAGAAAAATGGTGAACGGTTAGGAAGAACTGTAGAAAACGGAGTGGAAGAAATCTATGTCGTTTATTTTCTGCAGTCGGTACTTAGAAAAACTCAAACTCTACAGGGAAGTGATCGGAGATTAGGTCGGTAATTGGGTCTCCGTTATAGAAAATCTGGTCGGTGTCGTAGTATGTCTGGTAGTCGAAAACGCCGGAGCTGACGACATTGTTTCGGATGTTTCCATAAAGGACGATGTGATCGTACGCGCAGTCGGTGGGGGATACTGTAGTGTCAGCTTCAAAGGGGATGAGCCAGTCATTGGAAGGTTCTGTGTAGAGAGTGAGACTTTCGGGATTCGCAACATAGTTGCAGTCAGCGTTGAAGTCACCAACAATTAAAACGTCGTTGATGTCTGGGTGTTTAACAAGGAGATCGTTGTAGACATCTTGCAAGTGGTTGATTTCGTCTTCAGTAACCATGTCACTGACTCCAGTGACCGGCTTCAGATGGCCGGAAATGATTCCCAGTTTTTGAGTTTGAAATTGCTCATAATTAACGCTTACTCGCTCGAGAACAAGCACAGTTGGTGGTCGCTCGAACCAGAGGGTTGAAGAGTCGTCGAAATCGTAACCATCGACCTTGGAGAAATCGTTTCGATCCCAGATAAAGCCGACTTGTTCTTTGCTGCTTGTGGTTCCTTGGCGAGCCCCAGTCCACCAGTCATAGATGTCGTTCACAGCGTTGATGTCTCCGACAAGGCTGGGGAACGCGGTCTCACTACTATCGCGGATTTCCTGAAAAGTTTAAATGTCAATGTTCAAACAATTTAACCTGAGTTGTAGCAATGTCGTATCTGTTCAATATCTGAACGATTTGATCCTTCACTTCTGTCTTGCCGTATTTTGTCGTTCCGAAGACCTGAATGTTGAAACTTGCGACTATAAAAATAGTTATAAAAGGAAGATAAAAATGATCGCTAACATTTTGTCGGTGGTGGCACGAGATAACTGCACAAGTCAGTATTGCCTGCGCAAAAGCACGGGTGCCGTTCATGGTAAAACTTCACTGAGATAGCATTATTATCTGCGTAGTCTTTGATATTCGTTCCTCCAGGAGCCGATTCAAGCGCGAACATAAGTGCAATTTTCGAATCAAGTGGAAAGGACTCAAATCCAGGCTTAGAGTTCAACCTGACGAGGGTTTTCGCGCTTCGAGGATCTCTGTAGACGTCAGTGACTTCTAGCCGAGCAAAAGTCTTTACGGTGACATCAGCCGGCAAAATGTTTGGGAATACGAGTAAGAAAGAGTACCCATTTGTCGCTTATAAATGATTTAGAGTAGGAAAAACTTGAAGATTACCTGCAGTGGACCATTTGGAGTTGTTCTTTACGAACATGTTGAACAAAGCAAAGTTAGCATCTGCCTCGGCATAGGGTGTGCCAAAGTTTCTATTTAAATTCCAAGCCTTGAGCGTGTGTCCGACTTTCAAAGAATGCTTGAGGCAGCAACCGAATTCAGCGACTTTGTTTGACTCGCCACTTCCATACTTCCCCGAAAAGGTCCAGTAGGGATCCACGCCGTCAAGAACCTTGCATTTGGCGGGTAGGGCCCAGTCCTGACTGTTCAATTCGTAACCACTTGCGCATTTGACGTTACATTCCTGGTTGTGCCCGATAATTGTTGATTGTGCACACCCATTGTGTCCAGTAGCGTGAGCAATATTCTAAAGCTTCTCTTTAAAAACTCTCTCTTCCGAAGGATAAACCTGAAAATTCGGATTATCGGCCAGTTTCGGACATGTTTGAGAAAAGGCCGACGCCAGAAAAGTCGATAAAAGCTTCATTTTTAGAAAACAATGTGAAATTTAAATTGATCATGTTGGCTGGGAAATTCGCTTTTATGCATTCAGCGGTTCAAAATGAATTTGCTGTTTGCAATTAAATTTCTCTTGACGCAAGTGAATTTTACTTTATTTCGTCACCTGAAAGTTCATTTAGGAACGCTTGAAGAAGATCGAGTACATTTTTGAGAAATTTATTCTATGATCTTTTTTTATATTGATCCTGTGAATCATAAGTTTATATTTACACGATGTGAATCAGCGATGGAAACTCAAAACCAGGTTATCACTGTCAAACCGACAATAACCAAAAGTGGTGCCAAGACAATGAAGAGAGCAATTTTCAGAATCCTGCAGTATTTTTTCTGCCTCGCTGCTTTAGCGGTTTTCTTCACTCCCTTTTCCAGCTGCGATGCTCCTTCTTCAGCATATTGCTCGATTCTGTCAAGAGTTTCACCCTGCCCTAGTAAAAGCAGATATTCTCGGTAAAACATGATTTAGTTTTACCATGAACGGTGAGATTTATGACGTTGTGAAGAAAATTAACCTCGTCGATTTTGTCTTCTATGTCTTCTATTGCTTTTATCGTTTCATTTTGCTCCTCCAGTTCTTCAGCACAATCTGGAGCCACAAAACGGACGATTCTTGGACTAGGGGGCCCATCTACGTACGAAGCATTTTCAAAGCCGATTTCAGTCATCTGAGTAGTAATCCCAATTGTAAACTTAATAATTTACGAAGATACCTTGTTTTTGAGACGACTCTTAGTGTCATCAATTTTCCCAACGATCTCAAAGTAATCCTAGACATCAGTTCGTGAGAACGACAAGTTATCAACGAAACTTACGTGGATAAGCGTCTGAAGAAGAATCCCTTGAGCCTCGCAGTGCATTTCTAATATTCTCGCCTCGATGCCTGTCAATGTCTTTCCCTTCTCTTTCTAAAAGAAGTGAGATTTCTATCAATATAAAAGTGTTACCATTTCTTTGTGAAACATACGAAGCTGCGAGATTTTTGAAAAGTCATGTTTTCGTTTTCCTTTTCGGAAGAAAAATGAAGCGCGTCTTTTTTGAAGAATTTTTTGTTGACTTGAAATCTCAGCACGAATTTCATTGATCAAAGTGTATCCCTTAATTTTTGCCATGAAAATTTTTATAAATCAGCAGACCTTTTCAACGTATTCCAGTAGCTCTAAATCAATCTCCGTCCCGATCGGCTCTTCTTCTACTTGTTTGCTGTAACAAACTTATCAAATCGATGCATACGGCCTTGGTCAAACCTGAATATACTCTTTGCTCTGCTACACGTCTTTTTTGTTGATTCTTTAATTATTTTCAAAGACATTTTTCCAGCAACTGCTCTCTAAGAATCTACTTTTTTGGCTTTCTCAAATCCGGACGAGCGCCCTACCGCTTCTTTCTTACTTATCAATTTCTCAGCCACGTCACTTTTCTCAGCAGAGTTTTATTAAAAGGAAAGCCGCATATTTTAAAGATATTTTATTGATCAGTTATAAATGGTTATAAAGTTTGATTTCACGGAAGTTTCTTTCCAATTGGCATTGCGCCTTTGGAAAATGTTGTCGAAAAGGTTTTTTGAGTTCAAAGTCTGAAGAAGACTTTTCGGTCGAAAAATAATTATACACGAAAAAGGGGCTTAATCGTCCTGGCTGACGTAGTCGTTTATCCATGTGGCCCGTTTTTGGATTCCGTCGGTTCCATCTGCGTTGAAGAAGGTGTTCTGGACGCACTCGGGAGCTCCGTCGCAGCATTGGCGGCAGACAGAATTTTCGATCTTTTTGTTGTTGTATGGCTTGCACTCCTGTAGCTTCCAGGGACCTCTGTTGTTCTGACTCTTGTTGACGAGGCAGGCGTCGAGGGCTTTGCAGCCAGCCTGGACGAAGTAGGTTTTTCCTCGTCGTTTACGCATGGTGACAGCGCAGGACGTCTGGCTGTCTTGGCATTCAACCATCGTTCCATTGGCGATGCAGTCGGCAACGTTGTTAGCATTGCAAGTCAAGCAACTAAATCACCGATTAATAAGCGCATAGGAAACGGTCACTTACGCAAAAGCCTCTGGAGCGGTAACTGTTGTTCCTAGAGTAATCGTGGCTGGTGGGGCAGAAGTTGGTGGATCAGTTGTCTGGCCAAATACTGCAGCGCTGAGAAGGGCAAAAATTTTCATCTTGTGTTTTGGGCTTTTATATCGCTTTGGATAACTCGATGCCGAGCTAGCGAAACGAGCTCTTTTTATACTCGCGCGGTACTCGAAGTATTTCAGGGGGCGCGCGAGAGTGTCCGAATATTTTGCTAAATCAGTACTTTTCTAACCGTTAAATCTTGCTCGTAATATTTTTCGGGTTCTCTTGTTTTATGCGAAGAGAGCAAGAAAACAAATTACAGTTTTTTACGGAATTTTTGGACATCAAATTTTTGGACATTTTTGCTATTTTAAGGGGTTTTCTTTGGACACTTTTCAAAAGTGCCCGTATCAAATTTTTGGACATTTTCTGCGCCTAATTTTTAAATTTTCTGTTTTTTTTTGCCAGATATGACGTTTTTTCTTATTAAAAATCTTACTTTTTCTTTGAGAAAGATAAGATTGAAGGTTGATCTCCTACCCCTAAAACATTTTTTGTCTTTAGAAGAAGGATTAAACAAAGAATGATGGAGATTTTCCTCAAAAAAAATTTTTTAAGCAATTTTGGATGGGACATTTTTTTTGGCCGCGTGTATCAAATTTTTGGACATTTTTGCGAAAATCTTGGGACAAAAATGTCCAAAAATTCCATAATTAACTGTACTTGTTTAAGTATTTTTTGATTTTTTTTTCAAGAAAAAGATTCCTAATAAAGTAAAAACTTGATGAAATAAGAATTTGATATCAATTTGAAAACAGCTATCATGTGATAAATTTATTCATTTTTTTTTCAAATATCATTCGCTTTTTTAGATACGAAGATCTGTTGAACCATGAGTCAAAGAACCTCATAAAGATAAAATACAAAAAAGGAGCCTAATAACAGACTAAAAATAAGAGTCCACTTTACCCAACTCCAATTTATTTGAACCTCAAAATTTTAACTGCCCGTTTAGAAGCGGCTTCAAAAGTGCACCAGTCATTTTGCCCACTCGACGGGTATCAAAGAGTCTCTAATGCTTCTACGTGTACTTTCCGGAATTTCGGACATCTGGCGGATTTCGCGAATCCACGCGAATGACTCCTGCGGTTTTGTAAGTCTGACATTTTTTCTGGTAGGATTAATTTTTGAGAAGTGATTGTAGCTTTTTGAAGTGAGAAACTTGACTGACCATTTCCGCCGGCGACAGTTTCAAGTAAGTTCTCCAGAATTTTATGCTGAAAAAAGTTCAACAGAAAGTACCTTTTTTTGCTCTTTATAAATTTTCTATTTACACTGTAAAATCTACAGTGATAAATAATCACAGTAGTGTTTTTTCGGCAACTACTACTTTCTGGAAATTTTCCTCTGGACCTATTTTTTAAACCGATTTTTAAGGGTGTTAGAGTTATAATTAAGGGTACCTGACTTGGTCAAAAGAAAGCCCGGGCCCTGGGCCGGGTTTTTGTCAAGGTTTAAGGGGGCCGGGAGGCCCTTGACACCCTTAAAAATCGGCTTGAAAAATAGGCTCAGAAAAAAATCTCCAGAAAATAGGAGCAGCCTATTTTTTCTCTATGCCATTCTCATCATTTCGGACATGTCTTCCTTTTCTTTCAACTGGGTTGGCAAAAAGAATATGCAAAATCTAAAGCCAGAGACATTTGAAAACCAGTTCCTTTTCGACAGTAATAAATGAGATAAGTAAACGTTCCAATAACAAATAAAACAATGCAGAACCACATGACGATTCCATGTAAGCAGAAAACTTCTCTTCAAAAAATGATAACAAAAAGATTTCAATTTGAAAACGTTACCTGTCTAAAAGACACTCGCTCGGAAGTACTTATCAAATGGGAATGAAATTTTCCTTCTCTGATATAATTCTAAAGCGATAAAAAAAACGTTCCCATGCGACTGAATTGCAATTTGAATTGCGGTTTCTGACTCTAATGGCTTCTTTTAACGCGAATAAGTTGGAAATAAGTTTTGTTGCTGGCGATAATGTACAACTGGAGTGAACAAGCCGGAGGAACAATCGCCGCTGAGCCGTACAATCGGCTCAGAAGAGCTCCATAGAGAGCATCTAAAAAGCTAAATATGGGCCGCAGTTGAAAGATGAAGATTCACGCCTGACAGAAGGTCAATCCATTTTCAAGTTCTTTATTTTGATTAAAAATTAATCAAACGTCGCTTCAGTTTCTTTATCTTTGAGCATGAAGATTAACTCAGAGGCTTTTCTCATTCACAGTCATCATCATCAGCTTTGAAATCGTGCGGTAGAAATCTGTTAAATAATCATTTATTTTTGTTAAAAAAATTAAGTTATTTTTCCCCAGAATTTCTTTTTTTGAAATTATTAAAATTTGAAGAAAAAAAAATGCGTTAATATGTCGCCGAGCGAATTATTGCCGTAGTTGATTTGACATCTAAAATTTAAACATCGGTATAATACCGTAATTTACCGATAAGGTTACCCTTTCTTACTCTATGGTCCGATTAAACCTCGCTAAAGAATCTGTCATAATTTATAAAAAAAATATTATCCGATTCGTCTTCTGAATATCAAAGAAATGAACCAAAATTAATTGGTAAGAATAAAGCATATTAAAGCATAAAAATGACGCATAACTTACCATAAAAATAGCGCATATTTCACCATAAAAATGTAATCAATCCAATTAGTATTAGTATTAAAAATTCCTGAAAGATGAATATCCGTTATCAGATCAAGAAATTCTTATGACTTACACTTCAATTTGAACAACTGAAGTAGATTCTTCAATAATAACACACTGCCTTTTTATTGAAATCTCAACAGCTTGCTGAACAACATTTTTTAATTCTTAGAAAACATAAATTGATCAATTTTGAACAGATTTTTCGATGCCATCTGAAAATTATTGATTGAATTTTATGTTTGTTTATTATTTTTTATTATTTTTTTTATTAGCTTTAACACCCATAGATGAATTGGTAAAATTGAAATCAAGGAAGAATACTTATCAACGATACGGCTTGATTATTCCGTATTGAAATTAATTGATTTCGACATCAATCTCGTTCATTTCTTTTCGTAAATGAAATTATTCTGAAATTATATCATCAAATTTCAATGACTTTTTACTCACTCAGAGTAATTCAAAAAGAGGAAATGAGTTTTGAAAAGCTTTGCCGTAAAGTTTTAAAGCGTCAGGATGAAACTGAAAGGTATTCAGCACGCTTTTGCTTATTGGCAAAGTCATTGCTTATTTCCAGACGAGTGCGACTTGACTTAGAGCTCAAGAATCTTGAACACAGGCAGGCAATTGACGATCTTTCGGATCAGCTCGAGCTTCTTAGAAACGAGCTTGCGAGTATTCAAAACACGTTGAATAAGAAATGAGTTCAAAATATATTTTTTGAGATATAGTCAAAACTTCATTTCTGCTACAAGCTTTAACAAATAGAGGAAATCAAGTTGCATCTGAGGAAAACGCAGACGACCACGAGGATTCAGCATTTTCATCAAAATTCGACAGCGGCTTGGATCTAACCTATTGCCAAGTTAATTATAATTTTTTTTCATTCATAAAATCATTCAATAGGGAGTAAAAGTTGATGACTTTGAGGAAGCGTCAGCAGGGATACAAGTTACACCGCAAAAACCACCGCGGAACTTCCCCTCTACCGAACGACGCAGATCTCGATCGCCTTCTCGTGGAAGTTTTGGAAGTATTGTCAAAGGTTTTTTAATCTTTATTCCATTTCATAAAAGTTATTTTAGAGTCGTTCAAAGTAGTGAAGAATACGTTTAAATAAAGATCAAATACAAAATGTTGTTTTATTTATGAACAAAGTTAAAAATTAGCAGATACGTTAGCGATTCCTCCGGAGGCACCTGCTTGTGGTCCTCTGAACATGTAAAAATAGACCATTCCGGCTAAAATATACAAATAAACCGAGTGTTTCCGATAGTTAAATTTTACCCATTGGAATGGCCCACATGAACATCGTCAAAAATACGGCTCCAGCGACACTCATTCCGCCACCGCTGGGCGAGGGCGCTGAAGTGATTCCAGGAGTGAAGCAAGCTTTGCTCCCCATCGTTCCATCCCAGCAGCACTTCAATTCATCCATGCACCCGTTCATGGTGATACCTGGGTAACCGCAGGGCACTCGGCTTTGGATTGGAACAGACATGCATTTTTCGTAGGGCTTTTGAACCTGGCAGACGAAGTCATTTCTACTTGAGCATCCTTCGGCACTCCAAAGTCCTTCTGAGCCAATATCAGCACAAGTAGCAAGGTCAGGATCTTTGGGTCCCCACCCAGGACCCCAGTAGAGGAAGTCGACAGCGGATCCATCAGTCCACATGTGTCCGCCAGCGTTGTTGTCTTTCAAACCTAAATAACGGTGAATGAATGTACTTTTGACCGATTTACCGATCCATGTCCAGTATTTATTTCCGATACTAGAAGAAATAATTTCCAGGAGTCGTTGATTTCCAGCGTTACTATGAATCGAAGCAAGGTGACCTCCGTAATGCTGATTACAATAAGTTTCTGCTTCATAGAATGAAACTCTCTTTTCGTGTTTGAATGCTTTGATGCAAGTTGTGCCAGGCTCGACATGAGTTCCAGAGTCAAGCCATCCGTGAGATTCATTGCAGGGTCTCATTTCGCCACGCTGATCTAGCTCTGGAATAACCTTTGGTGGTACTGCTTTGCAGACATAGGGTCGTTGCGAGACACAAGGGCCCTCAACTCGCCAGTTTCCAGCGCCTTGTTGACCACCTCAAAGATGTTAAATATGAGTCCTTTATGTTACGATTTTACCTCTGTCATTTTTCGCGAGCATATAAATACACAGTTCCGTATCCGGCAAGACAAATTCTACTGCTGGTTCCCCATAATACCACTTAGTGTAAGTAGAGGAAAAGTACTCGTCCATCCAATTGAAGGAAACAACATTGTCGCCATCTTTATTCCCGTGGTAGCCGATCCAAGCGCCAGCGTATGAGTTGAAGTTCAAGTCAAAGTTGGTCTGTTCTCCGTAAAGCATAGATGTAACGAAGTCGTTTTCGAATTGATCTGTGATTGTAGCAAGATTTGAGAACCAAGACTAATGAATAAATAATTAAGGAAGAAAAAAATTGATACTTACTTTATCGCCAGAAGAAGCCTGCCACTGGGCTTTGCAATCATCGTTCGCTTGATTGTAGCCTTTTGCCTCAAAAGAGAGTTTGTAGCAGCCATAAGAAAATGACATCCAACCATCAGGGCAAATTTCATGACCGTGGTCTTTCTCGCCGCTGTCAAGTTTGTGCTCGCAGATGAATCCATGAGGCACTCGACCATCTTTATCGTACCATGTTCCGGCGGGAGCATCTAAAAATTTTGTCTTCGAAAATTTTCCCTTGTCTTACCAAAGTTTCCGCTGTATCTCATAATCATTTCATCTTCTAAATTTGTCGAGTCTTCATCGACAATTCCAACAGGTCTACCGGCCACCCAGTTCGAAAATGTCAACCTGAGCATTTTACCAATTAAAAAATCCTAATCCATTACCTAGAATTATCAATCCAATGAAATTGACTATCCTGAGTAGTACTTTGTCCACCAAGCCAAACATTGCGACCGAAGCCTTTCACAAATGAAGCAAGGAAAAAGTTGTAGAAGACATTATGGAGGATAACAAGATCTGCTCCCGGCCAAACGCCATTACAGTAGGTTCGAGCATCGTTGAAAGATTTCTCGTCGTCATAACCATCGTGGTTCTTTGTGTCTTGGCCTACTTTTAGGTAGCAACCCTCGAGAAAAGTCTTCATTAAATTTTCTATTGAGTGTCTTACCTTTGCGTATTTGGTCCATCCTTCTTTACAAAAACCAGTAGATGGCCAATTTTGATCCAAATTTGGCGGCAGTGGTCGTTGTTCCTTGTACACCTCACAGACAAACTGAAATCCCTTGTTGCAGTTGTCATCATTCCAGTGCGAATCCCAGGCAGTAAACTGTCCGCAATCTTCTCCATCGCCGGCGTTGTTAGGTTCTCCTGGGTACCAGTTGACATAATCGACCGGGGAAAAGTTAGACCACTCGAACTCAGAGTTGAGTGAGTGTTGTCGCAGTCCAATCCAGTATGGCGACCACGGTGCATGCTCGTTGGTAGAAGCGTCGATAACTAGAAAATTGTCGAATCAATTTTCGATGTTTCTCTTACTTTGCTTGATTTTCGTATTTTGAAGGCCATTATGAATGGACATAAGATGTCCCTCCTCGTTAACACTTCCCGCAGCTTGCGTCTTGCAAATCATATCTGCCTCTGCCCAGCTGGCCCATAGTCCGATAACGACGAAGATGCACTTTTCAGGATCAACGATTTGTCCGTTCACTGAAACCTGATCAACATGTTGCCCGTCGATGGTGACGTCAACGCAGTTTGTGTTTGGGTTGTCTTCAGTGGGTGGATAACTGAAAATAAAAAGAACTGTCGCGAAATTTCAATTTACCAAAGTGTAAATTTTCTACTTCCACAGTATCCATCTCGTAGAGCGCCTTCTACGATCGTCACTTCTTCAGCAGCCACATCTGTCACATTGGCATAATGTCTGAGCGAAGCTTCTGCTCCTGCCAATAAAGGCAGTAAACGCATTTTTATATCGTTTCTCGTGTAATTGTTTCTTGAACTTCTCGCCGCCGCTCCAGCACAATTCCAGCACAGATTACAAGAAGCAGCGAAATGCAAATTTTTCGCACATTGGCTGTTTGACTTTGTTTAGAATCCATACAGCACAATTTGTTACTCGTCGGCGAATATTCTTGTTTATTATAGTAGTAAGGATCAGCAAATTTAACCTTGACACTAAATTGAACCAAAAAGTTCTCAAGAAGAAATTCCAAAGCCTAGTTTTCTGACGGACCAAATCAGCTGTACCCACTCGAATCTAACCACTTGTATGTGTGACGAGAGTAATTGGAGCGCCTTCTCAATTTCTCGTGATCAATCATGGTAAGCGCCGTCCGAGCGCCACCTTAAACCGACGCGCTGAATCATTGCCAAAAATAAGGATAAAAGGGAGTAAACCGGGGCCTCCCTTCACTTTTGCCTGAAAAAAGGGATAACAAGCATGAAAATAAGTATTGCACTTTTTGCGTTTTCCGCCGCCCAAGAGTTTGAAACAGAAGCTCAGAGGGTTGACACACAGCCATCTTTATTCGATATTTTGATCGCTCAGAAAACAGGCCTTCAATTATTCGTAAGAATTGCCAAAACTATTGAAATGATGCGTTATTTTTAGCAAATTTATGGAAAAATTTCTGAAAGCATTTTCGCCGAACAAGTAGAGAAAAATACAATGAAAAGAAGAGGTCCTCGATTGTTGAATAAATTTGTGGAACTCAAGAATTTCGCCACCAAAGCTTTCGCAGAATGCCAAGAAGATCCAGTTTGCCTGGAGTCTTGCTACGACCAGTAAGTTTGCGATCGATAGCACTTTCTATCTGAATTTAAGATTGATGGAACCAAATGGAGACCCTCTTCCGAAAACCAGCGGCGAAATTCTATCCCGCTTCGCCTCGGTCTCAGACTGTCTCACAACTCAACGATTGAGAAACAAAATTACCCGCAAATCAAATCGACTTGCTGAGAAATTTTTATCTGAAGTCTCGAATTAAAATTGATAGCCATGTGAAATATAGAATGATTATCGTGTACTTTTATTTCGGAAAGAAAAGTTAGAGAGGAATGTAGCATTCGCTATCTTCGGGAAGGTTAAATGGCCAGTCGCATTCGCCTGTAATTGGGTTGAAGACATTTCCCGGAGCGCACCAGAACTAAAAGTTAGACTAGTTTAATCTCTTTCTTAACAATACCTTGTCGCCCCAGTTTCCAGCATCCCAGCACAGGTAGTAAGCATCGCAGTCCTTGAAAGAGGGGTAGAAGCCATCTGGACAGTAGCCGGTGTCGACTAATGCGTCCGGCCGACCTTATCTCATTATATTTGTGCTTGAGTTGTTTGAATCTACCTTGACAAGCATTGTGGCAGAATGCAAGCGCCTCGGGATCATGAGGAACCTCGTCGGTAGCGAAAGCAAGACCGAAAAGTGCGAAAATCTTCATTTTTTCTTGTGAATTGAAAAGTGCTTGGTGAGCGGATTTCGCGATTCTTTTATTTAGAAAAAATCAACATATGATTGCTTTTCATAAAAATCGCCATTTGATTTTGAATGTTATGTTGGCTCTGTAATTTGCGTGAGCGTGGTCGTCTGTTGCGTTGAAAATGAAGATGATCAAATATTGTAGATGGAAAATTATATGGACTTGTTTTCGATACAAGTTCTTTTCTAATCAGACGACTGATTTTTCTATTTGATCGTCTCAAAGATGAACTCAATGTCGACCTTTTGAAAATATGTTTTTCCATAGAAAACTGCAGTAATTTTAGTATAAAAACGAGTTTCTTGGTCCTTGTGAGACAAACTGAAAGAAAATGAAACTTTTCGGCTTTTTCGGACTTGCCCTTGCGACCGACGAGGTTCCACACGATCCAGAAGCTCTGGCTTACTGCCACAATGCTTGCAGAGGAACAGACATCGGATATCCCGATACAGGATATTGCCACGATGGATTTTACGCATCGGTGAAAGACTGTGATACCTACTATCTCTGCTGGGACTCTGGCAACTGGGCAGACAAAGTACACGATTGAATTCTAATCCCCTTTATTTTCAATTAAATTCTAGTTTTGGTGTAGCCCTGGCGCCGTCTTCAATCCTGCAACAGGCGAATGTGACTGGCCATTCAATCTTCCTCAGGATAACGAATGCTTTATTCCCGCTGCTGCTCAAGCTCAAGATCCGATCCCGATTGATTGTTGCAAAACTCCCTGTGGAGAAGTAGCCCCTGGAAAAGATCGTGGGGCTTCTCCTATCGCTTGTGCAGAGGAAGATCTCGTCCCCAATCCAAATTGCCCAGACTCCAGCATCTGCCCTAATGGTTTCTATCCTTCTCACAAAGACTGCGATGCTTACTACCTCTGCTGGGCTGATGGAGAAATTGGAGAGAAATATCAGTGTGCGCCAGGCGCCGTCTACAACCCTGTTACAAAAGAATGCGACTGGCCATTTAATCTTCCGGAAGATCACGAGTGCTATGTACCAGCAAAGTAGTGAACTATTACGTTAAACCTGTGATCAAACTTTTATTCATTTCTTTTCAATAAATTTTCCTCGCAATTATGTCTAGCAGGTTTTACAATCACGCGTTGAGAAGATGAAAGAATCCACTAACCACCTGAAACACTTCCCATCATGGCTTTTGTTTGTTCATCTCTACGAAATATATATTTTTCCATAAAATCATGATGATGCAGCAGTTTCTGGTGCATAAAACTCGCATGCAGTACAGCTCAGAATTCATTCACAGAGAATTACAAAAATGAAACTTTTCGCACTCTTTGGTCTTGCTCTTGCCACCGACGAGGTCCCACACGATCCCGAGGCCCTCGCTTTCTGCCACAACGCCTGCCAAGGTATAAAACGTTGTAAAGACCATCATCATTACTGACCTGCCGCTTAGGTACCCCAGAAGCTCTCCCTGGAACTGGCTACTGCCCAGACGGATTCTACCCATCCTTCAAGGACTGCGACGCTTACTATCTTTGCTGGGATGAGGGCATCTGGGCTGACAAGGTAAAGATCTATCATCTTTCTTTCTTAACTCTTGATCAGTTTTGGTGCGCCCCTGGTGCAGTTTACAACCCAGTTAGTGGCGAATGCGACTGGCCCTTTAACCTCCCCGAAGACAGTGAATGCTACATCCCTGCTTAAAATCTTCCATTTATTCAACGGCTTTTTTTAATAAACCAGACAATCTATTACGCACAATTATTAGCTCAGTCATCCCTCTGACATCAATTCATTTGTTTGCTCTCTGATCGTCTGATCTTGGTATATAAACAAGAATTGAAATAAATCAAGCTTAGAAATAGAACTTGACTGTATGAAGCTTTTCCAGAGTTTACTAGCGATCACTGCCGCTCAAGAGGCTCATGATCTGAACAACGATGGGCACGGAAGTGATGTTCCATACGGCCGAGTTATTTCTAGAGACCAGATAGAATCGATGGAGCGCGGACCAAGGCCACGACCGATCGAGCAGCAGGAATTCTATCAAAATGAAATAGAACCGCTTATAGCTCAGCAAGCGTTACTCAACCAGCAGTATGCTTCTCAAGCCGCTCTTGATATTTATCAACCATCAAGAATTACGGCGACGAATGCTGCCCAAGCGCAACTCAACCAACAATGGGCCCAAGCTCACCAACGCGAACGCGAGTTCTATCAGAATCAATACCAGCCTCAAAATCAAATTCAAGCCGGCCAAAGTCATTTCCAGCAACAAGCAAACGCATATTTAAATCACAACAACATGTCTCCAAATCAAGCGCGCGACGACTCATTTTACCATCAACAACAAAGCCTCTCAAACCAAATTTCGAATCTTCAATTCCAAGATCAACAAGCGATCTCCAGTCAAAACGCGATTCTTGCTCAAAAACTTGAAGAAAAACTAAAAATTTTGCAACAGGTGCAGAAAGAAGTCAGTGATCAACGAGCTCTTCTCCAGAAAATAATGACCCAGAAGCAACAACAAGCTGCTGATGCAATTGCATCAAAGAGGCCTTATGCAGAGTTGCAATCAACGACGACTACCGGGAAATATGAATTCGAGGAGCCTGAAGTTCTGCCGAGATACCCTGTAAATGTCCGAGAGAACAACCGTATTCAACTTCAACCAACGGCTTCTTCGAAGAAAACTGTAGAAATCATCCAATTTGAAGATGAATCAAACTCAAAAGGATGTTTTGTAGAAAATGCAGCGATAAAGTAAGACACTAAATCCTTCCATTCGTAGTCCCATTTTAGCCCTGGCATCTTCACTGGCAACTCTATCGATCATATCGAAAATGTCTACACAGCAAAAGGTTGCCAAAGCCACTGCAAGCTTCACAGCCAGCAAGGCTGCGAGTACTTCACGTGGAATAGCGAAGATCACAGTTGTGAGTTATTCACGTCATTAGATGGACTTGAATACGACCAAGACGGAATTTCTTTTGTTGGAAAATCTGATGGATGCTTTCAGTGCGAGGTGTATGAATAAAGGTTATTTTTGACAAAAACATTTATTTTAGAAACCTGGTTTTGACTACACATCCTACTATTCTTCTGATTCATTGACCGGAAGAAGAGCCATTTACGAAGTCCCCGATGTGTTTACCTGTCTCGAGATCTGCCGAAATGTTGACGGATGCGATTTTGTTAGGTACTGTGTGTTTAAGACAATCTGATAATGTATCCATAAGCTTTCGAGCTGATAACCGCTGCTATCTGAAAGATTCCTCCGCGCCTGAAAATATTGAAGACGATGAAGATTATGTTAGCGCTCCTGTTCAGTGTCAATCAGAATTCTGGAACGGATTTGCAAACTCACAAAGCCTTATAAATGGCAAATCGCTCTCAACAAGTCGCGAATCCGATAAAAAGTCTGATGAAGAATCAAGAGTTCGAGCAGGGCTGGTTTTCGAACTCCGACCTCATCACTTGGGGATCAGCAGATCCGATTCCCACCGTTCAGAGCTCATCAAACTGCTCGAAGATCTGTGACCTCATCCCAACATGTCGATCCTGGACGTTCTCTCCCGCAGATCAAACCTGCTCACTCCTCAAGTCATTGACAGCTCTCCATTACACCGACACTCTCATTTCCGGAACTGATCTTTGCGAAGAATAAATGAACATGCAACAGGAGTTTATTTGAACTTTTAGGTACAATCGTAGGGCAGAAAATATGAAACAAAGAACACACACTTCTTTCAATTGTAGGAATAGTTGTCGATAAGATTACTTTGCAGGAAAAATGGCTCGAAGTTGAAAACTTTTCGCTTTCTACTGATGATTTTTGTCCTGCTCGGGTTCGATCGCCAAAACAGCTTTCTGCATTTTGACCTAAAAGGATGAATATTTGATAACTAGAAATTTTCATACCCGCAAAAGGCGATGACTTTGAAATGAGAATCAGGGACAAGCTTCTTACTCGCGGTTCCACATTCAAAACAAGCAGAGAGAGCTAGAATTATCTAATAATTTCACTATCTTCAACTAATTTTCTACCTTTAGGATCTTTTGCATGAGCCAATTCAGTCAGTTGTTCTTTGAGAATCGACAGAAGATAAGACTGAAACTCTCCCCTTGCCAAGTAATTTCTTTTCTCGTCTTGAGTGAGTTCGGAGAAGAAGCCACCTCTCAATGGCGGATTTCCATATTTCGGATGATAGGATTTATCAATGAAGTCGATGGTATTGATGAAACTTGTTGATTTTTGTCGCAGTTTGCATTTTGAATAGACCTTGGCTCCTGATTCTACCAGAAGATTTACCAGCTCTATCTTTTGAGTGATGGTGAATAGATGATCTGTCGATGGGTGGAGAACAAGACCAACAGGGTTTCCTCCGTTTGATTCGGTTGAAGATGGATCTGCACCGAGTTTAATCAGCTCAACAACAAGTTCATAATGGCCGTTCAAAATGGCGACCCCCAGAACAGAGTTTCCGTTGAACTCTTCGTTGATATCAGATCCACTTAGAATCAGGCTTATACACTGGTCGATGTGTCCGCCCTTAGCACATCTAAACAAAGCACTGCTAAACTCGGGCGTAATCTTCTGCGATAAATTCAGCCGAACTTTCTTGTTGACCCTGTCCGGCGGTGTTGACAGACGAGCAGGTCTACTAGCAACGGCGCGTGAATAAACCAACATGGCAGTTATATCCGCCGTCGTTTCTGGCGATAACGTTATTGCTTCCAGCAGTATTCCGTCCTGAAGAAAACAATCCGACGTCTCGGCACCGGATAGCAGCATCGCGCGGGTGATTTCTTCATCTTTTGCGAGCACGGGGTAGAATAGAAGAGGAGGAATTTCATTAGATGCCTGCTTCTCGATTATTCCAACGCGGAGAAATAAACTGATGATGTTTTTAAAGCTCTCGGCAGGGCGACACGGACGCTCTCTGACGAGGGAAAATCGCGACGGAGTACTTCTTGGTCGATTAAGTTTTCTTGGCGTACTTTGAATAGATGAGAACTTAGATGACCGCGGTCTCTTCGTGTATCTCGAGCTCGTGATGCGACTTGTTTCGTGCGATCCGTAAGCAGAGTCAATTTCAGAGTCTTGTCTATCCATATCTCCTTTTTCTGAGCTTTCAACAGGCAGAAACTTGATCAAATGCGCCAACCGCGACTGGTAATGAAGGAAAACTGCCAAGTGCAATGGCGTGAAATCCAAGCATGTCTGTTATGCGTTTGGTCGATGCTTGTTGATACAACAAACTTATACTGACAATGTTACAGTATTCTTTATCCGTTGAGTTGACATAACGCTTCCTGTGAGATGGCACCAGCAGTCAATAGCATTTGAATAGTGCGAGCACTGTTTGTGAAAACAGATGCGTGAAGAAGGGAATATCCGAGCAGATCTCGTGAATTTGGGTTGAGGCCTTGCCTTAGTAGCTGAAAACAATGCTGATTGTTTTTTATATTTTGTCTGATACCTGATAGAACTCTGGAAAGTTTTTGGAGGAAATCAGGTCTAGAGCACTGCTTATCTTTTTTGGGGTGGCGGGCGCCCAGGTTCACAATCGGTTGGTTCACAATTTTGTGAACCCGGTTCACAATTTTGTGAACCTGGTTCACAATTTCGGTCAAAAAAAGTGACTGAAATTGACTGAAGGCGCGGTTGTAAAGAAAGCTCATAACGTCAAAAATGAGTTTCTCTAAGAAATCAGGCGCGGAGCGCATACAGACCCCTGATTTCATACTTTTAAAAATTTTGTGAACCGGGTTCACACAGATTGTGAACCGGGTTCACAAAATTGTGAACCGGGTTCACAATTGTGAACCTGGGCGCCCTACACCCCTTTTTTGTGAGAGGACCTGGTGGAAAGGATTTGACTAAACGAAGTGCATCGAATGTGTTTCCACCAGTTTTATCAAGAGATCGAACTAATTTTTTTTATAAGAAATAAATTCGAATAATGACAATTTACCTTCATTCCAAAAGGAACTATGAATAGAAGACTCCTCAGATAGATTCAAGATATGCTGATCCTGTGATATATCAAAGTCCTGTTGCCGTTTCCTTGCCTTCCCCAACGGTTTCGATACACAATCCTGCGTCCGCAAATACTGTCTCAAGCTGCACACGATTTTGACATTTCATATGAGAAAAGTTTGCACATCGGGACAAGCACCTGTTCCTGTACTAATACTAACACTTATATCTTTGATTTATCAAAATCTGCCTGAGAGAAAGTGAACTTTCGACCTTCTCGATTTCATTTTTCTCATCATCGAGGAAAACGCTTTCTTGCTAGAAGTGACATCTGTATAAACGGGCTCTTCCAAGTCAAATTTCCTGATCATCTTCTGACAGTTGACCTTGGCATGAGCAAATGCCTCGAGACGACCGTATTTCTTGTCCATCAGATATTGGAGACCTTTTGGGTAAATTGTGGCAGTTTGAATCAAAGTCTTTTTGGATCACTTTTTTGTTCGTAACATAAAGATATTGTGAAGGCAATCCTTTCCTGATCTTCCCATACTCCAATATCAACAGTGTTGTCGGAATAAATTCTTAGGCCGAACCCATTTGGCCTTCCATCTTTCCACCAACCAGAGTGCGAAAATTCTTCGCATTTTTGCAGACCAAAACCATGAGCTTTTTCGTTTACTTCTGATCCTCTTAATTAAATTTTCATCTCTTCGGTTTTATTTATAAGCTTACAAATATTCAATCATCTCTTTGATAATTTTACGTCGGCGGCATCATCAAAAAGTCGAAAAAGGGAAAGTAAATTACGGAGAGTGGAATTTGGATTTCTCTGTTTCCGTGGTGATGGAAGCGTGTTCGGGCGCAGTTGATGCCCTTCCGAGTGGCTTATTGAACGCTAAACTGCACCACAAGTGGTTAAATTCGCCAAACAGCTTTACTCCTTGTTCGATCCAAAATTTCAATTAATCCACAACGAGCTCGTCAGAATTGGCAAGAATAAACACAGATGTGAATAGACGTAAGTCCACAAGTTCTAACAATAGGCCTAATCTTGAACAAATAAAGAGCGTTTCCTATCAAAAGCAAATTCAAATCGGAATCTTTTTCAGTTTCGTTTATTTCTAATTGATTTAACACTTCTTGCAGATGTCGAAAACAAGGATGACAACAATGCAACAGGCGAGAATGATGCCTAAAACTATCCAAATGCTGACTCCGTTGCTCCCAATTTCTTCAGTCGCTAAAAATTGCCATTGAATTGAAAGCAAAGATCTTGATTTACCTGAAATATTATCTAATGATGTTGTTACAGATCGCTTAGTAGTTGTTCTCGGAATTGTTGTTGTCCGTGTTCTCAGGTGTCTTCTTGTCGCTTGTCGAGGAGTTGTGCGTCGTCTTCTCGTTGTGGTCGTTGTTGTTGTTGTCGTTCTCGTTGGTGTCGTCGTCGTTGTTGTTGTAGTTGTAGTTGTGTGCGTTGTCATCTGCGTTGTTGTAGCTGACTTTGGCTCAGCAGTGGGTGCTGCTGTTGTTGTCGTTAATGATTTTGCTGTTGTTGAATTTGCTCTTGAATTTGGTGTGCCAACTTCTTCCAAATCTGCTTTCGTTGTAACTTCTAATGAAGCTACAGAACCCGTTGTAAGCCTCCGGTCTTCGATTCCTGTGGTAGAGTTATCTTCATTTGTCTGAATTGTGTAGTCGAACAACGGTAACGCAGTTGTTTCAACGTCATTGACTGCAGTTGTATTCTGGGAATCCATGTCCGGAAGATTTGACCTTTCGAACTCGCTAATTTTTTGTTGAGGAATGACACGCAGAGTAGCATCGTGTCGATATCTGAAATTATCCACGAAAAACCAATTGCCATTTGAAGGACATGCTTGGTCGGACTCGAGGACAAAGCGTGTTCGCCATTCTTCTGGTGGATAATCGAAACCACCGAATCTCGGTACAGCTCGAGCACCTCGGATCACCCACGCTAAAAATGAGTAAAAGACTCTTTATATGATGTCTATGCTAACCTAGTTCTTCTGAATCGTAAAGAAGCTCCATTCTATAAGTCCAGCGACCGGACTCTTTCGTCATAAAATATAATCCGGGACTGTCGAAATTATATAAACCATTGTAGACCGGTGTTCCGTTTAGCTCTCCCATATGATGATTCTCAGTGTCCAGGACTTCGTATCCTTCTTTGTCGCATTCGTACATCCCTAACTCTTCTTCTGACCTCACTACAAGATCATTTGAAACTCAATTTTTAAAAGTTATTTTATTTCAAATTTACCTGATTCATCGACAGCATCTTCAGGTAAGGCATCTTCCTCAACTTTCATCGCGCACATCCATTCAACTTTGAAGCCATGAAGAACTGTTGCAGCATCTGTCGAAAAGTAGATGGCGAACCAATTTCCATGAATAGTATTCCATCGCCTATAGAAGCCTAACTCGTCTGGGTCATTTCCTATAATAGTTATCGGTGAAAAAGTACCGCTGAAATTTCACCTTCGTAATCAGATACTCGTCCTTGCCTTGGAGGAGGATTGTCTAGTTCCGTTATTTTCTCGCAAAGTCGTCCGGTCGTACTAAAGGTAGTTACATAATATGAAGGCGAGTAGAATGCTTACTTGTAGAATCCATTATCCTTCCAAGAAATCTGAAATGCATCAAACTCACAGTGCGAGATCCCATCCCCATGTCTGTAGTCATCTCCTGGATCCTCATCTTCGATGGCAAATTCCGTGATTTGAAACTTTATCTTTGAGCAATTTTCGTCTCCAACAACCTGCACACAATGCTCATCGTTTGAGTACGGATGGCTCGATTCTATGACATAAACTCGCGTCCCATCATCGTTTGTCGAAAAACTTTGCCTGAAGTTTTGACATTGATTCAAAGTACCAGGGCCGAATTTCACCAAAGAACTTGCTTCCTCCACTGTTGGAATCGCACCGAAACATTCTCTTTTAAAAAATAGGAGAAAAATGATTTTTGAGTTCATCGCGAAACTCAAGCTTTGGGCAGTGATTTTTCCCGTTTTTAAAGAGGAAATGAAATCGCCGACGAAATAACAGGAATATTGACTCATTTAGCTGTTTATCAAGATGTTTTTTGAGGATGTTGGTGTTCAAAATTTTGCGCGGAGAAATTGTACTCTGCATGTTATTTTAAGGATCCTTGATGAAAATTGGCATCAATTTTAATTGTCGCTGATATATTTATTAAAATATTAATCTCGTTTGACGGGTGTCCAGTGGGGAGCGCTTGGTGCTGACGGACGCCATCTGACGTGTCAAGCTTTGGCTAGAGCAATCTACAGCGATCTTCTGGAGCCGCATTCCATACTTTCTAATATAAGCACACAGAAATTTAAACATGTGCTGCAAAATCATCCTCCTCCTTTTCACATTCTTGAGAAGCAATTTAGCGCAGAGATTATTGACTTGCAATGGAGAAGTAACGAAGAACTTCGAGAAAGATCTGACGGGGAGAATATTTTACACGACCGTTGTTTTGTGGAAAGAAGAAATGGAGTGTTTCTGGGGCTCTGAAAGGTGGAAAAATTAGAACAATTCATTTTTTCAAATTTTTAGTTTAACTTTGAGCACGTCAAAGAAAGACAGCTATTTGTACGATTCTGATGGGAATTTACTGCTGATCGAGGTTCTCGCGCAGAATCCAGCTCTTCTTCCATCTGCTTTATTAGACAGAGTTTCATTTTCTTTACGGAGTAGCTACGATAAGCCGATTGTCGCAGAGGGACGGCTTACAGATACAGTTTATTTACACAGTCTACTACAAGCATACATGTATAAAGAATTAACTACTTGATTGAGTAAGCCCTTTGCTTAAGAGCCGTCAGTTAGTAGATCAATCACTCAGGGCCGGTTCACCATCTGCACGGCCACAAATCAATTCTAAAATATCTAAATCTAAATAACTAACTCCCCAACTTGGCGAGCCATTGACAGCTTAAAAGCCATTTTCCCCGACTCAACTTCTTCGTTGACCTTTGTGGCGAACTCGACCTGCCTCGGAGATAAGCTTTGGATCGAAAAATACAGTGAAATGAACGGCTAAATTCAGGCATTCTAAATCCAATCAAAGATTAAATTCTACGTAAAACAAGATGAAATATTCATTTCTGGCTCGCTCGGAAAGTGCTCTAAGGACGCAATAATATTGTTCGCTTTCGCACTCGACCGCCCGATTCTTCAATACGCGGTTATTCCGATTCTACAGAAGAAGCCCTTGTCGTTTGTCAACGATGTCTACAAAATCCGCGCGCCGGAAAATTGGAGCTCTCGGACTCAAGCAATCGCTCAAATAGAGCTCGCAACTTTCAGGAATACCGGCATCGAATACCGACTAAAGCAAAGCATAAAGTCCATCCAGATAAACAAAACAACCGGAGAAATCTTCATCACTGACCCAATCGACCGGGAAACAGACCCTTCTTTGTTTTTCCAAGTTGAAGCAGTGTCGGAATCCTCCTCTGCACGAATCAATATAACACTTGAACTCATCGACATAAACGACAACATCCCAATAATCAACGATCAATTCCGCACTTTAAACGCGATGGAGTCAGCCGAAATATCACCATTGACCGTTTTGAACACCACCGATCCGGATTCTGGGACAAACGGGCGGTCGCGTTTTACAGTGACGAAAGATTGCCCCGGCTCAATCGGAGTCAATTATTATACGGGTCAAATTCAAACTCGCGGGAAATTAGATTTCGACAGAAATATCAACTGCACGATTCTGGCATATGATTTAAGCGCGCAATCAATACCAGCGCAAATAACTTTTGAAATACTGCCATGGAGAAATCAAGACAAAAACAAAAATATTGGTAAGGAACAGTTTGTTATTCGAGGAAAAGACCGGCTATTCAAAATTTAGGTTTCGATTTCCCCGTGGAAGAGTATCATGCATTTTTGAAAGAAAATGATGCGGTGAAAAAACACCTGCTCACTTTGCCATTGAATGCTGGTGCCAAATACTCGATTGTGGGACAATCTGAAAGGCAGCTTTTTCAAATGAAGAAAAATGAACTCTGGGTTGTTGGATCCGTCGACAGGGAAATTGCCAGCACCATCAAAATTTTGATCGCCACGCGATTGAAGAAAGAAAGCAGATTTATCGAAGCATTCATCCATGTTCTCGAAGAAAATGACCAGAAACCTGTCATTCAGCCGATCGGAGACATATTCGTGGAAGAAGATTATCCAGTTGGAATGCTTCTCTACAGGGTCGAAGTCACAGATCTCGATGAAACGCCATTCTTTGAATTTTCCATAACGAAGGGGAAAAAGTTTGTAAGCATAGAACGTTTCTCCGGCTTTATGCATCTGAGAAGATATCCTTTTGATGCGGTGGACATTTGCGTGTCTGTCTTTGACGGGAAATATACAGACAATCAATGCTTTTTCATTCAACCAGCAAACGGAAAGACTGTTTTGTATTCGTCTGAAAATGCTTTCCAACTGGACTCGACAAACTTCGACAGCTCAAATCTAACAATTACCGACGGATTTGGCGAGGTCGCGTTGGATTACAATGTCTTCCTGAATAAAGAAAAAGATGCGCTGGAATTAAGTTTTCCTAGCAGTCAAGCAGATTTCACTTCAATATTCATTGCCTCCAGCTCTATCTCAAATTCAAGAACCTTTCTGATTGCACATCAATCCGCTTCTCAAACGAAAATCATCCCACCAGCTGATTTGGGCACACTGACTCTTTCTAAGAGCTGGATACCTCCCGGAGAAATCTTGTACTCCATGGACATCCGATTTGAAAGAAGCTACAGATTCGATGAAAACGTCTCAGTTGAAATTTCGCCCGTTGAATATTTTGATGCCAAGTTTTCGCCGGATAATGGACGAGTAATTGTGTACTCAAGAGGTTTTGCGGCGGAAGAGGTCAAAAGAATCGATGAAATTCAAATAAGCATTGGGGATAAAAGCGTTGCCGGTACTCATGAACGCTTTTCGGATTGATTTATTCAGTATTAATTCTAGTGGCTTTGGCGGTTTCTAATCGGATGAAGCTGAACCCCATATACAAAATTGATGGTATCATTTCGCCAACTCGCGCAGCTTGTTCCAGTTCGTCGGTGAGTGGTTGTCTAACAACTGTGCTCTATTATTAAAAGCCGAAGTATGTTTCTTCGTCGCGTCGACACACTTCTATATGACGGTAATTTGTCTATTTTAGCTCATTTCAAGTGAACCTGGGGCTATTACCTGCCAAAATTTTGCGTCAGACAAGCCCATCGTTCTAAGGAAAGGGGCGTAAGTTGAGAAGCCTGAACATCAGACCCAATTTACGCCCCTCAATAAGAAATCAAGACCGGGATTATTACCATCAGATAATAAATCAATTAACTCATATACGAAAAAAAAAACGCAAATTGATAACCCCATAAGCCGGATTTAGTCCGATGTATGTCCTCCAAAAATCTCGTTCCTTCGCTGAGCTGGTGATTGAAGTCGAAGAATCAAAATCGCCTGGATCGATTTTGTTAAATGGAATTGACGGGATGATCGTGGACCGGTCATCTGAGCAGCTTCCATTCGAGTTGAAATTTAGAAAGCTTAAATTGACAAGGATGCTCAATTACGAGGAGAAACGAGCGTATACCGTCGATTTGTGGGATCCTGGGACAATGTTGTACACGGGCAAAATTGAGATTTCAGTCCAAGATGTAGACGAGTTCTTCCCTGTCGTGAAAAACGCGAACAACAATATCGTCTCTTTCACAACTCCTTGGGTGATCTCAAGAAGAACGAAAATAGGAACCTTAGAATTCACAGACAATGATGGAGGAAAGTACAGCATCGTCAAGGTTTACAACTACGAAGATGACCTCACAGTGCCTCGAAAACTGGAAGTCGACGATGACAACAACGTTTTTTTTATCGCGCGAAATTTCTCCACTAGTTTCAAGGAGCGTTTTATTGCTTCATCTGGTGACCGCCGAACAGTTTTTTCTATCAAAGTCATGAGAAGCAATCCACCTAATTTTTTCCTCTGGTCAATTCCAGTCGTCATTCTTGTCGCAATCGCCACTGCCGCCTTTTTAATGTATCAGCGAAAGAAAGACCACTTGGATGAGATCCGAACCGCTTCAGATCCAACTCCTGACGTTTATTCAAGGGAGAAAATTTGCAATTTGGTAGATGATTCCAATTCAGAAACAGTTCAAATAAGCCAAACTGCTACAACCAAATTCCTCACCGACGACGATCTTCCCATTATGAAGGATTATATAAGCAGTCCTTTAGGTCTGGATAGAAAAAACACCATCAATTCGGTGCTCTTATTTAGTTCTTCAACCCTCTTTTCTAGCCTAATAAGTGAATGAAGGATGCCGATTCGAGCAAAACTATTTTGTCGTAACAACTCCAGTAAGCAAGTTCTTGTCCGACTCTGATTCAGATTCAGACTGCTCTGAAAAGTAAGTATTCTTCTATGTATATAAATTTCATCAAAATTAAGCTGTGACTCGCATCGTGGAAACAACGACCTCACAACTTTGAGAAGAGGTGGAAGCATTCAAAATGGAGAGCTTCATATCTAGGGAATCTAATAAAGCTCCTGTTCATTCAATTATTAAAATAAATTCAAACACTGCCTTTAAAGTTCTTTGTGAAAACGTCTTGTTATGGGACAAAATATCGAAGTTATACGAAAGATTTAGTGAACATGATTTCTTCTGCTGACAATATTTATTTCAGCGCCAAACCTGGCCGGAGGGAGGGTTCGTGTCCCGGGCATTGGAAGCTCCACCGCCGCCCGGACACCCACATTCTCAATAAGGCCACTAAACTTAACAAAACTATAATTTCCAATACAAGAGATTTCTAAAGAAGACGTACTAGTGTGCTCAGGGACCGGTTCAGCTTCGCATAGATCTTTATCAGTCAGCTGTTCTTCGCTTATCAGCTGGTTTTTCTGAGTTTATAAACATGAAACATTTCCATATCGGAAATCAACGCACTATTGATTTTGCTTGTCTTTTTGATGCATTCAACCTAGAAACGCAATTTTCTCGTGCCTAGCGGGGTACCGAAGTGAAACCGGCGAAAGTGGTATAAAAGGATGGCCCTCTCTCTGCGCAATCCAGTAGCCCGCGAGTGGGTTGCTCACCAGCGGGAGAAGGTTAAGCCCTGGTCCGAGTTTTTGGATTTTTCGTCTTTCAGGAAGCCAGAGAGTCCGCAAGAACTAAAGAGAATCTTCCTCAAAAATGTCGAAGTCTACCATGCGAATTATATGGTGAGAAAAGATAAGATGTGCATTGATAATTAACTAATTCAATTTCAAGGTTCTCACAACCTTGCTCTTGGTATACGCCATTATCACATCACCACTCCTGCTCATTGCCATCTCTTTATTCTTCATTTTAATGAACCTAATCGAGCAAAAAGGGCCAAAAATTATCGGACGTGATCTACCAGTCCACCAACAGGTATTCTTCAACAAGCTCAAATGATTCTTAATTGTTTTAGTTCGCACTTTCTGCCGTCGTTTCTGGACCGTTATTTTTCCTCGCCAGTGCTGGTCATGCACTCTTTTGGACTCTTGGGGCATCTTCATTTGTTATTGCGATCCATGCTCTGACGAGATACCAGGTAATGAATCTCTATTTGAAAAATTAAAAGCCTGACATTGCCGATTTAAATGCTTATTTTCAGGAACCCGAGGCCACGCCACCAACTGAGACCGTCTAGGCTTTCTTGAAAATTCATATTTGATACTTTTATTGCTGCAATCCTGTGGTTTACCTACCAAAACTTTTACTGCCTATTTTACCTAATGTATCGACCTATACATAATGTACCAATACGAATAAATAATACTAATAAGCTTATCATTGTATTATCTTATCAATTGGATTTGGTCTGTTGAAGCACTTCGTGAACAGAATTGTGAAGTTTTGGAGAACAGTGCGTGGTCGGTTGAGGTTGAGGAGAGATCGGAAAGAGAGAATGCCCGGCGTAGACCCAGGCTGGTTTTGTTGGCAAGAAGCTCTGTATGACTCGAAGAAGCGGACGCGTAGAAATCGATGACTTCAAAGTCCTCTCGACAGGCATTGATAAGGCTCAAGATTCTAGTCATTCGCCGATGGTAGTCTAAAATACATTTTGCATCTTGAATTTAATACATTTTCTCTTACCAGTATGCCCTGAAATAGTCTTGTCAAGTCGGATGTTGAGACACCGCTTGTCAGAAAGAGTTCGCCAGTTGACACGATGAGTCCCGCACACTTGACTTGTACAAAGCATTCCAAGTACCCAGTCATTTGTTGACCATCCATTTATCACCTTGGCTTCGTAAGAAAAATCACTCGACAAAAATCATACCTTGCCACTAACAACAAGCCGGACTTTCTCCCATTCGCACGCATCAGTGCTAACTGGCGCGCCAAGAATAACAACGTTGGAGATGATGCCATAAGCTTCAGGTCCTTTCTCAGCTAGAGTTTTCAAGCAGTGCCAAACAACTAAGCTTCCGGTTGAGCAGCCGATCAAGCTTACTGGTCGCTTTCCATGAACTCGTCGATAGAGGAGATTCGCAAGTTCTTCGCCAGCTTGGCGTGCTCGTCTGCAACAAACTGACTTTGATAGATTGTAATTATCCGATAAAGATCATTTGAGGTAAAAGTAGCAACCCTTTCCCATGGATTGTCGAGCAAGCTCGCAGCGGACATGACAGTCACTGGTAGGGTAACAGCCGCTAATAAGCTGCTTAATACGGTTAATTTGAGGATTTGGTAAACTCCAGTTGACGCAGCGCTGCTTATTAGCCTATCCATTGACGTGCCAAGTTCACGGAGATACTCCGACTCCCATATTAGCGATTCTTGCTCGGTAGACAGATCAAGTCGTTTCCAAGGCTTTGTGAATCCAGAATCATCATCGCCAGTCCATCCTGAGATCGCTTTGCTAAGGTTAAATATGAGCGACTGTGTGTTGAATCGATGAGTTTCAGGTATGGTTTAAAGATGATGTAAGCTCATTTGGATCATATCTAACATTTTCCTATAGCAAGGTGAAGCGAGTTCTTTTCTCGTATCTTCTCAAATCGAAATTCTTCCAGTCCCCCGACACGCTTTTTCATTTTATATCCAGCTAATCCGCCGCCGGCAGCTCCGAATACTGTCGTCACAATCGCGACAGTTGCTGCCGAGCTTAGTCCTGCCACAGCCCCAGTGCCAAAAACAGTTCCAATCCCAGCAGCAACCAGCGGAGCCGCCAGACCAGCTGTCAAAGCAGTCAACCCAGCCCCAGCGATGGAGGCAACTGAGATCATGGCGATTCTTTTGATGTTCTTTTTCTTCTTTTCTTCTTCTTCTTCTTTGGATAATTCATTGGACGATTTCGATGCTTTAATCCGCAGCGCACTTGCAAAATTCGCCTCGTAGCGTTTTAAATCCAGCTTTAGATTTTTACAAAAGCTTTCTAAAACAGCTCTCGTTCTCGCATCATAACCATTGTCACTGATTGCCCATCGGAGGAGAACATTCATAATATCTTCTTGGTGTCCATATTCCGCTAGAACTATCATTCTGGGTCTTTACGTGGCTATTCTAAAATTAAATAATTAACGGCCATTGCGTGCGTCATAAATAATATGCATCTTGAACCCGATTCCTTTGAAAAAGCCATCCAAGGACGCTTCGCTATGTTTGAGTTTCATGCTCGCAAATGTCTCAATTGTTGATGAAACTGTGTTGGAGAGTTGGAGATGCTTTCTGAGACGTTTGAGGTCATCGCGGGTAAAGTGGTAGTGCGAGCCGTTGTAGAGCTGATTGTATAGAATCGCGAAAGTGGCGCAGAGGGTGAAGGTGATGTGCTCGGGAATGGACTGGGCAGGTGGCTAGAAAATGACGCATGAATTAACGGGATAAATGATAATGTCTCTCTATGGTGGAAAACATCGATCTCTCTTTATAAAAATTAGTGTCAAGGGTGTACCTGGGGCGTTGAGTTTCTCTGCATATCATTCAGATTTTGGCCAGCTTTGTTTTTCCAATTTACCTGAGCTGGTCCTCTCTCTCAGATGAATTTTTGATGAGCTCGGGCGAGCCTAGTTGTCATTAGGGGCCCATTTAACTAGCCGATTTATGGCAAAAATAACGCAATTATTTACTTTGCCAATTATCCGGTAATCCAGTTTTCTTTTTCTGTTCTCTTTTCTTTTTAATTTTGTGTGTCCCGTAAAAGCGCGAAGAGGTAAAAGTCCGCCTTTTGTCGCTTTAGGGTAGCCCCGCGATTTTGGATAGGGTAGTGCAGGATAATTTGTCCGACAATTGAATGCGCCGGCGTTTTTCTAATCCGACTTCTACCTCCTTCAGTAAAGGGTTTCTCTGAAAAAGGATAGAAATAAATATTCACAGCGGTTTTTAAGAAAATATCAATCTTTCAAAAGAAAGAAGAAACGAGTTTCTCTAGGATAGAGAATAAGACTCACGTGATATAACAAAAACGTGTGACTGAAGACACTCCAATCTTGGGATTACGTAACTCGTGCTCTAAAATGATCGAATATCAAATAAAAAAAAAATTACAAATTGTGTAATTGGTGACCAATTTTTGCGATCTCGCCTTCAGCGAAATCATTCGCCCTTCTGATTAACAATTTCATTAAACCATGAGATCTGATTAATCAACACAAACAAGCGCTTCGACAACAGAAAATAATTTATTACCATTTCTTTCATTCTGGTATTCTTCAACAGAAGCCAAAAGTCAACTGAAGTCATGGAAGACAGCGAAAAAAACGAAAAAAAAATTTTGTCAAAAACATGTTGTTTCTAGAACAGGAAGGATTTGTTGTTCGATGAAATTTAAATTCTCAGTTTCCTTGTTCTAAGTTTACTGGTAAGTCGCATTTTGCATTTTTTGCACTTTTGTTTCTTTTCTATTGCATAAAAGGTCTTTTTCACGCGGGAACGAACATAATAAAAGCGCACTGTGTGTAAGTGCTTATCACTTTTCTTGAGCCGCCCAGCCACTCTTGACTCAGATGGGCGAGATACAAAAATACTTCGTTTCCCTGTGAAGAGATTGGAATTAAGAGAGTTGCGCTTGACTGATATAATTTGTTTTAGAAAGGGATGCCGTCCTTGTTGGAGGTTGCGAAGACTAACCCCTTCTCCAAGCCCGCCGTGGCTGACCAGGGCCTGGTAAGTCCAAAAACCAACTTTCGAATTCTAATTCGCTTCAGGTCGAATTCGGTTCTACCGAATACTATGCCAAATGCATGATCGGTGGTGCTGCTTCTTGCGGTATCACCCACACCGCCGTCGTCCCCCTTGATTTGGTCAAGTGCCGAATGCAGGTTGATGCCGCCAAGTATCCCTCCCTCGGACAGGGTATGAAAGTCACCATCGCCGAAGGTGGTGTCAAGGCTCTTGCTCGAGGATGGGCTCCTACCCTCATCGGTTACTCCATGCAGGGTTGCTTCAAGTTTGGTTTCTACGAAATCTTCAAGAACGTCTACGGAGGCATCATGGGTGAAGAGAACGCCTTCCTTTACCGAACTTCTCTTTACCTCATCGCCTCTGCTTCCGCTGAGTTCTTCGCTGATATTGCTCTTGCTCCCATGGAAGCCGTCAAGGTAAAACTTTGATTTCTTTCTTCCTTTCATAATTATTCATAGGTCCGAATCCAGACCTCTGACTACTCCTCCACTCTCCGAGACTGCTTCCCTCGAATGAAGGCTGAGGAAGGCACCGGTACCTTCTACAAGGGTCTCAAGCCCCTCTGGATGCGACAGATTCCTTACACCATGATGAAGTTCGCCTGCTTCGAAAAGACCGTCGAGGCCATCTACCAGTACGTCGTCCCCAAGCCACGAGAGCAGTGCTCCAAGTCCGAGCAGCTCATGGTCACCTTCGCCGCCGGTTACATCGCTGGTGTCTTCTGTGCCATCGTCTCCCACCCCGCCGACTCCGTCGTCTCCGTCATCAACAAGGACCCCTCCAAATCTGCTGGACAGAGTAAGTCAACAAACTCTATTCTAGAGACTAAACTATATTCTAGTCCTCAAGGAGATGGGACCCAAGGGTGTCTGGAAGGGACTTGGTGCCCGAATCATCATGATCGGTACCCTCACTGCTCTCCAGTGGTTCATCTACGATGGTGTCAAGGTCGCTCTCCGACTCCCCCGACCACCACCACCAGCCATGCCCGAATCCCTCAAGAAGAAGCTCGGCATCCAGGAGTAAAGCAATCAAATTCTCTAAAAACCACCACCACCTCGTATTCCTGCACTTGTTTTTTGTACTACCATGCAAATATAGTACTCGGTCGAAATCGCAAACAAATAACAATTGTTCAAAAATTGTCTTTCCTTAGTAAGATTCGGAAAGACAAAAAGTGTTCTGTTGATAAATGATATCTGTATTCAAGATAACTGTAAGAAATTGGCAGCTCATTAGCATGGAAATAAATACAGTCAGTTCATGACAGTAGTAAGTGCGTCAGGAGCATCAAATTGTCGTCTAAGATCCATGAAGGGCTTCTTCAAGTACTCCTGAAATCGATATCTAGACGGCGTTTTATTCTAGGGCTTTACCAAGCTTATCTTCGCGTTTGGAAATTGATCTTGGAGATGTTCCGGTTTCAGCCAGCCAACGAGTGGCGTGGTCCCGTTCGTGTAGTCTGCGCCTTTATGGTAAAACATAAACCCATCAACAAGAGGCACGATGCTCTCGTTCGGGAAAATCTCCACCAATCTTTGCTCCAAAAAGGTGTTGATTTTGGTCATCTCAAAACTCGGCGCGGGAACAATTCGGAGCCCTCCTTTTTTCTGAGCGAAGTCTTCTAATTTCTGATTGAGCCAGAAGTGCCGGAACTCAAAGTCGCAGTCTCTTACATGGTAGTTGTCCCATGTCAGGATGTCAAGAACTAAATGCATTGATAAGAAAATGAACCAAAGATGAATTTTACCATAGAATGTCCAAGTATCAGAGCACATGATTCCATCGAGAAGAGTCTCACAATGAGATGAGCCATAGAATCCTCCAGGCAAGCCAGAATACGTCCTAAATGTGAATAAATTTTAAAGTTCTTTAGGTTGGATTTCTTACTTATGAGTCCTCTGTCCTCGGCCGTTATACAGACAAGTTTCGCCGTAGCTCGCATGAAGCAATCTTCGCCTTCCGATCGGGCACACCTTCACCACCCAGTCCTCGAAATTCTCTGGCGTATCAATCAGCCATTCCGACTGCATCAGAGCTCCCTTGAACTCCATCATCACTTTTCCCTCAGGACGATTGCCTGTCTCCTCATTCGATAACTTCCTAGCCGTGGCTTTTGCCTGGTCACGTTTCTCCTTGAGCTCTTTGAGGCGATTCTCTCGGCGGATTTTCTGATCGCCGAATTTCGAAGACGCTAGAAAGAGTCAAAAGAAAGATCAAAGAGAAATCCTTTACTTTTCCACTGACGAATTCGCGGTTCTTTGTGCGAAGAAGCACCGTTATTTGAAACTTCAACTGTCTCTGCGAAAGCGTTTGTCAACTCCTCCATTTTCGCAACTGATCTCTCAATAGTTCTATAAAGAGATAGATAACGTATTTTATTTTATTCTTGGAACTATTGTTGGACAGAATAAATTAAAAATAAGAAAAAAGGCGAAGAAGGCTGTGTTTATCTGTACAATTGATGAATTATTATTTTTCTACTGTACATGAGGCAGGTTTCGATTTTGTTTTTCATATTAGTACGGTTTGTCCGGGTCTTCGTTTTCTGGGCCGGCTTGAAGCGTCTTCTCTTGTTGAGAGTTTTGAACAGTTTTTATGTTAAATAATGCATTTGGTTCGTCTTTGGCTGTGAAAATTTACATGAAGTATTCTTTCTTCTTGTGTGCCTCCAGTTCTGGATCGTGTAAGCTCACCGCTTCGTCGGGATTCGCTTCTTCTGTTTTATATGAATCACCTTGCCTGTCTTGCAGACAGCGGCGGATGAAGAACAGGAAGATTACGAACCCAAGAAAACAGCTGACACCTGAATATCAAAAAGTAAGCATCTGGCAAAGAAACATCTGTAGTAGGAATAAAAGAAAGAAATTTCAGTATTCAATAATTACAAAATGAAACTTTTTTCTTAAGGATAAAACATCAAATCGGAACGGCGCGCCACGCTGGATCATCGCCCGCCGTGACCTACTGGTTTGACCATTTGAATTCATAATTACATAAAATGATATCTTCTTGATTAGCAACCTCGTAAGTTTATGATTCGCTACCGCAAAAAATAAATGCTTACCAATTATCGATAAAATAATTCCTCTTGGCCCAGCTTTCGCAACTTCCAGATTAGCACTGTCTGTCTCCACCTCTTCCGGCGTCGCTGAAGTCACTCCAGCGTCTGTTGATACTTCTGCGCTTCGTATTCGCTCACCTACGGTCGAAGACGAAGGCCGCGCTGTTGACGGTCTTGTGGTTGTCGTAGTTGTTGTTGTCGTAGTCGTTGGCTTTTTCAACATCGAGATCATGTCGAAGTTACTTTCAACTCGATAATCGCCGACTGTGGCGACGCAGCGGACTTTCGCCAAATCGTGCATTTCGTACGAGAATGGCTCGTTCAGATCGAGCGCTTGCCAGTGATCACTTGCCTAAATTATTATATCGATATCAAAATAAACCAAGAAAACATACCTTGTAAGCGATTTCGTAAGAAACAGCCGCCGGTGGGTTAGCGTTGACAGTACACTGGGCAGTAAGCTTTTCTCCATGCGCGAGGCTCGGTTTCGTTGAAAACTGGATGTCTTCTTTCGTCGGTTTGAACTGCACGTCGAGCATTCCAAAGTCTTTCGTTTTCACGACTTCGTTATTTTGCCTGACGATGCATTTTACTCCAACGCCGTTGTCTTCCCTCGTCATTCCTGCCGTCATGGTGGATTTGATGGACTCTGGGGAAGCCTGTGAAAGAGAAGTGTTGAAAGTTCTCCCACTAGAGAACTCCCAGCTGATCTTTGGCTTCGGAACTCCATCATTCGCGCTGCAACTCAACTTCAACAGCGAAAACTCCAGCAATGGATAGGTCGAGTCGTCGGTAAAGCCCAAGCTCGGCTCCTTTTGAAGTCTAATATCGTATTTGATCGTATCGCCGGAATCATTATCGCAGGAAACGATGAGCGCTTTCTCAGGAGACATTGAAATTAGCTCCAAATTGATCGAGAAATCGTCACTAAAAGAATATATGTCACTTTGCGTGTGAATAATTTATCATCATTGTGCACGGCGGGCATATTAATTTGAAGAAAATCTGACAAGTAGATCGATCTAGCCGGTAATACTGTAAGAATAGTTAAAATGTACAAGAGTACAACCAAATTACTCAACTTATAGTCTATTTTCTGCAGGTGCTTGAGTAATTTTTGATGAATAAGCGTAAAATGCCCTTGAGTCACGAGATGAGTAAACAGTCATTATTTGTCCCCTCTGACTTTCGGAGCCATCAAGCTTGCTCCTTACAACTCATCCGATGGTATATAAGCTCCGGTCTCCTTCCATTCTGCACCAAAACGCGAAAAAGCATCAAAAAGATGCCAGAGCACGAAGCTGAAAATTTCCAGCGCCGCAAAAAGGCGAACAAGAAGCTCAAACTGAGAGACAACAAAAAGACCCTTTGCGACAAGGGCAAAAATCGCTTTTCCGAGGAAGGTGTTCCCATCGACCAGTGCGAGAAATGCCAGGAAAAGATGATGAAAGAGTTGCAGAAAACAAACCAAAAGCTAAAATTCCGATACATCCGATCAAAAGGACGTCGAATCGCCAAAGAGGCCAGAGAAGTGCATAATTATATCTAATAACATTTGCTACTGTATATTCTACTGTACATTTGGACCTCTGCAAACGGACGCGGCTTATTACTGTAACTCAATAAACAAATAACGGTCAAAACTTACGTTGTATCATCGACAAGACTCCAAGAATCAGAGCCGGTTCCGACTTGAGTCGTTTTGCTTCCCTTTATCTTCACAAAAAGAATCTGATCTTCCGTCGACACCCTGAGAAGCTTCTTACTTCCCGGAATATTGCACCGGATGCGTTGGTTTGCTCCTTCTTTGACGTATAGAATCGTTTCAGGAATTTCCAACTGAGCCAGAACTTGACATATGTGCAGCAGCAGGAAAATCAATATTCTAAAACTTGGTTAGTTGCTTTATAAATAGACAACAAAAGGGGATTTCCGCATTCTGAGTTGGATTTTTAATGATTGATTGTCCAAGTTAATATTGACACGGATTCAAATTGGCAGTGAGTGCGCTCGGGAATCTCTGTAGAAACCTCTGTCAGGGTCCGGAAAGAGCCTTGATAGAAGCCACATTTGCGGACCCTGACTCAGGATTCTACACAGGTCCGTAAGTGGTTTCTCTGTTGATATTCTCTTGTCTTACCTTTTGAAACTCATTTTGCAGCAGTGTTTCTTGCACTATTGTAAATTTGTGTATCCGGTATTCTCTTGAGAGTAACTGTCTCCAACGTTGACAGATTTGAATATTTCACGAGCGGCGGTGGTTGTAGGAAAAGAGGGATGAAAATCGGCCTGTCCAAAGGGGCTGATGATGGGACCGAAAATGAGCGCAAATTAAAAATTCATCGCTACGATACTTGTAATGCGAGGCTCCTGTCTAACAAGCGCCTCCTCTCTTTTTTAATTGCAATTTGCAGATTCTCTCGTCTACTTTACGATTCGTGCAATAAAAACGGGCGAATTATGAGCTTTGATTGTTGATGATTAGAAAAACAACTGGACGGCCAAAATGCTAGAATGAGGAGTTTTATTTGAAAGGATTCTCCTGATTAATCACCGGGAAATTGGCTTGTCAGAGCTTTTAAAGCTAGAATTACGTTATGACTACTCAGTAACTAAATTTGATGAGCCAAGCGAATATAGAAGATATCCATTTCGATTGTTTCAAATTAGTAGTTCACTTTCAGAAGAAAAATTCAAAATTCAAAAGCGGTTAAAATTAGAGAGTTCGAAATGAACCATCAATGACCCTTTTCCTTTGTCCAATTTCGATCGTCTTCAGTTCGAGTAAAGTAAACTCAGAGTCTTCTCCAGTCTAAAAGATTCATGTAAGGCGAGGGGTTCATTCTCTTAGAAGAAAAACATCAAAAAAGGCGGGGATCAATCTGTGCAGAAAAAAATTTGTGTCCTGCGGCTGGATCAGCGCAGGGGATGAACGAAACAAGTATTAGTTTTTGACTCTGCCACTCTCGTGTCCTGGTGGTAAATTTCGCGCTCCAAAAAACACATCCATCATGGTCACGGCATATTAAAGATTCATATTTCATTCTTTCCTATTTTCTCACGCGCCAGCTGGGCAAGATGAGCTGATAAGGGATGAAATTAATCGTTATTGGTTGACACCAAATCGGAAGGACAAATTGCTAACTTTGGCCGTACTCCAGAATTATGAAAAATTAATTAAAGTAAGCGAAAAAATGCGGTTATCAAACCTTTTCGCTTTGAAGTAAAAACTTCCAAATCAGATCGGAAAATGGCAAAATTCAAAAAGAACAGAACAAAGTCGTGTTTAGCCTCTTATCTTTGCCGAAAAAAAGTCTGAAACATCAATTCTTTTTATTTTGTCAATTAAGGATGTCAAAAGAAAGCCCTAATGCTCTCTGATCAAGTGTCTTTATTGCCTGGCTTAAATATTAATAAATTCGTAATGCCATCTGCGTCAAAAAAAAGTCTCTAAGGCTTTGCCAAAAATTTTTCCGGAAAGTACTTTTCGTGTACACATGTCGCTCTCGGAGATCGTTTTCGGTCAAGTGTGAAGATTTACAACGCCCTAATTATAAAACTCCTAATCGCGGGGAATACCGAAATTACAGATTCCTTGACATAAATTGGCAAAGAATCGGTAAATATTTCCTGTTGAAAGAATTGCTCGAAAGTCGAAAAATTCGTCGATTTCTGCGAAAATAATTTTCGTCCGGAAAAAGAGTGCTATCTCTAGTATTCAAATATTTGTGCAAATTCGTGCGGTGGAATAATATTATCTATGATGAAATTAAAAAAGTCGACTTGAGGCAAATTTTTTCAAAAAAATTTTATTGGCTAATATGAAAAAGGAGGAAATTCTTAGTCGAATGGTCTACTTCCGGCTCTATAATTCCATCAAATGACGTCATTATGACTCATTTCCCCCAAAAAACTTTTGGGGAGCTTTTGAAGGGGTTTCCGATGGAGTTTTTTGGCGTTCTTGGGCTGAAAAGAATCGCCGTCGAAAATTGAGGGGGGGTTTTCTTGGATTTTGAGAAATTCCAAGCGAAACACGTTGAAACCGACCGGTCGAATTTTGGTCAAAATTTTTTTCTTGAGTTTTTTCAAAACCCTCAAAAACCCCCCCTCAGTTTTCGACGGCGATTCTTTTGAGCCATAGAACGTCGAATAAATCCAACAGAAACCCCCTTAAAAGTTCCCCAAAAGTTTGCCAAAAATGCCCTAATCTGGACTTTATTACGCAATTTTTGACGTCATAAAGTCAAAATTTTCGGGTCAAATCTAGCCTATTCGACTCAGAATTTTCTGCTCTTTCTTCTGAGCACGAAAAATTTTTTTATGAAATTTTGCCTCAAGTGAAGTTTTTTAATTTCATCTATCTCTTCCCCTTATTGCATTTTTCAACCACAATCCTTTTCGCATTGGGCAGTGGCAAGAAAATATCTAGAGGTCGTAACCTTGGCCAAACATCTGGCCAATTATGTCGGAACCAGCTCAAGAGGCTGCGGAAGTCGTGAAATAATATTGACCGCGGAAGTAGTAGCTTCAATCTTTCGCTCTCTATTATCATTTTTGAAATGGCGTCCGATCAAAAAAACATAAATCGCAAAAACAAAACAGGTCTTTGACGGGTTCGAGAGTACGAGACGTATTCAATTCAACATTTGTTCAACTTGCCCGAGAAAATTTATCGCAGCCGGGAGCAAACAAAGCATCAAAAGATTAAGAAAAACTCAAGGAGCTTTTTCTCCGTATCCATTGGGAAGTTGCTTCCTAAAATTAACCCCAGCGCGGGTATTGCTCAATTCTTTGGTAGATGGTCAGAAATAGTTCCATACGCGCGTATAGGTTAAGAAAACATGGGATTAGAAATGAGCCGATCATGTGACTCAGAAAAGTACAAGGGGCTCAACTCAATCGGCTGGAAAGTTTGTGAAATGTTCAAAAAGTGTTTGTGTTAGTGGAACACGCTGCAGGAGGAAATTCGATCGGGAAATCCGTCTCCGGCTGATTGAAGATGAGTGGGGCAAATTGTTTGGCCGAAACAGCGAAAACAGCCGCTTTCAAATTTTAACCCCGGGTTAAAATTTACATTTAAAGGTTTCAGTTTATTTTATTTTCAAAATTGGCAGATGTTGAATGATTAGTTCTTCGATTAGACCCTATGTTCCTCTCTCACCTTTGATGAGGGGATGAGGATAATTTAAGAGCGCCTGTTATGGACAAGAAGCGCTCTGATTTCCTTTTATATTTGATATATTAAATTGAGTTATCACATCAACCACGAAAAAAGAGTTGAGTGGACTCAGAGTTTAATCAAAAAAAGTTGCTCTTCCCCAGTTGAATTTAATCATTGCGAAACAACTAGGACGAAAGATCAAATATATCTACATGTAAAAGACAGGCTTTTGCGTCCGTACAGACTAAGCCCTTGATGAAAATCTGTCAACAAGTCTGATTATGAACAATGGGACCATATGAACCCTTTCCTTTTTTAGGGCATTTAAACATGATTATGCTTGACAGGAGCTTGAAAAAAATGCTAGTACGAACCAGCTTTTTTCTGACAGATTTTAAATCAACCCAGGTTCACAGAAAAGAAAGTGAAAGAGCGAGTTGAAAACTTCTTACATGATTCTCTTGACAATCAAAAGCGAAATACAAACGTAATTAAACTATAAGCTCCCCCTGTAAATATTTAATCGCCCGTAGAAGTACAGACATTTTCCCATAAAAGTTCTCTGGCAAAAACGCTCTTCAGAATAGCTCTTGTGTTTTTATTACACTTTGGGTCTGAAAAAACTTTTCGGAAATTGACCTTTTCTACGAGCTGAGATGCGTCGCGAAAATCGGGTGAGTGAAAAGGTTACATAACCTAACCTTTTTTGAATAGCTCTGTATCTTCTCTATTTCTTCTTTGATCTCGATTTGGAAAAAAGTTTGGGAATGCTTGAACGTGTGAAAGAGGCGTTTCGAGGAGTTAGCTCTTTTTGGAGGTCGAGAGATGGAGACACGCGCGTGCGGCGCTCTTCTCAATTTTTTTATATTCCTCGGTTTTTCCTCTTTGTGGTAAAAAAGTGTTAAAACGTGAGTTTTACGTTGCTCGATGATAAATAATAATGGTATTTTTTTCAATTTCAATGGGGGTTAAAGCGAATCCCTCAGTGCTTCATTTTTGGCAGGATTTTTTTCCTCTTTCGCATTTTAATCAATTTTAGGACGATTCGGGGAGATCACGAGACCATGAAGGTTCTTTTCACATCTAGCGAATTTCAATAAGATAGGAAATTCGCAGTACGGAAAATTTTCTTTCATTATAGAATAGTGAAAAGCTTTTCATTCGAATTTTTACAATAATAAAGCCTCTCATAACAACATGAGTGATAGAGGATTATCCTTTCCCGGTTCCTTTCCCGGGTCCTAGACGTATCAAATCGTAACCAGAAGGGATTTCCAGGCTGTAGATTCTTGGGTGAGACGATAAATCTCCTTTTTTGGAATCCTATAAATTCCTTCTCTGTTAATTTCAGTAAGGAAAGATGTCAATTTCGCCACAATAAACAGCAATAATGGCTCGTTCTCGATTTATTCTGTAATTCGAAATGGGACGCTTGAGCATGACATTGGAAAAACAATCACCGTCGAGTAATTCCCTCAAAGCTGGAAGGCGGCTATCGGATACTATCTGACGCCAGAGATCAAATAATCCGAGCCGATAGGGAAATTTCAATCAGTGACAGGTTATCACTGTTCTGTAAATATTGCACGCGTTAGCCGCCACCTGTAATTATAAATTTAACTTGACACGGGGTAATAACAGATAGTCACTCGTTTCATCCGCGAATTGATTTATTAATGATAATTGAAGAAAAATTAAGCAAATTCAAACAGAAAATGCATTTCATTGGCAACGCACATTTTTAATACTTCCTCGACCTTTAAAAGTATTAGACAGTGAAAAGACAATTATGTAATTAGAATCAATTCTGTTCATTTAAACTGGACACTGACCTTTTGCCCGGAAAGTAGAAAAAATACCGGTAATTTCCATCCTTAGGAAACTTTTTTATTGTTACAGTTCGCTGCCAAAATAGGCCGAGAAATTGAAACAATCGATCAAAATCTAGTTTCCTGTCTATTATCCAAGATCCGATGCGCTAATTTGGCTCAGAATGTCAAACTGCAAAGTGAAGAGACTGTAGCTTGATGTATATCGTGGATGTGTGTGTATTTTTCTTTATAACATAAAAGAATAAACAGAAGGAAATAATAGCACTTATTTCGGAAGAAGCTTTTTGATCAAGTTGTTAGGAGGCACTTGAGATGAAGAATCACTAATTCGCGTGTTTTTTTTTCTTGCTACAGAGTTCTTCCATGATTTCATTCGGGTGTACGTTCAGACATTTTTTAGTAATGATGAGTATAAAATATGTGAAATTATAAATCACCGTTTTAAGAAGATATAAGCAGATTTAGTTTATAGTTGAAATTGATCGTTGATCCGCATCATTTTCAATATTCAAATTTACTATGCCAAAAAATTGGTCAACGCGCACGAAGGAGGTTAGCGTTAATATAAATGAGCGTATGCATATCGGCCCTTGAGAGTTAAATTTCGTGATGAACTGAAATGTTGAACCTGTCAGGTCAGAAAGAAGTTCACAATTCGCTACTTTTTCATATAAAATTTCGCATGACATGAGTTATTAAAAAAGGTCTGGTAATGGCACGGTTTTGAGGGATTTTGCTATGGCTATTCGAACAGGAGAGGTAAGCCTCCTTTTGTTGTAAATTAACCGTGTTTTCGTATTTGCAAAGTAAGTCGTAAGTATGGATTTTAATAGGTTAAAAATGAGGTATGGAAATGCGATTCCGTCAAAAGTTACAGATAGGTAACTACTGGCAAACACAGGGTGGAAGTTGGGGGTTTTCGAACATGACGAGCACAGACAAGTTAAAAAATATCAAACTAAACATAAATTGGGAATCGGAACTAGGTGAGCCACAGACGCTAGAGAGTTGCTTTGAAGAAATTGCATGAAAATGAAAAAAGCCTAATCCGCTAGGAGTAAAAAACTGAAAGGGTAAAGAACTGGGTTATTTTTCTTCTTCCAGCATTTTATCGGGAACTTAAATTCGTATGAAAGTCGAAAATATTCAAAGTCATTTACCATTTTTGAACTTCGTCGGCTCTAACCACTCCCAACTCAGGAATATCAAAAAGCTGGAAATAAACAGGAAAACAGCTGGATAGGTGAACACTATTCAATAATTATTTTTCATGCTTGTACTGAACATATAATACTTACACAACATATACTGAGGAAAAGTGCCAGTTCCCCAAACTGGGCCGCAAATTTGGGCCAATCTTTCGGCGGTAACTCGTAGTCCTGAAAATATTCAACACTGAATTGACGGCAATTTCTTACCTTGAATGGTCGATTTTTGGCTCTGATCGGTAAATTCAGACATGAGCGTGGCAGAAGAAACAAACACAAAAGGAAGAAGAATGATAAACGAGGCTGTGATTCCAATAAACGAGTACGTAATCCATGTTTCCCTTAACAAATGTGAATTCATTTTTAGATTAGAAAAAACGGTACCTGAAATGCGCCATTGGCAATATCGTTCCCATTACGAGCAAAAGACAACCTTCAAGAGCAACACCAACCAACAACGTCACTCGCAAAGTTACAAACCTTCCAGCAACCTAAAGTATTGCTGAAATCAACGAAGAGAGCGATAAATTTTACCATAACAATAACATAACCAATAACGGCAGTGATTCCAATCATGGTAAAGAGTTTCAGGTTCTCCTCGTTTTCCCAGCCAAACAGCGACTTGGTAAGAAGAGTGACAATCGACTCCAAGGTTGATTGAAGAATGTAAGCAGAGAATGAACACGTCGTACAAACAGCAATTTGTTCCGTCATTAGCGGCAGTTTTTTCACCTTTACAGAACCAGGAAAATTAAAAACATTTGCCAAATCTACCTGGATAAACTTGCATGATTGATTGACCTCCACAGAGTCCACACGGGGCTCTTTCTTCTGCAGCGGCTGCTCTTCTGAGTCGAGCTTTCCATTCGTTAAGTTTAATGACTCCTGGGAAGTCACTTGGTCGCTGTCTGAGCGCACCTGCGGTTCGGCCACAGTTGCGATGAAGCTGAACACTAAAACAAGAGCATGAACATTTGTCAACTCATGTGGAAAGAAATCTATGGGAAGTCAGATGTTCAATTAAAAGCGAGGCTAATTCTGTTTACCAAGGCAAAAAGACCACAAAAGAGCAACGGCAAGACCAGCGGAATTCAGATTGTCGATCTCAAACATCCCCAAAAACACGAATTTCCACGAATTTACAAAAGCAGATCCAATCAATGTTCCGACAATAATTCCAGCCTGCCTCATTAGCAAGCAAAGCCCAATCATCATCGACCCATTGCCAGCTGAATAGATGATGAACTCACTGTCACTATGCTACAGTCCAAGTGTACGCGCATACATACATTTTTCAGTAATTAGGGCCACCCTGCCAATAATGGCTCCATCAATGCCCCAGCCAAGACCTTGAACAAGCCGACCGAGAAAAATACCAGCGATCGATCGGGAGAAGGTATAGATACACGATCCAGCGATGCTGCAGGATACCATGACCAGCAGCGGTAGTTTTATCGCCTTCAATTTGTCAGTAGCCCAGCTAAGAATACGTAACCGCAAATGTTAGATTAAAACTGAACTTACCCACAAAATGGAGAAGAAGCCAGCCCAGCGAAAGCAAAAAGCATGAAGGCGTACCCCACAGCGGCGTGGGGTGCCCCAAGTGTTAACAAGTATTCATTTTGAGTCGGTAAAATCAGTCCGTATTCTACTCCGGACATCAAGTACCATAGGTTCATGCCTATCAAGAATAGCCGTATGGAAGAGTCCTCATTCATCGAAATCGTCTTCTGAAAGTTTCGAAATATCAGAAGAGAAATGAGGCAAAATATATTGGAATTAACACAGAATTATTCAAAGTTTCGATAGCACAATGTTAGAGACTTCTCAGGATCAGGAGCGAGGCACAAATGTAATATTTTTTTAACCTGGTCGAACACTGTTTTAAGATTGTCGTAAATAGTAAGTAAGCCCATGAAGAATCGTTTGTTTATTCGTTAAGTTTTGCATCTGAAACAATTTTCATTATATACAAAGATTGACGTCTTACCTAATTGGAATTTACTTCCATCAAGCCATTTCCAGCTCATCAGGATCATTACCAAGTTCATAAGTAGCAAAATGGCGGGGAAAATAAATATAATTGCAGTATTGTGAAGCATGTTAGCAGCCCAGAGCGGCCCAAGCAGTTGTGCAAGACGCTCAAAGCTGATTCTGATCCCTTGAATCATGGATTTGTTCGATTCAGCCGAGAAATCAGCGAGGATAGACGCCGACGAAACGATCATGAAGGGGATCATCGTTATGAAAAAGATTGTCAGAAAACCCAGTGAAGGAATTAGCCAGGAATCACTGAAAATTGTTAAATAAGAAGCAGAGATTTTTCTTACCGAAAGTGTGCAAAGGGAAGTACGAAAGAAAAGCAAATAAGGCAAACTAATTGAACTGCAACGCCGATAAGGAGGGTAGATCGCGGAGCAACGAATCGTTGGACGATCTTTAAAAATTTTAATACGTTGTCCCGTCCAAAGAAAAGTACATACCACAGTGAGTCCATAGCCGATTACAGCAAGAACGCCAATACCAGCGAAAAGGATGGAGTTTTCAGAAGATGTCCAGCCGAGGTAGTATCGCGAGATTAAAGTCGCGATACTTTCAATAATCGATTGGAAGACATAGACAGCTACAGACCCAGTAAGGCAGATAACAAGCTGTTCAGAAAGAAGAGGTAGTTTTTCGACCTAGAAATAGACTTCAACAATGACTAATTAAATGTTAAATACCTGTTTGTACTTGAACTCTTTTATTTCCTTCTCTTCAAGCATGACAGAAGATTCAGAAATTTCATTTTCGTTGCCTCTTGGTTCATCTTTCAGCGATAGAATTGAAACAGCTCCGAAAACGAGGTAGATGATCATACAGACAAAACCAGCCGAGTTGAACTGATTGATCTCAAATCCGAAAATTGAGAAGACAGACCAGTTCGAAATCCAAGCGGCATTGAGGACCCCTGCGAGGATAATCCCGACTTGGCGACACAAAAGACAGATTCCGATGAATGTTCCGCTGTTTTTACCAGTAGCAAGAGATACTCGACCGATGATGGCACCGTCAACTCCCCAACCGATTCCAGAGATGAAGCGACCAGCGAGAATCATTGAAGAAGTTTGGAAGAACGTATATGCAGCGTAGCCAATGATAGAACATAAAACCGAGAAGACTAGTGAAACTTTGAGTGATTGTTGTCGATCGGTGAACCAGCCGAGGATAGGTGAAGCGATGAGACCACTGAGGGCGAACAGAGTCAGGGCAAATCCGATTGTGCTTTCAGGCGCACCGATTGACTTGATGTAGTCGTTGATCGTCGGCAAGATGAATCCGTACTCCATTCCAGTGGCTAGGTACCAGAGGCTCATGCCAACGACGAAAAACACGGGAGACTTTTCAGTCATTTTATCGGTGCATCTTAAAATTTATATCCTATTAAAGATCTAATGGAATAAAAGAGTGTCGTGTAATGGCAGTGCGGTGCTAATAAATGAACTGATAATTTTAAATTCAACTAATCAGAGTCAGAGTCCAAAATAGCCCTTCGTTTTCGAGGTCGGATATCCATCTCTTCGTCAGAATCAGAATTGAGTGACTCCTTCGCAGCTGGAAATGGTTCTTTCGGGCCATTGTCCTCTTCATCGGAAGATTCTAGAGTTGCTCTCTTCACTGGTGAACTAACTGGCGCGGGACTATCGACTTTTGGCTCTTCTTCGAGGCTCATGTTTTTGAGGTTCTTCGTTGGTGACTCTTGACTTCCTGGATTCTCGTCTTCATTTTCTGAGCCCGATGTTTCAGGGCGCTGCGCGATCTTCATACGTTTCTTTTTCGGTTTCTTTGGTTTCTCTTTCTTATCGGGCGACGGAGTGGCAGCAAGATTTTTCTTGAAGAAATTGATCTCGTCATCAGAAGATTCCAAAGCTTGTGCGACCTGAACTGGCTCGGGTTCAGGCTCTGATTCGATGTCTGATCCGTATTGCGCTTCGTCAGGCTCGTAGTCGTTCAAACAGGAGTTGTAAAAGTCCAAATCATTGAGTGAGCAACCCACTCCAATTCTCCAATACATGTGCTCATGGTCTGGCCACAAGAAGAAGCCACTTTTGAGTAGCGACTTCATATGGCTTCTTTCAAGATATTCTGCCACAGCCGGATCTTGAGGCACAAGACTGCGTTCTACCCAATCTTCGTGCGCGGATTCTTGACGATCGTTTATCTCGTCTTGAAGCTCAGAACGGAGCCATTTCAACGCATTTTCTAGCTTGTCGTTCCATCTGCACCGCCGAAGAATCACCTCAGTATCTTCTTGCGGAATGTTTTCGTACAGCAACGCCCGATTATTTGAAGACCTATTAAGATCACCTTCAGAGGACTCTTTTGCCTTTCGAGAGCTCTTTTTGCGGGCCACTTCACTTTTGTCCTTGATCAGTTCAAGTCCAAGAAGTTTATTTATTATTTCAGATCGGGTGAGGTCGAGTTTATCCTGAATTTTAGAAACTGGATCTTGCGCTTCTGCAAACTCGCGCCAAAGAATTGTGAGACTATCTGCCATATCTTCTGTCCAGAAAACAGCCGATGATCTGGGGCCGGCTTTGTTAGCGCTTTGGATGAGACCAAGTTTGACGCAGCGGAGTCGAAGTTGCTTGGAAGTCTTGGAGCTGTCTGAGAAGCTTTGTTCGATGTACTTCATGAGGTCTTCTTGTTCATCTGGAGGTAGAGTTTCGTTGATGAGTCGATTTTCTTCGGCAAGTTTTCGCAGTTCTTCGTCCATCTCTTCCGACCACATGCCAGAGCGCTTGACATAATGGTCTCCGAAGTCACCTAAACGATTGTTAAAAACTGTGAAAGATGAATATTTGAGCACTAAAGGTAAATATCGCCGATCGCGCGATACTTTCTTTTGAAGAAATTCCTAGATTTGTTTTAGATACCTTTCATGATCGGCTCCCAATCGCGCTGCGTCGTCCATAAAAGCAGCTCAATGGGCAGTTTTTCGTTATCTTGCATGACTTGAAAGAACTTCCCCAGAATGAACTTGCCGAGTGTCCAAATTTCTTTATACACAGGATTCGTCTTGAGCTCTATTTTCTCTTCATTGATTTTTTGAAAAGTGCGGAAAAGCGTTGCTTGGAAGCACATCGACGGGCGCTGGAGTTGGTAGACGACGCGATGAATGAGTTTGCAAATTGCATGGTTCACCTCGACGGTGTTCATCTACGAACAGATTTTTTGAAAGCGGGAATTTCGAGGAGTTTATTAGCGCTCAAATATGCGGCTGCGCGCCGACTGAGCAAATATCAAAAACCCTACTTTGTAATCTTTGAGGAGCATGCCAGCCTTATGTAGCACATCTGGGTGAGCGTACGCCTCAATGATGTCTTCAACATCGATGATTGCCTCCGTTACTTCTTCGTAGTCGTAGCCCGCTTCTTCGCCCATTTCTTCGCCATCACTTTTATGGGATAATTTTATTAATAAGATAAATTCGCATGTTGGAATAGGATAAGTAACCGCATATTTTGGTCAATCAGCGTATTTAGAATCACATAAAAGGAGCCGACCGTCTCTTCAAAGAGACAAAAATTAGAAAAAAAAATGCATTTCAAAATTTTCATTTTTGCTTTCTTGAGCTTGATCACTGCGTTCAATCATCCATTTGGTCTTTCCACCCACAAAATGCACTTGAAACTCCTCAACTTGATCAAAGAGAGAAGGTATGAAACTGGAAGCGTTTATCATTAAAAATGAATCTTTAGACAGAGTGTCGAGAGAATGAAAAAGATCATGTCAGAAAACAAGCACATTTTTGAAAGTAAGTTCTTTTCAGAAAATTGATATTTTTGACAGCAAACTTATTGATATCCGTCACTTGTCAACGACTGAAATTATCAATTACTTCCATGTTATATAAAAAGCCTTCGCCTAGATCTTAATGAGCAAAATGAACTTCAAAATTATATTTTTATCTCTTTTGAGTGGCTTCGAAGCACTTCTTCCTTATCAATACTTAAAACATAGGGCAGGAAGCGACTACAATTATATATAGACTATTTCAGCAAGATATTATAAATATGCTGGAGGATCATCAGTTATTTTAGTTAATCTTTTCATACTGTGAATCTTCTTTTAGAGCCAACATCCACGAAATGAAGAACATCGTCGCAAATAACGATGATCTGTTTGAAGTCTAAATAAAATAAACCCATTCCTTTGATTCTCCTGTTCTTCAGGAAACGCCTCGTCGGGCAATTTTTCTTTGCATAAAATCTCTAGCGTTTCAACTTCGTTCTCCAACTCGCCGAATTCAACCTTCTCAGGCCACAAGTGCTTCGCTGCGCGTAGCAATCGAAGCGATAACTCGGCTGAGGAAACGTCTCTCACGCGTTCTCTCCCATGCAGCGCCAGTTGAATCGCGCCAAGTGCTTAATTATCATATTTTAATTGAGAATATATGAGAATCAAACTTCATTTCTCGAAAGGCTCAAGGCAGGAAATATGTCCTTTCTCCTAGTGTTGTTTATTATTTTAGGCGGCCTGTTTTTGACTGATATGCCTGTTAGAGGGCATCTGTAAGCGCATCAAAATAGGGGAGAGCCCAGCTGCTACATCAGCTGTAAGTTTTCATATAAATACATTTTGAGACCGCATTTCATTACAGAAACGATAAAATGAAAACTTTAGCCTTGATTACGGTTAGTATGTTAGATTGAGGATAAAAGATATTCTTATAAAATGAAATCAATAGCACAAGCAAAACTTGGGGTGAACTTGAGACATTTAAAAAACTGTGACAATAAACGCATACTCGAATATAAAATCGTTCTGCAAAGCATTAACAAATCATATGATTCATATCACGAATCACAAATTGAAACTACAGCGCTAGAGTTGAAGGCTATCAAACTAACCTTTCATAGAGCCATCTTCTACTGACAGCAATCCGTATTGCATCACCTCGTCGACGTCAATATCCCCAACTCTTGCAAGATTGATATCGTCAACGATATCATTCCAAGTTCCATCTTTCTCCGCCTCGTCTGTAATCGGCTTTGGCTTCTGCGGTTTATCCTTTGCTCTCTTTGCCCGCTTTCGATTTGATCCTTTTTTCTTAGCCCGCACGACGACGTCTTTACTGCCGTCGAGGAGCTTTAATAACCAGTGCTGCGCCATGATCAGATCTCGTAAATAGTTTTTCGTCTGGAAATTTGGCCTAATCAAAAATTAAAAGCAATCGATCAAAATCCACTTGAATTTTACTTGAATTGTTTCATGAGCATTGGAATGATTTCTCTGTATTCTGGTGTATAAAGGATCTGTTCTTTGATCTGGTTTGCCGATTGCTTCATACTCTCATCTTTTGACTTGTGCATCGTCAAAATTGTCTTCATAATTTGCTAGAAATACTCGATAAGCTACCGTATTGATTCTCTGGGCCACCCAAGGACTCAGGAGGGGCTGACAGACAAACCTGAAAAGCTCGAATCGCGAAATTAAGTTTCGTTGTCCATTTATTCTGTCTCTGCTTGTCGCAGCGTATATTCTCGTCATACTTGTGCATGGAGCGCTCAATAAAAGAGAGCGCGGGGATTGAGAGCGTCTCAGAAATAAAGCCGATTTTCTGCGACAGGCTCCAGATTGGCCTGTTTATTGCGTAGTTCATGAACACCGTCATGTTGTGGAAGTAGAAGACCTCGTTGTTTTCTTCAAGGGTGTCGCCTTCGCGGAGAATTTGATGGCGCGCTGATGCCATGCAAGAATTGTAACCGTAGTCTAGGAATCTTTCGGAAGATTTTCGAATTGAAACGTCAAGAATTTCTCAATACTCATATATTTTGAAAAGACGATTGAAAAATCTTTCCTGTCACAGAATTTCTGCATAACCGCTCTCGTCTTTCGCGAGGCAGTTCTATGAACATGCAGTTCTTCTCCTTTGCACTTTCTCGTTCTCGTTTTGGTTCTGTCCTTGACTCTGTCTCTTGAAACTTCATTAACATTTTTGTAGAGCTTGTTTGTCACAATGTTCTTTCCCTGATTGTTGATGACGGCGAATGTGCCACCGAACCGCGAGTGACGCGAACTTGTCATTTGCGAGGCTAGTCGTCGGGCCATTGCTTCTTTATCTGCATCTTTTTTGAGCTCACTCATCATTGCGTCTCTTTCTGCTTTCGTATTGTCCTAATCGTTTTTAAAAAATGCAATCAAGGAAGACAATCACCTGCGCGAGAGCTTTTGGATCCTGTTCTCTGAGCATATACGCGATAATTTCCATGACAAGGGGTCTGTACTGTACGCAATCGTCATTTGAAGCGATCAAGATAAGCACAGAAGAAAGATCAGATTCTATAAGACTTCGGCAAACTTTATCGTGGACAGTATCCTCTCCAGGAGCTCGATTTTGATCATTTTCGTTCGACGGAACATGGAGAATTTGTCGGATAATATGGAGCATTCTCTCAACGCAAACAGAATCCGCTTTTGACTGATCCTCCCAAGAAGTTGAAAGAACTCGCTGGAACTCGCTCTTGAGAGCTTTCCACAAGTCGACGTCGTCGAAGAGCTCTTTGTACTTCGAAAGAGTCTCTTCCACGTTTCTGTAATTATACTGAAACTCTGCGTCTTTTGGAAAATCTTCTTTCCCGTAGTATTGTCGGAATACTTCAGCAGTGGGCATAGAAAGTAAGAACATGAGCCGAATGACTGATCGGAAGAGGTCTTCACTGTCAGAATGCTGCTTTAAAATTGGGATCAAATCGGTTTCCCAAATGTTCGAGCTGCCAATTACTTGACGCACTTCGCAGTGAGGGTCGCGCTTCATAACGAGTTTTATAATTACTCGGATACTGTCTGAAATTTAATTTTAACGACCTATGTCTATGATGACTAGACTATTTTTATACCTATCAATCTTAATAAAAATCATTTCATACTCTCTTTTTAAAATATTAGCTATAATAAGGAAGTTGGGAAAAAGAGGGCGTACTTAGGGCGTATTGGTCGAGTTTATAGCTCCCATCTGCGTCGAATCCAATGGTAGTCATCGTTGTCAGCAGGAGCTTCTTCTCGTCTTCATACTCCTCTTTTTCTTTCTGCCTGTCTCGCTCATAGTCTACGTCCATTTCGATCCCCTCCATTTCTGCGATAAAAAAATTACACACGAATCGTTAAAAAAAGAATAGATTTGAAACAGGTAGAAAAATAAAACAAGTGTTTTGTACATTGAGCAAAGAAGAATGATTCACCAGGGCTTGTTGATCGGCTTCGGACGGAGAGAAATGACCCCGGTGGTGTAGTAATAGGCGACGTAGGATGATAGAAGTGCGGTCGGAGCAAATATGATATAAACTAAAAATTTATTTGAACTCATGAGTATCATCTGAGAAAGGGGGAAATCTAAAAACTTGAGTCAAAGACCGACGATTTATTAATTTCTTACTTTTTCTTACATAGAGAACTTTATGGGTACTATCTTGAATTTAAATAATTACCTATTTGCAAAATAGAATTGATACTGGTCTCCTCTTCTTCAACTGTTCTTGAGATCGGATTCGCGCTTTCCTCTGGCAGTACAGCAAGCAAAATCGTAGTGGCTACGGCGACCATGAGAAGAAATATCGCGTAGACCATCTTTTCTGCTCTGCTCTGAAAAGAAACGCTAGAGTCAGAATCACGCCATTTTTCTTACGAAGAAGAGAAACCCAACGAGCGCGAGGCTCCAAGCAACGATGAGGATCCAAACTCCAGGGCCAATCATTCTAGGAAGATTACTTGTAATCTTTAGTCGAGTTACTGTAGTTCGAAAAGCCACGTGCAAAGTGTGACTGAAAGATTAACACAGTATTACATGGGAAAAGTGTAATGTCAGAGGAAATGTACCATCAATTTCTAAAAAGAGAGAACTTTAAAACGCTTTTATCCATGGTTTTCTTTATTCCACCATAATTATGCATAATTCATAATGTATAAATTCTATTTCTGCTAAATAATAATTAATTTTACCGATTAAAATAAATATTTATTACTAATTAATATTAAAATCTAAAAGATTTAGGTATTTGATACTGAAAAATTAATATTTCGATCTATCAATCTGGGTAAGATTCTATGGCAAAATTAATGAGATCTGGCCAGAGGCGTGTTTTCAGTAGATTGGATGTCTTCCTTGGGCGCGAATCTCTTCATTTTCGCGTCGATTCGTGAGAATTGCACAACGCGCGCCCAAGAGCGTCCCGCTCGATTGGCCTCTCATTTGGCCGGCTCGCGATTTTGATTGGCCACCGCCTCGATCCTTCAATTCTCAGACAACACTAGCGTAACTTTCCTTTTTCCTTATCTCCCACTGCATTCCTCCCGATACCGAAATTTACGTGAAATTTGATTGAGACACGATTAAGAGACATTTTGATGAATCTTTAGAGATTTTCCGAAGAGCGAAATTCTAGAGATATAACCGTATGAAAATTATGTAATCGAAAGTAACTTCTTATCCAACTTCATGAGCTGCGAAATCAGATTTGCCTTTCTGAAAAATTCTCTGAGAGAGAAAGTACTGCTAAATGCGGAATTCTAGAGTCAGTCGGCAGAAATCGGGCATCGGAAAACCGGAGTCGCCAATCGAAAATGGCGTCGACCTTTGAGGGTCAACACGTCCTCACTCCAGAGGACGAGGAGAAGCTCAATGAGAAGGCACGAAGATGGCATCAGATGCAGTCCAAACGGTTAGTTACAGGATCGAATCGAATTCCAGAAACTTCGATGCGCGTATTGATTTTCAATATTTTGCCGCAGGCTTTTTTGTGGAAGTTTTTACAATCGCCTTATTTTGTCTTTAGTTATGCTGAAAAGCGTAAATTTGGATTCGTCGATGCTCAAAAAGAGGACATGCCTCCAGAGCATGTTCGTAAAATCATCAAAGATCATGGAGGTAAACCCTTTCCCAAGTTTTCAAGCGGTTCAAGTTCTTTTTTTAGACATGACCTCGCGAAAATACCGTCACGATAAGCGAGTCTACCTTGGTGCTTTGAAATACATGCCTCATGCGTTGATGAAGCTCTTGGAGAACATGCCTATGCCTTGGGAGCAGATCCGAGACGTGGATGTCATTTATCACATCACCGGAGCGATTACTTTCTGTAACGAAATTCCATACGTTATCGAACCGATTTACATCGCTCAGTGGGGAACAATGTGGATCATGATGCGAAGAGAAAAGCGTGATCGGTAAGACTAGCGCTCCTCTTCCTTGATTTCAACTAATTTCTTCAGTCGTCATTTCAAGCGAATGCGTTTCCCACCCTTTGACGACGAAGAACCGCCACTCGATTACGGAGACAACGTTCTGGACGTAGAGCCTCTTGAGGCTATCCAAATGGAACTCGACCCAGAAGAAGATGCCGCCATTTACGACTGGTTCTACGACCACAAAGGAACAGTTTCATACAGTCAAAGTTATTTTTATTTCATTTCCACCGCAATGCTTCTCAACAGTTTTTGAGCAGCACTAATTTTAGGATCGAAGCAATGCCACTTCGTTTTCTGAAACTATACAATAGCCCTCATCGAGTCTAAATCACGCGTAAACGGACCCAGCTACAAACGTTGGTTCTTGCATCTTGATGAGCAATCGGCTCTTTACCGACTTGGCAATCAGCTTCTCACTGATTTGGTCGACGACAATTATTTCTATCTCTTTGATTTGAAGTCTTTCTTCACTTCTAAAGCGCTCAACCAGGCTATCCCCGGTGGCCCAAAGTTCGAACCTTTGGTCAAGGAGAACCCCTCCAAGATGAGGACTGGAACGAGTTCAACGATATCAACAAGATCATCATCCGACAGCCGATCCGAACCGAGTATCGCATCGCCTTCCCATATCTCTACAACTCGCTCCCTCACCACGTCCATCTCACATGGTACCACAACCCAAGTGTTTTGTACATCAAGGCGGAAGATCCTGACCTTCCAGCTTTCTATTTCGACCCGTTGATCAACCCGATCACTTCTCGAGCTCAGAAAAACTTCAAGATTGAAGAAGAGGAGATCACAACAGACGAAGACTTCCTCGATGACTTCGAACTGCCAGAAGGAGTCGCTCCTATTCTCGAAGAGACGCAGCTATACACGGACAACACCGCCAACGGTATCGGTCTTCTTTGGGCTCCTCGACCTTACTGCCTCCGCTCGGATCGAACAAAGCGAGCAGAGGATGTTCCACTCGTCAAAGGCTGGTACAAAGAACATTGCCCAGCTGGAATGCCTGTCAAGGTGCGAGTCTCCTATCAGAAGCTCTTGAAATACTACGTCCTCAACGCGCTCAAGCGACGACCACCAAAGCCACAGAGAAAACGATACTTGTTCCGATCGTTCAAAGCAACGAAGTTCTTCCAAGCTACGCAGCTCGATTGGGTTGAGGCTGCTCTTCAAGTCTGTCGCCAGGGTTATAACATGCTGAACTTGTTGATTCATCGTAAAAACTTGAATTATCTCCATCTCGATTACAACTTCAACCTGAAGCCTGTGAAAACCTTGACAACCAAAGAGCGAAAGAAATCTCGATTCGGTAACGCCTTCCATCTTTGCCGAGAAGTTTTGCGAATGATGAAGATCGTCACTGACTCCCACGTCCAGTATCGACTCGGAAACCTCGACGCCTTCCAGCTTGCTGATGGCCTACATTACATCTTCTGCCATCTTGGTCAACTTACCGGTATGTACCGATACAAGTACAAATTGATGAAGCAGATTCGAATGTGCAAGGATCTCAAGCACGTCATTTACTACCGATTCAACACCGGTCCAGTCGGTAAGGGCCCTGGTTGCGGTATTTGGGGACCTGCCTGGCGAACTTGGGTGTTTTTCATGCGAGGTGTGACCCCACTTCTTGAGCGATGGCTTGGAAACTTGCTCGCGCGTCAGTTCGAAGGTCGACATACCAAGGGTGTTGCCAAGACCGTCACCAAACAGCGAGTCGAGTCTCACTTCGATCTCGAACTTCGAGCCTCCGTCATGCACGATATTCTCGATATGATGCCAGAAGGAATCAAACAAACAAAAGCTCGAACCATTCTTCAGCATTTGTCAGAAGCCTGGCGATGCTGGAAATCGAATGTTCCATGGAAGGTGCCGGGATTGCCAACTCCAGTTGAAAACATGATCCTTCGATACGTCAAGTCAAAGGCTGATTGGTGGACAAATACTGCGCATTACAACCGAGAGCGTATCCGACGAGGTGCTACTGTGGACAAAACTGTTTGCAAGAAAAATCTTGGTCGACTTACTCGTCTCCACTTGAAAGCCGAGCAGGAGCGTCAGCACAATTACCTGAAGGACGGTCCTTACATCACCCCAGAAGAATCCGTGGCCATTTACACCACTACTGTTCACTGGCTTGAGTCCCGACGATTCGCGCCAATTCCCTTCCCACCACTCAACTACAAGCACGATACGAAGCTGCTCATCCTTGCTCTTGAACGATTGAAGGAGGCATATTCGGTCAAAAATCGTCTCAATCAGTCTCAGAGAGAAGAACTCGGTCTGATTGAACAGGCGTACGACAATCCTCACGAAGCTCTTTCGCGTATCAAACGTCACCTGCTCACTTCTCGAGTTTTCAAAGAAGTCGGAATCGAGTTTATGGATTTGTACACCCATGTCATCCCAGTCAACGACGTCGAGCCATTGGAAAAGATCACGGACGCATATCTCGATCAGTACCTTTGGTACGAAGCTGATAAGCGACGACTTTTCCCGTCTTGGATTAAACCTGCTGATACTGAACCGCCACCACTGCTTGTCTACAAATGGTGCCAAGGTATCAACAACCTCCAGGAAGTTTGGGAAACTGGTGAGGGCGAGTGCAACGTTCTCATTCAAACCAAGTTCGACAAGATGTACGAGAAGATCGATATGCTCTTGTTGAATCGACTTCTTCGATTGATTGTTGATCACAACATCGCTGACTACATCACCTCCAAGAATAACGTCAAGCTGACTTACAAGGATATGAACCACACCAACCACTACGGTATTCTCCGTGGTCTCCAGTTCTCTTCCTTCGTCGTTCAGTACTACGGACTCGTGCTTGATCTCCTCGTTCTTGGTCTCAACCGAGCTAGTGAGATGGCTGGTCCTCCAAGCATGCCAAACGATTTCCTCTGTTTCCAAGATATGGCCACAGAATCTGCTCATCCTATCCGTCTCTACTCACGCTACGTGGATCAGCTTCATATCTTCTTCCGCTTCACAGCTGATGAGGCCCGTGATCTCATTCAACGATATCTCACCGAGCATCCCGATCCCAACAACGAAAACATTGTTGGTTATAACAATAAGAAGTGCTGGCCTCGAGACGCTCGAATGCGTTTGATGAAACACGACGTCAATCTTGGGCGCGCTGTTTTCTGGGACATCAAGAACCGTCTGCCTAGATCTGTTACTACTGTCCAGTGGAATGATACCTTTGCCTCGGTCTACTCGAAGGACAACCCTAACTTGTTGTTCAACATGTGTGGATTCGAGTGCCGAATTTTGCCTAAATGCCGAACCACTTACGAAGAGTTCGTCCACAAAGATGGCGTCTGGAACTTGCAGAACGAAGTCACCAAGGAGCGAACTGCTCAATGTTTCTTGAGAGTCGACGATGAACACATCACCAAGTTCCACAATCGATGCAGAATGGTCCTCATGTCTTCTGGTCAGACCACCTTCACCAAAATTATCAACAAGTGGAACACTGCTCTCATCGGTTTGATGACCTATTTCCGAGAAGCTGTCGTCAATACCCAAGAACTTCTTGATCTTTTGGTCAAATGCGAGTCAAAAGTCCAAACTCGAGTCAAGATCGGTCTCAACTCAAAGATGCCTTCGCGATTCCCTCCGGTCGTCTTTTACACACCGAAGGAGTTGGGTGGTCTCGGTATGTTGTCGATGGGTCACGTTTTGATTCCACAGTCCGATTTGCGATGGTCAATGCAGACTGACATCGGTATCAGCCATTTCCGATCTGGTTTGTCGCATGAAGAAGATCAGCTCATTCCCAACTTGTATCGATACATCATTCCTTGGGAATCAGAGTTCATTGATTCACAGCGAGTCTGGGCCGAGTACGCACTCAAACGACAAGAAGCGAACGCTCAGAATAGACGACTTACTCTTGAGGATCTTGAAGACTCCTGGGATCGAGGTATTCCTCGAATCAACACACTTTTCCAGAAAGATCGTCACACACTCGCTTACGATAAAGGATGGCGAATTCGAACTGACTTCAAGCAGTACCAGCTGCTCAAGCTGAATCCATTCTGGTGGACTCATCAGCGTCACGATGGTAAACTCTGGAACTTGAACAACTACCGAACTGATATGATCCAGGCTCTTGGTGGTGTTGAAGGTATTCTTGAGCACACACTCTTCCGAGGAACATATTTCCCAACTTGGGAGGGTCTTTTCTGGGAGAAGGCTTCTGGTTTCGAAGAGTCCATGAAGTACAAGAAGCTTACCAACGCCCAGAGATCCGGTTTGAATCAGATTCCCAATCGTCGATTCACTCTTTGGTGGTCACCAACCATTAACCGAGCGAACGTCTACGTTGGTTTCCAGGTCCAGCTCGATCTTACCGGTATCTTTATGCACGGTAAAATTCCCACGCTCAAGATCTCCCTTATCCAGATCTTCCGAGCTCATTTGTGGCAGAAGATCCACGAATCTGTCGTCATGGATATGTGCCAGGTTTACGATCAGGAAATGGATGCCCTTGAGATCGAAACTGTCCAGAAAGAAACCATCCATCCGAGAAAATCGTACAAGATGAACTCATCTTGTGCCGATATTCTCCTTTTCGCCGCTTACAAATGGAACGTTTCTCGACCATCTCTTCTGGCTGACACTGACGACCTGATGGACAACACCACTACGCAAAAGTACTGGGTTGATGTTCAGCTCCGTTGGGGTGACTACGATTCTCACGATGTCGAGCGTTACGCGCGAGCAAAATTCTTGGACTACACTACCGACAACATGTCCATCTATCCTTCACCAACTGGTCTTCTCATTGCCATCGATCTTGCATACAACCACCACTCTGCCTATGGCCATTGGTTCCCTGGTTGTAAACCCCTTGTCCAGCAAGCTATGGCCAAGATCATGAAAGCCAACCCAGCTATGTATGTCCTGCGTGAACGAATCCGAAAGGGTCTTCAGCTTTACTCATCCGAGCCTACCGAGCCATATCTTTCCTCCCAAAACTATGGTGAACTATTCTCCAACCAGATCATCTGGTTCGTCGATGATACCAACGTCTACCGAGTCACCATCCACAAGACCTTTGAAGGTAACTTGACAACGAAACCTATCAATGGCGCGATCTTCATTTTCAACCCCCGAACTGGACAGCTCTTCCTCAAGATTATCCACACATCCGTATGGGCCGGACAGAAACGTCTTGGTCAGTTGGCCAAGTGGAAGACCGCTGAAGAAGTCGCAGCGCTTATCAGATCTCTTCCAGTGGAAGAACAGCCTAAGCAAATCATTGTCACTCGAAAGGGTATGTTGGATCCCCTCGAAGTCCATCTTCTCGACTTCCCGAATATTGTCATCAAGGGATCAGAACTCCAGCTGCCCTTCCAGGCTTGCTTGAAGGTCGAAAAACTCGGTGATTTGATTCTCAAGGCGACCGAACCGCAGATGTGCTTGTACAACCTGTACGACGATTGGCTCAAGGAAATCTCCTCCTTCACCGCCTTCTCTCGTTTGGTCCTCATTCTTCGGTAAACCCAGAAAAATGTTAAAATAACTAACATCTAAAATTCTAGTGCCTTGCACGTCAATAACGACCGAACCAAGGTCCTCCTCAAGCCCGAAAAGACCACCCTTACCGAGCCACATCACATTTGGCCGAGCTTAGACGCCGACCAGTGGGTCAAGGTCGAAGTTACCCTCAAGGACATGATTCTGGCCGATTACGGAAAGAAGAACAACGTCAATGTTGCTTCATTGACTCAGTCCGAGATTCGAGACATCATTCTTGGTATGGAGATCTCTGCTCCATCACAGCAGCGTCAGCAGATCCAAGAGATTGAGCAGCAGGCTCAAGATCAGTCGCAACTTACGGCGACTCAGACAAAGACGGTCAACAAGCATGGAGATGAAATGGTAAACTTTTCTCTAAAAGCAAAGTCCTCAACAATTTTAGATTACAACAACGACATCCAACTACGAAAGACAAACGTTCTCGTCGAAAACCGAATGGCGGGTTCGCGCTATTTCTGCGACGAACTTGCACTTGCGAACGAATCACATTTATGTATCGTCGGATGATATCAAGGAGACAGGGTACACATATATTCTGCCGAAGAACGTCCTCAAAAAATTCATTTGCATTTCTGATTTGAGATCGCAGATCGCCGGCTATATGTTTGGTATTTCGCCTCCTGACAATCCACAGGTCTGAAATGAAATTTTCCTTGTTGATTTCAACGTTTTATTAGGTGAAAGAAATCCGATGCATTGTGTTAGTGCCACAGTGGGGAACTCACGCCCAAGTTCACCTTCCATCTCAACTGCCAAAACACGAGTTCTTAGAAGAGATGGAACCTCTTGGCTGGCTTCACACGCAGCCAAACGAGTCTCCCCAATTGTCCGCTCAGGATATCACAACGGTAAGCTTTATTTTTGTTTCAGACGATAACTTTGTTCAGCATGCTAAAATTATGGCTGACAATCCAGAATGGGACGGCGAAAAGACGATTGTAATCACGTGCTCATTCACACCGGGAAGTTGCTCGCTGACTGCGTACAAGCTCACTCCTGGTGGTTACGAATGGGGCCGGCAGAACAATGATAAGGGTTCGAATCCTAAAGGATATCTCCCGTCCCACTATGAAAAGGTAGTGTTTCCGTTTCTAGAATCTCCCTTCAACTTTTCCTTAGGTCCAAATGTTGTTGTCGGACAAGTTCCTCGGCTTTTTCATGGTCCCTTCGCAGGGATCGTGGAATTATAACTTTATCGGCGCTCGTCACGATGTGAATATGAAGTACGAGCTGCAGCTAGCCAACCCGAAAGAATTCTATCATGAGGTAAACGCGTGGGAGCCGATAAAATCCATCTGATAAGGGTTCTTACTTCTTCATTTCATTTTTTCGATCTGTGCGTCACAGAGAATTATACGCGCTTTTCAGATTCACAGGCCGCAGCATTTCCTCAACTTCACATCATTCGAAGACGGTGGCGACGGCCCAGCTGGTGCCGACATTGAGGACATGTACCAATAAGAATGTGTTTCGTCTTGTTCAATCTTCGCTCCTAAATCGTATTTTGCTGTTTCACCCTCTGGAAACCTAGACCAATTTCCTTTCTTTCTAGCGATTATTCTACTGCCCTAATGTCTAATTCCGACAGCAAACATTGTCTAAATATCTTTTCTCTTCAGAGAAATCATGATCGCCCGACGATTGGCCGTTCCCGCTATGCGACAGCTCTCCGGCGGCGTAAGTCCTTTATCTCTAGAATGGCTCGAGTAACGGTATTTTTGTAGGCCCGAGCTGGTCTCCTTCGAACTCCCCAGGTTACCCCTCGAGTTGCACGAGAACTCCCCAGATCAACCTCTGCAACGCTGTTCTCGCCTGCTGGCTCATCCTCGCCTCCTTCCCATGGGAGATGTAAAGCGGACGAAGTTCTCCACCTTTCCCTCTGAAGAATTTTACTCCTATTTAATCGACTCTGTCCAAAGCAGATCATTCAGATCAACGTTCATAACTGTAGTGCTTTTATATATGCAATAACAAATGTTGGAGACTAACGCGTTTTGTTGTGGGGGTAGTTGAAACAACTACGGAGCGTTTATTGTACTGACAGAGCAGTCAGTAGGAGCAGAACAGTATTTTACCCTTTTTGGGCTTTCGTGGATTTGCGTGAATGGTGAATGAGTGTATGAGTGTACAGAAAAGGATGAGGCGCTATTTATAGACAGTAGGTGGTAGCCGTATTCAGAACAATGGGTACCAACCGTGTCGGTGGTAGCCAATGAGGTAGCGGTAGGTAGTAGCCACAAAGGGAGGTAGTCGTAAAATTTTGTAGTGGGCTAGGGCGGTAATCGTTTTATGGGCCATGCTGGGCCAGCGCTGGAGGTGAGCGGTTTTGAAATGCGCGCGCTAATGGTTTTATGACCATTGAGCGCGCTCGATTTGAACTTGCTGCAAAAGTCATATTCGCAGCATAGTAATAACCACTACAAATTCTCCCCTTCTTAGAATTTATGACTTTTGCACCTGTATTTATCCATTGCGGATCAAATCAATCGTGTCATCCACTGACGCTCCAAGGACTGTATTGCTGGATGGAGACTGATCGTACGGCGTGCTGCTGCTGAATAGAGAGTCTAGGTCGGCTGAATTGGTCGAGTATAAAGGCGGGTTGCTTTCTTGTTTCTTGAGCCAGTCGTTCAAATCGAAATCGAATGGGTTATCTAGGGTTGCTTGTAATATCGGCTGGTCTGGTGGTATCTGGGTGGCACTTGTTGTTGGTGTTTCTTCTGTTGACAGTTCAGTTGAAATCCTCTCGGCATTCTTTGGTGATAAGGAAGCAGTTGTAATTGTTGATGGATCAGAGGGCGGGTCAGCGTTGGTCATCGTTGATTGCGCGTTGCTCAGGACTGAGTGTAAATCATGGGTTGAGCTTTGCGACGGGTGTAAGTTTTCCGACAACTGGGCTAACTCTTTCAGAAACTGATCCAGTGAGGAAATTGCTTCAGTTGCTTCGGTTTCGAATGTCCGGAAGGTGCGAAGGTCATTGAATACTCGTCGTCGTGCGTTGAACTGTTGTTTGAACTTTGTAAGTACCATTGGTCCATACTTTTGTGGTATTTCAAGACACAGCAGAACCTCATTGATCGCAGCAGTTTTCGCCAGCCAAGTAAGCAGTGGTTCTCCGGCAACAACTTCTTTCCAGAAGTCGAAAACATGTTGATAGTCGCCTTCAGTGAAGTAGATTCTTTCTTCGTTTGACCTATCGTAGAAGACTTGTTTGCTTCGTTGGATCAGGTTTGTCACATCGTACAGTCTTTTCCATTTCGCAGAGTCCAGGATCGAAACGTCCACTTGGAGATTGAATAGGTAAGGGAGGCAGTATCGGTTAAACATCTGTTTATTGCTGCCATCGTAGAAGTGATAGAAGTCATATCGCATTGTGTCGCCCATGGTTGGCATTCTGAAAAAACTTCGGCAGATTTTGTGAATTAGCTTTATCATGGAATAACGCCTCAGGAAATAAGTAGTAATACGGTGGCAATTTGTTGGCCGCGCAGTCTTAATTTTGTGATCTTTGCGCCTCATGGCAATTTGGTTGCCGCGCAGTCTTACTTTTGTGATCTTTGCGCCTCGTGGCGATTTGTTTGCCGCGCTATCTTACTTTTGTAGATTGTTTTCATCGTTTCTTCTCCACGCGAGCAGAATCGGATGTTTTGATGCTTCTTCTGTAAGCATTTGGATTCCAGTCATCAATTCTTCTCCACACGAGAAGACTCGTTTGATGTTTTGATGCTTCTTCTGTGAGCATTTGAATCGCAGTCATCAATTCTTCTCCACACGAGAAGACTCGTTTGATGTTTTGATGCTTTGTCTGTGAGCATTTGAATCGCAGTCACCAATTCTTCTCCACACGAGAAGACTCGTTTGGTGATAATTTTTGGTGCTTCTTTTGTAAGCATTTGAGTCTCTTTCATCAGTTCTTCTCCACACGAGCAGAATCGGATGTTACTCGGGTTTCGTGTACTAAGCTGCATGCGAAGCGGGCAATTTTCGCTTCTACTGTAGTCGTGTAACGTGCTTCTGAAGGTAAATCTGAACCCGTTTGGCGCCATTGGGAGCAGACTCCAGCAGTTGTAGAGGTCAACGCGTCCAGTAGCCATCAAATGTGCTGTGCGGGCTGTGGCAGGGTTTGATATCGCAGGTTCCTTCTGCTGACTAAGCTGACTTACCACGGATATTTTTCATGAGCTAATGCAGGCTCATGGCACTTGAAATTGAACGTTGCTTAAGCGGGTGGTGATGGACTTCCAGCATACAGTCGAAATTCTTATCGAAGGTCCAAGAAGATAATCGTTTTACATTCCTAGGGTACGGTGTTGGTTAACTCAGTGCATTGTTGTCCCGGCGGTAATAACTTCTCCCCCTTAGTAAACGAATTCTAGAGATCGATCAGGGATCTAGAATGAAACGGGTGCATGGACATATCAAGAGCAAGATATCTCATTCCACGCTATTTTTGAAAATAGTTTTAGTGCTTTTGAGATGGCGCTAAATTAAGATTTCCAAAAATGTAAACTTAGAGCAAGAGCAAGCTCTCTCTTCACAGTGGGCTCATGAGAGTGCAAACCAACAATGCATCTCTCCCCTTCCCCTCCTCTTTTAGGAACTTATTTTCGGGGTCGTAATCGTTTTGACCAATTTGAAGGATCATTTTTGAGGGCGCAACAGGATCATTATTTTTGTTTTTCGGATCTTTTTAGTTTCTGCATTCTTTTTTGATGCAGTTGAATTTTTATTTGGGTGTCTTCCTTGATTTCTTTTGAGACACAATTGAGTTTTTATCGGGATTGGATGATTGATCATTTTCGTCATTGATCGAGACGAATTTTGTTGAGTCGCCGATCTTATTTTTGAGAGGTCGGATCAGACTTATGTGTCGGCGGTACTCACGTTGTGTGAGTGAGCATTTAAGAATGTAAGAATCTTTAGAGATTCTTTTATGAACATAATATGGGCCGCTCCAGTTTGTACCTAATTTCCCGTCAAAAAGATTTGGTTTCCAGACTAGCACTTGGGTACCAAGTTCAAGAACTGGGCAATTATTTTTATCTTTTCGGAGGAGTTTTTGGTACCTCTGTACCTGGAACGCTTGGATCGCAGGGTGCAATTGTTTTATATAACCATTAAGAGCTTTTATAAATGGTTCTTTGGCACCATCATTTGATGTTCCAATTTTGTAAGGAACATGAAAAGGCCTACCGTAGAGAGCTTCATTACTTGAGAGCCCATCTAGTGTCGCTTTTGGTAGGTTATTGAGATAGTATTTAGCTTGCTCCCATTTTTGTGACCAATTGCGATCATTTGCATTCAAATGTTTGAGTTGAATGTGAATCTCGCGATGGATTCTTTCAACTTTCCCATTTGAACAGGATCGGTATGCAGTTGTTGTAACGTGGCGGATTTGGAATCGCTCGAAAATTTGCTTGCAAAGCGGTCCAAATTCACGCCCGTTGTCAGTTACAACAACCTCGGTGATCCCGTGTCTGAGAACAAGAGTGAGGATCGCTTGGGCGACAGTTTTGTCACTCTTGGTTCCCAATGGTAAACCGTCTAGAAACCCAGTAAGAGAGTCGCAACAAGTCAGCAGATACCTTTTATTGGATGAGTCAACTCTTCCATAGTCGACAAGGTCGAGGAAAGTTTTCTCAAAAGGAACTGACTCGAAGTTGCGTCGCTCGATCATTGATGGTTTGAGCTTTTTGATCGGTTTAAATTGAATGCAAGTGGGGCAAGAGCTTGTTACGGCTCTAAGTTTCATTTGGATATTGCTAATGAAAAATTTTTGGCACATTTGGCTTAATTGCTGCGCACCAGCATGTCCCGTTATACAGTGCAGGTACTGTATGAATTCATTTGCAAGTTGGTCTGGGATAACAAGTTTATTTTTGGAGAACAAGATTCCGTCTTTGAGCGTGAATCTTGATTTTTTGTATTTCTCCACTTTAATGAGCTTATTGTTGGTGAGGTTGCACTCTTTTTGCAATTTCCTCATTTTTGTTTTTGTTATTTTCTCGGAACCGAAAGAGAAAATAACTTCATTTTCATCATTGTTCATAAGATGGAACATACAGACGCGTTCTGGAAGGAGCTCAAAGTTCACCGAATCGTCCTCTAAGTCGGAGCTTTTTGATCTTGGAAGGCGAGAAAAGTAATCCGCACTTGCCATGATCGGGCTGTTTCCCGGCTTGTGGATGATTGTGAAATCAAACTGCTGGAGATAGCAGTGGATATTGGTGAGTTTGATATCCAAGTTGGACTGTTGTTGTTCCTTGAAAAGAAAGAGCAGGCTTTTGTGGTCTACAACACAATCGAACTCTGTATTGAGGAGGTAAAACTCGAAATATTTGATTCCCCAAGTTAACGCAAAGAGTTCCTTTACCCGCATGCTTCTTTTCAGATCAGGACCCGTGAGAGCTTTTGAAAAGTAACCAATAACCACTAGTTTTTCATTTTGATATTGGTAGAGGGTCCCGCCAACACTTCGCCCTGAGCTGTCGGTCACGAGAAGAAGCTTCGCGCCGAGTTTAAAATGGCCAAGTGTTGGTTTTTCTTTGAGCTTTTGATTCATAATTTCGAAAGCCTGCTGGTGTTTACTCGTCCAGTTGAATTCTTTCTTCAGGCTTGTGAGCTCATACAAAGGCGCAAGAATTATGGATGCGTCTTTGACATATTTTGCATTAAAAGTAACCATTCCCAAGTAGCGTTTAAGCTCTTTTCTAGATGTTGGTACAGCAATTTTCTGTATTGCTGCAATGTGCTTATCTGATGGTTGGATTCCCTGTCTCGAAATTCTGTGCCCAAGGAAATCTGTTTCGCGCATGCATAAATTGCACTTTTTCGCGCTTAGTAGAAGTCCGTGATTTTGGCACTGTTGGAAAATAAATTCGAGTGTTTTGAGGTGTTTTTCGAAAGAATTGTCAATAATAATCAAATCATCCAAATAAATGATGATCGAGGGATGGTTCATGAGTTTTGACATAATTCTTGAAAACGCACTCGGAGCTGTTGCTGTTCCATAAAGCATTCTGTTTGCTTGGTAGTGCTTGTTACCAAAGCTGAAGGCAAGTTTATGTGAGTCAGATGAGGCGCACTGTACTTGCCAGTAGCCACGGTGGTAATCAAGACTACTTATGTAACATGCATCTCCCTTTGTTAGTTTTTCACCTATTCTAGTCATTACAGTTAGCATGTGGGGAAGTGGGAACCGATCTAGCTTTAGAAGCTTGTTTAACCCACGAGCATCAAGCGAAATTCGAATTGTTTTATCGGGCTTTTTGAGAATAATGAGGGGGATGTTAAAATCGGACTGGGTCTCCTCTATGATTCCAAGATTTTTCCAGTTGTTGATTTCGGTTTCAACTTGGTCACGCAAGTGAACTGGAATTGGTCTAGGAGGTTGGTGGCTTGACAGGGATTCGTCATGCGTTGGGAGCGCGAATCTGAATCCATGTAACTTGCCAAGGTCATCTGGTGACATAGAAAATGCAAGTTTATATTTTTCGGTAAGACCCTGGAGTGAAAGTTTTTCATTTTGAGAAGCATCCCCGTAATTTCCTATTTCAGGAATGAAATTCGCCCTTTTCGCTTGTGCTTCCCGCACTGATTGAAAGTTCTCAAGCGATTTTGATTCAAGGTCAGAGTTTAGGTCAACCTCGATGATTGCTGAGACTTTCGTTGATTGTTTCGAGAAGATTGATGGGTTAATTGTTTTTACCCGACGTTTTTCAAGGGTGATAAAGTTCTCACCATCGCAAAAGAAACGCTTTTTAAGACGTCAAGTCCTAAAATTATTGGGCAAGATAGGTTCGAAACAACCAAAGGTAGGGGATCTAGGGTAAATTTACCATCATCAGAAGGAACCGTTATTTTGACGGGCGAACACATTACTCTTGGGCGCACTATTTCATCATTTGCGACCAAGAGTTCAACATCAGAACTTATTGTTTTACGAACAAAAGGGAGGGTGTCTTTAATGCAAGTTCGGGTGCAGCCGCTATCGATCAAGGCTGGATACTGAAAGTTTTCGACAATGACGTTGATGAATTTTAGGTCTGAAGAAGCGGATCTATAGTTTGGACAAAAGAAAATTTTGGCATTTTTATGGCCGTCTAGTCACTCCTGTTTTTTCACATAGTCCAAAACGTCTGCTGGAACTTTGTCAGAATGGATGTATTTGCAGTTTTCTGCAAATTTGCATCTGTTGTACTTTGTGTACGAAAAACAGTGCCCTTTCAGTTTTTCAATGTCGATTTTCGACCTTTTTGATCGTTTGCTGCCCGATTTGGAGTGTGTGCTTTGGGAAGAGTCAAGTTTTTGGTAGAGCTTGTTAACGAGTTCGCGGAAACGAGCTTTTTCATCATCTTCAGCTTGGATACTGAAGTTGATCTCCTTTTGGAATGGAGGCCTCAATTTCCGCTGCTCGCTTCGCTATGTTCTCAAGAGTGAGCTGTGACTTTTCTCGCATCAAAAGTTCTTTCATTTTCTGATACTGGCTTTCGCAAAATCTTTCTATAATTATAGAACGATCATTTTCATTGAGGTGAGTGAGGTCGTAGCCCTGTTTATAGTATGATGTGATCTTTGAGAGGGCTAGTCCGAAACTGTCACTACCTCTTTGGTAATCTTTAAATTGCTGTTTAAAGAACTCTTTATCCTTCCCAAGCATACTTGTTAATCGATCTTTAAATCTGCCCCAGTCTTGCATGTCTTCCGACTCCAGAGATTGGATTATATGAGATCCTTCGGACTCATTGAGCAACGATGTTAGTGCAACGGTTATAATTTCGCTGCTAGAAAGATTTGAACATCGTGCATAGATTTCAAGATTTTAAGCCAAGCTGGGATCGGGATCGATGCGTCATAACGTGGGGGTTTTACTTTTAGATTTGAAGAACGCGAAATTTTTGGTTCAAACTGTTGCTTTGGAATGTGTGTCGATTTCGATTCTTTCTTGAAACGCGGCACATCTTTTGATTCCGGCTTTTCAGTTTTCACCTTTTGTTTTCGTGGCTTCGGAGCTTCCTGGCCGTCTTGAATGACCGTTTCATCAGCTGAATCAGCTGACGAATCATTTGAAAGCTCTGAGCCTGAAACAGATTCAGTTTCTATTTTGAGCGATGTGATCAAAGCATCTAGATTTTCTACATTTCGGGACGCCAAAATCTTTTCTGTGTCATTTTTATGACGAGCTTGCGCGAATTTTTGGTTTTGGCAGTCCTCTTGGTACTGAGGAAAATATCTTACGAATTGGCCATCAGCACTTTTCTCAAAGACATATTTCCTATTTTTGACAAAGAAATCTTTATCCAAAGCTAGAATATTGTGGCAAATTGATTCTTTATCGCTTATGGGGATTTTGGTGGGTAAGTTTTTCCCTCGAGGTTATCGTAAATAACTAGTAGTTCCCCTTTGTTAAGGTCTTGTACGTGCTTGAAATAGAGTTCAGACATGATTTCAAATAGAATGAGTAGAAATTTGGTAAGAGCTCTTGGTTTGGTGCCTTTTTCTTAAAGGTCCGATCCTATAAGTCCTAAAAGCTTTCCTGTCGGTGGCGCTTCTTATGGAAGTCACTCCGCTCAGTGGGACTCGCTCTGGACTATTGAAAATATCTAGGGACCTTTGAACCGGGTACTAACCTTTGTTGAAGGTTTCTTTTTTCGGAGATCGTAGGCAGCAGCTCTTTTCGTATCGTTGTCGGTAAAGTAGGCTTCGGGGGTCTTCGAACTTTAAGCGATGGACTCTAGTCTTAAAGTTCCTCGCCGTTTTTCAGTCACCAAAATTTGTAGTGCTTTTATATATGCAATAACAAATGTTGGAGACTAACGCGTTTTGTTGTGGGGGTAGTTGAAACAACTACGGAGCGTTTATTGTACTGACAGAGCAGTCAGTAGGAGCAGAACAGTATTTTACCCTTTTTGGGCTTTCGTGGATTTGCGTGAATGGTGAATGAGTGTATGAGTGTACAGAAAAGGATGAGGCGCTATTTATAGACAGTAGGTGGTAGCCGTATTCAGAACAATGGGTACCAACCGTGTCGGTGGTAGCCAATGAGGTAGCGGTAGGTAGTAGCCACAAAGGGAGGTAGTCGTAAAATTTTGTAGTGGGCTAGGGCGGTAATCGTTTTATGGGCCATGCTGGGCCAGCGCTGGAGGTGAGCGGTTTTGAAATGCGCGCGCTAATGGTTTTATGACCATTGAGCGCGCTCGATTTGAACTTGCTGCAAAAGTCATATTCGCAGCATAGTAATAACCACTACATAACAACTACTAGCTTTCCCACGAGTCAGATCCAATCTTAATTTGAATTCTTTTAGAATGTTCTCCCGAGCCAAGGTCTCGGATTTGGTGTGGCCCGCTGTGCGAGAAAATGAGTCCCCCGAAATGTATCACAAAAAGATGTGCGCGGGATTCGCGGATCACAGAAAGTGCTGTGATTCACTCGCGCACATCGCCAAATCTGATGTGGCCGGTCACAGCTCTCGATCACAGATTGATGTGATCGAAAATTTTCAGTCACAAAATTCGCGTGATTCAAAAGTAAGGGATGGGCATTCATGACTTTGAAAACAAGGAAATAATGAATCATGCGCCTTTTTTTAACTTACTTTTATGAAAGTTGTTAATTTAATTCATTTATAATATTCATAACTTACGAATCATAAGATTAATTGATTAACACGAACCCGGAACACGAGTTTTTTTTTTATCGGTGAGGCCCTTTTACCTCTCGTACCCCCAAAAATAGGTCGTGGTAATCCCTGTCAGTGGCGCTTGGCGCCAGGAAGTGTCAGTAAAATCAGATTGGCCGGAAAATATATAATTTTTCGTCTTCAAACAGCCATAACTCACGTGATACTTATTGAAACCAAGTAAATAACCTATTTAAAATGAGGTATCAATCGAAAGTTCGGATTCTGACTCCTAAATCAGGAGTTTATTCGTCTATTTTAGTCATAAGATAAATTTCTTTCATAAATTGAAAATATCAATAATTTAATTAATGTTCTCTACTTATTATTATGATAAGATTAATTCAAATTAAGGTAATTAAGTCCATGATTATAATTCAATAGAATAAACTATTTAATTGATGAACAAAACTCATCAGAATTCGGTCGCTGTGACTCGATCACAAAAATATGTGCGCGAGATTATCCCAAATATCCGCGGTGTGATCGAGCCTCGATCGCAGCTCCTTTGCGCTCCGAAAAACCCACGCACATCTTTTTGTGCGCCATTTTGGAAGAACCCTTTTCGCGCACAGTGGGCCACATCAAATCCGAGACCTTGTCCCGAGCCACCGCCCGAGCCCTCTCCACCACCACCCAGGTCAACAAGAACGTTGCTGTTCTCGGCGCCGCCGGAGGAATCGGACAGCCCCTCGCCCTCCTCCTCAAGTGCAACAACTCCGTCACCAACGTCTCTTGCTTCGATGTCAACCCAGTCACCCCTGGTGTTGCCGCTGATCTTTCCCACATCGATACCAAAGTAAGAATTTGTTTGAAAACTACTTCTAACCGCTTCTCTTAGTCCCGAGTTACCGGATTCGTTGGTTCTGACTCCGCCACAATGGAGGAAGCCGTCCGAGGTGCCGATGTTGTCCTCATCCCCGCTGGTGTCCCACGAAAGCCAGGCATGACCCGAGACGATCTGTAAGTCAATGATCCTTGTTACCGATTCTCATTTTTATCTAGCTTCAACACCAACGCCACCATCGTTGCTCAGCTCACCGCTGCCTGTGCCAAGGCCGCCCCTAACGCTGTTGTCGGTATCATCTGCAACCCCGTCAACTCCACCGTCCCAATCGCCACCGAGGTCTACAAGCAGCTCGGCGTTGATGCTTCCCGAATCTACGGTGTCACCACCCTCGGTAAAAACAGTCAAAATATTCATTTGCTCATAAAACCTTACAGATATCGTCCGGGCTAACGAGTTCGTCTCCGTCCTCGGATCCCAGGACCCCAACGACGTCCACGTCCCAGTCATCGGTGGCCACGCTGGTGTTACCATCATCCCCGTCCTTTCCCAGGTCCAGCCCGCTGGCTGCATCGACTCTCTCAACGCTGATGAGATCTCCGCCCTCACCGAGCGAATCCAGAACGCCGGTACCGAAGTCGTTCAGGCCAAGGCTGGTGGTGGATCTGCCACTCTCTCCATGGCCTACGCCGCTGCCCGATTCGCTGACTCCGTCATCCGAGCCATGAACGGCGAGGAAGTCGTCGAGTGCGCTTACATCAAGGCCGAGAACCTCCCCGGTGTCGATGTTGACTACTTCTCCACCCCACTCCTCCTCGGTGCTGACGGTCGAGTCAAGGAGAACCTTGGACTCGGCGAGCTCAACCAGTTCGAACAGGACCTCGTCTCTGCCGCTTGCAAGCAGCTCGCCGGAGAAATTAAGAAGGGAGTCGAATTCGCTGCTAACTACAAAGCCTAAGGAGCCATTCCCATTCTTTCTGTAAACGACTAATCTGAAAATCGAAAAATCGTTTAACCTACCCTTAACTTATTGGCGGATCGGACCATCAAAATTACCGTAAACCGCTCATTCCCCCAGTTTTGTGTGTTATCGCCCAACATGTTAGTTTTTAAGTTCAAATAAATTTTGCTGGTCTTCTTCCATTCTTTGAAAAAGTTTCCTTGAAATTATTCTTCGAAACTTTTTGTTTTCTTTATTCGCAGATCTTATTTCGCAGTGTCGAAGCAGTAAAACTCATCAACTTGAAAGATGATCGGTCTGTTGGTGGGACAACAATTGTTGCCAATAACCTTAGCGTTCGTTACTTCAGTTCCATTCCACTGAAGCTCTTCCACAGGAAAGCTAAGAAACTTACGTTGCTGATAAATAAGAATGCCTTACGGTTGTTCATAGCCACTAACGAGATATATAAATTTGCCAATTTTGAGTGGAGAGGAGAACCAATGCTAAAAAAAAATATGAAATTTCACAAAAGGCTGACGATTCTAACGAATTTATTCAGCTGCCCAACAATAGTCCACATCGCATCCCTCAGCAAAAAGACTTCCACATTATAACTGTCTTCATCATTGTCAAAGCCGCCAAGAACAAGCATGCCAGCTTCAACTCCGATGCAAGAATGACCATTTAATGCCCTAGTATAGAAATTAATATGCGTTGTCTTTTAAATTACTTCGGGTGATCGGGAAGTTTTGTCCAACTTGTTCCATTGAATTTTTCTACTTTATTGGCGCCTTCTTCCTCAAAAGAGCCAACAACTACCGAATTCCTTTCGTGAATTCCCATACAAGCACTGTCGTGAGAATAGGTTGTTGAGGGTCTTGACACAACGTCGCTGCCATTGAACTCTTCGCATTTCTTGAAACTTTGGTTTTCAAAGCAAATCAACGCTTGAAATAATTTTTTAGAAGGGTTTATTAGAATTCCAAACCTGATTCTTGATCAGCCATCGTAACTGCGGCGGACTGAAAATTAATTGATAGCCCAAGTCTCAGATCTATCTCTTTGATTTGACAGTCATCGATCATTGCAATCTTTAATTTTTACGAATATTATTCAAAAACGCAGTGAATTTACCCGGAAAGATGCTGCATAACTGTCTTTAGCTGTAATAAAACCTCCGAAAATGTAAATTTTTCCGCGGATAGAAGCTGATATCGAGTCTTGAAGGTACTGAGATTTTTGATTTGAAGAAGGCATATTAATAGTAACATTTTTCGACCAGTAGTTTTGCTTCAGTAGATAGCTGATTTTATTATTTTCAGACGCTGCGAGAATCATCAGCGTATTTTCGTGAGGCAAATTCCAATATGAGGTTCCTTCTCTTAGCTTTTTGTTCATCTTCACTTTATGAAAAAGTTTTTGTGAGATGCTCCGGGTTTCGTCTTGCAACTCGTTAATTGTATTTTGCAAGCGGATATTGTAAGGTGTCTTTGTGAACCATATAAATGCACCTATCAATATAAGCAAACTTATCCCAAGAAAAATTGACAAAAACTGGTAGCCTCGACTCTTTTTCATCTTCACCTTCGTTTCTTCTTCTTCGGGAATTGGTTTGAGAATGTTTAGCATCGCGACGTCAGTAATATCAATGTCCCTAAACTCTCCAATCGAACTCTCAGAATACTGGTAACTTGACGGCTGATAAGTTGGTGATATCAGCTTCGTTTCTTGCGTAGCCTCTAATTCTGTTTCATTCTCATCATAAACGGATTTAACAGAACATTTTTCTTGTTCTTTTGAAGAATCTCTAATCGAAGAACTTGTTTTTTCCATTGAAGATATTTTTAAACTTCTATTTCAAAGCTGAAGCGAATTTATATTGAGAAGGGAAAACGGTTGGTATCACTGACGATGAATACGTGAGAGAGTTATAAAAATAGCAATCTAAGCGTGATCAAAATCATGGAAAAATAAATGTTAGTGTCTCTAAGTTTCCACGATATCCGCCATTAGATAGAACTCGTTTAAGCTTTGCTGTAGTAGCCGATTTGTCCGGAGCTGTGATTGACAGTATCGTTGGGGAGTTCGTTTACTTTGACGTTGATAAACTAGAAAGTATCGGGAGAATCGCTTCCGGCAGAGAGAAACAATTTGGAAACGAAACAGAAAAAGTTTGACTCGCTTATCGTCCTGCTTGAGCCATGTCAAAAGCGAATGACTGTTGATTGATTCTTAAAATCAAAAAAGTATCTGAAATTATTCATAGCAATTATATAAGGAAATGGTAGTTTTGATAAGGTTATATAACGACGGAAATGGTCCAGTTCCGGGGAGCGTTTGGCATAGTCCCCTTTACTCGCAAATATGTACTTTTTGAGCAAAAGCGTCACACCTGTAGAGTATTTTCTGACCTTGGACCTGCGCGAGAGTCAACATTTTGCCGGAGATGTCAAAATAAAGGTCAATGTAAAGACGGAAAATGAGCAGCTGCGTGTGCACGCCAAGGGGTTCAAGTATCAACAGGTTAGGAAATTTGGCAAATAGTAGAGCAGCAAATTGGCATTTGTGGCAAATCATTTAGGTGAGCGTTGATGGCAGCGATGTGGACTACACTTGGGATGAAAATTCCGATATGTTGACCATCAGATCACGTGACGGTGTAATCAGTCGAGGAGATCATGAAATCAGAATAATTTACAGTGCTCCGTACTCCACAAACACTCTTGGAATTAATAAAGACCCCTCTACCAACATAATCTTCACTCACTTCGAACCCACTCACGCTAGAGAAGCCCTTCCGTGCTTTGATGAGCCTGTCCACCGAACTCCGTTTACTCTTCGACTGCGAGTCAATGAGGGAGCTACAGTACTTTCAAATACTCTCCACAAGTCAGAGTTGGATGGTGACTTAGTTGTGTTTGAGCGAACGGAAGCGATTCCCACTTATCAGTTCGCATTTGCTTCTGGAAACTTTGCTTGCCAAGCAGAAGTGGGTCCCGTTCGTATTTTCTCAGGAAAGGTTACTTCGATAATACCTATTCTGAGTTTTAGAGGAATTTCGAATTGAACCTTATGAAGCGGAGCCGGAGAAAAATCACAACTTTGCTCTTGAAGTCGCTCTTGGATGCATCGAGTTTTTCGAAAAATACTTCGCCTCCAAAATGCCCTTCCCGAAATTAGATTTGCTCGCAGTTCCCAAGATGATTGCCGGGGCGATGGAAAACCCAGGATTGCTTATTTTCAAGTCTGATGTCCTTCTTTTAACCAGAGAAACAACTTTTCTCGAGAAGATTCATGTTGCGTTAACAATCGCTCATGAAGTTGCACACCAATGGTTTGGGAATTCTGTCAGTATCGAATGGTGGAGCGACATGTGGGTCAAAGAAGCATTTGCCACTCTATTCCAGCATCTCGCCATAGATGAAATCTTCCCTGATTGGAATATCTTCGAATGGTTCTTCTCCAGATTCACGAGAACCGCATTCAAAGCGGACTTTGGGAACGGCTCTGTTTTGAAAGAAATCGCTCCTGGGAAAGAACATGAAGCATTCAACCCTCTCAGCTACTCAAAAGGCGCTACTGTTCTCCTTCACTTGCAGCAAAAACTCGGCTTTGAAGTTTTCCGTGACAAAATTCGAGAACTTATCAGCTCAAAAGCAGGAGAGACGATCAAAACAGAAGATGTCCTCGAAGCATTCGAAGAAAAAGAAACAATTCTCCCTTGGCTTGAGCAAGAAGGATACCCAATCGTCACCGTCAGAGTTGTAAACTGGCAGAATAGCAATCTGACTATTGAAATTTCTCAACGAAGCTCGACGCCAAGTCCAAAGATCTGGCCACTATGGATCCAGTTCACTTCTTCCGACAAAGAAGAAAAAATGTCCTTGCCGCTAGAAAGTGAATCCGTTCGAATCACAGTAACTGAGGTCGACGAAAAAACTGGCTGGGTACTTTTCAATCAAAATGCAACTGGATACTTTGTCGTCAATTATGATCCAGCAATATTGACGAATTTACTGAAAGTAATCGGCGAGATGAGCCCACTCGACAGACAATTTTTCTACCACTCGGCATTTATTTTTGCGGAGCAGTGTCTTCTCCCACCAAAGTAACCACTGAAATCGTTTCCGAAATACAAGCTATTTTTAGAATGCTCGGAGTCGTCTACGAGACACTCAAGGCAGAAACCAATCTATTTGTCTGGAGGTCACTCTTGGACGATCTCGAGCGATGTCCCCTTCTATCAGACGATTCTGACGATTCCTTGAAATGCAGCCTTATCAAAACGATGGTCGACGTGGTTCCAAAACTCAAATCATCTGATACGGTTTTCTATTTACTTTTATCCTTCGCTTTTTATTCTAGTTCTTATGATAATGTAAAACCAAACAGATACAACAAGATCGAGCGCTGAAAGCAATTATCTGCGGCTATCTGCTGAAAAATGGCGAGCGAAGCAGTGCACTCAAGTGGATCAATCCAAATGATATTGAACAAACTCAACTTCGGACAGTTATTGAAGATCTAAGGCCGGAAACGACAGGCCGATACAGTCATTTGCTTGATTTTGTCCCGGACGAGTTTGTCCTTCCCGCTATTGAGGTAAGTTCGAATATCTGAAGATAACGGCACTACCTTGGTTCAGGGACTTATGAACGATCCAGAAGCCAATGTTATTGAGGGTCTTTCAAAGCTATCGCAAGTTTCGAAGGAAAAAGTTTGGATCTGGTTGAAGACAAATATCGACGACTTTTGTAAAAATTTGATTCTCGAAAACATGCAACGACAAATTTTAAGTGAAAAACTATCCGAATTGCGGTGAGTTCATTGGAAATCTGTTGGGTTCATTCTCGTCAAAAGAAATGATGAAGGAAGCGCATGAATTGCAGAAGGAGTTTCCGCAGTTGAAAGAAGCGATTTCCAAGGCGGCGCCGAAAATGATGCTCAAGAAACGATGGCTTGAATATGCTGAAGCGCAAGCTTTTGAAGAAGATCAACGTGAAAGTATGACACCTAATTGACAAAAACTTTCAACTTTTTAGAACAAATGGAAGCCATGAAAGCGCAAGAACAAGCTTATAACCAGCATCTGCAGCACCAGCAAGCGTTCCATCAGCAAACTGGAAAGTCATCACCTGCTCATTCGTCGAAATCAACGAACTCTCAGGGCTCATCTCGTATTAGAAAAACTCAGCATGATCAACGAGGAGCCGAAAGTCTTCAAGAGCAAAACTTTCATCCTCGTTCTAACTTTCCTCATCAAGAAATGTCCCATCCAGGAGTTCCCATGCCCGGTCAAAATCAACATTATGCTCCTCAAAATCTCGGTCTGAATCATTGGGCCCAAGGACATGCTCAAATGCCTTGGCGACAACAGCCTGCACAAAGAGCGTTCCCCCATCAGAACCCGTACCATCAAACTCCACAAAATGCTCCCCATCAGCAATATTACCACCAACAAGGAATGTTTGGTCCTCAAATGAATGCACAGTCAAACTTCAACCAAGTATGAACACATTTTTATCACCTTCTTATCAACTTTTTTTAGAATCAACGTTATCAAAGTGCTCCTGGAAAGTCTACTTTCCCAAATCAAATGCATGGATTAACACCTGCGCCGAATTCTCTGGGAAACCAGTCAACAGGAGGAAACTCGTTTATGTCGAGCTTTCAAGTTATTTTGAATCACAGTTTTCTATTTTTATTCTTATTTTAGCGACATCAAAATAGCGCAAATCCCGTTAGTCGGAATCAAGAGGGGGAGCAGATAAATCGGGGATCATTTTTCGGAGCAAGTGGAAACCCTGGTACTTTCGGGCAAAACAGAAGAAATGAACAGAATTTCAATCAACAGTCCAGTAATGCATCTTATCCATCTCAATTTGGCATCCAGCGAAACAGGAAAAGTTAATTAATTCCACGAAGGCACTTTTTCATTCTATTTTTAACTGAAAAAGACAATTTCCTGACGCAGGAGAATCATTCGGTAACTACCAGAATCCAGGTACCTCTTCATTTTATCACGGCTCTGCGGGAAAGTGATATTTATCAAGGCGATAAATCATTTATGCCACTTTCACTATATTCTTGACTGCGCGTATCACAACTGAATAAACAAAGTAAAAGTCCTCAAATTGTTGAAAGCGATAGCTTCGTAAATTTTCGGCCACAAGTAAATTGATAACATCGGATCATTGCCTTGGCAATTTCGATAAACGGTCCCCTTTGAAGTCTTATCAGAAAACGGCGAAGAAGGGAGGTTACTCAAGCGGCTCTTCAGAACTTTCATAATTTTATATAAACGGCATAGCTACAGTCTTTGGATTATGCTTAGCACATCAGTTTTGAAAGCGCAAATTTGTATTGCTGTTGTAACCTGCTGAATAGATGTGGAAGTCAAATGATGAGTCTCTATTGTTGTTTTATAAATATGATAGCTGATTTTTTTTCGTTGAAGTTGTTATCTGTTATTTCTTTTTGACAGGCGGAAGCAGAATGGCAAAACTTCATTTTCATTCCATCAATTCTTGCATCCACCCATCCATCTCATAGGCGCCACACAAGTCAAAATTAAACATCATGAGGCTGATAGTGTCACCTCGTAATCTCGGCCCCGCCACGCGTTTTCCGCAACGTAAAAAGTCCAATCTCTCCCGGTGAAGAAATGACTGTTTCTTTTTGTTCCTTGCACAAAAATCTTATCCTCGTTTAAAAGTCGCTTCCAATTTGATAAAAATGAGCCGGGCAAATATTGAAATCAAGGAAGAGTACATAGAAGGGGATCTTCATATCTTGCGAGAATTATGTTTTCTCGTCTTTTGTGAAAATGGGTAGATATTTGTCTGTCTTTCATCACCTTCAAATCGAAAGAAAAGCGACGCACTGGGTATCATTATGTATCAGCAGGAGATCGTGGTGACAGGCTAATTACCCGCAAGGCTGAGAGATATCCTAATGTAGCGCAGAGCACAAAATAGCGCCATCTATTTATATCTCCCTCAAATAGAAGCTGAAAACCTGATAACCTCATATCATCGCCGAGATAAATAAAAATGCCTTCCCTCGAGGTACCTTCACCTGAGTTGGACGACTATGGACCGCCAGTGGCAAAAGTTGCCAAATACAGTTTCCCACATGAGGTAAGCCCGGGTCAGTTGAATCATCGATGGCTCGTGTGAGAAAGAACATTGAAAAAGAATTTCGGCCGGGTTGGTTGAAGTTTTCTCCTTTTTTCAACCAGATTGTGAGAATGAGTGAGTGCGCGTTGGAATGTAGGTAGGTGATAAGCCCCCTCCCTCGACCCTCTCGGAGGTTGGCGCCAGCGCGTCGGCGAAAAAAACCTGGAGGCACGAAAGTTCTGGTCCCACACGTAGCCTATCTTGCCCGCAAGCGCGAGATAGAGATAATTGAGTAGAGATACGAGCGTCATCATGAGAGACGAGTCCGAGATAAAACAGGTATCGCCCCTTATTCCCTGAGCGTGTTTGTCAATGGGATAACATCGCGAGCGCAAGTTGGGCACACAGAGGCACGCTCGCGCGAATTCGCGATGGCGCACTTGCTCACATTAAATCACTTCCAATCAGAGTTCCAATCGCTACTTCTAGGAGAGAACATCGGCGGAAACGTCCTTTACTGCATACGAGACTCTTATCCCACCCACTGAGGAGCCTTCCCGACAACAACCGCCGCAAACCGTCGCTCCGCCTGATCTCGAACTCATCCCCAGTCACAGCAATCACGCAGAACTCGACTTATCAGCTGCCACCAAGATCGAACAAATAGGTACGTTGAAACTAACGATTTTTCCCGTCACCCTCTCTTACGCACTCCAGTAAGAAGCTAAATAACAAAAGGACGAGGATCCCTTATCATTTTGATTAGCGCATCTGGCCATCAAACAAGCACCGTGGGCTAACAGTAACCGTTTTTTCTATCGCTAAAATCGTGAAAATCAAAAATTATATTAGAGATTTATTCTCTTTCAGAGAACTTCGCTGTGGACAAAATGTTCCCGAACGGACATCATCAACACAATCTCTACAACTCATTTTCGCACTATGCGTTTCCCCATCAGTGGAACCCCCAGTTTCCTACTTCCCAGGTAAGACCAGAGCAAATAAATACAGTTCTTTTGGTGGAAAAGTAAATTTTTGTTTTAACCAATTTTCAGGACAATGTCTTCACTTCTCAGTCTTACTCCTTCCCAGCTGCTTATCCACAGGATATCGGAGCACTGTCAGGTAAGAGTTTTATAAGAGCATCTGCGGTAAAACCAAAACTTTCTTTGATACTGCCGCTTTTCTGGTACCGAGCGGATTTACAAGTCCCGCCAGTCAGTCCGCGCGGATCATCTTTAGAGCGACAGTATCGCGAACTGACATTTAAAAGTGGTTTCCGGCTCATGTAGTGAAGGAATAATGAAAATTTGCACTATGAAAAATTTCATATTTTACAAGCTGGTGACTAAATATGCTCACTTTTCTGTATAAAATTGCTTGTTTCATTGAAATCATGGAGGAAAAACAAAGCTTTCATGTTTTCTCAAAGACGGAATTTGCTTTTCGAGGAAGCATTTACACAAAAACTCATTGTTGTTTCAATGCTAATGTGACTGCATGTGTCAAGGTGCCCAAACTTGCCCCTGACATTTTTTTCGAATTTGGGCACACGCGCTCACACACATTTGATTTGTTTATAAATACGCCTGTTTGAGTCCCTATTTTTGGGCACATGCGCCCGTGGGGTAAAAAGTTTTTGCATTTTGAGCTTGCTCAAGGTCACTCATCAATTGGCGACGCATAGTAAACAGCCTTTGATTGACATTTTTGATAAATATTGACAGTAAAGACTCCGACGTTTTGGTGGGGCCTGGGGAGACTTTTTTGAAATCGAAAAATTTCCGGAAGTGGCGCCCAGGTACAGGAAGCTTTCATGGAACTGCGCAAATAAGCCCGCTACTTTTAACTTATAAATACAGTTATGAGGCGCCAACTAGTAGTAGCTTACGGTATTCATGATGACTCTCATGTGAAAATGCGTCCCGGATCACTTAGACATGATTTTAATTGTCTGTCTGTGTTTCATTTGATGATCTTGCGGTGTGAGAGCTCCCAGAAATGTAGATTCGGATATCGAGTTCTAGTGGCCATGCTCGCGATAAGGGGTTAAAAACCACGCGTTTCCGGATGTCGTAAACGGACGACCGCGGAGGGTGCACGGTCGCAACTGGCGACGAGTGCACCAACATGCGCTGAATTATAGTGCCAAATTTAGCGACGCCGGAAGTGTTCGTAAAATTCGCGCTCTCCGACGGGCCAAGAGCTCCTGCCAAGGGATTTATCGCTTATCAAACTTACCATTTGCGCTACAGTTTCGATTTTATCATTACGACCATTCTAACACCTTAGTGGGACAGGCCGATAAATCAAATTAAAATTATGTAAAGCGGAATTCTCATGCGGTTTTTCGATGTTACAATTTTCGCGATTCGTAACCTCGGATTGTTAAATTTTGTATTTTTCAAATCTCTTTTCCAAAAACGTCGAATCTGTCACTCTCGGCTTTGATAAGAGTTTTTTGATTGATGGGTCTGTATTCGCGTGCCCAACTCGCGTGCCTACCCCTTATCGCTCGATTGGGCACACACAAGTTAATCCGCTCCGTCCGGAGCTCAGTGCTACTCAATGCTGATCTCTTGTTCCCTTATCACCTATCTAAGTAAAGTGAGGAAAGCTGCCGTTATCGGCGGCCCTAATGTTAGATATCGGAACTTGGTATCGCCCCTGATTATCCTGAGCTACAGGCCTCGCCACGCCCGGGATAGAAATGTCACCAAGCGTAAAATAAATTTTATACACTCGTTAATAAATGGAAAATGGACGCAAATGCCTTTTTCGTATCTTCTGGAATTTTTAAATTCCTACGTTTTTGAATAAAGCTAAATATATTTTCAGCTCAAGGACGATCTGGAGACAAGGAGGAATGCCCCGCGTGCGGAAATTCATTTGTCCGCGAGACTGGCAAGCCTGATCCGAAGACTGGAAATATGCTGTGCCCAGCATGTTCGCCACGCACCTGGGAAGCAAGCTCAGTCGGTTCAACGGGCCACCCATCGCTGCTGACTAACTCGCGGAACAAGCGCGAGAAGCAAAACAAGAAGTGCCCGAATTGCCAAACGACGACAACGAGCCTTTGGAGAAAGTTCAAGACTGCCGAGGAGGTCAAAAAGACCATCCAAAAGAAGAAGCCTTCCGTTTCCATCGACAGAAGCCGACCAGAGATCGAGGGACAGCTCGGATGCAACGCTTGCACACTTTACTGGTCGCTCCACGGGGTAAGTAAACTTTCTTTACAGTAACGTAACAGTTACCCCGCCATTTGTCTCCGTTCTGACAAGGCCCGTCAGTTACTCCCAGGTTTACTCTTTGCTAAATATTTTTAAACAAGCATCGATAGAAGTTCTTTGAGTTTGCGACCTTTGACTTTTGAATGATGAGTGGTCGCCATCGAGTGTCGACTAGGGCCGGAAAATTAGCAAAAGTGTTTGAGTTGTCTGGGCAAACATGTCACCGTATCGGTACTGAGGCTTCCGCCATCACCAATTCAGTCCAGTTACGTCCAAAGATTTGATTCCGCGCACTCTGATTCCGATTTATACATCAATCGAAAAGTTAAAACTCCCTTTTAGCGCCACCGACCGCTAGAACTCGCCCGACCAGATGCTCCCCTTACTCAGCGAAAACGAAAGCGCACAAAGAAGCCAGAAGACGCCCCAAAATACCCACTCAACTCGTAAGTCCTAGAAAAATTTGTGCTCTGCTAAAAATAATGATAGATTTAGCTTCGGCAATCACTGGGGCAGCAATTACTTCTGGCCGAATGCTGGAGGAATGAATTACCCAGCGATTCCTCACGGTAGTCTTTTTGGACCACAAGCGGCAGCCATCAACCAGATGTACTCGACTCCGATCCCTAATGATTATGTAAGTACCAAGAGTTTTGATTAGTTGACGATTTCGATATCAATAAGACGCGTCGAAATCCAAAGTAATTCATTTTTCGCTGACTGAAATTTTAGATGAAGCACGGAACTCTGGACAGCTTCAACTCAATCTCCGGTTCTTCCCCTGGATCATCCGGCTCATCTCCACTTGGCGGCGGAGCTATGGCCGCCGCGCTTCCACCAGCTGCCATTCCAGACCAAACGACCGGCATTCCCGATGTGAAACCGCCACTTTGTATATAAACCGCCTTAATTTTATTCTCCAATATCTCCAATAGCCTGGCGTCGAATTCCTTTTTATACTGTACATAATATATCAAAAACATATAGTTCAATCTCCGTTTGATGGTTTCTATTATCAGTGACGCGGGCAGATAAAAGAGCGTTTTAGGAATTTTTAATTTGCGGCATTTATTAAATTATCTCGGGTATCGGACAATACGTATCTCGTCGGTTCGATTACCCTTGGTATCCGAAAGGCTGGCAAATGCATAGAAAGTTTCGTTACGGGGCAGGCAGGAGAATCCCTCCCGAAAGAGTCCTCCATTGAGTGAAATGAGCAGCTTACGATTTGTGAGATCAAGTTTGAGCGTGACGATGTCGCCTATCGTGAATGTATCCAGTTTAGTCGATTTTCCCTTGTGGTAGCACATTCCATTGTGGGCTGAAAATGCTTATTTTTCTTCTTTTTTCAGAGAGTACCTGTATAAACCCAAATAGAATTGCAGTTATAAATGCCTCTCGTTTGAACATCCGAGTCAAAAGGCAGAGTGCAGATTCCAAGTGAAAGCGTAGGAATCTTCGGATAACTAGAATCGATAAACTCAGTGTGCCAAAACTGTATGTTCTTCGTGTGGCCAAGCTTTGAAACTGCATATTTCCATCCTTTTTGGTCTTCTTGCCAGATGTGACCTGGGTCGTTCGGGTCGAAGTTTAAAAGTTCCCTCGAGGAGTTTGCGGGATCCCATTGATCTGAAAATCAGTTCGAAATATTTTTGAAGCGGCTTACGCATTGTAGGCCTATCCATTCTTTTCAATGCCGAAAAGCGATTAAAGATGTCGTTTCGTATTGCTGACTTGTCGACTTCTTCTTTTCTGTGGCGCAGCGTCCTCGCTTATCGGAAAAATTAACGGTGATGATGTTTAACAATTAATTACCAATGATTCCCATGATATTGTCCTTCTCGCTCATGTAAACACCGTCAGAGACTGATAGAGAGTAATTAATTATGTTGAAATAATCACGGTTAATTGATTATTTGCAATTAATGAACCTGCTTTTTAGGTCTTCGATGTTGTTCAGCAGCTCTGAAAGCTAGATAAGACGGAGCAAGAAGTTTTTCTTACGGTTTACTTCGGATGCCATTTCTATTATTTCGAAGTCAAGTGTCAGCCGTAATACAAGCTCTCGGACTCGCTTATTGCGTATATGACTGACTGGTTTTAGAATAATGTTTTCAAAACCGATGGTTGGTTGCTTCTAAAACGTTCATGATTGCCAAAGCGGAATAAACTGCTGATCTTCTATCGAGCTTCGGCTTTTATAAATTCAAAAACACTTTCTCTAATTGTAGATTTAGGCCGAAATTTTGAACCCTTCCTGAACTTCGCACAAATGAGCCAATGCTTTATCCAAAAGATCCTTTCGTCCGATATAGCAGGCGAACTCTAACATTTGAACCCAATCGTTCAGACACTTCACTATAACAGTATTAGATTGATATTCTATGTCAGGTTTGAATTTCATCAAATTGAATCAATTAACTTTATCACAAGATGGAAAATGCGATCAGAAAATAATGTATCGCAAGAACAATTACTCTCTTTACTTACATTTAATATCGATCTCGTGGAGGTAATCGGCGTAAGCCTTGACAATTTCGTACGAGAAGTTCTTGAATATAACATGACTTCAAAAGGATCCACAAAGGTAATCATATTTTATCGGAAAAGAAAAGGGGATCTGAAACGTAATCTTCTTCCAGATTCAACCCACTTTCTGGTGTATTGACAGAATAACGGCGGGTAGTAAGGACCAAGGCCAATTTTTCTCGTCTCATCTAGTCATTTGTTTCCAAGAGAAAATGATCAAGAAGCTGTACCTGCTGAAACAAAGTAAATACTGTTCAACTTTCCACTCAAGTAATCTTCTTTAATCTCCTCCGGTAATCTCCAGGAAAAGTTTAAGAGACTCTCCATTCTTCTACTGTGAACCTCTTTCCAAGATTAAATTCCAAGACAGGAATTATTTTGAATTTGAACTCGTTTTTAGCGACGTAGGACCATAAACAAGGTCTATCTCAACACCTGCAGCAAGGTGCTAACACTAATCTTGAATTCTAGCTTGAAGTTTATTTTTTCACAGGTTACCTGTCCTTAAAGTTATTCTTATACTCAGAAGAACATGACGTCAGAGCGGACCGGTTGGGATGATTGCCTAGGGAATTTGTGACGTTTTAATAATGTGACGTAAAATTCTGACGTTTCGTACATCTGACGTCACGAATGCATCTGCTGATGGTCCTAGTCATAGTTTCTCATGGTGGTGGAGCGTTAGAACTGGTGGTGTCAGCGAGGCGAACGTGCCCGCTGGCATAGGGCTCTCTTGCTATTTAACCAGCTCCAGCTCTCCTCCAGCACATCAATCCCTAGTTAGAAAACTAAACGAGGATTCAAATCAAATACAAAAAATGAAAACTTTTGCTGCTTTTGTTGCAACGGCGACTGCAAGATGGGACTTCGAGAGCTACATCGTCAGACCTACAATTAAGGAGCCAGACTTCGACCTCGAGACGCAGCCAATGGAGGAGCTTGACTGCACCAACTACTTGAAGAAAAACTTGTGCACGGAACTCTACTGGGACCCAATCTGTGGTACTGACGGCAAGTACAGAGCGAACCCCTGCATCTTCAAATCGGAATACTGCTACGGAAACAAAGACCTCGAGTTTCTCCGACGGGGCACGGACTGTTCCGTCAACGAAATGCTCCTAGACGTCGGCGAAGAGGAAGAAGAGGAAGAAATCGAGGAGCCAGAAGAGCCAGAGTGCCGCATTTACTGTCCTCGTATTTACGATCCCGTCTGCGGCGACAATGGCGTTCTCTATGACAATGAGTGTCAGATGAGACTCCAGAATTGCCTAAACGGCAGTGATGTACGCGAGCAAGTCGGCGCCAATAGAATGCTTGATCAAGTCTGCCACGGCGGTGTCACTTATGGCAATCGAGACATGTTTGTCCTGGCCAAATGCGACGCTCAACGAGAGGGAGACAAGAACGCACGCGATTGGGAAGCTACTGATGGTGCGTGTGCGTTTACCCGTGCTCAACGTTGCGAAAAAGCCTGTCCTGCTATCTTCGACCCGGTCTGCGGCTCCGACGGAAACAGATACAGTAACGAGTGCGCTATGGAAGTCACTGCTTGCTTCCAAGATGAGAAGATCACTCGTCTAAATCCACCACATCGAATGTACGCTCCTGTCTGTGCTAGCAACGGCGAAGAGTACGCAAACGATATCGTTTTCCTCTGGGCCAAGTGCGAGGCTCAAGACAATAGCGCCGATACATATGATCAATCTGCTCAAACTTGGAGAATCGTCTCACAAGGTCCATGTGAAGCCGAAGAGGAAGAGGAAGAAGAAGAAGAAGACAATGGCATGCAAATGGATGTTGGAATCCCTAAATTGTGCCCTAGCTGTGGAACTTTCAGAAGTGAAGTCTGCGGCTCAGATGGAGTAACCTACACCAACTCATGCTTGATGGACAAAGCTGCATGCGAGCAAAACATCCCTATCGAAGTTGTCCACCCTGGCGGATGCTGCCCGAAATTCCAAACTCGTGACATGAGAATCGTCTGCGGTAGTGATGGCATAGAATACACCAATCTCAGCTTCCTCCAAAGTGCATCTTGTGCAAATGACTTTTCTATTCGATACGTGAAGGACGGTTCCTGTAACAACAACGGAATGTTGATGGATACTGGCCTTGGATTCGGCAATGACTTTGTCGAGGAAGAAGAAGAGGAAAAGCCAAAAAAGAAACAAAAGAAACGACCAAACAGATGGGGACTCCTTAATCGAGGACGAAAGTAAACTGACCTATAATAATTCATTCTGTACCTATTGCTTTAACTGAAACTCTAGTAGCGAAATCGAATACTTGTATCACTGCATTAAATCTTGAATAAAATATTCTTCTATCAATTTTGTATGTTTATTCGTTGAGTAGGATGATATCATCACCGACAAAAATTTTTCCTTGTTTGATAATAACGACGTTGACTCCAACTAGAGGAGAATCAATGCCGTAGTTTGCATCTTTTCCCTTTGACATGCGAAATTTTCGAAGTGATTTGAGGGGCTCCAACTCTTTGTCTCTGCAAAGTATAGTAAAGAAGGGCATTCCTGAAAGGCTATCAGTTAAAATTTACCTCTGCGCAGTTTCAGGATCGATCGTTGTAAAGATGCACCTAGGACACGGGCTAGAAACTGCCAGTATTGCTTCTCCGATCTGTAGCTTTCCACACCATTCATCTTCATCCCATGGTTTTCCGTTCTCTGTCGAGATGATGATGTTTGGTCTAAAGGTCTTCATGGTATAGGACTTGTGCTGAATCCTTGAATTGATATCCACCAAGCTCTGCGTACTAAGCATAAGAATCGGTGCTCCATCAGCAAAAGCTGTCTCATGGTCTTCCTCTGGAACTCCTTCTAAGCGCCACGTGCGCGCCCAATCCTTTTCATTGTCTCGGAGAAAACGCCCGTTTGCATTGATGCTAAGCTTGACTTCCAGGCCCAAGTACTCAGTAAACCACTTGGCAGCTTCTTCAGATCCCTCTTGGCAATCTATCCACGTTCCAAATAGTTCAAGTTTCGTGTCATTTCCCGAGCTCTTCACTGGAACGTGCAACTCGTGTTCCATTCCGGGTCCAGTGACAACGAGTTGATCCCCTTCTCTTCGGCAGGATACCAGGACGAGTTTCGGGCATTCACGACCGCTAACTTTTCAAATTTAGATAGAAAGTTTCATAATTTTTCTTTTACTTTTCGTGTTATCATCCGCTCTTCTTATGGCGAAAGTTCTATCCACAAGTCCGTCATTTTCTCCTTGAAGTCCAGTTTTCGCAGCAATAGCGCTAGGAAAATATTAAACAAAGCAAAGTAGTCATAGCACAAACAATTGAATAATCGTTTTGTAAAAGCATTTTCTAGTTCTAGTTTTCTCCTTGTTTTTGCTAGTTTGATAAAATCAAAAGATGAATCTTTCGTGGGAGCAAGAGGAACTATCGAACATCCCGTTCGCTGTGTTCAGGGAGCAGATGCGGCGATCAACACGATTCGATTTACTAAAGACCAGCGCCAGTTTCTTGCAGCATCTGATGATACTAACACGACCCTGTGGGAAGTAGAGACTGGACAGGCCTTGTCGACGTTTGGGCACAACGCGGCAGCGTTGAAATCAGTCGAAAATAATGAAGATGTCATTTTATGTACGAGATTTCTCAATTATTTCTAGAGAAATATTAACTGGTGAATATCATAAACCTTAGTGAATGAACGCGTGTTTAATTAATTTAAGTATTCCATTGAATAAGATCTCAATTAATATCTTTTGACACGTTTTGTATTAAATTTTATTTTTGAATGTCCTTTTTGAGGGCTTATATCCAAAGAATACACCAAGAAAACCATATTTGTAGAACCGAATCTCTTTCAAAATATTTTAACAAGGTATAATATGCAATTATTGAGCAACATTAATTTTAAACATGTTATGTTATTATATAATCTTTGATGGGTCCGACAGGGCTCTTTTAACGCGGAACAGGAATTGAAAATTGAAATCTCCAAAAGCCGTATCTTTGGACAAAACTCTGCATCTTTTTGACAAACACTCTGGCGAGGAAATTTTAGATATCGACCACGAGGGTCTGTTGACAAGCTGTGACTATTCTAACAACTCCAGATACTACGCAGTAACGCAGGACATCAAGAATGAAGCGATCATTTACGATGCTAGGACAGATAACAAATTTGATACGATTCAACTTGACTCCACACCTACTTGTCTAGAGTTCAGCCCAAACTCACAAAGAATTGCCATTGGTACTCTACAGGTAAAATAAATTTGAGAACTCCAAAACAGTCTTATTTAGGGCGAAGTCATGATTTGGGACGTCAAAGCTCGAAAATTCACCCTCAAGTTTCACGAGCATTCGAACGCCGTTTCCTCAATCTGCTTTGATAAAGACGAACGAATGCTTGTCTCTGGAAGCTGGGACAAGTCGATAAGGATGATGGATGTTTCCACTGGTAATTATAGAAGAAAAGGGACACTTCGCGAGCAATTCGCCATTGCTCATCATGGAAGTGTGGCTTCTGTGCGCATTTACAGGTAATAAAATTTTTGATAAATAAATAAGTATAAAAAAACAGCCGTGGACAGCACATGGTTTCTGGTGGCTACGACAAACGAGTTATGCTTTGGAATCTTGATCACGAAATGGCGCAAATTCCCCTTCAGGGGCATCAAGACTGGGTCAATACTGTGGAAGGAAATATTGAAGGTACTCGAGTAATATCTGGCTGCAAAGACGGAACGATAAGATATTGGAACATTGAAGACATCGATAAGATTCCCTTAGTTCAGGTAACGCAAATAAAACTTGTACTCAACAATTTCATTGATAGAACAACAAAAAAGACGCAGGAGTACGTACTGAGCTTTGCATCGAGTGCGCCCGCCCCTTCCCGGTTTCTACGACAAACGAAAATCTCTTCACTGGAAAGTGCGTTTTCTGTCGTATCGCTGAGCGAAAGCAAGCGGAACGTCGGATGACCTACAATCCTAAAGTCATCAGGACGAAAGTGGACACCAAAAGTGGCGACGCAGCTCGTCGCAGAACCTCTTTCAAGCCTGGAATGTACGGTCAGGATAATCAGGACAACGACGTGGAAATAATCCCAGAAGAAGCAGACGAGCTTCCAGCACGAAGACGAACATCTTTTAGACCCTCTTTTCAATAATACTATCTGCCCATATATTTCTATTTTTTAAATAAACTCTATTTTTTGAAAAAATTCTTTTCTACTTACGTTTCATGATAATTTCCCTTTGCCGATTTGAGTGGGTAAACAACGAGTTCTACCACCTTCCCAACTTTCCTAGGTCCTCTATTTTTTCGCTTGAAAAATGCATAGATGAAAATCCCCAGCGCACCTCCGAGCAAAAGAGTACTTTTTCTAACTTGCGAGTTCATTTTTGCGATCTTTTTCTTGCCTCTGAAAAATATTGCGGTCAATTGTTTACCGACGCCTACTATGATTGCTTTTCAGAAGGAATTTAGCTAGAACGGCCTTTGAACGAATTTAACGTGTTTAGAGAATCTTCTACTTAGCGGCTAGTTAATTGAGAGTGTTGATAAATATTTGGCAAAAGGTCTTCGTGGCTAATTTGTATAAATAACACGCGCTCTAGTTGGAGACAATTTCAAAAGTCTAACTATGAATCTGTCTTATGAAGTAAATTTCTTGAACTTGTATTTTCAATAAATAGATTTCGAATAGTCACGCAGACATGGGAACATAAACTGGATGAGATTAGGCTTCTGGATCCCAGCTTTCAATCTTCTTTCGGGTGGTGGTGGCGGGAACATATCGGTCGACGGTACCGGTTTGGTTTCGTTCGTAAGCGGTGATGAATTTTCTAAAGAAAGATTAGTCCGAGCCGTTGGATATAAGAGAATTACCGAGGAGTTGGAGGAACACCGTAGGCAGTTGGTGGATCATCGGTCATATAAGCGAGCCATCTAAAGAATTGATCACTCTTTTTCTAAGGAAAAGGCGGACTGACCTGTGCCATTCAGATGGAACATCAGATGCATCAAAGTCCCATCGCTTCTCCCAAGTATCCTCAGCAAAGACAACCCATCGCTGTCGAGGAATAGGGTAGTCGTTGTTCATGTAATAAGTATTTCCTAAAATAAACTCTGAAGAACCCGGAAGAGTGGCTAAAAGTTACCTCGAGAGTCAGTTCCGACGAGATCACCGGTCCTGATGTACGAGTCTCTGGTGAGTCGAGTCAGGGGACCCTGGATGCTTGCTGGGAGCCAGGTGTTGTGCTTGGCCTTGGCCTGCTTGAAACCCTCGATATGCCTCTTGATGGGCTTCATGTGCTCCTTCCAGATTCCCCGGAGAGCGCGAGAAGTATTCATGCTCTGAAGATTAAACTTGAAAAGCGAGTTTGGAACTATTGCATTTGTATATTTCTTCTTTCTATAAACTGTGTTTTTACTTGTCACAGGCGGTAATAATTTTTGAATAACGATAAATCTTCTTGATATTTTATCGCATTATGTTTCCAAAGAGTTGTAGCAGTTAAATTTTTCTATCTATATATAATATATTTTTGGCGGTGCTTGCTTTGAGGTCCTAAGGTACAGACACATAGTTTTTGTTTTTTTTCGGTGTATTTTTCTATTTCTGTGAATTTTCTACTTTTTTTCGTTGTTTCTGAAAGTGGAAATGCTTTTTTTATTTCGACTCTTCAGCAGCAACATCGAGCTTTTGAACTTTCTCGGTGACTTTTTGAACTTCATCGGAGTTCGCTGGGGTTCCCTCTTTTTTGGTTTCATCCTGTGCTGGTTTGTCCTTGTTGTTATCCGTTTTGTTTTTGTTACGATTTCGATTGCGACGAGGTCGGTTGTTTTTTGGTTTTGTTGCCGCAGCGCTGCCATCTTCATTGATCTAATAATGGTTAGCAGATGATGATACAGGAAGGGCTTACTGTTGGATTTTCAGTGTTATCTCCTGCAGGTCCGTCTGGCTTGACTTCAGACGCTCTTGACTCAGCTCTGGATCCACCTCGACCACCTCCGCGACCACGACCTCTTCCACGTCCGCCGCCGCGTCCACCACGGCCTTGATTTCCTTGATTTCTCTGCGGGCGAACAGACTCGTGGGCTTCTCCCTCTACTCCTTTCAAATCTGAAGATGGTTAGCACATCATCGTAAGGCGTTAGTTACTTGATAAGTCTTCACAGTAGATTTGCTGTCCGGTGGTAGGAGAGACGTGAATCGCGTGGGTAAAATATTTTGGTGAAATTACGGAGTGCTTGTTTCCGTGAGTGCTGAGGACGCCGTCTTCATCGCGGTAGAATTTGATCTTGTCCTTGATAGCGCGCTGGAGATCGATGTAGACGAGGACTTCGCAGTTGGATCGAATGCCGGGGATCACACCACCTTTATTTATTGAATAAGCGGCTCTAGAAGACTAGTTCTCACCTCTGCCAATCATTCCGGAGCAGAAGTGAATAGGATTACGGCCGAGACGGGAAATTCCTTTCTTCTTCATATCCTCCCATGCCTTCCACCAGGTGCCATGGACACAGACGGGGTACTCGGCAGCCATTTTGAGCGAGACCTCGACTCCAGCCGGGTTGTTTGTCGCTCGGGCACGCATCTTCCACAGTTTACTTAAACCAGTAAAATGGAACAACGGACATGCGGAATTACCCGTCGTGTACGAGCTCGAACATTTTAACGCCCTTCTTGTCCTCCAGCTCGCCAACTCTAAGAAGAATTAAATTTATAGCAATTTAAGCGTAGCTTACCGCTTGAGGTCGTCTTCTCCGACTTTGAGCGTGTCCTTGAAGTGATGGTGCTTCAGGATGTCGTCAAGATAGAGGAATCCAGACTCGTCAGGTTGAAAGCCCATCATTCCGTGGCGCAGGATGCCTGCAAGCGCTCGGGTAAGCTGATGATCTTTTTGCGACCAGGACTCTGTTCGTTTTCTGATATTCTAAGCATTGGTCATTGATTTGGAAAGAAAAAGGGATAATCACCGGTTTTGAGTAATTTTTCTTGATGTTCTCGACGCGGTGGTTTTTGGCGCCAACTGTCTGAAACTTGTCTTGTGCCTCGTCGACTTCTTGAGGCGATTGTTGCTCCGCAGCATCTTGCGCTGGGACGGGCTTCGGTTCTTGTGGTTTCGTTTCGGTCATGATTACCGAATGAGCCGACTTTCAATCTGTAACAAAACAAATGATTCAATATAGTTTTTTTCAAAAGTAGGGCTTTTTATTGAATAGCTTTTTGTAAGGGGCAGTGTACGAAAAACTAAATGGAAGGCGGTGAAAATAAATATGAACAGAGAATTTGGAATTGAAAGAAGTTTAAAAGATCATGCGTTTTTGGGCGATTTCGACCAGAATTGCTTTTCGCATAGTCTGCATGTCTTCGGCTTTGAAGTTGAACTTGGTGAAGCCTCGGGAAAGATAGTCTCCGAACTTGCAGGTGAAGACTCCGCAATCACTGCCATTGTCTTGCTGTGGCACTTCGTGAGACCAGGACTCTGTGATCCAGTCATCGGACAGTTCCGAGCCCTTTTTGACTAAAAAAATATGAGAGGACAATAACTTACTGAAAGGTACCTTCATGCTCAACTCTAAGATACTCGAGAATGAGCTCTCTGCATTCTTCGTTCGATGCACCCATGGAGTCCAAATAAATCACCTTCTTCTCCTTCATGAGAGCCGCTGCGATCGTCCAATGAACACCGAGATGAATCGGAAAGAGCAGTCTGTCCATAGCGAAGATGTCGACTTTCTTCGTCCAGCGTTTGACGCCCTTGTGCCCGTTTTGTTTCACTTTGGGGTAGAAGAATGTCTTGAAGCAAAAGACTCGCGGAAGTTCGCTGTCGGCCTCTGCGCGTTGCATCATCAGGTTGAAGTAACAATTGATGACCAAGTCGTTCAACCATTGCGTGCCTAAAGATACGTCGTTTGACCTTTGCCCCTAACGGATCTAACTCACCTCTGAGCGTCGCGAGATCACTCTTCTTGCATTCCTCGCCAGCGATTTCAGATATGATTTTATCGCGTCCTCGCGACCAAACGGACTCGACGATCGCGAGGTGCTCCTCACTCAGCTCTGGAATGGGCGGCAAAGACTCGTTTATGTGCAAGTACTTCGCAAGAATCGCTTCTAAAGAAGCTTCATTCTTTTTCTCGCGCGATTTTCTCATTTCCTCCTAAAATTTACTCAATAACTTATTGACAATAAGCCTTGATTTTTAAACGGCATTTTTACCCTCTTGCGACGGATATTTTCCAATTCCTTCTCTAGCTTAGCCACTTCTTCGCCGATTTCTCGGTCCTGGATCTCGTAGAACAATTGCTCTTGAGTCAGGAATGGTCCCTCTTGAGAGCTGGGCGTATCCTTTAATTCTGGAGGAGCTCTGTTTTCCTTCTCTTCCAGAATTTTCAATCTCGTTGCAACTCGTTGCGCTGGAGTTGGCTGAACAATCAGTTTATATCTCTTCAAGGAAAGACTTGAGATCACTCGTGAGATTATCACGTGTCTCCTGAAAATCACAAGCTCTTACCGTCATGACTTTTTGAAGGAAGGAAGATCTTCCTCCGTCAAGTCCACAAACGTCAAGCTCAGCGCTGAGTGCGTCTCTTTCAAGTTTCTCGAGTGCATTTCAATCAGCTCCTTGTAATCGTCCTTCGTCAGGGCTTTCTTTCTACTCATAATCGGCGTCGTCGGACGGGAAGATCGCTTTGTCACGAGACCTTTCCTAGACGCCGATGGACTGCCCGTTGTTCGCCACGAGACATCCTCTAGTAATCGATCAAAATAACTCCTAGTGTGAATGTTTTACCTCTCGATCCAAAATTCTTCTTCTTTTTCATTCTGATCCCCGGCGAAGGACAATACGAGGAAACTGCGGAGGAAATCTTCGAGAGAAGATTCGCTCCGGTGAGCTGATCGGCGATTTTACTTGATTTCGGCTTTGGAAGGTCGGAATCGTCGACCCTAAAGAATAACTTTAAGTTATAATATGTTAAACAGCAGTGGTTGTCCAGTTACATACGATTCCTGACTCGGTAACACTCTTTTTGGCGAGGATGATTGCCTTGGCGGACTGCCGAAAGCGCCTCCCTGCTGCTCTTTTCTCAAAAAACTCAACATTATTCTCAACAATTCCAAATCAAGACTGTTTTCTCGATCCCAATCTGAAACGGTCGCGTTAAGTTTTTAAGATGGCGCTACTTCAGGGTGTCGCTTTTTTCGTTTCAACGGAAATCTCTTGTTTTTCAGTAATTTTTGAGATCGCGCTTTCGCCTGTGCATTTCGTAATTGACATCGCCGTAGAAAACGTCTCTGTTGTGGATTTTATCGCCATAATCGTACTGGTTTGTCAGTGGATTGTGACGCAATTGACGGCCATCTTTGTTTCTTTCTCCTGTTGCGTGTTCGATGTAGTCAGGATTATCGACTAGCGTAGGGATGAATGGTGATCAAATAAAATTTCTTTACCTTTAAAAGTTTCATACTGCATATCGACATTTTTACTAGGCAAGAAGCTCCTCAAAAACTCAGCACAACGGGTACTATGCTGCTCCAAAAACTCGGCTGGATAATGTTTCGAGATCTGTCCATAGATAAACTGGCAGATAATACATTTCGCGGAACCGTCGTGAAAATCGTCCGCCGGGTTTAACGGAATTTCGCCTTTTAAAAAATCCATTCCGACGAAGGGCAAATATCTGAGCGCCGTTTGGAGAGTCGGGATTTCGCCACGGAGCTGTGCTCTCGTTGCATGCATGTAGAATTCTATCAGCCAGTCTTTTCTTATTCCGTATTCGGCGTATTGATCTTGAGGGTTTTCTGGGACTTCTGCGATTAGTCTTTCGATGTATTCTTGCTTTGCTTTGTAGCCTTCCGTTCCTGAGAAAGGATTAATTTTCTATGTAATTTTCGCCCAAAGCCGCAAGCAGCTTCTTGATTTCTACAAAGATCATCGGATTCTCGATATATTTTCTACAAACCTGGAAGTTCCACTAGCCGTTCATTTTCTTCGTAAAGATATTCGGAACAAAGCCAGGCAAGCCATTTTCTGATCCCCGGTCCAGTCCGTATATTACTGTACAAATGATGATCAACTTCGCCAAGTTTTGGAAAGGATTGTCAGCGAGAGATTTGACAAGGAAGATTCTATTTTTCACTGTTCTTTCAAACCGGTCAAATTGATTGTTTGCCTCTTCGTATTGGCCGGAGACGAAGGCTTCGCCCGGAGCGCGTTTGGGCACGCCCTGGGCCATGAATTTCTCATCGTTTGCTTTGTACGCTTCTTTTTCAACGCCGAAGATGCTTTCGTCGTAGTCTTTTCTCGTCAAGGAGTCGGATAAAATCGTATAGGCTTCTTGAGCAGCCACGAATTTGGCTTCGTCTCCGTTTGGTCTGTCAGGGTGATATTTTCGAGCAAGAGCCTAAAACCTGGAAATGATCAAAATGCAAGTGAAGTTGAAAAGCAGTACCTTGTGCGCTTTCTTGAGCTCTTCTTGCGTCGCGTGGCGATCTACTCCAAGTGTTTTGTAATGATTCGAACGAACAGGAACTAGAATTTGAGGTATTCTCCGATAACGAATTCGTAACATAATTTTAATCTAAAAATATGAAAATAAATCTAAAGTATTTTCTGATTTAAAATTTTTCAATTTTCTCGATAAAATTAAATTCAAAAAATAAAAGGCTTCATGAGAAAATCTTCTATGGCAAGATCTCTAATCAAATTTCCAGAAGATTTCTTTCTGCATCATTTCAATCTTAAATGAGTCACACTTTTATGACGTCAGCGCGTACGTGACTAATGGCGACGTGCCCATTTTTTTCGAGTCGAAATCGAGCGAAACGAGGATTTACCGAGAGCGAATCGAAGCTAATCGCCGGGGAGATACAGAACCGGCTTTTTGCTTTCAGTAAAATAAGAAAATATACTCTGATTTACAGTAACTTACTGTCAAAGACGAATAAGAATATTAGAGAGATCGATAGAAAATTTGAGTGAAAATTAAATTGATGATTGAAATTTATTTTTTGGGACGCGTTTCGGTCTCAGTGGACCTTCGTCAGCCCTAAGTACAGATTTTAAATGAAAGTTCAAAAACAGGAAAAACAGTCTCTCACCTAGAGTGGACAATTTCGAATGAAGGCAGAGATTGAAAACATAAAAACATAATTCGCTTTCGCGGGCAGATGTAATGGAGCGCCAGAAGAAAGCGAATTACAAATGCTCCATTACAGAAATTTAACTTCAGCGAATTTGATCTGCTTATTCAAGCAAGGATCATTTAACTTGATCGAAAACGCTTCACAAAGGACACGGTCTTTGTAGTACGGTTGGTTGGAAAAAAATAAAATTAAATTAATATCACGGGACCGGAATCATGTGATGTGTCTTCAGAGATATCTATGCCTATTTATCGATATCTAAAATAGTAAAACACCAAGTTTATCCTTTCAGAATCGAAATGCGTCGTGAGTTATGCTGAAATCTCGCTGGTCGGCCATCGCCATGAAGCTGTCCCCGTGGCCAGAAGATCTCGTCAAGAAGCTCGAGAGCAGCATCGATGTCAGGAATCTCTCCGAGGATCAGTGGAGCCAGGAGTTGTTCATCAGAATCAGACGACTCGCCAAGGAGCAACATTTTGAAGGAAAGCGCTTTCATTTATGCTTACTGGCTGCTGGGTCTCGCAACCTGTGTAGAATCCTGACCCTGACTCAGGTTTCTACACAGGTTGTTGAGTTCAGAGTATGACTTTTTATATGATAAATTTGATTTGAAATTCTTTTTTGAAAGCTTTTGTAAAAGTCGGTCTTCAAAAATCAGCCAGTCAAAATGGAAACTGCGAAGATTTGTTCGTCCACGAAGGAAACTACATCTATCTAAAGTTCACTCTTGGCCACGTAAAGCAATGCTTCATAAATTCGATGAATTTCGGGAACTTTGCCGAGGGAAAGTGGCAAGAGTGTCAGGCGACGAGCGAGAGTCTGCAGAAAAGAGAGTGGAACACGATTGAAACGAAAATAAGGCGAGTAGATTTCAAATTAACCGATTCTAAATTCGCTCATTCTAAAGGAGACTAATGGAATTCTTTGGATCAAAGAGTGACAGAACCCCTTCAAAAATAGCCAGCAGAAAGCGGCTTTTACAGGTTCATAATCCCATCTTGCCGTCAGCAGATGAACTTGCTTCTTAGGAATGTGAAAACCGAGTAAATCTACTTGTACCTGGCTGCCATCTCCGTGCGGGCATGAACTTTCTCAGAGTGCCGATTTTGAATTCTTTCGGGTAAGAGAGAATCTAATTATTTCCAATCAAATTGATTCAAGCAACGGGACAGAAGATCTTTTCGGAGAACTCTCGCTGTCCTCCGATTCGGAGCACCAGTATCAACTCTTCTTCTCAAAGCCCATTCTGCTCAGCCCAGCAAGCTTCACACAATTCAATCAGGCAAAAGTCACTGATTTTACTTCTGCAAAATTAGGAAAGGGACGCTCTTCTAAATTGACTTATTGAAGTATGCTTGCCAACTACCTGACATTCATATTATTTTTTCTCCGAGTCAAGCCCAAACTCAAGCAAAATTCAAAGAAAACCTCTTCCTGTCAAAAGTCGTGCTCGCACGATCCCTCACTTTCTCCAAGGTCCAGAACATCACCGCCATTTTATCTCAACTCGCCACTTGGAAACGCGTCCAACTGGTGATCGAAAATCTCAAGAAAATACCGAATAGTGTTTATATCGCCATCAGTTCTAGAGGAATCATTCAGTTCTGGTAACTAGCGTCAAAAAACTAGTCGTATTTACCTTATAAATCCTAGCTCTTGGGGTTGCTCGCTGGAATTGACGCTGTCTAGGAGTTCTAGTGTAAAAGTATCACAGTTTCCGAGTGAATTCATTTCGCAATCTAATCGTCTTCTGATAGAAGTAAGTCGATTTGTATTCGACATGTTTTTCATTGTATCTTGAAGGAATACTCGAACGCCCACGACTTCAACAACATCAACATCGCCCTGTGCGACGATGCACGATGCTTCGACACCCAACGCCGTGCTCAAAAGCTCAATGAAATCAAATTGAAAGCCGCTCGTTTGCACCAGCTCAAAGGGGGATCGGCAAAGGGCTACCGCCCAATTACTCGTGAACCTTTTGATACCTCTAAGACTCCGCAATTGCTGGAGATTCTTAACAGGTAAGGTATGTGTCGGAATCATTATTTTGTATATTATTTGCATGTTTGTTGCAAGATTTGCTTTTTATTCATTTTTTCGGGCTTTTGTCGAATTTATTTTTGTGACCCAAAATTTAAGGTGTCAAATGCTCGAAAAGTGTTGTAAAACTGTCAATAGTTCAAAGTGATAGCTTCAAATTTCAATTGACTAGTTTGACATCCACCGACAAAAGCAGCTCCTTGGACAAAATGGCCATCAAAAGAAAATATTCCTACGAGCAGTCTACGTCCGCCTCGATAAGCAAGCGTAGTTGACATTCTGACAGTAGTTACTGTACATATGGATGACGGTGCTTTTTAGTTTTTTTCTCTCACCTAATTCGTCTTCAATCAATATCTATTATTGCTTCAGTATTTCGGTATTCTCGCCTCCTCCTCAGTTCCATACGTGTTAATCAGTTCTCTCTCTTCAGAAAATAACCTGTTCCCGCATACTGGCCCATTTAGTGCCATCGCACTCGAATGGGCTAGCGCTATTTATATACATTTATTATCTCTAGTGTTAAACTCCTCCAACCAGGGTTCTAAATCTGAGCCCAAAATCAAAAGTCGAGTCGAGTCGAGTCGCTAGTCACTCGAAAAATCCCTAGTCGAGTCGAGTCGAGTCGAAAGACTTTGTGAAACTCCTAAGTCGAGTCGAGTCGAGTCGAGTCGACTTATTCGACTAATTAGTCGAAAAGTCGAAAATTTTGTAAAAAATAAGAAATTAAGTCGGAAAAGTCGAAACGAAGTCGAATAAGTCGAAAAAGTCGAAAGTCGAATAAAAAGTCGAAAAGTCGAGATCAGAAAAATTTATTACTAAATAGTAAGGATATAACGTACCGCCCCCCTAGCTCGCCCCCATTTTGTGAACATTTTTCCCTTACTCGCTTAGTTAAACTCCAACAAGACCCCCCTTGGTCGCTCATTTTTTGTCACCAAAGTTCCCTTGCTCGCTTTCCTTCTTTTGCTTTCTACGCCCCCTTGTTCGCCCTCCTTGCTTTCGACGGCGCACCTTTGCTCGCCCGCCTTTCTCAGTGTTATCCCTTGTTCGCTCTTGAAGCCCCGCAAGAAGGCTTGAAATTAAACTTGGATTGAAACTTTGAGACTGTCTTCATTAAAAATCTCATGCTTTTTTCTCAAAATTCATTTATTGAGATTTCTCGAAAGAGTTAACGGATAAATCTGGGTTACCAAGAAGGCTTGGGTGAAATAAGCTCTTTTTGCATTGTTTACGGGGGATTTCCGCGGCGTTTGTTTAAAGAACCAGCCTGAACTTGAAGATCCGACTACTTTGAGTAAAAATGTACATATGAAGTCACACGATCAAGCTTAGTTGCTGTCAAAATATTCATGAAAATCGAAAATATTGTTCTTTATGAAAAGCTTAACCCGATAACGCGAGTTTGAAATTATACGATAACGAGAGCGGGAGCAGTTAGTGCACCCGGGCCATCTAGAACAATTTTAAGCAAAAAGAGGGCAAAACTGCTTGTTTTCTTCGTCTGTAAGACGGCGCTTTCGTCGGATTTTTGAAAAATGCTCGGTCTAGAACTCCTGAGAACTCTTTTTTGTGAGGAAAAACGCGAAAAGAACGCGCGCTCTCTTGATGAATGTTATGTAACATTGAGTTCTCGAGACGAATTTGCAAAAATTTGCTCCTTTTTTGTAAAAAATAGGGATTAAATAAAGAGTATGAAGATTTCTTAAAGTCAAACTAAGTGAGGAATAGGTGCTAGAATCTAAGTTTTTTTTAATTCTTGGATTATCTTCAAAATTGAAGAAAATCACAATGCAACAACTAGCTTTGGGAGCACTTAGTGCTCCCGCTCTCGTTATCGGGTTAATGGAAAGTAAGAGCGACCCAATCCGAGCTAGACTTTGGCGGTCTCGCGGCGAGCAAGGGATAAATGGGTGAGGAGGAGCGAACAAGGGTGCGCGAGGTAAAAAGAAAGATGGCGACCGATGAAGCGCTTCTAAAAAAATATGAAATATGATATCTTCAGAAAATTCTTACTATTTTTATAAAATCTAGAAAAGATTTGAGTTCACTGCCGAATGTTTTCGACTTTTCAATTCGACTTATTCGACTAAATTTTCGACTTTTTCGGCTCAATTTTCGACTTTTTCGACTTGATTTTCGACTTTTTCGACTCAATTTTCGACTTTTTCGACTTGATTTTCGACTTTTTCGACTACATCTTTAACTTCTTTTTCGACTTATTCGACTAGTCGAAATTAAGTCGAAATCAATATGATTTTCTAGTCGAGTCGAGTCGACTTTTTCTCACAAGCAACCAAGTCGAGTCGAGCTAGTCTTTTCGACTAAGACTCGACTCGACTTCGACTTTAGTCGAAACTCGACTAGTCGATTTAGAACCCTGCCTCCAACAAAAGCTCCAACAAATCCCCTTTTCTTCTTACAATTTATTTGCTCGTTTATTATTTTTGTATTTACTTTAGTTAGAATTTCTACTGTTTATACTTTTTCCCGTAACATTCAATTTCAATTTCATCGATGCCTTCAGCAATTTATTCTAACAGCTTCAAGACTATTGAAAATAAACTCATACGCTAATGTTTAGAAATAAATTCAGCAGTATAAATACAGTACTGTGCCATCCGCTACTAGTTGCCGGTCCGGTACACCGCTACGAGTTGCCGCGCGGGTCGCATTTTTCACCCTCGCGCTCACCGCTACTTATGTGAACGTGTATTTTATACAGCTTCTTGTCTTTACTTAATTCTTGCAGGAAAATGTCAGACAAGCACATAGACAAGCGCATAATATTATTGATATCCTATATATCTTTGAGAGGCTTGCAAGTGGACCAAATCCTATAAGGAAGACATTTGCTGTTCAGCTTTTTTATCAAGCTTTACAAAACACGCTAACGTGTTTACACGTGCTCCATCAGGTTCTTTGAGGCGCTTGAGCCTTATCAATCCATCAGTGTTTCTTGAGAAAGTCCAATTGGGAATTAGCCGCACTTAGGGGACCCCCGCTTGTTGCAGCGCCCTCTTCTAGTAGTAGCGATAACGCGAATTTTTAAGCCTTCATTTTATACATTTCTATTTCAAAAATGAAGCTTTTTATTCTTGCCCAGATATCTTCTATTGAATCAGCATGGAAAGACAAATGGGAGAACAAAATAAAACCGTTAAATTTTCCCCGGACGGTGACAGAAAGACCCTGCGAGAGAGAAATGAAAAATTTCCTGGCAAGAGAAGAGATGCAAATTGAAAACGGTCACTTTGGAGATTGCGAAGGGCTAGAAAATTCAGCGTCAGATGTGAAGTGTTTCGCCATCTGTGATGACGGCTTAGTAGGGAACTGGAAGAAGAAAATCCCGGAAGTTTTCGTCCGCTGCAAAACAGAGAATCCCGAGGATCTCAAATTCAAAACAAAAAGCTTCCCAAAAGACCCTTTGAAATGCTCTGAAATTGTCAAATCTTGCCCTGATTCGATGCAAATTTCCAAAGGCTCCATCCTCTCTGTGTCTTCTTCTCCAACGAGCACAGTTTATGATGTTCTTTGCGATGCTGAAGAAGGCAGCAAAGGATCAGTGACATGCTTCGAGAAAAATGGGAAGTTCAAGAGCAGCGATTTAGGCAAATACTGGCAAGATGCGTGTAGTAAAATTTCTTGCAAAGAAGAAGATGCTAGCACAGAGTTTCCTATTGCAGATTCTGGTGCTCAGTGGAGATGCAAAAGTAAGAAAGGCTCGGTGACTTGTAAGGAATGGTTAAAAATATACCTTTAGAAAATCTTCATTGATATTTTGATTATACCTATCTAACCCAAAAAGGCATCATGCTCAACCGGCCAAAAAGTGGACACTTCCGTGAAATGCACACCCACAACTGGCTGGCAAATCTCAAAGGGCTCGCCCTGTATTATAATCACGCATAAATAACAATGGTAATGGGAATATTCCCGAGCACGCGCAATTACAATACTGTGGTAGAGAAATGTCTTTCTAAGGATAAGGACTGGGCAGTATGTAGGGCGTGTGCTCGTTTACCCTACTTTTACTGCTTATTTCAGGGATGGTGGGCGGGTGAGTCTTTTGATTCAGCTAGGAGTCTTATTGGTAATGCTTCTGCTGAGAAAAAGCCTCTATTTTAAATTTCTCGATTTAGGTTTTAGCTGCAGGCTAAGAACCTTTAGAGTGAACCTGCGTGATTCCGGTGCACCCGCTCGAAACCAGGTGCTCTCGGGCGCCTTTGTCACCTTTTGCTGCGTCCTGGGAGTCCCTGCCATTGGTTACTAGGCTCTCCTGCCGCGTTCTATTTCTAGCGGGCTGCTAATCCCTTTGTCCTAGATTCGTATTATAATCACGCATAAATAACAATGGTAATGGGAATATTCCCTCCCTACCATTCTCGTTATTCTCATCAATCGATTGCTAAAGGATTCTTATTTTTTGGCAGGAAAAAGGGAGAATCTTTTCTTTGTGATGCAGGAATCTTTTATGCTCTTTCAGGACTCAGATGTTTTCGGCTTCTTTTGCTCTTGCTTGGCTTCTTGTGGTTCTTGTGGTGTCTGAAACCTTTATGATTGAACCCTAATTGTTTTGCCACTCTTACCTGAAGATGGTTATCCTCGTTGTTGCTTCCGTTTCGCTTTCTGGCTCTTGATTTCGCGACGCTGACGGGCGCTCCCAAGTTACTGCATTCGAGCCAGCATCTTTCGTAGTAATCTGGCATTGAGCTTCCTGGAGCCCATCGGAGCGTGTGCGCGAGGGTTTGCTGAGAAAGGCCTGAGCGGCGTCCCTCGATGTAGAAGCTGACTCTGCCCGAATGCGCGGAGACCTGAACAGGAGTCTTTTAAGTGTGTGGATTCTAAAGTCTTTGTACTTTTTTCGGGAGTTCCGCTTTTGCTCCGTAGCGGGCCAGGTAGTCCGAGGCGATTCTGGTGTGACCTTCTAGATTCTTGAAGACGAGTCCTTAAGGAGATGGTCAGATAATTTCTTAGAAGCTTCGCTAGCATTTTTACCTGAATCTCGGTCTCTTAACTGCGCTCTGAGTTCCAGCGCCAGCGGGACGCCGTGTTTCATCTCCATGGGGATGGTTAGAGTCTCCATGCGCTTGCAAAATGGGTCCGTCTTGCTGCTTCGAATGTGGAATCGCCAGAACTCTTTCCCCTCTTCCTTGACGATCTCGCGGTCTTCGATTCTGAGGTTGAGTGCCTCCTTCATTCTAGCGCCCGTGGTGAAGCAGATGAAAAAGGCGATGGCTGCTTCTCTTGGCTTTGGCTTGTTTGTCCTCATGAGCTCCTCCCACAGCCGGATTGCCTCTGGTTCGTCCACAACTTCCGCTTGCTAGAAGGTTTTAAACTACGATGCGAAAGGCGAGTTTACCTTGGGGTATTGGAGGGTTTCTGCTGCTGATTCACGGGCTCTGTGTTCGCACCAGGTCTTGATCTTCCTTTTTTGTTTTGCTGTGAGAGTCTTCTTCATCTGGGATGCGACTACATCTTGAATCGTTGTGATTCCTTTTTCGTACGCATAAGCCTTGAGCGTTGGTCTTGTGAGGAGTCTGTCGAGGAAGTGTTGGATCACGTCGTCGATTTCCGCCTCATTGTAGTTGAAAGTGGCCATTGCTTCTGCCACCTCCCAGTGCTCTAGAAGATTCTTAAAGTCGAGCCAGGTCATGAGTCTAAACGGTGATTTTTTATGGTTTGAATTCGGAAAACCTAGTTTTTTTTTTTATTAAAAAAGGGGCTCTTGGCCGGATTGCGGCTGGGGTTTTTTTTTTTAGTATTTTGAGACAGAATCTAAATGAAGAAACGCGCACTATAAGGGGCTAATCCCCGTCGTGGAGTGAAGTATTTTCGAAGATGGTTCTAGATTATTTTTTTTTGATTCTTATTCGACTCCGCCTTGGTCTTGGAATTTTTTGGCGTCTCCTCCTTGATTGTTTCCTCCGCCACGGCCTCGCCCGCGGCCTCGGCCTCGGCCTCGCCCGCGGCCTCGGCCACGACCTCCGGAGCTTCCGCTGCCTTCCGGGGTGGGATTCGCGTTTTCGCTCTGGTGGTCCGTCTTTTGCTTCTTGCTTTGGCTTCCGCTTCCGTGTCCTCCTCGACGTCCTCGGCCCGGTTTAGAGTCTCGCTCAGATCGCCAGTCCTCTGAACCGTCGCAGGGGTTGATGATCATTTTCTTGAAGGTTGGGTGAGTCGTGTTCATCGTCATGGCTCTGTCGAATTGGTGGCGCACATTCGGACGCATAAGAGGCTTAATTGGTGCGTGAGTTTTCCTTTTTAGAGTCAAACGCGTACCGTAAGAGAGAGCAGTGCATCTTTTCGAGTCATATCCGGCATCCGGATCAGTTCGTCGACGACGCTTTCGATGATGGCTCGTTCGGTGTACTCGGGAGTCATGGCTCTTTTGTAGTTACCGAGCAACTTCAGGAGTTTTTCCCGTCTAAAGGTCCGTTGAGTCTTGGCGTCTGTGACGAAAGCCCGAAATTCCTTGCCCATGTCGCGGAGAGAGTCTCCTTCGTCTTGCGGCAAGTTTGTGGAGCCGACTTGAGTCTAAGAAAGGGTTGGAGGGCCAGGATGATTCCTTGGTGTTTTTTTTTTTAACTTACCATGTAGTAGGATTCGACGCCTGTAAGAGGGTCTTTTTCCTTGAATACAGCTGCGGATTCGGCCGTATTTTGAGAGAGTTCAGTGATTTTTGTCTCTCTCGTCTTAATTTGAGCGAACATGGCTCCTTTGAGGCTGTAGCGCTCCATTTTGTCCGCGATCAGGCGGCGGAGTTTTGATTCTATTTCCGACGGATTCCAACGGTCGTAGAATTTATTCTCCTCCTCCGAGCGTTTTTTGGCGTTGGGTTCACGCATTTTGATCTCGAGACTCTTGTCGCGGTTTGCTTCGAGTTCCGCGATTTCCTTCTATGATAGGAAATAGTTTTCTTTTGGGTTTTACTTACGATAAGGCTATCGGTGAGTTTGTCGTGAGTCGCCATATCTTTCCTGATATCTTCGATTTCGACGACCAGTCGATCGGCTTCTTCCGTCTGGGCTTGAGTCTTTGTGTGCTCGTAGAATGCTGCCTTGGTGATCTGGACTCTGACCGCCCGCGTCTTCGCTTCTTGTTCCGTGAGCTTCGTGTGATCCGAGAGAAGCTTGGAGAGGGCTTTGGACTGCTCCGTCATTTTTCAGTGATTCCGAGTCTAAAATGGAATTTGAGAGTCAAAATTTCTGTTTCTTTGTGTGATTTGGCCGAATGGGGAATCTGAGAGAGAGAGGAGAAAAACAGTATAAAGAGTCTTGATTAGAGTCTATTTGCGATAATTTTGATTGTTGAGACGTTGGTCGCCACTTTCCAGTAGCCTTCGATGGTTTTCACCTTCGCTGGTGTTAAAATGGAATCCGCTGGGATGTCAAAGACTCTGTAGCCTTTGAGTTTAGCTTGAGTTACGACTAAAGGCTCGGCTTCGAAACACGGCACCACTAAAGCCCATGGCGTCGCTATTTCGGTGAGTCTATTGTAGTATTTGTGGGCGATTTTCGGAGGTGGGAACGCGTACAGCTTTCTTCCGATTAGTTCATGGATTGGGAAGCTTAGGAAGTCTCTTCCAAAGGCTCCTTTTGTCTCTCGGCGCGCGATGAAGTCTCTGCATTTATTGTTGAGTGGCTAAAAGGAATTTTGGATTTGGAAGGCGACTCTCTTCGAATCTTACCGTTGCTGCCACGTCAATGTCGAGCGGGTCCGAAAGGTGAGATTGCAGATAAGCGAATCCATTTGCCGTTAGTTTTTGTTCTCTGGAGTCCAAATCCCTGGAGGGAGCGTCAGCCAGTTGCTTTTGTGCTGACCCAGTCGACTTTCATATCTATGTTGAATCTCTGAGCGAGAGTCCAGATTCTGACTAGAATCGTGTTCATTTCGGGATCTTTGCTCCCCGCTATGGCTCCTTGGACTACACTGTCGTTGTCGCAGAGGAACAGCGCCCTTTGGTTCTTTAGTTTTTGGCCGTACCACTCGAGGGTGAATTGAATCGCAAGGGCTTCTTTGATTCCTATGTGTTTATCAGCCATTTCTGCTTCCCAAGCAAATCTCTCCTCCAGCTTCCATTGCTCGATGACGATGGCTCCTGCGTGTGAAGAAGCATCTGTGTAGATTATGAGTCCTGTTTCTTGGCGGTTCAGCTTTGTCCAATGTCTTTTGAGTCCTTTTTCTTTCAGAAGAGTCCAGAGTCTCCATTCCTCGCGGACTTCCTTTGTCAGCAAGCAGGATTCTTTTTCTTCCCTGAGCGCTTGGCTGATGAGGATTGTCGTTTGGCGGATGAGCATTCTCATGTTCGGAAGGACTTCGGCCATACTTGCCATTGTGCCTCTGATTCTTTCGAGCATCTGGGACGGAACTTCAGTTTTCGCTTCGGCTTCTTTCATAAGGTTTTTGAGGGCTGCCCATCTTTGCATCGGAATCTCCACTGTTTCGCTTTCCGTGTCCAAAATGAATCCAAGGAATTCGATTCTTTGGGTGGGTTTGAAGGTGCTTTTGGTGATGTTCACATAGCCGCCGAGTGCCACCAGCGTCGCTACTGTTGCCCAGACTTCTTTGCCGACTTTCTCTCCCGCTAGAAGCTGGCGTCGATCTTCTTCAGATTCTGGAGTGACGGCTAGGAGTCTATCATCGAGGTAGAGTGTTATTTTGATTCCGTTTTTCCTCAGAAAATTGACTCCACATAGATTCATCAGCTGGTAGATTCCAGGCGCGGCTGGGATTCCGAATGCGAGTATATTGTTTCTGAAGTACTGGCCGCCCCAATCGAAGCAAGCGAGTTTCTTGCTCTCTTCGCTGAGAGGCAGCTGGTGGAATCCTAGATTTTAAGTTAGGTTCCTTTTTTTTTGCTGTTAAGTTAGATACCCTTTTTATCGTCGAATTTGTACAGCAGGTCTCCCTTTTTGAGCATTTGGATTGCAGCACCGACGCTTTCTAATTTGCATGGAAATGTGTACAGCTGCAGAGGCTTGAGGACTCCACCGTTCCAACAGACTCTGGTTTCTCTTCCTGGTTTGTCGACGAGAACGAATCCCGCTCGGATCCAGCATCCTTTTGAATCTGTGACTCTTGTTACCGAGCCCATTTCGCACCAGTCGGTGATTTGTTGGACAATTTCGTCGCTTCTTTCTCTTACAGCTTCTTGGCTCGGAATCGTGAGGGATTTGTAGCGTTTGCCGATCTTCTCATATGGCCGGGGGACGAATTTTGAGAGTCTGAGTCTGTGGTTGTACCAGGTTTTGAAATTTCCGCCTAGTTTTCTCAAAGTGTCTGAGTTGGCCGAATTTCGCTTCCATATTGTCACTAACTCCTTCCGCTTGAATTCGGCAGGTTTCTTGGGGGGTATTCTTTTGAGATTCAAGAACAGGTCTGCTCCTCCATGGACGAAATGGTAGATCAGCGGCTTCACTTTTTCAGGCATCTGATGGATGAGGACTCTCCAGTTATCTTTGTTATGAGTCCATTGGCCCGCGATGAAGTCAGATTCTTTTCTCAGCGCAAGGGTTTCCCAGTCGGGTTTGGCCTCGTTGTTTAGAACTCTTATGACTCTGTGAAGAAGGTCTGTCTCATAGATTTTCCATTCGGGTAGTGATTTTGGGCCTGTGATGGGTTCGTTATAAATGTTGACAGGGTTTATGATTGGGAATTTTGGTCTATTGAAGACTCCCTTGTCCGCTAGTGCTCGCATTTCCACCTCGATGGACTTCCAGCTCTTCGGCTTCTTGGCTTGTTCTCTTTCTTTTGAATCCTGCGGCTGCGCGGGCGGATTCATAGCTTCTTGGGATCGGAATCTTCCAGAAGAGTTTCTCGTATGTAGTGCCGAGAAGCGAGGATGGGTCTTCGAGTCCTCTTTCAAGTCGGTTGTCGATGTCGTTGAGATTAAGGACTCTGTATTCTGCGGCTGCGATGCGATCTCTTGGTGGCCAGATTGCCCGAAGCGTCCTGATAGCATCCCAGGCGGTGAAATCTTGATTTGCGTCGATGTTTGTTAAAAACTCTCTGAGCGTCATGCTAATTGGATTTGAGACTCCGAAGATTGTGTTTAGGTGAGTCCAGGCTGATCTTGCTGCACTTGATAAGAGTCTCGGAAAGATGCATCTGGTGTTAGTAAGTTGAAAAAGAATCTCCCCGAATATCGCGTTGGTGATGGAGGAGCAGAGTTGCCTCTCGTTCGCGAAGGATGCCCGACGCTTTTCCGGGCTCAGGTTTAGTATATTTTTGAACCTAATGTTCCAAATGTGGGCGATGAGCGTCATTCGCGGAGAGGCACGTGAATTGAGGTTTTCTGGAGGTTTGCAGCGCGCCAGAATCATTCTGAAGATGGCTTCTGCTGAGTCATTCCAGAGTCTGCCCAATATCCAGGAAACTGCTTCTTCCAGCTTCAGAAGGTCAGCTTTTGAGACAGAGTCTCTTTCCAATGGTTCCATCATTTTTGCCCAAAAAACTATTTCCGCTGAGTTATAGACGTTTGATTCGTGCACCTGTTTCATGAGTCTCTCGACTACTGGTCTAACCGAGTGTTCTAGTTTGCCTTGAATCATTTCGAGCTCCACCTTATTTGTGGATGCGAGTCTACGGTTGATTCCGATGGATGGGCTATGTGCGATTGTGGCGATTGTTTGGAAGGCATCTATTAGTTGGATTCCCTGGAGGCCTTCATGCTCAGCCTCTTGAAGGATCGCTTTCATGATTTTCGAGGATTCTTGAGATTCGGAGATGATTCTCGCGGCTTCCGTTGCTAGGTTTTTAATTCGATCTTCTAGCGTTTCTCCATAGCATAAGATTCTTTTTGGCGGGATTGACGCATTCGTATTAAGGCTATTTTGGATATCCCAAACAAGGCCTTTGAGCCTCTCCAGATTCACGCTAGAGTTTCGCGTTTGAGGGGGAGTTTCCGGCGTGGCTTGTTTAGCCGCTATTGGGCTTTTTGGGTGATCTGTTGTGGGGGCTTCTGCATCGGAATCCTCTGTTTTTTGGGGCTTCTATTTAGAGTCTTTTTTTTTTATGTTTTGAGAAGTTTATTCTTATTTTGAGTGACTCTTTTATTTTCTTACGGGCCCGAGCCTGATTCTGATGGGAGTTTAAAGCCTTCCAAATCCGAATCTGAACTTTGACTCTCCATTCTGAACTTTGATTCTATTTTTGGTGTTTCTTGGTTTTTGATTTTCTTTTCCAGCTTTGGTTTTAAAGAGTTTCTTATTTTTTTTTTTAATGCTTTCTAAAGGAAGAGGCGAGGATCTTCTGATGAGATCGAAATTATTTATTATGAACAGCTTTTCTGTAAATTTGGAAAAATGAAGAAAGGGTAAGATTCTGTTTCAGTGATTTGAGGCATAAAAAGGCAGTTTGAGTCTAAGAGTCTGGATTTGGCTTCTTCTAGTGGAAGCGTCGTGGCTTTGGTGTGGCGTCTTGGTGGACTGGAGGGATGGGGATGTCGTTGAGTCTGTAGAGGCGGACGAAGACGAAACGGATGTAGTGGACCAGGTTACCACCGCAGACTTTGTAGGCGAAGACGAGGATCGCGTCCATCTTGGCGGGGTCGAGGAGTCCGTGGTCTAAATCATAAGTTAGATTCTCTTTTTTTTTAACGGGAGTTGACTTACCCAGTGCTTCCTTGAATCTTCGCTTGATTCCCTGGTAGTTGAGGAACTCCACCAGGTAATGGACGATTCGTCGTTCCTCGGCGGTGAGTGCTGCAACTGGGTCCAATCTCCAGTTTTCGGTTCCTTCTTTGATGGTCCAGCCGGCTCTGGTGTTGTACTTGAACTGGCGATGGCCGGGGCTCTGGGAGTCTTTGTATTTGAGGAGTCCCTCGCTGCTGAACCAGGCTTGTCTGATTTCTTCGAAGTTTTCGATTCGGCGGTTGTCAAGCATCGCTCGGACTCGTTTTTGGTTACACAGTGATTTCTTTTTTACTTATGTTTGTGATTTTAATTAGTTAGATTTCTGTGTAACCATTCCTGAGATTCTGCTCATCAGCTTTGATTCTTTCTTCGACAGGTAGTAATGGTTTCCTCTTCTGCCGGTTTCCGCGACGAGCAAGATTCCCACCTGTGGCTTCGTGAGCACCTTATCTTCTTCCGCTTTGATGGCTGCTTGGCGCTTTTCTTCCGCTTCTCTGTCTCGAGCCAGGCGTCTTTCTTGAGCTTCTTGTTCTTCCTTTTTCCGCTGGATTTCCTCGAAGTATTCACGGCGGATTCTCGTGTTCTCCTCCACTTGGCGTCTCATGCGGGCTCTGATGGCTTCTTTGACTCTTTCTCTGTCTTCCTGATCTTCCTTGAGCTTCTTGAGCCTGTCGACTTCTTCTTTTTGGAGTCGCCTTTGTTCTTCCGCCTCTTCTTTTTGGTGCATTCTGGCCGACGCGTTGGATTCGGATTCTTCTTCTATGTTTTCCAGCGGCTCTTTCCATCGTGCGGCGATTCTGAGTCGTCTTTCTTCCGCTGCTTTTTCTTCCTCCGCTGACTCGAAGAGTGTATCCGTTCTTCGGCTCCAGTCTTGATGGTTGTCCTGGCTTTGTGGCTCTGGGAATCCCGCGGTGGCTTCGGCTCCTTCGTCTTCTGAGTCTTCCAGGACTTCTTCGTCTGAGGAAAAGCCGTCTTCAGGGGAGTCCGCTGGATGGCCGTGGCTCGCCGAAGGCATCAGCTGGGATGGGTCTTTTAGTGGAGTCTTGATTTGTCCCGTTACTAATTAGATTCCTTTTTTTTTTTTAGATTTCTCTAAGACTCTTTCCTGAGCGTGCGTTGTATGAGTCTTCAAAGAAGTCTGGGCCGGAGTCAATGCTTGCTCGCTCGTTGTTGTTCGAGTCGTCTGATGGCAGTGGCAGTTGAGTTTGAGTCGAGTTGGTTGAGGTTTGAGTCTCTGTCTGCATCGAGGAATCTGTTGATTCTGAATTGAGACTGAAAAGGTGTCTAAAATTAAGGTTTTCTTTTAGCCCTTATTTATCCTGGATTTTTGAGATCAGGACTGATTCTATCTTTTGAATTAGTTAGTGTGAGTCAGTTTTCTTGGCTCAGAGATTTTCCCACGCTAGCTTGCGTGGTTTAGTTTTATGGCGTTCTTTTTTTTGAGAGTTTTTAGTTTTGAATATCTAAAATTACTAAGGACTCAATTTGAGATTCTTTTCAGCCCGTTCCTTGATAGGTTTGAGTTTCCTGGCATTTGGCTCGTTGAGCTTCGACCGGGTGAGTCTGTGTAGTTCCGTCTCGACGAGAAGTCCAGCCGATGGTTCTTGAGTCGCGTCTTGCCAGCGTGGCTGCGATGTCTTTGGGGACTCCATCTTTGACGTATTCGCTTCGTCGAGTCCTCTTCCAATCGCGAAGTTCCTCCTTGGGGAGTCGATCTTCTCGGAACAGAAAGTCCGCTCTTGACTTTTGGAAGGGTTTTTTCTATTTTTTTTTTGAATGTAAGATTCTCGATTTTGACCCTTTTCCTTGAGAGCTGAGACTCGTTCTTGATATGCTGGGAGTCTTGCTTCTGGAATCTCGAGGGACTCATCGATGTAGACGATGTTGAGGAGCGGATGGACATCGATGGCAGCTTTCGCTGCGTTGAGGCATCCATAGAACAGGCTCTGGTTTGACTGGGCTCGGTCGTCTTCGGCGATTTTCGCATTTTCTTCGCGCACAAGCTCGGAGAGGACTCGGGAGACCGTGTTGATTGAGCCTTGCCAGCTGTCGAGCGACATTTGGACGTTGGGATTCGTGAAATCTTATGTGTGGGTCGTTATGGCTAGGTTTTTCTATTTGATTCTTTTTGTTTTGAAGAGTTTTTACTTTTTATATTTAATAAGACCCATTCCTTGGACCATCTGCTCAAGCAGGTCTTTGAATCTGTCGCCAATTCTGAGACGGAGTCGGATGAGCATTCGTCCTTTTGATTCCTGAGGGTATTGAGTCACTGGGTCTTTCTTGATCGCCGATTTCCTCTCTCTCCAGAAGTCTGGCTGGTCGATCGGGTCTCTGATGATTCCAGCTTCTTCTCTGAGTCTTTCGAGCTCTTTGGCATCGGGATTCTGGGCGTTTATTGCGTCTTTAGTCATTTTGAGTCTGAATTTTGATTCTTGTTAGCCACGAATATTTTAATTTTAAGATTTGGCTGGGTTTTTGAGAGAGCGCAAAGGAAAAATTCTTTTTTTTTTGAAAGGAAAAGATTTTCCCTTATTTGAGAGAAAGAAATAAAAATAAAAAAGGAATCTGTTTTTCAGAATCGGAAAAACCACAGATTGACTCTAGAATTTTGTGCGTCCTGGGCGTTTGAAGCTTCTGCGTCGAAGATGTTTCTCTTTAGAAGGATTCCAGGGTGATTCTCTCTTTTTTTTAGAAAAATTTGATTCAATTTGGCCGTCTCTGTTATGAGTGCTGGATTATCCTTGGCTTTCCAGGTGCTCCGCCAATCAGCGCGCTGCGTCTCGTGAGTCAATTTTCACTTTCCCACGGTCTCAAAATTGGATTCTTTTGGTTTTTGGCTTGGATTTCTTTAACATTTTGAGTCCGTTTCCTGATTCTGAAGCTTTCTGATTCTCTTTTGATGGGTATCGCTGTGAAGTTTTGCGCGTTTTGGGAAGAAGTGAATTTCTTTTACAAGACTCTCTTTTTGATTCTAATTATCCTGTATTATGTGTTATGGGATTCATTTCTGGCTGAGAATCTTCATATTTGGCGAGTCTTTTCCTGTTTTGAAGGTTTTTGAACAGTTGACAGCAGTGTGAGAATTTTGAGATGAGTTTTGAGTCTTTTCCAGGCTCGGGGATTTCAAGTTCGGTCCGTTTTTACGGCCTACGTTCGAGCCTTTTCCTAATAGAGTCTAGAAGCGGATTCAGATTTCTATTTCTCCTAGTTATTCTCTCGGGTTTTGGTCATATTCATTCGTGCGAATCTTTCCTCGATGGTCTGGAGGTTCTGAGTCCAAGTGTTTGGGAAGAGATTCTCGGCTCCGGCAGTTGCTCCCTCGTCCATGTTTAGATTCTCCGCCGCTTTGATTCCGTCTAAGAGGATGTCTCTGAAGTGAGTCGTGAATGGAGCATTCTGGGACAAATCGTGGGACTTGTCTGTGACGTTTTCCCAGGTTGTTCTGTTAGCCCTGAGTCTGAGCTTGTCTATTTTTGAGACAGCTCGATTTCTAGAGTCGAGGCCGTTGCAGCATCTGGCCATCATTTCCGCCACCCTAGGGTGTGCCCAGCATGGGGTGAATCTGGATTCATAGCCGCAATCGCAAGCGATTTGAAAAACTTCCCAAAGGCCCGAAAATCTTGGGTTTTTGTCTCCTCGAAGCTTTTGGTGAAAATCCTTCATCAGGCCTTGGGTGACGAATTTGACGTACGGGGCGGACCAAGTGCTGAGGGCTCTTTCTAGGGCTTTGGCATCTTCTTGGGCTGGGAGGACCAGAACAGTGTCCTTTTGGAATGTCTGTTCCTTGATGAGTCTCGCCACTTCCGACCAGCTGTCTCCAGATTCGCTTGCGATGGATTTAGCGAGTTCTTGGAGGTGTAGATTCTTCGGGGCCGTGGTGTTTCCAACTACGAAAGCATCGAATTTGCCTCCGCATCTTTCCAGACCCGCGTGATAGATGACAATTCCTGCTGCTTCTGGTCTTTCGAATCTTGGTCTTTCTATGACTCCGCCGAGTTTTTTGAGTCCTTTGGCAATGTTCGACGTTGTGTCGTTTTCTCCCTGGAAAAGGACTGCCGTAGATTTCAGGCCTCAAGAATCGAGTCAAAACCTTCCACCGCTGTGTTTTGGATTCTCCCGATGAGTTCTTCGTCGGCGTCTTTCAGCGTTGTTGTCTTGAATGTTTCTGAGAGCTTCAGAAAGGTTTGCTGCCATTCTTCGCTGTCGATAGCCATTCTGGTGTGTTCTTGGGTGGGCTTGATTAGGCCAAAGCCGTTTCTTTCTTGGCAATTTGGTGAGCAGTTTTGCTGTCGGGCTTCTTTCAGTTCTCGGAATCCTTGGTGTGTTTTGCACCAAGTTGAATCTGCCTCGGCTTCTCCGCACATTGGCCATTCGCAAGATCTTTCGCGCTTCTCGGGGCGTGAATGGAGGAATCTGAGTCTCGTGACTCCTGTGACTTCTTCTCTTTTTCGCATCCAAGTGCTGATGAAGCTGTCGAGGGTTTTGTCCGGGCTGAATCTTTTCCCGTTTGCCCAATTCCAGCCGGTTGTTAAGATTCCCAAATTGTGTTCGACTGATCGTAAATGGGAGTGGGCTTTGGAGTCTTTGACGACTTTGGCGATGATTTCGAGGATGATTTTCTGAGTTCGGAAGGGTCGGTTGATTCCGACTATGCAGGCTCCGGAGGCGTAATAATTTCTGGTTGGTTTCTGGAACGCCGCGATGCATTTCTTGACGTTTTGAGTCGTCCACGGCTCCGAGGCCAGCTTCTCAAGCGCTTCAGATTCTAGTGGTACCAGTGCTGGGTGGGCTGCCACTGAGAGTAGGGATCTTTCTCTGAGATGCTCAGAGTCCTCGCCGTAATTAATGACCCATAATTGGGGGACCACTTTGTAGGGGATCCAGAGAATCCAGTTGGAGTTTCCTTTGCCGACTTCTTTGATTCTGACCGTCGTGTTAATTGGATTAACCTTCTTTGCTGCTAATTCTAGCCACTTTTTCAGCGAATTGGAGTCTTTCAGTTCTTTCCAGTCCGTGTGCCACTGTGTGGGCATTTCTTTGCAGCTTCCGTCTTGTCCGATGACGGAGTCTTGGGCGAGTTGCTTGTGCACCAAATGAAGCAGCAATGGCGTAAGAATCTTAGTCAGCGGCGTCGGGTTCGGCGTCGCAGAGTCTACTGAGGCATATTCACCGATCACATCGATGATCCATGCATTTGCATTTGTTGGTCCCTTCCTTGCCCACTGGGTGTCTCTGTCTTCTTTGAGCTCCAGCCAGGCGTTTCTCTGGTGGCAAATTTCGTGCCAGTCACTGTGAATCGATTTCAGCATTTTGAGTGAGTCCAGGAGCTCCTGCGGCTTCATGAAAGCGTCTGGTCTTGGCATCGAGTCGAAGATCGTTTCGAGGCCCTTTTTTATGAGTCTTCGGAGCCAGTTTTCGTCTGTGAAGCTTGGTCTTTCGTAGTTCGCTTGAGTCCTGACTTTACTTTCCCTGATCACTCGGAGGCAGACGTGATGCCAGAAACCTTCATCTAGAATGTCTTGATTCTCGGAGCCTTCCCATTCGCAAAACCAGTCTTGGCCGTTGATTTTTTCCCAGTTCTTTAGTTCTTCCAGGATACTGAACGGAAAGAGTCTGCCCTTTTCTTCTGATTTTTGAAGGTTCGGAGCCGGGTGGGAGTCTGAATTTCGGGCCACGATTCTGAGCGGGCCTTTAGTGCTTCCTATCTTTAGCGCTTCTAAAAGGCTGAAGATGGTTTCGTGGTCGTCCAGTTTGACGCTAGGAGCGTCGTTTGTTCCCAACGATTCTTGCTTCAACAACTTTGTGGGACTCTCCGATGGCTTGAACGGGTATGGCTTGGATTCCAGTAGCCAAGAGTCTGGGCGGTCATTCTCCGCTTCTGCAATTTCTTCCATTATAATGGAGAGGATGAAGGCGGGTTCGTTGCTTTGGTGGGCTATCCAGAGTGACTCTTTCCCTGATGGTGCCGTAAATATGATTTGGGCCCAAGAGGAGAGTTCTGAGAAGTTGAATCTCGCCTTTGAAGGAGTTTGGCGATCGAAAACCAATCTGTGATTGGATAGAGGCTCGTTCGCATCCGCAGGGACGTAGAGTCTTAAGAGCCTAGGTGCTATTTTCGGAGTCGCCATTGCCGTACGGGAGAGTCTTTTCCAGTTTATCTGGCTCATGAGCAGAAGGGTGTTTCTTTGAGAGGATCAAAAAAAATTCTAAGAATGGGGAAAAGATTCTTCCTTCTGGGCTAGCCGAGGGATTCTGAGGTTTATCTTTTGAGATCCTTTCCTGGAAATATCCTCGTCGAGGGTTTGGATTCTTCTTTGAGAGTTTTCAATTGGGCGTGTAGGATCTGAGTCCAAAGCCACTCCCCATTTGGGGCCGAATTCCTCCGCTGCCTTAACGAAGGCTTCTTCGATCATGTCTGAAGAAGAGGAGTAAATAGTGAGTCCCGCTGAACTGGGGAAGAAGAATTCCGAACTTCTTTAAGGAAAGATTCTCTTTTTCTTTCTCTTTTTTTTTTTGATTCCTTCAGAGTAGCCTGAGAGCTGATTGGCTCGGCTTGGCGCACCGGTGTGGCCGCTAATGGAGGAAGCTTGAGCCTTAGACGCACTGCGTGAGGCTGAAGAGGTTTATAGTCCTGGGACTGGTGAAATAAGCGGTAGCATCGATTGATGGTCTACCTAGAGTCTTTTGATTCAGCTAGGAGTCTTATTGGTAATGCTTCTGCTGAGAAAAAGCCTCTATTTTAAATTTCTCGATTTAGGTTTTAGCTGCAGGCTAAGAACCTTTAGAGTGAACCTGCGTGATTCCGGTGCACCCGCTCGAAACCAGGTGCTCTCGGGCGCCTTTGTCACCTTTTGCTGCGTCCTGGGAGTCCCTGCCATTGGTTACTAGGCTCTCCTGCCGCGTTCTATTTCTAGCGGGCTGCTAATCCCTTTGTCCTAGATTCCTGAAATAAACTGTGACACGCCTGTCACAACACTCGGGCCCTTCGTTGCGACGTCACATCAAATTCCACCTTTGGAATCTTGTAATGCTCAAGCGGGATTTTCAACGGGTAAAATCATTGGGGGAGCAAATGCGAAGTCTTCGGACTGGCCCTGGTTTGTTAGCCTTGGTTTCAAAAGGGTCAAAGGAGGTTCGTATTCGACATTGTGCGGAGGAAGTGTACTGGAAAAGAATACAGTCATTACAGCAGCTCATTGCTGCAGAGACGAGTTCAGCGAGGTTGATGCTTTCTTCGGCGATTCAAAGTCGACGTATTTGACGGGCAAAGTTGACGGTAAGATAACGCGGATAATAGTATAATATTCTTGACAGCTTTAATTATATTTCATAGTCTCTGAATTCAAACTCACATCGACGGATTTCATTGCTCACCCAAATCATACTGGAGAAAACAACGACTGGTGCTTGATCAAGTTTACCGATTCCATTGAATCTGCTGACGTGGATAAAATCGTATCTGCTCCTTGTCTACCATCGGAAGTACCCGCCCACGGAACTGAATGTTGGATAGCTGGTTTTGGGAAAACCTCAAAAAACAAGCCATCCAAGACACTAAAGTCGGCGGGCATATATCTGCTGGACCAAGAATATTGCCGAAACAACTCAGTTTATGAAACGCTTCATGAAGATGACATTTGCGCCGGCTTACCTGACTTTGACGGCAATGGACTCACTGATGCTAATACTGGCGCTTGTCACGTGAGTTAATATTTTATGAACAATAGTTGATGTTAATTAAGGGAGACTCCGGAGGTCCCCTGATCTGCGATGTTGATGGAAAAGCAACGCTTGTTGGAGTCGTCAATCGAAGCAGAGGGTGCGCAGAAGAAGGAGCACCAACAATTTACGCATCTATCACGCATGCACTTTCCTGGATAAAAGATAATGTGCCGTCAATGTAGGGCTTTGTGATTTTTTATATCAATTTTTACTTGTCAATAAACTTTGTAACATTTTCATACCCATAAAACTAATCTCACGCATCAGAAGTAACTTTCTACACTCTAACTATTTCAAATCGCATTCTCCACGGAGCTCGACTCAATAATTTATCCAGTTAGCCGTGATAATATTTGATTTCATTTTTTTTTTTGAAAATGACGTGACCGACCGAAAAGGAGATGTTGAGCTGCATCAGAAGAACAGTGTCCTACATTTTCGGCGCCAAGTTTTAGTTCAGTGTCTCAGTAGGAACTTTCTTTGAAACGAAGGTTTAGCTTCTTTTTATTGGCAATTTGGCAGGAATGACCTTAATTTTTGAATCGGCGAAGGTCTTTACTAGCGAAATTGGGTATTGGAAACCTGCAGCGTGGCCCTGTCAGCTCATCAGTTTTGAGCTTGAATCTGTTTCCAGGAAATCAATGCGGTGATATGCGGTCACGAGGAGACTTTTCTCCCAGTTCGTATTTTCGCGAACAAGGAGACTTTTCTCCTAGTTCGTCAGAATGCGAACGAGGAGACTTTTTTTCTCCCCGTTCATTTCTCAACTGAATCGCGGTTACGAGGAGACTTTTTTGAAAACATTTTCCGTAGTTATGTTGATTGGTAATATGACACATTTTCTACGAGGTTTTCTAAAAGACAGGCGCGAAGCGCATAGGCACTCTTTGGGCTCGCCAAATCCCGGCTTTTGAGGAATAATTTGCAGTTGGGAGCATTTTCTTATATTTGAGGTTAGGGTTAGGGGGCACTGGGCGAAATGACAGAACAAACTTACCCGAGGGGGATAGGCTAGGGTTAGTTAGGGTTACTGAAGGTAACCCTAAGTAACCCTAGACTAGACCTCGGCATTTTAGGACCTAAGGGGCGAAGCCCCGTGGTTGGGGGCAATTAGATTTTATAATTTTCTCCTGTCCAACCTATTTTCTTCCTTATCCTCTGAAGAATAAGTTTTTTCTCCAATTATCTTTTGTAGACAATCAGTCGAACATTCATCTTCGACGGCGTAGAATCTACGCAGTGAAATTCATCTAGAGAAAATACTTGCAAAAAGTCTCCTCGTTCAAAAATTCTCAGAACGTGGTCAGTGGGAGAAAAAAGTCTCCTCGTTCGAATTTCGGCGAACTGGGAGAAAAGTCTCCTCGTTCGCGAAAATACGAACTGGGAGAAAAGTCTCCTCGTGACCGCCTACAACCATCAATGCGTAAATTTTAAGCAGGCAAGGTGATTTGAAATAATATGAGTACATGTATGCAGGTTGTGTCCTGATGGTGGTCATTACTGAAGAGTTTCCTGGAAATTTGTTATCTGATTGTTTTTCAGAGATTTTGGAAAATTTTGGACGGATCAATATTTTCTAGGGTAGTATTCGGTAGGAGATCGTAAATCCCCCTGAGATTCTGGAGGCAAGCAACAGGAGATATTCTTGGTAAAACACCACTGGAGCCAAAAAATCTCGATCAAAATTTAGGGTGTCGAAATGAGGCAAAGTCAAGTGTTTGAAATCTCATAAAATCATTTTCCCGTTTGTCATCGTGAACAGTTTCAGACCCAGTTCGATGTTTGGAGAGCTACTCTGACGGAAACAAGGTCAAGAACTTTTTCCTCGGAATTACGGAAAACAGGTCAGCCGTGAGTGTACAGTGGGTTGCGCAGTTGGTTGCCCCTTTGCGATTGCAGCTTTGGTTGCCCCTTTGCCCGCGCTTTTTCTATTGTTTCTTTCTAGACTCGCTCAAAGTGATTGCAGGATTGGTTGCCCCTCCACCCGCACTTTAGGGGGCAACTACCTGCGCAACCCACTGTACGGAGAAATCGGGGCCAGTTTACGCAAGCTGCTCGTGTTCAAGGTCAGCTTTCGGGGAAAGCGCTAAGCCCGGAAAATTGGAAAGTCTTGTAAAAATAGACTTTCTGGGAACTAGGGCCAGGAAAAAGAGTGTTGCATTTGAATGCAGTTAGAAATGCACCTGAATGCTGCTGATTGATATCGCAGCACCAGTAATCTTCAGCTTCCGAATTTGAATTTCCTGTGGTCTCCTGCCGAGAGAAACCATCGAATCAGTTGTTGAAAGATACATTTCTTTGAATCGTAGATATTCAGAGAAATTCTAGCGCTTTCTCTGTTCCAGCTGGATTTTATCGGTTTCAAAGAAATGCGGCGAGTTCAGAGGTTGATCCGATAATTCGCCAAATTCCGGAAAGATTTGAGTTTTGACCGAAGCGAATGATTTTATGGTTCTGAAGGAGATTTAGATTCGCGATTTGAGTTACAAATTTACGATCTTGGAACGTATTTGAGTTGAATTTGCAAGCTCTGTGGGAGCTGCCCCAACCGGTTTGGGCAGCAATTTTCAAGAGTTCTTGGAAGCTGTCGACAGAAGTTTTGTTCGAAGCCGGAATGATTGAGGCGAAGTTTGGAAGATGAAAACGTGAACTGGATAGATAACTAATGATATCAAAAGTCGCCTAGAACACAGTCTCCCTCCAGGAACCTTGACCCACTTTCTCGGCTGGCCTTGAAAACACAAACGACCAGGCAGGAAATCTCGTGCACTAGATTCTTTCGAGGCAGACAACGGAAATAAAGCGCGCAAAAAAAGAATAACCGTTTATAATATCGGTGAAGGGATTGTCGGATCAGTGACTGGGATTCCGCTGAGCGGGAATTTCGAGCCTTTGGAGATTTGCGGTTTACACCTCGAGACTCGTGTGGGGCGGATTATTGATTTCAGGCATCTAAGAGAGCTCAAGAAAATAATTCCAAAGCGGTTTTTTATGAACCGTCGAAGGAGTTGAAAGCAATGGTAAGTGACTGTAGACAACAGGCCGATTTTCGTGTAAGGATACGGATTTTCAAGGCAATACTTCACGAATTTCCTCCAATAAAAATGTAACTTCTCCATCTCCAAAATATCTTTCAAAATCTGACCCAATTTCTTAGCTACCTTCTATCTGTTCATATTTGAACAGGAACAGCTTATCTATTGTACGTATCGTTATCGAAGCTACATCTGCTTCGGGGGTACGAAGAATCTACTGTTGATCTTTATCTTCTCAGAAATTCGACGATGTCACGCTGAGCCCAAGCGCGGGAAACGGCTGGCAAGAGCGCCGCGGCGCAATTTCGGAACCTATAAAATCGCTCTTGGAAGGAGAGGCAACCATCAAATCATAAACAATACAGTTTCAAACAACAAGAACTCGAGCAAAAGCACTGAGAGCTAGAAAACAGTCAGAGATTCAAAAAGAAAAATGTCTCGAAACAGCGAGTCCGGCTACTCCTCCGATGAGAACATCGTCTCTCCTCAAGAACAAATCTCCAAAGACCAGCGAAGATTCGCCAAGACGTACGAGGTCGAGGAAGAAATGATGAAATCTGCCAACGGCGTCATCTACACAGGCTTTCACCACAAGACCGAGCAGCGAGTCGTCATCAAGCAGATTCCACGAAACAAGATCTCCGAGTTCAAACAAGTTCAAAACCGACCCGTCCCGAGCGAGATCTACTACCATTTCAAGGCAGCCCAAGCATCCAACTTCGTCGTCGCTCCTCTTGACTGGTACGAGCGGCGATCTTCTTTCGTCCTTGTCATGGAGCGCCTCGATGGCTACGTCGACCTCTTCGAATTCGCCAACAAGAACGGGGCAATCAATGAGGAAGCGGTTCGCATCATTGCCGGCCAGTTGATCACCTGCTGCATGGAACTCGCCCGCGCCGGCATCTGCCACCGCGACATCAAAGACGAGAACATCCTCATCAACCCCGAGACCCTTGAGATCCGACTGATCGACTTCGGATGTGCTAGCCGCGACGGAGCCTGCTACACAACTGCCCGTGGAACTCCCAACTACTGGCCCATCGAATTCTTCCAGAACCGACTTCTCAGCGCCGAGCCACTCACTGTCTGGAGCATCGGAGCTGTCATCTACATTCTTCTTACCGGAAACTGGGAGACTGATGGTCGTGGCCAGATGCAGCGAAACTTCCTCGCCGAACGCAGCCTTTCTCCCTTCACAGTCGCTCTGATTGACCGCATCTTCTGCCCTGATCCTATGTCTCGAATCACGATGGAAGAAATCATGGCATCTGGATGGTGCTAAGCTCACGCTTTCAAAAATTACTATTCCAACAAAATATTTATTTGTACATATTTGCCTTTATTCTGAAAGTTCTTCAATTGATAGAAAAATAAAGACCTTGAAGCACCACAAGTGTCAGAGTTTATTTCACGTTGTAATAGCTCTCTACGTTAGTCTAATATTAAAAATTTCCTGGGGTTTTATTTATTCTTTTTGCAGCCAGAGAATATAACAGAAAAAACAGGTAATTTTCAGCATCATGTGATCTCACTTGCAAGCGCCCGGATATACAAAGTCGTTCCTTCTCTTATACCTGCTTAAAGATCTCACACTACCAATAAGACATGATAAAATTTCACTTTAGTTACGCCTTCTTGGTGGAACCTTACTGAGGTACGAAGAGAGGGTTACTTTTATTCTGTTCTGATTTATATGAAAACATATATAATATTTTAAACTCACGTGGTATTTTTCCACAAAGTCTCTTGAAATCCTTGCAGCAGTCGTCGAACAGCAAACAAGAGGAGTCACAAAAACAGTCTCTTTTCAATTCATCATTTGGACTTTCAATCGATGTCGGTTGCTCTTCGCATGGGATGCCAAACTTATTCAGTAACTTGTTGTTGCATCCAAAGCATTTGAGCTCTACTCCCTGACAGCACATCTCATCAAGTGTCTCCCCACGAGTCTCACAGAGAGCTTTCCCTCCGGTAGATCTTTGAAACATCGACCGTGCGTTGATGTTTTCCTGCGTAAAATCGCTAGTTAAAAAGAGAAACCTCAAGCTCCACATCTGCACCGTTCTCTCAACTGTTGGAAATTCCTTTGGAAGAAAGCAACTGTTGAAATATTATACTAAAAGCCGTAGGTGAAGCTCGAGTTCATGAAAAAAGAAGGTTCAAAGCAGCCATTTCAAGTGGGACTAATGTTCTCGGATTTGGCGGATTTGCTGCCTTTGCTTGGTGAAAATGAGAAAAAGAAACTGCACAAGTCCCTGTACTTGACTCTTTTTTCTTGCTGAGTAAGATAGAACGCGATGTTCAACGCGTGAGAGTGAGTGATTTTATTATTTTTATTTAGTTTTATGAATTTTTATCAGCAGTGGATTTTGCATCAACTTTTGGAGGTGGCGCTTCTTTCCGAGTCAACTTTCCTTAGCAGTCTTAAGGGCCCTAATAAATAGAAGCGAAACATGTGTGCGGATCTAACCTGAAGAGCGCGGCGGCCTCGCGTATCCTTGCGAACTCGACACAGAATCCTTGCACCTCGCTCAGGCTGTCCTTCATGTCGTACAGGGAGTTGTTGATGAGCGCCCGCAAGAAGACGCAAACCAAACGCACAAGACGGCCTTGCTGCGAGCGATCCTACGTTCCGTTCATAGCCATTACAGTTAGCTGAGTACCTTTTGGTCCTCGCACGTCTTCGTGCAGCGCGAAATATAATAAGGGATGAAGTCTGAAGGCAGTTCAACTTGCGAGACGAGGCGGTTGACCACCTCGAGACTCTGCAACGTTACAGGTATTTGCGTCATTTGATGAAGATACTTTTTGATCTCGTCCTTGTCTTCGTGCTCCAGGACGGTCATGAGGAACTCAACTGTCAGCATGGGGTTGTACTCGACCAGTTGAGGCAGCAAGTCGGCTGTGAATCCAAGCGACTCCATCAGCCGGTGGTCTTTCTACGGAAAACGTAAGAACTGTCACTACTCAAGTAAAAACCTTTATAGCTTCTTTTAAATATGCTTCTTCCGTGGCGTCGAGCTTTCTTTCTGTCGAAAATTTCAGTAATCTTTCGAATTCGCTCGTTTCCTTGCTATTTACACACATTTCATCATCCCACTCCAACGTGTGGTGGTAGTGTTCGTTTGGAAGCATCCATTCCAGCTTGGACTTATTGGTAAAAGATATCTTTAAGCGACTGTACCTCATTTTCAATATAGTCAAAAACAGGAGGAGGAATCGAGATCTGTGAAGGGCGCAAGAATCGCTGCCCAAAGCTTGGCTCGGAAAGGATCATTTGCATCGTAGTTCTGCGGAGTTGTTCATCTAAATTCAAATCAAGGAAGAGAATGAGGACAGAAGTGCACCGCTTTGATTGGAAACGTTGAAGCGTTCTGGATCTGGAATTATGGAAGAAATTGCTGCTCGCTGCAATGCAGATCGCGAGTCATCTCCAAGCGCTTTCTCAATCAGTGGCAATGGAACATCTGGCAGCTCTGTTGACAGCAATGCTTTTGGGCTTTTTTGAAGAACATCTTTATTTCCGGAAAGAATATTACGCAGCAATTTCTACAAGAATTTACCACGAGTCGAATATTGACTACGTACCTGCTCAAAGGGATTACTTAAAACTGGATTGATCCTATGATAAATTTCTTTGAATGGCGTTTCTTTGGAGCAACCAAGCGCGCCAATGACGCCAACGCGCGCAACCCTGCTGAGGAGGTCGCATTCAAGCAAACAGGCTAGCCCGGAAACGAGTCTGTGGTCGTTGAGTTTTTCAGTGTACAAAGACAGGCTCAAATCCTGTATACTTCTTTCGGAGTCCTTGCCATCTTGGCATCGATCTGTGAACGTTAGAAGCGCATCAAGCTCCTCGGCGGTTAGTGACATTTCATTCTGCAATAAAAAGATCTTTTAGCTTTCAGATTGAACTTTATTTTTTGTTCCTTGCTCTCTACATGTGAGTCAGATAAGGGGTTTGGTCGTCAGGTGCGATTTCATAAGGTGGCAGTGAGATAAATGAAGGTTCAGTGATTCAAGATTAATTAATTTTCCTATTTTTTTTGCAAGGAATGTGTTGTGAATCGTTTACAGGAGGAAGAGCATTTCGTCCGCGCACATGAGCATGTTCTCTTCAGCCATTGCAGTGACAATTGAATTGATCTCGGAGTCGGAGAACTGTTCCGAAGGCATAAGCTTGGAGTTGATGACTTCTTTCGCATGAGCAAGCGCCACAGTCTACGAGTAGGTATGAAAAAAGGAAAACGCATTTAAAACTGACCTGTTCTCGATTTTCGTAGAAGGCATCGTTCAATAGATTCTGGAATTGTTCACGTCGTGCAGCAGGGACTGGTACTATTGGCGCGTCGGTGATTTTAATAGTAGGAGTCTCATCCTCGTTGTCGCTGTTGGCATCGAATTGATCACCCTTTGATCTCTTTGGAGTTCGAGCACTTGACTCGGATGTCCGTCCTCGCTTGTTTTTACGACCTTTTCGAGGTGTTTTCTTGGATGTTGATGGCTAAGATATATTGAGAAAACAGTAGCGAATGATGAGCTTACCTCTTCACTAATGCTCATGTCATGGATGCTTTCGTTTAGTCCATCCTGGGAGTCTTCATCTTCTTTGGGTGGCTCAAGCTCTTCTTCTTCCTCTTCAGACAATTCTTCATCAACGTTGTCTTCCTCATCGGTACCATCGTGCTCTCTCTGTCCTCTTCGTTTTTTAGGCTTTTCAGTGACCTGCGGAATTATAATATCGAAGATTGAGTCATTTAAATCTTACCTTTGCGAAGTAGGCAAATTGAATAAGCTCAATAGCAGCTTGAGCGTCTTCCTTCATGACTTTCTTGACCATTCGACACTTCGCATGGGCAGTTGAGAGACGGATCAGAGTCTCAAGCGCTCGAGCAGTGATAGGAATTGTTTTTGCATTGCCCTCTAGATAAAATTCGATTGAATGCTATATAAAAGTAGGCTCGATACCTGAAACATCGGCGACAGATCGAAGTCGAGCATACTCTTCAGAAATCAAATCGGCTGCGGCCTAAAACAATGTAAGACTTACGAATCTTATATTAATCCTACCTTTGTAAGGACAGGTCTCAATGCTCTCGCACATTGAATATATTTTCGAATGAAGGTCGATGATAAAATTCTTTCGCTCGAACGTCGAGATCCATGAAGGAACTCGTTGTGATCTTCGTACATTTGCTCTTATATTTTTTAAGAATATGAAAACATAGAAAGGTAGTATACCTCCAGCGTCATTTCTGGCAGAGTTTTCCTCGTTGGTCGTGAGTCGGTCTGCATCATTGTCGATTTGAATAGCTTCACCGTCTTGTTGAGACGGGTCTCGGTATCTAAGAGGCATCTTAGCATCACGCAATAAGAGTCCATCGGTTACCTATGATTCTTGATGACACGGTCAGCGATCTCTCTGTCGAGCTCTGGCTCAGCGTTGTCAATGATCACAAAGAGCAAATCAAAACGCGATAACAACGAGTCGGGCATCGCAATGTTCTCCATTGGCGTCTTATATTGATTATATCTTCCAAAGATAGGATTCGCAGCTGCGAGCACGGAGCATCGCGCATTCAATTTCGCTTGGATACCAGCTTTGGCGATAGTGACTCGACCCTGTTCCATTACTTCGTGGATGGCGGTTCTATCCATCTCCGTCATTTTGTCAAACTCATCAATGCAAACGACTCCTCGATCAGCCAAAACCATGGCGCCAGCTTCGAGCCGTCTTTCACCAGTTTCTTCGTCGGTTGTGACCGCTGCAGTGAGACCAACGCCGGAAGTACCTCGACCGGTAGTATTGATAGCGCGCGGGGCAGTTTTAAGCACATATCGAAGCAGCTTAATTCCATGTGGAAAACAAGAAACAAGCGAGTCCGTTTACCTGTGATTTGGCAGTAGAAGGATCGCCGATGAACATGACGTTGATATCACCTCTGAGTCTCGTTTTGTTCTTCAAGATTTTCTCACATCCTCCGAGGAGCATAAGAAGAAGAGCCTTTTTCGAATACAGATGGCCGTGTATACTTGGTGCCATGGAACTTGCAATCTTTTTGAACACATTTGGCGTTCTTGCGTATTTTCGAATAGTTGCAACGTCCTTGTCTAGAATCAAAAGCTATGGATCGACTCGAAAAGAGGATATTTACCTGAGAAAATAATTTCTTTGTCTTTGCTGAGCATTTTAATATTATTCGCAATAATCGCTGTTCTAAAGATTCCGGTCGTATGGCCAGCCTTCTTTCCTGGCAAGCATCGGTACGTTCCAATAATTTGGCAACGGTCGCCAGGCTTTACTTGATCAACCAAATCATTGTCCATCACGATGTCAATTGATCGAGGGAGCTGTCCCGTTGGAGCTTTTTCTGGCATTTCTTGGATTGTGACAGTCTGATGATCGCGGAAAGTGCACAAGCCGTATTCAGTCTCTAACGCTTCGCCAGTCTCGGGATCTTGTGTTGGGTACGCGCTGCCAGTCTGGCCTTTCTCAGAAATCGAAGTCAAATCGCCATATTGTCGGGAGAGCATTTTCTTGCTTGCAGGGCAGTAGTGGATTGATTGGACGAGTTTTGGACGGACAAGTGAAGCCTTTAACAGTTTTAACACATTTAGACAGTATTACTGTTGTACCTTTGTAATAATTCCTTCGACACAAACAGTACTGTTCATAAACGAAGCTTTCAGCGTTCTTGGAGTAACGTGTTTTTTTCCAAAGGAGCCTTCGAGCCCCAGATAGAATTCTTCATGAAGCTTACTGTACTGTGGATCCACTTGATTGACATATTCTTTGATAGCTTTTTCGAAAGCTATGATTTCACTAAATGCACCATTCAAAAGTCGTTCTGCTCGTTCAGCATCATGTCTTCTCAAATCAGCGATATCGACGACCAAACGAGTCTGTTTTTCCTTGATCATATCACTAAAAGATCCAATATTATCTTGCCAGTGAGTGACTGTACTTACAGAACCTCTGCATTATATTTATTTTCATCGTCGCCATCATCGAGGAAGTTTAGATAGACTCGAGCGGCTTCTTGAATATCAACGCCTAGGACGTCCATTCTAAGAGGTCGTGCTCACTGCTTTTGTTGGAAAAAATAACTTCGTGTATCAAAATTAAGAAAGGAAATACAAAAGAAGTGGAATGGAAAGTATCAGTGTAAGGCTTCGTTGATGTACATTTGAAGTGCTTCAAGGCGTTGGTCAATCTCGCCGATGTTGAAGGAGCTACCGTTGATGAGCGAATCCTCAAGACGGAGAGAAGCCTGGCTTCCTGTGTAGGAGTCAAGTGTGTCGTTTTGCAAGGAGTGATGTGAAGGATCAGGTGTTGAAGAACGAGTTACAGTGGATTTTCGCGATAGTCTGTAAAGACATTTAAAAAGCCTTACTAGAAATAAACTTGCCTAGATTTCCGAGAGTAGTTTGAATCAACTGATTCTGCTCTCGATCGTGATTTTGGTTTCTCAATGGCCGGGGGTCTTCTGTTACGCGCTAAAACTTTTGCTCACTTGAAATTCTTTCAGTTTCTTACCTAATGATCTTTTTGTCTCACTTTCTCTCTGCTTTTTTGCTCTGACATAAGCAGTTGGGTCGAATCGCTTGAAGCTCCCCCTGGAGCCAACTGATCCCACCGATTTCGCAGATCCGATGGATGATACTGATCTTCTCGAACTGACAGAGCACGCGGGGGAAACATCTCTCGACCTAAAGTTCGACCGTCGACCAGTAGAAGGTACAGGTCCGCTTCTGTTTGATACAGCAGGGGAAACTTCTCTTGATCTTGAAGCTCGAGTTGAGGCTGTGTATGAAGCTCTTTTGAAAAGGTTGAAATGCGCCTTTCCGGTCTGATGATCGATTTTCGGTAGAATAGATTTCCTGCCTTAGGCGCTAGAGGTTATTCAATCGATCAGAATAGAGCCATTTCAAACTGTTCCTTTTGACGGGCCTAGAAGTCCTCTCCCTTGAGTTCTGTCGACTTCGCTGTCTATCATAAGAGTTTTCTCTCGATCTAGTATCTCGTATCCGCGATACAGATGTGTGAGATATCGTCGGTTTTCTACCGCGCTTGTACGTTTCTAGTTCTGTTTTTAACTTGCTTAGTCTTGATTCTAGCTTTCTGTTTTCTGATTGGAACTCGCGAAGTTCTCCTTCTAGAGATTTTATCTGAGCGTTTTTCTGAGAGAGGATTTTCTTGTTTTTCGTCTTTTCTGAGCTCAATGCAGTTTCCATTTCTTCAACTGATTGCATATTGAAAGATTGGTCTAATCGAGGAAGATTTACCTAATTTACGGATTTGTCGTTGATGTTTGGCACTTGTTACTGTTTTGACTTCGTTTTTCGCTTCTTCTAGCTTTTGTTTCAGCATCATGTTCTCGTAAACGAGCGCTTCAAAATTTGACTTTTGATGAGCAACTGTATCCGGCGCTTTTAGTCTCCTGATTTCGTCTTGAAGTTGTCCGATTATCGTGCGTAGCTCGAGTGCGTCGGATTCGCTTTTATTCGGGAAGTGAAGTGTGTTGCCTGGTTTTAAAACTGAGGTTGGGTTGAAGACTTGACTACTTTCAGGAAGAAGGCTGAGTGGGAAGTGGTTCTTTTCGTAATTATTGTGAACTGTAAGTAAGAGATAACGTCGATCTCCAGGAGGCCTTATGTGCGAAGGTTGCCGAGCGGAAGTTGATCCGTTGCGGAGGGACTCGAGATCTGCGGGAGTTAGTATTTGAAGACAACATTCGGTATTTTCTAAAAAGAGTCATTATTAATGACTCATTAAAGTGGTCAATTTAGACAGACTTTCAACAGACCTTTTCCAGTGATTGCTTTTGCCAAGAGTGTAATAAACGTATCAAAGTCCTTGTGACAACCAGTTTTCTTGGTCAACTCGGATATATACTGCGGCGAGAAGGAATTTGCCCAGCTTTGCCGCTCTAATCGCACTCTAACTCGGAATCCATCGACAGATGTTGATAGAGTGATCTCGTACAGATCACCTTTGCTATCGATGTACCCAGAAAACATCCGATTTCGTCCAAATACTCTATAAAATATAAATCAAATTGCCAGCTTGTTCAATTTCGGCAGTATTTTTTACAGTTCGCAATTTGCGGAGCTTTTCGATGAGAACAGTAATCAGACTAATTCAGCTTTGGAAACTTCGCTGCGTAGCCATGTCGTCCAACATTTGCTGGAGTTCTTCGTCAGGGAAGCGGCCCTCCAAACTGGGAATCAACGCTACAACGATAAGATACGCGATGGTTAATTTCTAATAATATACCTTTAGCTTCATCAGCGGTTTCAGGGCAAAGATTGGCGAGCGCAGCGATTTCAAAACGATGTAGCCGCTTTGCCGTCAGCATAGTTCTGACGTTGACAATGACGTCTTGATTCTTGAACTTGGAGAATCGCTACAATCAAATGTTAGCAGTGCTAATGTCAGAACTGACAGTTGTACGTTAGAACTGTTCAATACCTTGCAGTAGTCAAGTGTCTTCTGGAATACTTCCGAAAGCTCGACATCATCTCGTCTTCCTTCGTCGTTTTTCATCCTATGCTCGAGGAGAACTTTGACTTCCGAATTCATGAGCGTCGTGGTTTCTGCAAACTCCTTATAACTTGTTAAATCGACGCCTTAATGAAAGATGAACCTTTGGAAACTGGAGCTGAGCTGCGTCTTCCTCGTCAAAGTCAATATTCTGCGCCATTTTCAACTTTTCAAATCAATCTTTTATTTACAAATGATTAGCTGGGTGAGCAGTTCTTTCTCTGTATATAATGGTTATTGTTATAAACTTTAGTAAGGCACGAGAATAGATCAGTACGAAGTGAAGTGAATTGAAGTGAGTTGTTCGAACATACTTTACATGTGAATAAGCTCGATAAAAAATTGGAAGGCTCGTCGATAGAAGATGGAGGACAGAAATGCAGGAGGGAGATAAGTTGATAAGTGTTAAGTTGATAGGGCTTTCGCAGTTTGATGTGTAAGTGTGGGGAATGCAGGGGTGCTTAGATGCCGTCTTTTTCAAGCAGGACTTCGAGCTTGGTAATCATGTCCTCTCGTAGCGCGTCGTGCTTCGTCGAGTAAAGAGAATCGAGGTGCTCGGTCTTTTTTAGCCAGCCAAACACGTTCTCTACTCGGCCGATGGTTTTTTCTGTCACGTGAGGCTAAACGCAATGTCAATCAGAAAATTTCTAATGAAGCTACCTTCAATGCAGTTTTGAGAAGAGTGTCGGCCGAGTCAAGTTGGCCGTGGAGCATGTCTTTATTATACGTAAACGGAGTCCTGTGAAAGTAGCAAATTGTGTTGGCAATATTGTTGATTTTCGAGCGCAGAATTTCCCAGTTTTTGATTTCGCCCTGATCGATTTGCTTGTTGTGGAATAGAACTCCGGTTTTAACTACCAATTTGATCGCGTCTTTTAACAGTTTTTCTGCTGTTGCTTTTCCCGACTCGATCTTCGAAATGTTTCTTACTTGAAATCAAGGACGAGAACTTACCTTTGCCCACTTGTAGAAATCGTCTAGCACGACGGAGATATTATCATCGACAACTAGTTTGATAGAGTTTTTCCCCACCATTTTCCCAAGAACCTTCTTCTGCACCTTCACCAGAAGGTCCTGTGAACTACTTTCACCCGACATCTAAAAACAAAATTGAAGCAGTAATGATGGTGGAGTAATGACGTCATCAAAATGCATTATGAATAGAGACCTCGAGAATGATGACGTCATATCTCCACCACCAATGGTGCAAATGACACCAAAAGCTTATTTAACATACTACAGACACTCTTCATTACTCTCCAAAAGAGAGAAATGAAAAATGTTGAGTGGAAGGTATTCAAAAACGCTCCACCAATTTGCGTCAGTATAAAAAAAAACCTGTTTATACGAAAAGGTAGATATAACAGTAGAAAAATACGAAAATTTCAGTAGAAAATATAGACTTTGACAGAATTGTAGAAAAATAAACAGTTGGTTTTGGATCTTAGACTGTTCGGCTGTGACACATTGGACAAATTTCTGCTCTTTGGATTTCATTTTCGTAGGCGCAATGCCGACAGGTCGAGCACATCCAGAACTGGCAGTCTAAACAAGATTTAAGGAACTGTCAAATGTCTTGTGCTACCTGTAAGAGGTCTTCCAGACATGACACACGTCGGTATTTTCGTCTCTTTTTGCATCTTGTCATATGGATTGGTGTCCTCCGGGCGGTATTTTTTAAAGATTCTGATCGCCAACTGTGCGTACTGATTTTGCTCATCTTCAGATAAGCTTGGCATTGCTTCAAGTTTACTAAATGCTCGCGAACAAAGACCAAAACGACGAGCGGCGGCTGAGGCGGTAGCTTGAAGAGAGTAGATTTTTACCGGGTCAATGAGATCTTCATATTGGGCGAGACAGATGGATGTTGTCGCTGCTGCATCAGGATTTCCACTGTAAGTAAAATTTTACGTCTGTATTATAAGAGATGTTTACCTGTAGAGTTGTTTACAAGCAAGTGTGTAGAAATGCCACGCTTCAGCCCCTCGCCAAGCTGAATCAAGCATCGTTACAACGGCGAAATCTTCTTTTTCTTCTCTCAAAACTCCTTCCAGCACTCCAAGCGTGTCAGTTCTTCCGGATTGAGCTTTTCTCTGGTCGTGATGTTGCTCAACAAGTAGTGCGGAGAGAACGTAGAGCTTCTTGACTCGAATAGGCTGGAGATTAGCGAGTGAGCCCTCCTTGGCGGCGACTTTGAAGAGGAGCTGAGCTGCCTTGATGAAGTTGCCCGCTTTGCTGTATAATTGAGACGCTTGGCAGTCTGCAAAACAAAATAAGTAGTAATAGTCTTCGTCAATAAAGACTTACCTAGCTTAGCGTCCAGCAGCGACGCGGCTTTCTTCTCAAGCAAACCAGAAACATCATCAAGTTTATGAGCCTCTGCAAGTTTAACAGCCTTTTCCCAATCATTAAGCTCTACAGCAGTCTTACATGCCAAGTCGGGTCTGTGAGCTCGAATGAACGCATTGATTGCTTGCTCTGATAAGCCTAGGCTGCGATAGAGACGACCACACTCGACAAGTTCTTCAGCTCCATCAAAGAGAGCTTGCTCTATTCTCATCATGCCCTGCCAATCGCCAGCCATGTAATGAGCTCTAATGTTCTTAAAATTCTATTAAATTCGATTTTCATTTGTCGAAATTATACCTTTTTAAATTCACCAGCATCATTGAGAAATTTACAAGCAACATCCCAATTTTTATCGTAAAAGGACTAAAAAATAATGAGCTCTAAAAAAGCAGCTGGCGACTTACTTTGATACCAATATTTTTACAAGACTTTCTGAGTTGAGTATCGTCAGACAACGCACTGTCATGAGTTGTTTTTAAAATCTGTAACACTTTTTGTTCATTTCCAATTAGACGTTGATGCTCTGTTGCAAGATCCAACCTGATTTTTGAGTAAGTTTTAGGGGGAAAATATTTATCACCTATCAATTGATCTGTATAAATTCTCAGCGTCTTCATGCCTCCCGAAGAATGCCGCAATCTCTGCACTCTTCAGTGTATCGTCGCTATAATTCTTCAGCTTTTTGATAACTTGAATCGCCAGATAGTCCTTGCAATGAATAAACGCCTCTTCTGCCGTCTTGAGTTCGAGCTTTTCCATCGCTGCTTCACCAAGTATTCGCCATAGCCGAGGACTCGAGTTTTTGAGAACCATTTCTTTCGCTTGGCCGATTCCTATTTTTTCGATGGTTTCTCGCACATTCCTCAGCGTTTCTGATTCCTGGACAAAAATGTCCGTAGGGCGTGGATCTTCTGGACGCCGCATGATTTCATCAACCAGTACACATTCAACTTCGTGATCTCGCATCAAGGAGACAAACGCAGATGTAACGATAGGTTCTTCATGTTTCTTGTCGTGGAATATCGTAAGCTTTGTCTTTTCATTCAGCGCCAATTGACTGGAGTCGTCACTGGCCCACATGACATTCCAGCATTCTTTCCTATCAAAGTTCGTCTGTTCACCTTTGCTCCCATCATCTTGACGTGCATCCAGGTCAACAATATACAACAACGCTTGATGATCAATTACTGATACTTTTGAGGAGTTGGAGTTGAGCTTTATGTCTAAAGGAGTGCCACCAGAAAACTGGAACTCTTGCTCGAGCTCCATACTTGGCAAGCCGTAACGTAAGAGTTTGCCGCTATCTCTGGCGATGATGAAATGACTTTGACTCGCACAGATCGCCGTGACTTCATCATTTCCCTCTCGATCCACGTCGATCATTTTCGTCTGTTGTCCAGCGACGGCAGCATACTGGCCGATGCTTGACTTTTCCGCAATTTTCAGCCGCCAAACAAACACTTTGTCTATACTTGCAGCGACCGCGAAGTTTTTGCCAACAGCGAGGAACTTGACAAAGAATGGAACAGTGATTTGATCAAGCTCAGCCCCGATCGAGTTCAGCAGCGATAGTTGTGAGTTGACAGCGCTCTTGCAAATGACAACGTGGTCTCCAGCGGTGCCAAGGTGATTCAGCGACTCGATAGTCTTCAAATGACGACCGCCGGTTTTCGTATTCCAGAACATAATCTTTGGAGTACCAAGATCACCTTGGAATGCGTACACCAGTGTGTGGGACTCTGCACAATAGCCCCATAAATAATCAGGCCTCAGATTCGCGAAATATATCGAGTCCTTGTAACTGACAGCTAGTCGTAATCTCTCCCACGAAATCGATTCCACTGGTCCGGGAAGTTTTAGTGAACGTAAGTGTGCTCCGGCTGTGTTAAATAACTCGCACCAATACGGAAGCTTTGGTGAGTTTCGCTTATTGCCAGCAAAGGCGATATAAAGACCGTCGGGAGAGAATTTGACATCTTTGACTTCTTCTAATCCAGTGTCGATCATCTCTGGCTTCGGATCTGACTCATTTTCAAGTAACACGGCTTTACCAGACATAAATGTTATGACAAGCGTGTTTTTGCTCGGTGCTAAAAAGTGGATTTCGTCAGCATACCAGGCGATTGAGAAGACACGTTGACCCGGAGGAATGCTTCTCATTTTGAATAGTTGGTCTCCGTTGGCATCGTGTACCATGACTTCTGTTCCAGCAAGGACCAGGAGCAGTTTGTCTCCTTCAGGTGACCAATTAACATGTGTGACTGGAGAATCACCGATTGACTTGCCCCACACTCGCTGACCGTCAACTGAACCAACGATGACTTGCCCATCATCATATGCGATCGCTATTCTCTCCCCCTCGGGCGACCACTGCATGGAGGTAACTGTCGTCTTCGGCCTGTAATTAATCATTTCCTCGTACCACCGCCCGTCGTACATGACCCAAACGATTATTCGACCGCGGGAGTCAGCGCTTGTGAGTTTTCTGTAGACCTCGTTCCAGATGACAATCTTTACAGTCGTGGAGTGTCCATCAAGTTGTTCATTCATGTCCAAATTCGAAGGGGCAGATAGACCCTTTATCCTGTTTTCTGGAGTATCGTCTGGAGATTCAAGCTTGAGGACTTTTAAGAATCCATCGACTCCCGCGGCGGCGATGAACCCATGTGTTTTATTCCAAGCAAGGGCTTTTAGCGTCGCCCCGTCTGGGACGGCGATCTTTTTGCTCATGTAAATAAACATCTTCGAATTCCGATTATTCTAAAAACTCTAAAATGTCCAATTATTGAGAGTTTTCTAAAGTGGCAGTTTGTTTAATTTGGTCTAAAAATGAACTTCACACACTTTCACAAGGTTTCAAAAGGGAATCAGTAATTGAAAAACGCCTAATGCTTATTTTCATTCACGAGGATCATCGAGTTAGCTTCTGCGGCGAGGTCGAGTACGCTTCGAGCTGTTTGAGTGTTGAGAAAGTTGAACAAGCCGTATTTGGAGCTCATGAGCATATTCACTGTTTTGATCGCTTTCTCTGGCAGGTTCGATCCCAATTGAGCCTTCATCGATGCTACGACGAGGAGGGGGATAATAACACTAAAAAGTATCAGACAAAATTCTAGAAATGGCTTCATACGCTTTGGCATCGTTGTCGAACCATTCCGCGTTCGTTGTAAGAATCTGTACAACTTTTTCATCGATTCTCGTAGCCAGCGACTGAAGCTCTCGCGCTGATTTCAACATGTCAGATCTTTTCTGCTCGTTTCTCGATTCGATCGTCACTCTCTATCAGAGGTTGATAACTTGTTGATGAAGCAGAATGGATTTACCTGCACAAATGTCAAGCCGGATGTGATTTCCTGAATTTCCTCCGGCGTGGAGTTATTGAAGAGTCTGCTCCACTTGCTAAACATGTCCATGGCTTCCAAGTGCGCTCGGATCGCCACGAATGGTTCATTTTTCTTGATTTCATTAGCACCAGCATCTTCCATTTTCTTCACCGCGATTCGTGCAGCTTCGTCGTTCTTCATAACAATCATGTTTTTGATCAGACTACAGGCGATATTGAACGAAGACTAAAAGAAAAAGATATCCAAAAGCTTTCAAGAAAAGGTTACCGATAAATCCTTATTAGCGAGTAAAATTTCCAAAGCATCCAAATCAGTTTCTCCCGATTTCGTCTGCTGCATCGAAACAGCCGCTTGTTTCGTGATAGAACTTATACAAAGCCCAGCCTAGAAGAAAGATGAGAAACTAGCGAGAGAAAAATATGAGACCTCATTCGCTAAATCGATCAACTTCTGACGATGGATTTGATTCATGCAGCTCAGATTCACGAGCAATTGAGAGTAAAGTCCGGATGCTGATTCTTCGTCAAGTAGTCGGCAATAATGAGCGACTAGAAGCGCATCCTCATGTGGTCGGCAATCAGGGTCGACAGAGGAGACCAGCATTCTCGAGTAATTTCTAAAGAAATTTACCACCTGTTCATTAATCAAAAACATACTCAATGCAAGCCGTGGTAACAGATCCAACGCCAACGCTTTGAAGAACAGTCGACAAGTGTGCTAGAAATCTCGCTTGGTGTTTGTTCTTTGCGTCTATTGTTTCGATATGGCTTCCAAGACCTTCCAAATCGTCAAGGATCAGGAATTCCTGTATTTTTCTGAAGATTGTCTTCTTTTCCTGCGAGTTGCCTCCAGCCGCAGCTTTTTGCAGCAAGTTTTCAACGGGTTGATTTTGTTTCCAGAATGAATCTGGTAAAGTCTCTCGAGCTCCCATCATGCTTTCCGTAATTGACTGTTCGATGATGACATCGATCGCGGCCGTGAGAAGCGCCCAGAGTCGATCTTCCCAACTCTTGGCTAATTGAAGAAGCGGCTCACTGAATCCACAAACAGCTCCTATGATTCCTCGCTCAATAAGCGGAATTTGAGGGCTCTCACAAAATGCCAAGGCTGATTTCTTCCAAATATCTCGCATTTCGACACCTTCAATTTCGCCCTCTGCATGCTCGTCCTCGATTTTCGGATTGTGATACATCGTAGCTCCTTCCATGATGGCCGCTTTGAATGCTTGACCAGAATTGAGGCATTTTTCGATGGCTCCAGTGAGATCACCAGAGCGGATCATGCGAAAGATATCGGTGTTGAATTTGGTCAATGCTTGCTGGTCCAAAACATGAAGATCTTTCTTCGCGACGTCAGGATTGAGATCAACGTCGATCTTGCCCAACTTTACTTGATGGAATGTGTTGTCGGGAGTTATTCGATTTGTAAAGTGGTTATCTTCAAATTTAGCGCTGTGCTCTAACCAGTCGAGAACGGCACGCAAGTGGCGAAGTTCGGGGTGCGCTCGGTAGCAGTTGGCCTTGGCGTCGCGCTCTGAATACATGGCAGTTTCGGCAAAGTTTTCCATTTCTTCGGAGTCTTTGTTTTGGATAATTCCCTGTAAGAGTCTCCAAGTAGCTGCTTCTTCGATGATCTCACTGGAGAGATTCTAATGATATAAACAGGTTTTTTTTAACGTTGCACCATTTTTGTGGAGCGCTTTTCAGCGGGTTAGAGTTGAGATATTTTGGTTATCTCTTTTGCACCATGTAGGGGAGGGTCTGTAGTATGTTAAATAAGCTTTTGGTGTCGGCAGCATCAGTGGTGGTGGAGTAATGACCTCATTCATTGGGAATTCGCGGCAAAGCGTGAATGGTGGGAGAAATTTTGAAAAGTCCTTAAAAGCACCATATATTCTTTTTTATCATACAGGGATGTTTCCTACATGTATACGAAATAATTATGATAGTTTTTGGTGCCAGCACCAGTGTTGGTGCTGGAGTAATGACGTCATCTTGATTTTCCTATAATTTTAGTGTATTTTGGATGTCGTGATTACTCCACCACCAGTGATGGTGCCGACACCAAAAGCTTATTTAACATACTACAGACCCTCTTAAACAAGGTGCAAAAGAGAGAATTGAAATATCTCGACTCTAACACCATCAAAAACGGTCCACCAATTATGTGCAACGTTAAAAAAAGCCTGTTATATTTAACAACAGGAATTTTCAAGTTTCTTTACCTTGATTTCATACGCTTTTCTTCCAGCATTCTCCAACTGCCTGCCCAGTTCGTGCAGCATATTTCCTGCCTGCCCCGATGCATCAGCATAGAGTTTGACTTCTTCGTCAAGACAAGCGCTCGCCGCATGATCCCTGTAAATTCCAGCAAAGGCATCATTCAGTTCTTCGGCATTCAAAACATTTCTATCTTCGGCAACGCTGAACGTCTCCTGTGGCTTTGAAACCAAGTGCTCTCTGCTGAATGTCTGGCTCAAGAAATTCGGATTTTCAAAGGTGTCCGACTCGTCTATCGATAAATTTGGCAAATTGAGACTCGCATAAGACCGACTCATACTAAATAAATCCGAGTTATGAATAGAATCGTCGCACAAGAATACACTATACACAAGAATCATGATTGGATGCGAGTATTTAGGAATTTTGAACAGACTTCAAGGAACTCTTCTGGTTTTTCAGCGTGTACCCAATGTCCAGCATCGGGAATATTTACTGAAAACAATTTAAATTCCCATTTTCACTCGTTTTCATACCATATTCTATGAAGGGAAAGAACTCGGTCATCAGATCCTCATCCCTTTCGTCCCATTTGATATAGTCGGAGTTAGCCCCTCCTATCAAAATCGTATCTCCCAAATATTCTAGCCCTTCCACTGCCTCCATCGAAGCATACTCCGAATCGAGCTTTTGGTATAAATATTCGACGTTCGCTTTCCATCTAAAGCCATTTTTGTCGATCTTCAAATTTGTCATGAGGAAATTTCTTATTCCAACTTCGGGGGCGACTTCAGTCATGTATTCGTCGAGATGTTTTCTGATTTCTGATCGTTTTAGGCCTTCAGGAATAGTAGCGTCTTTCATGTGTTTTAAAAAGCCTTTGATCTGAAGAGGGCTTCCAACCCAATTATTAGCAGTGACATCTACGATCATCAAGTTTTCCACCAGCTCTGGAGAGGTCAGCGCCGTCCACATGGCTACTCTTCCTCCCATCGAGTGGCCAAGAACAACTGCTTTTCCGCCACAAAGTTCATCAATCGCTTTTTTCACCTCCTCGGCCATGAATTCATATCCACCGTTTTCAGTCCACGCGGCAGAGCCATGATTGAGCATGTCCATTGTGATTACCGGCCGGTCAGTCAGATACGACATCATTTTGCCGATGTTGTTGAAGTTGTTCTTGTTTCCCAGAAGACCGTGGCACATGATAACGGGTGTTCCAGAGCCATCACCAAGCTTCGTATATGATAATCGACGGATAGGAAGTCGCAACATCTTAAAATTTAGACTACTCTTTCATTTATTAGAAATTTTAATGAATTCAGTAATATTCTTAATTGAAGCTAAAAATTATTCGATAGAAATCTACTTTTTACAGAAAGAAAAAGATGTGTTTCTCTATTTGGTACCGAGTCACTCACATTTGGAAAAATTCGCGCTCTACTACGAACTGAAGAGTTGAGCCAATAGCGCGGGCGTATTTTCTCTTCATTCATTTTTCACATCGAACGGAATTCCCGGATTTTAGCGCTGGCGAGAGAATCTTCAAAGAAGCCACTCGACTAAGAAGGTTCGTTTATTTCCAAAAAGTTGTTCTAAACCTTCTATTACTGTCAAAAATTTTGATTCAAAATCATTTTTTCAGAAAATGGATTTCGGCAAGAAGAAAACCGGGATGGATGCAGCCATGGCTCAAGCTGCCGCAATTCCTGAGATTCAGATCGAAAACATGAAGGAATTCTTTTCGATGTGGACAAACATCTCCGTCGACTGTTTCCAACAGTGCGTGCCTGCTGTCAGCGTAAAGGACAGACGAGCTGAAACAGAGTGCATCAGAAACTGTGCTGCGCGACATGTTGAGGCTAATCACAGAATCGTTCAACAATTCACCTTGCAGAATGATGAGTTTACTGAAAAGAAGCAAAGTAAGTTCAGAAAACAGTTGCCTTCTCATTTTCTTTCTTTTTAGAGTACGAAGATGGAAAGATGAAAGAATACATGGACAAGGGAATCTTCGATCCAGAAACAATGCAGCTTCAGCCTATCAAGCCGAAGAGTCCAGCAGAAATGGAGCTGGATACAATCAAAAGTCTCAGTCCAACTCTTGCCAAAGCCTACAGCTGGTATTACGACGTTCCTGATCCCGATGCTGAGAAATAATTTCCCTAGAACTCTATTTATTTGTACAACTTATAGGCTAAAATATAACAATACAACTTGCAAACGGAAATATGGAAAAAAACAATGTTTTTGATGATTTTCTTTTATTGTCGTTTTATCAATTGAAGAACTTTTAGAAGTAAATGGCAAAATGTACAAATAAATATCTTGGCAGGGTAGTGTCTGTTTGAAGAAATGAGTCTAGCACCATCCAGAAGCGATGATTTCTTCCATCGTGATTCGAGACATTGGGTCAGGGCAGAACATCCGGTCAATGAGGGCGACTGTGAAGGGAGAAAGGCTGCGCTCGGCGAGAAAGTTTCGCTGCATCTGGCCTCGTCCATCGGTCTGCCAGTTTCCGGTAAGAAGAATGTAGATGACAGCTCCGATGCTCCAGACAGTGAGTGGCTCCGCGCTGAGAAGACGGTTCTGGAAGAATTCGATGGGCCAGTAGTTTGGAGTTCCACGTGCAGTTGTGTAGCAGGCTCCGTCGCGGCTAGCACATCCGAAGTCGATCAGGCGGATCTCGAGGGTCTCTGGGTTGATAAGGATGTTCTCGTCTTTGATGTCGCGGTGGCAGATGCCGGCGCGGGCGAGTTCCATGCAGCAGGTGATCAACTGGCCGGCAATGATGCGGACCGCTTCCTCGTTGATTGCCCCGTTCTTGTTGGCGAATTCGAAGAGGTCGACGTAGCCATCGAGGCGCTCCATGACAAGGACGAAGGAAGATCGCCGTTCGTACCAATCAAGAGGAGCCACGACGAAGTTGGAAGCTTGGGCTGCCTTGAAATGGTAGTAGATTTCGCTCGGGACGGGTCGGTTTTGAACTTGCTTGAACTCGGAGATCTTGTTTCGTGGAATCTGCTTGATGACGACTCGCTGCTCGGTCTTGTGATGGAAGCCTGTGTAGATGATCCCGTTGGCAGATTTCATCATTTCTTCCTCGACTTCGTAAGTCTTGGCGAATCTTCGCTGGTCTTTGGCGATCTGTTCTTGAGGAGAGACGATGTTTTCATCGGAGGAGTAGCCAGATTCGCTGTTTCGGGACATTTTTCCTTTTGAATCTCTGACTGTTTTCTTGCTCTGTGTGCTTTTGCTCGAGTTCTTGTTGTTTGAAACTGTTTTGTTTGAGATTTGATGGTTGCCTCTTTTTCCAAGGCCGATTTTATAGGTTCCGAAATTGCGCCGCGGCGCTCTTGCCAGCCGTTTCCCCGCGCTCGGGCTCAGCGTGACATCGCCGAATTTCTGAGAAGATAAAGATCAACAGTAGATTCTTGGTACCCCCGAAGCAGATGTAGATACGATAACGATACGTACAATAGATAAGCTGTTCCTGTTCAAATATGAACAGATAGAAGGTAGCTAAGAAATTGGGTCAGATTTTTAAAGATATTTTGCAGATGGAGAAGTTACAGTTTTATTGGAGGAAATTCGTGAAATATTGCCTTGACAATCCGTATCCTTACACGAAAATCGGCCTGCTGTCTACAGTATTTACCATTGCTTTCAACTCGTTCGACAATTCATAAAATACCGCTTTGGAATTCCTTTCTTGAGCTCTCTTAGATGCCTGAAATCAATAATCCGCCCCACACGAGTCTCGAGGTGTGAACCGCAAATCTCCAAAGGCTCCAAATTCCAGCTCAGCGGAATCCCAATCAGTGATCCGACAATCCCTTCACCGATATTATAAACGGTTATTCTTTTTTTGCGCATTTTATTTCCGTTGCCAACATTGAAAGAATCTAGTGCACGAGATTTCCTGCCTGGTCGTTTGTGTTTTCAAGGCCAGCCGAGAAAGTGGGTCAAGGTTCCTGGAGGGAGACTGTGTTCTAGGCGACTTTTGATATCATTAGTTATCTATCCAGTTCAAGTTTTCATCTTCCAAACTTCGTCTCAATCATTCCGGCTTTGAACAAAACTCCAGTCGACAGCTTCCAAGAACTCTTGAAAATCGCTGCCCGAACCGGTCGAGGTAGCTCCCACAGAGCTTGCAAATTCAACTCAAATACGTTCCAAGATCGTAAATTTGTAACTCAAATCGCAAATCTAAATCTCCTTTAGAACCATAAAATCATTTGCTTCGGTCAAAACTCAAATCTTTCCGGAATTTGGCGAATTATCGGATCAACCTCTGAACTCGCCGCAGTTCTTTGAAACCGATAAATTCCAGCTGGAACGGAGAAAGCGCTAGAATTTCTCTGAATATCTACGATTCAAAGAAATTTATTTTCCAACAGCTGAGTAGATGGTCTTTCTCGGCAGGAGACTACAGGAAATTCAAATTCGGAAGCTGAAGATTACCGTTGCTGCGATACCAATCAGCAGCAATCAGGTGCATTTCTAACTGCATTCAAATGCAACACTCTTTTTCCTGGCCTTTATTCCCAGAAAGTCTATTTTTACAAGACTTTCCAATTTTCCGGGCTTACCGCTTTCCCCGAATGCTGACCTTGAACACGAGCAGCTTGCGTAAACTGGCCCCGATTTCTCCGTACACTCACGGCTGACCTGTTTTCCGTAATTCCGAGGAAAAAGTTCTTGACCTTGTTTCCGTCAGAGTAGCTCTCCAAACATTGAACTGGGTCTGAAACTGTTCACGATGACAAACGGGAAAATGATTTTATGAGTTTTCAAACACTTGACTTTGCCTCATTTCGACACCCTAAATTTTGATCGAGATTTTTTGGCTCCAGTGGTGTTTTACCAAGAATATCTCCTGTTGCTTCCCTCCAGAATCTCAGGGGGATTTACGATCTCCTACCGAATACTGCCCTAGAAAATATTGATCCGTCCTAAACCTTTAAAAACGTCTGAAAAACAATCAGATTACAAATTTCGAGGAAACTCTTCTGTAATGACCACCACCAGGACTGAATCCTCAAATTTTTTTTTTTTTGATCACCTTGCCTACCGTCAGATTTTTTTAGTTGTATAAGCTAACCTGATTATTTTCTGTCACTCATCTTTTTATTACTTTCCGGTTGGCGGTAATTGCAACATAATTTATTTATAATTTTTATGATTATAAATAGTATAATGATAAGGTTATGCCGCATAACTTATGCGGAAACAGTTATTGGATGATCAATCGTTGTTAAAAATTTCGGTTTCCCTATTCTGAAAATTTTGCTTCGATAATTAAATTAAAATAAATCACAATATTGCAAAAATTGATTGGTATAAAAAGAATGAGGTGCTGATCCCCGGGGGAATCGATTTAGGGTCAGTTGCGGGCCCATCTCGCGAGGCTTGCTGAAATCAGAAGCAACTGACCAAAACTTTTAAAAGAAAACAATAGAGCAAAATAAAGAGAGAAGATCGTTAAAATGGCGACGAAACAACAAGAAAAAAACGCTTCCAAGAATGAAACTCGTCAGAGAAAAGGTAAAATAAGCGTTTTCGAAGGTTTTTCCTAATTTTTGTAAAGGAAAGAAGAGTAAAAAAGAAGCACCAAAGGTCGAGGAGAAAAATGATTCGAAAAAGGTTGACGAAAAAGAGGACGATGTTATGTTAGAGCAGCTTTGTGCGAAAATGATCAAAAATGGCAAACTGAAATATACGAAAGATCGAAAAGGAAATCTGGGTAAGAGAAATAGAGTTTTTTTTTTGTTTAAAACTAATTATAGTGCTAATTCAACAAAACGAGGGCCTGACAATGCAAGACTTCAAAGTTTTCGGCTTCCTTGCAATCATCGCAATTTATGTTTTCTTCTTTTACGACCACACGCACAAAATCACAGTCAACTATTACTACGAAAGCTTCCGCGCATACATCCGGCGATTTAGCGACAGACTCATGCATCAAGTGGATATTATGGTCTCCGGACCTGAGCTTTGAACTTCATCGTGCCTTCTCAAAAAACTGTTTACAGAACAAGATGCTACTAGAATTGTGTTCATTTAATTTATTGGCAGTTTGCAAAGTCAGGATAAAAGCGCGTGCGAATTTTGATCGTTGTTAGGATTCAAATTCTTATTTTTATGTTCAAGGCGCATTTGTTTCCCTCTTATCAATGCGCAGCCAATGCATCGGATTAAAACGCCAACAAGGAAGACAATCAGGAAGATGAGGATAACGTCGAGAATCTGACTGAGAAGGATTATTTTGCCATTGTCCACTTGACAGTTTTTGTTGATTTCGCCTCTGTGCTGCCGGGTGTACCAGTTTTCCCAGACTGAATGATTTTTTCAGTGCTCAATATCAATCATGATCTCACCTTCTGGCGTATTGCAGTTTCTGCCAGAGCAGCAGCAATCGAAAGCCTGGTGCTCATCCGAGTATTGGCAGTAGACATCAACGCCATCAATTGAATAAGTCTGTCTACAAATGTCTTCGTCCCGTTGACCATCAAGCGCACACGGGGTCTCTATTAATTATTATTATTTATGAGCTGTCATTTATATCCTTTAAAATTCAATGTTTAAAACCTTTTACGACCCCAAACTGCGTAGATGATTTACCGCCTTTTGCTTAAAAAATATACAGTAAATACCGCTGGTCTGGGACGGTCCTAATTCACGAAAGCGTCCCAAACCAGCAGGATTTTCGCTTTCGACTCTCGGGCGCCACTTTCGCTTTCGGGGTAAAGCGGTCAGTTTAAAAACACTCGCCGTGGGCGCTTGCCTTTGATCCTTATTTCGCCCGACCGTCCCAAACTAGCAGGATTTTTGAGCGTCCCAAACCAGCGGTATTTACTGTACCTTTACATCCATGTTCCAAGGTATCAAGAATCACATGTGCGTTTCCGTCTCCGACGAGTTCTATCTCAACAGTCGTCCTCATCGAGCAAGAGCTACTACACAAAATTTCGCTGAACTCCAAATCTCCCTCTTCATTTCTCACGCTTTTCTGACAAAGCAACTCTTTTTTATCTTCTGATTTGTAACACATTGAATGTCTTACATTCAGTTGTTCTAAAAGTCATTCATATTTTCAATATAATTCTGATAAAAATTACCCTTGATTAAATTATTTGTCTGCTCTCTTGAAAATCAATTCACGAAAATGTCTCACGCCTTTCATAAAATCATTTTTACGATTTTTGTTTCTCGCTTGGTCGGCTTGAACCCAGAGGAACAATTATTGCTGTAAGTTGAAGCTTATCACGATTCATAATTAACGAGTATAAAAATCGTTAATGTGATTGACATTGACGTGACATTTCCTCATATATCTTTCAAAAAGGGACTTTTTGAATTAATTATTATTCTTCGATCAAAGCGAAATTCAACCAATTATCGGCGAATAAATATTATTTCTAGCATAAAAATGTCTTGATTGCCCTTTGAGTGTATTGACAGAGCATAAGTACAGTAATTAAAGAGAACGGAAAAGTTGGATTTTGAGAGCACACAATAGCTCCAGAAGAGGCTTTTTATGATGGCACAAAGGCCCCTTCCTATTGCAAAAACACTAACACTGTACTGAAACGAAGATTCGAAGAAAATGCCGCTTTACATAGCAGAGGTGTCAGAAGTGAGTATCTTTAAGAGAAATCAAGGAGAATTAGTACCTAGGAATCCTGACTTGATTTTGAGGACGAAGAGTGCAGCATGAATTTGAAAAACCTCCGGCCTTACAAAGACAACAGCGAGGAGAATTTTAAGCTCTTGCAAAAGATCAAAAAACTGCAAATGGAGAAGGAAAATCTCCGACTTGAGGTTGAAAAAGAAAAGTCAAAGAACAGATCTCTCAGGGAAGAAAATATGGCTCAGCAAGGAGAGATTACCGAACTGATGGAAAATTTATCAGACTCGCAGGTAGCAAATCTTGTTTTTTTCGGAGGACAATAATATTTATAAATAAGCGAAAAACTCGAAAATTGGAGAGGAAAATTATGTCCATGTCTGTTCCTTTTGAAGAGCTAGAATACTCGGTCAGAGTTCCAAGGAAATCGTCGATTACATACCTCCCTGTTTACAAGTATTATTGAATGATTTTCAATAAAAATTTCTTTTTTCGAATTGTCTTCCTTGATTTCAATTTGGCATAAGTTTTCTAATGCCTTCTTGATAGTCCTTTCTCAGGGCAATCAATTCGTTTCTTCAAATCGGGCGATAACAAAATCGCGATAAATGAAATTTGAATTTTGGTCGGTTTCGGAAGTTGCCAGGATGGAAATGAGACAGTCGCCGCAAAACGAAATCGAGTTACGCCACCGCGACACACTGCCGATAACGTCGACTTTTGCCATTATCGCACAATTGCACCTACCGCGCTTTTAAAATACTACATCTCATTTATGTCAGGCTGCCGAGAAAGAAAGAAGAAGCGCAGAAAGTGATGCTGGTGGTGTTGTGACTTTGTGCAAAAAAAGAAAAGAATTTCGCTTGACAGCGCGGAGACACTTGGCGACGGATCGATGTCCAAAAACGTGTTCTAGCTGCCAGGCGTGATCGATACAGCACTATCGATTAATTTTCATGCTTGAAGAACTTTTAGAACATTTATTTCTAAGTGTCTATGTCGCTTCTTCAATGTTTCTTTACAACACATTAAGATATTCGTTAGCAGGCTGCTAACTTAGCACATGAAAGTCCCGAAGAAGAAAAGTCATGTGATCTTGTCTCCCTCAGATTAAGTTTCGCGCTGAGATGTTCAGCTAAAAAAATTATGGGCGGCTTATCTCGAAAAGGCTCGGTTTACAAAACGCATGTCCGGTTCAACAAGAAAGATAAAGCATAATTGATAAGTAGCGATAAGGAATAATTTTGAAAGCTGCAAAATGGCGGAACTCGCGAGCAGGAGACGCTTCCTTCTTTGGAATTCGAACAGTTAGCACAAGGATTTTTAATTTCAAATCTTTATCAAAACGCGGTGAGTCGGAACGGTTCCGCTCGATTTGGGAAGACAAGAAGGTACTATGTTTGGATGTTGTTGAAAAGGAAAAGAAGAATAACTGAATAATTCAGGCTAAAGCGTTGCCAATTTTTGTAGATTAAGTTTTCATTGTTTCTTGGCACTACAAGCTTTTTGTTTGATAAATATTTCAACAATCGTTATGGAAAATAAATTCTTCTTGTAGATAGAATTCTAGTGCCCAGAGCCTAACCCTAACCCTAGATAGAATTCTAGTGCGGAGACCCTAACCCTAACCCTAAATACTATCTTCCACATTGTAGAATCTACAACTTGGTGTACTTTAGTCTCTAATTTCAAACATCAAAGAGCAAGCGATTGACTCGGGAATTTTGATAAGGGCGAAAATAGCTTATCATCAACTGGGCAGGTTAAAAATATTTGCGGCTGGGTCAAGTAGAGCGGGATGGGATGTCAGAGTACCTCTTGAGCGCGATCGTTGATCTCAATTCAAAGCAGACGTGTATTGTTACTCCAGGGTGCCTTTTCGGCGATCGGAAAGTTGTCGCGAATTAGTCTTTCTATTCAGTTCATCGTGGAGGACCCTTGTTCTTGATCCAGCACGAGAGTCAAGTATTGCCTCGAATATTTCCATATTTAGCGCGATTTCGAAGGGATGATGCTCTGACACCTTCCAGGTGGGTTCAGCCCAGCCTAATCGGATACCCTTCTGTCACTCTCGGCACCTCACACGGATTATTTCGCCTGGGCCATATGGACCCTTGTCATGCATTTTCACTGTATATTAATCTTTGCTGGCTGTATTTACTATTTGGCGATTTTCGGCGGATTTTCTCACTCGCATATCGAAAATGATACTGTCAAGAAAGAAATCGTTGTCGCTTATTTGGACTTTCCTAAAAGCTGAGTCAGTACTTTGACTTGGCTTTCATCGCACCCCTTGGCGATTAAAACATCGCCCTAGGGGTGTGTGTTTTGAATTTCTTCAGAAAGGAAAACCAGCACTAATAATTGAAATATCATTTGATTAGTATTGATCTTTCATTCGTGTCAACGAAAGAAAAGTGAGACAGAGGTTCATTCAACTCTTTCTGATCCACTCCGCGGGTAGTCGTCATATCTGAAAGTCGCCCCAGCGGGAGGGCAATAAATGGAATCTGAGAATTCGAGGAGAATCATGGAATTACTTCAAACACTAAAGTTTTTATTTTAATGCTTTTCAATTGACACTTGTTGAGGTTTTCCCAAGAATCAATTGATCTTCTTGACGATCGATTTTTCATCCCTAAAGTCGGTCTTGGACAATAAGATCAAATATGCACGTATCGAGTGTTTCCAGTTCAGTGAGGCCAGTTCAAGTTTGCTGACTTTCGAAAATCCAATTCGTGGCCACGGTAAAAAGACGCAGTCGCTATTTGCTTTCAGGATCAAGGCAAAAGTCAAAGCTGGCTATGAGAAGCGATGGTATTTGCGCTAGACTTGTCTTGTCATTTGGGAACCGGCCTTGGGGCAAAGCGACTTCCGCAGAATTAAGAAACCAAAACTTTCTAAACATGACTCAAGCTCAGAGTATCATTTCTGCACTCTGAGTACTTACTCGTATAGTACCATGCTTTTATTTGGTCAATCCAAATGGTGGTTGACTTCTTCAGTCTTGCGATACAGTGACATTTGTACGACATTGGTTCTAACGTGTAGCCAAATAGTCTCTTCCACATCAAACTGCTCAAATAAGCTGAGCTTTCCCAGATCATATTCACTCATAAAGTGCTTGTCCAACTCAATCATCTAAAACTTTATATCTACCGTAGTCGTTAAAATTATCCCTTTTGGAATTGAGTGCAAAAGATAATTCCTTTATAGAGCCAATAAGAATCTTCCATGAGTTCAAGACGATAATCAACATTATAGGAAATCTTTTCGACTCTTCGAAGAGAAGTGTCTATCCATCTTTTCAAATTTCCTCATAGATCAAAGGGAAAAATTCAGTGCGTCTTGTCCAGAAAACCGATAAACAGGCGGCAAGTTTCTGATCTGGGCAAACTCTTTCAAAGGCCCATTTCTTGGCTAATTGCTCAGGCGAAACTTTCCTTCTCTGAAGAAAAGACCAAATAGGTCTCTAAAGAAAAAACAGGGTCAAAGAATAGCTGTCAAAAGAAAAGGGGGTAAGGTCCCCTTAATCGGATAAAACCGAGGACCTTGTCAAGATGTGGGTATGAAATTTGCCGGAAACGGTTTACTAATCTCCTTGTCGGTTACCGGTGATTTACCAAAACGGAAAAGGTTTGAAACTCGCCGATGCGTAATATTTTTGAAAAATTTAAATCTGCCGTGTAAACACGCGCGGTTAAAGTGTGGATCCACTTCCGCGCAGTGTTAACATCAAATATATATATAATATTTATAAACAAGCCAGCAGGTGGCCTAGCTCCCAGTATCTTTTCTAAAAAGGAATGATGAAGGAACTCATAAATCATAAAATCTTGGCAGCCCTTCAAGCCGACTCGCTCATCATTTACGCCCGTCATTTCAGTCAAAGAAAAAATAAACACGTATTTAGGCTAACCGTGACGTTCGATTAAATTACTGTAACTACACGCGTCACGTGACAGCAACGCCCAGGGGAGGTTCAAGATTGGCAGCAGGCAGCTTTCCTTCAAGTGCAAAATTTTCGATTAGCCATCAAGAGAGAGAGAGAGGCCCGGTATTAAAAATTCATCTCGGCGGGTTTTCACTCTCGCTCGGCTGGGCATTGAAAGCGGCTCGCCGCCGCCATCAAATGTTTCAAGCATTTCACGCTTGCTCCGACAAATTGACGCGGTGGAGGTTATGCAGCTTGCTAACAGGGCTTTCGAGTTAACCAAAATACCGGAAGCGAGGCCCGTTGAAGATGGCATAACTAAATTTACGTTTTTTGAGGCTTCTGCACGCAGATTCTTTTGCAATATTTGTCCCCTTCCAGAAAAGCTGACATAGTTCCATCACAAACACTCCCTTAATCCGTTTTCTCAGCTAATCCATCCTAATTTACCTAAAATAGCCCGGGCATAAATTGACTTAACCCCTCGCTGCTGACAGGTGCAGGGCAAAATATTTATCGAAGGCGAGTATTTTCTTCAAAAAACATCCGCATCATGGGAAGTAATTTGTTCCTTTTTGAAAATCATATCAATTTACTTTTGTGGGGAGATAGCTTCTAGGACTGGCCTTAGATCTTTGGTAAACAAACCTTGAGATGAGAAGGAACACGCACTTGGTCAACCGGAACTTTGAAAATATTTATGCAACGCTGGAGAATGGGGACTTCCATCTTTTGACAAAGATGTTTAGGGACAACCAGCACTAGAAATTTTGGTCTTCAATTACATCTAGATCAAGGGTCAACCCTCATTTTGCCGACCGAAATTGCGAGCGAATCATAAAGTCGGATAGGCTTCCACAGCCAATCAAAATGGCAGAAAGACTCTTGTTCGATTTAAAGGCCTTGAAGTTTCAAAAATAACCCAAAATTTTCGATTTTTATTTTGCCATTTTGGCGAACAATAAAGCCATAAATCGAGTCTCAAACAAGCGGAACAAGGCTAAGCTATCCTTTATCCTTTCTCCCTCTGTTTTCCTTGTCCAGCTCGCGATTTGATTACTGACTCTCTTACTCAAAGGTGTGAAGCAGTTTTTCAACGATTCAAAGAGTGGAATTTAATTGAAGAAAATTGAAAATACAGAGAAGGAGATACTGGAAAATTGTCTCAGGAAATTGGCTGAAAATAAGAAATTCGGACAGCTAAAATAAGACGGTGCTTGATTGTGCGGTTTGGCTATCTCGTGGCGATAGAACTCGGAGAGTTCATTTTAGTGGCTACCCTTAAGATAACTCTAGTCCGAAAATAAATGCTGGAGCAGGACCTTATTGTCCAGAGAAGAGGGAAATGTCGGCATTTTGGGAATTCAACTCTGGAATTGTCCCAAAATGCGCAATTCCTAGTCCATTTCCTCGCTGGATTCTGGACGCTTCCCCCGAATCGTAGAATTGTAGAAAATTCACTACGAGCAAACATCACAAAAGAGAGGCCCATTTTTTAGAACAGCATTGTGTGTGTTTGATTAGTCCAAATATTTGAATGGTACGGACCTCCTCGTAGTGTACAGTCGAGCGTATTTTCGAAAGTCTTAAATTAACCAGCGATTACGATTTCAAACATTGTAAGCGTATAATTTTTATGCTCGCAAATATTTAATTCTCTCTCAAAGATAGTACCGGATTTATTAAATCTCTGATGGTCCTTTTGCCGCTTTTTAGTAATTTTCAAATGTAACCAATGAAATTCAGGAATAGGCTTTGATGGCCAATAAGAATGCGCGATTTTTGCTCTGGCTTATACGAAATAAGTGTTATCTCAGAAACTAGTAAGAAAAATATAGTAAAAATAATTGTTCCCAGACAATTGAAAATGAGCATAAAATATCTCAATCAAGACAATATCAATTATAGGATTTAAAATTGAGAATACGGTTATCCAATCCACGTGTAAGCCCTCTTATTTTCAGCTAAAGGAATATCATATTCAGAATATTCAAAATAAAGATCTCGCAATTATTCTATTGTAAATACGCCGGGAAGATTTCCTTGCATGATGTTTAGCCTAAAATATATAATATTTGCACCGGAAGGATCAAAACCTGACGGAATTATTTTTCTCAAAACAATAATAATCATCGCGCCAGCTCGAAAAAATGAGGGATGATCACGTTGGACCGAGTGAGTGCGTTCGACGTAATATGGAATTCTAGCGCGTGAGGAGGAGCTGCAGTTTATTCATCCAGCTTTCACTTGTCAAAAATTCCGACAGCTTGGGACTTCCGTATTCGCCTAAAGTTTAAAGTAAACAGGCATTTCGTGAATTTACAAAGTTTCACTTTGAAAAAAAGATTCTATTTCAAAAAATAGAAATTTCGAGCATTCAATTCTATTATTTTAATAATTATTTTTAATTAAAAAAGTGCCTCAGAATTTGGTTTTGAGACTATTTCGTACTCTTCTATGATTTCAGTAACTGGTATTTTGTGAACTTGATAAAGAGAAAACAAATGCGAGAATAGAGAAGAAGAGCTCCAAAGAAAGGATTGCGTGAATCGCGCAGTCCGTCGCGCAGCGCGGAAAACGATGATGTCGGGTGTTGGAGCGGCGCTGTTGCTCGGTTGGGGTGCGCCGCAGCAGTTGCCTGGCCCTAGATAGGCTAGCCCTAGCCTCAAGCGGCGGCACCACACCACCGTCGAGATCGCGGGATTTTTTTTTGTTAGCTCGGAGAGCGAGAGACACACCGGGGAGCCAAGGAGCCACCAATTTCCAACTGCACATACAACCATACCCCGCACTTTTGAATGATACACAGCCAAATATAGCTGATAAAAAGACAAAAAGGGGTGCTTCGACGCTTTTTGCACATCGACCCGAGAAAGAGAGAGAGAGAGTGATAACGAAACAAGTGGCAAGAGAACAAACACAGACATAGAGAGCACCTTAAGAAGACAACGAAGACAGACAGACCCAAGATGGGTCGCAAAATACCCAAAATGTCCGCCCAGAAGGTGATGTACGTGGCGGCAGCGCAAATCGTACTCACCACTGTTGGCTTTATCTTCCTAAAAAGACCATAGTAAGTAAACGTACTACCCTTGAATCACGGCTGTTTTATTATACTACGCGCAGCGATAAAAACCGGACGCCCCTCTTTATGAATTGATGCTTTTTATGGCGGCTCTTCCGATCTTTTTATGAATAAAAAAAAACGGAGGATCGTAAAAAATCAGCTAGATTACCATCTTAGCTTTCTTTTCTCCCATCTCTCTTATCAAGCCAATAAAATCAAAAACCGTAAAGATAAGAAGATCCGCTCAATTTTAAATTAATAAAGATCGCGAATGTGATTTCACGTGTCGAATTTCCAGTCCTTGTTGATACCAAAACATAAATCTGCGCCGTGTTATGCAATAAATAACGAAGCGGGAATTAACGGGAATGTCTTTAGTTTATGGGCCTGGCAAGCGTTAGATTGGTATAAAAACGTATACTGCGGGACGGAGTTAAACGCCGTGTGGGCCAAGTACCTGAGTTATGCCACAGAACACAAGAACCAAATCCGCTCGTCGGTGGAGAAGTACAAGGACGAGTGCACGCAGAACTATTTGGACTCATTCTCAGAAAAGGTAAGGACTCATTCTCCCCTTTGTTTGCCTTCTCAGAGCTTTCCCGACCCCTTTTTAATCATGATTTATGAGTTTACCTCCAGTACTTAGATCTCCAAGTCCAAGTTTAATCGCGCTTCTTATCTTCGTCACCTGGGCAGGTTTAAAATTTATATTTTATTGCTCAGCGGGGCGCTGCGCCAGCGTGAGATCCTTTTTCTTTCTTTATCAGCAGTTTCCATCACCCGCCGCGTCCGGGCTAATTGGCCGCCTTATCACGGACAAATGACGCGTACTTATTTAAAAATTTTCACAATTTCGAAAGGCTTCCATTTCAAAGCGCGGGAAAATAGGGACTTCGTCACGTGACGTTGAATAAATCGCGGCCTAGTTATTCGCCGAGGCCACAATCGGATCACGCCGTGCAAAAGGGGGTTAAATTTGGCCCCCGCGCGGAATGGGTTAAATGCCGAACGACTACCGGAAGCCAGCATTCCGTGTATAGTTCCAAGCTCGCGTTTATTTTGAAAAGAATTCAACGAGCAGCAAAATTAAATTGGCGGCTTAATCCGATTGTGAAATAATTGTGCGGTTTCTAGAGTCGCCCGGACCATTATGCAAAAGAGCGGGGACAGCTGTGTTTTACCTCCCCACAGGAGCCTCGTAAAACACAAAGTTGTGGTCATCCTCCTCCAGGGTTCATGAGCTACTGGAGCGGAAATAGAGGACACAACAGCTTTTAGCTAGGTTCCAGCTGAAAGCTGCTGCTTGGAGATAAATCTAAATTCTTTAGGGGCCATAAACCGGGTCACGGATGACCGAGCCTGTAATTTTCAATTTACATGTTTTCTGAAATCCAAAAATGTCCAATAAAAATCGCCCCAATAAGAATTTACCCCACGGAGGAAGATTTCGCGGTGAGCCGACAGTACGGCGCCACTGATAAGGAGCGCGACTTATCACCAAAGTGTCCAAAACAACGTCCCTATAGTACCTTATAATATTAATTAGCCGGGCTTTCTGCTCTTAACGACGCACAAACAACGACAAATATGCTCCTACTTTACCCGACCTGACAATAACTCTTTTCTTTCTTTGCATCAACAAGCTTTTCTTCTGAGCCTAAACAAGTTTTTTTAACCCCGTAATTATTTTGTAAAACCAGCTCAGACGTAATTATATTCAAAATTGCTTTCGTAAAAGATTTGCCTTTTCTCCCACTGTTGCTCCCCTTATTCTTACAAGCTCCCCAAAATACGCTCTGTCTTTGTGTTCTTTGTAACATAATCACCTCGTGAATTAAATCTAACTCTTGACTTTTAGTACACAAAAGCATGCATGGATGGATATACCTCAGCATTCCTGGGCATTCCGCTTGCTTCCTGCTTTTTGATTTTCGGCATCGTCGCAGCGCTCCAGTACGCTCCTTTCAACTCGAGGACGCTGAAGAAGCCCGGCTTCGTCTTCGCATTTTTCTTCAGTCTCATCTTGCTCTCGATCAACCTTGGGCAGATGATCACCATCGTCATTCCCTTGATCAACCCTAACGCCTCTCCTGACGGAATCCACTCGACAAATCTAAGGGACAAGTGTGGTTATGCAGCGGAGTTTATGTCGGTAAGTTTTTAATCATTTCTTTGCAAGATATTTTTATTGGAGCTTTAATTTTGCCGGCTGAAATAACGCTAAATTCAAAAAGACAAAGTACCTAAGGGTGGGGGCCCCTAATTAAGAATTTATGCAAATTTCAATATGCGCATCTTCGAACAACCCTCTTGCCAACGATCATGAATAAAAATCACCTGTGAGAATTAAAAATTCGAGATCAATGTATTTTCAATTATTCAAAGGATTATTTGGAGGATCGCCATGGCTCCCGCCTGGGGGACGGCCTGGGGGGCCTCTCTCTGCCAGAGATGGGAACTCGCCTGGGGCTCACGGAAAGTCCTCGACGATTCGATTTATTGGAGTTGAAAATTTTTCATCGATTTCGAGGTTGAAATTGAGTTAGAAGCTAATTTTGGAGAACAGGAAATCGATCCCTAATGAATGGAACATTTTTTTAAATAAAAAATTTCTTCAAGTCTTCAAAGAAAACATGATTTTTTTCTTGAGCTTTTGACCACTAATTGGGGTGGAATAACGGAAAGCGAAAGATTCCTGTTTGATAATTAACTTGTCATTTGGCTGATGTAAATTATTTTTTAATGATTAATCATTGTGGTGATAAGGTTGATTAGTATTAGACGGTTAGTCAGACGTTAGATGATTCTAGCTCAATCTCGAGCGTGAAAGAAAGCGGGGACGTGAATAGGCTCCTTGGTGGTGCTTGGCGGCGTAGTAAGCCCGCGGGGCCTACTACCTAACCCAAATTGGTGCTGCTGGTGCAAATGACACCCTCTCCATGATCACCACACAGAAAACATGTAGTGAGTGAATTGGTGAGCCATTTACACAAAGAAAGACGCCGTGGATCGGGTGGAGAGACCGCAGGGCCTCTTTTTCGCACCGGTCGCCACTCGCTGCCAAAGCCAAATTTTGATTTAGTGGCTTCCCCCCGATCAAGCACTCTAAAGCCACCCAAGGTTTATCCACCGCTCATCCCGTAATACCCGACCGGAATCTGTATTTTCAGTAACAAATATTCCTTCTCCTTTTCTTAATATTTTGACCACGTGTTTCTTCCTCAATTTATCTATTTTGCGTAACATGATCGAACGTTTTCTTACATCTTTGCTAGCCCAGGCGGCGTTATTTAGGCAGCATGTACGTTTCGTAAACTGTGGTTAGTGCAAACTTGATAAATTTAAAGTTCTTAAGCTCAAATGAATTGAACTAGTGGTCTTAAATCTTCGACAGCTGAGGATTTGGTTTTGATAAATTTGAGCCTTCCGGAGCTGGGCTAATCTTCCAAATGCTGGATAAATGTCGTAATAGGAAAATAAAAGCGTTTTAAATTGATCAAGGATCGGAACATGGACCCCCAGGAGCACCCAACAAAGGACCTTAAAAAGCCGAATTCATTGTCCCCTTTTTCGGGCGGAAGAAGCGTCGTTGAAAAAAGCTTCCTGGGCAAACAAGTTCCACTTCAAAATCGAAAAATAATAAAACTCGCGTGTTTGCTCACAAATCTCGTCAAAACACTTCAAAAGACAACTCATGGCTCCAGATCTTCGTCTTTATCTTTTGCACGGAATATTTCGTGTTTGCATTTTGAGCTAGCCAACAGTTGGAGCCGCGCCAACGTGTGGTAGAATACCATACACAGGTGGCCGTCTAAAATTCCTTCGCACGACTATTCAATTATTCATTTGACATTCTATATTGTTATAATAGGGACAATAGCCGGTTAAATTTCAGTGTCCATCCCCTTAATCTTTCTTTGAGGTCATTTATTAATCGACTTTTCTAGCTTATCCTCATCGTTGTCTCCACGATTCTATCCAGCTTCATCGCTGCTTATGTGATCCAATTATATGTGCGCCGCGCTGAGTACCAGGACGACAATATCGACGACATCAGAATGGACGCTGGAGGTGGGTCCGAGTCCTTAGAGGACGAGTATGCCAGTAGGGTGCCCAAAACGAGCGAAAGGGGAAGCACCAAAAAAGCTAAAGGAGGTGTTCCTATGGCTGGCGCTGGAGGATCTCATGCTGCATATGGGAGGCAAAATGCTACATCTGGCTACGGAGGATTTAACTAAACCTTCTCTGGCTCTAGTATTTTCCAACCTGTGCTACACATGAGTCAATTTTTAAAACTTTCTTCTTCACACAGGCCACCAACCCCTCCAGGGAGCGGAATCCTTTTCGTAAAAATAAAATAGTACGAGCTTCAAAATCCTATTTCGCGACTCAGGAATCAAAAATGTAAAAATTAAATAATAAGAATAATAATTAATGCTAAGAGATTTTGAGCCGTAGCCCATTTTCGGCGCTCAGCGCGCTCACGGGTTAACTTGAAAAAATTCTAATTTGCGTTTTCTTCATTGAGCAAAATAAATATTTCGCAGCCCTTGGAAGGGCTTTTGGTCAATTTTTATGCAATCAAATAAAATATTTATTTTATATACATATTTATTTGGCAGTTTTAAATTTCTAGTGGCAGATTCTAGCGGTAGTTATTTCTCTCGTTTGACGGTGTTGGGATTAGACAAGAATTTGGTGCGTTTCTTCCGAGAAACTGGGCGGTTGATTTCTTTTTATCATTGGCAACATTTTTATATGACTTTTATCTAACTTTATAATTGTAGACGTGGAACGTACGGGCATGTTACCCCTTGCGGGGCAAAAATCCACCTCAAAGACACTCAGGAAAAAATAAGCGGTATGAAAGAAAATGTTCATGAATACTATTCCCGTGTCCTTAACCCTCTTTAACTCTTCTCTGACATGAGATGGCCGCTTGTGAATAGTAACGATATTATGTACAGTAACTTAGCGCGGCATCTCATGTCGGAAATACGTGCTCTAAAGGTGCTCAACTTAGCTTAACATGCGTGTACGTCCCAATCGTCAGCAATTGTGTAGGTGCACGCAGGTTAACCTAGCTGCTTGTACGCCCTTAACCTACCAGATGCTTACTAACCTGCGAAACCCGCCTGTACCCCCTTAAAACTCCCCCTAACGGTGTTTTGGACGGTTATATTGAAATCGATATAATTGATCGTTTTTCGGTGATGGTGCTTGAGTTGGTGTTTCCCCACATATTTAATTGTAAGAGGGCACTCTACTTTATGGAAATGATCGTTTTGTACGACTATTTCTATAAAAAACGTTTAATATTGGTGTCATGCGTTTTAACTCTCGCTCTGCAAATAACGCTTATTTTGGCTTTTGAGCCCATTTGATGATATTAACTACTTCTTTTGAACGGGAAAATGACTCCATTTTCCTTGCTCAAAAAATGGTTAATGTGCGCAAATGGGTTAAAATCTAACTTTGCCAAATTTGGTGCCACTTGCCGCGCGAGGGTTAAGCCACTTAGTAAAAGTAAATTAAACCGACATTGTCGTAATATTGGCCTTTTAGAAGAGGACTGGAGGGAGCGTGAAAAGTTGTCCTCCAAAGCTACCTCAAAGACGTCCGCCAGCAAGAGCCTGACCAAAACTACCACCAAGACTGAAAAATCGGATTCTGGATGGGGATCTAATTCTCGCTATAAGGGCTTGTCATGATCGACCAAAACTTTTGTGATTAGGTTTAGGGATTACTCCCAAAGAGACCCCAAGTCCAAACACACTCCCTAAAATTTCACCACTTTCCGCTTCTCCCCATCTCATCGCTTGTGATTATTGTTCGATTGCACCCCCTATACCATCCAAATTTAAACAACACTTTACTGCCTGACATTACAGTCATCCCTAGATTATTTTCTACTGAAACATTTCCTACCTCTACGTATTTTGTTATATCTTTTTATTACAAAAAAAATAAAACAGAAAAGAATCAAAATTCCACCGTTTTTTCGGAGCCAAGGGCGACGAGACTCGTGTGCCCAAATACGGATCCGAAAAATTGGGTGCCCAAATTTTTCTCAATTTTACGTTCCAAACCAACCACGTTCCATCTAGCCTATTTTCGGTACTGGGGTCAAAAATGATTTAAAAAAACAGCAAAACGAAATGGTCTGATATCATGGCAAGTTACTGTAACATAACACAAAAAGTCTAACACTAACCAGTACCTGAAAAGTGTGGCCCTCACATTATCATCATTCATCATCATTTTCCATTTATTACTCGCTCGAGGTCATTTGATGTCACACGCTAGGTCATGGCTACGGTCAGACTAAGAGCGGCTCATCTGATGACTTCGGAGCGGATTCATGCCGTTGATTCATCATCACAGTGATTAGTCATAGTTACACGATTCATCATGATTTGATTGTTCAGTATTTGATTGACAGTAGCATGAGTCCATTCCGAAAATCGTCAGGAGGTCGCTTGAACTTTGTTGTCTCTTTGTTACTCTCATTCTGGCCAATAAGAAGTCGTTTCAGCCGCTTGCGCTCATCGCCTACACGTTTGCTAATTTGCGTAGGCGTTGGGCGCAAGGGGCCGAGTGACGATCTTGCTGGTTAGGGTGCCGAAGTAGCGGAATTCTGTTATTACTATCCGGTCAATAGCGCGGTCAAAACTCAAACCTTAAAAGGAACAACACGGCCACCACTGGCTGGGACAAGCGCGGGGAGGCGAACGATGACGCGTGGTGAAGAAGACCTATTCGCGAAACTCTTCAATTAGCTCGTTTACGCGTCATGTGACCAATTCGTAACCTATTCAACATTTCAACCTTTTTCCTATCGGTTCAAATTCACGCCTGACCTGATCTGACCTAGGGTAGGTCAGGTCAACCTTTTTCGAAAGAACGGCCAAAATTTTGCAATCATGGAGGAGTACCGGTTGATCTTTTCATTCTAGCGGGTGCTTATGCTTTTATGTGCTTTTATGTTTATGATTCTTTATGACTCGATGTTGATTAACTCTTAGTCAATCTTGAGTCATAATGAATCATCAGTTTTCATGAATGCTCATGGAGAGCAAATAGCGCCAGCTAGAATGAATCATCAAACTGTAATTCGCCATTATTGTAAGCATTCTTGGCTGAGTACGTATTTTCATCCGATTCAGAGGCAAACTTTTTGGGCTGAAGAGCTCTTCTTTTTCAAAAGGTCGAGTGTGTCTCGGCTTGATTAATGAGATCTCATTGAGATGTACTCGAGCATTTTCGACCTTTTCGAGGAAGATTTTCTCCGCCCGAGTAACTCCTCTTTTCAGTTTTTATTTCAGTATCGCAAAACCAGGCCACATGGGGTGATAAACCTGACTGAGTAAAATTATTCGCTCTTTTCTATCATTGCCCACATTCTTTCATCCCGTAAATGATTCCAATACTGTATTTCTGGAATATTTACTCGCACCTTGTCGGAAGGTGCCATCCCTTCCTTGATCCTTTTACATTTTGACAGTTTTGACCAGTTTTATTTACCTAACTTCGAAAAGCCCAACTCGCGGGATCTCTCCTTTTCTTTTTCACATACTTTTTATCTACTTTTGAACAACCAAAAATCATCTGCCATAACGTTCACTGATGCTCGCTTTATTTTTTTCTACTATTTTCTTCCGCCCTAGAATGCAACTTTTCTAGCGGCCAAGCAAAGAGACCGTCCCGCGAGTTGAGCTTTTCAGGCGCGCCAAAGATCCAATTTTTCAAACACATCTTTCCTTCCAATATTCACACGTATTTTATATATATAAATCAACAACCACACATCTAGCCCGCAATAAACCGCTGTGTTGCCATTTTTTTCGTATTTTTCTTATCCAAAGTTTACCGGTCGGTTCATTAAAAAAAAATCTTGCCGGCGAGCGCCTTCTCCAAGGTTCTTTCCACTGCTTCGTCCAAAAAGTCAACAATTGAAATGAATAAAATAAAAATTACCAAATACGCTATTTCTTCCTGGAGGTCGGAGTTACAGTTGGAGACTGTACATAAATAAGGGACGCATTTGAGAGTGATTGAGCGGCCTGTGAGGTAAAGAGAGTCAACAGAGAGGAGAACCATCCAAGGCAGATTTATTACACCTTTGTTTGAGCAAGAGTACGTGTCTCAATGGAACTAGTGACTCACACGGCGAAATCACTACTAGCGTCAAAGTTACTACGACTACGAACAAGTATGCGGACTAGTAATTACCATGGCAGGTGTAGTAAGGAACAAATCGTAAGACAAGCAAGCACGTGAGCCGCTAAGGCTAATGTAAGACCCTGTAATCATTGAAATGAAATCCTTGCTGGAGAATTCTGAACTCGTCGTCCTTCATAAACTACATTTCACTCGTAAAAGGATCGAAAGGAGCAGCGTTATCACAAAAGTAAAAGGTTGTCGGTCGTAACTACGCAATAAAAATCACTTTACGAGCTACAAAAGGTAATTTTGCATTCTTAGAGGTATTATTAATCTATGACAAAGTCATCTATGCTTGCCCTTGCAAAAATTCTTTCCTTTCTTGACACGATCAAATATTTTATGGAACTGTAAATCGATTTTTAATTTTTTCCCTTTTCCTACCATCAAAGAAAATTGCCGATAAAAAGAGCTTTCCCTCTTTGAAGACCTCCTGAAACGATGGAACACCTGCTTGAAACTGTACATAAAACACAAAGAAAGAAAGAATATACTTTGTTCAGAACATGGATTACTTTCTTTACTTTTAGCTTTTTTGGTTTATTTTTTTTCTTGAAATTGTTGATTTTTTATAGAAGTAGATGAGGGGTCAACTTTGAAGGATTTTTTTTCATAATTTTCAGGATTGTATAGTAGGTCGTCTTAGAGTAGTAAAATTATAAGAAGCTTTGTGAACTTTGATAAGACATGTAGATTTCTAGGGCACTTGGAGAATTCAACTTAAAATGGAGATAGAGGCAATAAACGTAAGCAAGGCAATTTTCATATCGTTCAGAAGTCGTTGTTGTCGTTATTTACAGAAGAGGAAATTTACAATAATTAAACATCGTATGCACAATTTTGAGAAGCTTGATAATAAATAAAGAAGTTTTAAATAAATGCTGAAATACAGAAATTGTTTCGTAGAATTCGAGGTTGGAGTGTTTTCGAGTTGTGTTTCAGTTTGAGACCTAGTCGCGGCAGATTCTGCTCATCTGGTCGATTAGTTTCTGCACTTCTGGAGTGTCGCCCAGGTCGTCTTCCAATTTACTGGCGATCTATAATAACAGTGAGCCTACGGGGCAACAAGAATCTATTTACCTGGCTTTCAAATTTGGCAATATAATTTAATAGGCAAGCTAGCGAGGCGTTTTTGTCCGTTTTGGGCGCTTTGTAATTACTGTACAGTTCGGTCTAAAAATAAAGGATTATTTTGGAGCAAACGAGAACGTGTCATACCTCGATGTAGTTGACGACTTCGGGCTGTGAGACTGGCGGTAGGTCTTGCACCTTTCGGTAGAATTTGCGCACTTTGTCGCGGTACTGGTTGATCGTCTTTTGAAAGAGCATTCTATTTACAGGATCCTGGTCGTTAACTTGCGGGCCTTGATCTTGTCCGCATTCCATCAATGTCGAGAGGACTACAGTCACGGAGGGACTCACTGAAACAAAGGGTAGAAATTCGTAACGCTAAAATTCTGCCTACCTAAGTCTGGAACTGGTACGTCAAGGAAAAACGTCGGGTTGCTCATGATATTTGCCCAGAAGCGAAGAATGAGGCAGTTTGTCTTCCAATAAGGCAGCGCATCTTCAATATCGCTCGACTAAATGATGCGGTAACTTCCTAGTGTATCTCCCATTGATTAACCTGTGACGTAATAGTTCCATGGCGGACAGTGTTCCTCGCAGACTTGTCCAAGAAGTCGAAGAGATACTTGATCGGCGGCGGAACAGAAGTGTTCGCCTCGTCGATCAGAATGTAGTTGAAGAACATGTCAACGTAGGGCTGTAAAATGTGTTTTGAAGTGATGAGCCGTTGGAGGTACAAATCTGAAAATGACAGCTGTAAAGGACAAGTAGGATTTGGGATAAGTATACCGCTGACAAGGTTGTTGACTTCGGGATCCACCATTGATTGACGGTTCCGCGACTCTAGGTCTTCATCGCCAGGCTTGACGAGATGGTAAGTATCACCAAGATCAGCAGCTCCTCTAAGAGGATCAGTTTCTTGCGTATCTGTTTCGTGAGGAAGCATATCGGATGACGTAGACTAAGAATTGTAAAATACGATTTAAAATCTACTCTTACCTCGTGGACTAGTTTCCTCACCATTGCAATCACATTATTTTCCTTGATGTTATAATCCTTCACGGTCATGTATCGATGCCTATTACTTGCATCAGGCTGCGACTGACCCTCAACAAGAGGAACTTTGACGCGCTTAATTCGGAACTCCAACGCAATATCCTCGGATCTAAAATTAAAATATAATTGCTTGATAAATAGAGAAAACGCTACCTCGGCCATTTTGAGTAAGGAATGTTACTATAAACGGCGTCCATACATTTCTCCTTCACTTGAGTGATTGTATCGCAGTCAAGAATCTGGACGAAGACATAGGAGGGCTCGCTGGTATCTTCACGGACTTCAGGAGGAATGACAGAGAGTTTCATCGGTGTAAATTCGATATCTTCCTTGAGCAACCTTATGAACACTCAGTGAAGGGTTATAAAATTTGATTCGACCTACCGGTTCTCTGTTAGCGTGAATTGCGCATGTCCCTTCACCGCATCAACTGGTCCCTTCCATCCTTGCTGTTTGATAGCTCGAAGCAATACCCAGAGCGATCGCCCTGTATCACTATTCAAAAAGTCATACAGCGTCAGATGCATCCAATGCCCAAGCAATCGTTCAACAACTGCGTTTGAGAATCTAAAGGCAAGCTTCGGTGTTCTTCCGACTGAGTCCTTCAAGTAGGTGTCGACCAAATCGAAAGTGAGCTTCGTGATGAACTGAGGATTATCAGCAAAGATAGACATGATGTAAGCTGCGATCTTCGCCTTATCACGCGATGTGCACTTCGGTTGGGTTTCGATAGCCCGTAGTGCTTTTTGAGTAAAAGTTGGATTGTCCAGGAGCTTTTTCAATTGAAGAAGACTAGCTTCGGGATATTGACGAGGAGGAGTTTCATCGCCTGGATTCGGGAAAAGAACGTTGTTGATGTAGCGCGAGTAGTCTTGCACAGGCATTTGAGCGTTATCCTCAACGATTTCCGGCAGCTCCATGGATAGCTCAAAATAAGCCCTCTTGGCGACAGCGGAGACCTTTTCTTCAACTGCGTGGAGCTTTTTCTCAAGACTCATGTGCTTCTTCTGCGTCGCTCTATACTTGTTGTAAAGCGGATAAACAATGACTGCGATGATAAGGATAAAAACGAAGATGCTGATAATGGAGATGGACATTGTTGCCACGGAGAGCTTCGGAGAGACACTTAGAGTAGCAAAATTTGCTTCCACAGTTCCAAAACGGGCCCTTAGAGTCAACAGACGTTGATTGAAAGTCTCCTCTTCGATGTTGTCAGGCAGTTTGAACTCGATAATGGCACATGTTTCGTTCGATTGGCTCACAGTGTTCAGCACGAGATCATCGATATTTTCCTCGGGGATAGAAATCTTGGTGGAGAGCCAGGAGTGTTCTCTGAACATAGCTTCCGCTTCAGTTGAGTCGAAACAAATGGATACTGTTTCGAATGATCGCTTAGCGAATTCCCGCTCATCCTTCGTCAGGACAAACTCAGGTTTATCATAGACGTCAAGCTTGTCAGACAACTTATGAGACCATCCATCAAATTGTATGGTTAATGTCTGTAGCTCTAGTGAGCGCCTTCTTCGTCGCGTTTCTTGCGTCCGTGGAAGCTCACAGAAGAAATCATACGTCTCTGGAGTTGGCTTAGCAGCCCGTGGTCCGTCATTTTCTTCGTGGGTGATTGAGAGAGGAGCTGGTGCCGGGAGCTTCCCAATTTCGCATTGACTCGTCATGTCTTCATCGTCTCTATTTTCTTCAGCAAATATAATGGGAAGGGAAGAAGGCGACTCAAAAATACGAGATAGGTCGCGACCACCTAGAGTAAACCAAATCCGTCCGCCACCAGATAAATATGTAGGAATAAGATCAGTCAGAGGCTTGCATGAACGCGGATCATCGCACATGTGCACGAATCCGTCATTCTTTTCCCACAATTCTGGGTTCTCGATGTAGTTGAATGGAGTAGAAATATAAAATATTCTCCCATCAATGTCCAGCCGAACATCCTGGCTTTTCCTCCCGTCATTCATTGCAGGAGTGAAACAGCTGATTTCATTTTCACTGATATCAAGCTCCGTACATTCTTGATTGCCGATCGTGACTTTGCGTGACGAACCCGCATTGAGGAAATTCCCGTGAATTGTTATCCAAGTGTAACCAGCTTCGATTCCGAACTCAGGTGATATTTTCGTAACCGATGGATCGCTGATGTTAATCTTTTGCTCTGCCTTGGTGAAATCGTTTGTCGAGCCGTCATTCCTCTTGATGGTGATCTCGTAATCATTTGCGATGCTTATTGGAGTGGAAACATAACACTTTATCTGCGATAGTCGTTTTCCATCGAAATCCTTCTCAGAGAATGTCTCTTCTTTGATAACATCACAGCGATAATTCCCAATTTTCACTTCTACATCGTTAGCGTCAACGAACAACTGCTCTCCAACGATCTCGAACGGTGTCTTGGCTACAGAGCGATCATCAGAAATTAGCCCAGAAGTGGGAGAAATGCTAATGACCTTAGGTGCCGCACAAACTGATTGTTCAACCCCTGGAGTTTCTCTGACGCATCTTCCATTGACAAAGGAGCATCCATCTCTAACTCGGCACTGCGTACAAGTTGGATTTTTGTAACCGCAATCTTTGATGATGAAGAATTTCTCACCGAGGGAATCAAAAAGGTAGTTTTTAGTCGCATACTCGATGAAGACATCTTCCTCGACTTCATTTGTCACTGTCATGTTTATGTCTTTGCAAATGATCTGGTTGTTGCTTCCTCGAGTAGCTTCGGCTGTCGTGTACGTCTTCGAATTTTCTGTATATAGGTGGCACTCTCCGATTTCGTTTCCGTCATCGTTGTGCACTTGGAACGCAATATCCTTTCGTTCGCGCGCGTAAACCTTCTCTATCGTTTCTGCCGCGGAAATGGACGGACAAAGATCGGCTAACTCGATCATCGCTTCCTTAGGCGGCGCATTATCGCTGCATTCTGACGACAGACGATTCCAGTAGCAGTGCCAGTTACTGTGGCTCAAACAGGATGTACATTTTTTTCTCTTATCAACTTCGGTACAATCGTAGAAGCTGACACTGGTATCGGCAACGAGTACTCGATTGAATAAAACTTTGACGGCATCCACTTTGATGACGCCTTCTTCGTCAGCTGGGCCGAGAAAGTCACTCTTTTTCTTCGGCAGATCACATGTTATTCTACCGCTATCACGATCGATAAAGGTAAGATTGGTTTCGCGAGAATCGAAGCCGCATTTCCAAAGGTGAAGATTGGTGAAATCATGAGAAACAGAGAGCTTGAGCTCCACTGTCTTTTCATTCGCAGAAAAATACTTTTTGTTACTGGGTTCCAAAGCTGGACAAGTTCCAGTCTGAGGGATCCAGTTTTGGCGATCGATCTCATCACATGTGGCTCTGTCTGTGCACTGACCCTGCGATCGTTTGGCACACCAACCACATGACGGGAACTCGCTATTCAGACAAGCGCCACATGTTTTGTGTTGCTCGCAATTGTGGATCTTCCTCACAGTAACGTCGTTATCGGTAAGTGCGAACAGATTGTTATCTTTGATCGCAAAATCGCGAATGGATCCAGAGCCGGGACTTACCAGCGTTGCAGGTGATTTTTCTTTAGTTTGCGAGTTAGAGGTGAAGGATTCATCATCGAAAGACCACAGAAGGACGTCTTTAACGTTCTTGTTAAGAATGAATATAGAGAGTTTATCTTCTATCCGTCTGAAAATTGCTTTAAAATCTTCATCGTCGATCTCATCAAAGTTTTTCCTGAAGATATTGCTCAGATCATATGCAGGCGTAGCTTTCATTGCCTTTGATTTCTTCAAGAATGAGTTCCCTGCCGAGAAGGGTTTGAATGGGACACAAATGTAGGGAACTTTACTAATCTGAGGCATATCAGCCTTCTTTACCGTAGGATAATCGCGGTAAAGGAACGGACAAAAGTTGGTCATTTTGTTATCGTCTTTATACATCTCGTGGTATTCCGGGCAGTTGTTGAGATCTTTGATAGTTTCTTTGGTAGTCCGCCGAATATCCTCCGTAAAGGCGTTGCTATTTTTACTGCAGCGATCTTGCAGCTCTTTTCCTAGGGATTTATAATGCTGGATGTGCTCGACGAAAAGCTCTCCAATGGGTGCCTCAGAACGTGTTTGGATACTTTGTGGCTTTGTCTCGGTCGGACACTGGTCAAAATTATCGAAGTCGTCTTCGCAGCTGAAAAGATACCAGCAGGATTTTGACATTTTGTTGAAAGTGTGCTCGAGGGACTCCACAGACCAAGAGCACAGCTCGCCCCTGTGATTAAGAACGAGGAGTCCGAGCTTATCGTCAAAACTGGCCACTAGAATATCGTCGAAACTGCCACATTGAATAGGGATCTCCGAGACGTACTGTAAGTGAACATCAGCGGAGCAGGTTCGACCAACGACATAAGTCGGCTTGAAAGATGTCGCGTATGAATCCATTGATGCTCCTGTAGTCGTTTCGATCTTCGATACGTAGTAAAACCAACTCATTTTCGTCTTTGGATCGACGAAAGTAAAGGTATCGATAAAGTCAGCTTTGTTCCGTGTGTTTAAATTTTTGGAGTTGGTAATGACTTCCAAACTGTCGAAAGCTTGATCGTTTTGCATTTGGTCGTCTTTTAAGATTGCGCGCAGGGAATGAGATGTTTGTCTTGGATAGAGCAACTGAGGATCGATCTCCATCGTCGTCAGGATTCTATCACTCTTGCATTTCATCCCCTCGCTGTTTTCAGAGAACTCGGAGAACTTCTCACTCTCTCTGGCCACGTAGAGGACTTTATGATTGGTTCCAGAGTCATCAACAAGCTCCTGCACGCGCACTTGTCTCTTTCCGCTGTCTGGTGGCATGCCAGTGTGCTGTCGCCATATTGTTTTTCCTTGAAAATCATCTTCGGGGATGAGATAGCAGAATTCAGTGTAGCTCGTGCAAAAAGTACGTTTTCATCGACTTCAAGAATATTTGTCACTCGCGCTTTTGGCTGAACACCGCCTTTGAAGGAGCAATCTTTAAAGTTATCCTGCAATGAATCGTCGGGAATGCTTCGGTCGATCTCTCCGGAAAACGTGGCCGAGCTCGAGTCATATTGGAGTCTGAGTAAATTTGAGCCGCCAATGTAGAGGATGTCCGAGTCACTGCGGGAGGATTTGGAAAGATAGAGAGTGCTGTAATCGTTGTTTTGAGGTAGTTTGCGTTCTTTAGACGGGTCACATCATTAACGTCTCTTTTTTATTAGTTTCAAATGAAGTAGACCTTTGCCTGAACATTTTATAGAAGAAAATAAGCCCAGTAGTATGCCCAAGAATGTAAAAACGGCTGTCATCTTCTCTCGCGCATTGCTCGGATTTCTAAATGAGAACAATAGTTATTTCGAATTCTCTTATGCGCCGAATAAGAAGATCATAAAAAGTGAACAATAATGGACAAAGGACATCGTGAAATCGCGAAGAGTAATCTTTGATTAGCGCTATAAATTTCAACCACCCAAAAAGTCACACTTGTCCTTATAAGTGGTTTTCGCGTAGGGATGATTTCTCTTTTTTTTTAATTTTTCACATAAAAAATCGGCAGTACGATTTCGCGAAAATTAAAGGTGATTCACGACGCGAGGACAAGTGAATAATAGCTCTTAAAATGGCAAATTCCAGACACGGCCCCTGGTACGCGGTATGAATAAACAATCTCTTCGCTGCAAGGGTTAAAATGTTAGAAACAGGGACTTATTAATAAAGACACTCGAGCCTGGCGCTCACTCCAGGTTTTTCTTTTGAAAATAATAGTGCGCATTGACGCGCGCATTTTAGCGCAGAGAAGCTGAATTCATTGACCCGCGGCCAATTTCCCATCAAAATTTTATTCATTACTAGCAGTCGCCGGAATTCAAGCCCCGGGCTATTTATAGAGTTCTTCAAAAAACATTACAAAAGAAATATCAAAATTTACTCTTCTTTGATTTCAAGATTTGGCATATTGTATCGAGGATTTATTTTACAGTTGAATAAATTATTTGAATCAGATAAAGTTAGCTTTTTCCAGAGCAAGGGGGAGTCTTATGAGTTGATCCTTCAAGCTCTTCATGTTCTCGTTCAGTTCTTAGCGACATTGAAAGAGCATGAAGTCCGCCTTCTTTGAATTCTTCTTTCAAAAGTTTATTCACGGATCGTTGTCGATTTACTGGTCTCTGTCCATCGAATGCATCGCTGACAACTGTAAGATTGAAGTGCGATTCTTTGCCTTTTCTGAACCCATGAAGCCGACTTTCGTTGATCACAGATAAAAAGCTTGGCTTGAAGGACTCCTTGAGTTTTTGATTGATAATAGCTTCGACGGGGCCCATCGATTGGAATCGAATGTGTCTGATGGTAGTTAGAGCCCCTCTCATTTGAAATCTGAAATTTTTTTTTAATCAAAGGGGTTATAAAATAACACGGGTCATTTTTTATTTCGGTAAAGATTGCACATATCGTTTTATTTGAAGACTACTTGTACTGTTTTTTATGATGATCATTACAGTCAGAGAGCGAGGGGAGCAGCGACTGACTTTAATCACAATTATATTGAATTTTTGTTGTACAGTCATATTAATAATTTTATTATTATATAATAGAATCAAGAAAAAGGCGAAGAAACAATAGAAAGAGAGAAAGGTATAAAAAAATAATGTCAGTAAGGCCGCGGGAAGAATCTTTTGAACCTATGAAAACTTGGTGGGGGGAATCTCGTTATGTATGTTTTGATTATGTTAGGTCTTGCTGTCGAGAAACTGGACGTTGTGAGAGAAATATACAAGACAGATGGGGAACTCTTTTTAGCAACATGGACGAGTGCGCATGTACTGTTATTGCACTGAACAAAAACTAATAATGAAATGGCAAAGAATTATTTTACATTTGAATCTACTTTTTCAAATGGACACACACACTTTTAGGTTTGCCACGCGTTTTTGAAAGGGGGATTGCAACTTGCAAGTTCTTGCAATTCTTGTGTTACAGTTCGTCTTTTCTGAGAGTGTATTTTGTTTCGCTGGGTTGGAGCTTTTTGAATTGCGACTCTGGTGGTGGAGTTCCGCCAGACTTCGCTTTTTCCAGATGTTCTTGAGCCTTTTCGAGGTTTTCCTGCTTCTTCTCTTCAAGTTCGGCAAGTTGGTCTTCCTTCTTCTCGAGCTCTGAAAATGACCGTTACAGTCGATAAAGAGCTGTCAATCGATCTTACCGTCATAGAGAGCGTCTTCATGCTTGAGCAACTCCTCTTCCTTGGCGGCACCGTCGGCAACGATCTTATCTTTCGCCGCCTTTTGTCGAGGGTTATCTACTCCCTCCAGTTCATCTGTAGCATCGTCGTTTTCGTCCATGACTTCGTCGATCTTTTCTGCTACTTCTTCAAGCTTTTCTTGGACTTCTTCGATCTCATCTTGAACTTTTTCGGCTTCAGCTTCGATCTTCTTCACTTCTTCTAAAGCTTCTTGGGCCTTTTCCTCGGATTCTAGCGTTTCGATTTCAGCATAGATTATAAGTGAAGTAGTTGAAAATACCTGGATCAGGGCCGTGGTGGAATTCACGGTGAAGCTTGCCAGAGTGTAAGTCGTTGGCAAAAGTGAGCAAGTGTGGAAGACGGACGATTTCCTCAAAGTTCTTCTTGAAGACGTACATGTGCGAGAAACTGTCAATAGCAATGACTGGACAGTCGTTGACACTTTTGCCCAAATGATACAGTGGATGCGTGAACTAATCTTTTGATTTTATTTTTCATGAGAGAAAACGAACCTGTTCACAAATAGCAGTGACAACGTTGATTTTTCCTTTCTGGGAGAAAAGCCATCGCTGGGCAGCTTGTTGGAAGCTCTCGAGGCTCTTCGTGTCCTCTAGGAAATGTTAGGAAACTCACAAACAAGCACTATATGATATAGTCTATATCCTACCTTTCTTGTGGAACATGATCATGAGTGGAAGACCTTCTTCAGTGATTTCTTCCGCATTGTTGAAAGTGATTTCCCGCACCAAGGGGACACAGTTTTCATCGGTCCACTAGAATTTTATTTTATAATTTATCACTATCGACTCCCATCTTGTGCATTTGTCAATATTGACTTCGTAGTTATGGTGACGCAGGAAAATAAAGCATATGAAAATACCATTATAACAAGACTTGAAGACTAGTACTCGGCAACAGAAAATGTGAGCTCGAAAAAGTTTTATTGAACTGAACTAAAAAATAGGTTGTTTCTAGTTCCAACGCGCCAGAAAGCGAGAGTAAACCCCCATACGGGCCAAGTGATTCCAGAGGCGGAGGGTTATCCGACTAGAGACGAGCTTTACTGCCCACGATGCAAGGGAAACAGACCTTTTCTTACTGTTGAGAGGAAACGAGTCCGATGCATGCTCATTTGTGAACGGCTTTATAATCTTCAAATTAATTCATTTTCATGATACAGTATCATTGATACTGAAAAAAGCCCGAAAAAGTATCCCGTGCATTTGCTGCCCTTGCTTGTGCAAAGAAAAACCGCCAGAATTCAAATGTGCTATCTGTCACCACAAAGTCGTACAATAAATGTCTTTTGTTCAATCATACCTTCTTGAAAACTTCTTGATTGCTAATTTGTCCGTAAAAGGGACGATCAACTCTGTTAGCGAGCTTGTTCTTGAAGAGCACATTTGGTCCATTTTTCATCTCAGGCTTGGCAATGTCACCAATGGCGGCGATAAAGATGCAGCTTTCTACGAGCTCATCGGCAGAGATTTGGAAGTTCTTGTATTCGGCAGAGTCTTCTGATTCAAAATAACCGACAACCTAAAGAAAAACTAGCTTCTAGTTTATCAAATTTCATTTTACCATCGATTTGATGCGCTTTTCTTGAGCAGTAAGATCGTCGATTTCTTTCAACTCCTTGACTTTGATAATTGGGTCTCGAATCTGGTCTAGCAAAAAAGCCTTGATTGCAGCGACGCTCCTTTGACCTCTGTATTCTTTTTTCAGTGGCTTTCCATGACGAAACAATTTGATTGTCGGGTACTGAAATTGCAAAATATAGAAGAGGGAGAAGGAAACAAAATCAAACCTTGTTGACCATAAATTCTTTACAAATGTCGCCATCTTTATCACAATCAACTCTCGCAAAAACAAGTTGCTCCTCGCTAGCCAATTCTCTCTCGGCAGCTTCGAAAATCGGCGCCAATTGACGGGAAAACCTACAATGCTCCACTACCAGAATCAAAACAGAAAGAGAGTACCTGCACCAGTCAGCGTAAAAATTGACAAAGGAGACCTTGTCCTCCGCCAGGGCTACGTTTCGATTGGCATTTGTCATTTTGATGACTTCGGCCGTGGCCAAGCCTAGGCAAAGCCCGAACGAGAGTATGAACATTCTTAACCTCTAATTTTAGCTCTTATGAACACGCTTATTTTAACTGGAATCTATTCACTTACAGTGAATTATACAAATTAATACGAAGAAAGAAGAAGGAGTGTGAAGAATACAGGATTTTTTCTAACTTTTTTAGAACACGAATAAGTCTCAATAGTCTCGATAAATGTCAGGCAGCTAAATGAAGCTTTTTAGTCAGTTTTTTTTTATTATTATTTTTGTCTAGATAGAAGAGGCGGGCTTCTTCTCGAGCACTGTGTGTCAACATACAGTAATCTGTAACGGTGTTTCTTTTTTCTATTGTGTCTTTTCATCTGTCAGGGCGTTGGGCTTCAGCGAAATCGTCTCATTCCTCTATCTCCTCTAGAAGCAAAAAGGTTACTATGCGTGGCGCCAAAGCCAGGTGGCCTTTGATAATGTTGCCCCGGTGATGCTTTTTAATCGGCAGGTTGACACCGAAAACAAATAAAAGTGGGAGTACCTGGGAGTGAAGAAACCTCGGCCGCCTCGTGGACCTCCTCGGCCTCTTCCGTAGGGTCCTTCAGAATGGAAGTGTGGTCGTGGCGGGCGTTGTCCCTGAGGTGTTCGAGGTGCATAGCCTCCTCTGTGGGGGCCTCCGCTGAATCCGCCGCGAGGGGGTCCGCTATTCATGTTCTGCTGTCCGTTCTGACCGTATTGTTTTTGAGGACTTCCCCAGCTGGAAACATTGGTAAAAGAAATAAAAGGAGAAACATAATACCTGGCTGGCATTTCGTATTGATTCTGAGGCGGCTTCGGAGCTTGCCAGTCTGGAACGCTTCCATTGAATCCTTCATTGCCGGCGTGATTTCCATAAGCATTGGGTGGTGTATTGAGACGAGGCTGGTTAAGCATTTGAGGTGGCGGCAGTGGTGGAGCACGTCCATGAGAAGCTTCTCCTGTATCCCAGCGAGAAGCTCTTGCACGCGGGCGAGGCGTACTCTGCTGCTGGGGATTGAGAATATTTGCTAGGCGAGAGTCCAGATCGCCAGAGGTACCGGCGGCGGAGAGGTTGGAGCTGGAAGGTGTCTCTTGAGGGGCGAAAAAGGAAGCAAGTGAATTTGGCAGTGCTTCGTCTTCGGAGCTGAATTTTCAAAGTCAGAAAAGAGGAGAGAAAGGTCGAGATTACCTGCTTGCTGAATCCGACATATTCATCTCGACCGCTTGATTGACAGGAACCATGATCGGAATCGTCAACTCTGGGGATCCCTGGGGTGATTGTACAGGCGTCAGGTTGGTCGCTTTCTCTGGGAACTTGGCCTTCATCATTTCTTGACAGCGTCGTTTCTGAGCAATGATGCGCTCTTGGTAGTCTTTGTAGGCCTTTAGCACCGTCGTTACTTCTCGAAATTGTGTCTGAAATGAAACTTACCCCACTTTAATTCCCCAATCATCCAAACCTCATAAAATCCAGAACTCTGATCAAGCACAGTTAGCAAGGTCCTTCTTCTCTCTATCGCTGTTTCCTGCAAACTGACGTACTCAAGCAGTAGCTGTGTCCATTGTTCTAACTCTTGCCGAGCTCTGTGTCCGTGTCCTCGTTCTTTCACCTTCTCTAGAAGTTGATCTGGGTCACTTCCTTCAATTCCGGACGATTCCAACAGCTCTTTCTTCAATTTCAACTCATTTTCACACCTAAAAAGACGCATGAATAAACCAACTTCAACCCCGAAAACTTACTTTGAATACTCTCTTATCGCTTCGACCAAATCTGTGTACAGAAACTCTCTTGGCTCTCCTGAACCAGGACTGTCTAAAGGCAAACTCAAGTTGGGCTCAACATAATGATCGTTTTTACCAGATCCATTTTGGTTGTTCGCCGGATTGTCAAGTTTCTCTTTGAGTAGCTTGATCCGCTCCGCGTCCATGATCGTTCTTGATTCCCAAACACTGAGGACTTTGTCGACACCGGAACGGATTGCTTCGTGCGAAAAATAGTCGAACGCGCGGGGCATCACTTCTTTCCAGTTTTCTGACAGCTCTAGAAACAATCTTGAGGTGCTGCTTTTAACCACTTTTGGTTACCTTTGTACTCGCTACCCCGCTTTCTGCAGTTTTGAATAACATCATTCGCGACGTAGAGAAGGGTAAGCCGGTGATCATTGTCCGATTTTTGAAGTTGCGTGAGCCAGAATTCGACAACTTGGGAAGCAGAGGCTTTGTTCTCGATGATCCAAGTTGACAGGTTGTTGATTGACGCCTGCGTGTTTGTCACAGCAGCGAGCTGATAAAAATTATAAGCCGAATGTTAACTCTAATCGTGTTAGTAATTAATTAAAAAGTAGCCGCGGAAAGATAAAATCTGCGACTAGCCGCGCCTCGCGCCAGAAATCGAGAACAAGCGCCATCAAACAGTATTTTTTTACAAAAACTCGATATTTTCCTCAGGCCTTTGAAGAAATAGAAATATCGAAAATAATTATTATAATTTATAATAGTTTACGAGATAATATTTACCTTGCGCTTGAGGACATCGGTCGACAACATCTTTGCCTTCCCTCTCGCGTTTTTCCCTGATCTGTGATCCTCCTTCTACGATTTTGCCTATAGATGTTTCTTTCTTACTGATTCAGATCATCTCAGAAAAAAAAGAAAAGAGAAAGGAAAATCGCGCGCGCGTCGCCCAATCCAGCGCCGCGGAACATCCATTTTGGCCAATTGACGGCGCCTTTTCGACTTTTTCGAAAAGTTTGAAAGGCCAATTCCGAGTTTTGAAGATTTTAAATGATGGAAGAAGAGATAAAAGAAGAAAGGGTTTGGATAAAGTTGAAGAGAGAAAAGTTGGATGCAAGGGAAGTTGAGCAATTTACCGTTCAGCCAGATTGTGGCCAAGGGATGAAAGCCTATAATAATTCTAGAGCAGGGAATTTTCATGAAGCATTATTCCATTTGAAATTTATTCACTTTATAAAGAAATTTATAATTTTGATAGCAAATTGAATTAGGCAAGTGAGAACATTTTTTCATTCCTTTTATTAGAGCTCTCTGTACATTCCAAGGAACCACGCGAAACCACGCAAAGGATGGAACTGAAGTTCTCCGCCTAGATTACTCCTGCTACCCCTCGATGGCTCTAGCGCAGCTTTCCAAAATCGCCCAAAACGCCATTTCAAAATACGGCCTCTCCCGCGTCTCCATCCACCATAGTATCTCTTCTGTTCCCCCAAACGAAGCAGGAGTCATCGTCTCCGTCTCATCGAAGCACAGGGTCGCTTCGTTTCACGCTACTGCAGAGATCATGGAGGATTTGAAAGCAAAAGTGCCGATTTGGAAAAAGGAAATTTACGAAAATGGAGAAAAATGGATCGAAAACTGTGTTGGATGCAAAAATGCTGCGAATAATCTTCAAATTGAATCACAAATCTTCACTTCTTTCTCTTCCATTCCAAAAAACCTGTAATAAAAACAGTAAAAAAAATTATCGTACAATTAAAAATGATTTCGATGCTTATTTAGTATGCTTATCCGTGGAATAAGTCTCCTTCCGCGGAGGACTCTCGTCCTCGGACGCCCCGTTCTTGGACCTAAAAAGAAAAAGAAGGGAGGCGGCGGCGGAGGAGGAAAAGCCGTTGAAGTTAAAGTGCCAGACCCAGAAACGGTAGAAAGACTGATTATTTCACTTTTTTATTGTCGTTTAGGATTTTGTAAAGCTTACAACTACCTGTTGCGGAATCAACATACACTCTGAAAATATCCTGACGATGTACGAGTGGACCGACGAGCAGAAAAAGACGCTCTTTGACGAGCCCAAGTTGAAACCAGACTCTGAATATCCAGATTGGCTTTGGACAGAAGATTTCTTGACTGACATAAATTCGATCAATATTGAAAGCATAGAGCCCGGCACGGATTTATACTGGAAAAAGGTGCATTTCATGAATTAATCCTTTCAAATAATCCATTTTCCGCCTAGTTCGAGGCGCTAGAAAAGCAATACAACGACCTTTACTTCGCCTGGCACGAGGAATTCCGAGAGAATCAACTACCACCGCTTCACGAGTTAGAATTCAAGAGCCACTTTCCAAATGTACAAATCAAGCCGAGATCAAAGTCTCTCAAGAACAGAATTATCAAATCTGCTCCTTACGCGAATCAATGAATTTAAATTATTATTCAAAACACATTCTTATTTTTCCACTTTAGAATTATGTTATCGGCTCAAAAACGAAACTTATCATTGGTCCAACGCGGAATTTTAGCAGTTGGCTGTGGAATTACGGCGGTTCGTGATCCCTACAGGTAAACGTTTTCAATCCTCGATCGACCTTTAACCCCAATAAGATATGACTGCGTAGCCTACGCCACAGAAGCAACAACACTTCCCTCTCAACTTGATCAAGTCAGAACACGCATTTTGTCAACAGAAGAAGGAAACCGCCTTCTCGAATCAAAGCCAGTCATCAATTCTTCAACAGTCGATTTCGATGCGCTAAAGAATCTTCCTTCTCAGACTTTAGGACACGAGTACCAGGCTATGCTCGAGCGACAGAAGATTTCTCCTGACACTCGAGTGCCGGTGAAATACGTAGAAGACGAAGATCAAGCGTATGTCATGCTTCGATATCGACAAATTCACGACTTTCTCCACTTACTCCTCGATGCTCCGACAAATTTCGAAGGAGAATCGGCCGTAAAAGCTTTTGAGTTTTCACAAACTGGCTTTGCTGTCCCTTTTATTGGTGCTACTGCGGCTCCTTTTTACCGTCTAAATTCTTCTAAATGGCAAAGGCATCAAAACAGACTCTCGAAACTTATGAAAGATAATACAAAATTGCACTATTTATCAATTTTCTACGAGGAACGCTGGGAGCAGGACCTAAATGAACTGCGCCAAGAAATAGGCATTCCACAGACATTTCAATAATATTCACCTTTATTCGTTACTTGTAACTGTTATCTTCTGTTTAAGAAAAATGAATCGGCTCTTGAGTAAATCGCGGTCGGTACTCACTACTTCGGAGAGAACTGCAAAAGCTGTGGCGAAAAGTCGTTTGATATTAAAAGAAAAGAATCCTCGAAAAGGGACTAAAACCTTCGGAGCGATGATCGAAGAGGGCGAGCCCGTCAAAATGGGCCAATTGATTTGGAACCAAGAACAGAACCAGGGTGGACCTTGGAGTTGTCTTCCAGGTTCGGCTCGTGAACTCTTGATTGTCCTTTTTACTGGCGTTTAGGAGCAAATACAGAGCCCGTCTTCGAAATGGGCTGGAATCAATTTACCAATAAAAAGGGAATTTACGCGCTCTGTGACGGAACTGTTCGATATACGAAAGAAATTTTTATTCCAGCTAAAAATACTCGCCTCGTAAGATGTCTTGATAAAATCCTTTCTAACTTGATTCTAGGCGGAAGAAATAACAAAAATGCCGGCTGGTAGCTTCATTTATAAACTGCACTGTCACGTGGTTCCAAAACCTATTGATAATAACTTCAAACTTGTCGATTTATCATAAACTTTGATTCAAAACGCTCTAAAAACAAAACTTTCAGAATGTTCCGACAAGTCGCTAGAAACTCGCTCCGGGCTTCTGGCCGCACTTCGCTGACCAAGACCGTAAGTTACCGCGACTTCAACACTAGTTTTACACTCGTTTATAGTCGAAGAGATCCGTCGGAATGGACTTGGGTATGTACAACGTGAGCTACAAGTGGGGCGCCTACCAGGATCCCGTCTTCACCGCCATGTTCCAAACCGTCTCTCTCGGCTTCCTCGTGTTCATCTTCTACCACTCCTTCTACGACGGAGACCATCACTTGCCCGGACGTGGCTCCGTCATCAGACCCAAGTTCCAGCACCAGATGGATGCTCTTTACTTGAACGAAGAGTTGGGTCTTCCTTCTCCTCACACACCTTCTGCTGCTCCAGCTGAGGTTTGAAAAACGACCAATCTATCTACTTCAAACTCATTTTTTAGGAGGAAGAAGAATAAGCGATTCTGTTCTTGTTATTTATTATTCCAAATAAACCTGTGAAATATACAAGTTCCAAAGACTCAAATAAACATGAACTGATTTTAGAAAAATGTCGGATTTTATGGGCGATTTCATGAAATCGTCCGAGAGTTCTTTCATGCGTCCGGGAGCACTGAAATTAAAAGATAAAAAAGAGAAGAAAGCAAAGAAAGAGAAAAAGTCAAAAAAGGAGAAAAAATCGAAGAAAGAGAAAAAATCAAAATCAGATCGTCGATCGTCCTCGCCAGAGCAAGATCAATGGGTTGAAGCCGGAGCGTCAACGAAAACGAACTCTTCATGGATGGGCAGCGAGGAGGACTTCTTTGGCTCGATAGGGTAGGAGGTAATCCCCTATTTTGATCATCGTGGGGAGCTGATGGAAGCATGTAACTTTCTTGCTAATATTGTTTTAGAAAAAAATCTACGAAAAAAGAAGATCGAGCTGCCCAAAAAGAAAAAGAGCGAGAAGAGTTCGAAGAAAAGCACAAAATGGGATCCCATAGACTCGAGTTGAACCCTTACTTCAAAGATGGTGGCACTGGAATGCCACCGACCGAGGAAGAAATGAGGGAGAAACAAAGAAAACCAGAGAAGAGGAAGCAGGAGATTAGCTATGAAGACGAGATGGAAGCGATGTGGGCAGAGAGAGACGCAGAAGTCGAGCCCGAAACTAGGCCTAAGAAAAGATCAAAGCATGAGGGCAAATGTAAGTCACTATTATTGGAGCATTGTCTACCTCAAATTTAGCGGCTGCGGAAATCAAAGAAATCCGAAACAAACTTACTGGAAAGCTGATGCGTGCCGATCTCAAAGGCAACAAAGAAAAAGCTGCGAAAATTCAAAAAGAAATCGACGAATTACCTGATGAAAACACAATCGTCGTTCAAAAATACGATGCCCGTGGTCGAATCCGTCCAAGTAACCAGAAAGGCGAATCTGATATTTCTGCTCTTCTGCGCGATGAAAAGAATGACGATGGAGGAATGGGTAAGTTTCATGATAGTCTTCCGTGTCTTCAAGGTCTTTTTTAGCTTCGGATATGGCGCTCATGAAGGCGGCATCAATGAATATCATCAAAGGAGGAGGCCTCGAAGAACTCTTCGACGGTACAAAGACAAGAGGGAAAAAAGAGAAGCCTAACGCAGAAGAGGACCGTGAACGAGCAAAGAGCAGGATGATTCATAGAAGCCTCGAAAACTGTCGCTTTTGCTATTCAAATAAGGTAAAGAGTGAACGCAGTTGAAAACAAAAGTTGACAAATTCTTAGAAACTCCGCGACTCAATTTGCTGGGTTGGCCAACACGTGTACTTAGCTGTTACAGGCTCTGAACCGATGGCTGAAGGCCACTGCATCATCGTTACAAAAGAACACTATCCAAATCTACCGTCATGCGATGAAGATGTCGCGCGCGAGATCCTCAACCTGCGAAGAATGCTTACTGGTTATTTCAAAGCAAAGAATGACACAGAGCCAGTTTTTATCACTACAGGTATTAATTTTATTGACAGGAAACGTTTTATTCATTGACAATGAGCGTCGGCGCGCTACGGGATTGCAAATTCAGTCCAGGTAGTCCAGGATTGCCAGGTGGACCTGGTGGGCCATCAGGTCCAGGAGCGCCAGTTTTGCCTGGCTTACCATGATCTCCATTGAATCCTTCAAATTTTACCTATCTCAACCTTTGATAAAATGTGTTACCTCGTGGTCCAGGGTCACCTCTTGGACCCATGTCGCCAGGCACGCCGGGTTCTCCTCGCTCGCCCTCCAAGCCAGGAGGTCCTGGAGGACCAGTGTCGCCTGGGATTCCTTGAAGACCTGGGAATCCTCGTTCACCTCTTCTACCAGGCAGTCCTCGTAGCCCCGTGGCTCCTTTTACTCCTCGTTCGCCACGGGCGCCATCACTGCCAGGATGGCCATCTTGTCCAGCTATTCCAGTCTGTCCTGGTGGACCAGCTGGACCAGGAGGACCAGGGCGACCGCGGCGGGGAGTCTTTCGCTCGATCTGTTTTATCCTTGTTTCTACCAAAATTTAGGGGAAAATATAAACGGTTTTTTACCAAGCTCAATCATCTTTGATTCCAAGCCAAGAATTCGCGCTCCATTATCAGGGCAGGGACAATAGTCAGCTGCAGCAGCTTGTATCTTATTTTGTGAAATAAAATATTACCGATGTGGACTTACAGGGTACCATTGAGCGCTTGAAACGGATAACCAAGCCAGTAAGAGTTTAATCGAAATTTTCATTTTCTCTTGTTGAGCATTTTTAATGACGAGGGGAGTTTCGTGATTGTGAGTTTTTATCATTTACGATGATTTTATGTACGTGGCTCGATTTCTTTTTACGAGTTCCAGTGTCGATTAGTTCCTTGCTAACTGCTCTTTCTAGCGACGAAGACGAAGGGTTTCCCGCATTTTGTCACGGAATGCGTTCCAATCGACATGGAAGAGGCTGAAATGGCGCCAATGTACTTCCAGAAAGCGTTTCAAGATGCAGAAGGGATGTGGGCGACCAACAAGGCAGTGATAAACACGATGAAGGAAATGAGCCATTTTAAAAAAGTTCCCCATCAATTAGGTGAGAAAAGTGAAAGAAACCAAAGTTGAATTCATTTTAGGTCATATTGCGGTCGAATTTGGCGGTGGCGGAGGATTCGCTCACATCGTCGAGAATAGCGAACGCTTCCCTCCTTATTTTATGCGCGAGATTCTCGGTGGACTGGCGGACATCGATCCGCGAAAATGGCGAAAACCGGCGTTGGATGAAGAAGCGGAAGTGATATTCCGCGCGGAACAAATGGAAAAGAGCCTCAAGGAGTTTCAAGCAACGAGTCCTTCTTTTTAAAAATAACCGATTACTGCCAATTTGAATGTCCAAAAACATGTCGAATAAAATGCTTTCTTTCTACGTTTTTATTCGTCCATGTCTAAACGATAATTTTTTATCTGATCGAGAGAGACTGCGACCAAGGCTAGTCGGAGCATCATTTTCTGCTTTTTTATTCGTCCATGTCTAAACGATAATTTTTTTTTTATCTGATCGAGAGAGACTGCGACCAAGGCTAGTCGGAGCATCATTTGAAAATACTCAATTTTCGAGAATTGTTTTCTTTCTTTCTAGATTCGAAAACTCTTTTTGCTTGTCGTCATTTTCTACTTTTTTTTTCTACTCTAAACGACAATTTTTTTATCTGATCGAGAGACTGCGATTTTCGAGAATTGTTTTCTTTCTTTCTAGATTCAAAAACTTATTTTTGCTGCTCGACCGTCGGCACTTGACCTCTTTACGAAAAGAGTTGAGAAACGATTCAATATTTTTTTGTTCAGACGGTGCGTTATCGGATTGAAAATGAACCCCAAAGAGAGAGATGAATCCCCTTCGTCGGATGATAATTCTGGAGTGCTTCTCATTGACGAGAGTCAATCTTCAGAGATAGGTAAAATTATAGCCTGCTGACTTATTTTCATGCAATTCCGTGTAGATATCTCCCCAATGAAAACACGGTCTGGAAGAATCAACCAGCGAGAGAAAGAAGCGACTGTCAAAACGTCTCAAAAAGATGGTAAGTCTAAATGTTCGCTCTACTTTTTAACAACTGAAACTAGCACCATCATCGAATAAAGAGCCTGTTCGAACGAGATCTTCCAAAATTCATATTGATCTAACGCCAGAAAAATCACAAGCGACCACGCAAGAGAGCTTGGAAGATTCTCAAAGACTATCTCAACTGAGCCGTTACGAGATGATGGAACGAGCTGCTGAGTTTTCGCAGCCGTCACCCTACTTCAAATCGCCGAAGAAGACTTCTAACAAATCATCAAACTCGGAGCTGGCCTCAGATCTTGATCCCGACCAACCAAGTAAGCGATTAAACATATGTTGAAAATATACACGAATTATAGCAACGAGTTCGCAACGAAAGACGGGATCTGCGAAAGAATCAACTGAGCTTTCCCCTGAAATACCTTTACCGGAGCTTCCCCCATCACAGCAGAGCATGGATGGCTGGGAAACTCAGGAAACTCAACTTTCCCAACTGAGCCGATATGAGATGATGGAGCGAGCTGCTGAGTTTTCTCAAATCAAAGCTGAACCTAACTCAGATAAAAACCGCACAGAGCATTCGCCTAAAACACCAAAAGCGAGAAAGAAGCAAAACAAAGCTGTCAAATCATCTCGTAAGTTATTGATTCTTTTACCAAATCCTTACCTTCTGTTTAGCAAAAGCCACGCACTCTCCGAGAAAAACCCGATCCGGGAAGGCGATAAACGATGATCCCCTGGAAAGGATTGAAAAATTGACCCAGGCTGCTCTTGCGTCTTCACAATCTTCTGGGAATACTCAGGGATCCGAAGAAGGGATCGCTGCAATTTCCGTATCAGTCAGTGGTGAACTACTCAATGATGAGGTGCCTTCGGATCCAGAGATCTCCCTCTCCGTCAGCGGAGAACTTTTCAATGATGAGCCACAGCCAATGGATACTACGCAGATTCCCCAGCAAGAAGTAGAGGAAGCGAACTCCTCTCAAGGCTCCTCCGTTTATGAAACGCCTGAAAAGAGTCTACCGAAAACGCCGAGTAAGGCTGATCAATCAGCACCCGCAACACCTCCACAGCCCTCGAGAAAGCTTCGGCGAAGCCTCTTCAATGAAAATCAGGAAGAACCGATGGAGTCCCCGGAGATAATCATGGCGTCCTCAGGAGACACGACAGTGAGATCAAAAAAGGTCGAAACAAAAGATACTTGGTCACAGGTTTCTGGAGAGACGCTACGAGAGACTGAAGGGAGAAAAAGGAGAACTCACGATGCGCTGAACTTATGCGCCGAAGATTCTCAAGAAGAAAAGTCACAAGAAGGGATAAACCAGACCCAGCGAGTGGGCGATCTTTTAAACCACACAGCGCTTGCTCTCGACTCACAACAGTCAACCCAAGCAACTCAAGCTCGACAAGAGTCAACTTCAGCAACTCAACTTCAACCTCAAGAAGAGTCACAAGGGACTAATGAAAAATATTTCACGCCTCCCACTTCTCCAACCTTTGAGCAAGCGTCAGCGACTCAGAAGACTTTCGATGAGGATTTAGATGATGATTACTTTGCGAAACTCAAATCGCCGACGAGCAATGCTGAAACACAGAAAATTAACAAACAAGCAGATCAGGCCAAAAAGCAAAAAAGAGTTAATAGAAAAATGCCGAGATCGAGAGCAAGACCAACGCGTGATGAGGTCAACGAATCGTTGGCTAGAGCCTGTCGAAGATTACAAGCTGGCGGTATTAGTAGACGTCTGGAATTCGCGAGGGCTTTTATTTCAAGAAGAACCCGAGCACGAGATTCGAGCGATCCCTTGAATCGAGAACTCGAAAATGCGATTTCTTGGGAGCCAAAAGTACCGAATGTGAATTTTTCGAAGCCCGTTCCAGGATTATCAAGCCGTTTCAAAAAGCCTTTTCCAGTACCGGAAAAGCCTGCAAAAGAAAAACCGGGACCTTCGAAATCTAAAGCTTCAAAATCGCAAAGTCAGGAACGCTCGCAGCCACGAGAAGACCAGGAGCCAATTGACAGAGAGGACGTTCGCGATTTTATGTTTCCCACCTCAAACAAGAGAAAGCTTCAGACACCTGAAAAGGACGCGCAGGGCGAAGCAAGCGCGAAAGATCAAGCAGCGAAAAGGAGCAAGCACGAGAAGGAAAATAAATCGCCTAAGAAAAGCGCTTCAAAGCCGACGATTCTTAAGCCAGCTTTGGATATCACCATTGCTCGTCGTTCAGGAAGAGATGCCCTGAGCGAGATTTCGGACTTGTCTTCTGCATTTGATAATGACACTCCAATAAGAGGCGTCGGGAAGATGAAGCAAAGTCAACAGAAAGCTACCAAAGAAAAGAGTGCGAAACCGTCGGGAAAGGGGCATGACGAAGCGGAGAATCAACCAACGTGCAGCAAGTATTTAACACCTCCAGCGATGCCACCAGATGTTGATCTTTCTAGCTTCTTGAACTCGAGCGAGGATGAGGAAGTTCGTCGACCGCAAAGTCGTCCTCGGAGAAGAAATAGATCGCCAACAGCTAGCATGCCGAAGCTCACCAAATTACGCTCACCAGAGAAGTCACCATCGCCATCTAAATCAAAAAAGAAGTCGATTCAGATGAAGAAAAAACATCCAAAAATAATCCCTTCTGCAGCTCGAAAGCCTCCGAGAAGCATCACTTCGTCCGTGGAGACAAGGGATCCGCGAGAAGTATATGATGAGAAAACAATCGTCATCAAAGATGTAAAGAACAGTAAGGGTAGAATTGGATTCAGGCTCAGCGAAAATAGCGAAGCAGGAATCCACATCAGCGAAGTTGTCCCGGGGTCGTTAGCAGATAAAGCTGGTCTTCGTGTTGGAGATATTATCATTTGCTTCAACGGTATAAGATGCTCCGTCAAGAGCAAAATCAAGATGTCTATGCTGCTACCAATCATTGCCGAATCGGTAACGGAAGACTTCAAATTCACTGTAATTCGCGATGTACCCGACCAGTATTCGGAGGAAGAAGACGTTGACACATCGGAAGTCTCAGACATTTCAGATGCAGAGTCTGATGTTCGAGAACAAAACATCGATTCAGGAAATGATATAAAACTGTAAATTCACAAATATGATATTTTTCATGAGACCATCAATGATGGTCCATCATAGACTATAATTCATAGTGACAATCTATTAATTCTTTTAAATCATTACCAAAGATTGCAACGAGAGCAGAGTAGAGACTCCTGTTGATACGAATCCAGAGTATGGAACATTCGACAACACTGCTAACGTTACCAATCATACGTCCGAGAGAAACGTTGCTGATACGACAAATCCTGAGTACGAGACATTTGATCGATCTTTTAATGTCACGGCTGGTACCTCCGAACAGCCTGAGCCTGCGTTCTCTGGCTCTTCTTCAGATGTTTCCTACAGAAGGTTGGCACGAAAGTACGATAAAGGCTCTTCGATCGCTGATACTGTAAAAACCAAACAACGGAAAGTCGGAATGAGCCACTACTTGAATCCGAGGCCAGAATCTATTGCTTCGAATCAACAAGAAAAGGTAACGATTTGAAATCATGAAAGATTACTCTAACTTCATTTTAGTCTGACGAGTCAGCCAGTGAAGTGTCAGTCCAAACATCTTCGCAGGCAGCGTCAAGCCGACCAGCTTCGCGGGCAGGATCGGTCCGACCAGCTTCGAGGGCAGCGTCAAGCCAAATTAGCCGTGCTTCAACCCTTGGCCAGCAGAAAAGAAAGAAGTGGACAGACGTGAGCTCTTTATAAATGATTTAACTCTTTTATTGTTATGAATTTAGGACGAGGACGCCCTATTGATTGTTGGCCTCAATCAATACGGAAAAGACTGGATTAAGATCTGGAACAAGTTTTTCCGTAATACGAAGAGGACGAATACCAGCCTCAAAGACAGACACCGTCAGCTTCTCAAACAAGGCGACCCACGGGTGAAGGAAAAATACTAAACCCCTTTCCTTATTTTTCACTGTATAAAGTTCACATTTTCACACACATCACCTCACTTTTATACTCATAATTCACTGCCTTTATCGCCTACCTATGATTTTAAATTAACGTCTTTTCCATTTTAGATTGCATCAGATTGAGAGCTCACTCGAGCTGCCAAAAATTTCATCAAGGATGAAAGAAGATCTTCTGAAAAATTAATATACTGCCAATTTGTAAATTCTAATAAAACTGACATGTTAAAAATTAAGAATGCGTCCAACGCCAGATTATTCAGCATGGTATGATTATACCGATTCTGTGTATGAGCCCTCTGAGGATTCTTTTGTCTTTCTTGATGGCATTGAAAAGGAACTTGAGGATAAATGTTTAGGCAAGGAATTTAGATATACCTCGTGTTTTGTAGCACTTGTTGATAATTTTCCAAAGAAAAGCCAGGTCTAGCAGTTGAAATCGGTTCTGGATCGGGAGTCATTTCATGTGCCTTTGCGAGTTGGACGAAAAGCTACGTTCTTTCTTTGGACATCAACGAGTTATGTTCCGAATGCACGAGTAAAAATGGAAAGAAGAACAATTCACTTGTAGACAGCGCCGTAAACAACGCGGGTAGTTGCCTTCGTACCGGTCTATTCGATTTTGTCTTGCTCAACCCTCCGTATGTCGTGACAACCAGTGAAGAGCTCCACAAATCACAAAAAGACCAAGATCTGAGTGCTTCATGGAGCGGTGGAAATAATGGAACTGAACTTTTATTCGCCAATCTTTTGCCAAAAGCACTGAAGTTGATGAATAACTCTGGTTGTTTGTACCTAATAGCGATAAGAGAGAACGTTCTGGAAGAAATACGCGAGTTTTTGAATGAACGAAGTTACTTGATGAATATTGTTATTGAAAGAAAAGCGGGGCGAGAGTATTTATACTTGCTCAAGATCACTCATTCATCAAAAGAGTCAATAAATGAACACTAATGATGTCATCTGATCGAACACGTGTCATCTGAACATGACTTCATCATTTTTAACGAGATGTCCTCAAAAAGCGAATTTTAAATTTAAGAATGTCTTCGTTCCCGATTTGGGATGAGTTTTGGAAGGGCAAGTTAGAGAACCTTGTTATCGGAAAAGAGATTCCAAATGGAGAAGCCGAAGCAAGTCAAGTGTCAATTCCGACTGAATCCGAATTCTACTGTAGAACATGCTCCGTTGAGCTTGTCACTCGGGAAGATCAAGTGCAACACTACAAGTCAGCTGAGCACAGAAACCTGCTAAAATCGAAGCTCAAAGCAAAATCGGGAAGCGGAGAAAACGAGAGCGATGGTGACTCGGATAGCTCTGAGGAGGTAAAAAGGTGTATCTGAAATAAATAAAGAGTGTTCCTAGGGGTCGGATTGGTCTGGAGACGAGGAAATAGCGACTTCTGCGAATCTTGATGCTCCTGAAATGCGATTTAGAGGTCGTGCTCAGCAGGTATATTTTCGTCTCTGAACATATCCGTTGAATGTGCATTAGGAAATGTATTTTTTCAACGAAGACAAAGAACGAATAACAGCTTATCGAGGTCTTGTCGCCCATCGAAACGAGTTCTTGTCGGAATTAGAAATTCTCAAACGCCTGGTAATGACCCGCCGATCCTTCACCGAAAAAATTGCTCCTGAAGGTATGATCCAAAAATATTCAAAAAGTAAAGCATTTGAAGGGAAACGACATGATGCAATTTTACTATTCTCTGCCGGCGCCTTTGCTGGTTGCATATTCGAAAATGGAAAGCCCCTGCTCCACAAATGCATAAAGAAATACGTTGTCCGGGCGAAACGAGGCACTGCGCAGTCAACTCGGGATAATCAAGGTAGAAGGATTCCTAAGCGACTGATAATATTCGTGCAGGAATGAAGCCAAAGTCCATGGGTGCTCAATTACGACGAGAAAATGAAAAAGAATTGTGTAGAAAAATTGAGGAGCAGATTACCGAGTGGGGAGCAACACTAGCTAAATGCGCGACGATCTTCTGTCGTGCGCCGAAACATCAGAAATCTGTGATTCTCCAGCCTCTTCACCGCGTCGTTGAGAACAAAACAATTATAAGACCACTGATGGTGCCGATGCACAAGCCTCGCTTCGAGGAAACACAACGAGTATTTCAGAAGATCTTTTCATTGCGAATTCATACCGAAGCACAAGTAGAACAGTTCAAAAAACAACGAAGCCCGAGGAGAAATACCGAAATACTTGAACCGAAAGCAAAACCAAAAATTACCGCAAACCCTCATTTGGATGTTATTTCAGACGACGAAGATGATAAAGTGGAAAAAGAAATGGCAAAGGTCAAACTTTCGCCGAAGAAAGCAAAAATTTCGAAATCGAGAAAAGCGAGATTGGACAGCTCAGAATGCTCGGAAACGATTGACGAAGAAGTAAGGGCAAGACTAGACTTGCTCTTTACCGGCGTGCGAAGTGGAGACGTTCAAAAACTAGCATCGTATTTCGCTGAAATCAACTCTCCTGAAGAAATCATCAATGTGCCCCTCAAGAATGAGATGGTCAGTTAAAATATTTCTCTACAAAAATAATTAATCTTTTTATTCAGACTTTGCTTCATTTTGCAGCAGAGCAAAATTCTTCACCAGTGATCGAATTTCTACTCTTGAATAGATCAGATCCGACGTTGAAAAATAAGGACAAGATGCCTCCATTCCGTCTGTGTACAGTTCGCGAAGCAAGAGCAAGTTTTTGGAATTTCAGAGGTTCGAATCCGGACAAGTGGGACTGGGCTAAAGCAGAAGTTCCTGATCCAGCGGGAATTAGCGAAAACCCGTCGAAGAGAAAGAGACAAAAGCCAAAGAAAAAGAAGAAGCCCACTCCTACAGTCGAGGAACCTGCTGAAAAGCCGAAGAAGAAAGAACTCGTTTTCGTTCCCTGCAGCGAGTGCGGTGGAGAAATAAATGGGACGCCCTTCAAATATTCAGACTTTCAATTCTGTAATACTAGCTGTCTGCGCGCACATAGATTCGCAAGGCTTTAGTCTGCTCTAACTTGGCTGGATTATTAATAAATTATTATGAATAGATAAATACTTTATTCAGAATGTTCAAAATGCAGTAAAGTTTAAATATCAGCTTGGCAGGGATTGATGACTATCGAGTCTTCTGTAGTAACAATTGATCATGAATATCGCGATCGACGAGGCGACAGTGACAGATATTGCTTTTCAATGTTATCATCGTATTTTTAATTTGATTAATTATCGAAGGTTGAACGTTTCCTGAAATTAGAAAAACCCACAGAATAACCCTGACGGCGGCTGATTCTTCCTGTGCAACTTTTGCGATCTTGGTTGTCTCCATCTCTTGTGCTGCCGAAGTTTCTTCGCGAAAGTTTTCCGCTGAAGTTGAATCTGCAGATCTTTCATACGTACAGTAAGAAGTGCAATTGTCGAATTCTGTTATTTTCTTGTAGTCCATCGTTAACATGTTCGTCTCTATCCGCGTCCTTATTCTCAAATCAGACTTGTTAGCGCCACATGATTTTTCACAGTCGCTCCAGCTTGTCCACGGGATTTTCAGGTCTTCATTCTTGCATAAAAGATTACACGATTGAACACGCTCCGATCTCGGAAAAATATCTTCGATGGTTCCGAAGACTTGATTGCAGAGCTCTCGTTGAATCAACTGTCCATTTTTCTCGCAGCTAAATCTTCGCTTCTGTTCTCCAGCCCCACAAGTTCCAAAATACGGGATACAAGCATACCAATCGGCAGGAATCCACTCGACACAGGGTCGATAACCACACGGTTTCGACTGTTGTGAGTTATTAGGACATGCCTTTCCATATCCCGAGGATTTTTGAATGATCTTCCGTGACCTTTTTGACTTTTTAGAGTCAAATGACAAAAGTTACATTTGATGGTAGAGGTTTGGCTCTTTCCTGTAAAACTCCACAAGTTGGCATAGGTGGACAGGGGCTCCATTCTCCCCAGTCGCTGATTATACAGTCGACATCACATTCAAAGCGACAGGTTTGTCTTTCGACTAGCTCTTCTCCCGAGCTTGAACATTCGTAGGGATCCACCAGCTGATTGTTCTTGTAACAATTCATGAAGCGAAATTTGTATCCATCATTGTTACACCCATTCTGAGACGTGCATGAAGTCCATTCTGTCCACACTGTCTTTAGTTGATTGCAGTTGATTCCAGCGACGCAGCTCTCCGTCTCCATTAGATCAAAGGCACAAGTTGAAACGGAAGACTGCCTCAGAATTGAGCGCGAACGGTTTCTGATTGAGTCAGAGCAGCTCAATTTTAGAGGTTCCCAAAATATTTTCCGTTTATCAGCAAAAAGATTTCAGAACCTAAACCTAGAATCACAGCGTGTCCACGCTGTCCATTCTGAAACGACACAATCTCCAGGGCATGAGATGCTGCATTGCTGTTCCTTTTTAACGCTTTGTAATTCAGATTCGATTAGTAATTCCATTATGCGAAGCGATTGAATTTTCTGTCTGACAAGATTGATTCAATTATTTCATTTGACGTATGATTGACTCGTTCAAGAACTTAAATTATTAATAAAGATAGCGTTTCCTGCAAAGGTCGCCTTAGTTCTTTGCAATAAAGGTTCTGTACTTTCTTATCGATTCCGTTATCTTCCATAAAACAGTTGACTTTGCGGCTCTGAAGACCGGTGCCGCAAATAGCTTTATCTTTCAGCTCACAACTTGACCATGGACCCGTTGTCCAACGAAATCGAAAACAATTTGTCCAGCAAGCCTCTGTTTTCATTTTTGCTAAAGATATATTTAGACGCTCACTTATAAAACAGATTTACTTGATGGTTTAGTCCGGCTGCGAACTCCAAATCCACAAGAATTCGAGCAGGGAGTCCACTCAGACCAAACTTCCAGATCTGGGTTTAGTGGATCCTCACATGGAATCGTGCACGGTGTAGATAGAATGTATGAGTTCAGATTACAGTCAGTTCGTAGAAGAGGTCTTCCGTCGAGTCTGAAGCATCCTCGAGCAATTTGTCTTGATCTTGGTTCAAGCTTTGTTTAATATAATTTCAAATCGATCATTTAAACCTTTCCTTCTTCCTTCGCCACAATTTCCAGCAATCGGAAAACAGTCACTATAACCACTGATATCTTTTGTGATGGTTGAGGTAACTGGTGGTCCTTGAGTCGGAATCGTTATTTCAATGTTGTTCTTTTGGACAAGATTATTCAACTTGTAAAAGCGACTAGCTTGTTCGTTTGCTTCACAGAGACCAAGACATTCTTGCATTCTCGATGGGAGAACTGTCGTATTTTCACCAATACACTTGAAGAGGGAAACTTCTTGTCCGAGTTCGGACTCGATACAGTTAATGCTTCTATACTGAATCCCTTTGCAGACATTTGTAGGGTTTCCGCCACTTATTATCAAACACTTACTCCAAGGGCCGATCTTTAAAGTTGGTCTAGTGCAGTTGCAAAAGGTTTCCTCGTAGAGTGTCTGATTGTAATCCGCAATTTTCGGCTCACTGGCTTGCTTTGTAATTCTCCTCCTCCTTGTTTTCGAACCTTGTTGATTTTTGATGCAATTGCAATCTGACCAGCTTGACCAATCGCTCAACTCTGCCGATTGTCTGCAACTGATAGTACAGGACATTGATTCTGCCGGCTTTCTATCTTCTGGACATTGATATGAAGACTCTCCACGAGAGTTCAGGCAGGAAATGGCTCGTGTTTTGGTTCCTTTGTAACAAATGCCATCTGGATCATCAACAAGTGGGTCTCGATGTATTCTTCGGCAGGACGACCATTCTTGAGTCTTCCAGGAAAATGTTGTGCAACTTGGTGCTGGACAACTCTTTAGATTTTGAGTCTGCTCGACACATGTTTTGTTAGAACCTTGACCTAGAACAGATCTTGTTCGGCTCCGTATGTTTTCCCCGAGGTTCTGAAGACCACTCTCTTCGCAAGATGTCGGACAGCGTGTCCAGGAGCTCCAATCTGAGTATATACAGTCGTTTTCTACGGGTTCAAGGGACGTTTCTGAGAGAAGTGAGCAAAGTGGCGGAAAGCATGAGCGATAGTACTCATTTTGATTGCAAGTCAGTGAGTCTTCCTTGTTCAGAAGCACCCTAGAGCGAGTTTGTACTGGCGCAGTGCTTCCTTTTGAAGGGTCAAGGCAGGATTGTGAGCAAGTTGACCAGGCTGACCAGCTTGCATAAATACACTCAGTTTGGCATGGAATGGAACAAGAAACTCGTGAAAGTGGAATTGAAGATTCACATTTATCATCAGGCAAGATTGTTAACTCAGAACTCGAGTTAACGCCGCACCAGACGTTGCGAAACTTAAAGCCATCCCCACAAGTTTGATTTTTCGCTACGCAATTTGTCCATAATCCCGTTTTCCAAGACGGGATATCTTCATTCGAACAAATCTTCTGCTCTTCAAATGAAGGACAAGATGCAATATTCTATTTTGGCCATTTTAAAAAGACTGAAGTTGCATAATTGATTGTTTCAAATTGATTTGAAATTATGAATATATGAATAAATATAAAATGGCTTTCCTGATCGATCCAACTCGTTGGGTAGCGTTTTCGAACTTGAAGAGGGTCGAGAAACTTCTCTCAGGATTGAAACACTAATTAATTCATGTCAAGTCATACTTCGACCTTGAAAAATTTAATCCCAATCTTGGACCACTGACAAGAACTCCATTCCGACCACTGCGAAACCTCACACTGCGATGACGTCGAGCAAGATCTACTGACAACGATCGACCCTCTCACGCTCGACAGAGTCAGATTCTGTAGCCCAGTAGCACCTGATTCACCTAGACACGGACTCCAGTCGGAATTCTTTACTTCTTCTCGTATTTCACCACAGTCTGCCATATCTTGACATTCTTTCGATTCGAATAAATCGACAAAGTCGCAAGGAGGATCATATTTTCGGATTTCTCTTGTTCGATATTTCGAAGAAGGGAGACAAGTTCTATAAAATGTTACTAAATAAAATCCTTGAAAATAAAGTAAATATAGTAACATTTTCTTGAGCAAGGAGACCAGTCAGACCAGCCGCTAAGTTGGCAGTTCATCTCATCACAACGAACTTTACACTTTGCCGCGCAATCGGCCTCTTTCTCTGACTGTGTGTCCGCTCGCCGCTGGCAAGTTAGTCGCTCTCTATCTCTCAGCGTGCCCAGAGCGAAGCCGCCTTGACAGGTTCCATTGACAGGTATTGAGCAGGAGTCAGAATTCGAAATAATAATGGACTGAGAAGCAAGAATCACCTGCAGCAGTAAAAGTAAACTCGTCATACTCCGCATTCTGATTTCCCTAACCTAGTTTTTATAATATAGTTGAGTGGGCCATTACTAAATCATAAGATGCAGGATGGGCAACGAATCAATGGTGATACTTTTACGCTACATAGAGCGACTAATTGATTTTCCATTACTGTATTACTCTGGCAACAGTGGGTGTCATCATTCATCGAAAGTTAACAGTAAGGAGTTCTTCAGTGACCCCTTATCCGTATGATTATATAGGGTTCCTTATTTGTTCATAAATATTGGATGCTGAAAGTCAAACTGTTCTGTACATCCAGTCAGAATTCATTAATTCCATATCATGAAAAAATGCTGCTTTCCTCGTTGATTTCAATGTGTAATTTGGTCAATATTTGGCTCCTGTGTGCGTAAACCAAATTTTCCCTTTCTCTCAATTATCACAAAAGTTGAATAAACCCCATGAAAAAATTATTGTTATTATTTAACATTTTTGTTAGTGCAGATAAATGCCAAAGATATGAAAAATATATTGAATGCAAAGAGATAGAGAATACAGATAGAAATGTGATTTTCGAAGAAGATATTTGCGATTATTTTATTTCTAACTCAACATGTTTAACGGAGCTTCATTTTGACAGCTTGGAGAAAATTGAAAGCGAAAATTGTGATACAGGACTGGATCTAATAATTCGCAGGTGGCATCTGGCAGATTCTAGCCTGGCTGTGAGACTGAAAATGGAGCGAAGGGCAGGGGTGGATATTTTGATTTCAAACCTCATTTCAAACCCTGAAATTCCCGCTCTCGACCAATCAGGATGGCCAAATTGGTGTTGAAATGAGGAGTTGAAATCAAAATATCCACCCCTGGCGAAGGGGTTAAAAGATCCTTGTAAAGTGAGAATCCATTACTGGCAAACGTCACTTGAGTCATTTTCAAGAGGCCGATTATTGGCCAGCTCAGTGGTTTTTGATCTTGACAATGAAAATATTTTCGCTCTTGGGGAGCTCTTCCGTTCGCTCGAGGACTGCGCCTCTGAATCTTTGAAGTTGCAAGTCAACTGCAATAATAAAGGAAAATTGCCTCAAACGTTTTTTGGTGAATTAGAGACCTAACTCTGTTTTGAGCACTTTTTTCTAGCAGAGTTACAGGCTGAAAACGGGCAGAGTTTGAACAGAAGCGACGTCAATAGGCGAGGTTGAAAATTAAGCACTTGAAAGCAGCAATTTCGTGCTTGCTTGACACTCGGGATAGAAAGCGTTTCACGTTTTTGAACCTAGCTACAGTATTGCTACGATTCTTGAAGAATTAGATATCAAGCAATGCGGCAGAGTTGAGTTCGAAGACGATTTCTTTGATAACATGACGAGCCTGGAAGAGGTAAGATCATTTTTTGAATTTTTTGTATTATTTATTCTATTATTTTAATCATTTTCCAGTTGAGTCTTCAATTCCTCGGACTCGAAGAAGTTCCCTGCTTACCCGCCTCTCTTGCATCAGTAGACCTCAGGGAAGGGGCGGCATAATTGGATCCGAAATTATCCGAGCGAGTTCTTTGATATCAGCGCGGTTCACGTTCATGTTCCGGGCAGCCGCATGAAGCCGCTTATCCGGCTCGATCCTTCGGGCACACCGCCACAAAGCCCACAGGATCCGATCACAGAGATTCCATATTACGCTTGAACACTGTTCTCACGTTCTTTTTAAAACAAAGAATATGAAAACCGAAAATTTTAAATTCAATCTGAAATATTTCGACATTTTTCCGAAATCATAAAAAAGGCCTAAGCGGCGAAAAAGTCAAACTAGAGCTCAATTGGAGCTTATCCTTCTCGCTGGCTGTGGAGTGTTGAATTCAACACCAGACGCGCGTAATCGGACCGACGCGTTCCTGAAATTGAACAAACTCCTCTAAGATCTATGACATTACTAGATACCTGCTAGACAAACATTAGAAGACGGTCTCCTCGTCATCAGCAGTAAAGTGATATTTTGTTGACATCTACTGTTGTTTATCGCGAACGTGAATGAATCGTTTACCTCCTTATCAAGCTTTAACCACCTCCGGTATCTTTCGTGGTCCGCCTTCTCTCAGCTAGGTAACCATTCATCGTCGATTCTGCCCTAGAATTCTTTCAGAAAATCTCCAAACCCTCCGACTCCTCGGCAACTCCATCTCATCCCTTCCCGTAATACCGGCCACCTTCAATCTCCCTTTGACCTATTTCGTCCAGGATAGCAATATTTTCTAAAGCAACCCGTATTTACTCCAAAACACGATACTAGCGGCAATGCTCAAGAAATACATTGATTATGAGTTGGCTATCTTTACACAGACTTGTCGAATAACAAAATCGCCTCGCTCCCGTTCAACGTGTCGTCCGCTTTTCCAGATACAGTTTTGGGTGAGTACAAATTTGCGTCTCATTTCCACCGAAGTTGTTACAACTTTAATTTAAAAAACACACAAGAACACACAGTTCAATACAAATATAGAGGGCATTTTTTATATTTGGGAAAAAAAAATCAGATGAATGGCTACAAAAGATAGACACTTTAGTTTGTCATTTCAAAGTTTTATACTGTATAATTCTCAAAGCGATTGTACTCTGCTTTTATAAAAGAGAGCAGCTGATCTGCCAGGTGATTTTTCAGTTTACCTGCGCCTTCAAAATGTGCATAACAGCCTTATCAGATAGAAACTACTTGAGGCCATCTGGAAAAATTATTTCGGAGCTAGAAATTTTTCTAAGAATAAACATATCTTCAAGCAAACCTCACGAAAACTTAGCTCCGCGATTAGGTCTCTAGCTTCTTGTTTTAACAATAAACAAAACTTACCCTTACTTGCCCATTTTTTGTGTTCTTCTGCGAACATGAAATTTAGTTGAATAAAAATTCGTTGAACTGATTCTCAAATTCTAGCGCTGCTGAACAACCCTCTCGACTGTGACCTATGCTCGACAAGGGATGAAATCAACAATGCCCTTGTTTACACCAGGATTCGACTGCTCAAACATCAATATCAGCTATTAGAGTCTTAGACCTTCACGTTTAAAATTTCAAGCGAAAATGAGCCAAACTTAGCTACCATGGAGTTGAACGCTTTAGGGAGAAGGCCTCCGATCCGCTTCCCCGTTTCCCGCGCAGATCACTCTCGGGGAAGTCTAGAAATTTTCCTTAGCGCCTGGTTTGCGCTTGAGGAGAATCTCGAGATTCTGAAGATGTGAATCTCGAGATTTTCTGATGTTTCGGCCAATCAGAGAGCCGACAAGGGTTTTTGCAATGACTAGGTGCTCTTGCCGCGAAATTGCGCGCGCTCCAGATCGAGCGACGCTCAGGGCCAGCGTCGCTCAGATTCTCCAATCTCCCTTTAGAGCTCAACTCCATGGTAGTAGTTAATCAAAATTTGCCACTTATTAAGTGAACTTTTTATCGAAAATTGATACTTTCTGGAGGAAATTATCTAATTCTTCAGAAACTAAATGCCCCTTGTTTCCTGACGAAATCGATGTTGACACCTTTAATTCTAGTTTAATGGTTGAAATACCAAGAGGAGTTCTTGATATCTTATGAAGCCTAAAAAGAGGCAGCCAGGTTATCCGCGTTCATCGAAAAAGTTTATCAGATCAAGCTGTAGCTCAAGAAGCTCAAGCCCACTTGTTAACTTTGCTTATCAGCGTGGAGCTTCAATAAATTCGCATAATAAACCGGTTGCTGCCGTGGCCTGAGCCCTTTGAGAGTCGAGCTTAGCTGCGATGATCCACGCGACCTGGCTCAACGGACTTGCCACGAGAACGAAGGTAGGTCTACTAGAGCAATAATTTAGAAGCGAAATTGGGAATTTACAATAAGCTTCTTCCGATTTTCTAATAAATTATTGAGAGAAATGACCAGCAAGTTTTTTCAATTTTATTCTCAACGATTTCTCGGAGAAAAGGAGGTTTCAGTCAAAATTTGGCTAAAGGGGGTACTCTTCACTGAATTGTACTTCAAGTGAAGAGTCTTCAGTGATTTCGATTTTGGAAGCTGCGGCATCGAGCTCGTTGGGTCTTAGGCACACAGGTCGTTTGTCTAAAAATTATTTTTACTTTCAATTACTGATAAAAGTACTGATAAAAGTTATCACATGTTGTTGACATTTACCTTTTCCGAGAGCCTTTTTATAGGCGTCTTTCAACGCGATTTCCAAGTCCCAGCGCTTATTCTGGAGCATTTTGACTTTTTGCTGAGCTTTAGCTGCGTTCTTTTTCGCAGCGAGAACTTCTCGTTCGTTTTTCTTGAGATCCCCAAGGATTCGATCCACTTCTGGGTTTTCTTTGAATGTTACACATGTTTATCGAATCAAATGTTATTAGTTAATAATTATGCTCAATAGTAATCATTAAAAATTAGACAAAAAATTGCGAACATTTCCGTTTGAAAATCCTTTTTCAGCTGCATTTCCCATGGTATCTCTTTATTATTTCTTGAAAAATAGTGTAGAAAGGTAGACAAGATCAAGTGCAGTGCAATCAGTGATAAAAAACGAAGAAAACCTTTTTTTTTAAACTAAAAAGGAAAAAGGGAAGGATTCTCGAAATCAAAAAGCGAACAGGAAATTTTAATAATTTGGCTTAGCAAACTTTCTATCTAGAATCTACGGACGAATGTTCTACTGGCGGCGTGGCACTTCTGACAGTATTTATAACAGCTACAATCGCTGTGGCACTTTATCTTGCGACGAAATTCGCACTGAAACGACTCAACTATAATCGGATGCCTACATTTTCGCTGGACGAAGACGAGTACCTCGACAACTGATAACTTGATAAGAAATAAATTTACACCAATTAGAAAACTTTCTGCGTTTTCAGGCTATCAAAATGTCAAATAAACGACGCTAAAAACGGGAGTTTATTTAAATTACTTAGCCAGAATAAACTTACTGAGTCCAGAGACTCGAATTCGCCTTGCATAATTTTTAAGTGTTTGGGCGATTACGAGTTTCTCGAGTTCTCGGCTTCAGAAATTATCACGTTGGAGCAAATCACCTCTCGGCTGGAGACGATAGAATTGCGCGAATTCGTAAATCACGATCAGCCAGTTTTGACCACAGTAGAAACCGCAGTGAAAAACCAACGGGACTTGTTTAATGTGACAACTTTGGGAAAGAACAAGAGATGATTTAAAAATGGCTAAATTAAAATTGATTATCAAAAAAGATATTTTTGAGCTTTCTTTTACCAAGTCATCGCTTACTCTTAGGAAATCTATAATAAGAATTTCTTTGTTCAACATTTTTTCGGCAAGAAATAGAATTGGGAGTCCCTGTTTTAACGGATAACCGAGAGGTTTTCATTTTAACGGACTTTTGGACAAAGCTAAGAGTCCTAAATCAGTTAAAAGAAGACGATTTTCCGTTAAAATGGTGCCCAAATTTGTAGATGAGGGAAACAGAGATCTGTTAAAACATGCTTATTATCGATTAAATACGGAATAAACTCGATTATCCGGAGGAAAGAGATTGAACCGTAGCTTTTTTTTATATATTTTGGCGTAAATATCCGCATATTAGCCGCGTTGAAAATGCACGTATTTGAAGTTAAATTGAGTCTTTTTATCTTTTCAGACTAAGGAAGATAATTATTGATTGAAAAAGGGAAAATAAATGGCGTTTTTTAATTTTTGGTTGGTCTAAAATGTCTAAATACCGAATTTAAGTTTTAACGTGCATTATCAGAATTTGGTCATCTTCGAGGTAGCGCGTTGGTCGGGCCGTGGCGTTCAAGAGCGTTCATGAAAATCTTTGTAGTGCGAGCGCCCTCGAGCGGATCCGCGCCCGCCGCGCATTTTTCCTTTTTTTCCTCCTCGCGGAAATTTGACTCATTGCAATTTTATATTTAGGTAAGCAACTTCCTTTCTTTTTTTTCGGAGAAAGACGTTTATAAGATACTTCACTGTAAGAGAGACTTTGATAGAGACCGCCATTTCAAAGAGTTTTCATTTGAGAGTATCAGACAAAGTGGTTTGTAGAAAAAAGAGCTGCTCATTTTTTTCTCAAATTAACGCTAAAAATAATATTTTCAAGATATTTTATTGTCGAAGTTTTCTTTAAAAGTGAAATCATTTCCGGCTTATCTAATCTCACGTGATCTTCAACTTCTGTATTAGAAGACCTCGATAATTGCTGCAAATCGTCAAAATTTTAGTTTTTGCAAAGAAATAATTTTGTAAAAATTATTATAAAAATTGGGTTGGTCTTAATCTATTTAAAATTTCTGATTAAAAATTGCCCCAAAGTCAAAATAATTTTTTTTTTTGAAATTATTGCTCATTAAATTTCACAAAAATTATGCTAAGAAAGATTTTTTGATAAAAAATATTTTTTATTATTCAATTTAATGCTCTCAAAATCTTAAATTTTTCCAACTATTCGAAGTTTACTTCACTGGAATATTAAATAAATAATAACTTGAATAACTTAGCTGCTAAATAATAGCCATATTTTCGAGGTTTTGAAAGATTTTTATTTAGCCAAAACAGTAATTATCGACCAAACAAAAATGTCCTCTGATTCTGTTTCCGAGAACGTGCATACGCGCTGTCTAAGCAGAATTGCGAATATAGAACGCCCAGAAGGGATGTCACCGTCTCAGCTTTGCGGGGGCTCTTTGCAACTTTTGGGCTCAACCAAAAAAAAACTAAACTAACTCTGATGTAATCCAGACATAGACCGCTCCTTTCATTTCAGACGGATTATTTTTTTTTTCAAAAGAATTTATAAAACTTTTAAGACAGTAGTTAATTTTCAGAACACTCATTTTCTCGAGCCAAAAATTTCGGAAATTTATTGATTTATTGCAATTCAATATAGGGGTCCTTATTTTGACGGGCAAATACTTTTGGGAGGATTTTAGCAGCATTAATATTCGTCAAAAGAGTCGCAATTTTAATGGATTTTCTAGCTGTTAGGAAAATCCGTTAAAAGAGTACCTGGTGGTGGAATATAAAGTCCGTTAAAATGGAGATCCAGAAGTATTTGCTCGTTAAAATGGGGAACTCCCTTATTTTATTTTTGATTTTTTCTTCTGCTTTATTGAATTTGTGACTATTTCTTCTATATTTTTCCGAGGAGAACTGAATCATATCAATCTAAACAGATAGATATTCAATCGCAGTACTCTTGTCTAGATTTTTGTCGAGTTCAATATATTCTAATTTATTTAGAAAAAACGCGATAAGAGCTCCAGACTCCAATCTGTCGGATTAGTCTAAGGGCCCCCAGGTTCTTTCGCTTTCCGACCTTATCCGGATCTCTTTTTGCATACTCGATCTAAAGCGTCGCCTGAAGAGTTTCCTTTATTTAACGCCCAGCGTTAATCTCGTCATTCTTTTTCCGGAAAAATTAGCTTCTCAAACTGGTTGGTCAACGGCGCGGTTTTCAAGGATAAACAACGAACCGAGATTTGTTTGAAAGCGTTTCATTTAAAAATTTTCTGAAAGCGACGATTAAGCAACTTCCAAATTAACCGTTTAATGGCGTAATAACCGGGCGGCCAAGCAACAAGAAAATCACGTTCACTCCGATTAGCCGAACATTTATTCTTTTTGACGCCCTTTTAAAATATTCACTTTGAGACTTTTTGTCATAATTTGATTGAAGCAAGGCTCGGATTTAAATCCAAAAAGTAAAACAGATAAAAGAATTTGATCTAAAATAGGGATCCCCATTTTAACGGACAATTTCCTTAAGGATATCCCTACCGGATCCCTCCCCGGATTCTTTTTTCCTCTAGCCTGGGGCTCTAAGAACTTGTGCCCGAAATTGATAAAAAAAAAATCGGCTCAAATAAGTTTTTTTTAATCCGAGCACGAGATTCAAGTGGGACTAAGAATGATTAGTTGCTCTTGAATTTTTCAATTCTAGCTTATCAAAATGCGCTCTCGGGTCAATCAAGGACTATTTGAACTATTTAGTGGATGAAAAATACGCTGCTATTATTAAGATAACATTAATTTTTTGACAAATTGCCGGTTGAAAATTTTGAACATCAAAAATCTTGAAATTCGTTTCTAAAAAATGATGATAGCTTTGAAAATCTACGAAGTGTCGCTAATTCCCCTAATAAGACAAAAAGAAGGAGTCTCGTTTTTATGCAAAATAACGGTCTAACTTTTTCGAAAAGTGGTGCTCCCCGCTTGTCATTTGTCGATTAGAGGAGACGTGTGCTCGTCCAAAACTGATTATTCAAATATCTTTGAGCATCAAATTCGAAAAATCGAAACTTCAGCGGAAATCGCCGCTCCTTGACATTGAAGTGACACTTTTAAAGTCCGCTTCTTTCGCTACCGAATTCCGAGACTAGAACCCAACTCACCGTTCATTTAGGTTTTTTCACTTCTTTCGCTGGCTGAATTAACCTCTGCTGGGCATTTTTATACCAACCCCGAAGGTAAGTGCTACTCCCCTAAACCGCCAAGTAACGCTTTCTTTCAACTCCGATTAGACTTTATATTTTTCATCTCTCAATCGCTCGATTTCAAAGTTTTCGTCCCATTTTTATTTTGATACATTCTTTCGCCTTTTTTGAACAAAAATGATGGAAGTGATTGAGAATGAAAAAAGGTTGTGGGGAGATAGTGACTCTGGATTCTCCAACAATAATTCGCCCACTGGATCCTATCGTCAAGTCAATAGACAGCGAAAACCACAGGTTAGTGAAAAAAAATTTATACAGTCATTATCACAGTAACATCAATTAATCTTTTATCACGATTTTTTCTAATTTTTTTTGTATCAAATATTTTAAATTAAAAAAATTTTTTAAAAATTTTTTAAAAAAATTATACAATTTTTTTAATAATTAAAAAAAATTATTTACATGTCCAATCAATTACAGTGTGCTCTGAACTTCAGTATTCACTGATGAAAATAATAATTGTCTATAGGAAGATGATCCTTCTGGTTCATTTTCTTCCCTGTTTCTGGCGTAATGGAGGAGACTTGAAAGTAGCAGGAATTCGCCACTACAATAAACAGTTTGAGTCTTTGCGTAAAATTAATTCCGTCAGTCGTAATTTTTCGGATCATACTGGACTGCTCACAAAATAGCGCATCTGTATAATCAGAGACATTCTCACCCGGTGACGTTTTTTCTAAAGCCTCGAATTCCTCCCCAGTGCAGCTGATCGATCGATCTTTAAACTGAATCTTCTTTTCGTTGTTGATCTTCCTCTAGAAAAAGGCCAATTACAAAACCTTTCCTCGAGCTACAAATTAAGCAGACTCCAATTACAATAAATAATTGGCTAGTAATGTACTTGTTCAAAACATACTAACGGATTTCGATAATCGTCAGGCAATAATAATTGAGTTTGCTTAGAAATCCATTTATTTGAGGTTCAAGGCAAAAAACGCACTTTCTAGTTAAAAACTCAGCACCAAAAACAAACCTAGCTGCTTGGAACAAGCGCTGAAATAGAAGTGCTTTTTCAAATTAGCACTGCTTTGTACATAACTGACCGTTGCTTATTGTGGCCTACCTTGATCCTTCTTCTATTCTTGACAAGGAAGCCCACAATTATCCAAAAAATCGCGTCCAGCATTCCAAACAGCGAAGTTAGCGAAATACCGAGCAAGAGGCCTGCTGCTCCGCCGACGTCTCAAAGGCGGCTTTTAAAATTCCAGCCGTAATTTTTTTTGAACCCGTTATCAACATCTGATTCTGAAGCTCATCTACTGTAGTGATCATTCAATTGTTTGATTTTCTGTCGAAGAAATTCGGTCAATGAAGCAAAACTAGTTGAACTAGTTTAACAAGAACCGAAATATTTATCGTGAAAGGTCCGAAATCAGTGTCAACAAATTGGCTCACAATTAGGCGACAGCTGGCGAGATAACTGATGATAAAGGCGTCTTCTTCAAAATATAATTCTAGTAACAACTTTGGGGTTATATTTGTGATCGATTTTGTTCAACACTCATTCACTCGATCACTTGAAGTCCGAGACCTTTTGATGAAACACGCCAAACATCATCAAGACGGAATTTTGAATTTACGGCCGCTGCCTGAGAAAAATTGCGTCATGTCGTACTCGACCTGCTCCGTTCGGAAAACTCTGAAATGAATGTTGAATTTTCGAAAGCTCATCATATTTTTCTTAATGACCGTTACACTCACCTCTGCTCTGGCTTGACGTAGAGCATGATGGAGGTGAGCATTTTGTCCTTTTTTATCTGGCCTGATCGTGTTCCATGGTACTTGCCGTATTGAATTGAGTCGCAGAACGACTCGCTTTCTTCACATTTGGGTGCGCAGTTGCAGAACTTTGAATATTCAAAATTCGCCAGCAGTGGGGCTTAGAATATTCCTCACTTACAAGGTTACATAATTCCCACTTTTCTTCTCTCTTTTTTTCATCGAAAAGGACTTACCAACACACTCAGCGTGCTCTATAAAGTCGCAAATCTTGACGTGATTGTGCTTCGGCGGCTTAGTAGTATTACTGTAAGTCTTGGCTTTGTAATAATCCAAAAGTTACCAGAAATGCTGGCCAACATCCGCATTGCTCTTGGACCTGAAGCAACATACAGTCTTGTCTATTTTTTGGTTTCGGGATTGTCTACATTGTAGATGGCGCTGTTTCGAGCGTTCTTATTGGCCCAAATTGAGGGTTTCTGCTGACACAACGTTATGTTTACCTACCGCCTTGTCTGACAGTAATGACGACTGTGTTTCAAATACATGTAGTCAATAATGCTATAACAGTTAGATCCTGTAGTATGTTACTAAAACTAATAAGCGCTAAGAAACTTGTCCCGAAACCTGCATTGCTCCTTGGTGTACGTGTCAAAGTAGTGCAGTTTTCTCAGCTCATCGTGCGCTATAATTAAGTAAGCGCTCCTACTCACTGTAATAGTGACCCTCTAATGCTCTACTCTGATCTTACCGACACACTTCGAGTATTGCCCTCCAATGAGATGGGTTCTCTTCTCAAACATGGACACGATCTGAAATGAACTTTGTTGTTACAAAATAGCGTTTTTCTAAAACCATTCTATTTGGGGACAACTGTTCATTTTGAGCCACGCAAGATGAGTTCTATGAATAAGATTCGTAGTAAGGATTTCCTTTTCGGCAAATGCAGCCGAAAAGAAAATCATTTTGAAGGCATAATTCTGATTTACTTTTCGGCACACCGCCGAAAAGTATTACCATGTTTAACCTATTTATTAGAAAAGCTTTTCGGCACTTTGCCGAAATAGAAATCAGAATTGTTTCCTGTTAGAGGGAAAGCTTTTCGGCAGATCTGCCGAAAGCATTTACTTTATTTCATTCGTTTTTCGGAAAAGCTTTTCGGCACATTTTAAAGAAAGAATTCAAAAGTCTAGAAAGAAGAAGACAGTATATCCTACTAGAAATTAAAAGTGATGCATTAATTTTTTAAGGAAACTTTTAAATTTTGCAGGAAAGAATAAATAAGCATAATGCTTAATTTATAGTATTTACTAAAATAAAGGTTAGGGTTAGGGGCACTGGGCAAAATGACAGAACAACCTTACCCTAGGGGGATAGGCTAGGGTTAGTTAGGGTTACCGCAGGTAACCCTAAGTAACCCTAGACTAGACTCCGGCATTTTAGGACCTAGGGGGCGGAGCCCCCAGGTAGGGGATGATTAGATTTGATAATTTTCTACCTAAAAGTAGAGCTTTTCATGTAAACTTGAATGAAAAAGCTTGCCGAAAAGTTTTCCCCAAATAATGATTTCCATTTCGGCACTTTGCCGAAAAGAATTCATTAAGGGATCCCCCCCCGATTTCGCCAACTTTGACCTCTATCTACTTTTTTTTGAGCTGACGTAGGAAGCTGGTTTTGGGCGCATTAGAAAGCCCGCTTCGAAAGGAGCAAATTCTGGTAGAATCAGCTTGCCAGCAAAACATTCGCTTATGCATTACAGGCCGTCAAAGTGATTAACATTTTGAAAAATGGCCATTTTAGGTCATTTTCAAATCGTATCTACTTTTTTTTGGGCTTTAGGATTCAAAATCTTTTTAGTTTATCTAAAAGTATAGACGCTAATCTTTATTTTTTGGTAGAATCAGCATGATCGGATAAGTGAATAAAAAAATTCTAGTTGTAAAACTTTTTGAAACCATTTTTGGCGTTATTTGGGTGTTAGAATGCTCTCTAGCGCCAACAATTGGCCGAAAATTCTAGTGCGGTTGTTATATTCGTAATCTTCACATTCTAAGCTTTCGAAAGAGCCCTTATTTGTGTTATTTCGATGACTTTGAAAAATCGAAAAAAATTGCGATTTTCACGCTAAGTACAATTTACATGCATTTTCCCGAACTTTGGGAGCCAAAATTTCGGGGATGCATTTATGTAAAGGGGTACTATCATATATCAAAATGATCCTCAGAACACGAGGAATCTAATAATAGGCAATAATGACCGATGCCAAAGTTTTGAAAAATCGGGGGGTGATCCCTTAAATTATGATTTTCATTTCGGCATTTAGCCGAAAAGCTTTCTTTAAATTGTGATTTCCTTTTCGGCGTTCTGCCAAAAAGTATTCCTGAAATAAGGCTTGAAATTGGAAATACTATTCGGCAAGCTGCCGAAAAGGAAATCAGAAAAAAACCATCGAAGTTTTTGGCATTTCTGCCGAAAAGGAAATCCCTACTACCATAAGATTGTCACTAGAACATATGGATAATTACAACAGTAGTCTATTTTTACTTCCAATAGGCTATAAGTATAAGTTCTGCTTACGAGTAGTTCGTCAAGGAAACATACCGGAACTCCACGGGTTATATCCGCGACTAGAATTCCATTCGTTGGGGAAAATGCGTTGTCGTCCGGATGAGAGTAGTAAATGGTATATCCCTGAAAGAATGCCTCGAATCAGCTGTTTTTGAGGGCAGTTTTCTTACCTCCAAATAATGAGCCCATCCTCCTGAAACCCAGTCGGTCAAGTTATAAGTCTGTTGATAGGTTTATAAAAGAGCTACTCTTGAATTTAAGAATTAAGGGTGTCTTGTCAAACACACGTTCCATATGGAACAGATTCGTTTGGCCAGACTGGCAGTTAGAAGTGCTCGTCGGATTTTTCTTTTCGAGGAACCTTCCACGTAAATTATCAACGTTCTAGCGCCCGCAGCTCATTATCCCCCTTCTCTGGAAACGCTAGAACATTAAGGGCAACCCTTGCGCGATTTTTAAACCTAGGGCATTAGAAGAGACAAAGACTGTGCCGTGATTTCATTGCCGTAGTCGTCTCTGAAGCGCTTTGGGACGATTTCTTTGCAACTTCCATAAAGAGTGCGTTTGGTTGTCCAGTCATTTTTGCAGTCGTACTTTCCAAATCGACAGCCGAAAATTTCCACATCTACGAAAATTCAATTTTTCTTCTGTCGTCCTTTTTTGACTAAAAAAGAACATACCAGAGTTGGTTTTTCGCAGAAACTCAGGGACGTCAATCTGCTGGAGATATTCTCTGAAAACCGCGGTTAGAATTTTATCGAGGCCTCCAAGAAGCCACTAATTTCCACCCTAATCGAGTCCACTACCTGAACGTTCTATTATTTGCGGCCCAAGTCGGAAGAGATCCATTTAGTTGCCCATAGAATGCGGATAATAGAGCGAAATTGACGTGAACGCCGGGTATATCCGGGGCTGAAGTGAAGTTCGAAAAGTGATTTTTTTTTTGCTTATTCAAATTTCGCTAAGCTAAATCGGATAATCTCCGATTCCCGCTCGGTCACGTTCAAGAGCGTTCAATTTTGATAAGCTTATTTGCGATAAATTAAGCCTCGCTAATCCAATTTCGAACTGGGCCCTAGAATTTGGGGGTAATTTCTAAAAAGTTTGCGCATAGAATGCATCGTGTTCAGGCAGACGGTAATTTTCGGAAATACCGATGTGACGTTTTCTTCTGGTTCTTCCTTTTGAGCGGGCTTAGGAAATAGCTTACAGTAGCGACGATAACTACTGTTAGGCTAGCGAGCCCTGGCTTTAAATAGGAAGGGTATCTCTTGAATTTCGCATAGCTGAATTAAACTTGCTCAACAAAACCAATGTTTCTTTTCGAAATAAAAATAAAAAGACTCGTCAATTTTGTTTCAAAACAAGTTCCTGTTGAATATCATCCGGATACTGGGAAAGGTTCATTTTCGAATTCGTATCAAGACCGTGAGAAAGAAATAAATCGCTGCGTAATTGAAATTGAACTCGGCATGTACGTGGAAGAGTGTGTCGTGTACTGAATGAGGAAATGCCGCAGAGAGATCTGAACCTTTTCCTTTGCGAGGCGGCGAGGAAAATAATAGTGCACCAGATTATCCTCCGCACCCAGTGCACCCCGGAGCTTCTAATTTGACGCAACCAGGGCGAGTATTCGTAGATGTTCTGAAAAAGGATGTGACGTCTTTAGGGGGGCATAATGCTGGGCTCAGCAACCTGTGTGGAAGAACTGAATCAGGGTCTGAAAGACAAGTAATCAAAAGCCGCGTAGCGGCTTTTTTTGAAAAGAAGCCGCAAAGCGGCTTCGCTAGAATTTGACTATCAGTTGGTTACATAGTTCTGGTGAAGCCGCATTGCGGCTTCTTTAAAAAAAAGCCGCCACGCGGCTTTTGATAACTTGTCTTTCAGACCCTGACTCAGTTTTTCCACACAGATTGCTGAGCCTAGGCATAATCAGTGCCTGCCTAAAGGGGGTAACTAAAGTATGAGCTTTAAAATTCTACCTCATAAGTTGTACTCCTGCGTTTACTATATTCGACCCCTCGTTTTATTGTCTTGTGAAAAAGTCTTTCCGAGAAAATGCTCTCTAAAAACCAAATGCTCATCAGTCGCATACTGACAATGTTTGATCAACATTGATTTCAGTCCACTCTCTTTATACCGTTAATAAGGGAAGATACATACATGCAGAAACCTAATTTTGAAAGTGACTTACCTCAGCATTCGCTTCATCTTTTCCTGTCTGCATTTAATTCTTAATATTTCTCACGTCAAACAAATAATTTTCTACTTAAACGAGCTTCCAGAAAAGCCCGTTAAAATTATTTTATTATTTTATTTAATATAAACAAATGCACGAATTAGCCCTCATTAGCCCCTACTTTGCGAAAAAAATAAGCAACAAATAACAAAAATGAGCAAATGAAAAATCGACTCTTATGCAAGGCCGTGACGGATGGCGACTTTTTTGTTGAACTTTTGGTGGGTTTGCTGGTGAATTTATCGCGCAATATTTTCGCGAAAATGTGACTCGACCGCGCAAAAAGGTTTCCATTGAATTTGGTTTCCGCTTTGATTTTCGATAATACCAGCAGGTAACAGAAAGAAAAAGGGTTGACCTTGCAATACTGAAAATATAAACCAACTCGCGTCTCTATTTTTGATAGACAAAGAAAAAGAAAAAGGTTCATTGAATCGGTGTCGAGCGAAAACTACTTCGAATTTGACTTCCTTTTGCATCAGCAGAGGATTACTGTCACATTCAAAAAGCTGAGTTACTGACAAAATCACTGTATTAACTTTTTTCTCTAAGAATCGTTCCTGCGTTTCACTGTCGCTGTAGACCGTGTTTTCGAAAAATCTTTTTCTAAATTTCCTTCTCTTCGATCTTGATTTTTTCGGTGGATTTTCCATTTGAGTCAGGCGTTCGTAGTTATTCCGTGCTCTCTAAATTAATCTGTTAACAAATCTATACGTAGATAGATTTGACCGCTTGTGGCTTTCTGTTGGAAGCCTGTTTTTTATTGTTTTTAAAAAGCCACAGAGTTACTTACAGTCGTGTGTGGAGTTAGCTACACTCCTGAAAAACGCACAAAAAGAACTGTAAATAAAATGGAAGGGGAGGATTTATTTCCTTCTCTCTTGATTTAACTATAATCTTGGTCATCCAGGTGCGACAAATTTAGCCATAGACTATGAAGTATATTATCAGTAGTCTAAACTGCAAACTGTATTATTCAGAAAACTATATATATTTTCATAAGCTGAAATATTGACTTCTTTATGAGACAATTAGCGAACCTTTCTAAGTATATAAAAAAGATAGTCCATATTTCTCTGAAAACTCTGCTTGAAATGAATTCAGAATTCTGTCTACCTCGACAAATCTCAAATTAAAAATCCCACCGCGTTCTTAATCCTCTAAGCTTACCTTTTTCAAATTGTAAAAGAGGTCTTCCTTCTTATTCTCTACGATCATCATCATTTTTTCCTGATTTTTTCAGACGCTAAATGAAGCGGTTTCTAAGTATTTCTGCCTTATTACAGTCAGACACAGTAGTTGCAGGAGCGGTACTAATTCCATAGATTAGCGACATAAATATTTTATTTATTTCGTCAACATTTTTTTCGGACCTGTCGACAGTGCATTTCCATTTATGGCTCGTCCACAACAGACTGAATAAAAATTATAACCGAATTTGTGGCAGATTAATTTTTCATCCCTCGTCTGATTGAATAAAAGGGAGTTAAATACACTGATATTCTATGAAACTAGAGGCTTTTAGGATTCAAAAGGCCTTATTTTTTGATCATTTTTAACTTTCTATTTAGCAGCCGCCACTGTCCCCTTCCCGTTCAATTTCCGGCAGTTCGTCATCTGAAGAAGAGCCCGAGCGAAACCGAGCTGTAACACTGCGCGATCTGTACTCTCTCCGACAGGTTCTTTCCGACACATCGAATGGAACAGTCTTCTCGGGCAGACGGAGACGCGATGGACGAGCCGTCGCCATCAAGAGAATCATGAGGAACAGGGTCAAGCGATGGGGGCTTGTTCGCGGCCGACAAGTAAGCTTTTGTTGAATTTTTTGATGTTATGCATATCAATTATGAGGGGAAAACTTAATGGCCGCCCTTTTTAAAAATATGAACAGCGCTGTTAGCTATTATTTAGGTGCCGATGGAGGTTGCTTTACTCCGCCGCGTAAATGAGAAACGCCACTCTGGGATCGTTGAAGTGCTGGAATGGTTCGAGTGCGCTGACTGCTTCTTGGTCGTGATGGCACGACCCACGCCAGTAATGGATCTTTTCGACTATGTTTCCAAGCGCAAGAGATTGACAGAAAAGGAGTCACAGTAGGAGATCGGCCAAGAGAAAAGAATAATAAAGATTTTAAGGAAAATCATGCTCCAAATCATCGACAGCATCGAGCACTGCCAAAGTCGCGCCGTTTTTCATCGAGACGTCAAGCTCGAGAATATTCTCATCGTCCCCACTACTCTTCAGACTACCCTTATCGACTTTGGCTGCGGCGCGTTCGCGAAGGAAGATGAATTCAATGATTTTGCTGGCACTCCTCAGTACTACCCACCAGAGTGGTTCCTCGAGAGAAGATACAACGGATATGCACAGACAGTCTGGTAACTTTTGCTTTTTCAATGAATTTATCTCCAAAGTCACCTTAATTTTGCTCAATCGAATTCCTGAGTAGCAAGATCCATCATTTTTTTTAAATTCGAAAAGCGGTCCATTTCCAAAGTCGATTTTATTCGTAAATCGATCAAAATCCAACCACGTGTCTAGCAAGCACAGCTCGTCGAAGCTCTTTCTTTTTTGTTGAACTTTTCAATCAACTCCTGAAGAGAATCAATCTGCGCTATGCACATGCGGATATGAGTTTACATTCCGCTCTCTCCATGCCTTCGTAATTATAAAACTACGCGGATGCATATCATATAATTTTCAATATCAAAGGATCGCTCCTTTCGTTAATCAGAGGAGTTAATTAATGAGCAATTTTCAGGGCGTGTGGAGTTCTTCTCTACAGTTTGGTTACAGGAAGACTGCCTTTTGCATCGACGGAGGAAATCTGCGCCCGAAGAGTTCACTGGCCAGATAGTGTGGTTTTGACCAGTGGAGTTAAGAATCTTATAGCAACGGTCTCAGTTTTTTATCATCCTAACATCTTAGCATATTTTAAAAATTTTATGGGTTAGGGTACAGTATCTTATATACTCTAAGGAGGAATAATCGAGCAACATCCGATAAATCGTTAACAGGCTAATAATTGAGTAATAATTATTTGGGACCCAAACTCAGAATCGATGTTGGACAAGAACCCAAAGCGACGAATCAACCTGACCCAAGTGAAACACCACCCCTGGCTTAACGAGTCACAAAAGCACAACACATCATCAAAAATCCGAAATTAAAAACCCAACTTAATTTCATCCCCCTTATTCTATCATTTTCAAATGATAAAATATGTACATAAAACTCTTTTCTGATTTCTTTCGTTTTTGAGTTTTGGGATTTCGAATTTGAGGACCCTTTGTTTGAAAATTTTTGACGAATAATTTTTGCTTTTTTGCTCAAGAAAAAATTTTGCGTTCTGAAAATTTCCAACACGCTTCTTTCAAATCACACAAGTACACAATCTTCGCTTTATTACCTCGAGTTCTTTTTCCCAAAATTTGAATCTGAATGAATTCAAGAAAAAAATGATCTACCAGTTACCACGCACAATTTTCTTCAAAAGCCGCTAAAAGGCATTAATAGCGGCTTTTAAATTCACTTTTAAAAACCCAGTTTTTCGATTGCCGCAGAAAATAATATTTTCCCCGGCCGGGTTGAAAGTTTTTTTTATACAACAGATAATTAAAAATAATAAAAAATCCTGCTTCTACGCCGTTAAAAACTCTCGAAGAAATGATGGACGTTTTAAAAATAAAAAGTTCCATTTTCTCTGAAGAGGAAAATTACCCTGCCAATATCTTTCATGAATACAGTAACTACCGTTCAGGTGGCTTGCAAATGACTATAAACTAAAATTATTCAGGGGCTTTTAATTTGATTAAAAGCTTCTTTTTGATCTTGTGTCGTTTTATTGCATTTATTAGGAAGATATTTTGAAAATACGGAAAGATGACAGATAAATCTTGTATGGAAATTGTGGAAACTGAAAAACATGAGGAATCATGGATTCTGAATTGATTCTAAGAAGGGTTGAGTAGAAGTCTAAAATAAGAAAGTTGCTTATTCGGGTTCTTCTTTCACTTTTTGATTGAATTCTCGGCATTCTTGATCGATAGAATTCGAATTCTCGGAGACTGGTTGGTCGTCAGGTTCGGTTTCGGAGCGAGAGGAGCTTCGGACGTCAGGGGCAACAACTGGGGTGTTGAATTTTTGGTACAGGGATCTACAGGACTTTGAAGAATAGTGAAGGGAGTTACTAACTGACCTGGAGGCAGGAGACTTGGGAACTTTAAATGGGCTTTGAGAAGAGTCTGATTCTGAATTGCGGCGTTCTGCATTTCCGGTATTTGAATTTTCCTGGGTTGTCGGTTTTTTAGGAGAAAAAACATCCATCCGGAGTTGCTTCAGCTTTCCGCTTTGCTCTTTTTTCTGGTTCGGACTTTGACCGCTGGAGGAACTCTGCGGGCGGGTGCGCTTCTTTGACGGCGTCTTTCGAGGTGAACGTTTTGGAGTTTTTCCAGGCGACGCTTGTTTCTGCTGCATCAACACTGTAACACTCGTTATATAATGCCAGCGAAAGCTGTAGCTTACTTTTGAATGCGCATGGTCCAAGGGCTTTGTTTTTCTCGGATTCACTTTCGGAATCAGAATTATCCGAGGCCGGTGCACTTGTTTTTTGAGTTTGATTTTGTTGTGGTTGTCGTGGCCCTCTAGTTACTGAAAATCAATTTGAGAAGCGGGTAATTGAACAGACACCAATTTCGTTCACCAAGCGATTTTTTATCATGCATTACAAATAATTTTTGATAAATAATAATAATCTTTAAATTTCATGCGATTAGTTGTTGGGGGATTTGTGATGAGTGATTATGTTGAATGTCTAAGATTAACCTAAACCGGGGAAGACAGGTGATCCTGGGGACGGGAAAAAGTTCATATCGAGCGGAGAGGGAGCGTTCACTTCACCATCGTCGTCTGACTCGGATCGCATCAGCTGCTGCCCCTTCACGTTGTTTGGACTTGGAGTCACATCTAGCTCCCTGCAAACGATACCGTACTCTAACTGTAGTCTGACTGTCACTTACTTGAAACGGTTCCCGAACCCGATGAACATGTGCTTCATTCGTCTGTTCTTGGCGCGGAGCTTCGAATTCTCAGCTTTGAGAGTTTCGTTCTCTTCGGCGAAATGCTGTAGTGCGCGTTTTTGACGTTCAATGAGGTATTTGGTTTTGAAACTAGAAACAAAAAATTTGTCACTGGTAGTCGAAGGCAGTGATTTACCAAAAAGACTCAAAGAGACCAGCCCACTGTTCGGTCTCGTCCATGATCGCCCCGAATTCGATCATCAAATCAGTTTCTATCATTCTACGAAGCAAAAACCGATGAGCAAGTAGCAGAATTAACCGTGAATTAAAGAGAGAAAAGGAGTTTCATTTCTTGCCGCCCCACATATATTTTCCGATATTTCCAGCCGCTTCGTCCGTCATGGCATGATCATTCACGCCTCTAGTGCCAGTAAAACGCGCCCGCTGCGAAATCTGAGACGCCTTACAATCCTGCAGCGCATTCTGCAACACTTTGCATTTTTTCGGTAACTGAAGGAGCAGATGTTAATGCTCGGGTATCGAAGAAAGTTAAGTTGTCTTTCCGCCATTGGGCTCAGGCCAGCCGCGGTTCAAAGAGAAGGTCTTTACTTACTAAGCGTTTGTTCATTAGACATTCTTTCGCTCTTCTTCCATCCTTTTTAACACAGTCGGACTCGACCACACAGTGAATCAAATCCCACTTCACCTAAACAACGTTCAATAAAAAAAGGAACGAGACTTGCATAACAAAAAGAAACGTCATGCGCTTCATTCGCACCTGATAACAAGCCTGCGTCTTGTCCGCCTTCGCATATCTATCTTTTATATGTTTGGTCTCTTCGACGCTCGGCATGGCCAGGTAAGGATTCTCGGAAAAGACATGTCGCTTGTAGTAATCACGGTCGCGTTCTTGCTCGGTGTATGTGTGCCCGCCGACGGAAAATGTCTTGGAACTCGTTTCTTCCGACTTCGAATTAACCATTCTTAAAAGTTGGGATTCTTTAATCACTCTTGATTATTCCGCTTTTCTTAAAAGTGCACAATAGTATCCTATAGTATCTTCTATCAAGTCCCCCTCGACTTCTATTCTATTAATTCCCTTCACTAGCGTCTTCTTCGCGGAAAAAGGGTTGAAGGAGTTTTGCTCGACAAGCTGCAGCCCGTATTTGCTCACAATGTGATTAGCATTTTCTTCATTTTCCTCAACACGCACGCTGCAAGTGCTATAACAAAGCACCCCGCCCGGTTTCAGCACGCGAACCGCCTCGGCGATTAGTTTCCGCTGCAACTTCTGATAACTTGAAATTTGACGTTCTGAGATGTGAACATTCACAGGCTTAGGGCGGGAGCCAGTAGCGGAGCACGGAGCGTCTTGAAAATGGTTCAAAAATAGATAATAATCGTGTGCAGTTATAATTTTGGAGCCTTTTTATGTGTAATGACAGTTATTCTTCAAATAGAATTGGTCTGAAATTACCGAAATAAATCTCGTTCATTTTGAACCCAACCTAACAAGATTCCATCAAATTTTCCATCTTCAAAGTCCAGCTTTGTCGAATCCCCACTTATTATCTCCAAGGGTGTCTCAATCTTTGCGGTATTCTTTCTAAGCAGTTCAACTCTTGACGGTTTATCGGCTGCGTACCACTTCTCGTTAGGCAATCGATTAAGCAAGTACGTCGTCTTTCCGCTAAATGCGTATAAATCAAATTGATCGAGAAGAAGCCTCACGGTACCCAGGAGCAGCGCACATGTCGAGAAGCTCTTGATTTGTCGATTCAGCACCGTGTTTTAGGTTCCGGGCGAAGGTTTCGCATATTTTCACCGAGGCGTAGTTTTGCAGCATTGCTTCACTTGAGCAGCTTTCCAGGAAATGATTGGAAATTGGCGGGCAATCGAAAACTCATGTTTGGTTAGAAGAAACACGATAGAAGTAGATAGCCTTAATTCTAAACCATGCCTGGCCTGTACATTTGAACAGCTACCCCCGTTTTGACCGGATTCTCGCAGAAGATATCGCTCCTCGGAATAAGCACCTTTCCCAGCCCAAGAAAAACAAGTTGGCTTCTGAAACTTTCATCGATTGGGAATCGCGCTCCTTTGAGAATAAATTTAGATTTTCCTTTTCCAGAGCGCGATTGTGGATCGTTCGACGAATCGCACTAAAAATAAAGTACGATATTGTTGCTGCGGGTTTCGGCTTATTTTGAGTTAATAACCGTACGTGTCAAAACTTCATGAATAAAAAACCGCAGCGTAAATGACGAAATATAATAATACGTACCCAAATAGAAGCGATATCTCCAACAAATGTTTCCGTGCAAGTGACAATTCCCGGTGCGAACAAATCAGCTCCCCTCAGAAGAGCAGCGCCGCCAGAACTGTCGACGATGATATTCTGTTCTTCGTAGTTTTGCTTGTCGCAGGGATGCCTCAACGGTTGAACATCATCATCGATTCTTGTTTTTATACAGACGAGGCCTAAATCAGCTCCGGCCTTTTCGATTTCTGGAACGGGCAAATGGCGCGCTTCGTACGAGGCTGGAAGCTTCCTTGACATTTCGGCGATAAACTCGTCCCTTTTTGAACATCTAATCACGGTATAACTCGGCGGCGAAAACATTCTAGGGGAGAATGTTTCAACAAATATCTAAGTTGAAAGTAATCACGTTCAGTAATTGCCTAATCAAGAGGCTTGAGAACAGGTTCAACTTTTTTCACTCGCATTCCAGCTTTCCACAATGCTCTCCCAAGTGCCAGTTATTTTCTTGGCCATTTTGGCGCAACCTGCTGTCTCGAAGTCCATTAACCCCAGCTCGAGCACTACTTGAAGACTTGCACTGTTCACGTTTTTAAATATCGGCTACATGTGATTATAATCATTTTTTCTCATAGTCGAATTTAGACAGGATAATTATTTTCTTATCAGCTTTTGTCTGTTATTAACAGCTTTTTATGTGAAGCTTTAAAAACGCGCCTTTGCTCTGCCTGAGGTTTGTTCCTCTGATAACTTCCGACAAAAACCTTTTCTTTCTCCTTTATCGTCATTTTCAGCGTCGCTTCGTACATTCCGTCTTTCGCTCTTCTTACATGAGTATACTGCGGCCTAGGAGATCCTCTACAATTACTGCGGTAGAAGGTCTCCAGAATGCATTTTGGCTTATTCAGGGATTCGCAAAACGTCTAATTATCTATAGGCAAATGTCTTTTTGCTGGTAGTTTTGTAATCCTTGGCCATATCTTGAGCTTTTTAAAATGATTGTGAACGTATGGATAGTTCTCCACTTCTAATTTTTGCTTTTTCGCGTTTGGTTCCTCCTCATCCTCAACGACCACGCCCCAGCACTCTGCGATTTCTTTCGAGGATAGAGCTGGTTTCGTTGCTAAGCCTCTTGGATCTTTGTCCTGAAGATCTCTGGACTGAGTTTTTCAACTTCTTTTTTGCTGGACAGCGAAAAAAACATGTTTAGAAATTGTTACGTCTTTGAAAAAATATTCAAATTTTGAAGGCTTGGGCGGTTTGGTTATTCAACGCGGTTTTCAACCTCTCTCAAAGTGAGTACTGATGTAGTTCTCATTAAAAACCACATTGTCGTAATAATCGAGGGGCGAGTTCTTCAGAAAAACGAGAAGAAAAAACTCATTCCTAAGCATGCTCAGCACGTTGTACTTCATAATTTCAAGTGCAAAGTCATATTTGAGGCATAATTCGCAGTAGCGCTTCACTACTTCGAAAACGTGACGAGGGCCTGCTTTATTGAACACGGAGGGATTCCACATTGCTGCTCGCGCGACGAGGACGCCAGCAGTTCCAGTCTTTTCTTGAAACTTTTTGATGTCTTCTCTGGACTTGATTTCGCCACTTCCACCGTTTGCCAAAACAGGAATCGAAAGCGATTTGGCCACTTGAGCGATCCAAGGTGACCGGCAAGGGTCTCTTTCACAAGATTTTCAAGAGATCCAAATCTTTATCCGTCCGGGTTATTGAATAATCCCTTCCTTGATCTTTCTGTCTTCTGCCTCCCGTGAATAGCCAGCGCTGCTATTCCTGTCTTTTCCATTCGTTTTGCGAACTCGACTGTTTTCTCCACCGTCTTCAAGCACCTAATTTTACCTAATTATTAATTTTCTTTTTAAAGTCGCCCTCAGTTATTCCGGCTTACATGTGACTGGAATCTTGAGGTTCTTGACAAGCGCCGTGAGGATGCTTTCCGCCAAATCAGGCGTTTTCAACATTGCCGCGCCCATTCCACCTTTGGTCGAGTAATCTTTTGGACAGCCCATGTTCACATCAACACCGGAAATGTGCTCTTTCACGGTTTTTAATTTCGATACAGTTAATCAGAAATAGAAAGAGTTTAGTGCGCGCCACTAACGCTCTAATTCGAAACGCACGATTATGTTATTTTTACGATGAATTGAATCAAAGAAAAAACCCAATCCTTCACATAGCTTCGCCGCCTTCACCGCGCGTTCTGGATCAGCCGTGCCCAGCTGCAGAATCACCTTTTCTTTTTCGAGCGCGCAGGTTTGCAGAACGGGATTATCTTCTAAGCGTCAAAATGTTATCAATCGATTGATTCTTTTAACTTTCGGTTCTACCGATTCCTACCTGCCGTGAGCTTGAATTCCACAAGCCCATTTTTACCATGCTCAAACTTTTGACAATCCATCAGTCGATGGTCGATTATTTCTTCTGTGTACACGAGATCGGCGCCTTCTTCCAGACAAAGGAGCCGCGTTGGAAGGGTGCCGATGCGCACCATCGGCGCTAGAATCGCTCCTTTGTACATTCTAAACGTTCAACAACTTATTTCTTGGCTCAAGAGGTAACCCAATGGTCCAATCGACATATTATTTGAGCTGATACATTTCTTCCATTCGATTTCGTTCAAAGTACAGTCAGATCTTTTAAAACCGTTCGCCCATTCTCGCCGCTGCGTTTCGCATATTTCCATAGACCTTTGCCGGAGGAGAGCCAAGAATCAACGCGCAAATAGTTCTTCTCGCCACCTTCAAACATTCAATCAAAGAACACTCGCTTTGGCAGTACCTGAATGTTTTGGAAGCTGCCCAAGATATGAATTTTCTTATCGGCGACCACAATTCGCGTTTTGGTAACATTTTCAACTGTGTACTGAGAAATAACAAATTATAGAAAAACGTGTATTTTTATGAACTCTTTTACTTTTGTTCGGCCGCCAGTTCCGCTAATTCGGCCGATTGCTCGACCGAGATGGTCGCCCTTCAGCGTCTGTTTGACATCTTCAACTTGGAAGGTTTCGAGGAAGAGCTCGTCGAGTCGGACAAGCGCCAAGGCATCGTCAATGTCAAAACCGTACGTGAACGCGGTCACGAAGTCGACACCCTTTTGGAGCGCGCCGATATCCGTTGTGGCTTTGCCAGCGCGAAGTTCCACTTGCTTCTTTTTCGCGTTGAACCTGATCTCCAGCTTGAGCTGCTTTACAATCGGCTCAAAGAGCTTCTGCCAGGCTTCTTTCAACGGCGTCAGTCTGTTGGGAGGGATGGGCACTAGAATAATGACATTACGCGATGTTTGCTGTCGAGTTTGCAATTTAGCGATTTTTCTCTAGAGTTGTTGTTGCGCTCAGGCCTTTTAGGGCAAAAGTCGTCAGTCTTCGGATTTTCAAAGTCCGGTCCGGTTAAAATCAAGGTAATTCCCGTTGTTTCTTCGCAAAATATTAATTTATTTTTGTATTTAGATTCTGCTCGCAGGACATGCCAAGACCACTCCGTGGTCTCACAGAATCAATTGCATCCTAGGGAAGCACTTGCGAAAAATCAAGTAGCATGAAAATGCTTAACCAGTTCAAAAAATCCCGAAAAAGGGATGCGGGACACAAGATCTGAAAATACAGTCGCAACTTTCAACTATCAAAAAACTTCTTTTATTCGAAGATTTCTTGTTCTTTTCCGGAAATCTTTGCCCTGAGTCTTGAGTCTTTTTATTGCAGGAGCACAACATGCAGGTTACCTTTTCTGACATCGAGAGACCGCCTCTTTCCACCAACTTTTTGATCCGCTGCAGCAGCGATCGGTGGTAGGTAGGGTCGCTCAGCACTGTCAGTTTGCATTTGAGCCGAATCCTAAAAGCGCTCTATATTGGATGAAAATATTTTGGGTGCAATTTACGTCTGCCTTGCGCTTTCTGTTGTCATCACCAAAACCAGTGCCACCTGTCGTCTGCTTGTTCACTTCCGCCATTCTAAGAGCACGAAAATAGCGAACGATCGAAATGAACGGGAAGCTATCTGTTTTTTATAAATACAAATTGAACTCGCAGAAAAAGGGCTAGTACTCTGTTTTGAAATAAAGGCCAGAACCGCAAGTGTTTTCAAATGATTCTTCGCCAGCTAAATTGACGATTATTTTGCCACGTAATCGCCCCTCAGTTATTCTTTCGATCGCGTCTAAAATATGTTCTTAGTGGAGCGAGAGAGCTCTCTAAATATTTCTCGTATTATTTCTACTAGTTTCTAGGGCCAATAAATAAAAGAACAGTCTTGAAACATATCGATAAAAATCATTACATCGCTTACCAGGAATATTTTCAAAATCATAAACAGAATCCACACAGGGTCTAATTTTGCCTTCTTCCAACCAGTCGAGAACTTGAAGTAAGTTTCGATGGTCAACCATCACGGTGGAGAAGCGGAACCGCAGACCGCGCTTGCCCGAGTCAGATTTCCCCGCGTAATGAACCAGATGCTTTTCCATTTCCTTCTCGATCGAGCGCATTGTAGAACGCCAGCCGAATGCTGAATAATTGCTTCAGTTGAGAGCTTTCACAAAAAGACTTACATTGAATTAGGTTCAAAGAATCTTTGACGGCAGTTTCTGGTGAATTGAGGGAGATGACGATTGAGTCGTTTCTGCTCATCATTGGACCGATGATTTCAAAATTATTCTCGACCGAGCCACCGCGAGAACAATCCACTGCGGCGAAGAACTTTTCAAAGTCGAGCGATTCCATGATGTCGTCGAGCATTTCATCCTTTTCTTCATATTTTTCATAATTGAACACGCTTTCAAAGCCGAGCTCTTCGGCCAATAAAGAGGCTTCTTCAGAGCAAATTATCGTCACATTCGCCCCCAGGCATCGGAGAATTTGGGCACACATTGATCCTAAAATATATAGATAGCCCAACTTCTAAAAAATAACTTGTTAATTGACTACCTAAACCTCCGATGCCAAGAACAAGCACATTCTTCCCGGCATAGTCAGCCGCTTTCGCAAAAGAGCGTTCTTGTGAGATTCTTCGCAAATTCAAGTATGGATTGCGATCATCTTGCAGCCCAATTAGTGCGTTCATGATGTAATTTGCACCAAATGCAACTCCAGCTCCTTCAATTGGAGAAAGATTTGAAGGAAGAGGACTTTTGGGGATTCATATCGCTTCATCTGTGTTATAGAAACGATGAAAAAAGACTTGTTGTCGACTTTGAGAATTTTGAGAACATGCGCAATTTTTCTCTAGATTTGTTGTTGGGATGAGGCCTTTCGAGCAACATTCGTCAGTCTTCGGATTTTCGAAGTCCGGCACTGATCAAAATTCCGTAAGTTACGTTTTTTATGATTATAAACTTAATCAATAATTTTAGACTGGCCTCCTGGAGGGCTTTGTACGAGCTTGGAAGCGAGGAGGGATCCCAGAAAAGGGATGCGGGACACAAGATCTGAAAATACAGTCGCAACTTTCAAACTACTTCTTTTACACAGAGATTTTTAGTATCTTTCCAGAAATCTTTGTTTTGTGTCTTTCTTTTCATTGCAGGTCTTATTAAGCAGCGTTATTTTCTGAGCATGGCAAATATGAACCCCTTTCCCGCAGTGATAAGCTTTCGCAACGATGCATTCCGATAAGGCCCCACTTTGCCAAGGCTTTAAATATCCAACAACTTTCGAACCAGGAGGAAACTCGTACATCATGTCACTAGCACAGTCGAGTACTTCCCCACAAAACTCTCTTCCCAGCACAATCGGAAATTCCGTCGCATTGGCGGACATGTTCGCATTTGTCGTGACAATCGCGTCGTCTGGTCTTCCTTGACTCCATCTCCGAATGATTTTTGAAGCGAAGGCGATCGGGTCTGCTCTGAAGTGATTGTGAAAGGCACACCATCCCCGTGCAACATGCAGGTCTTCCACGTTGAGCGCGGCGGCGAGGACCCTAATTTGTAGTTTTTGTGTGTTTACTTTCGCATTGGCGCGGATTGGCATCATTGGATCGGACCAGCCCGTGCGCGTCTTCTCCAACCCCCGTGGTGTTCTTATAACTCCCATTTCAATTACATCCCCTGGCAGCCCGTAATTTTTGATCAGCCACGAAGCGGAATGCTCGTATGTAAAATCGTGGAACTTATGAGCTGCTTGATGCATTAGGAAATCCTTGGAAGTCTTTTTAAAGTAAAACTTCTCGAATTCCTTCTTTTGTTGGCGGTATTCTTTCGCTTTCTGAATTTCATCAAGCTGTTCAATTTTGAAAAAAGTTACCTTTGAGGGGCTTATCTTGCTCGAAAAGGACTGGGCGCCAGTGAACTTCTTGTATTGCTCGTTCAGTTCATCAAGATTTCCGTCTGTATCTGTTGATACTCTGGCGAAACGAAAAGAAAGCGAGAGATTACGACTCAATCGTAACATTTCTAAAGATGGGATGAAAGTAAGAACTACTGAAAAAGAAATTGATTGAAAAAAATAGAAAAATAAGAAGATATGTTGGCGGAATGTGACAGACTATTTCTTGAAGAAAATCATTTGAGAATCTGTCGATTTTGAGTTTTTCGGATTTTGAGGTGGCTCTGGATTGAAATCGCTTGGTCTTGCGTTTTCGCTGTGCTGAGGGGGAAGTGATCCGAGGTGGTTGTCGATTAACGAGTCTAAGATTGCTCGCTCGTCTGAAGGGTCGATTCGTAGTTCTGACTAAACATCCGTCAGTTCAAATCGGCATTCTTTTCGATAATAAAAAACCTTTACAACTGTCTTCGGCAACGGATTTCCGCCCATTTGCGTTTCAGAATTCAACTGCGCAGCAGTGACTGAAAAGCTAAAATTCTGGTTAGCCGCGGAAATGAGATTCAAACTCACCCATGGTTATTAAGCCAGTCTGAAATAATGGAAACTGTTAGCACTTCGCGGTTGCTGAGTTCTTTTTTCGACACCGCTTTTTCTTTCGCCATGCTATGGTAGACTTCGTATCGTACTTTTGCGCGGAGCTGTTCCAGCCGACCTGTTTGCTCCAGATCCGCTAGAACGTGGGCCTTCATTTCTTCTTCGTTCATTCTATGATAGTGTAAACTTGTAAATGACGAGCGGGGCTCCAGAACGCTCAATAATAAACAATGAAAAATAGAATTAACATCGTGTTAATAGCACGGTCTTTTCGCCAGAAAAATAACTGCAATTATAAATTTAAAAAAGATGCCGAACAAGTCATGTTTGTCAACATTCTCTACCAACAAAAAAGGAAAACAATCGCTGCTATAAAATTGAGGACTGAAGTTCACAAATCACAAAATCACAGAAGAATGAGATTCTCAATTATCACTATAATTTTTTCGACGACTTGCGTTTCAGCGCAGTTTTTCAGAACAATGTCTGGCATTTACGACTCAATTACAAGGCAGAGTTAGATTTTTTTCATTTATTTCATAATTGTTATCACTTTGATTCAAAAGAAATAGGTGAATTGGTTTCATTTTATAATGTTTATGTAAGTATTAATATAAAGTTTAACTCAATAAGTGATAAGCAGAGAGCCAAGGCAGCAACATATACAAATGAAGTGCCAAAACAGAGAAATCAATCCAGGAAAGCTCATAATGTCTAATCCTAGCGACCTTAGTGAAACAGAATTGATTAATGAATTCATTTTATCAAAAATATAGCTCAAAAAGACTGAGAGGAGGTCGAGGATCCCAATTCAAGCTCTTCCGGCGGTACACTCCATCTGGTCAATTTTACCGAAGCGCCGCAAATACCCTCCGCGACTTCAGATCATAATTCTAAAGAAACAACGGTCCTATAAAATTCAAGAAAATATAATACTATCTTTGTGTGAAATAAAAAATAACAGCGTTTTTCAATCATCAGAAGGCATGAATAATCTGCAGTTACGGGAGCCACAGTGACATTTTCTATCACTGAGGGTCGATTCTGCACTTCCGTAGTCGTAGGTGATCTCTTCTCCGGGCTCGATGAAGCGGAGAGCGAAGAGGGCGATTCGGGCAATGTCGTTTTCAACGCGAACGGGGTAGAGTTTGGCATTAGGAGAGCATGAGTGATTGGCGAAACGAGCTGCGTTTCCCAGTCGACCAGCGTCTGGAAAAGATTTATTTTTGCTATTGTTGAAAAATCAATACCAATGTGAACAGTCTCTTCTTCTTCGTTTCCAAAGACCTCTTTCAGCGATAAAATATAATTCATCTTTGATAAACTTGTCTCTCCTTGACCGTCTCCAGGTTGAGATACTCGCCCATGTATTCGACAATGAACTCGCCCGGGTGGATTTCATTTTCTGCCACGAGTCCGTGGCCTTTATCACTGCCAAAATATTTGACGCGGAGGGGGCGATCGCAGCCTTTTTGAACGAGGCGGTTTTGACAGTCCGGTTGACATGGACAGTTGATATTGCACTCAGAAAAGGCTAACCCTTGTTCTTTTATCCAACTCCAGTTGATAAAAATGATTATAGACAGCCCTACCCTGTAACACCAGGAATTCCAGGGCGCAAAACAACGACCCCATCTTCATTTAAAACGAAAGAACTTCTGCAGTCGCATTTTTCTGAACAGTCAGCATCATCTGTACAAAAAGATCCAGGGCGCGTGTTCAAAAGCGTGTCGTATAATTCAGTTACTCCCGACTGGTTGTTCCCGATGTATTCAAATCTTGGAAGCCGGCTTCTGTCCTCTTTTTTAGGATGGTTGTCACGACATACGGAGGGTTTAGCAAGACAAAATCGAATATTCCTATATGAAGGCAACTACCCGCGTTGTCTACGGCGCTGCCTACAAGTGAATCGTTCTTCTTTCCATTTTTACTCGTGCATTCGGAACATAACTCGTTGATGTCCAAAGAAAGAACGTAGCTTTTTGTCCAACTCGCAAAGGCACATGAAATGACCCCCGATCCGGAACCGATTTCAACTGCTAGACCAGGCTTTTCTTCGGAAAAAATCTACAAGCGCTACAAAATATGCTACAATATCTGACTTCCTTGCCTAAACATTTATCCTCAAGCTCCTTTTCAATGCCATCAAGGAAGACAAACGAATCCTCTGAAGGCTCATACACAGAATCGGTATAATCATACCGGTATTAACCATGCTGAATAATTTTTAACATGTCAGTTTTATTGAAGTTTACAAATTGGCAGTATTTTAATTTTTCAAAAGATCTTCTTTCATCCTTGATGAAATTTTTGGCGGTTCGAGTGAGCTCTCAGTCTGATGCAATCTAAAATGGAAAAAACGTTAATTTAAAATCATAGTTAGGCGATAAAGGCAGTGAATTAAGACTATGAAAGTGAGGTGATGTGGGTGAAAATGTGAACTATATACAGTGAGGAAGAAGGAAAGGGGTTTAGTATTTTTCCTTCACCCGTGGGTCGCCTTGTTTGAGAAGCTGACGGTGTCTGTCTTTGAGGTTGATATTCGTCCTCTTCGTTTCACGGAAAAACTTGTTCCAGATCTTTATCCAGTCTTTTCCGTATTGATTGAGGCCAACAATCAATAAGGCGTCCTCATCCTAAATTCATAACAATGAAAGAGTTAAATCATTTATAAAGTGCTCACGTCCGTCCACTTCTTTCTTTTCTGCGGGCCAAGGGTTGATGTGCTTGGAGCCCGGCTAATTCGGCTTGACGCTGCCCTCGAAGCTGGTCGGACTGACTCTGCCCGCGAAGCTGGTCGGCTTGTCGCTGCCCGCGAAGATGTTTGGACTGACACTTCACTGGCTGACTCGTCAGACTAAAATGAAATTAGAGTAATCTTTCATGATTTCAAATCGTTACCTTTTCTCGTTGATTCGAAGCAATAGATTCTGGCCTCGGATTCAAGTAGTGGCTCATTCCGACTTTTCGTTTTTTCGTTTTAACAGAATCAGCAATTGAAGAGCCTTCATCGTACTTGCGTGCCAATCTTGTGTAGGAAACATCTGAAGAAGAGCCAGATAACGCAGTCCCAGGCTGTTCGGAGGTACCAGCCGTGATATTAAAAGATCGGTCAAATGTCTCGTACTCAGGATTAGTAGTTTCAGCAGCGTTTCTCTCGGAAGTAAGATTGGTCACGTTAGCAGTGTTGTCGAATGTTCCATACTCTGGATTCGTATCAACAGGAGTCTCTACTCTGCTCACGTTGCCATCTTTGGTAATGATATAAAAGAATTAACAGATTATTACTGTGATGGTCTCATCAAAGATACCATATTTGTGAATTTACAGTTTTAAATCATTTCCTGAATCAATGTTTTGTACTTGGACATCAGACTCTGCATCTGAAATATCTGAAACTTCCGATGTGTCAACGTCTTCTTCCTCCGAATACTGGTCGGGTACATCGCGAAGAACTGTGAATTCGAAGTCTTTCGAAGCAGATTCGATAATGACTGGTAGCAGTATAGACAGCTTGATTTTGCTCTTGACGGAGCATCTCACACCGTTGAAGCAAATGAGAGTATCTCCAGCACGAAGACCAGCTTTATCTGCTAACGACCCCGGGACAACTTCGCTGATGTGGATTCCTGCTAAGCTATTTTCGCTGAGCCTGAATCCAATTCTACCCTTACTGTTCTTTACATCTTTGATGACGATTGTTTTCTCATCATATACTTCTCGCGGATCCCTTGTCTCCACGGACGAAGTGATGCTTCTCGGAGGCTTTCGAGCTGCAGAAGGGATTATTTTTGGATGTTTTTTCTTCATCTGAATCGACTTCTTTTTTGATTTAGATGGCGATGGTGACTTCTCTGGTGATCGTAATTTGGTGAGCTTCGGCATGCTAGCTGTTGGCGATCCATTTCGTCTCCGAGGACGACTTTGCGGTCGACGAACTTCCTCATCCTCGCTCGAGTTCAAGAAGCTAGAAAGATCAACATCTGGTGGCATCGCTGGAGGTGTTAAATTCTTGCTGCACGTTGGTTGATTCTCCGCTTCGTCATGCCTCTTTCCCGACGGTTTCGCACTCTTTTCTTTGCTAGCTTTCTTTTGACTTTGATTCATCTTTCCGACGCCTCTTATTGGAGTGTCATTATCAAATGCAGAAGACAAGTCAGAAATCTCGCTCAGGGCATCTCTTCCTGGACGACGAGCAATGGTGATATCCACAGCTGGCTTAAGAATCGTCGGCTTTGAAGCGCTTTTCTTAGGCGTTTTATTTTCCTTCACGTGCTTTCTCCTTTTCGCTGCTTGATGTTTAGCGCTTGCTTTGCCCTGCGCGTCCTTTTCTGGAGTCTGAAGCTTTCTCTTGTTTGAGGTGGGAAACATAAATTCGCGAACGGCCTCTCTGTCAATTGGCGCAGATGGGGACTGACCATGTTCCGGCGATAGCGCTTGTCGATCCTCCGCAGATTCATCGAACAAAGCTTGCTGCGACCAATTATGAGCTGACTCCTGCTCTTCTCGTGGCTGCGAGCGTTGCTGACTTTTCGATTTGGAAGCTTTAGATTTCGAAGGTCCCGGTTTTTCTTTTGCAGGCTTTTCCGCTACTGGAAAAGGCTTTTTGAAACGGGTTGATGATCCTGGAACGGGCTTCGAAAAATTCACATTCGGTACTTTTGGCTCCCACGAAATCGCTTTTTCGAGTTCTCGATTCAAGGGCTGTTGATCGCTCGAATCTCGTGCTCGGTATCTTCTTGAAATAAAAGCCCTCGCGAATTCCAGACGTCTACTAATACCGCCAACTTGTGCTTTTCGACAGGCTCTGGCCAATGATTCATTGACCTCATCACGCGTTGGTTTTGCTCTCGATCTCGGCATTTTTCTATTAACTCTTTTTTGCTTTTTTGCCTGATCTGCTTGTTTGTTAATTTTCTGTGTTTCAGCTTTGCTCGTCGGCGATTTGAGTTTCGCAAAGTAATCATCATCTAAATCCTCATCGAAAGTCTTCTGAGACGCTGACGTTTGCTCCAAGGTTGGAGAAGTGGGAGGCGTAAAATATTTTTCATTAGTCCCTTGTGACTCTTGTTGAGGTTGAATTTGAGTTGCTGATGTTGACTCTTGTCGAGCTTGACTTGCTTGTGTTGACTGTTGAGAGTCGAGAGCAAGCGCTGTGTGGTTTAAAAGATCGCCCACTCGCTGAGTCTGGTTTATCTCTTCTTGCGACTTTTCTTCTTGAGACTCTTCGGCGCATAAGTTCAGCACATCGTGAGTTCTCCTTTTTCTCCCTTCAGTCTCTCGTAGCGTCTCTCCAGAAACCTGTGACCAATTATCTTTTGTTTCGACCTTTTTGATCTTCCTTTCGTATCTCCCGAGGATGACATGATTATGTCTGGGGACTCCATCGGTTCTTCTTCCTGATTTTCATTGAAGAGGCTTCGACGAAGCTTTCTCGAGGGCTGTGGAGGTGTAGCGGGTGCTGATTGATCAGTCTTACTGGGCGTTTTCGGTAGACTCTTTTCAGGCGTTTCGTAGACGGAGGAGCCTTGAGAGGAGTTCGCTTCCTCTTCTTCTTGCTGGGGAATCTGCGTAGTATCCATTGGCTGTGGCTCATTATTGAAAAGTTCACCGCTGACGGAGACGGAGATCTGTGGATCCGAAGGCACCTCATTAATGAGTAGTTCACCACTGACTGATAAGGAAATTCCAGCGATCCCTTCTTCGGATGCATGAGTATCCTCCGAAGATTGTGAAGACGCAAGAGCAGCCTGGGCCAATTTTTCAATCCTTTCGAGGGGATCGTCGCTTATCGCTTTTCCCGATTGAGTTTTTCTCGGAGAGTGCGTGGCTTTTGCTAAACAGAAGGTAAGGATCTAGTAAAAGAATCAATAACTTACGAGATGATTCTACAGCTTTGTTTTGCTTCTTTCCCGCTCTTGGTGTTTTAGGCGAGTGCTCTGTGCGATTTTTATCTGGAGTAGCGTCAGTTGTGCTTTGAGAAAACTCAGCAGCTCGCTCCATCATCTCATATCGGCTCAATTGGGAAAATTGAGTTTCCTGAGTTTCCCAGCCAGCCGTGCTCTCTTGAGATTGGGGAAGCTCCGGTAACGGTATTTCAGGGGAGATCTCAGTTGATTCCTTCGCAAATCTTGTCTTTCGTTGGGGAATCGGCGCTATAATTCGAGATTATTTTCAATATTTGTTTGGTCGCTTACTTGGTTGGTCGGGATCAAGATCTGAGGCCAGCTTCGAGTTGGATGATTTGTTAGAAGTCTTCTTCGGCGATTTGAAGTAGGGTGAAGGCTGCGAAAACTCAGCAGCTCGTTCCATCATCTCGTAACGGCTCAGTTGAGATAGTCTTTGAGAATCTTCCAAACTCTCTTGCGTGGTCGCCTGTGATTTTTCTGGCGTTAGATCAATATGAATTTTTGAAGATCTCGTTCGAGCAGGCTCTTTATTCGATGGTGGTGCTAGTTATAGTTGTTAAAAAGTTGAGCAAACATTTAGACTTACCATCTTTTTGAGACGTTTTGACAGTCGCTGCTTTCTCTCGCTGGTTGATTCTTCCAGACCGTGTTTTCATTGGGGAGATATCTACGCGGAATTGGATGAAAATATGTCAGCTGGATTTAATTTTACCTTGCTCTGAAGATTCTCCCTCGTCAATGACAAGCACTCCCGAATGATCATCCGACGAAGGGGATTCATCACTCTCTTTGGGGTTCATTTTCAATCCGATAACGCACCGTCTGAACAAAAAAATATCGAATCGTTTCTCAACTCTTTTCGTAAAGAGGTCTGCCCTGAAATGCCGTTGGCCGACCAGCAAAAATGAGTAAACTCGAATCTAGAAAAAAGGAAAACAATTCTCGAAAATTGAATATTTTCAAATGATGCTCCGACTAGCCTTGGTCGCAGTGACGCGCTTTTTTAAGGTTGTGCAAGTTATTTCTCCCACTTTTTCTTTGAAATACCCTTAACACCATATATATTTGGAATCAGTGAGAAATATCTAAAACCGTGACCTTTTTAGTTTTTCGAAAATCATTTCCGGTTTCGATTCTAGAGCCGGAAGTTGGCGAAATTAATGGGAATTTTATGCTTGTGACCTATCAAATTGAAGCTTAGAACGTTTTAAATCATTTTATCGCGTTCAGATTCGGTTCCCTTTGGTTTAGTGCGCCCTTTTTTCAGTTTGAAATTCGTAAAAATATGCAAAATATCGATTTTTTTTTCTCGTTTAACTGGTCGTTCTGACCGCGGTTTGATTGAATTTCGCTTCCAAGTGACTGAAAATGTTCTATGCTCCAGTTAGATAGGTCACATGAATGCCATTCTCATAAATTTCGCTAACTTCCGGCTCTAGAATTGAAACCGGAAGTGATTTTCGAAAAACTAAAAAGGTCACGATTCTAGATTTTTCTCACTGATTCCAAATATATATGAAGCTCCGGGTATTTCAATGAAAAAGTGGGAGAAATAACTTGCACAACCTTAAAAAAAGCGCGTCAGTCTCTTTCGAATCGAGAGTCTCGATCAGATAAAAAAAAATATCGTTAACCCTATGCGTGATGGGGGTGCACTGAGTGCAACCGTTCAAGGTTTTCTGTCCATTTCTCTCTCAATTTTCGCCCGAAATCGAAAATTTGAAAGGAATAAGGATCTACGTCAAAAAACACGTCTAACTTGCTTCGAATATTTAGAAAAAATATTTTATAGTAATCTAAAAACGTAAAAAATGTCGAAATTTTGCTATTTTTCGTCTCGAGAACAGGTGTTATGATGCAAGTTACGTAACTTCCAGCCCCTTTCGCCGCCGAAGAAGGGGGTATTTCGCCGCAAATACCCTCCGCGACTTCAGATCATAATTCTAAAGAAACAACGGTCCTATGAAATTCAAGAAAATATAATACTATCTTTGTGTGAAATAAAAAAATAACAGCGTTTTTCAATCATCAGAGGGCATGAATAATCTGCAGTTACGGGAGCCACAGTGACATTTTCTATCACTGAGTGTCGATTCTGCACTTCCGTAGTCGTAGGTTATCTCCTCTCCGGGCTCGATGAAGCGGAGAGCGAAGAGGGCGATTCGGGCAATGTCGTTTTCAACGCGAACGGGGTAGAGTTTGGCATTAGGAGAACACGAGTGATTGGCGAAACGAGCTGCGTTTCCCATTCGACCAGCGTCTGGAAAAGATTTATTTTTGATATTGTTGAAATATCAGTACCGATGTGAGCAGTCTCTTCCTCTCCGTTTCCAAAGACTTCCTTGAGCGACAAAATATAATTCATCTTTTCATTTTCTCTTTGATAAACTTGTCTCTCCTTGACCGTCTCCAGATTGAGATACTCGCCCATGTATTCAACAATGAACTCGCCCGAGTGGATTTCATTTTCAGCGACGAGTCCGTGGCCTTTATCGCTGCCAAAATATTTGACGCGGAGGGGGCGATCGCAGCCTTTTTGAACTAGGCGATTTTGACAGTCCGGTTGACATGGACAGTTGATATTGCACTCAGAAAAGGCTAACCCTCGTTTTTATTGAACTATCAATCTAAGAACTTATCAAAGACAGCCCTACCCTGTAACACCAGGAATTCCAGGGCGCAGAACAACGACCCCATCTTCATTTAAAACATACGAACTTCCGCAGTCGCATTTTTCTGAACAGTCAGCATCATCTGTACAAAAACATCCAGGGCGCGTGTTCAAAAGCGTGTCGTATAATTCAGTTACTCCTGACTGGTTGTTCCCGATGTATTCAAATCTTGGAAGCCGGCTTCTGTCCTCTTTGGAAATCCAAATCGGCCCTTCCCATCCCGTAGAGAGCTCATCATCTGTTATCATCTGGAAAGAAGCAAGAATAATCAATATGATTTTGTTTATTTTAATACAGAATTCTTGAATTGAAGGAATTTTTTATTCAACATTTGAAAAGTTGCTGTTTCAGTTTTCACAGATTGCACATTTTTTGTTTGAAAGAAGGAAGAAGGGATAGGTCAATTTCTAAAGCTATAAATAAGGAACTAATTATTTCAAGCTGAGGAGGCCATTTTCGTCGGCATTTGCGAGGATTGAACAAAGCAATTTGGATTCTAGCACAAGAATGTAGCTACAGGTCTTTGGCTCGAGGAGATACAGCGATAAGGCGTCTTGAGTTGGTTTGCACTAAAAAGATTTCGAGTTCACTATTGATTTCATTACAATTGATCTACCTTTAGTCTGACAAGAACTTCTCTCGGTTTCTTCGTAATATCGCAAACTTCTCCATCGGCATACCACAGCTCGACTTCCTGTACATCTCCTTCTACCTCTTTCGTCGCATCAACACTGTCTTCAGAGTCCCACACAGTAATCGGGAAGCCATCTTCGTCATGAACTGTCTTGCCGGCTTTTGCTTTTTCGCCAGTATTGACTTTTACTTTCGATCGTTTCACATTTTGCCTGTTTTTCGCCCAGTCAAGATGGGTTGCTTCGTCCCACGTTCCGACGATGATTTCTTTTGTCGGCTCCTTTGGCTTTCCTTGTTCTAAAATCGACTTGAAAAAGAGAGTGGTCAGTTTGAGTCCCACCTTTTTGGAACTCGTGGTATTGCTTCACATGCTTCCCGTAGCAAAACTCATATTTCCACCAGCCCTGGCCTCCTCGCAAGCAAAATTCTCCCGCCAAGAAATCATTAAGGATCTTTTCTGTTTCAGCCGAAAGTTGAGCCTTTCAACAGTCATCAATTCGATTCAAGAAAAAAGGATAAGTACCTTTTTCGCCTCTTGGACTTTTTGTGAAGGCATGTTTGCCTTCAGCTGGCTTTTTGTATGCTCCGAAAGTTTTTGCTTGATTTCTTTGGCCGTTTTGTCTGCAGCATCAAGTCCATCGATTTGAACTAGTAAGAGAATTTTACGAAAGGTCGATTCGATTATTACTCACTGTCGTTAACATTGACTCCCATTTCTTGAGCATGTTTGATAATCGTTTGAACGATTCCTTCTGTTTCATGGGGTCACAAAATGCCTTTCTTTTTTGGTGATAAAGTAACGAAAAATCAAGTGCACTCAATAAAGCGATTAATGTGAAATCAAAGCAAATCAACTATGAATCGATTAGTTTCAGTTGCGACCCGGAGCTGCGTCGGACATGGGTTTTGTATACCCGCTCGGAACTGAATCATTATATGTAATTACAAACACCAACACAATGATCACACCGGATGATTTGTTAATGAAAACTCTACTCTACTAAAAGCAACTACCACCAAAAGCAGATAAAAGTGAACCCGACTTGATCGCCTAAGTCAAACTGTTCGAGGTCTCCCTCGGAGAGAGGCTCGACCGCGCCAGTTTCAGCGTCAAACTTGAAAAACGCGGCGCCTAGCTTGTCCAAGTTGATACCATCTTTGAGCAGCTCAAGCATGCTATCAATGGACAAGGGCTCGATTGGCTGCACGTACCCGGTAGGGACTAGTATATGTGTTTTTATTTTTTCAGTTTTGGGCGAAGGAAATGGCAGGAATACCTGTAGGGGAGTCCCCAAGTTTTTTACAGGGAATTCCGAATGTTTCTGTGTCGAGGTGAAGAGAATAAAGAGGAGAGGAACAAAGGAGATTGGTCAAGACGATGATTTCGTACTCGCAGGTTGTTGTTTCCGTGATTCTAGGGAACAATTTCAATCCCATTTTTTAGAAAAATAAACTTACGAAAGAATTTCGGGGTTTCTAGCCTCAGCGTTGCAGATATATTTTACTTCAGTCTTTCTCTTTTTCCCCGTATGAATGTCGCATTCTGTTCCATCGCCCATAGTTATTAAATGATACGGAGTTGGAATTCCGTCGAGTTTCTTTTTGCTCACTTCTGCTCGTTTCGTTACAGCGTTGTTGGGATCGAGTGGGCTCTTGTCCAATCGACCAAGATAGTACTCCGTCGTTTTCACGCTGCCCTTTACTTTTTCTTCGTGGTACTGTCTGATGAACTGACCGTGGCAGAGCTCGTAGGACCAGTAAGTCTCGATTCTCAATGAGCAGTCCTTTTTAGTTGAAGAGGCTTTGTTGAAAAGAGGCTCCAGAAGAGTCTCGGCAGAATCGCCTGTTTCTTCATTGTTTTTATCCTCGACTGTAACCGATTCATCGCCTGTATAAGAATAAAATAAGAAAGAAAGATGTCTCAAGGATGTCATACTTGGAAAGAAACATTTGTACTCTTCTTGGTTCGCAGTTTTCATGATCACGAAATCTTCCTGATCATATTTATGTCCCAGCTCGTCAAATTTAACCTCATCCCCGCCCATTTGATTTCATAATGGATATCATCCAGAAAAGGGGACAATTTCGACGCCACTATTGGGCATAACCAGCTGCCCAATTTCATACTGAAGGAGAAAGAATTACGGAATCATGTAGTAAACCTCAATTTATTCGAGGCAAAATAAGTTAGATTTGAATTTTTAGAATCATAAATAAACGTAACATGAACTTTCGCTTTAGCCTTGGTGGCCCTTTCCGCAGAGTTTGACGTAGTGTTCGAGGATTTCGGGATCGCCGAATTTCGATGACTCCTGTTTGTAGATAATGTCCTAAATGAGGGGCTTAGATTTGGACGGTCAAGTTGACACGTACGGAATGTCGATCAGCAAAGTCAAGAGCGTATTTGAACTCGCCAAGAGATCGCATGTAGACGAACTTCTGGTACTGGTAACCGAGCCAGGCGTAAGCGGCAATGGTGAATGCAGTTCTATGGATTGCGGCGTAGAAGGGAAGTCGCATCTGGTAACGGAGGGAGAGAGCGTGTGCAGCGCCAAAGACACCCCAGCCGATCGTGTATTTGGAAACGAGGGGCTGAAGAAGAATTAGGAGATGAAGGTTAGGAGGAACTTACGAGGGGAGGAGAATTCTTTCTAAATTCCTCGGCAGAAGGCATGAAGGAAACGTAGCTAGCGCCAGAGTCGCCTCGACCGAGCATTTCGTCCATTCCGAACCAGGAGAGGACGCCGCGGACTGGTCCTTCATCCCAAGCAGATTTGGTTGGGTTTGGGCCGAAAACAGACTCAGCTACGTCCTAAAAAGATTCTAGTGTTTTTGGTCCCCACTTCCAGCTTACATTAGTGACACCAAAGCCGCCGTTCTTTCGTCGGTTAAACTCCATCGTGTGCTCGACGGTGGCATTGTAAGGATACTTCCACTTATCGACGCCGAAGGTGATTCCGGCAACGTTGCCAGTGCCGATTTGAGCCTCCTTTTCGGCTACGGTTCGACGGCCGTTCTCAGGATCCATTCTACAGAACGAACATGATGAGAAAGAGCATTTTTAGTAGGCAGTTTTGAACAATTGAATCTAGAATGACGGAACAGGGACCTGAAAACATGTGGTGAAGAGTGTGTTTCATTCTTTGATGAGTCCGTAAAGCTTCACGTTGCCCAAATCTTTGTGGTACTTGTCCTTGTCGTCGCAGGTGTAGGCGAGAAGGAGCTTCGATGGATGCCAAGCGACAGAAAAGGTTGGATTGTCAGTGGGCACTGCTGCTACTTGCTCTCCTGTTTGGACCTGAGAAAGAAGTTAGAAATGGCAAAGAAGGAAAGGCGTACATTGCAAATGTCAATTATATGGTCCTCCGATGCTGCAGCAAGCAATCTTCCGTTGTGTGAAAAGCTCAGCGTTCTGACTGGCCATTCCAGCCTTGACATCGTTCTCAAAGGCATGTATTCGATTGCATCCCAGATTGTTACAATCGCGTCTGCACTTCCTACAGCAAAATACTTCCCACAGTCACTAAATTACAATTTTTACCAACTTTCCCTTTTTGTTTGCTCACCTGAATTGAATGGAAATACAATTTGCCGTGTGCGCCACCAGCTCATCGACCTTGTTTAATTTCGGATAGTCGAGTACATGGAGCGCGCCGGTGCCAGTTGTGAGGAAAAAGTTTGTACCCGCGTTGTTCCACGAAATCTCGTTGACTTCGAATTTGAATTGCTTTTCGCCCTTTGGCTTGTAGGTTTTTGTATCGATGAATTGGATCAAATCGTCTTTGTTTCCCACAGCGATGCATTCTCCGTTTGGATGCCAGGTGATGTTCAGATTTTCTCCTGGAAACGACATTAATTTAGATGAAATTAAAAAAGTCGACTTGAGGCAAATTTTTTCAAAAAAATTTTATTGGCTTATATGAAAGAGCAGGAAATTCTGAGTCGAATGGTCTACTTCCGGCTCTATAATTCCGGCAAATGACGTCATTATGACTCATTTCTCCCAAAAAACTTTTTGGGAGCTTTTGAAGGGGTTTCCGATGGAGTTTTTTGGCGTTCTTGGGCTGAAAATAATCGCCGTCGAAAATTGAGGGGGGGTTTTCTTGGATTTTGAGAAATTCCAAGCGAAACACGTTGAAACCGACCGGTCGAATTTTGGTCAAAATTTTTTTCTTGAGCTTTTTCAAAACCCTTAAAAACCCCCCCTCAGTTTTCGACGGCGATTCTTTTGAGCTATAGAACGTCGAATAAATCCAACAGAAACCCCCTTAAAAGTTCCCCAAAAGTTTACCAAAAATGCCCTAATCTGGACTTTATTACGCAATTTTCGACGTCATAAAGTCAAAATTTTCGGGTCAAATCTAGCCTATTCGACTCAGAATTTTCTGCTCTATCTTCTGAGCACGAAAAAATTTTTTATGAAAATTTGCCTCAAGTGAAGTTTTTTAATTCCATCTTAAATAAAATTCGCAAAAATGAAACCTTTGGTTTGAATAGTAGCAGCAGCTTTGGCAGTTCGAACATCCCAAACTCGCATCGTTTTGTCTCCACTCGCCGTGGCAAAAAGCTGCGGATTCGACGGGTGCCAGACCAGTTGATCGACTGCATCCCCGTGTCCTTTGAAGCTGTTTTCTTTCACTAATCTGTCTTTCTCGAGCGTAAACACGCATGCTGTCTTATCTAAACTTCCAGAAGCTAGACGCTTTCCATCGCATGACCATGCGACTTTTTCGAGGTTGAAAAAATGGCAAAGAAAGAAGTAATCTCGAGAACGCGCCACGTAAAGCCACGTATCCTTATTGCAAATCCACTTTCAATGAAATTTTCAACCTCTTTGCCTGTGTGAACTTTACTAGAATGTCCGGGGAAATCTTTTACGCGGCAGTGATCTTTGAAATACGTCGTATATTTATCCGAGACCATATTATTTTTCTAAAACAAACAATTGCTTTTCTTTTTGATTACTTTTCTTGAAAAACAGCAAATTGAGTATGCAAACATTAATTTTCAACATTCATTCATCAGATTCTAGGGCATCTTCGTGTTCTTTGGATCATCTCTAAAATTTTGCAGATCGAACCTTCGCGCGCGCTCATTGGTCGGCTGCACCGCGATAGATTTTGATTCGGTTGTACTGAAATCATGGAAGAGTTCCTGAGTGAAATTTAACGGGAATTTTATTTCGAAGAGTTTCATTTTTACAGAATATCATGTGACAGGCATCGATTGATAAGATCGTTGGTTTCGTCTGGATGGCTTGCAGTAAGATGGTGTGAAGCACCTGAAAAGGTATCAACCATAATGAGAGGCTATTTCAATACCTTCAATTTTGTGTATGGTTATGTTCTTATTCGTCGTTTCTTTGGCTTTTTGCTGAATAATTTCAGCAGGCTCTGAGCTAAGCCAGCTGTTGGCTCCAAAGATGAAATGTGTATTTTGAGGAAGGGAATGAAGAGACTCAGATAGTCTTGGCAGCATCGGATTTTTAGCGTAAACAGTTTCGCTCTTCAGTTTTGCAAAGGATTTCTCGCCAGTGGCGGGTTCTTTTTGAGGATTGAATTTTATGCATCTATTGCCTGCCGACCTCCAGATGTGAGATTCTTATCTTTACTGGACTAGTTCGGTCCAAGAGTATAAAACTCGAGTTGTATTTCTTGCTTTCCACCGAAATTTATCTTTTTGTAAAATGGACGAACAATAGAATGTTTACATACTTGTCTAGCGCCAAATGCGAACAACTACTGTGAATATTTTTTTGATATTGACTTCGTTAATAATGAATCATGAGGATCGTTTTTCGAACGTTTTCGTTTATTTAAAACATCATCAGGAAAAACTAGAAACTGTTACGACAGAAAAAGAGATAGAAAACTAACTTGGTGTGTGAGAAAGCTGGACAGATAGCTAACTGAATCGAAAATTTCAGAGCAGAAAACAAGTGAAAAAGGAAAACAAGCGAAATTTTTAGAAAGTTTTAGGGCCACCTTGGCGCTCGACTATCTTTCGCTTGTTTTCCTTTTTCACTTGTTTTCTGCTCTGAAATTTTCGATTCAGTTAGCTATCTGTCCAGCTTTCTCACACACCAAGTTAGTTTTCTATCTCTTTTTCTGTCGTAACAGTTTCTAGTTTTTCCTGATGATGTTTTAAATAAACGAAAACGTTCGAAAAACGATCCTCATGATTCATTATTAACGAAGTCAATATCAAAAATATACGATGAATAACCGACTTTCCCGCGAGAGAGAATCGAGAGAACTCCTGATGCGGTTAATGAGAAGGCATTACAGATTAACGAAGAGACTACAGTTTCTCACAAAGTGTGCTCAACACCAAGTAATACCACCATCACTAAATCTTAAAGCCACCTCAACTACTGAAAGAGATCTTTTAAATTTTCAACTGAAAAGGCTCAACACAGTCATAAATGATCTCTCCCTCGAAATTTCTTCTGCTTTTCAAGACTTTCAATCTAAATTCGATAATTTCACTTCCTCTTTTTCCACACTTGAGAGAAATGATTTTTACAAATCACTTCTACGAAATATTCAAATTTCTGAAAGTTCTTCTGACAAAACTCGTGAAATAAAATTGAAAAATCTTATTTCTAATTCTGATTCCTCTTCTCCTAAGATCGAAATCTTCAATCTTAGTGACAAAATTATTCCAACCAAAATTCTTAAAATTCTCGAAAATGGAATTTCCAGATCTGTCGGAGGTTCACCTCGTGACTCCAAATTGTTCCCTGCTTTTGAGAGTCTCTTGCGTAGTTGGTCAAAACATATTTCCATCTTCAAAATTGACATTATGACTCAGAAACGCGTCGAAACCGAAGTCAATCATTATCTACATCAACTTAGACAATGTTTCACCAAAAATGATGACATTAAAACTCTTCGGAAATATCTTGATAAAAATCGTGATATTACTTTGGTCAAAATTGACAAAAGCAAACATTTATGTTTTCTTAATACCACTGATTATGTTAGCAAAATGAATGCTGAATTTCCGCGTAATAAATTTGTAATTTGTGAATCTGATCCTACAACCAAAGACATTTCAGATTACAACTTACTTATTAAAAAACTTCGCCCTGAAATCTCCCATTCTACATTTCGCAGTCTTCAATGTAATCATAAAATCAAAAATAGTTTTGGTATTCTTAAAATGCACAAACCCTCACCTCATCCAGTGCGGACTATCATAGGAAGCCCTGGCTCACTATGCAGTGGTGCAGAAAAATACATCTATTCCATCATTTCCAAAATTATTCCTGAACTTCAGTTTTCATATTCATCAACTAAACAATTCAAGTCCTCTTTTATGGACATTGCTGATCAAATTTCAGTTGATGAACATATAATTTGGAGTGCAGACATTGTCTCGATGTATCCTAACATTGATGTTTCCTCAGCCATCGAAGTTATTTTAGATATTTTATATAAAAATCCATTAAAATATTTCGAACCAGAGGAAATGTCAGACGGCTCTATTTCCTACTTTCCTGATCGCTCTATCTTCAAGGAATTTTTAACTGGTGTTTTACAGAAATTTACTAGCTTCAGTACTCCTGAAGGTTTCTTTCGTCAACGTAATGGATGCAGCATGGGCAGCAAACTTGCCCCATGTGTTGCAAATATTTTCATTTCTCACTTAGAAACTAAATTTCTAAATACTGAAATCAAAAAAGGAAATATAATCTTCTGCTCACGGTACGTCGACGACTACCTTATTGTATCTCGAAAATCTGCAAAATCTCGTATATTGAATTGCATGAATCGATTTCACCCTACCATCAAAATGACATCTGAAGAAATGAAATCTAGTTTCATTTCTTATCTTGACACTAGTATTAAACTTCACGATGGAAAATACCAACTTTTCTTTTTCGAAAAAGATAATAAGTCCGACATCTTGACTAACTTTAAAACTAGTGTCCTCTCAATCAAAAGATCTCTCTATTGACAGGAGAAATTTACAGAAGATTCAACTGTACATCGTGTCCGTATTCTTTAGACCTCGCACTCAAACAATTGACACAACGCTTCCTAAAAAACTCCTATCCTTTGCCCATTATCAAGCGTAAAATTAATGAGATTAAATCTAAAAACTTTGAACCGCTTCATAGGGATGAAGAAGGAATTATTAGAAAATACAACTTGTGTCTTGATTTTACTAGTGAACGGTGCTACAAAATCGGATTAAGTCTTCAAAAACTCTTTCGCAAAGTTACTCCGTCTTTTCGTCTCACTATTTCTTGGAGGACTATTCGTTTGGAGCGTGCTTTAGGTAAATTTTGGAAAAGATCAGTAGATAAACACGAGCTAAACGATCTTATTTATAAATTTGAATGTCCTTGTCGTGCTAGTTACATCGGTCAAACCATGAGACGTGCCGGTATACGCTGGTGTGAACATACGAGCTCAAATAATCAGAACAAATCTGCTCCTTCTTCTATTTATAAACATATTATCTCCTGCAAAACCTTTCAAGAACCTTCCAAAAATCCGTCGTAAACTATCAAAAAATGACTTTGCTCTTCAGTTCTTTGACGTACTCCAGACCAATCTAACTTTTGAGAGTCAACGAAAAAAACACGGAACAATTTCTTATTTTACTCCATAAACCTTCACTCAACGAACAATCTGATTTTAAACAATTTAAAACTTTTTAGTCGAGCACTGTTTTAGGGCCACCTTGGCGCTCGACTATCTTTCGCTTGTTTTCCTTTTTCACTTGTTTTCTGCTCTGAAATTTTCGATTCAGTTAGCTATCTGTCCAGCTTTCTCACACACCAAGTTAGTTTTCTATCTCTTTTTCTGTCGTAACAGTTTCTAGTTTTTCCTGATGATGTTTTAAATAAACGAAAACGTTCGAAAAACGATCCTCATGATTCATTATTAACTACTGTGAAAACTAAACAATGAAGGTGATAATAAAATTTCAATCCTTTCCCATGCTGTTTATCTCATACGTGTACTCAAAGAATTCATCGCCGTAAACAGCCCTCAGATCATTCCTTGCTCTTCTCATAAGCGGCATTCCGATGCTCTTCGGGAAGGCCCGGAACATTTCCAAACCACTTTCCCATTTGAGCGCCTTGAAAATACCAAACGTAGTTTTAATCACTGTCCTTCTTGCCCAGGGCATAGAGTCAAGCTTTTTCTGGAGCTCGCCGTCGTCTACTGCGAATCCCTAGAAAGATGTTATTTGAGAATTAAAGAGTAAAAGTACCCAAGGATCGAGAAGAATCAAGCCCTGCGGTTTCAGTACTCCATCCATGCACAATTTGGCCGACAAATAACCGCCGAAAGAATGCCCTGCCAGCCAGAAATCTTCTTTTACTTCTTTTTGAATCACTTCCGTCAGCGCTTCAGACCAGAGACTTTCGATCTTCAACGGGTCCTCTGTTCCAAAATCTTTTCTTTCCGAGTGGCCAAATCCAGGCAAGTCGACAAGCATTACAGGAGCATTCACGTGAGCAACATTTCGAAAGAAACAACCAGAGCCAGTTCCCCAACCGTGAAGCATCACAAGCGGCATTTTGTCCTTTTCTTGATTCGCCCAGTAAACTCTGGTTTTTCCAAGCGAGGAGTCTGACATTAATTTTGAATATTTTTTTCCAAAGAGTTAAATTTACCGATATCTTTTTGCTGAATTTTCGTATCTGGAATCAATTGCTGAAGCCATTGTGTTGGTTGAATTTCTGATTTCTCCGTTTTCTCACAAGTTTTCATTGCTCTTTATTGAACTTGATTCTTGGGCCTTTCAAACGACAATAGGTAGTGTATCGATAATCGATATTGTTTTTTGTTCAATTTCTTCGGACAGTCTCGAGACTTTATGCAGTTTATTGGCTTGGTGAAGGTGGAAGATTATTCTCGAACTCTTTGAACGACGTCAATAGACTCTGTTGACCTGTGTGTCAGGCGCGTGGGTTATGTCAATCAAATATTTTTGCTTTAGTGCTCTGGGCGATGATTCATACACTATTAAATATCAGACACGGAGCGTATATAACGCTCATTTGCAATTTATTTGAAGTAACACAGTTAGGCAGTTATCGTATTAAATTCGACTGTCAATCCTCTTAATTTTCTGAAGGGCTCGTTCAACAATCGGTGGCTGAAATCAACGATGAGTACCAATTTGGTTAGTCAATTTTACCTGGTTGAGATTACAGTGTTCAGTGTCAATTTTGCAAATACAAAAATAATACAAACAGCCGAGTACAAAACCAGTCACTTTGAGAATCCAGAGCAGAGCAAATGTCCACATTACTTCATGGAAAGTTAGTTCTAAGAGAAAAATGAAAACGGAGCTTTTGAAAATGGCATACTATTTTGCTGGGAATAAACCAAATCTTTGCGCAAGATGTAAAAATATGCACTTAGCAATAAGTTCTCGCCGAAAACAACGAGAAAGTAGTAGATCAAGACACTAGCGTACGATGTGTTCCTTCTCTTTTCTCTTTTCTTCGAGTGAGTTTTTATCATGCAAGGCTTCGTTGCGGGGACCCCATATACATCTACCCAGGTAAATAGAGTCGACAGCCACATCAGATAGACAGAAGGCACAGCGACCACAAGATAGTAGAATAGTTTCCAGAGCACCTTTCTCTTCTTCCCCTTGAGCTTCCTCCTCGCTTCTTCGAAAAACGACTTACAGTAGCTTCCAATGACAAAACACGGAAGCGCCACCAGTGCCAAATGAACCACTCCCAACATGATGAGCATGCCAATTGGTAAGTAATATACAGTAATAGCGATAAGGATGCATCTGGAGGTGATAGAAGTAGCGTAATAAAGGAGTCCGATAGGCATTTTTCCGGGCACTTTTTTGTCCGTGTAGTAGTCGAGAAATTCCGTGACCTGTCCTCTGTCGAAAACTTTGACCTCGTCGATTGGAAAAGCTCGGACATTCTGCGCAGAGTCGACTGAAAACTTGAGAACAGAGAGGCCGACGAGCACCCAGGTCTTTGTCATGCAGTCAAGCTGCTTCATTAGTTCTCGGTTGCCCGTGTCGATTGTGAACCAAATGACGTAGAATTGCAGAATCGCCTTAATGTTGGTAGAAGACGTGCTAAGAAACAAACAAAACCTGTGGAACAAGCTTAGTGACAGCTTCCACTCGTCTAAACTGTTCAAGGTGGCTTTGCGAGTGCCTGTGCAAATAGAGGAATTTTTGCACCTCATCGTCAAAAATGTCGTTCTTTTTCTTGGCGAGTTTTCTGGCCTTGATCCCATAGATCACGAGCATGAGATGTTTGACGAAATAGCCAGTGCACGTGATGAGACTCACGCCGAAAAGTATCTTCATTCCGAAATTGAATTTGCCGACGTCTAGAGCGCGTTGGGAAAGAAACGAGATTATATCTGTCTATTCATCAAATCGATGGAGTAACTCTTTCTCAACTCGACCTTTCAGCATCCTGCGCGTGTCAAGGAGGAAAAGGGTTGAAAGCCACAGCGTTGGAAGGAGAACGATGATGAGTGTCAAAGAAGCAAAAGTAAGGGACGCTTGACGGCCGAATTCATTCTGAGCAGCACAACCTTTTTTGGGTTTAGAATTGTTGATAAATCAAAAATGGTATATTTGGCATTTTTTATAAAAATCCGGTCCTGTCTCATTGTCATAATGTAGTTTTAGCTCCTCCCTAAGAGCATCGTCATCTAAAATTGATCATTTAAAAATGATGTGCCTGTCTGATAGAAAGTACCAATTGTTGTATTATGCGAAGCCATAGCATAATACCCAGCAGCGGTTGATACGGCCGAGTAATTTTGAAACATCCACAGCAGCAGTTTAATGATAGGCACAATACACCAGGACCAGGTCCAGCAGCATCCTTTTCTTTCAAAGTCAGCATCAAGAAAAATCGAAATCCGCTCACCTTTCTCGCCGAAATTCGGCAGTTGATCGACGAGGTCTTCCTGCTCCTCAAAGACCTCTTCCTCTTCTTCTAATGTTGAGTCTCTCATTTTGCGATTTTGAAATGAGGGATTCGCGATTTTTTCTTCCGCGTGCGAAAGGATATTTGATTAAGGGACGAGTCACTGTTTGGTATTTGTAGTTTCATAAAAACGAGTCGAAATTCTTCCCCTTTCCACGATGATCCGAAATCTTCATGTCAATATTTTACTATAATTGCTTCATTTATTATTAATAAATTATTAAAGATCAAAATGCCCTTATAATAAAAATGATCCTTCGAATAATTTCGCAGTCATGACGTTACACTGGACACCCGTGATGTTTTCAATTAAATTGTCTAAATAGTAGTCTTGAAAAAACGGCCATTATGACGTCGAGGCTCTTCGGAAAGGTGAAGAAGGAAAGCGCAATTTTGGATAATTGATTTTGACTTTCGCTAATAATAATATGAGGCGAAGACTCTTCGGCTTGATCCGACCAAAAGATCAATTTAATAAAAACGAGGGGATTTACCCTGAGAGTTTAAGACGACACCAGCCGGATTAATGAACACTTTGCCAAAAAGAGAGAGGGGGACAAGAATGAGATCTATGTCATGTTCAGGTGCGCTTACAGTCGCTCAATTACAGTAAGCCGATCTGCCAAGGTGCATTTTTAACCGACTTGTTAAATGAATTATTACAAAAAGTTATTAACAAATAAATTATTAGCAATAATCGTAAATTGTTGGTTATTAGCTTCATCGTTATGCTTATTGCTGACGTTTCCGCATTTTATAGACGATCGTTGGAGTGTAAATAAACGCCTTCTTTCTTAGATAAGTTGATCGAGCTGCTGCGATTACCTGGACAAATAATTATTTATTCCGAGAGTCGATTCAATTTGAGAGTTGAGGAACTTTCACATGGACTCGAGCACGCCTTGGGTATTTATCAAAACAGAGAATCAAGAATAAAACAGAAAGAGAGGGAGAGAGAGACTCAGGAGATTGATAAGATATACAAAGTCATTCAGTATCGCCCCGCCAGATATTTTTCTTCTTGAGATATTTTTTCACTTTTTTCAAGAGACCAAGAAAAAAATTCTACCATTGATTGACAATTTATCTTGCTGACCTTAGAAGAAGAGACAGAGCGTTGTCTGACTATCTAAAATATCGACGACTGTTAGATTAGCTAGCGAGGAATTTCGACCAGCAGTCTGGCGAGCTTCAAGCTTTCAGACTCGGAGTTAGAGAGAACGATCCTTATTGACAACTCGCAAATATGAACCATCAAAAGAGAGAATAATTCGGATAGATAAGCGAGTCCTAGGAAATATTCAGTTTACCTCGCTACGGAACACCAGAATAATAACAGCTCGTCGGTATTTAACTTATTTTAGCGATAACATCCACTTCCAGTCCAAAAGAAGAATAATTATCAAAAAACTTTATATTTAAAAAACTTTAGTCTATCGAAATATTAAAGATAAAAATATAAAGTTATTTGATAATTTTTCTTCTTATAGATTCATTGGATGTCATCGCTAGAAAAAGTTAAATATCAATAAACTGCTTTGTCATCAGACAGCGGTTTAGAATTTAACCTGACGTGGCCATAAGCCTAAGACCGTGAGTTCGCACTGACCTGGGCTTAGAATTAGGCCAGATCAGTAACAAAGTGGTTAGATCGAGTTGATCTCACGTCGTAGATTCTCGAAAGTGGCGCGGAAAATGAATGAGCGCTGGCTCGCGCGCGCTGATTGGCCGCGCCGCGCGCTTGGCGCATTCTCATTGGACGCCCTAACACTACGTGTTGCAGTGACAAATGCTGGGTACACTACGCCTCTACGTGATTAAAATTTAAAATCGCAAATTTTCACTCCCACAGTCAAAGTAGCACTACCCATTAATAAATCAATCAATTTAGCGAAAAAAATCGCATAATTTCAATTTAGTCAAATTATTCATTATTAGAATAGATAAAAAAGACACAGAAAACTCTTAGAGAAGGAGATAAACTAATTGAGAAAAGACGCGAAGAGTTCGAAATTTCCGAAAATGTCGTAAAGACAAAAAGCGCTTCGGGGGACGTTAGGGTCTATTTTGATAGTCAGACTACAACAGAAAATGTGCTCGAGAAAAGAGGAAAAACGAAAATTGTCGTCATTTTGATTGATGCTCTTCAAGAGCGATTTTCTGCTTTATCTGGCAGCCCCCAGTCTGCAATCATTAGCCAGACAATATTTTTAATAATAAATAACTACAGTATCTGGCGGCCAAAAACAGTATGTAGAAAGAAGGAAGAATAAGTCTAATTCAATAAGATATTCTCGATGAATGAATTTCTGTCTGTTTTTTACCCACCTCCAGCTGACTGTAACACTTACTGTCGAAAGTTTCATAACGCGTTTGTTATTTCAGAAACGGAAATCGGATTTGAGGTGAGACCAGTCACAGTCGATGCCGGCGTCAATACAAGCCGAGCCCAACGCCGAGCCAGTCGAAATCAGTCCCGTCGGCCCCGTCAAAGAAAAACTCCAACTCGTCGAAGATGATGTCGACAACGATGGAGAGGCAGCTCAAAAGAATGGTGAAACTGAAGAAGAATCTCTAAATGCTCGGAATGAAGAAAACTCGGCGGAGAATGAAGTCACGGAAGAAAGTGAAGAAAGTTCCGCTAATCCAACGCCACTTCCGGCTCAGGCAACGATTCACCAACTATATTTTTATCTTACCAAAGTCCTTGAGTTCGAACTTTTTCGTGAATCGAATTAAAAAGACCCTCTCTCACCCGCCGGGCCTTGAGCCAGTCCCAGCAGCCTACCATGCAAATGGCTACGTTCCTCAGCTGCCTCTGACCACCGTAGCTTCAAACGGAGCTACTCCTGTCCAATCGCCGCCATTACCGCCTCTGCTCCATCACCACCACCATCCGCCTTATTCTCATCACATGTCGCCTCCTCCACTTCCTCCACATAATCACACTCCTGCCCAGTTGCCTGTCCAAGCCAGAGTTTCGCAAATCTACCGTGATTCTCGTGAAGTTTTCGCTTGGAACTTGGAGTCTTTAAAGTAGAAATACGATTTGTAGTATAAAATTTTAGCGATAAATTACTGTTTGTTGAACTCTTGGTGAAAGTTCCTGTACAAGAAAGTTCCAGTGCTCCCCAGAACAATCCCCCAGCGCCACATTGTGAGTAACCTTGACACAAACCTTGTAAAATTGCGTTGGGAAGTTTTGTTTGTTTTTCCTGTCCCGCCGGTGGGGTGGTGAAATGACCGAGGCACACGGCCTAAGGGCAAGTTACCAAGGGTTTTTTCGAATGAATGTCACGATAAAGAGTGTTTATATAGGAAGATATGTTGCCGCCAGAGATGTTAACCAATGACCAGGCGATATTTTACTATTATCAGGGTTAGTGTCAATTTTTCGTTGATTTCAAAGGCAGGTCCAGGTGTTTAGCATTTCTTTTGTCTAAGAGTGTTGAGAATCTAGTAAATATGCTTGGCAAGTGTGACGTCCCCAGGGAGGAGCTATTGTGGCTACTGTAGTGGGGAAGCGTGACAGTGAATTTGCCCGGGTTAACAGAGTAAGACGCAAAAAAGGGATTGGCGTCATGCGTCTTCTCTAGGCAGAAGCGCGTTCTACTGCTCCCTACCGCCGCCTTTAGTCCAGTAGCTGCCGACGCAACTAGCGGGGCAAGACCCTCGGGGCAAGAGTCTTCTTCCCTCCTCAAAAAACGCCTGCTCCCACTACTCACCTGAAGCGTCAACTAAATGCATCGGAATTCTAATAAAAGCGGACAATAAACAAAATTGATAAAGAAAGTTTTTTTCCTCAGAGAAGATTTTTATGATAAGAGTTCACATGACGCGGGGAAGAAAGAAAAAACGCAAAACCAAGGGTAAAGTCAAGCCAAAACTCAAAGTCTCAAAGTCTATTGAACTCTTACCGTATAATTTGACCGATGATTGATCTGTTTGCTTTAAATTAAGCGGTGACCTTTGGACTTTTTTCAATATAATCGGGTCTATTTTATAATGCTGACTTTTTGTTTTTTTCGACAAAAAATTTGATTTTTACGTGATCAAGGTCGTTTGCCGGCTTTACGAGGGTGAAATTGCGCCTTGATCATGCTTGAGCCGGCAGGGGCCCTTAATTAGAGAGAAAATGAGCAATCAAATAATAGGGAACGTCGGGCGGGCTTGAAATCAAGTTCTATTTTCTGTGCCGCTCAGAATAATTACTCTCGATTGGAGCCCGCTCCATATCTCTCGGATAATGGAGAGAAGCCGACAATTTGATCCCACACTTCAGGCACAGATCGATTACTTTCGAAAGGCCGGCTTACTTTAGTAGCAACATTCGATTTCTATCATTTTTTCGCCAAAAAATGATGATTTCTGTGTCCACAAAATGCTGAAATTGTAAACCCGTCACAAGTTAATAATTCTTCGAGAACGTATAAGACATTTGCTAGGTTAGTGGAAACATGCCAGGGGAAATACACAACGCACTCATTTTAATTAGTGCCACTGACGTCAGAATAACTTTTTTGGGAAAATGACTTTCAATAAATTAATCTTCTTCGAACAACTTATCATTTGTTCTTGTGAAAAAATGTGTTAAATTATATTTCTAGCGCTAAAAGAACTCGAACTCCATGATACGATGGTCGCCGCTGCCGCTCCGGCGTACCAGCCTGCTCACATGTTCGGCGGCCTTGGCTACACTCAAGAAATTGTGGACCTTGAGGTCACCGCTGGTATGGAAATTACGCTGCCAAATTGTGACGGGACACAGAATATGTACCGAGGCCCCGTTCGAATTTCTATGCCCGTATCTCCGGGTATGCCTCTTCCAATTGCACCTCCCATCGGCTATCAAGTATACATGAGACTGGACACGGATCCCAACACGGGACACATGATCAAGGTCTATTCTGTATTACCCGGACCGCAGTATCAGGAATGCGCATCAAGAATCAATACGATTAGCGGATTTGACGGATGACCAGTTCTTAGGGGCGAGAGCATTATGCCTTGCATGAAGCATATCTTATGCGAATTTCTATTCCTATCGTGTATTCTTCAGTTTTCTTATTTAAAATAAAGATAATTTAACGATGAGAATCAAATTTTTGATGCGCTTGTAGATCCAGCACGCGATGCCGATGCAGCATGTTTCACACGAAGCTGCACCTCCATATGTCCACAACGGCAATTCCTACCAGCCCGTTTACAACCATGACATCGCCACTATCAACGAGCAGAATAAAGGTGTCTTTAATTTAATCTGCGTTATCAAACTCTAATTTCTAGTCACCGCCAAAGAACAGATGAACAAATCGCTCGCTCCTTCGAAAGGAGCAGAAACAGACGAAGAAAAGAAGAACATAAAAAGCACACTTTCCAAAATCGATTCACCAAGAATCGTCAAGCTTTCGCACAACTGGGCGATTATCAAATGGAACAAAGTTCGCTCCGATGAAAAGTCAGATTTAAACGAAGAGAACCTGTCATATATTCTTGAAATTCGAAACACCACGAGCGCCCAGGACGATGCCTGGAAGCTGGTCTATCAGGGCCTCAAGCTCGAGTACGAAGTCGCCAAGCTCATTCCTGAAAACAACTACCTATCCCGTGTCAAGGCCCGATACCTGAACATTGAAGGAGACCCAAGTCAAGTGCAGAACTTCAGAACAGAAGCAATCAGCAAAAACAATATTGACAATAGAGAAAAGTCACCTGACATTCACCGACCACACAAGGTAAAACACAGAACCACTGAGCATGGATTGAATTCTGTTTAGCGTGGAAAAGGAGACTACGAACCAAAGTCACGAAGATCGCGAGCAAGTGCACCAGACAATCTCAAAGGTAAGATTCCCACGCATTCCTTCTTTCAAACTCACACGGCTATTTAGCAAAGAAAACTTCTTCGACCTCGATTGACGTTTCTTGGTCGCCGATGGCGGGTGTGACCAAGTATATCCTGCAGATGAAGCAAATCACACACAGATACCACGACGATGAATCTTTCAAAACTGCCTACGAAGGTCAAGAGACTCACTACTCCTTTCGAGAGCTCAAAAAAGCTGCAAGGTACAACGGAGCTCTCTAATACCTGCTAAAGAATTCGTAGATACCGTTTCCGTGTAGCAGGATTGACAAAGGACGGCCAATCCGACTTCTGTAAACCTTGCGACGAAAGCACTGGACAAGACCCTCCCACACAGCCCAGCAGGCCGATCCGAACGCGCCTCGAGAAGAATACCAACATCTCAGAAGGTAAGTTACCCTCTTAAACTTTTTGATAAGCCCGTGTTATTAGAGAAGAGTCGCGCACGCCCGTTATATAATGTTACGCTGGAGTGGAAGGCGCCTAAAGAAACAGGTGGCAGCTCTATTACTGAATTCCGAGTTCAACAGCGATATGCTAATCAGAATCAATCTGCTTGGGAGTTGAAATACAAAGGTAAAACCATTTCATTTCCCCACTCAATCATCGATTTCTAGGCAATGAAACCAGCCATGTCTTTACAGATCTCCTTCCCGGCTCCAAAATTGAATACCGCGTCCAAGCCGTAAACCAACACGGCATGGCTTCGGTCTGGTCCCTCCCCGAAATGATCAACACGCCTCCCGGAAGACCACTAGCTCCGAAAAAGATCGACGTGACCAATATTGGCACGGATTCCTGCTCTTTGAGCTGGTCGGTCGGGCTGTGCGTGGCGGGTGGAAGCGTTTCTCGCTATGAAATTCGACTCACTGAAGTTGGATATTACGATCACAAGACAGAAAGTGCCCCTGTCGAAGCTGATGATTCTGATGATCGTGTACAGTTCAAAGATGGTCTTCGATCCGCTAGAGAAGCAACCCTGGAGAACCTACTCTCTGGAAGGACGTACAAGGTCCACTTGAGGACGGTGAATTCCGGCTCTGAGGAAAGTGAATGGAACTCGACAGAATTCCAGACCCTCGCGGATGTTCCCTCAGTTCCCGAAAGCCCCTCGGTGACCTCTGTACAATCGGACGCAGTCGCGATCGAGTGGAGAGAGCCAGTCGCCAATGGCTCTCCGATAACAGGTAAATAGAGATCCTGTCAAAGAGAGTCAATGTTAAAATTATCTTTCAGGATATTATGTCCAGATCAGAAGCGAAGGCAAGACGCTGTCATTGAACGTCAACTCGACCAAATTGGAGCGTACCGGGCTCGCTGCTAACACTCATTTCGTATTCAAAGTTGCCGCTATAAATTCTGTTGGTCAATCTGGTGAGTGCAAATTCAATTATCCGCGATTTACCTTATTCTAGGATTTTCCTCTCCATGTTCTGTAAAAACAAACGCATCAATTCCTCACGTTCCAAAGCTTTCTGTTTCGCTGATGCCAACTTCTACCCCAATTGTTCGTCAGTGGGCGCTTCTGCAGTGGCCCAAGCCGCAAGATCAGGGCTCCAAAATAACGTAAGCGACGTCGTATTTATTAATTACTAATGGCAAACCCCCATTTAGATCATACACAGTTGAATACAAAATGTCCTCCGAGGAGCGATGCTCAACGGTGGTATCTGGGGATGACGATAGAGTCGAAATTGATGATCTCATGCCCGAGGAAACTTATCGATTCAGGATAAGAGCTGTCAACGACAGGGGTCCGAGTCCGTGGTCAGGTAAATATGCAATTCGCAATCAGATTCATCAAATTTGCGTCATGTTAGATTGGATACATGTAAAAACGAAGCCTCTTCCTCCGACAGCGCCTGTCCTAACTCTCCTCGAAGTTCATCCCACCTCTGTCAAACTCCAATGGACAGATTCAAACAACAAATACATGCTCCAACGTCACTCAAAAGGGTAAGTTCACGCCCTTCACCAATCCATCATAATAATATTCTCTTTAGCTCGTGGAAGGTGATCTACAGGGGCGAAAAGAGCTACAACAAAATATCCAAGTTGACGGAAGGCACGAGCTATCGGTTCCGCGTCTCTGCCAGCAACAGCTCTGGAGATGGACCTTTCAGCTCTATTTTCGAAGTCACAACTCCCCGATGTCCTCCTCCGAATATCCGTCGCGCTCCTGTGGTAGCTACGAATGTAGAAAATCGCTCGGCTACGATCTCTTGGACGATGGAGAGCAACTTGGTAGACTTGAAATACCGTGTCGAGCTTCTCCGAGGGGATGAAACACTCAGATCGCTGACGACGACAAAACAAGAGCTCAAGATTGAGAATCTGGACACAAATATTAATTACGCGGTGCGGGTTCAATCCCAACGTGATGGTCAATGGGCAGAGTGCTCGCCTGAGAAGTCCTTCTGCCTCGTCTTCAAGGAAGTCAAAGAAGTCAAGGAGACGAAGAAGTCGACGCCTTCAATGAAAAAGATCTTTGAAGAAGATTCAATCACCGGTGAGCTCGAAAACATAAAAACAAACTAAATTCCCCCTTCAGCGCTGCTGGTATTTGCGTTTGCTATTGTTGCCGTCCTAATCGCCCTGTGCGGTCACCACTGGCAGACAAGCTGAGACTCATTCTAACATTCTATTTCCCAGGCCAAGCAATTCTGGCCGCGCCTAGCCATCCGTTTTACCGTACTCCCTCGCCATCGCTCTTCAATCTTCTCTTTTTTAATCCTTTGCCCATTTCATATTTCAGTTTAGAAAATGTTATGTTCAGTTTTTTTTTCATTTTCAAATGGATACGACCCCTTGATATTTATTTTTTAATTTATCCATGTATTGGTGAAAAAATCAAGAGAAAAATACATCCCAAATGTGAAAATAACTTCCTCTAGCTTCCTATCGCTGTATGTACGATTTTCGCTATTCGGGTGTTTCCCGAACAGTTAGGCCCAATTCGTTGCCCTGTGAAAAAAATGAAACTCTTCCTTGCTATCAACAGATGTTCAAAATTGGCATATACATTCAACATATCAACCACGTTCAACTTTGTGTGCGCCACCTATCCCACTCAATGACAAACCGACTTATTCAATTATTTATTCATATGTATATATATATTCAGCTCATCCCTCTTGGCAAAAAACGAAAAAGTATAGTAACTACCGGTGCGTAGATTCTTGCTAGAACGAGAAAGAGTACGAGACGCAAATGATCGAATTTGCCCGCTCGTCGCGTGCTCTTTCTCCGCTTCTGATTTTGTCGACTTTCTTATCACAATATTGATCCTTTCTCTTTCCTGCTCAATTCAAAATTCTAGTTCTCCCCCTTCGAATAAAACCATCAGTCTTCATTTGCTCCGTAATCCTCTTTCCGTTTTCTGTGATTTACCACACTTCATCGTTTCTAATGGTGGCATTAACTCCGACCGACCGGTTCCGCGGTGCTAAATAAATCGACCATTTAAAAATCCAGCCGAAGAATTAATTTTAATTCGTTGCGACTTGAAAATTTGTATGCAGAAAGAGGATAAGGAAAGGACGAATAGACTACGCAAGCAGGCAAAATTTGAGCTTATCCGAAAAAGGGAGCCAAAGGAGCAGCTCCTCGAGTATGTTTTTCGCCAGCTTCTTCTTCCGGAGCGCGGAGACTTCGGGACAGCTCATCGTCAAGCTCCAAGTCGGAAAACGGCACGCTTGGGCCAAATCCACCGCGAGTGCCGCGCATGAACGATCGCACGTTTGCTTTAAGAAGGTTAAATAACTTCGAAGGATGTTGAGCGATCTCAGTTATAAGCTCTTCTGCTCTTCGCTGATGTTTAGCTTGCAATTTCTTACCAAAGCTTCGCGGGCTTATCGCTGCGTATGAATAATCGGCGGATATCATTGGAAATAGGAGTAAAAATCTCATATTAAATTTTATCTTCAAATTTTGCAGTGCAGAAGCTCATGACTGAAGTACTTTATATGGCGAGCAGACTTTTGCATATTTTATTGCGGAAAGGCTGTGCAAATTTTCATATCTGCCAAAAATCTGCCCCTAATCATGAAATTATCATGAAATGAAAATAGAAGCCAGGAAAGAAGATTGAAATTTATTGATGAGTAAATCAGAAGTCGCAGCATCTAAACTGTGGATCGAATTAGTGGACGATGATGGTTCCTTTCTGATGTCGGTTGGTGAAGGCGTTGTTTCTTTTGAGGGTTTAATATCTACTCATTTATAAAGAAAGCTACTTGGAATTTCGAACCCGTTCCTAGTGCACATGTAATGATGAACTCCTTGAAATAAACGTAAGAATCTTTGGAATTTTTGAAATCAAAGTACCTGGGTTCATCTTCACAACATTTCCTTTGAAAGAAGGAGGTGCGTTGTTCAGCTTTGGGTTCATCACTTCCTTTGGTGCTTCAACTGAGTTTGAGCAATGGCCTTCATGATGGCAACCGTAGAATCCACTTGATGCAAGTTGAATCTTCAAGTCGTCCATGTGTGAGAGGTCGTTGACGTCGGAGGAGGTCCAGAGCCATTCGGCAAACATCTCAGGGTCAGTTGTTGGAACGTCGTAAACTTGTTTGACGCATGGGAACCAGGCAAAGTCGTGTTCATGTCGAGCGTCGTACCAGTTTCCTTGTGAGTTCATCACAGCATAGTGGGCAACATTTTCATAGTACTCCATCTGTGGGTTATCTCCAGTGAATGAATTGAAGCCAGCTTCGTCGCCAGACTCACTCTCAATCCATAGAGCTAGAAATGAAGGAAAACCTCAGTTAGCAGACTTTTTGATTACCATGAACTCCGATAGGGAAGTCGCCCTTCCAGATGCCCTCATTATTGACCCAGTAATTTTTCAGAGCTTCATTGTATGCCTCGCTGGTTGGAATGGGCATTTCCATACCAAAGCTGTGACAGATATCGGGGATTTCAAAGAGATTTGCACCGTGAGAAGTTCGAACATAGAAGACCTTAGTTTCTCCATCCTCTTCAACAGAAAAGTGATCCACCGGAAGGTCGTCGTTCTGTCGCTGATCCGCAATGAATCCAGCGGGGATGTTTTGGTTGGCAGCGAGCAATGGAACAATGTTGTTTCGATCGGTGTTGTCCTTTCCTTGACCAGTGCTAGAAGGAACTGTGTTTGAGCCCTCCCATTGGAAATGAACGAGATCATAGGAATTAATATCGAGATTTGAGGGGCTGAAGTCGTATTCAACAGCTGGGTAAGTTTGAGCAGCATTTCCTCTTCGTCCTCGGACGCCGACATTGTAAAGTTTGTGATCATCCGGAATGCTCGCTGGGCGTGGAAGAATCTAAAATAATGTAAACTCGTTATCTAATAGAGCCGAGTTTACCTGGAAAATGTGGGTTCTATCCTGGAATGTTCTACCAAATTGAGCGGTGTTGATGGCCAGTTTGAGATCGACATCTTTGTAGTTGACGACCGGATTGGGCCAGATTTCAGGAGCAGCGTAGTGTGTTTCAGTGTGTTCTGTCGAAAAGTCGTCTGGGTAATCATTGGTCGTAATGTTGTATCGGATTCTGACGGCGCATTCCTTCGAGAAATCTTCAGCTTCAAAGTGAGGAAGAGTCCATTTGTATGTTGGAAGACCGCCACCTTCGATGTTTCCATTGTGATTTGTGCGCATTTTCGGTGGAGCCATGCATTCTGGCTCGGGGTGAAGAACCAAGCATTTTTCTTTTGGAGCAAGATATCTGCCGGCGCCAGCTAAATGAGGAACTGCCCATCGAATATCCTCTTTCTTGACCATCAGTTTCTCACATTCAAGCGGATCTTCTCCAATAATATCCTTGTACATTTGGAATCCGATCCATTTGCCGCCCTTCATTTCGCAAGCTTCTTCATTGTTAGCTTCGGACCATCCTTGAACGGTGTTTTCGTCAATGAAATGAACACACTCATGCTTGACAACTCGGTTTCCAGAGTTCTCGAGTAAATCATCGCACTTGGTCGGCTCAGAAGTCATGACAGCGATATCTGTCCACTCAGATGGATGCCAGTAAGGATAGTAGTCTCGCTCCTCAGAACATTCATATCCGTATCGAGTTCCTCCAGAGTTTTGTCGAGTCTTTGTGGCCCCTTTAGTTCTCCCAGGATTTTTGTCTGCCATGAAGAGGCCCCGATTTCGCTCTCTTCTATAGCAAGCATCGTAGGATTCCCAGGATTCCTGCATTCCAGAGTCAGGCTTGTTTTCAAAGTCAGCGTCTCGACGGGCGATAGTTTCGTTATGAAACATTTCATCGTTTGGCGGTGCTGTATATGCAGATTTTTCAGTGCTGAGTCCGTTTGTCATTTTTGTCGAGGATGAATCCTGGCACATGTACTGGATGACGATTTGGCAGTTGATCCAGTTCGCATCATTTTTGTCGGCAGTACCACAGCCATGCTGGTTGAACCACTCGATGGAGATTTCAGAAGGCGCCAATTTACCAGATTGAAAGTAGACTGCTTTATTTTGACTGTCGTAGTCAGTGTGGGGGTCAATAGTTACATCTCCAACATTATATCCCCCGGTGTTGCCGTTTTGCGAGTTGAAAAGTCGGTTGTTGTTAGCACGATTGTTATTCTTGGAAAATTGTCGTCTCGTTAGAAAAATGATACCTTTCAAACCTTATTGTCCTCATTAAGTCGATTATTAGATCCGCGAGGAAAGTGCAGATAGATGTCTGCGAGAGCAGAGCTTGCAAGGAGACTCGAAAGCACTTAAATTTATGCTTTAGTCTTTCTCTTATATCTGATCTTACCTTTCATGACTTCGAATCTAGTGCTATTTCTGGTCACAGACTCGAATTTAAATAGAAGTTCATATTGACTGCACTCAAATATTGTACAGTTTTCCATTATAAATCACGGATAAATTACTGTTATCACACAATTTATGCACTTCAGGTCAAGCATCTGCACTCGTCATTATGCGTTTCCAAGAGACCACGTGAGTACTTATGCAGAATAACGTCAAAAACAACTTCATAAAGCGCGAAATTCTCGCTGAAACTAGCAGAGTACACCGAAGTTTATTTACAGTCATATTCATCAGATTGTTTCAAGCATTGATTTATTGCATTTACGTCTTTTTGAGCATGAAGTATCTTCGCAAACTAGAGCGGACCAAGCCATCGTAGCTTCTATCATCCGAAACCTCCATCAAGGCTTTATCTTCTTTGAAGATACGATGAAAGTTCTACAGCTCTTTCTTGATTTTCTGATATGACAAAGATGATAAGTACCTGGACAATGGCAGGCACAGGAAGCGCAATACACAAGACACCTGATAAAGCGCACAAAAGGCCGACCATCTTGCCAGGCACGGTGATAGGAACCACGTCTCCGTAGCCAACAGTTGTCATCGTCACTATTGCCCACCAAAATGAAGCTTAATTTTTTTTTTTTCGCAGAATTTTCTTAGAAGGACCTGGAATAGAATTCATCTTTTCGTTTTGACCATTCTCTGCAAAATAAACTAGAGCACTGAAGATCACCATGAAAACGCCAAAGAGAAGAAAGAGAAAACTGAATTCTTTCGCTGATCCCTAAAATGAGACTTTAGTTCTAAGATGGCTTTTAAACGAAACTGCAGCTTTTAACAGTTAATAAAAATAATTTTATCATCTTTGATTATTATTTGATAATGAAAATTACCTTCATAGTTCGCACTAAGCGTGATAAGTTCTGGTTGTGTCGTCCAAGCTTTGCAATACGGAAAACTCTATGCGATATTATTCAATACTGATGATTGGCAAATCGTTCACCTCAATATTCGAATAATCCTCAAAACCGCAAGAAACGCGACTTTGTTACTCTTGGCCAGAGCTTCTCCACTTCCGATTTCTTCTCCTTCCATTGGCTCATCTAAATATATCAAATTTAAAGGGTTCTTATGCTGATGTAAGACCTTTTATAAGCAATATCTGTACCGAAAGTGAAAAGTAGTAAGGGACGATGGCTAGTAAATCAATCAGATTTCCAATCGTCTTGAGAAATTTGCAGATATTCGGCGTTGAGAAAAGTCTTTTCAAGAACTCAATATGTTCTGCGCTTTTTGAATGGTGGTTTTCGGAGTCCTTTCCTGAGAACAAACTCAATCGTGAAGAAAACAATGCAGATACTTTCAATAACCCAGAAGGGAAATCCTGACTTAGGCTTTTACAATTTCTTTTTTTTCAAGCTGAAGAAAAAAGCCTTTCCTTTGTTCGCTGGCTCCCAAGGTGGAATGATTTCCGTTGCATTTTCTGCCTCTTGAAACTGCGGCAGAGTCTCCACACAAAACGAGACTGTAGCAATCAAAATGAAAAAAATGGACGCTGAAGCAAGAGCGCGGCCAATTTTTGTTGTCGGATTCTTAGTTGATGTTTAACGCACGCTCCTTACGCCCTAAATAATTCACCTCGAATGTGTTCCAAATTATGCTTCGCATGCTTGTGTCCTTGGTGATTGTTTCTTCTTACACGAATTCAAACTTGCTCAATAATTTAGTTGTGCTTTAGGAGAATATGGAGCATCTGAACTTCAGTTCCTTCTTGCACTACTGGCATAGGAGTGACATCATCGATAAAATGAGACGTTAGGTCGAAAAAGATGATTTCTTTTTGTCTTGGCTTTATAGTTCGTAGCTTGAAAAATGATGATACGAAATGACCGCCAAGTTCCTTCAATAAAAAGGTCTAATGGAATCCACTTTGGGCGCTCCATTATCCCATCAGATTGGTAAAAGTACAAAATTGCAGCAAAAGACTCTCGATGACGATCGAAGAAGTACTCGTCGCAGCTTTCATCGTAGTATTCTTAATGACAGATTATCAATACTGTAAGTTTGATCGGACGATAGAAAATCGAGCGATTCATTAATGATTAGACTTGATCAATTAAGAATTGAAAGAGTGCTTTCAATATCGGTTTTATTAAACGCAGTCTATATGATTGTATTATGAAGACTGACTGTAGTTGCGCTTATAAAGAAGAAATGAGCCCAAGTTTTAATTAAACTCAGAGTTTTCATCTTCCAGTATACAAATTGTCTGACATTATATATTTTTCATCAATATTTAGTACCTTCTCGTCTTGTCTTGTCCCCGAGCAGTGTATTCGGCATTCGCTCCAAGGTCTCCTCGTACGTCTTGAAGATTTGCCCGGAAATGTTGATTTTGACCCTTTTGGAGCATTTCTTTGGGTGGATAAAGCGCGGCCTCAGTTTTCTACCAGGGTCTTAGATTAGGGTGCAAAACAAAAAAAATGGAATCAACGAGGAGAATCAAGAAATACGCATAAAATTATTGAGAGATTCGATTTTCCGTAAATTCGATTTTCCGTATATTCGATTTTCCGTGAGATTCGATTTTCCGTAACTCACGGAAAATCGAATGTACGGAAAATCGAACTTCACGGAAAATCGAACATTATCTTAATAACCTTATCTTTAAAAACAATTGAATATACTTTGTAACATTGAAATAAATAAACTTACCGGACTAAATTTTGACCCTTATTTCTAGCTTAGTTGGGTGGTCATATCACACTAGTCATATGACACAGTTTTAAAAAGCCTAGCTTCTGGGCTTTCATTTGGGCACAAATTCAAGGGGTCTGGGTCATGCCCGCAAGGCAATTCATGGGACCTGAACTCCCAAAATAGGTACTAGAAAACAGTATTCTGAATACTTCAAACTAATTTTCGATGCACGTCCGGGCTCGAGAGAAATCAAGAGTCATATATTTAGAAAGCTCAGGCTCTGAGCTTTCAGTAAAACTCAAGAAATCTTAGCGCCAAGCCGTTTGTGGCCACCTGGAGGCGCTAGAAGTTGGAGGTGAAAATCCGGAAATGGCGGAAAACTCGGTTTTGAGTTCTAAACTCTACAGTTATATGTATAAAACATATATAAACAATAATTCATGCATTAAAAAGCTGAACCGAGTTCGAATCGGGTGGTTTAGTTTTATAAACCTTCAAAAACATGTAAATATGGCCCATGATGAACCACCCGGTTGACCACCCGGTTTGACCTCGGTTCAACTTTTTAATGCGTTAATTATTGTCTACATATATTTTAAACATATAATTGTAGAGTTTAGAACTCAAAAACCGAGTTTTCCGGCATTTCCGGATTTTCACCTCCAACTTCTAGCGCCTCCAGGTGGCCACAAACGGCTTGGCGCTAAGATTTCTTGAGTTTCTACTGAAAGCTCAGAGCCTGAGCTTTCTAAATATATGACTCTTGACTGCTCTCGAGCCCGGACGGGCATTGAAAAAATAGTTTGAAGGATTCTAGTACCTATTTTGGGACTTCAGGTCCAATGAATTGCCTTGCGGGCATGACCCAGACCCCTTGAATTTGTGCCCAAATGAAAGTTCAGAAGCTAGGCTTTCTAAAACTGTGTCATATGACCACCCTACTAAGCTAGAAATAAGGGTCAAAATTTAGTCCGGTAAGCCTATTTCAAATAAATAAAAAATTTCTTGGAAAATAACATAGTTTGCCTTTTTTCCATCAGAGATTCGAATTTCCGTAAATTCGATTTTCCGTGACTCACGGAAAAACTCCGTGAAATTCGATTTTCCGTGAGTTACGGAAAATCGAATATACGGAAAATCGAACATACGGAAAATCGAATTTACGGAAAATCGAACCTCTCAAAATTATTATCGAAAATTTCTTTTAATCTTACTCTTCATAACAATTCCAGCCGTGATACGTGTATGGTTGCGACATAGCATTCAAATTCTCTTCGATCATGGCGGTGGTTTGTCCGACTTATAAGCTTTATATGCATTAAAAATTAAATTGCAATAAATGTCAATCGTTAGTTGCATCGACTATCTTTCCATTTTCTCTTCAGAAGAAAGATCATTTAAGATAGGCTAAATATACATAGACTTTTTCAAACAGGGGATCCTGTTTGCAGACAATCAAGTTTTTATGAAGTAACATATTGAGAAGACAGCTTTCTCTAATGTCCAAAATTGGCGATTTTTAGGAGGAAACTTACTCGGTGTACAGATTCCATCCATGGTAATAAGCATGGTAGGGATTTGGATTCGAAGCTCTGTGCATTTTTCTCTAATGATTCTTTTCTACTATATGATTCTCTTCGTTGATTCCCGGAGCTTATATGTATCATCTCCGGATCAATACGGGATGTAAGTTTTGACACCTGCCGAAGAAGAGCATGGTCCCCTCACTCGGCTCGACAAGGATCCCCATCGCGCTGTATTTTGACAGGGCGATTGGTGCTGTGCGGGTTGCTCTTTTAATAAATCGAAATGATCAGCTCCGTTCCTTTTCAGAGTCTTTACGGGCGTCGCTTGCCGGACAGCAGCATCGCAGTCCTCCTCAAGTTTACATTTTAAATTACGCCGTCCTTCCAGTTCCAAATCACTCGAGACCCGAAATGGATGATTGAAGGGTCAGCGAACAGCGAAAAATAATAATGGAAGGCAAAATGTTTTCTTTTGCATTAATTTCGTGAAAAAAAAATGAAAAAAATCGCGAATTTCACAGCAAAAATTTTGCAGATTAATTGTTATTCGAAAATTGACAAGTAACCCTAACCCTGTATGTAGCTCCCTAAACATAAGAATCTATAAGTTTTAACCCAAGTTCCAACAACCTTTGGCACTCCCTTTCAGCCGACATTTCTTCTCAAACAAGAATGATAAATACTACATGCGGGCGTTATCGACTTGAACTGAGCGTTCTGACAAATGGGACAGAAATTCGTTAGTCTGTGAATTAACAGGATGTCCCTAACTGGAATTATTAAACAAGGTTTATCCGAGGAAGGACATCCCTTTTTTTATAATAAAACAATAAATTATGCGATTATTTTTTCTGCTGCTTTGACTCTTCAGAGGAAGATGTGGGCAGTCATGAAAACTTGTAAACTTTTGCTGCTGATTAAATTTTAATTGGTTCAAGAGGACATTATTTTCAAGAGCTGATTAGGACGTTTGCGTGAATAATCTTTCGAAAAGTGAACTCTACTGTCAGTAGAGCTTATCTCGTGTTTCTTTTTTTGTGCGGGCTCTAGTAGATGATGTCTGCTGCCCTACTTGTTCCTGTAATTGCTCGAATCAATATCGTCTTAAAAATGGAACGGGCGCTTGATTTGATGAGAAAAGATTACAGTCGGATTATGAGACGGACTTTATGTATAAATCAATTTTCTCAGAATATGTTCTTTTCTGAACCCCTATTTTCTGTTTGTTTCTAGGCAATCTGAAAGTTCAAGCCTTCAACATCAAGGACATAGAAAATTAATTCGAGATCGCTGTACCGTACAACTTGTACCTGTAGAAACCGAGACCAATTTGTCCCATTCTTATTCCTCCTTATCTGCTTACTGCTCATTTCTTAATGCTGACTTGGCATTGAAGCGAAGGTTTTTAAGGGCGATGGAGCATGTCTCGCCTCCACGCCATGAAAATTCACTACCACTACCTTCGATTTTATAGATTTGAAGCTCAACAGAGCCCTCAAGATTCTTTTAGAAACCAAATTTCTTTTGAACTTCAATTTGAAGAATAATTAGTAGGTTTATCAATCAGAAAGACAGTTTCTTCAGCAGAAAGAAAATCTCCGGTACTTACAGATTTGGCCCTTGTATATCTCGAAGTGTGTCCATTCTCTGTCCTAGTTCTAGTAACAGCGAAGCTAGACATGTCTTCTTTCCCGCTCTCGCCAGCGAAACAGGATCGTTTTCTATTCCTGCCGCGGAAAGAATGAACCACGCACTCAATATTCAACGTATTCTAGCGCATCAATGACATGTAAAATGTATGCTTCTCTCTTTCGAACGAAGGGAAAAAAGCCTTAATGAAAATTCGTTAAAAAGAAGATCTGAGACCTTGACGGCTCGTTAGACTGATCGGTCAGAGATCATCGACGGCTCTTAGAAAACTCAGAGTTCGAATTCGATTAGAATTACTAATTTATTAATCCTTGTTCAAGGATTAGTTTGAATTTGATTATACCATGCAGTTTGGAGATGAAGTTTGAAGACTTGCGATTTCGCGATTCGAGTTTATTTATTAATATTTTAGTCTGAAGTAAGGTATTTTTGTATCATTCTTCTGTACATTCGCATCGACAAATTTCGACTGTTTCGTCTGTTCAAGTGATGATTTACATTGTTGTTCATTCGATTGTACCAGGCAAGATCGGCAGCTACGACTGTCAAGAGCAGGAAAAGCAAGAAGAGCTTCATGTCTTTAGAATGAATCCCGGCAAGCGACTCAATTGTAGTATGAACTGTGCCTCGCAGTGTCGATCTTTATATGCGAGAATGTTATTTAACCTTGTGTAAGAATCCGAACCAGTGCCTTTTCTAGCACACGGGGATGGAGCTTTCCGTTTATTAGGAATCTGACATCGAAGAAGATCGAAAAACAAATTCTCAAAATAATTTTTTTTATTTGATATTTCGGCTAAATTAAATAGTTTTTGATTGTCATCTTGTTCGCATTATAAGCTCATTGTTCATCCTTTTCCAGCGCTTTTATCATCCTTCATTTTTTCCGTTTGATCGTCAAATTCTGATTTATTGATTCTGTACAAAATTTATTGCAGTAAATTTTACAACGAGGCATGATAAAGTTTCTTTTGTCGATTGTTTTCGTCATTTTTTGGGTTTTCTGGTTATGTTCGTGAGGTGTCCGAGGTTTTCGATGCTGTCAGAGATATGAGGAGTACGAGAAGTAAAAAGAAGTAAGGTACAGTGGGGTACAGTAAGGTAGAAACATAATTGAATAAATTGAAATAATATAAAATCTAATCAAAACGAGATGAATCTAATCTCGGAGAACTGGTCTTGATTTTCGCGACTTTTTTCGTTTGCGCTTTTTCTTCCTTCTTGAGCTTGATTTTCGCCGTGATAGGTCAAACACAGAATTTTGAGACTTTCGCGAGTCTAATTGATAGAACGGGCGCCCGTCGAAGAAAATGACGCCCTGGAATTTGTATCGGCTTGGGCATCGCTTGGGCTTAATGCAGACTCCTTTGTACTCGATTTTGCCTAAAAAGGGTTAGTTAGGTTTTGAGCTGCATATTTTATTATGCATGTTTATTCCCTTCTCCAATATTGACCAGATCCGAAAACAGAAAAACGGATTAATCATTCAAAGGGAAAAATAAGCTTTTTGGTTTCAAATATTTCTCGATGCTCCTCTCAGACTGAACCCTTCCATACCTTCAGGACAATAACAGCCAGGGCGACATCTTTTGGCAGTGCAGGATTCAAGACCGTTACGATCCGCCCAATATTTCTTGCAACGACGGCATTTGCTCGTTCCGCATTCGGAGTAGATCTTCCCCGAGGTACATTGGACTTAATAATGGAAAATAAATTGCAGAAGAACCTCCGCATTTGAACTTACTGTTACAATACTGATGCTCCTTCCAATGAATCTTCAGTCCTTTTTTGGCGCATTCGGACACATATGCCCTCATCGAGTCGCATCCACATTTGGCCTTGTCTGGACATGATCTGGCGCAAGCATCGCTCAAGCACGATCTGAAAAGTAAGTTCTATTTATTCTGGCTTCCATAAATGTCCTCGCGCGGATCAAACGCATTGCCGATTAAGTGCCACTCGACCTTTGTTAATTGCCCATCTTTTTTTTTCGACCTTTTGCTTTCCCTTTTTGGCAAATATATTTCGAATATCTCACCTGTGGAAGAATTGAGGAGAAACAAGGGGAAAACAGTTCTGAAAGGATGGACTTTTGAAGATTTGACATTCGTTGTGAGCAGCGAATTGGATGGAGATCGGTTGCGCTTGACAAGATTCAATTGATCGCCGCTAGAATTGTGTAGAAAATTAGTGAGAGGCGAATGAGTTCTTACTGAAGGAGACTGAATGCTGCAAAACCCTTCTCCAGGAATTTTCCAACTTTGGGCGAATTCATTTGAATCGAGCATTACATTTCCCGTGGATGAGTTGAAATCGTTTCTGGCGTCGCCATCAAAATTGCCGCAAAGGCCAAAGAGCGAATTCTTAAGTTCCGGTTTCGCCGTGATCTCAAGCATCGAGCGGCCATCCCAAAGAATCGAAATGCCTAAAAAGAGGAGTACTTGGAGGTTTATTTATTCTATGTGCATAATTACCGACGCGTGTGGTGAGCCGCAGTTTGTGTTTTTGCTCGAAAATGTTGACGCCGTTTCCGGAATATGGGAGGAGCAACGGAAGTCCATTTACTTCAATTCGTAGTCCCTTATATCAACCAATGAGAGTCAATTTCATTCCTGCAAATCTGATTGGCGGCTCTCTTATGAGAAGCGCCACCATTCGGTCGTTATCAGATTCTAGTCATTATTCTTTCAAGGATGATATACCTGGAGAAGCTTGATGGAATAAAAGCCAGTGATCTGGTTGTATAAGGAAAAAGTCACGTTCTGAGTCCAGCTGTACGGACTGAGGCGCGCATCATTTTGTACAATCACCGAGAAGGAACCATCTTCACAAGAAGGAGCGTCCGGAGAGCAGTCAGTTGTCAAGATGTACCGACATGCGCCTTGAAAGGAATAGCTGTTTCCATCGAATGTTCTGAAAGTAGATTCTCAGCTAGAGCCCTATCGGATAGGCTGGTTAATTTTGAACGGTTACATCGAATTTCCAGCAAGCTTTCTTTGATGCTCATTTTCCTCTTTTTCAAGCTGGGATGCTTATTTTCAAATAACGAATTCCATATTTTTACGCACGTAAAACATATTGTCGGCTTGTGGTGTAATCTTGACATAATATTTTTTAACGAATTATTGAGAATATTGAATTTCATAAAACGAAAAAGAGTCTGTAAGACAAGAAACCAGCACTTTCTTACCTGTAATGTGGATCTCCGAACACAGTACAAACACCATCCTCATCTTGCGCAGCAGCTGTGTCGAGTTTGTCTGAAAAATGAGGAGCGTTAGTGGCACTTCCGTTTCTCGAGTTTATTTTCAAACGACAAAAGAAACAACTAACACGGCTTCAGACAACATGGCCGACTGCGCCTTTCACGGAATAACAACCCATCGGCGGCGAGTTGTCTGACGCGCCTGCAGCATTGTTGATCCCTCTTTTCCTTTCGAATTCGAAGAGCATGATCGTTTTATTGAGATTGAGGCTCGAAAAAGGGGTTTGATTGACACTTGATTGTATATTTCGCTAATGTCCGAATTAGGTTTGCCTTTCTGAAGTGCTTTTGCCTGATATGTGCGAAGTGTGCCACCCACGTGATCGATCAAAGGCTGCCTTCCGAAAGTCGACCCAATTTGATTATACGCTTTTTTAATGAAGCCATAATTATTTCTACATAAAAAGAAAGGTTTTCAAGCTGTTGAATTCAGTGTTTACAGATTTGCTCAAATAGAAGCAGTTTCGAATAAGATAAAAGTAGAATCTCTTCAGTTTGAATACGGAAGGTGCAAATGGCATTCTGAGTGGTTAGTTGATGGAGGAAGACAGTTGTCTAGCCCATTGGAGTACCCCCCCGGGCGCCCATTGTTTGAAGAAGCGATTTCAGTCTGCATTATGCGACACCGTGGCCGCCCAAAACAAAAAACGGAAAAACGGCGGAAGTACATAGATTCGCAAAATAATTACCGTCAAAAACTTGCTCAGACGATTTCTTCCATCTTCTCTGAGCCGTAAATTTCATTCCCTTCTGATATTAAATACTTTAAAATGGCATTAATCTCAACTTTCAATACCCCTTACTGTACTTGTCTTGCAGTACAATATCCTTAGGAGCAATATTTTGAAGCCAGCCCTCCTTTGAAATTCCCATTTGAAATTTGCTTGCCCTTGAAAAGGCGCCCCTAAGAGCCTCATCGCCGTATTTGTACTCAAAATGTATTTTTTTTATTTTGATTGAAAAGATTTTGATCTCTTGGTCCTTTATTGTGCTCTAATTTCGAGGACCCTTTTGATATCTTAAATCCTTTCACGTACAATAACGCTCAAGATTAAATAAAACAATTCTTTTGCGACCACGACCTTGAGAAAGTTACTTCTTTAGGCTGCCCGCCAATAATGCTGCTTTTGAGTTTTCTTGGAATGGATATAAAAATTCTCTCTTATTTGATTTCAAAGGACAAAAAGTTGATCTTCCGGTTGAAATTTTCCGGAAAACCCGAAAAAGCAAGGGATGAATAAGTCTAAAATTAAAGAAGAAGATGAAATCCAGCTTCAAACTTTGAATTTCAAAGATTATATTGAATAAAAATTGACTGAAATAGACTAAATTAATGGAACTGGCTCTCACCTACTCCTTTTTTCATAACAAAGAGACCTTCTAGCCCACTTTTAGGATAATATTATTCATGCAAATATAATATTTGAAAATTGAAAATGAAAAAATTTCGATTTCGAGCGAACAAAAAATCTTTCCATTGACTGTTTTCTTCCGTTGATTGTTGCTATCTAATTTCGTCGATAGACTGGAAATCGGCCAGTCGCACGCTCTGTTTGTAAATGCCCGAATTGAGTGCCTTATCGTTTTCTTCACTGAAGACGCACCCCTCTTTACTGTGCCCTATCGAAAGTAACAAACCAAAAGAAGACAATTTTGTTCAAAAATCAAAGATTTGTTTTTCAGTCTTTCGAAAGGCCATAATTACCCAGCTTTAGCGATGTAGAACGACCGCGTCAAAGGATATTTATATTTTGTCGGACACAGTGTCTCTCGCGAAAAATATTTTTAGAGAGAAGTTGAAAGTTGTTGTCGCGGTCGCGGGCGCTGCTTTCAACTCTGTCTTTCTCTCTGTCAAACAATTTCGAGCATCGCATTCCAACCTATCCGTTTACAAGGCTTTCGAAATGAGACCAAAGCTTTTTTGACGAAAAATTTTCACTTAGTTTAGAAAATAATTGCTTCCAAAAAGCTTTCGAAGACTTGATTAAAACCCTAACCCTAACCCTAACCCTAATTGCTTCATGACCAACTTACCATTTTGAAGCGATGCCTTCCCAAATCCAACAAGCAAAAGAACAAGAAACAACATAAGATCTGTCATGACCTTTTCCTGCCAGAGTCTGTCTTCTTCATCCCTCTTCGCTCAATCTCTGATTTCTCACGCTTCCCCGTTCTCTTCCTTGATTTCAAAAAGGCCCGGAAGCTTGGGGTCTTTCAGAAGAGAAGATGATCAATGAGAAAAAACTAAAAGTCTTTATAAGAACTTACGAAAAATGGAGAAAAAACTGAAAAGGTGAGAGTGGAGAGGCTGGCGCAAAATCTCCACAGCGCCGCGGCAGAGCGACGCCACGCGCCGCCGCTTTTATTTTTCGAATACTCCCCTCCACCACAACTAATTTTTATACATAAAAAGTTATCTTTATTTCAGCATCTTTTCTCAACGAAATATCTCAAAGAAAAGGTTTACTGCTCAATTTTCAATAAAAATAATCCGAAGTTATTTCACGCCAACCTGTGTAGAAAACCTGATTCAGGTTCTGAAGAGCTAAATTTAAAAGCCGCATAGCGGCTTTTTGAGAGCGAAGCCGCAAAGAGACTTCGCAACACATCTTTTAAATCTATTTTTAATTCTTAGCTTTGCGGCTATAAATGAGTTCTTCAGAATTTGACTCAGGTTTTCAAAATTAATATTTAACAAAGTCAAATTCAAAAATATTGAATTAGATTTTTGAAAAGAAAAACTCGGAAATGGCAATTTCGCAGTAATAGAGATTGCAAAGGTCTTCGGTTTTATCAGTTATGTAATAAAGCTGATAGAGTTTGGCGGTTTCGCTTTTGTGCGGCGGGGGAAATTTTCACTCTCTTCCGGTTTCCAGTTTGTCCTACTGTCCGGCGGCGCATCGTCGCCAGCAGAAGTTTAAGACTGTCACTTACACTGTAAATGAAGGAACCATCCATCAGTGCACCGGGTGTTTATTTGCCGAAAATGGTTTTATGTTATTTTGAAGCTCTTGATGGACGAGGCGGAAGTGGCCCGCGCGCTTTATTGCTTGATTTTTGATCAATTGTGAAATTAAGGCGGTAAACGTAATTATCTTTGGTTCCGCTACCAAACTTCATTGTAAAAGAAAGATTATTGCTTGCGAAAAATGCACCTTTCTGACTTTACCTGTGAAGAAAACCTGAGTCAGGGTCGTTTTTCAAACCCTGACTCAGGTTTTCTGCAAAGGCTCTCGAACCTTAACCGCGGTTAACCGCGGTTCGTTACGGTATTGCCTGATAATCAGACTCTGATTTCTAAATTGGAAATCTGAAATTTCATCGCCGTACATAGAAAAATCGTTGTTTTAGAAATTTCAATTTGTGTAATGAGGCAGAAAAAAGTAAACCGGAAACCGAATCGCGCGCAAATCACGTGATGCAAATTCCCTGCTTAGTCGTGTACCCTTCCGACTTCCGCCATTCATTTCCGAGCAGGCTCAAGTTCGTTATTTTTAGAAAAGAAGAAATTTGATTAATTTGAGCAAAGTTTTCTAGCAGCACGAAAACGAGTGATGGGCAAATAAAAAAAGACATTACTCGGACATTGTTTGACATTTCGCGCAACATTGCAGGGCACACGCCGGAGGCAAACAAAAATCTCGAAAGTGTGCACACGCCTCGAGCCATTAGCGTTACTTTGAGCAAATTTCAATCAAATCATAAATCATCCCCAGCTTCAAAGCCGCCAAAGAAGCTCTTGTTATGATCCTTGGAAATCCACGCCCTCGTAACACTCATAAAAACTACCAAATCATTCAACTCAAAAGAAGAATGAGAGAAGAAAATGAAATCGAAGCTGTTATGAACAATGACAGAGTTACTGTATCCTTCGCAGCAATCATCAATCTAAAAGTAAGGCAAAACTTATCAACAAAAATCTCTGAAAAATTCTCTTTCAGGAACCGTTGGATAAGAAAGCTCTGAACTCTGCTTGGTTTAATGTCCGAAGATTGAACCCTTTTCTCCGAGGACGATGGGAGAATAAAGTCTTTGTCAAATTTGATCATACAGATTCCGACCAGCTGCTTGAGCAGGGACCAGAGTATCGAAAATCAGAAGACTTCAAGGATGATTTTCAACGAGTTACGAATGAGTTTACGTTTGAGAGACTAAATGAGCTATCTTTTCCTTCTCATCTGGTCGTCTTTGGTGAAGGAAAAAGAATTCAACTAACAAGTACTTTTTCAGACGAGCAAGAGTTTACTTTTCGTAATTTTGTAGTTTTGATAATTCATTCACTTTGCGATGGAAAATCAATGCAAAAGATTCTCACCGATCTTTTGCTCTTCTACCAGCACAAGAATCTCAACATTTACACAGGCTGCGAAACCATCGACGGAAGAATCGAAGACGTCCCCAAACCCATTTCCGACCTTCGCCAAAACCTTCACAATTTCCCCGAGAAAGCAAAAAAGTACAAAAAAGAATTTCACGATCGACTTCTCAACTTCCAAAACGTCGTTCCTCATGAAAAGTTTGAGAACATCGAAAAGGGTCGTCCGCAAGATTTGAAATCAACAATGACTCTTGGTTGCGGAACAGAAGAGGGAGCGAAGAAAATGAAGATCTTTTGTAAAGAAAATGGAATAACAGTGGGGTCGTTGTTGATGGCAGCGACGGCTTTTATCAACGCACGAATCATGGTAAAATTTTTTCTTTTTTGCATATTTCAAATAATAAGTTATTTGGATTTTCTTAGAGATCGATCGAAAAGTCAAAGCAACTGAATTTCGATGTCATTTTCAATCTCCGACCATTTCTCGCCGCGAATCCTGTTGCCTGCTACATATTTTTCAGCGGCACTGTACCAAAAGTGGACGCATCCGAAACCCTACTAGAAGTTGCCAAAAGAATGATAGAAGAGGTCAAGGAGAAGATTGATAACTCCGAGCACTTGATGTTTCCTCAATTCCTTCACCAACTGGAAGATGACGGAGGAACATATAAGAAGATCATGGACGCAAATAACGGTGTTTGTAAGTTTCTGTAGCTTTGGTCTTTTTCATCCTTTTCTTTCAGCGAATTCGATAAGCTTCTCAAACATTGGCCAAATGAACATGGAAACGCTGAATGTGACTTTGCCGGAAATAACTGTCGATGAAGTCTACTGCTCTGGAACGCGCTGGAATAATGTTGTCGAGTACACTTTTCTATTTCAGAGTACGAAGAAACTCTGCATTACGATTACACACTTCGATCTGGAAGTCTATCGCGTTGCAGGAGAGCTTTCAAAGATAGATTTTTTTATATGAAATACGTTTGAAAAGCTGAATACAGCGGAGAATTACGTGAAGAATTTTATTTCGATTTGTGAAGAGCCAGAGACATTTGGAAGCTTGAAATTAGTAGAATACGTTGAGACTATTGAATAAATAAATCTTAACTCAGAGGGGTTGATTTTCGTTCCAGAGTAACTGTACCGATCTCAGTAATAGTTTCATTTTAAAAAAGTCAATTACTATTTTTAATAAGGTAGTGGATTCAAGTTCGAAGTAGCAGTTTTATACGCCATAAATTCGCACACCTGCTGATCATAAATCAAGACACTAGGTGCGCAATACAAGGAAGAGCTTATCAGATGAGCGTTATCTTATCACAAGCTGCATTTTATCGACCGGTAGTTACTGATTTCTGCTCGCCAGTTATTTACCTTATCATTGAATCTTCAACTGCAGAATCTGTTAGATGCAGTTTATATTTATTTATAAAACAGAGGCAAAAATTATAACCCCCTTTTTACCGCGAAAATCTCCCAAAGACGAATTCTGGCGGGATTTTTCTCAGCCGAGCGGGCGCGCAAAAATTGCGGGCTGCGCGGGGCGCGCTTCAACGGTCGCTGATTCGAGTGAAAAATATTTTTTGAGCAAGATTAATTTCTTCATTTTCAGAATAGCAGAGACAGATTTTATCTTTCATTTGCCTGAGAGAAAGCTTTGGCTGAGTCAGAATTACTTCAATTTCCAAGACAGTCATTGGCTGAGAGAAATTAATAAGAGAAACAGACTTTACTTGATTTATTCTTTGCTTTACGTACTCTATATGAAGGAAGTGCTTTGAGATATCTCTAGAATTCGCCATTTACTTATTCGAAATCTGTTCAATCATTCAAATTGTAATAAGAGAACCAAATTTGAGACTATTTAACACTTTTATTGAAAACTGTTGGCCCATAAAATCATCATTAGGCACAGAATTCCATCAATAACTATTCAAATTTCCTATCAATGAAAATAGAGTTGTCTACGAGACGGGAGAATCAGCTCCAGCGATCACGCGGTGCAGAAATCCTCTCGAGAACATGTAAAAATGTCTCTAGACAATATGCAAAATCTTCTCTAGATCTTATTTTCCGCTTGCGATTTTTTCATTTTTAGCTCACAAGAGATTTTCTTTCGCCACGGTAAGATGCATCCTAGAGTATTCGTAATTTTTTGAGCCAAATGATGGATAACTGGGGTTTAAAATTTTAGACTAAAGACATGACAGCTGCTAACGAAGTTTTCTTTCAGAGTCAGTTCGCAAAAGCAACAGAAAATGTTCGAATGCCGTCTCCCGAAAGCTGAGGTTCTCAAGAAGACCATGGACGCCCTCAAGGACTTGATCAAGGAAGCAGTCTGGGACGTTTCCGCTCAAGGTCTATCGCTCCAATCAATGGACAGCTCCCACGTGTCGCTCGTCCAAGTGACACTCCGAACTGAGGGTTTCGAAACCTTCAGATGCGACAAAAACATAGCGCTCGGCGGTAAGTTATGAACCACTTCTTCAGGAATAAATCATTCTTTTAGTGAATATGGACACAATGCAGAAACTCATGAAGTGTGCATCCAACGACGACAACATCACCCTCAAATCCGAGGACAACGGAGATCTCCTCTCCTTGATTTTCGAGAGCCCTGTAAGTCTTGAATTTTATGACTGAGACTAACTCAATAACTTTCAGAACGGCGACAAAACCTCCGAGTACGAGATGAAGCTGATGGATCTCGACATCGAGCAGCTCGGAATTCCAGACCAGGAATACAGGTAAATCTCAAAACTTATAACTTTATCTAACTATTTATCTAGCTGCACTATCAAGATGCCCTCTGGCGAGTTCCAGCGCATCTGCCGCGATCTTTCCAACATCGGTGAGAGCGTCAACATCACCGTTGTCAAGGGCGGCGTCGACTTCAGCGCCAAGGGTGACATTGGCAACGCCAAGATCCACGTCACCGAAAGTTCGAACGTTGACAACGAAAAAGACGCTGTCACCGTCGAGGTCAACGAGCCGGTCAACCTGACCTTCGCTCTTCGGTAGGACAATCAATCACTCCAACTCCCACTCATTATCCCTTCAGGTACCTGAACTTCTTCACGAAGGCAACCCCGCTCTCTGGCCAGGTCATTCTCCAGATCTCGCCAGACGTCCCCTTGGTCGTCGGATACGAGATCGAAGACCTCGGCCACGTGAAGTACTTCCTCGCGCCGAAGATCGAAAACGAAGATGACGAGTGAGAAAAAAACTCACTCGCCCGCTAGGAAACAATAGATGCACTCCTCACATTCATTTATCTACTGCCTATTTAGCAATAAAATTTGGATTTCTCTCAAAAAACAAAACGATAGTCATTTCTCTTGTTATGTTTTATTTGCAATTTATCAATTTTCTACAGGCTGGTCAGGGACGTGCTGAACAAGAAAGGTTCCACCAGCGATCTCTTCTTCAGTCACTGGCACGAGAACTGTTTGCCCGAGTCCGTCACCGATCATACCGTCGTGTTCCATCAGCTCGACCGTGTTTTCCGCTTCCGTTCCTTCCATGCTTTCTTCTTTTTCATCTGCTTCTTCATTTTGCTCTTCTTCAGCAGCCATCGCTTGCATCTCTTCCTTGCTCAGTTTGATCACACAGGCAGCTTGGCTTTCCCTGTCGAATATTCCGTGGCGGCGCTAGAGTAAAATTCATGAAAACCAAGCTTGAAAAGAAATCATACCAGGACATGTCGTTCGAGATTTGATTTCGTAGTAAATCGCGATCTGCAAAGAGAACACATGTACGGCTTCATGCCAGTATGAGTAAGCAAGTGTCGTCTAAGAGATGACGCCCAAGGAAACGTTTTCCCGCACTAGAATTTAAAATAAAAGTCTCTCATGGCAAAAGATTCAATCATACTTTTGGACACGGTCTTTCGTCAACTTTCCCGTTCGCTCTGAGATTCTTGAGCTTGATATTCTTTGTTTTTGGCTCTGCTGGTTCATCGTAAGTCATTCCAATTTCCTCGACGTAATCGCTGCTGAGGACGTTGCTAGGAAGAACTTCCACAGGTTGCTCCGAAGGTTTATCATTTTTTGATTTGATGACAGGAAGCGTCTTTAATATCGCTGGCGTCGTGACAACCTTTTTTGGACTCGAGAAAGAAGCATGTAAATAACATGCAGCATGTGAAATGCTAAATGTAAATCTTTTGAGCCCATCCCTTTTGTTTCTGCGGGCTTTCATCTGTATAAACTTCTTCGTAGTTCACAACATTCGTCGGAACATAGACTGACGCAGAATCAACTTTTGTTGTTGATGCGATTGGAATACTGGTCGTATCGAGAGGCACAAATACTCCAGGCTTGTCTCTCTTTTCCTTCTGTTTTTGCGTAAGTTTGAAGCTTTGGTTGCCTGATTTAACCGTAAATTGAACCTTCGGGGGCGTTTTCGTGGAGCTTTCTACAAAAACAATCAGATGAATTGACGATGACTACGATAGTTACCTGAAGTTTGATTTGCCCTTGCCTCTCGGACAATCGCTTGTGTTTTGAACAGTGTGTTCGCTTTTTTGAAGTCGATTGGCTTGGTCGGTGACGGTGCGGGCTTGATGGCCAGATTATAGACGAGCTTGCCTTGTCGAATCTGTGGCACTTTGGGTAGCTCAGGAGGATCTTGGTAGTAATCGATTCCGTTGATGGTTGGAATAGGCCCGTTCCCCATTGACAGGTTCTTTCTATTCACTTGCTTGACAATTGACTTGACACCTGCTTGAGAGGTGCTGGGTAAAGTGCTCACATCATCAGATTGATAGATGACAGTCGGAGTAGATCCTTTACAAAAGGTTTTATATCAAGTTATTGATGCTTTAGAAAAACATCTGTATTGTAAAAATAAAAGTCCTTTCCTTGTGACTGAGTCGTGATTAAATTTGGTTGAACAATGTTCTTCACAACTGCTAGTTGTTTTGGTGGCTCCCCAGGCTTATCGTGGAGCTCTACAAATTCTACATTCGCCAAGTTCTTGCTTTGAAGCTGTGCGAGATCAAAAGTAGTCTTTGGTGTTGGATAGGGGAGCTTGCTCATGGTGCGGTTTTTGTGATTTTGAATGTTGCGCATAATCGAGTGGAGCGAGGAGTCTTTGAGGATGTGCACGTGATTGCCTTTTGGCCGTTTTTTTCGGATGTAGCTCTTGACTTCTGCTCGGCACCAGACAGGCGACGGGCCAACGATGTGCTTGTCCAGAGAGTTTTGATTCTTCACTCGATCATAAATTTTAGTGAACTCTTCATTCGTGACATGTTCGCTGAAAAGGATATTTTGTCTGAGAAAGCCCTTGAAATCCTTCCAGTGGCGATACTTGATGTGATCATGAGCAAGTTTGAAGTCGTGAAAGCCACATTTGCAAATATCACATTTGTAAGGAAACTTGAATGTGGGCTTCTCAGGCTGCTCTTCTTCTGCGTCCTGCTCCTCTTCGCTCTCGCCTTTTTCCTGGCGCTTTGTTGTTTTTCTCTTGAGTCCTGTTTTTCCTCTGAAGCTCACTCTTCCACCTTTTGGAACTTTGGTCAAATCCTCGTCGAAATCGACCATTTCAGCAGCTACCTCTCGGTCGATGACGTTATGTTTTTGCATAATATGGGCGATGCAATTGCTTCTGCAAGAAAACGCAGCTTGGCATGTTGAGCAATAGAAGGATCGCTTGTCATGGATCTTCATATGATCTCGCAGCGACCAGAAATCATCGAATCTCGCGTCACAGTGCATGCATACCGTCTTTTGAGCTAGAAAGTCGTTGTTGATTTCAATATGAAAAAACGGGTCTTACTTAGTTTCCAAGACTGTTCGCAATCGTTTGCCTTTTGGACGGAAAAGTCGTATTGGACATGCTTTTCGATTTCGAGCTTATCCGTCAGCTCGTGGCGCTTTTTAATGTGACGCTCGCAATTGGCTTTTGTCGTGAATGCATATCCACAGACGGAGCAATTAAATGGCCTCTGTCCACTATTTTTTGATATTTTAAGAAAATGAGTTTTCATTTGGATAATTACCTGTGCGTTTTCATATGTCTTGTCATTAAAGATTTTTCCAATGAGCAGTAATTGCAGATGGTACATTGATAGCTAGACACATCTGGATGTTTGGACCGTTCATGCTCGTTCAAGTCCTTTTCTGACGGGAAAAAATCATAGCAGAGCTTGCAAGTAACGTATCCTTCGGGACAAGTGTGTTCCTTTTCAGAAACCTTCTTCCGCTTTCGTTTCGAGGACCCTTTAGCTGGACTTTTCGGTTCGATCTTTGAGGCAGTGGCAGAGAGTGTGATCTCCGTTTCTTTTGTCACGGGTGTTGGGACGTAGATAACAGCTTCTCGTTCTGTCAAATTTGAGGTGGGTTGAAATTGCTTTGGCGATGAAGATGGCGAGCTTGGTGGATCATTTCTCGGCATAATTTTGCGAAGCCCAAGTGCTTTCGCGATTGCCTCGCTTTCATCGTCTGAACCTGAGCCAGCAGCCTCAGCATCTTTTTCTTGCGAAGATTCTTTCCCTTCTTCATTATCGCTGTCCTTTTCTATCTTCACGGTCGAAGAGTCGTCATTCTCGACGGTCTCGTCGTAATCCGAAATGAGTGACTGGTTGAGCGGAAATGTGCCGCCTTCAGAACCTGAGAAAAAAGGACTGACAGTCTGTTTTTGAACATGTTTTCTTAGCTTAAATGATTGTGTCAGACTGTTGACTGACTGTTAGCGTTCAAAGCAGTCTACGAGACTCAAAACAGCATTTCAAATCAACATTACATAAGGATGTATTATTGACAGTCGCGCTCAGACATTCCCCTCATCAGGTTGTTTTGACAAAATGGGATCTTACCTAAAGGTTTCTCCGATATAAATTTGCCAGTTGTTGCATCCCTAACAACTGCCTTCTTCTTCCTCCGAGCCCTGACAATCGTGGTACCGCTGTAATCAAACTGATTCGATCTGGTAGAAGTTCTAAGGCGTTTTTCCGGCAGAGCATCCTCGTCACCTTCCTCAACCTCGTCATCATAATCCCGAATCTTCTCTGGTGTCTCTGGTTCCTGGTTAATTCTCTGGCGAGAAGAGGCTCTTCTTCCCGTCATTTCGTTCCTCAAGTGACGCGTCGCCTCAACCAAGCGCTGCCCTTTGTTTTCCAGCGATCAGTTTTCACCCAACTGGAGGACCAATTCAAAGCGCGCCAAATTCAACTTTCCGGCGGGATTTTCAAAATACTGTCAATACAAAAAATGACCGCAAGAAGGCGACGAGTCCAATGATGAAGAAATCAATCAAGTACAGTCATTTAATAAGCCGTAATTAAGAATATTTAAAGAATAAAAAAATGCGTAGGTGTCTCCTCCGCAGGGCTGCAGTAGGGGCGACAGAGAGCGCACCATCCAAGGACAAAAAGAATTTCTTCCACTAAAAGGGATGAAATTAAACGACGCCGGATCTTCGAATACACAAGGTTTTTGACCTGCTTTTGGTATCAAATACGTAACCATGCTACTGATAAGATCGATAAGCTTTCTTTGGCCAGATAAAAATGAAATTCTCTTCGTTGATTTCACCTTTTTATCGCTGTTGAGTTGTCTTTTTTCTTTATTTATTTGGTTAGGGACGTAGTAAAGACTTGGATTTTGGGGAGTTTGAGATTTGGTTTTGGGGTGAGCAGAATGGGACATTGATTGAACTAGATTTGAACGCTTGTTTGAGAAAAATTGAGTTAATAACTTCAAGACGTTCTGGGCAACAGAAAGAAATTTGTTGATCGAAGATTTCCTTTCTTCTTGCCTTCTTTAGAGTGGAGACAGGAAAGACGATTGGAGACCTTCAATAAGCTGACTGTATGTTTGTAAAAATTCTAGCAGCAGGCTCCCGGAATCGGCTGGACCAGGAGATGCTGAGGTTGAGTTGATAGAACTGATATTTTCCCTAGAGTGCGCGCAGATGACCCATGCAAAAGTCACCTGCGCGCGATGACGATTTGAAAAGTTTATATCTTGACATGATCTTTTAACGCTTCTAAGTGGATAAAATCTCAAGTAGAAAGACCATTTTCCTGTCCGTGTTCATTTCATTCGATAATCTTCTTGATGACGCCCATGGCGATGGTTTTGCCTTCATCACGGAGAGTGAATCTGCCCATGCTTGGAAAGTCGTCAGCCAGTTCCATCGCGACCTGGCACGGCAGCTTGAATCGCACGACACCCTGGTCGCCTTGCTTGAGGAAACGCGCGCCGGAGAATTTCTCCAGCTTTTTGGTCTTTCTGTTGAACTTGGCGAGGAGTCGCTCGACGGTGACTTCTTCGACGGCTGTGTGAAGATGCAAAACGGCCGTGAAACCTTCTCTGAAATCACGAATCAGTCGATGAAGCAGTAAAATAGGACTTACGAGATGATAGACTTGTACTCTGCGATTTGGACTCTTCCGTCAAAACATGCCGATCTTTTGCAAACATTAGCAGTGTCGCACAAAACGTATCCCTTTCGAACATCGTCGTCGTTTTCAATCCCTTCGAGACGGATTTTGAGGTTTTGTCCGGCAATCCCAACTGCGACTGGGTTGTCTTCGAATTCCATCGAGGAAACTTTGACTTTCCGACCGGATGGCTGGATGACCAGTTTTTTGCCTTTGGTAAGCTTGCCCATTTCGAGCTTTCCCATGACGACGTGGCCCATGTCTTTGTATCTCTGGGCGACCTGAAAGCGACATTTTAGAAATTTGAGCAAGAAAAGAACTTTGGACTTACACAAAACCGAACTGCTCCTTTGGTATTTCTCTCAACAGCTGGCAGTTGATCCAAATAGTCAAGAAGCGATGGGCCCTTGTACCAGGGATGCTTGGAGACATCAGAATCCTTGACATTGACGCCTGAGAAGCCGGATAGTGGGATAAAGTGGAGTTGCTCCTTTTTGAATCCAACTTGCTTGAGGAGCCATGGCTTCATCTTTTCGAGAATTTCGTTGTATCTGTTCACGTCCCAGCCTGTTTCGTCCATTTTGTTGATAGCAACGATGAGACGCTTGATTCCTTGGGTTTTGACGAGCATTGCGTGCTCTCGGGTTTGTCCTCCCTTTTCGAAACCTATTAAAATTTAATTTCAAGAAGGATGAAAAGAAAACCCAAACATACCAGCTTCAAATTCACCCTTTCGCGCAGAGATGATCAAAATCGCGAAATCAGCCTGAGAAGCACCTTCAATCATGCTCGGAACGAAGGACTTGTGTCCGGGAGCATCGAGAATAGTGAAATGCTACGAAACATTAGTTAAGTCCAAATGAACTGATTTTACCTTATTCTCAGTTTCGAAAAAAGCCTTTCCATACTCGACAGTTTTGCCCTTGTCTCGCTCCTCATCGTTGGTGTCAATGCACCAGGAGAGCGCCCACGACTCTCGATTCTTTTCTTTCGACTCTCTCTCATACTTTTCCAACGTTCTGCTGTCAACCATGCCGGTTAACTTCAAGATCTGTCCACTCATCGTCGATTTGCCCGCGTCGACGTGTCCGATGAAAACAATGTTGACGTAGTCTTTTGTTGCGCCCTCTTCCTCGGCTGGTTCCTCTTCTTCTTCTTCGGGCTCAGGAGTAGCCACCTTCGGTTCTACTTTCTTTGGTTCTGGTTCTTTTGGCTTTTCTGGTTCTGGCTCTGGTTCAGGAGCAGGTTCGGGTTCCTTCGCTGGCTCTGGGGCTGGTTCATCATCATCCTAAGAATGGAATGACTTTCAATTGAAAAAGAACGGATCACCCTGTCCCAATCATCTTCTGGCTCTTCTTGCTTTGGTGGCTCGGCTTGAACAGGCGCAGCAGCTGCTGGAGTGGGAGCAGCAAAAGCCTGTCCAGGGACAAAAGCCGGTGCATTCAAATTGCGGCCAGGGACGAACTCGAATGCATTCGGGTTTAACGACATCTTCGAAAACTGATTTGTATTGTCCGACATTCTCCACTCTAAAATAAAACGGATGAGAGTGGATTTTCTATGAACTAATGCCTGTGCAAGACATTTTTTTCGAAATCATCAGAGGTGAAGGTCCCGTCTAGTCTACGACAGCCGGGATTAAAGACAGAATATGCAGAAACTTCGCCTTCTCTTTTAGTCCCCAGGTTGAGGAAGATCAGGCCAATTAGAGAACTTGTTAGATAGACGATGCCAAACTCTATTTCAAGAGCGATCAGATACCCGAGCAACCAAAGAACCCAGTAGAGCACATTCACCCGGCCAAAGAGAGGGACTCTTCTCCAGTTTTGAGCGATCATTTGAGCGGCTTTAGTACTTGCCAAGTAATTGGCTATTTTACAAATAAGAGGATAGAAGGGGAGATAGTTGAGCAAAGAAGAACTCGAAGAGCTACTACTAGAACCAAACGATGAAGAAATTTTTGTCTTTTCGTATTGCTGCGCTTTTTTGCGTCGATACTCGGCCAATTTGTCATCCATTTTTTAATATTTTTCTTTTCTGAAGACAACAGAATTAGAAGATGAATTCGACAACAGGATTTATTTCACGCCGGCACAGGATCATTTAGATACGAGTAGACAATACTGGCACAAGATGAATTGAAGTCGATGGGGGTTGTTTTTTCTTTTTCAATTTATTTTTTTCTTCGTTTATCTTCAAGCTCCGTATTTAAAAGGGGTGTGTGAGAGTAGGTGAACACTTGAGCGGATAGTTGCTCTTCAGAGTGAGTGGTGGATAGAAATCGAGAAATATGAATTATCAGAACGAGAGGAAGCAATAACTTATACAGTAGAAAGTGAATAGATGAGATAAAGATAGACATTTTACTGTGATAAAAACCAGACACTCAGATAAATTCTGTACAATTAACTATTAAAAACAATCTTCACTTCTCAGCGTTTGATGCTTTGGGAAGATTGGACTTTCTGAAAGTGGTTCACGCTACTCCACGACTTACTTCTTTGAAGATTCTAAAATATCAATGATGAAAATTTCCGAGTTCTTAATGTAAATTCAACCTTTTCGAGCTTTAACTTCTTCGTCTTTCCCTTGTCAATATCCAACTGTTCCTTCGAAATTATACTTCCCGCACTTGCTGCTGAAGCAGCTCGATCTCGCTGATCCAAGTTATTCGCCTTTCCATCCCATCGATTTACCTTTAGCTTGGATTAATATCAAGTGGAAAGCAACGAGTTACCTTTCCGAGGCCCCAGAATGAGCCCCCGTTTCCTAAATTATATTTTCTCTTTCTGTTTTCTTCGATTCTGTCTTTTCGTTCATGAAAGCTCTTCATCAAGCCATCCTTATCATCCGACTTTCTTGCCTCCTTCTTTGGACCGTTCGAATTGCTGTTATTGAAACTGCTCTTGGCTTTACTCGTATCATCGTCTGACTCATCGCTCGAATATCCAACAAGGCCGGAGATGCGTTCTTTCTCCGTCTTTTTCTCTGGCTTTTGACTCTTGAGCATTCCAATTGTTGAACTTATCGAGTTCGAACGCTGGAATTGATTGTTGTTGTGCTTCGGCGAAGGAGCAGAAGATCCGTTCTTCGCCTGTTGGTTGTTTGATTTGTTTCCAGGGCTAGAAAAAGAACATGAATAGTAGACATAAGGCGAGCTAGTAGTTACTTGTAAAAGAGTTTGTTTCTAATCGGCTGCTGCGGCGACGAAACTGGCGACATTTTCGGCGACTGTTTTGGCGACTCTCTTGGCTTAGGCTTTGGTGAGGATTTAGGCGATTGTTTTTCGTATTTTCTCTCATCGGGCTTTGTCACTTTGACGGTCGTTACAACTGGCCTGGTTGGTCCAATAAACGACTTTTGTTTCTGTGGCGATGGTGAAGGAGTACTGACGAAGGGATTCTTCGGCAGTTGATTGTTCGTCGGCGTCGTCGGACTCGAGGCCGGGATCTTTGCCGGAAGAGGAGACTGGACTGGAGAGCTGTTTGGTCTCTTTGTCTTTTTACACCAAAATGGCGTATCAGTGCGCACGTAGTAAAGCATGTACGGCTGCTGGCGCAGGACGTTTTCCAAACTCGTAGGTGTGACGCAAGAGTCATCAAATCTAATTAAAACAAGTTTAATTAGGTCGACTCAATTTCATCAATAGTACCTGCTCCAGTTTCCCTTCGCCGTTCTACAGTAACTGTAGTAATGGCCGGAATTGACAGTGAATCCAGCGTGGACCAGAATCGCATACAGCTCGTAATTGTTGTCCATTTTCGAATAGGAGCAGAATTTTGAAATGTCAAGCTTCGATGGGAAGCGAATCTCCCGACCGTTCTTGTTTCCCATGATGTTGAATCGTTTCAGAGAGATTGCCAGAACATTTGGAGGGCGATGAATGGTAAATCGCTAGAAAAAAGGCTAGAAAGAAGACTTGAAGGACTTTCCTTACCTTTGCAGCCCGCGTAGCTTTTTTGCATTTATCGCATTTGTACATATTCCCGTTGTCGAGAATTTCCGTCATTGTGAAGTGCCGAAGACAGTCGAATAGCGAATCGCAGCCCTAGAAATGCGGTTAGATTATAGGCGACGGGAGCGATAACAACCTTCATTTCCAAATTAACATCGAGAAACGACTCGAAGGTATCGGAATGATTCTTGCAATTTGAACACGTGACTCTTGAACGAAGCCAGCCGCCGAAAACGCGATGTGGTATCGACGTCGTCTCCTCGTATTTGTCGACCTAAAAAGCCGAAAGTGAAAGAAAAATCAAAGACTTGAACACGAACCTTTCCAAACTGACGAGTACAACTTCTCAAAAGCGCGTCCATAAACAGTCTCGTGAATTCGTGGGCGCATTCTTGCCGTCCGTGGCTGAAATGAGAAGCGATCTGTTTCAGATGTTGTACAATCTCGTGCGGCCTTGTTGCTTGTCGAGGACCGAGGTTTTGGAGCTGGCGGATGAGCTTGGCGAGAGATCTCATCGGGCAAAATGCTCCTGAACGAGGAAATATTGAAATTTTTAACGATTTTGCAAATAAATTTTTAAGTATTGTACTTTTGGCGAAACCGCTTCGCAGCTCTCTACACAGGTTGCTGAGCCCGTTTGAATAGATATAAATGATTTTCTTACCATGATTTCTAACAGCAGGATGATTCTGCGGAACAGAGAGAATATTAACTAGGGGCGCAGTGTGCATCAAACACTGCAAACTGGAGTTGAGATAGCAGGTGTTGCCTAAGTTGTACAATCCACCGAGGAGCTTGACTTGATTCGGGTTCCATTTCAAACCGATGTTGTCAACCGGAAAGAAGTTGCGCTTTGCCTCTGAATAGCATTTATCAATAAAATCGATGCAACGAATTTCGCGGCCAACCTGGGATGCCGTCTTGAGCTTTCTTGGGCTGAGGAGATTCCGATATTGATTGTTTTACAGTTTGACTATCGTTTGAGGGAGATTTTGGAACTGGCTGTGGCTTCGCTTGGAACTTGTTGTGAGGGGAGGGGTTAAATTGCTTCTTTTGGTGGTGGTTCCAAAAATGACGCTTTTTGAAAAACTAAGATTCAAGTTTTTAGAATTTCAAAAACACTAGGTTTGAAGAAAAGCCGCGTTCGGCTCGTGAGGCCAATAAAATCAGTTCTACGGTCATTTTAGCCGCATTTAATGCCCTATTTTATGATTCTTAAGCCGCGCGCGGCTATTCTAACCAAACTTTTTGAGTAAAATAATTTAAGATCCTAAAAACTTTCCTTCATTTTTGAATATTAAAAGTTCGACTAACACTTTCACTATTTAATTTTCCATTCCATGATTACATCACGGGGGAAGCCATAACATTTCAAATTCAAACTGGCCAATTGTAGCCCGAGGAGATTCCTCCGCGGCCAATCGCGAAAATAGGAAAAGCGCCAAATATCAATTTGGAACCACATTCCTTTGGGGTTAAAACAATGTATTTCGATTTCAACTGTTCAATGTCGGTGGCGATTTCTAGTGTCGGCGGCGTGAACTTGACTGTTGGTAGCGAGTTCTGCTTCTGTTGGATTTTCAGCTTTTGGTGGAGGTCAAGATCGGAGGAGTGCCCATTTTTGGAACTCCTTGGGTTGTGGAGGGATGAAATCAAACGACTTTCGATCGCCCCATTTGCCATCTGAATTGGCGGACTTTTTATTATCTCTGGAACAGCTTCTTTCGTTGAAAAAAGAAACATTTTTCTATCCATTTGCTATTAGCGGAGGCTAAGTTTATCAGACTCGAAAGTATTTTTGCTTATTTTGAATTCTCGAAAAATGAGGTTCGCTTATCTGAAAAGACTTCGCTTTTTCTAGATTTTGAGGGCAGCGTTAGTCGCAGATTTTTGAAAGCCGCGTGCGGCTTTTCTCAACTCAACGGGCGAAGAAGCTTTTTGTTAGCCGAAAGCCGCAAGTGGCTTTTACTCTTGAAAGGACTTCAATTTGAAAGTTTCAACGATTAAAAATAATTTGCCAGTTCGGAGATCATTTTTAATAAAATTTCACAGTTGTTGAGTTTTAAGAATGTAGGAAAGAAGTTTCACTTTCTGAGAATTTCACGGGCAAGGTACAAAGCGCCGAAAACAGCTGCAAAGAGAGTGGAAAAATTGACGAGAAAGAGGTGCTTCGTATTGGCGACGGGGATGGTCAAGTAGAACGGATCTCCGTATTCGGTTTCGATTTCGCCGTTTGGCTGGATAAAGTTGACTTCTGGCGAGGGGATGAGAATCTCGCTGCTTGAGTGCGGGCCAGCGGGCTGGTAGCGAATGTGAAAGGGAAGGAGAACAGAATTGGCAGCCAGGTTGCACGAGAAAGAGTGGAAACCCGCCTGGTGAGCGGGAATTTCTGAAAAAAGGATCGTTCGTTTGTTGAATAAAATGCATTAGCAGTACCTATGTCGATAAATTTGCTCTCCCCATCGTCGACCCTAAATTGAAACTTCTTCCTCTGCAATTCGTAAACATCAACGTAAAAATCCGGCGTAATTTGCCAAGAAAGAAGAGCATTAGAACCGCGTCGCTCTTCAGAGAGCGTTATATTCAGCTGGCGATGTAGTCCTTCTCCGACGATATGGAAAGAAGTTGACAGAGCAGGAGAAATGTACAGAAAAATGATTATCAGGAGGCGAAACAGGTTACATGTGGCCATTGTCGTCGAAGCCTTTTCGCGCCTTTTTGATTTCTTGGTCGAGATAGATTAGTTCCTTCGCTCGAGTTGCTAGAAACTGAAATAAGGAATCTGTAAATGTCATTTAGCAGACCTTTTCTCTTGTCGTTTCTGATGACGTAAGCAAGAGCTTCGAGGTTGATCTTTCCCGACTTGCCAAACTCGATCGCCGAGCGTGTAATGTCCTGTATGTACTGTATGACAAGCTCCTCAACGAGATCTGAATGAGCGATCAGATATAAATTCATGCATAATTGAAGACTCCACGAAGATCGAAGATTCGAGGATTCAGTTGCAATACTCGCAAATTATTTACTTGCTCTCTACAGGCTAGAACCCTACGTGTTGTGTACTTACTGACAGTTTCAGTGTAAGGATTGGGGTCGTCGCCGAAGCCGTAGAGGAGGCAGCGCACTTCTTTCGAGAAGTCGATGCGTTTGTTGATGTTCCCTGGTCGGTCCCGATTGTCGTCCTCGTCGTGGTCCATCAATCTGAAAAGCGAAAAAATTTAACAAACATGCATTTTGAAATAGTTTATAAATATCCATATCAAGCAGTAATGATCAGTTCAATCTTTTCTGTGCCAATGCGTGCCTTCTCCTGGCCATTGAGTTTTCCTATTAGCGCTTGAAAGAAACTGTTGTCCTTTTCCTTTCGCTTGTCGTTGCTGCTCGATTTCTTCTTGAAAGTCTCGGTGTTCGTCAACGATAAGGCCTTCCTCTCGTACTTCCCGTAAGAGCAGATGAAATTGCTGAACACAAAATTACAACTCCTGATTGACAGGTTCAATTCAGAGTGACTTGATGTCAAAAAAATTTTCCATCATTATCGAAAAAGGGAGGAATCAATAAAATATGACGCTGATAGGTGATAAATATCTACCTGTATGTATGGAGTATTTAAGTGGTTGCAAAAGGCCTCGTCAGTAAACTTGGGCTGCGCAGCCAAATGGGTTTCGATCCTGCCCGCCGTCTCCAATAATTCATTCGGCAGGCGTCTTTGAGCTTTTTGACGCACTCGATACAATTGACGCAAGTACAGCGCCTGGCTCCGATTCGCCATCTCTAAGACGGATGAGCTTATTTTTGAACCGAAATGGAATGCATTGATTTTGACTGAAAATAATATCCAACCTCAATCCTATGGGAATTTCGATCCTATCAGTAATCAGTCACTTTTCTGAGCGAATAAGATTGCTCGAAAAATAACTCGTAATATTCAAAACTGTCGAGCAAATCAGATTAGTTTATGGCAGAAAATTTGTCTTGAAGGGTGTTTGTGATTGGTCGGAATTGAATTATATTTTTTATTGAAGAAGGTTGGCAGTGAAAGAGAAGATTTTCTACTATTATTGCTGTGACTTTTTCTTCTTTTTCTTTTTCACCTTTTTGTCGTCTTTGCTGTCGCCGTCTAAAAGTGTTGCATGAGCGGAGAGTTGAGAGTGCGGCACGTGTGTGCGACGATTATCGACAAACCTTCAGCTAAGCTGTCCTTGTATTTGCTCTTTTTAGGCTTGGCGGTTTCATTACCCGAGTCCGCCGCAAATATGTCAACCGACGTTAGCTTCGTTTCATTCTTCTTCTTTTCGCCTTTTATCAAGTTCCCCAACCAGAAAGACTAAAAGAACAGTAGTTACTCGCCACCGTTATTCGTAACCGAAAGTAGCACCTTGGGCTTCCTTCGCGGCTCTTTCCATCGATATCTTTCTTGGCGGAAAGCTTATCGACGCGTTGGGATGGAACGGAATCAACCGATTTATCCTTGCTCTTCTCCTCCGACTTCCTACTTTTCGGATTGACAAAGGTACTCTTATCAGATTCAGTGCAAGATGAACATTTCCAGATCGTTCTTGGATCTGACGCGGTGATCGCTGAAAAGAAGAATAATTCAGAGACTTCACGTATCAATTCCTGCAACTTTCTAGATCCCCCTGACAAAATTTCAAACTTTTAAACTGATCGTAAAAAATAAAGTGAACCTCAAATACCAAATTCACGAACCTGGCACTGGCGGCTTGTGACATTCTTGGTGGAAATATTGATGACATTCGGAGCACTCGACTTTTAGTCCCTAAATAAAATGTTTAAGATATACATTTTTTGAATTGAAATCAAGGAAGAGAAAACGCCCCGATCGCGAAATAAAAAAAGGTAATTTGACATGATAGAATGGCCCATAGGTTCAGTTGTATAATTCCATTGATTGATTATCATATGTGTGCGATATAGTACGGGAGGCGATGTTTCGAATGATGTCGCTGCTGAGCCTCGCTCTCCTTTTTGACGTCGCGCACCGACATGGTCAACACCACAGAAGAGACAGTCGCGTTATGAATTTTTTGTAAAAAATAAAAAAAAAACAAGAAGCAGAGAATCCTGTATGTTTCTCACCATTCAGCTCATTGCTGAGTATTCCGCTTGTGTGCTTGACAATACAGTACGGCACTGATTGTAAGGCACGCGGTGAATGCTAAGCAGTGAGCTCCTACTCAACGTACAAAAAGGATACTGACAAGAGAAAAACCAGTGACTCACCTGTTTGCCCTTTATTGACGGGTCTCCACAAGTTTTACAACTCTCGCTACTCGTAGAACTTGACGCAGCCGATAGAACACTCCCTCCTTTTTCTGGGTTAAACGCTCTTTTCGACGTATTGACTTACGTATAATTTCGGGGGATGAAATTTAATAAATACTGGAAAATCGAGAATCGACGTACAGGCACTGAGCTCACAGAGCGAGCCCGGCTGCCGTGGAATTGAGAAAGTAATGGAAATAAATTGAAATATTGATTGTGACACAGGGGCACACAGCCACACAACGCGTTCTATCCGAATAAGGGCACGAATTCCGAGGCAAAGATAGACCGCCCTAAAGCGCCGTAAATCTGGATGACAAAATGGACTAGAATCGATATTGTTTTCCAATTTTAACCCATTCCTGATTTGAGATCAAAACCAGATTCCAACTCCATACGAGGTTTTTTCTCCGATTGTCCGATTGCTTGAGCCGCCTTGCGCTTGTCACTCTGTAATAATGAGCGGGTAAATAGGGGATGAAATGAAAAATGAGTCGACTTACTTTCGCCTGGACAGTCGTCAGGGGCGAAGCAGAGCGCGTGGTAAATAGCTCATTTGTCATGTCCTTTATCCCTTTGCGCCCTTCTTTGCCGCCGACTTGAAGGAGTTTGATGCACCTGAGCAGAACGGGGTCCATCTCAGGGAATTTACCGAGCAATTCGTCAATCGTTGCCATTAGCAAGAAGCGACCCTCTGAGAATGAAATTGAAAACAAATCGATTTCGAGATTTTAAGCTGTTAGTATTCGGTTTTGCTTGTTCGGGGAACATGTATAAAAAGGAGATTAAAAAGTGTAAAAAAATAAAAATGCATAAGAAAATCAGTGATCTGGAATATTTGGAATATTTTTTTCGTTGTTCATTGATGGAATGATGCTTTGCTTGAAGTCATGGAGCGTGAGGGGTAATTATTCGGAGAGGAGTTTAAATCCGGCGTTCGTGGAATTTTCGGCCTTTCACTTGAGAGAGAGGGTTGATTTCGATTTTGATTTTGCTGGACTTACCCAAAGGCGGCCATATAGCTAGCATCTGGAGGCTGATCCTGCTCTTTCAAGCGGGTCTGATCGCGGCTAGCAGCCGGCCTCGACGACGCACGGCCAGATGACACGCTGCCACTTTCCCTAAACGATTATTTCAACACAAAATATATGCATTATTGCTATACGCACGGTCGTAGATTTTCTTTATAATTGTAGATTGTATGTACAGACTGGGATTGAGAGGCTCCAGTATCGAAAATCTGTCGAAGGTCAGCAGAATCAGAAACGAATTTGGTATTGGATCGGGCGTCGAGGTTCACCGATTCGCCGACCTCTGTCGAGTTGTGCAGCATGTCGAATGTGCTGAAAATAAAATGAGCAGCGTTGTTATGCAGCGTCACGTGATGCAATAGAATGATCGATTCTATTAGGAACTAATGAAAAGCGCTAAGGAGGAATTTTTAGTTTCTACATCATCTGAAATCAACGAGGATAATGTACTGCACCTAATTTCGTCACTAAACGGCTCTGTGCTACTGGAGCTCAATACTCGGTCGTTATACCGTTCACGATTGGCCCGCGCGCCGGGAGTTCCTGGCCGGAACATTTCCTCCTTGCGTGGCTGATTATTCGCGTTCGCTCGATTCGCGATAAGATAAGTTTGCAACACGTCGATATTCTGACTTGGAAAAACATCTTCTACGTCCAAATCGGCCTCGAGGGAGTCGCCATCTTCTTCGTCATCGTCGTCACCTTCTTCATCGTCGGAGTCTTGATCCGCGCTTTCAGGCTCTTTGTCGATTTGCTTCCTGATGTATTCCAGTTGCTATTTTAAACATAAACTTAAATTATCAATGACAGATTTTCACTAAAATGACAAGGGACAAATGGGCTTTTCATAACCTGTCAAAGCAGCCCTTGTGATGCCAAAAATCCAAACTTACAGTTTTATGAGCATGATCTCCTCTCATAAACGAGTCGATAATCTGTTTCAATCCAATCTGATTCGCTTTTTCCTTGAAGCTTTGAATGAAGAGCACCGAGAAAAGCGTCCCATTCAGATACGACTTCAGCGACTCATTATCATGACTGAGAAGGTCGGACAAAACGCGCAAGACGTTCTCAGCGTCTCCAGCTAGGGACCAGCGACCAGCTGAGCGCAAACATAGATTGTGAAGGAGAGCGACGGAGTATTCAAGAAGGTATTCGGACATTGAGTCTGACTAGGCTCATTTTTTGTAAAACGTCATGTCACGAAATTTGGTGACTGGAAATCTGGAATTTCCTTGTCTGGAGTTCCAATTTAGTGCAATTAAAATATCCCGATACGTATATATTAAGAAAGAATAAAGTGAGCCACAATCCTGGATCCGCCAAATTCTCGACCAGCCAAGGCATGACTTTATTACTGCGAACCATCTGCGATGACAGAACGCGTCGAAGCGACAGTTTTTGAAGCGCCCCTAATCGATTGAATAATACTCACGGCCAGAAGCAAAAAAGATGATACATATATCTGAAAGCGGAAAGATTTTTACCTAGTAAATGCGGCCTGGAAACAGGATCATCTTCGAGGATCAAAGCGTTAATCAGTGTAGGGACAAGTTCGGTCGAAAGTGATAGATATTTGCGACCGATGAATACACTTGCTAACGTATTAACGAAGCGCTGGACAGATTGACGAATTGCAAGAGGTGTTGGAGGGGCGAGGGATCGAAGGACACGCTTGTGAAAGTCACCTGAAGAGTTGGTGCAGCCTAACACATCGGCAAGGATGTATTCTTTGAAGAAGTTCTGTCGCTCCTATTGAAACGTTTTATGTGTGAAATGTTCATACGTATTACCTCGTAGGTATTACAAAACTGAGTCAGCTTGACTCTCAGGTTCTGATAGAGGCGGCCATTTTGAAGACACTCTTTCTTGATTGCATCGTAATCGTAGGTTAAGCCTGACTTTGACTGCGCTGGTGGAGCGACGGGATAAGGCTGCTTGAAGATTGGATCGGGACTTGGAGCATATCCAGAGAGTAATGCACTAGATGGACGGGCAGAATTAGCCCGTGGCTGAGCAGTTGCGGGGCGGGAAGACAGTTGGTCGCTGAACCGGCGCAGCAGATCGGGGCTCAGTTGAGTCGGCTCGCCGCGCAGTGCTGACTTTTACCGGGGTAAACTGGGATGATTTTTACGCTCTGTGATTAAGAAAATAGTACTGTTGTTGCGGGCACGTTACAATACCGACAAGTAACATTTCGGAAATACCGCTTAATAGACCTTATATCAGATAGAATCCGCCCCTCCCTTGACTAAATCCATCAATTCCAGGCTAAGCTGGAGAACTTGAGCGTAGTCACGCTCCAGTCTTCTTATTTCGCTAAAAGCAAAACGTTACAAATTATTTATAAACAGAATATTACGTTTGCTGCTGACTGGAGCTGTAGCTGAGTCGGTCGTATTCGTTCTTCAGACGCTCCAATTTTCGCGTGTCATTTGACGTCGTCGATGGTAAAAGAGTCTTCATTTTCGCGATGCATTTAGACAGTAAATCTGTGCTCCAGTTGACTTGAAAGATGTGTGCGAATTGTCGCCGCAAGTGTGGCTTTGGCACTTGCCCCAGGGCGAAGTAGAGCTGTGCCTCTTCGCTTTCTGGCATTCGCTCATCATCAATGTCCATGATTTTCTTGACGAACTCCTTTTGACAAGATTTTACATCGTCCTCTTTGGCAGTATTGGCTTGAACTTGTTCGAAGACTGGAAAGAAGGCAAAATATATGGACAAGAAGAATGACAAGTCGTGATCCACGATTCCAGCTTCATTCCAAATAACAAGGAAATTTTGTTCATCGCCGTTGAGAAAGTTTTGTTTTAGGTCGGCGATGACCTGTGGAGTAACAAACGGAATCGTGATTCCTTTTTGGCTAGCTTCTTGTTTTAAGGCATTTGCGGTGAGACCAAGGCTGAGTGACTCAAGTGTATGGAGAACTTTTCCGATTTCCGAAGCACTCATGCTATGTTAAAATTCTTGTGAAATCAAAAACTCAGGGACCATGATGAGGTTTATTCTGTGAAATAAAGCTTTCAGGAAAAAGTTGGTAAAGGAAAGGAGAAATATTGAATCTATGAATTTTCTACTAGAACTAGTCTTGAAACTAGTTGTTGAAGACTTTTGGCAGCGAAGGTTAGGATACATCTTAAGGGTAATGGTATACATCGGCGCGGCGCCGCTCGCTCGATCCGCGCTTCGCAAGAACCTATTTCTCACGAGGCCGTAAAATCTGAACGGATCGAGATTTTTTCGAGATTTAAACAGATTTGGAATCCTCACAGTCTCTTCTATAAACTGATTGAAAATTAAAACAATTTTCAAAGAGAAACAATGTGAAAAGTGCCAGTTTCCTTCAAATGACATTTTCTCCATAATTTGTCATCCAAATTTTTTGAAAATTAGACTGTCTTGTAGAGAATCGTCAGCTCTACAATTCCTGTGTTTCAGATTTTCATTTGGGCTTTCAAAAATTATGTGCGCTCTTTTGAAAAGAGAGTTATTCTCGCCCGCGCCTCTCCGCTTCCTATTTCTCGCGGCGCGCTCCCGCTGCGCTCTTTACAAATTGCGATGTAAAATTAATGAAAGCTTAAAACAAAAATCTGAAACACAGGAATAGTAGAGCTGACGATTCTCTACAAGACAGTCTAATTTTCAAAAAATTTGGATGACAAATTATGGAGAAAATGTCATTTGAAGGAAACTGGCACTTTTCACATTGTTTCTCTTTGAAAATTGTTTTAATTTTCAATCAGTTTATAGAAGAGACTGTGAGGATTCCAAATCTGTTTAAATCTCGAAAAAATCTCGATCCTTCAGATTTTACGGCCTCGTGAGAAATAGGTTCTTGCGGAGCGCGGATCGAGCGAGCGGCGCCGCGCCGATGTATACCATTACCCTTAAATCATAGAAAACGAAACAATCAATACGTGGCACACGGTATAATATATGCAATATGCATATCCCTACGCATCGGTAGATATATCATATATGTTAAAATAAATAAAGCAGAACACAAACTAATCGAAACCATCCAAAGAGGTGGATTCAAAAGGCACAATCAGGCTTCTGTCGTTCTTCGGCATTCTTCAGCGTTAACGAAAATCGATATTCAAGGTCTACGTCTGTCCAATAATGGTAGAATTTCATGAATTCTGGTCCTTTAGTTCCAACAGTAATAAATAGGTCGCTTTGATAGGGTTAAAGATTTTATTGAAAACGAGGTCAATCGTTGTTGATTTCAAGGATCAAGTTCGAGATATTTCATGGTAACCCCTGCCTGAGTAATGAGTGATACGCACAGCATGGCGCCTTTCTGGTAATTTCGCGGACGTCAAAGACTCTCTCCGGACAAGAGCGACCCGTAATGGCTGCACTCAAGTATTCGAGCGCATAATTGTACTTTTTGAAGCAGACACCGAGCTCAAGCGAATCCAGTTCATCCAGAAGGTATTGTAGCGTAAGGACAGGGGAGAACTGTATCCAAGTATTAGCGTCATCCCAAAACGCAGGGCGCTGGGTAATCCGCTCAACGTACTCGGCCACGAACTCGAGCTTGTTTCGATCGAAGTGGTGGAGGTTTTGGTTGATGATAAGCGCCAGCAAACGGCAGGATGTTTCTTGGTCTTGCTGGAGCGATTCAATCGTCGAATCATCATATTCAGGGAAAGCTGCTTTTAGGTATTTGTATGTGTCAGAATCGGTTTTCAGGTAATCCACTGAACAGTTTGGGATAAGTCTTTCTTTCCAGATTTATATAGTCCTTTACTGGTTGGTTGCTACAATAAAAATGATGCTTATTTAAGCCTTCCAATTAATTTTTATTGAATCCTCTACTATGATATAAGATTCCAGATTAACCTTGAAGACTTTCTCAGAAAACCGGTGATCCGATTCATCGGATAAATCAATTTATTTTCATATATTATCGTTTTTATAGATATTAATATATTTTATATTACACGAGGTACGTGCACTTGGAAAAGAAGTTGTGGCCTGAAATAAACTTACATAAATTTGTAGTAATTCCAAGAACCAGGCAAAGTGATGCTAGCACTGCGTCTTTATTTCGTTTCATCTAAAGTCCCGTCAGATTCAAAATTTTCATCACCTACATACCATGCTCCACCGGCTAAGTTCTGCGCGTTTCGGGATTATCAATCTGCTGAACATCGATGATGTAAGAGAGACTTTCCTTCCCACTGGTTTTTCGATATGAAACTGTCATGAAGTATCAAATGAAATTGATGTTTATATAAACTTATAGTGTAATCTATCCTCATCAGATAACAATTAATATCGAATCCGTACATAAAGAAGATTTGAGCCTATTGTCAAGCAATTTGAATCCAATCTTTTGTCGCACAAAGAAGCTGGCAAAGACTGCTCCCAAGAAAGCATAACCCCAAAACCAAGCGTCGTGCGGTTTCAGGTTCATAGGATTGACCCCATCAAGGGCTAAGATGTTCCAGTAGAGCGCTTTGATCCGCTGGAATGAGGGCGAGTATTCTTTGATGGTGGTATTTTCGGTATTTTGTCGGCTTAACATATTTATGAATTTTAATTAAACTTAATTTACTAATTAAGTTTTTAATTCTTCCCACGGAGATATACTCCCTGAGACTATCTCCATGAGTACCTGATGAATATTTCTGCGATTCTATAGCTTTTCGTTCTCTGCATTCGATTCCATTCCTGTATATAGCTCAAAGCTCCAATTGATCCAATGCCGACTAGGCCAAGCCGCCACGCATCGACATATCGTGAACTTGTGATGCCCATGATCGCAATTCAATTATTCAAGTCCAATTTAATTTATCTCTTATCGCATTCTAAAAGAGATCGATTTTTGCAGCAGAACAAAAATTAAAGCAGCTCATCAGGCCCTTTCATGTATCACGTGCTCTCTTTTTGTCTTTCAAAAAATCGTCTAATTTTTGATCTGATCTCTTGAAATGGCTGATTTTGATAATAAAAGTGAATGAAATGAAGGAAGCAAATCTTTGGAATCGATTAAAAAAATAAAAATTTATATGCAGATTTGAAGGCAATTTTCAGCCATGAACTTATTTGAAAATATTTTCTGGCCATTCATCTAAAGTGATTTGGATTTCTTTCAAGCCGCTGCTGAGTGTTACGAAACCATGCCTCAATAGTCGCCAGTGGAACCGATCCGCCGTCTCCGGTAACAAAGCTCGTGCAATAATTGTAAATGCTCTCTGCGATGCGTGTGACGAGGGTGGAAGTATCTGTCGAGACAGCTAGGGAGCGTGTTTAAATAAGCAAGAGAAGGCTCTTTGTTTTGTTTTTGACCTCGCCAGGGTTCAAACAAGGCCTGGTAGGGTGAACAAGCAAAGCATACCTGGCGTGAACCCGCTGACCTCCGTGAGAGGCTTCAACGAAAGCCCAACTTGGGGCCCGCGGAAATTCCCGAATTGATTTCCTCCGGCTCCACTACTAGCTATCCGCTTTAGATTTGAAATTTTGAAGGTCCCGCTCTGCTTCTCGTTCGAAATGAATCCGAGAAAGTGCCAGTGATCTTCCCCGTCTGTTGGGATAGAAATGTAGATACAGACCGCTGCGTTTTCTGGCAGAAGCTCTTGCCCTGTGAGGAAGACTGTCAAAAAGCTGGGCTCGAGCTGATTCAATCTGAGAACGAAGTCGGTCTCGGAGACCCGCTCGAATTCTGTCTGAACTGGCTGACCCGCAAGGATACACCCAAACATTCTGAAAAGCGCTTGTTTCCACCCTAATAGTTCGAACTCTCGATCATTTGAACTTGTGAATAGATTTAATTTTAACGCCAAGAAGATAGAGAGAGAGGGCAGTTGACAAGTCGAATTAAATTCAAAAATATTTTTCTACTAGTGCTTGAAAGTCGCTTTTACTTAACAAAAACAGTTTCATCTTTACGCTTTTTCTGTATAATCGTGCCGGGCTTTTGTTGCGCTTCGGGATGTCTGTCAAGTTCGGGTGGGCAAGAGCTACAGGCACTTTCGATCAGCATCTGCCGGAGATCGTAGAAGTTGTGAGCGTCGTCCTGCGTGAGGAACGTGACTGCTTTACCAGATTTACCTGCACGACCTGAAATGATATTTTTTATCGCGCGTCATAAAGATAATAATCAATTAAAACTGTCATAGATGAACATACGAGAATGTTATAGTCTATCACTGATAGATTACCTGTTCGACCGATACGATGGGTATAATCTTCGATATTTTTGGCCATATCATAATTGAGGACAAGCGAGACATCTTTAATATCAATACCACGACCAGCAACGTCAGTGGCGACAAGCACGTTCTTTTCTCCATTTTTGATGCAAGCAAGGGCGTAGTCTCGTTGATCCTGACCTAAAAATAGAGTAAAAAGACGATTTATGAGAAAAAAAGAGCAAACCTTTTCCACCGTGGAGCGAAATAGCATCGTATCCATACTTTTCCAGTTGTCTTGCAAGCACGTCGCAACCCTTCTTCTGATTGACGAACACGATGATCGGACCTTGATCGAGGCAATTCTCCTCTTCCAAAATCGAGATCATCTTCTTCGCCTTCTGTCCATCAGGAACGAAGTAAGCCTTCTGAACGACGCGATCAGCCGCTTTGCCGACTGAGCCGATATAGACTGTGCAAGGTCGACGCATGAAGGTCTTTGCGATGCGCTCGACGGGCGGAGGCATTGTTGCCGTGAACATGACCGTTTGACGGAACTGAAAAAAGGAGTTTGAGAAATTGTGAACGCAAATCTTCAAAAATAACCTTGTTTCTGTCGAAGAAGTTCTTCTTCATTGCTTCCTCATCCTCAAGCGCCTCGTTGTCCTGCTTTTCGTTAGTTACTGGCATGTGGCTAAGAATCTTCTGGACTTCCGGTTCAAAACCCATGTCAATCATACGATCAGCCTCGTCCAAAACGATATAAGTACACTGTGACAGCACAAGATATCGGTTCTCGATAACATCGATCAAACGACCAGGCGTGGCGATGACAATTTCACAACCCATGCGAAGCTTCAGACCCTGCTCTTCTCGAGAAGCACCACCAATAACGGCAACTGATCTGATTCCGAGAGGGCCACCGAATTTTACTAAAATTGTCGAACTGAACAACTGATAATCATTGTTGATTACTTACTGACTTCCTCTTCAATCTGCGTTGCTAATTCTCTTGTTGGTGCTAGAATAATTGCATAGGGACCCTTATCTGCATCCTCAACACGGATATTTCTGGGCAACGAGTCGATCCAAACCAGGAGAGGGACCAAAAACGCAAGAGTTTTACCGGAACCAGTTTCAGCAACACCGATAATGTCTCGATTCTGCATACCGATGGGAATGGCTTGTCGTTGAATAGGAGTTGGATCTTTGTATCCGACATCGGAAATGATTTTGAGGATGTTTTCTGGAATGATGGATTCTTTCCAGTATCGCATCGGCTTCGGAATATTTCCACCCTAGAGAAAATATAGCAACGGTAAGGAGAAAATGAGGTAACCTTGGTAGCGATGGAGAAATCTTCTCGCAAAATACGCCAATCTCGATCTCTCATCATTTCTAGCGGCTTCTTTCGCCAGTGACGCTCGTCGAATGCCTTTTGCTCTTCTTTCTTCTTTCGCATATCTTGCAGCTCCTTGTTCCTGCTAGACTGATCTTCTGACCACTTTTCGTCGAGAAGCTTTGAGTAGAATGCGCCGGTTTCACTTCGTTGGGACTTGATGTCGATTCCAGCGATGTAGCCACGGCCAAAGAGCTGTACTTGATGACGCTCTCGATAGAGAGGATTGTAGTCGTTTGATGTATCGTCGCCTTTGAAATTTGAAAAAGTTAGAGAGAAAATTATGATATATTTTCTTCACCTGCGTCCCAATCAAAGACGAACTTTCGTTCATTTTGCTTTCTTACTTTCTTCTTTTTCTTAGCGGCTCCAAGATATCGGTCTTTGATCGCAGTTTGCTCTTTTTCCGAATCTTTTTGTGACCTTCTATCTTCTCGCTCACTTCTTCTTGCGTCTAGTTCTTTTCTCCTTATGTATTTTTCATAATTTCGTCACGCGAATGCAAGTTTTACCTTTGTCTCCGCTCAAATTCTGGATCATTTTGGATTCTGCCTTGCTGGAAGATTTCCTTTTGTTTGGCTCTTTGCTCGTCAGCTCGTTTTCTAGCCTCATCAGCTTCTTTTTGCCTCTTTGCAAGCGCTATTTTTGCTTTCTCTGCTTTTGAGATGAATTTTGGTTTTGAAAGCTCATCTTCTTTTGCCTTTTTAGCTTCGATGATTTCTTCTAATGAGAGGGGTGTCGCATTCTAAATTTTTAGTAGCTTTCCAAGAAATTGGCAAGAGTTTCTTACTGTTGATAGTTTGACTTCGTTTTCTTCCAAAAGCGCTGGATTGACAGGAACTTCTGATCCTCCCTTGAGAATGTACTTGATTTTGTCTTCCGAGCTCAACTTTTCTGGGATTTTGAAGATCTCTTTTTCCCTCTTCCGACTTCGCTCGGTCGGACGTCTTTCCGGAGAACGACTACGAGCGCGTTTTCGATAGTCTTTGTCGCTTCGTCTATCATCACGGCCCATCTAAAAGTCGAACAGTAGGAATCTTGAAAAAATAAATATATTTTTGTAAAAAGGTAAAAACAGTTATTCTTCAGGTTCTGGGGTGGTAATAAGTTCCGGTTGGTCGAATAGACGCAAAAGATTCACTGAAGCTTTGTTTGTCTTGTTTTGTTCCTGGAAATCGAAACCGATGTAGTCGGTCGCATCAGCTTGCTCGAGAATTTTTCTATTTTCTGCGCTTTCATTCAGCTTCGATTCGAAATCAAGAGTTACTGATCCTTGAATCAAGTCGCCGTTTTTGATCAGAACTTGAATCAATTGAGGGTTTTTCACGGCGATTTCTCGGAACCATTCTAGTTGATCTCCAAGGCAAAACTTCGTGGCGCAATTGCTGCACTTCGTTATCACCAAATTTTGGATGTACATTGATTGCAGGAGCATTTCGAAGTTAGAGGATCCACATTTGCTGCAGTTGTACTCCAAAAGAACGATGTCGCGGAACTTGGAGAAATCAGCCGTCTGAAGAATTTTCGACTTCGAGCGCATCGCCAGATACAATGGTGCAACTCGAGGGTGAACAAGTCTACTTCCTATGCCGGTACTTGCTAACCATCGCCTTGCTCCACCTTTCATCTGAAGAAAACAAAGATTAGCGACACTCACTAGCTTGACAGTCAAAATTGTAAATTGCAGATAAACTACTTGAGTAAAAAGAAGGTAAACATAAAGATGGGGGGCTTTCACATGCTAAGTTCTTTGTGAAGAAGAATTGCGATAGTTATTTTCTTCTGGGTGCGGTGTAACAATTATCAATTATATTTTAGTCTAAATTGAAATATCTAACATCAAAGGAGTACAGTTTTCAGCGGCTCTTATTGAGACGCAGCAGCTGGCATCGGGGCCATTCGGTTGATCATGGCACTTGCTTTGTAGATCAGATTTCGAGCGAAACCAGGACAGCTTCCTCCAGCGGCGAACTGCATCGCAGCCATATTCAGTTGGTTGAAACACATACGACTTGGCAAATTATTATTCTGCCATTATATAAATAGGGCTTACTTGTATGGATTTCTTTCAGAGCAATATCTCATGAGCAAGAAACGATAATACATGATAGGAAGAAAGATTCCGTTGCCAGTAAATGCGAGGTAGACGGTAATCGGCATCATGAAGATTTCGTTCATAGCGATAAACTAGAACGATGAAGGAAGAATTATTTAGCGCGGTTTACCTGGAGAAGAACTTGATTTTTAGAGCGGATGTACGTAATTGCTTTCGTGAGTAGGCCAATTTGAGGTAGAGTCGTTTCGGTCGAGAGTTTCGTGAAATAAGCGCATGAATGCATAACAGCAAATGCCATCAGTGGAAGAATAATGATCATCATTCTATTTTAATAAATATTTGGAAGGAAGCGTCCGAACTTACGGATTTTTGACGCCCAAGAACATGATCGAAAAAGCAAGATAATGTCCTGAATCTTCCGCCAGTATATTTTGTAGTGTTTGTGCGCTAGAATAACTGGTTAGAGAGGGGTAATTTGATCATAAAACCGAGCGTTAAATATAACGTGCAATGGATTTAATTCAATTATTTTATTGAGTTTTTCTTCGAAAATATAAAACAATTTAGATCCAAAATTGGTCTTACCTAAGCGTCAAATGGGGAACTCGCTGATGGAGGCGAAGGGCATTTGCGGCTGCTGAAGCCAATAAAACCTTTCTGAAGTACGAACTAAAACTTAGGTGTTAGATGGAAGGAATGATTTACAATCAGCACCTATATGGGTTGACGATAGCCATGATGCCCGCAAAGATTGTAAAAACTCGGAGCAGGAACATGCCGAACGAGACTTTATCGGCCTGGATGTACTCCATTGGAGCTTTTCTTTCCCTTTCTTCTGTCATTCTTGAACAAAAACTTTATCGAAACTAGGAATATAGAAATATCTTCGGACAAAAAAAGAACAGTTTTGATTTTTTCTATTTTTAATATATTTTTTTAATTGCAAAAATGGAATTATTTTTTAACAGAATCAGTAGAGTTGTGTAAATTATCGACGATGAAATTCACGAGTTGCGAGTAGAGAATGTCACTTTTTGAAGAGGGTTTGTTGACATTGATGTGGTTCTCATTTACAAGTGTAGATCCTCCCAGGCCAAGATCGGCAGATTCTTTCGAGACTACCAAATGATTAAAGCCGACCACTTTGATAGGAACTGATTCGATGAAGGAATGAATTGGAATAGACGTGTTTCTTGCAACTGATAGGAATTGATCATTGAGCTCTTTGAGCTGCTCAGAAGCGGAACTCAGCTCGCGCACTTCTGATGAAACGATCGAGTTGGCCACTGGAGCTTTCACCGAAAGCTTCGCCAACGAACTGCCGAAGTGCGGCGTTGAATAGAAGCACACGCCCTTGATGTTCTTCAGGAGATCTGTTTCGTTATTTTCATGAGCTATAAAAAGCAATCAATAGCTCCTCATTTTCACAGTTTTGGCTCTCACCCTTTAGCATTATTTTCTTCAGTAGGAGACCACCCATCGAATGGCCGACGATAAACAAAGGTTCATTGTTTTCACGAAGCGATTTCAAGTTCTCAAGAAGTTTTTCTGACTTTTCATCCATTATTTCATCCATGTGGAGGCAAGTCTTGTTGTAAGTCGTCAATGAGGTAGGATAAGACATAAGAATGATTTTTGGAACGATTCCACGGCGAGCAAGTGTTTTGGGGAGCCATTCGACCGGCCAGCAGTAGGAGTGAACTGGATCGCCGATGATTTTATCGTTGCAGCGCCAAGTTCTTTAAATATTTTGACTTCTATTTGGAATGAAATGGACATACCTGTGAGCTTTTCCCATCAGTCCGTGGACAAAAACAATCGACGCATTCGTCGGCAAAGCTTCTTCTGTTGGATATGCAAGGAACGAGTTTGGAAGAATCATCTTTTCCTGTGAAGAGGAAGAAACATTGTGAAGAATTTTGTAAGCGAAACTTTTTTGTTCAACATCGGAGCTTGCAAGAGTGAGGATGGACTCGAAGATGAGCTTAGGTTTGAGAAGATCCCAGCGGAATTCAATAACGGTGGAGAGAGACGCGAGGATTTCAAAGGCCCGCTTGTGGAATTCTTCAGCGATGCGGGACAGGTCCAATAGACGGTCAATGACGCCGGAATTGATCAGGTATTGCTAGCAAAAAGTATATCAGTTATAATCTTGTATTATAACGTGACGAGAGATAGCAAAAGTCTAAGTATAATTATTTAACATTTTGCACGGTAAACGCATTTATTAAAACCATAAGATTCAAATTACTCAACGCGCAGATCAATTACTAGTCAGTGAAATCGTTTCATTTTTGAGATTCTTAATGTGGTGGTTTGTATGACAACAGCGCGCTACTTTTATATTTGAAAGTACGATCGAACCATTATAAGTTACACACCGAGAAAAAACAACCCACAGTGTTAAAAGATGTAAAAGAGATCTTTGAAGTTCAAAGACTTTGAACAGCTCTTATCGAAACATCAACAAACTCGAAAACTTTAGCTTCGAACCTTTGCGAGAAAATCGGAAGAGTCCAACAAATCTCTTGTTAGATCGAGATATTCTTCCAGAACCTTTTCCGGAGTAACATTCTTATACGAATAAGTCGGTTTTCCAATATCCAGCTCGTCCTGTTCCACTTTTGACATTGGCTTTTTTGATTCCATCCTGCGTTTTCGGAGTGCCGAGATGTGATCAGCAAGACAATCATCGCCAAATCTACTGTTAGACAGAATTTCGTCAAAATACTCCAGCAGCTCTTGCAGATCGTACGATGTCTCGGGGCAAAGTTTGCGAATTTCTTCAACAAAACAATCGTCGGGTTTTTTGAAGATGGCCAATTTCGCAAGTTTCTGGAGCCCAAAAGCGGATTGTTTCAACGTTGAAATAATGAAGTTCCATGTTTCTGGCTCATGAGTCGAAGTTACAATTTTGTCGTAGATTTTTTGCTTTGATTCCGAAAGAAAGTCGTTGAAAAAGGCTCGCACTTCATCGGCAATGGTTTCAATTTCCTTCCCAAGCTCATTTTGGGACAGATTGACATCGAACTCCGATACAAAATTTGCCTTGAAGATTTCTACGAATACTTTAATCCAGGTCACATCGATGGAACTTACCAAGCTTCTTCTCAATTTCTTCAGCTTTATAATAACATACTGCTCCCACCCATAAACCAGACGTAATCGTCACACCTTTCAAAATTGCTCTAGCATTCATCAAATCAACACATCAATATCAACTCATCAACAATCACTTTTTTCTTAATTCAAAAAATGATTCTTCGTTGTTTTCTCGCGATATAATTTTGCTGTATTAAAACATGTACTAAGTTGAACGTGAAAATAGTGAACTAGAATCGACATGTATTGCGGCGCAGTAAGAAGGAGAGAGAAAAATATTTATCTGTCTGTCGGGCTGGCTGTCTACTCGATGTATTCAAATGGTGCTGGTGGTTCTGGTTCGGGCTCCTCGACCTCTGGCTTTGGTCCGCCAGCGGTAACAGCTTCCAAGAGATCCTAGAAAAATATTTAACTCAATGATTTCATATGAATGTCTCAACCTCGGGATCCTCGGGGTTAGCATCTCGCAGCAAAATAATTCCACCAGACGTAAGTGGCTTGAGTGGGCTGTATCGAGTCTGGTCAGCTGGCAAAGAAAGAACCTTGAGCTGCTGGTTGAGAGCTCGGCAAGGGTTTTGAAGGATTTCGAATTTGGCGTTCTTCTTCGCTTCTTTTTCCTCGTCGACGTCCATTGGCTCCTCTTTGATCTTGACAGCAGTCGAGCTAGCAGTGGAGGCGATGGAAGTGGCGGAGTTCTTAGGAGTTGCGTCGGACGCATCGACCTCCATTTCGCTCGCTTCCCGCTTGATTTTTCGGTTCTTTTGTCGGGCTTGAAATGAAAAGTTCACGTTCTGTTAACTGTTAAGCAAATTTACCAAGTTGTTTGGCGGTAGTAGACAAGACAGCAGTCTCGACCTTCTCCTTTTCCTTGCTCTTCTTCTCCTCAAGTGGATCGGGGTAGGCAAAAGTAGCCGGCTTAGCATCAGATCTAATGTCGATCTTGGGCATGTCCAAGTTCTTGTTCAAGCAGATGATAGAGCTTGGCCGGAAAGCAAGGGACAAGAAGTGAGTCAAGGGGTACCAGAACCAGAACTGCAAGAAGACGAGCATTCCGACGACGGATGGAGCATGAACGTGGCCGGATCTAGTTGAAAGACCGATGACAGTGTTTCGTCCACCAGCATCGATAATTCCTAAAATTTTTGATGAAAAGAAGAATAAATCGAATATTCTTACCAGTTCCGATGATAGCACCAAACTTTGTGATAGCGTCTTCATGTTTATCCTCAATAGTTTTCCTCAACTTTTCTCGGAAAGTTGAGACCTTTGGCTGCATGACCTCGGTTTGCTGAATGAGAATCATGGATTCCGCAACAAATGCTCCCTGGCGGACAAAAGCGACGGAATCGTCTGTCAGTGGCTCAAGAAGAGCAAGAGCATCTTTGTTTCCAGTGCCAGCGCAGGCAATTCCAAGTGCCATTGCAGAGCCGTATCGAACTGATGGGTTGTATGATTCGGAAAGGAGGGAGACAATCGAGGGGACTTGATCTTGATTTCGGAACATAACGAAACCAATGCTCTCAACAGCTGCTCGTCGGACATCGTCGGAGACATCAGAAACAGCGACGTGAAGAAGTTTTCTCAAAGCCTCGTTGAGTCCAGAACCAGCGTAGGCCATGGCGATGCAATAAATTCCACATCGTCGGATAGCTGCGTCCTTGTCAGCCATAAGATTCTCAATCAAGCTATCGGCTTCCTCAAGTCGGTTGAAAACAATCATGGCGACGCCAACAGCAAGACCTCGAATGATCTTTTCGTGCTGAGTATCAGCTGCGTACTGGCACATCTCGTTGATGGCTTCCTGATGATTTGTGCCCATCATTACAAGGCCCATGGCGATACCAGCCGCTTCACCGACAACAGCGTCATCTTGGGTGAGCTGAGAGTTAAGAAGCTCGTAGACTTCCCGGTTCTCAGTTCCCATCGCAGCTAGACCGAGACCAAGGCAAGCACCATGCCGAACAGTGTTGTCCCGGGCGTTCTTGAGCTGATCGACGAGGTACTTGATCATCTCTTCAGATCCATGGTTTGCATGAATCAAGCCAAGAGCATAAAGCCCACCTCCGTCTTGGTACGGAGAAGAGTTCGACTCTTTTGGAAGATAAGTGGCCATTCGATCGAGGGCGCCTTGTTCGTGTCCCTTGTGGATGACACCAAGTGAACTTGTTGCCGTAAATTTGGCCCAGTTTGTTGCTCGACCGAGCCATTCAAGATTGTCTCGGAGGAATTTGTCCGTCGTCGTTCCAGAGTGCATGAAGGAATTCGCGATAACCGTGGCCGTGTGGCAAATTGTATTTCTACAGGAGTCTTTACAATGCTTGAGGATGAGGAGGTCGGATTTGTTATTTCGAATGAGGAATTGAAGATTTAGTTGAGTGGTCTTGTCGCCTTTGAGGATTTCGACGAGCTTGTCGGAGGATGATTTTTCAGCTGAAGCTGGTGCTGCAGCAGCCTCGCCTTCAGCAGCTTCTTCGGATGCATCAGCAGGAGCAGCTGCTGGGGCAACGCCGCGGAGGAATTCAGCGACTTTGTTCAAAAATCCTTGAGGAGCGTTCTGGTAGAGCTCGAAGCCGATTTGATATGCCATGAGAGCATCTTTAGCCAAAAGGCTACGAAGAGTATCAGAGACCATGGAGGGGTCGTCGAGGAAAACGAGGCACTGACAGATGGCGATGTAGTCTGGAGTTGCGAGCTTGGTATACTGAGCGACCAAAAGACGGAGGATTTCTTTTCGGAGTTCTCGCGAAGTGACAAGGTTTTTGGCGATCTAAAGACTGAGTAGAGATATAAGACTGTAAATTATCTTACATGCATGCAGTAAGCCAAAGTGTCATTTGTATTTGGACTCTGAGCGATGGCGGTCTCCACAACATCGAATCGTCGGCACTCGATGGCGATACCGATCACCTGTCGAAGAGTCTTGGAGTCGAGGCATTTTGTGAACATTCGGTTGACCATGCTTTCAAGTCGTTTTTCTGGGATTTCTCCCTAGGAAAAATTGGATATTTTTAAGATTGCGTATTCCCTACGTTTTTACGCTGCTCTTTGTAAGTTTCGATGGCGCTAGAAATGATAACCTGGACATATTCAGATCGCTCGGTAACATCGAACATTTCATCGGCGGCTTAAATTAGTCAAGATTTGAAGCTTTTTGTGACATTTTTACCGAGGGCAAAGTTCAAACTGTCACTGTAGCTTCCAAGGTTGAAGTAGACCTTCGAAGCAACAAGAGCAGCTAGTTTTCGCGCAGCAAAGCTCTCATCTTCGTAGAGGATTTCGATGGGCTCAAGGGAATCAGCGATTTCAGCCCAAAATTGACGGATCAAGCTGTCGTCGTTTAGCCGCTCGAGGGCGTAGATCTGAAGTTCTGGCTCCTTCTCGTCGAGGAGCGAAATAATGCCTCCCGCGGAGGTTAAAACACAAGCCATGTCTAAAATTTCTTCATGAGAAAAATGTCATTTAAAATAGCAGTGTATCAGTCGTCAATTTTACAAGTTATAATATTTCGGCAGGAGTCGTTCTTATTATTTATTTCTCTGCGCTCTCGTCTCCTTGATCCACTTTTCAAAACTCTCATCTTCTAGCTTTTCCCGCGTGCTCGGTCCACTCGAAGTTCCTGGGATTTCATTCTGATCTCTGTACTCCAAAAGCTCGCTTGGCGGGATCATCCCTCGCGGAGGGCTTGATTTCCTTGACGCTGCTTTTGAGCTTCGAGTTGAGCTGTAGCGCGAGGCCGATGGAGTCTAAACATGATGAATGAGCACTTTTTCTAGAGAAAAACAACTTCGTACCAAGTCATCTTTCAAACGCTGGAGGTCCTCTGCTTTTCGCTGTTCTTCACGCTGCCTTGCCTTCTCTCGTTTTCGTTCTAATTCTGGAAGAAACTCTTCAAAATATTCCTTTCTCGCGTCAGTAATCTTTTCCATCAGGTCCGTCATTCCCATTCCCGTCACAGATGAAAATCCTACTGCCCGAAGATCGCAGTAAAAGTCATCAAGAACGAGGCTCAAAGATCTGGAAAGATTGGAGATGTAGCTTTCTTCCTCTTAATCTTTAGTTAGATCAGATTAGAGAAGAATAGTTCGTACGGTTGACAGCGTCGATAAAGGTCTCGTAGTCTCGCATCCATTCGATGGCAAAAGCATGATTAACGATATCTGATTTGTTGAGCACGATGACGAAAGGGAGTTCCGTTTTGTAAAGGATGGAACAGGCGTACATCATGTTGCTCATAAACGTTACTGGCGATGTGCATTTGGCGACATCCATCACGTATAAAATTACCTGCATGAACGAAGAGTGAATATTAGCATCTCTGGTAGTCGACTTACAGTAGGAATGGTCGAAGCCAACGTTTCAGTGATGATTGATCCGGAAGCTGACCAGGTGAAAACTTCAATCTGTCCTGGAGTATCAAAGATGACATGGTCATGATCGGGTGATCTTTTCTCGATCAAGCTCAAGACTTGATCAAATTTTGTTGAAAAGAGGTTCAGCGAAGTCATAATCGCTCCATTTGGCCCAAGTCCGTATTGCGTCATTACTTCCTTGTAGTTGACTGTATCTCGGATATCAATATTTGCCTGGGAGTTTTTGGTAAAGAAACTTTTCAAAACATCTTACTGGATATTGAAGATCTGCTACAGCTGGATCAAGGTTCAGAACATAAGGGGGTCGTTCAATATTAGCCATTTGCAACTCCGCCGTCAATCGTTGAACAAAAGTCGTTTTCCCCGACCCTGCCATTCCCATAACAAGCAAAGCAGTCGGCTTCACAGCTGAGTCACCTGCTTCACTTACCTTTTCAGCCATTCTTACAAGTCAGATTTGATAAGAAATTGTTGTCCTCAAGAACATGTATTGGAAAGTTGTGATTATTCTAGTCGTGATAAGAGGCAGTGAGATAAATTGTTCATATAAGTGGAAGTGCGTGCTTGAACATTTGTCAGGAGAAATTCAGAGGCAGTTACATTTCTATTTGACGCGGTAGAGCATGCGTCGCTGCATTCGATGCTGGACTTCGCCTCGTCGAATCATGATCTGCAGGACTTTGTGTACTGAGCGCTCGGGGTAGTTCTGAGTTGTCAAGTCGCTCATGATTGATTTTTCAGAGACCTAAGAGAACGTCAATGCCTGAAGATATCTTGAAATGCTACCTGAGAGCCAATAAGGAAGCGTCTCTTGATCTGTCGCTCGATTCTGTTCAAATCTTCTGCATCGGCAGCGGTTTCGTATCCCTCAACTCCAGACAAAGCTCCGGCCGAAGCAGACGCCATTGTTGAAGTCCTAAAGAGTCGTAGAGCCTCATCAACGTCGGCTCCAGTGGCGAACGGTGCAAGCCTCATTTTTGCGAGTGATTCGGCGATTCGAATGAGGGCTTCAAGCTGACGAACTGTCATTGGAATGGCTCCCTTTTTGCCAGTAGCGCGTTCGCCTTCCGTCATTGTTTGACGCATAAGAACGTACTGAAAAATTATTAGCGCTCCGAACTCGGGAAGTTTGTTTTACCTGATTTTGGAGCTTTTTGGTAGCTTCTCCATTCAATCTCGGTCCACAAGTCTGTCTCGCATATTGAATATACCTGAAATCAAGGATGAGAACCACTAAAATATCGTTTTATACCCACTTTTTCAGAGTTGGCATGTCAATCTCGTCCTCTCCCGCTTCTCGGTTCGCTGCTCCTGTATGAACATTCATAACGTATTTAGCTAGAGTAGCATCTCGGGTTGCGTCGTGGATATCTAAAAATGTCAAATTGTCATCAAATATCATTTGATCCACCTTTGACGACGTAAATCATATCAAATCGTGAGAGAATTGTCGGCAAGAAGTCGATATTATCCTCTCCCTTTGTATCGTCCCATCTTCCAAAAACAGAGTTCGCCGCTGCTAGAACTGAGCATCTCGTATTGAGGGTAGTTGTCAATCCAGCTTTGGCGATGGAAATGGTCTGCTGCTCCATGGCTTCGTGGATAGCAACTCTGTCTTCTGGTCTCATTTTGTCGAACTCATCAATGCACACTAGACCTCCATCAGCGAGGACCATCGCTCCGGCTTCGAGGGCGAATCCTCTGTGTTGATCTCTCACTACCGCCGCCGTCAAACCAGCAGCAGAAGATCCCTTTCCAGATGTATAAACACCAACAGGTGCACATCGCTCAGCAAACTTGAGCAGCTGCGATTTCGCAGTACCAGGATCACCAAGCATCAAAACGTTGATATCACCTCTTCTGTTTCCATCAGGAAGTACTTTTCGCGAGCCACCGAAGAGGAGGCAAGCGACTGATCGTTTGATATCTTCACAACCGTAAATCGACGGAGCGATAGATTTGGCGATTATATCGTAGATTTTCGGCTTCAATGCGAGCTCTCTCAGTGTTTCTTCCTGAAATCAAAGACGTTAAGATCTGTCCAAAAAGCAAAATTACCTCTTCTTCTGTAAATCGATTTCTATCACTTCCAGCTCTTCCTGGCCCGTTCGATTCCACTTCAACTCCAAGCACTCTTATGTACGACTGTCTGATACCAACTCCACCGGCAGTTTTCTTATCCCGGCCTCTTGGTCCTTGAACTTGTTGCCTTCGGATTTGATAGATTCCAGTTATCTCAATTCGATTTCCTGGGACAACGCGGTCAACAAGCTCGCGCTCCATGTAAAGACCCACATGTCTTGGCATTTCAGCTAGAAAAATGTTAATAAATGAAGTCTTTTTTCGTGTTTTACCTGTAGGAATGGAATCAGGGGACTCCTGCATTTTAACATTTTGAAAGTCTCTGCATTTGCAAAGCTCTGGTACAAGAATATAAGGATCAAGTGGGCAGGGATCTCGTGATGCTGAAGCTTCGGCCTCGCATTTTCGTGGCAGAACGTATCCTTCAAGACCGGGCTTGATTCGAATGTTGGATTTTGTGTGCTGACAGCTTCTGCAGCGGAGGGACAGGATTGAAGCCTGAAGAAAAGACTCAAGTGAGATTGAAATCAATGAAGAAAACCTTACCTTTGCTTTGACTTGTGAAGAGGAAACGGCAATGCCTGGAATTTTGACTAGTTTTCCAACGTCTAAAGCGGACAGCTCTCTGATCGAACGGGGCTCGGCTCCGGAAATAAGCTGCACTTGGAAGTCATCGTCGATCGGCTCATTGTCTTGCCGAGGTCGGGTGAGTTCATCTGCAACAAGTTTAGCTGCTTCTTCAAGCATCTCAAAAGCCTGGGAGGGGCGCTTTGTCATAGTTTCTGCCAGCGATGGGTCAAATCCTAACGAAACAGTAAGTTCCACATCTGAAAAGAATCGTTTTACCTGTCATGTGGCCAAGATTAACAACGATAAAGTTCGTATTCGTATCAACCGCGCGTTTAATACCATCTCTGTAGATGAATGAGCCATCAGTAGTTCTGTATTCACGAAGAAACTCCCTGAAACGGGTCTTCATCTGGGTGTAGTCTCCACCAGCTCCGGCGGGGACATTAGGTCCTCCAAGAGGATCCGAGCAGAAGACTCCCAGATCATCCAGGCCTGTCGCCATTCTAAAGTAAAAATTGTTAAATTAGGAAGAGAGTCTCTAGAATTTTCTCGAAGGCTCTGAATGACGAAATTTCGCGAAAATCGAGGAGGCAGGCAAAAGAAAAATAAGATTTTTCTCCTCGACTGGATCGAAAACAGAAAAAATCGGTTTTGCGGAGATCTAGAGACGGACGCAAAAAACACCAAATTCTGTGCTAACCCACGCGTGCCATTCCCTTATTTGGCGGGCGCGTGGGCGGAGGCCATTTTTTTCTCAAGAGATTTCAGATTTGGTGGAGAAGAAAACGGGTCTCAAAGAAACTCGAAAAGAGAAGATTTGTGATTGGAATAAATCGAGAAGATGGAACCGACCAGTAAAGAATTCAGGAAATTGTTCAATAATTTGCAACTAAACTCGTCATTTTTCTATAAAAATGAGATAAGAAATTATTATTGAACCCTTTTCACAGAGAAATTGAAGGCAGCCTTAATTTCTCTTGGGAAGAAACTCTTCGAGGGCTGAACATTGGAAATCGTGCTCCTTATCGACCCCAGAATTCGCTTTCCCAGCAAAACGACATTCTCTTCGAAGATGTTCTTTCAACAGAAATTCTCCACGATGGATCTCTTTTTACCAGAAAACTCATTCAAAAGCCTCTCGGTAAATGCCTCATTCAAAGTATCCTCCTATCGACCTTCAATTTCAGGTTCTGCGAAATTCTTGGAGCCATTTCTCGCTCCTTTTGGCATTAGTCTTCCAACAACCACCAATGTTCTTGAAGAATCTGTCGTCTGTCCGAAAACAAAGACGTCTTGGCAATGGAGTCGAAATTTGAAATCCGCGAAGCCGGAATATCTCGGCTACCCAGAATACCAATGGCTCGAGCTCTCTGAGCGCGCTACCTATCTCTCCCTATTTCCAAAGACGTTTTACTACAAGAAATGTCTTGCGCAGAGCTATCTAACAGGGAGAATGGGCTGGCTTGGTTTGCAAAAGTCAATGACGAACAAGGGCGCGACAAGATGGACACAACGCTCTGGCGGCCAAATAGACCGGCTTGTCGACGAAACTCAGCGGCAGATTGACGCGAGTAGTCCTCCCTTGGAGGAAATTCTCACCAAAGGTCTTCAGAAAAACAGGGAGAAAAACTAGTGCCACGCAGCTTCTTCCCTTCTAGTTCAACACTACAAGTTTTCAAGTTCACAAACACTGAAACAGCTACCTTTCATCTTTCGTTTTCCCCCTTTTCACCTCAACCCTTTCTTTGGGCATCATCGAATTATCCATTTGCTGACCAAATAATGAATCTAACCGCGAAATTCCGTCTTCGCTATTTTTCTCTTTCCTCAAAAATGATATTCTAAAAATGCAATCTTTCTATCTGACTACTCGTGTGTCGTACTGTTATATATTTAATTTAATTAATTAACATTTCCTTCTTGTTCAATTTCTGAATTTATCAAGCTTCAACTTATCAAGTACCTGATTTTTGTATTTTTCATTTTTCAACTAGAATGATGAATTCGAAATCGAAGAGTCCCCGCCCGTCAAGTAGAGAGACGAGCTACTTCGAGGGCAAGTTGGACTTCAAATGGCCCTCGATTATGAGCGGCCTGAGCACTCGAATCCCACAAGAAGGCGATAGAGCGCCGATTTTCAAAGATTCGGTTTTTGTGAAAATCTTGGAGGATGGAAGTCTCCACCAAAGAAAAATCATCCAGAAGCCTCTTGGCTCGGCAAAGTTCTTGGAAACGATCCTGGCCCCGTTCAATATTTCGTATCCAAAAGTCACTAATGTCGTCGAAGATACGATTATCAACAGAGAGGGCAAGACCTGCTGGATGTGGAGTAGAAATCTTCAGGTGATGAATTACCATAACAATTTTTTGGCCGAAAAAAAATTTTTTGAGATAATGGCATATTCTGAAAGCCCAAGTCAAAATTAGTCGATCCCCAAATTTCTAGGGCTCAATGACGTCATTATGACGTCATTTATGATTAATAAATGTCCGAAAAGGCTCCAAATTCATGAAACTTTGGAACGCTTTTTGAGACGGTTATCGTTTGAAATATATTTTTCTGCCTATAGCATGTTGTTAGGCAGGAAAAATTACGTGGGGACCCGAGGTTAATTTTTCGAACCGACCGGTTTCGAAAATTACCGGACACTAGAACCGGTTGGTAATGATGGTTTGAGCCCGGGTCCCCACGTATTTTTTCACGAGGAATCCGAATCCGCCGAGAAAATAAGGATTCAAAAACGTTTTTGGCTCTAAAAAGCGTTCCAAAGATAAAATTTTCAAATGAGCCGGATGACGTCATAATGACGTCACATGGCCCTAGAATTTGGTGATTCTGTCTAATTTTTTATGGGCTTTCAGAATATGCCATTATCTCAAAAAAATTTTTTTCGGCCAAAAAATTCTTATGGTAATTCATCAGGTAGTCACTTTGTTTATTCCTTATCGAACTATTTTTTAAGACAACCTTCCCGACTTACATGGGAAAGACTGAGTACGAATGGCTTGAAATATCCGAAAAAGCGTCTTACATCGGCGACCACTCGCCCCAGGCAAAGCCGACTTTTGTGTTCAAGAAAATGGAGGCAAACTCGTACCTCGACGGGAAGCTCAAGCTCCTCGGGTTGCCAAAGATCATGACGAAAAATGGCGCCAACCGATGGAAGACACGATCTTCCGGCCAGATAGAAACGCTAGTTCAAGAGATTACGAACATGTCCCCTAATTGTAAAATCCCAGTTTCCCCGTTGATTTCGGGGAAGAATAAAGTAGCTTAATTGTCACCCTGTCTCTATAATCCAGTTCAATTTCTGTTCAAACCAAAAAATGATCAAAAAACACACACACACGATTTCATCTTCTTCAACTCCAATCTTGTTCTAACTTATTTATAAAAAATAAATTGATATATCTGCCGTTTTTATATATACTTTTGTTGATAGAATGGTGTACAAAAAGCATGGCATGAAGAAAAAGTACACGGCGGGAGAGGCCACCGCGTACATCTCCCGCAAGAACGCTAGAAAGAAGCTTCAGGTGGGATTTTCTTGGCTGTTCTCTTCGTTGATTCCGACTTTTAGCTCTCGCTCGCTGATTTCCGACGATTGTGCATCCTCAAGGGTATTTATCCGAGAGAGCCTAAAAGCAGAAAGAAGGCAGGAAAGGGAGCTGCCAGCAATCGGACTTACTACTACACCAAAGATATCCAGTTCCTTCTCCATGAGGTACCATTCTTCAACTGCTATTAAAAGACTCACTTTTCACTATTCAGCCGCTGATTGAAAAATTCCGAGCGCACAAAGTCTTTTTGAAAAAGTTGAAGAAAGCCGAGGGCCGAAGAGACTGGAAAAAAGCCGACCAAGTTCGAGACCAGCGCCCCTTGTACAATATGGATCACATTGTTCTGGAGCGATATCCGACATTTAACGATGCTTTGAGGGACATGGACGATGCCCTGACCATGATCTTTATGTTTGCAAGGATCCCGAAGAGCTCTACTGTCCATGCCGGTAAGGATTCGATTCCAACAACTGATTTTAACAGTCTTTAATAGAACTTGTTGCAAACTGCCGTCGAATCGCCTTTGAATGGATGAACTTTTGCATTCACGCACAGTGCATTCGCAAAGTTTTCGTCTCCATCAAAGGCTACTACTACCAAGTCGAGCTCAAGGGCGAAACCATCACCTGGCTCGTTGCTCACGAGTTCGCCCAGGAACACAACGAGGATGTCGATTACAAGGTCATGCGAACATTCACCGAGTTCTATGCCAACGTCGCCTCTTTCATCCTTTTCAAACTTTACACAGAGGACAACTTGAAGTACCCACCCATCGGACAGAAAGACTACGATGACGATGAATATGTAAAGCGTCAACAAAGTGATTTGGAATCACTGACCCTCGAACTAAGAAAAAGGTAAGATGTCCGATTCAAAAGTTGTTTTAATCTCGGATATTCAGTAAGGCCATCGAAGAGAGTGAAGATGATATTGACGAGCTGGCAGCGGCAACTGGCGACGAAGGACTCCAGAAAGCCATTGAGCAGGAAAAAACCCAGCGATCACAGAAAAATATCTTCAAGGTACGCCTCGATGAAATTCTCGTGCATATCTTCATTTCATTTTCAAGGGTTGCAAAGTGTTCATTTCCCGCGAGTGCCCTCGAGCTCCTCTTGCCTTCCTCCTCCGATCACTTGGCGCTGAAGTTTCTTGGGACAGCGAGCTCTACCCAGGCGCTTCTTTCAAACTTGACGATGATTGCGTGACACATTTGGTCATTGATCGACCCACAGCTCCCCAAAAACTTGGACGACAGGCCGTCCAGCCGCAGTGGGTCTTCGACTCTGTGAACTTTGGTGGATTGATGCCAACTAATGACTACGTCCCTGGAGCTGGTAAGTAACATCTCCACTTGAATAATTAATATGTTTGCATCAGTAATATTACAAAAAGCTGTTTTTCGATTCTGATCAGCCCGAGTTTCATTTAAAATTTAAGAACTTCCACCTCATTTGAGTCCATTTGTCAAAGAGGGTCAGTACGTTCCACCAGATATGGAGGTTCTCCAGTCAAAGGCGCGAGGAGAAGATCCAGGCATTGGCAAAGACTCGGACGAAGAGGTTGATGAAGAGAGTGACGACGAAGCTGAGGACCTCGAGGAGGAAGAGGAAGAAGAGGAAACGGAAGAAGCCGAGGAGCCTCCAGCGAAGAAGATGGCAAAGGTACGATAAAAATAAACACGACAGAGAATGATAAAGATTAATAGGTTGCTATTGAAGAAAAGAAGGAAGATAAGCCGAAAGAGTTCAAAAAGCGAGACGTAAAGGCTGCCGGGCGGGATAAACAAGAACCCAAAGAGGACGTGATCGAAGCAGAGAAAAATAAATTAGCGCGCGCCGCACAGACGAGTAAAAAGCGAAAGAGACTTTTGGAACGTATCGAGAAATCGGAGCGAAAGGACAGAGGACGCATCGAGAAGTTGACGAATAAGAGGGCGAAGATTGATGCGGCAAAGAAAGCTGAAGCTAAAAAGTCGAAAAAAGCTGCCAAGTTGGATTAATTGGATTAAACTTTTGGAAAAGCTTTAGTTTTGTTTTTTTTACAGAAAGACCTCACGCTTTAACGTGAGGTCTTTGGGTAGGTGGGAACCGAAATCTTGAATCCTTCATATTTGGTTATCAGTCACGTAACTCTCAGAGGCCCTGACACAAATTAATAATCGCCATGTATAATCATTAGATTGCCGGGTTATGGGTTTAAAGATGTCCGATTGACCTTGTAGCTTTCATAATTATAGTATTTATATTTCAGACATGAGAAATGAACATATTCGTGGGAGCCCGTGTGTGCCGAGGCCGTGACTGGAAGTGGGGTCGCCAAGACTCGGGCGACGGTCATCTTGGCACTGTTCGCAGTTTCGAGAGCAATGAAGAAGTCGTCATTGTCTGGGACAATGGCACTGCAGCCAATTATCGATGCTGCGGTCAATTTGATCTGAGGTAGCCTACTGTAATCGAATCAATTTTCTAATAAAGTTATTCAGGGTTTATGACTCTGCTCCAGCAGGAATTCAGCATTCCGAGGCTATGTGCGATACATGCCGGCAACAGCCAATTTGTGGCATTCGTTGGAAATGTGCGGATTGTCATAATTACGATCTGTGTTCGACTTGTTATCACGGCGATAAACACCACCTTAGGCATCGATTCTACCGAATCTGCACAAGTGATGCTCCTCGGCGACTTGTTGAAGCACGGCGAAAGTGCAAGCGCATTCCGACACGTGGCCTCTTGCCCGGGGCGCGTGTCGTGCGAGGCTTCGATTGGCAATGGGAAGATCAGGACGGCGGCAAGGGCAGAAAAGGAAAAATCACCGAAATTCAAAATTGGAATCCTTCAAGTCCGCAGTCAGGCGCTTATGTCCTTTGGGACACCGGCGAGCGCAATCTTTACCGAATATGCTACAATGGCATGTCGGATTTGAAATGCGTCTCTGATGGAAAAGGGCCCTCATATTATCGCGATCATTTGCCGGCGCTCGGCGAAACAAATCCGGCAAGACCGATAAATACGTTTTCAATTGGCGATCTTGTTACGGTAATGCTAGCACCAGAAATTGTCCAGAGTTTGCAGCACGGGCACGGGGGCTGGACTGATGCAATGTCAGAATGTCTCGGTGCGGAAGGACGCGTGGTCGGAATCGACGAGGACTCTGACATCCTTGTGCAATATGCCAACTCAAGAAATCAGTGGACATTCAACCCCGCCGTTCTGACAAAGAAAAACACACCACCTCGATCAGACGTCATTCTAAATGCTGATGCGGCGATGTCATCCTCTCCTGTTCCAGTTAAATTTGTCAAAGATGATCTGGTCAAAATCAGCCCTGATCCTGTCAAAGTTAAGCTGCTCCAAAAAGGCCACGGCGAATGGACGGATCAGATGTCGAAGCTTCTCGGAAAGATCGGGAAAGTGTCGGAAATCTTCCCCGATAAGGACGTAAAGGTTCAAGTGGGAACAAAAGAATTCGTTTTTAACCCACTTGTACTCGAGTTCATCGCTAATTTCAAGGGATCTGAAAGTGCACGGGTTGTTTGTGACAAACTGCAGATGTATTTTCTCAATGAAAGCGCTAATCTTCTTTCTCGAAGTGCTGCGGGCTCCGGCCAAGATCCTCCGGTTCAAGATCTTTCCCACTGGGACGCTATGATTATGGACAAGCCGCTACCTTCAGTCGAGCGATTGAATTTTGGGAATCCTTCATCTGTCTTTTTCGATCAAATCTTTGGGCAGAACCCGTTACTGTTTGCCGCGTATGTTGGCCATTCAGAAGCAATTGAGTTCTTTCAAAAGAAGATTTCGGGAGGAAGAAATACAACTGATTCGGCTGGAGATGGCCCCTTGCACTACGCTGTCTACGGAGCTAGCGAAGGTGGAATTCCGAAGATACTCGATTGTGGCTTTGAAATCAACTCGCGGAACTGGAATGGTCAGACGGCCCTGCATCTGAGTGTGATTCGAGAAAGCGTTGCAGTAGTAAGAAAACTACTTGAATGTGGTGCAGCTCCGAGCTTACGAGATGCTCAAGGATCAAGTCCGCTTCATTACGCTGTTGTTGGTCACAGAGATGATCTAGTTTCGATTCTGATGATGAACGGGGCAGATCCGGCTGTAAAAGACTCGGATGGAATGAATGTTTTCCATTTGGCGGCGCAGAAGGGCTCGATCGGTGCGCTTCAAGTTCTGCTAGATGAGAAATTCGACCTTGCTAGTCGGTAAGTTTGAGATAAATTTGTTTCTTTGGTAAAGACGCGCTTTTTTTAAGGTGGTGGAAGTTTTCTAGCCCACTTCCGCCATACCGACCCTGGAACACCATACCTTATCTGAATCAGCAGAAAATTTCAAGAATTTTGACCCATTAATATTCTAGAAATCTTCACTTCCGGTCGATTCTAGAGCCGGAAGTTGACGAAATTTTCGAATATGTATAAAGTGTGACCCATCAAATTGATGCTTAGAAGATTCTGAATCATCTCATTATCGATTCATCCAAAGAAACAAATCCGACCGCGGTCTAACCGACCGTCAAAACAACGAAAAAAGCATAAATTTATGAATTTTTTTTCAGTTTTTAGCGGTTGATTTGATCGTGGCCGGGATTGGTTCTTCTCTTAGATGATAGCCCATTGATAGGGAATCTTCTGAGAATCAATTTGATAGGCCAAAAGTTGCCCGTTCTCCCGAATTTCGATGACTTCCGGCTCTAGAATCGACCGGAAGTGGAGATTTCTAGAATTTTAATGGGTCAAAGTGTGTAAAATTTTCTGCTGATTCAGAAAAGGTATGGTGTTCCAGGGTCGGTATGGCGGAAGTGGGCTAGAAAACTTCCACCACCTTAAAAAAAGCGCGTCAAAATATACTCCCTCAGGAGTGAAGAGGGGCGACTAGAATTTCTAGTAGCTTCAGGGATTGTTCACCAAGTCCACATTTCCCAAGTTTTTCAAGGGTTTTCGGGTCCAAGCAATAAAAGTTGTGCATCCTTAGCTAATTATTGAATGGTTTTCATATGTGCGGTTTATCTGCTGACATGTGACCTTATGGTTTTTTGAGAGAAGCATCATCCGAACGAGACTAGGTATTCTTCACCGACAATCAGAGGATTGACAGATTTGTAGTTTTTCTTAATCACTTGCTAGCGAAATACCGGTATTTTAAAATGTGGAACGATAGAAGTTATCTCTATCTTATGGTTTTCTTAGAGTATATTTTTAAGAGTTTGGATTCTCGACGAAGTCTGTGACTCTGGTCAAACTGCGATTCATTATGCATCCATGCAGGTAACCGAGATCTTGTCGTATCTTTTGACAAAAAATTTTATTAGCCGAATGAAGAATGTCTTGAAATCCTTCTCATCGCTGGTGCAAATCCCACTATCGCCTCCGAGCGCGCCCGCGAAACCGCCCTTCATATCACATCCTCCCGCGCCAACTTCGCCTCGCTCCGAATTCTGCTGAAGAAATCGACGCTCTACGAAGATAACTGGGTCAACTTTAAAGATCTCAAGGGCAACACAATGTTGCATAATCTCATCTCTCTCGTCGAGAACGACTCTAGTTCCTCTCGTACTTCTACCCTCGTTAGTTCTATCGGATCCCTTGTTCAACTAGCGATCACGCACGGAGCGGACATATCGATAAGAAACGAAAGCGGAAAATCACCACTGGATCTCTGCAGCGATCCGAATTCGAAAGAGACTTTTAAGCTAAAGGTTCAAGCGTTTATTTAACTTTTTCCTCATGCTACTATTTTAGCGGATTCTTGAGCGTGCTCATCAAAAATACGCGAAGCAAGAAAAGCCGCTGCGAAAAACGTCTAATAACGCGATTTCAGCTACACAGCTGAACAACCACTCCCAGATGAAGTTCTGCGAGGTCTGCACAGAGAACCAAATCGACGTGATCATGCTCCCTTGTAATCACATGTTCTGCTGCACCACCTGCAGTCCTAGGATCAAAAATGCATGGTCTGCAAGGAACTGGTGGATGACAAGATCACCATTCCGAAACTGTGCTATCTGTGCGAAGAAACGCCGCCTACCATTCAATTCACGCCCTGCTTACATGTGCTTCTGTGTCAACCGTGCTCCTCGACGCCCAAGAGCTGCATCAAATGTAGAATTCCTATCATGTCCAAAACTTCCATTTTCTCCAGCACTGATAACTCATCTCTTCAAGGTATTTTTCGAACCAATGAAACATGCAATTAAAGTTCCTTCTTCAGAAATCAACAATTCATCGCTTGCCCAAAATATCAAGACGCTCAGCATCACGAAAAACAACCCTAAAGGCTCAACAAACACCGACTTGGCTCTCCGTACTCTCCAGGGAAAATACCAAGAGCTGCGGGACCGCGTCATCTGCGTCATCTGCCTGGATAACGTCATGAACATGGTGTTCTTATGTGGCCACGGGAGCTGCCAAATGTGTGGCGATCGGTAAGACATTATCTGCATATCCATGGTTAATATTTTTTAGATGCTCTGATTGCCCAATTTGCCGAAAACGAATCGAACGAAAAATCCTCCTCTACTGCTAACCAGAAACCACCACCTGAACCAACTTACATTCTCATTTACTACTATTCGGTTTTAGATTAAAACTTCATCTTTTTGTTACTGTAATGTCTGATCTCCCCTTTTTTGTCTCTTGTGTGAATAAATGTCGTGAAAAAATAACAATCGTTGAAGTTCATCCGACCTTGATTAAATGAGGTCTTGTGATCTTCGATTGTAGTTGATGCATGGTTCCTGCAAGTAAATATAATTTATTACAGAATGAACTAAAATGGATTTTTTCGAAGAAATTTTAAAAGATGAACCGCGCTTCCTTCGCGTGGATAACGTCAAAAAAATTGGCGAGTTTGCAGAAATGATATTTTCACTTGCCACAGACTTGGACTATCTGTACTTTGGAGTGAAAGGAAAGGAGCGGAAGAACAAGAACGGAGAATATGTTGTACCTGACGTGAAAAAATACCGCGAAAAAGTGAGGTTTCGTCAAATGCAGATTTCAAAAAGATACAAAGTGCTCAGGAAGAAGTTTCTTGGAGAAGAGAAACAAGTCACTGAAACTGAGTGTCAGACAGACAGAAAGACTTCTTCAGTTGGGTCGAGTCAAACGATCATTACGAACGCTATTCTAAAGGGCATGATTGAAAAGAATGAACCAGTCGAAGTTTCCGGCATTTCGACCCAGACAGAAGTTCCAGAATCGCCATTTGTTCAAAAACCGATCGGCAAGACTAACTTCCCCTCTTCGACAAATGCGCGCGGTCGAGGTAGAGGTAAATATTATCATCATTTTTCAACGATTATATTCACTTTCCTCAGGTCGGGGTCGCGGTGGTCTTTATCGTCCGTCCTCTCGTCTTGATTCAAGCAACATTGGTTTCGATAAAATGGAAAGTGAAGTGAAGAAGCCGGAAAAAGCTGGTCGACCGGATTCTAACATTGGAAACAGTTCTCTTGTCTTTGAAGAAGCTTTGCCGGAGCCCGAGAAAACTGTGCAAGAAAATCCAGCAGCAAAGAAGCGGTTGATTAGACCAAAAGATGAGGAATTCGAAAGATATGAACCCGAGATTATCGAGCGAACTTTCACAGTAAGAAGATTCTTTAAAATTATCGAGAAGTAAAATATATTTAAAATAGTCTCTCGATAAATTTCAACGAAATCCGTCTTCGAATGCAAAGCCAATTCCACGCAAGTTCAAGCCGTACCAACAAGAACCTGAAATTCCAAATAAGGAAAATGTTCCCTTTTGTGCGAAAGAAGAAGACGTTAATGAAGAGTTGCCTAAAGTTCAGGCTGAAAAACGTAAAGAAACTGCTTCAACTGTTGGAGCACGCGGTGATTCGACTCTTTTTCCCTCCGAAAATTCAACCGTTGCTCCGACAAGTGCTGTTGAAGAAAATGAAGACGATTTGACTGATGAAGAAAAAGAACCCCGCGAATCATCGAAAGATATTGAAACTCCAGATGTCAAAATATCTTCTGAGAAAGAGATGAATGATAAGAAAATAGATGATTGCGTCCGAGAGCAGCAGGTGGCTGAGAATAATGAAGAAGATTTGAAATCAGAAAAAGGGGAACAAGATTATGTTGAAGAACAGAAAAGCTCGAGCTCAGATTCAGATAGGGATGATTTGACAACTGAGCAAAAAGAATTAATGGACGACGTAAATCGAGTTGCGAATATGGCCCCTTCCGAAGTAGACACGGATTTTTCAGACGAAGAAATTGTACCACCTCCTGTTCAGACTCAAGGAGGGATTGTTGAATTATCATTTACGGTTTAAATTCCTGTATCAATTTTGATTCGTACGTTTTGTGACTTCTCACTGCGGGTGAGTCATTCACTACTTTACAAGTGCAAAATCAAGTGCCAAATAAGGACATTTGTTGCGGCACTTTTTCCAAAAGAGGCAACTGACGCGTTCACACCTTTTCCACGCTATAAAAGGGACCGGCAACGGGTTTTCAATCGCCACTTGGACAACTTTGAAAAAGTAATTTAGCTTTTTTAAAAACCTTTTTCAAAATGATGATGCACGATTCCGAAGAGGAGGAAGAGCAGACCGCGCTCGTCTGCGACAACGGTAAGAAACTCGAGAGAAATTTAGATACAGACCCTTTTTCCATTCAAAGTAGAATAAATTTATTATTCCATTCTTTAGGATCTGGTCTCGTCAAGGCCGGTTTCGCTGGTGACGATGCTCCCCGAGCTGTCTACCCCTCCATCGTCGGCCGACCCCGACATCAGGGTGTCATGGTCGGTATGGGCTCCAAGGACTCCTACGTCGGAGACGAAGCCCAGTCCAAGCGAGGTATCCTCACCCTCAAGTACCCCATCGAGCACGGTATCATCACCAACTGGGACGATATGGAGAAGATCTGGCACCACACCTTCTACAACGAACTCCGAGTCGCCCCAGAGGAACACCCCACCCTCCTCACCGAAGCCCCACTCAACCCCAAGGCTAACCGAGAAAAGATGACCCAGATCATGTTCGAGACCTTCAACGTCCCCGCCATGTACGTCTGCATCCAGGCCGTCCTTTCTCTCTACGCTTCCGGCCGAACCACCGGTATCGTTCTTGACGCTGGTGATGGTGTCTCCCACAACGTCCCCGTCTACGAAGGTTACGCCCTTCCCCACGCCATCATGCGACTCGATCTTGCCGGCCGAGATCTTACTGACTACCTCATGAAGATCCTTACTGAGCGAGGTTACTCCTTCGTCACCACCGCCGAGCGAGAAATCGTCCGAGACATCAAGGAGAAGCTCTGCTACGTCGCCCTCGACTTCGAGCAGGAAATGGCCACCGCTGCTTCCTCCTCCTCCCTCGAGAAGTCCTACGAACTTCCCGACGGTCAGGTCATCACCATTGGTAACGAGCGATTCCGATGCCCCGAGACCCTCTTCCAGCCATCCTTCATTGGTATGGAATCCGCTGGTGTCCACGAGACCACTTACAACTCCATCATGAAGTGTGACATCGATATCCGAAAGGATCTCTACGCCAACAACGTCCTCTCTGGCGGTACCACCATGTACCCCGGTATTGCCGATCGAATGCAGAAGGAAATCACCGCCCTCGCCCCATCCACCATGAAGATCAAGATCATCGCTCCCCCAGAGCGAAAGTACTCCGTCTGGATCGGTGGTTCCATCCTCGCCTCCCTCTCTACCTTCCAGGCCATGTGGATCACCAAGGCCGAATACGACGAAGCCGGTCCTTCCATCGTCCACCGAAAGTGCTTCTAAATACTCGCCAGATATTTTCCAATGCGAAATCATTTTCTGTCGTTTTTTGTACTTTTCGAATACACTACCTCCATGTAATTCTTGTTTATCATTGCCATTTTCAATTATTTCAAAATCCCAAACAGAACCACATAGAATAGCCACTCCTCCAGTGTCTGAAAGATTGCCCAGATCTGAGGAAGCTCCTCCTCTTAAAAGGTCACCCGAACAATTGTCAGAGCAAGACTCAGAAGAATGGGAAGTTGGAACACTCAGTGACCGAAAAGTAGTTTGGAAAAGGATGCTTGGGAATCTCTGGAAATATGAATGCAGGTCCATCGCGTTGGATAAATTAGATTCGAGAGGACAAGAGTTCAAGACGATTTTTGAGGAAACAAGGAACAAGTTGATACGCGATCCGGATGAAGTTATTAGCGACGAAGAAACCTTTGCCGAGTTTTCTGAAAACAAAGACGACAGCAATAATAATGGATTGAATAAACTTGACAAGGAAGAGTTTAAAATTACTGCTAGTCTTTCTCTTTGGCAGATATTTTATGAACTTTTAAAAGACAAAAGCATGTCGAGTTATTTGCTTTTATATTGGAACTAAAAACGTCCTCAAAACGACTCGATTCACAAAATTTGTCATTCAAAAGATTGAGATGACTTTCAAAAAGAATATCTACAAGCTATTTCTGGAGGCGAAACTCGAAGATAAAGATTCGCTGTTTACCGAGAAGAATGTGATGAAAATGAGAGAAAAAATAAAGAATGAGATTGAAAAGCTTGCTGAATACTTTCTGTGCAAAGGAGGAAAGTGGATTAATATCTGTAAGGCGATCAGTGTCACGGAAGAAAACAGTAAAAACGACGGGTAAAGAAAGACTGAAGGGGGACATTTGCTGATTCTTATTTTAGTTTCCGAATCAGCTATCATTCCGCAAATGACTCGGACGATTCTGATGCAGCGCAACGGAGGGAAATGGAGAGAAATTTGAGGGAGCTTGAGTCAGATGATAATCGGCAAATCGAGCGTATCGATGAAATTTGGCAAAGCATGATTAGCGCTGAGGCCGAGCTTCCTTATGGCTATTTTGATGCGATCGCCGCGACCACTGAGGTTTAAACTCGTGAGCGCAATCTTCATTTTAAAAATCTTTTAGTTTTCGATGGTTGAGGAGCTCGAATTCGAAAACGTACTAATGTTTCATAACGATGATGATTTTGTTATGGAAGGCGCCAACATGAAGCCAGTCAAGAAAGCCCTGATGAACATTTCAGCCGCTGTTGGAAAGTCTAATATTTTCAACCATATTTATCTCTACAAACCTGATATCATCAAGGTAGCCTTGAAATATTGAGTCTTTCAACAACTAATTTTAGTATCTTGAAGAAGGCGAGACATGGCAGACACTGAAGAACCTAGGCCTGTCTCCATTCATTTGGGCAGTTAATCTGACCCCCGCCCCGGAGAAAGAGATAGTTGGCGATCTGGTGGATATCTGGAAGTTAGAACAGCCGCTTGACAAGGCAGGGAAAATCGATTGGATGGATGAGGAAGATTGGGAAGAATATGTTCTCAAATGCGAATGCGTGCCTTAATTCATTCTTCATCTTTACCTATTATTTCGCTTCTGTAAATACCAAAACACTGAAAACTTATTTCTTGCTCACCTCATTGCCACGAATTTAATAAAAACTCACAAATCTTCACACGATTTCGACTCATCTGAACATATTTCTATCCCTTCTTATATTGACTCGTTATTCCTATTATCAACCGAGATCATGAGATCTCAAGAGAGGAATAGAAGTAAACCATCAAACCGATTGGACGATTTAAACTCGATGAATTATTAAGTGCAGTCGAAGTGGAAAATCGCGGCCCAGTGCGGCGCCTACTTGGCTCTGGGACTAATACTCGCCGTCGTCCGTAATCGATCTACGACTTTTGGACAGAAAAAGAGAATGACCTCCCTAGACAAGGTAAGCAACGACACACTTCAGAATAATAACGATTCAAGTTCTACGAAGAGCCATTAGGAGACCACAAAATCAAGAGCACATTCGTCGCTCTTAGTCAAGACGACGCTACGAATGAGTTCATCAACTGGAGCAAAGAACGTACTGACCAGTTTTTTCTTCAACTCTTTTACGATGTCTCCGCTCCCTTTCTAAAGATCTTCACAACGAAAACGACCACAAATGCGATTCTCCACCGGGGCGAAATGTTCGTCGTTTCGAAAGAGCAGCTGACAAAGCTCATGCCAGAAGCATTCGAAACCAACAAAGAATTCAAGTTTCAAAATTGGATTGATCTTGGAGCTGGCGACGGAGGAGCGCTCATCAGAGGCCCGAGCATGATTACAGAAAAAATGAGCACGACAGAAATCTGCCCAGTGATGAGGAAAAGGCTCGAGTGGCGGGGATTCACTGTTGAAGGTTTTTCGTCTAAAAAGAGGCGGCTGTAACAGACGATTTTAGATACGGATAACTGGGATCAATCAGAGACGAAATGGGATGTGATCTCGATGCTCAACCTGTTGGACAGAGCAGCTAATCCGGATCTGTTTCTCGATAAAGCTTATGATGCGCTTTCCCCAGGTAAAAGCCCCTTTTAGGTTTTTATCTTCAATTTTTCTAGGTGGCTATTTAATAATTGCGATTGTTCTTCCATACCATCCTTACGTCGAGCGCGGTGGAACGTTTACGAATAAACCTACTGCCAATGTTGACAAGTTTATTTCTCCTAGTCGGAAATATGTTGATCAAGTGGCTACATTCATATCAGCTGTAGAAGAAAAGGGGTTTAGACACACAGCGTGGTCTTCTGTCCCGTATCTTTGCGAGGGAGATAGAACTATAGGTTTGTAGTCTTCTTTGTTGATAGACTTTCATGTATATTTTGTAGGTTACTATTCACTAAAAGATACGATCATAATTTTCCGAAAAGACACTGCTTCATCTTCTGTACCAACTTCAGCGCCTTCTTCCGAACAGAAAAAAGATGAGCTTTGATTGTCGAGTCAAGACTCTCGACATTAGACTTTTGATTTCTTCTGATTCCGAATAAATAATATGCTTCGCAAGAATCTTTCGAAATGGGCCGTGAAGTCAGCAATTTCGAAATATTGGATGGCTGGACATGTTTTATTTGACCGAGATGTGCACTCGTCTACTTTTGTGTCTAGCGTTTATTTACATAGTCATTCAGTCAGTTGAACTTTCAGTCAATTTTTTTTGTCGGAATAATATATAGAAAATGAAGGCAATATATTTTTCGTTGATCTATCTGGCTTCCGGGTTGATAAGCAAATCCTGCAGACATTATAGTTTGGGGAGAGAATGTCAAAGAAAATGCGATTTGTTTCGGAATCAAGAGATTGAAAGTTGCGCTCAAAATCATGCCTGTAAAACTGGGGCTGTTAAAAAATGGGGCAAGTGTAACGAAGAATGTCCCTGTGGAGACGAGTGTAAAAATGGTATGAGTCTCTCAAGTCAAATTCAGAAAGTATATTCGCTATTTAGGCTGCACAGGCTGTACGAGTAGAACCTGTGAGTGCCTTGACAGACGAACGAGTCCGAACTTCCTTGAGTGTCACACAATAACTTTCAATCAAAAAATCGAGTGCGAGGCTCAATGTCTAGACGACATCTACTGCTACGACATTTGCGCTTATCGATTTAAAAAAGCTATTACATTCTGCCCCTGCATGCAAAATTGTGAAACTGGTTGTCCTTGTGAGTTGACGCAAAGGAATTACGCCGAGGGGTTCTTTTGGAATTGTACTGATGTTGGAGTCAGTCCAAGACCGACAACGACGAGTTTTTCAACAATTAGGACGACTCCAACGAGTTCGTTTACGATAGACGATCTGTCTGATATTTTTGAATCTTCCTGGGTAAAATTTCTTCGAAACTCTCCGCGAACATTTTTTTTAGTCTCAATTTGAAACTGAAAACATGAAGGAATACCTCAACGCCGAAGGGTGGAAAAGCGGTTTTATGATGAACATGGCACTAAATGTCAACCCAAAACTATCATTTTCGAAGATATCAGAGGGAAAATATTCGCAGATATTTACAGTTGGTTTTGTGAAGAAAAAGTACCCACTCGACTTCAATAAGGAATATTCTCACGTCAACGGGCTTGACGAGTCAGTTCATTCTTCCATAAAGATCACTGGAGGTACGTTTAAATCCTGGTTTGAAATTAAAAGTTGTCTTTTTCAGTGAATAAATTTGAAATCTACACAACTGGTGGAAACGCTGGCCCAGTGAGAACAATCTACGAACTAAAAAACAACGAGATGACAATGAAATTGACGCTCGTTGAGGCCAGCATATCTTCAACCCGCAAATTTCGTAAAAATTAATTAATCTCTTAATAAATCTTCAATTCGCTCTTTCCATATCCCCGCAAGCATGTATCGTTGTTTTGCTTCTTTCAAGAAAGCTTGTTGATAATGCAAACATATAACAAGAAATGCGAAATAGCTATGTACAGATAAAACAATAAAATTTTGATCAAAATTTTATTCAAAAAAGTTTTTTTGAGGAGTAAATGGAAAGAATAAGCGGCAGAGATAATTACAAAAAATCGTTACAATTCTTTTAACGATTTTAGTTTCCGTCTCCAGAGCCGGATCCTTCGGGCTCAACGCACTCGTATTGAACCTGGATGTATTTGTCAGAGCCAGGGCAAGGATCAGAGCCAGCGTATTCGTTGGAAGCTTCGAGAACGCAAGAAGCCATGCCGTTGCAGTCAGCCTGGACCTTGTTTCGGAGGTTGGCGATGGTGCCTGGACCGGTGCAGATAGAGGTGGCGGATCCGTCGCCTGAAATAAAGAAATAAAATTGCCGAGGAAGTCCAAAAAGTACCTTTGCAGATGTTGCTGGATCGTCTGCCGTGCCAGGCGTTGATGATGTTGAGCTCTCCCATCTCGCATCGGATGACATCATCGAATCTGCTGTCACCGTTGTCACAGACTCGATCGTGTCGCTGAGAAGTGAAGAAGCTTCTTCGTTTTCATCATCAATATACCGTGGTTTTCCATTTTAAGAGCGTTTTTTGGATGACAGGTCTCGCTCAAATCGCTCTTAGATTGGAAATTTCTCAATAAAGGTAGGATGACAGTGGGATTTTTAATATTTTGTGACAACCTTGTGTTCTGCTATTACAAAAAAAAGATCCGATGTTTTCTTGACGATTTCATCGTCGATCATGATCATCTGAACATCAAGGAAGAAGATCTCGTGAATAAAGCGAACGAAATCTTCATGAACATAAATCCAGCAATCTTCAAGCGCTCTTGGATCAATACTGGGCTGATCAAGGAGGAAGAATTCGAAGGAGCTGTTGAAGATTTTGAGGACTTGGATGTTTTGGAAAGTTAGCTGGAGAAAGAAGACGAGGAAGAGCTGGTCGAGCATTTTCTGGCGCTTCAAATCGATGAAACACGAGCCGCGACCCCGATGGAGATTGAAGAGGAACCTCAAGTTCAAGAGATAGAGACACTGCAAAGCCTTCGACTTCAAAATGGCCAGAAAAGCAGTCAAAGATTACAAAATTTTTTAATAAATGATTTACTGTAAGTCTGAAAATTTTTTTATTTCTAATAAAAATCTTCAAAACCGCTCTTAAACTGGAATTTTGGAAGATGACAACATTTTCAAAATATAGGCAAAAACGCTCTTAAAGTGGGCGCTCTTAAAATGGAAAACCACGGTAATACAAATGTAATAATATGTATAATAATGTATAATTATATATATTGGCAATGTTTATAATTAAAGGCAGGAGCATTTCACGGTTAGATTTGACCGCAGGTTTTCAATCCAACGCAAAGAGATTTCATCCAAAAAGAAACCATGCATCTTCATTGCGTCGTAAAAAACAAATTGTATTTCTTTACATTATGTACATAATTTTATGGATCGTCGTTTTGATTGGCCGGTTGGCAAGATATAACAATCTTATTGGTAATCCAAAATTGGACTTCCGTTAATTAGTTTAGTCCCATTATGTCAAAAATGGAAACGTGGTTAGTTTTCAAAATATGTCCAAACGTCATCGCATTTGTATTTCTTGGCTAATTGGCGACACAAACAGTGAACTCTGAATAGATTTCGATTCCATGGTCATTGACGAGTTGTTGTTTATTATTTCAATTAATATGGCGTGGAAGGGAAGCAGTGCCACGCGCGCTTGGCGAAGTCGTCTTTTTTCCTGACAGGGAGCAGAGCAGAGACCGAGAGAATGAAATGCGTCCTCTTTATCATATCTCTTTGTGTTGCGTCTAGGTCGAGTCTTCGAAGAAGGCCAAGAAGGAAGGGCTTTTAGATTGAAAAGTTTGATCAGCCTGCCCAAGATCTCCACCTTCGAATCAAGATGCCGGCTGGTACAAAATTAATCTTCTCGTCGACCGAAGACTTTATTACACCAACTCAGATGTAAGTATTGAGTGTTTTAATGACGGGCTGAAAAACTGATCATGAGAGATTTACGCTCGAAGCGGGTCTAGTTTCAGCCATGTGAAGTGATTATTGGACTCTATTGGAAATAGATTTTCACACTTATGGACGAAGGAAAATTTTCTGCAGAAGATCTGGAAACCGATTGATCTGTGATTCAAGCAAGAAAGAACCAGAGCGGGAAGTGAAGAGACCGGAGATAGATCCTCCACCAGATTACGACCAGCAGACTATGGCAAAATATCCGTTAGCTCCAACAAGAACTCCTAACAAAACGACTCTGAAGACGACGCCTAGACCCATGAGAAAAACAACTACCTTTGTTAGCATCAAAACTACCATTGCAACTTCTACCGAGCCAACTGAGAAAATAGTCACTACTTCTAATACCGAAACCACTACAACAACGATGACTCAAACCACCACAACCAAGGCCAGTCCAAGACCCACAACGACGAGTTTTTCGACAATTCGGACGACTCCACCGAGTTCATTTGACGATGTGGCGGATATTTTGGAATCTTCCTGGGTAAAATTTCTTCGAAATACTTAGCAAATATTTTTGTAGGTTCAATTTGAAACTGAAAACATGAAGGAATACCTCAATGCCGAAGGGTGGAAAAGCGGCTTTATGATGAACATGGCACTAAAAGTCAACCCCAAGCTATCATTTTCGAAGATATCAGAAGGAAAATATTCGCAGATATTTAGAGTTGGTTTCGTGAAGAAAAAGTACCCACTCGACTTCAATAAGGAATATTCTCACGTCAACGGGCTTGACGAGTCAGTTCATTCTTCCATAAAGATCACTGGAGGTACGTTTAAATCCTGATTTGGAATTAAAAGTTGTCTTTTAGCGAATAAATTTGAGATCTACACAACTGGTGGAAACGCTGGCCCAGTGAGAACAATCTACGAACTAAAAAACAACGAGTTGGCAATGAAATTGACGCTCGTTGAGTCCAGCATATCTTCAACCCGCAAATTTCGTAAAAATTAATCAAGCTCTTAATAAATCTTCAATTCTTTCTTTCCATATCCCCGCAAGCATGCATCATCGTTTTGCTTCTTATAGAAAGCTTGTTGACAATGAAAACATATAACAAGAAATGCGAAATAGCTATGTACAGATAAAACAATAAAATTTTGATGAAAATTTTATTCAAAAAAGTTTTTTGAGGGGTAAATGGAAAGAATAAGCGGCAGAGATAATTACAAAAAATCGTTACAATTCTTTTAACGATTTTAGTTTCCGTCTCCAGAGCCGGATCCTTCGGGCTCAACGCACTCGTATTGAACCTGGATGTATTTGTCAGAGCCAGGGCAAGGATCAGAGCCAGCGTATTCGTTGGAAGCTTCGAGAACGCAAGAAGCCATGCCGTTGCAGTCAGCCTGGACCTTGTTTCGGAGGTTGACGATGGTGCCTGGACCGGTGCAGATAGAGGTGGCGGATCCGTCGCCTAAAATAAACAAATAAGACTGCCGAGAAAGCTTAAAAAATACCTTTGCAGATGTTGCTGGATCGTCGGCCGTACCAGGCGTTGATGATGTTGAGCTCTCCCATCTCGCATCGAATGACATCATCGAATCGGCTGTCACCGTTGTCACAGACTCGATCGTGTCGCTGAGCAGTGAAGAAGCTGGAAGTGTAAGAGTCCCACTGCGCGTTGGTACCATCTTCGAGGTTTCTCCATGGCTTGCCGTCGTTGGCGAAGTAGGCCCAGGAGCATGGTCGCTCGGTGTCATCGATGTACTTGCAGTAGCCCCAGAGGGTGTAGTATCGCTGTCTGTCGAGCTTTCGGAGGATCTTGTAGCCGTGCTTCAAGCACTTCTTGGTGTTCTTATCGTCTTTCTCAACAACGGCGGGGATGACCAACTGTCGGACGATGTGGGCAAGGTTGGTGAGAGTGCCGGTGAGTGGACCAATGCCGCTTGGTGCTCGTCGGTCTCGATCGAAGGCAGCTCCGTTCTCGTCGACTTCAGGGGCGACAAAGAGGTCCCAGTCGACGCATCGGTCAACAGCCTTTTCGACCATCTGCGAGGCCTTCATGTACATCTTCAAGTATCGAGCCTGGTTTCGCTGGCCATCGAACTCGTTGTTGTAGTATCTCTGGGCGAATCGAGCGTGTTGATCAATCTGCTCCTGGTAGTTCTCTTCGCTGGTGATTGGGAATCGATCAGGGAGGAAGTCGCCGGTGACGAAGGAAGCATCGTTGGAGTAGAGAAGCTCGTCACTCTCACCTTGGAAGTTTCGTCCACCTCTACCGGCGGCAGCGACCGAGAGAGCGCAAGCAAAAATCTTCATTTTTTTTGAAAACTCAACGATAGCTATTTATCGCTGGAATGAGTGAAAACGTCAGAGTACGTTCATTTTATGCGGGTCAGCGGGGCGCCACAGGCGCATGCACCACTCTCGTGAGCGCGCCGCCGTAGTACGCCGCAACCTTTCAACTTTGCACAGGGTTTCATGTGATGAAAAAAGTTGTTCAGAAAAGAGCAGTATTATCTTACCAAATTTGAATTGAAAGTTTCTCTACTTGAGAAATCTCAAGCTAGTCAAGCTGGTTATCAATCGCGTTTATTATTGCTTATAAAAATTGACTGAACACGTTTAAATTTTGAATACCCATCTCTTTTAAGGATAGATTAAGACTTGAAATATGTATTGCATATCATATTTATGAGAATAGTTGGCCAAGAACAGATGTATATATCATGTATAAATTATACAGTATAATATATGATAATTAACGAACAGTTCTTCTTAATATCACATGATATAAAACCTGACAATATGAGGTCCGTGGACTTCCTATAGCATTTTCTCAAGCTCTAGAATTACAAGTCGAAGCACTTGTGGTATTTTGAGTGCAGTAGCGACAAAGTATCAATACCCCTGAAAGCTTGTGGCTTGTTTTTAAGATCCGTAAACATAAATTTGTGCCCTTATTGGAGATAATAAGGTTTATCCCCGAACAAATTGACCATCGACAGGTGCCCTTAGAATCTCGCGCATTACACGTGTTACTATTTTAGAAACGTGTTTTCGTAAATTCAGATTCCGAATCTCGAAAGAATCTCGATCTATTTTTGCTGACAACAAAACCTCTCATGGTTTGAGTCTCAAGAGAGGACTGCGTGTGTAAATAGTCGTTAGTCAGCGAAGTTTATAACATAACAATAAGTTCCTGGATGGGTTATCCTCTAAACCAACCCGCTGAGGCACGTGACAAATTGCACTATCTGGTATGAATTGTTTTAGTTGTCTATTTTCTTCTATCAAAACAACATAAAATTCCAATAGAGGATGAAACGTGGCGACGCTAGAACCAAAACTTGAATCAAAATAACTCGTCAATTCTCTCTGGTTGGCGAAAAATTCCTGGAATGTTGAACTTTGGAACTCTTACTCTTATCGGCGAGACCCGATGACGTGTTCAGTTCGTACGCTCTGAAAAAAAAATAATGACTGTTGTTTTTATATTTCAGCGATTAAAGTTGCGCATAAATTTTTTCCATTTTTGTTTCCATGGAGATAAGAAACTCGGCAGGATATCGGAGCCGGAGAGTTCGTCAATTGATAAGCATCTTTCTTTTGGTGAAGTACGAAGTAACACGTGACCAGTTTTACATAATTTTAAGTAGCATCAGCAAAACTTATTTTCAGAGAAAATATTGGATAAGCTTTTATCATTTTTCAACGCAGTAATACTTCGCATTCCTAATACATATCTTCTCAAGCTAGTATAATCGCATACAGTTGCCCTCGTGGTCCTAACGTACTTAGGGCATCTGCTTCAGTTTTTGTTTATGCTGAGCGCCAGGGCGAGTCGCAAAGCTCTTTACTGAAAACGCATGAGAACCTTAATCTCTCACCCTAGAATTCCTCCGTCCTTGAGAAGAGAGCGTTTTTATGCATAACATGAGCACCGCTTTTGCTCGTGCTTATAAAGCTTATAAGTTCGAACATATGTGAGCCTCTTAGTAACTGAATCCGGAAAAAACGTGCACAGTAGTTATTCGGGAGTACTTATCGTTTTCCTTGAATCAGAGTTGGGATAAAAAAATCAGCCGAATTTGTGGTGTAAAGAATTCTGTCTCGACCTACGTGTGGCCGATTAATTGCGCCTTTGGCAGGAACCTGATGCTGTTCGTTTGCGCGTTAAATCAAAACGAAATATGCTGAACTAAAAAGGTTACAAATTACAACTGTAATCACTTGAGGAGCCGGCCAATTCTCAGACATTTTTGCGGATTCGTCCAACTTCATTTGAGCTTTTTTCTCGCTAAAAAAGATGCTTTTTGTAGAGTATGAATCATACTGTATGATAAAGATTTTTTTATGAAAAGCTGTTTATTGAATTTTTCGAAAAAAAGAATGGTTCAAGCATGATTCAGAGCACTTTTATAATTTGTTAGCCGCTCGTGGCCTCGTCTTAATTCTGTTGACTCGTCAGAGTTTCTCCTAAAAATGAAATAAATTTTGACTGATAGCAAGGAAGAATGTGTTGCCCTCCCGACAGTCAAAGATTGATGCCTTGAACTTCAAGGCCCTTGAAGTACCTGCAGATCCAATAGACGACTCCGACAATGACCAGCAGTCCAATAGCAGGCAGACCGAGTGACATTCCGCATTTCAGATCATCTGCATCACAAGTTCGTGTCTCCAGCGAGCCCTAATTCAAAAACATTAAAAACCTGCCTGACTTGAAAAATCAAGCAGCGAGTCAACTTCGCTAATGAGTTCAATCAGCAATTTGAAGGTCAACTGGTAAAATTACCTCGACTCCAACTCCCTCGCTGTCTAATCTGTACCGAGTCTGAACTCCAGGTTCGCAGATGGCATCACAAGTCGTCCATTCAGAGTACTCTTGGAAGGTATCTTTAATAAGAAGTCCTTATTTGTTGGGAAATTTCATAATCAAAAGTTTTTTTTTACGAAAATCTTCCATTACACTTTTTCCCTCAAGAAAAATCTGTGCGAATCGTCATTAAAAATAAGCTCTCATAAATTTTAGTCGAATTATAATTTAGTGAATTACATATTTATCCCTAAGATTAAAGTTGATCCGTAGAAAAATAATCTTAGCCATTAAAATCAAGATTTACCTGTCATTTTCGTGAAGATTCTCTTCCTTGATTTCCTGATTCCTTCCCTTGAAGCCTCTAAGTTTCAAAATCTCTCTTCTTTTTATCCTCCTTCAAATGTAGCAGAGGAAGAAGAAGAGTGATGCCACAGAACCTGATCTACCCCGCCCTCACGTGACTAAAAATTGAAAAGGAGAGGCAGAAGCACCGATTCCGAGTTACGTCTCGACGCTTTAGCGTTTAATAAAAGTAACTTCAAGACAATAAAAAAGGCTGGAGGCAGTTAAAACCATTGTGCCAGACATTTTTCATTCACGTTTTTATTGCATCATTTCTTGACACGTTTTCTCTTTTCTGCAATTATTGAATGCATGTTGTAACAATGCTCTTTTTTAACCTCAACAATTGAATTGTTTTTCATAATTTTCGGCCATAAGAAAGTTTGATTATGAAGCTTAATTTTCTTCGGAAAGATATAGCATGGTTGGCAATAAAACTTTAGTACACCAATTTTCATTTAATAAACTCGCCAGTTAAATTAATATTTTCCGTTCGGAACTCTCCGAAGATCAAAAGAAAGCGAAAAGACGCTAATTTTGCAAAATCCAGTTTGAAAAAATAAGTGCTCAATAACTTATTGACAATAAGAGACGGGAATATGATGTGACTGTTGCGTGGAATATTCAATTGTCTCCACTACACTGTTCGGTGTTCTCGCTGTCCTCAACAATGATTCGCGCGGTTGTTTTTCGAGACGCAAAATTATGCACAACTGAGGTTTAGAACAGATTCAATAATAGTAGACAAAAGTGAGCTTTTGGAGTCTCTCCAAGAAGGATTCCAAAAGATCGTCATTAAAATTGACAACTAAAAGCCAATTTTGGCAGAATTGTCAGAGTTTGTAAGCAGTGTAAGGGGGGTGTATCCTGACTTGGGATTTGATACCGATGATATCAGGCCTTTGCCCGGGATTTGAAGCTGTTCGCCATCCGTGGCAGGTTATCCGGTCAGCCAATCACAAGACAGGACTCTGTAAGTGGCGGCGTAACCCTGAATTTGAGTCTGCTATCATCGGTAGTGCCCAACCCTAACTATAACCCTAACCCTAGGCTTCCTGAAAGTCAATGTTCGAGACGATCGAAAGTAATAACCAAAAGACGAAGTTGATTGAAACCCACGAGAAGAGGCCAAACCAATTGAGAATAAAAACCGCGCTTGACGTTTACGATTATTATCTATTAACAGCTAGGAATATAATCATCTCGGTGGGTCTAACTACTTTTCATCTTCGGTAGTCTCGCTGACAAAAGACTATCAAAAACCGTAAAAGGTGTCTTTAATTTTTTTATCATAAACGCTGATCTTTCTTCGCCTTCATGAAACTCCACGAAATCCAAAGCAAAGGTCACAACTCGTAAAACAAAAGTAATATGATTTACCTTTTACTCGTTTCTTCTTATGTGGGAAAATTAGGATAATTGATCGTCCGCAAAGAAGAAATCACAAGACACGGGAAGGAAGTTTCCGAGATTTTCGGCGTTAATAAAGACATGCTGTGGCATTTTTACGATTGACGGAAATTTGATTCTTGAGACTCTTAATCGAGTCTGAGAAAAAAAACGAAAAGACGTGAGAGTGGGAGAGAGAAAAGCGGACCTAGAAGGGTTACACGACGTTTTCAGCATACCGACGTTTTCAGCAACCGACGTTTTCAGCATACCGACATTTTCAGCGCTGCTGAATTCGTCGGTTTGCTGAAAACGTCGGTTTGCTGAAAACATCCATTTTCACCTGAAAACGCGTGGGCGTTTGCACTGACGAAATTTTCAAACAAATGGATCTAAAGACGATGTTCTCGGAATTTAATTGGCTAATTAAAAGTTTAAAAGCATTTCTAAATGAGTCATTAAAAATGCATTATTTTGAAAAAGTAATAAGATAAGCCAAATATCTTTTTTAATACATAATTAATAATTATTAATTATAATAATAATCATAGTCACCAGTTAGTTAACAGTATTAACGTATTATTCAGTTTCGTGAATATGCTTTTAAAACATTGAAAATCATGATAAATCAATATTTAAAAGGATAAAAATAATAATTTTATTAAATATAATCCTTTGTAACTGACTCATTAATATTACATCGATTTTATGTTATTTTACGATTTACGGAAATATCTTTTTCAGATGAAGTTTGATAAAATGGTTGCCTCTCTAAACGCCCACGCGTTTACAGGTGAAAAACGACGTTTTCAGCAAACCGACGTTTTCAGCAAACCGACGAATTCAGCAGCGCTGAAAATGTCGGTAGGCTGAAAACGTCGGTTGCTGAAAACGTCGGTATGCTGAAAACGTCGTGTAACCACCTAGAAGAGAGCTTACCTAAAAGATTAGACCGGAGAATTGTTACGACCACAGAATATATCCTCTCGACTTTTCAGAAGGGGAAAGAGTAAACAATAGACAAAGAGAGGATGTCAAAAGAGAGAATAAGAAATGCATCGACGAAGGAAAAATTGAAGAGATTTTCGGTAAATTCAATTATAAAATTTCGAATTCAAGAACTTTTGTTTGAAAGGGTATTCAAAACTGTCTGAAAATTGTGGTACGAGATCTGTTAAAGTTCTAGCGATATGTAGAATTTAGATGCACTTAGCTTCTTTTAGACTTCGACTCAAATGAATTCACTTTTTTGCCGCACATTCTTTTACAAAATTAGTTTTACTGGAAATCACCAAGATAGAAAAACAAAGATAAAAACTGACAACTTAATTACTAACAGTCTCCCTCTTCCGGTCTTGAAGTTTCCCGTGTTTCTTTTATCTTTTTTGTTGATTGAAATTGCTGTTTTGAGAATTGGTAATTCATTATTTGCAATTCTTTCTAGGATAATTTCCAGCGTTGGATTGTAAATCACCCTTTTCGCTGTTTCCGCCTGACGGCTATTGCCGCGCTGACCTTATGCACCATTACTATACTTCATCATGTAAGTTTTAAACGATGCTTTAGCGCATTTTCTGACAAAGCTGGCTTTCAGATGATCTTTGCTCCTCATCCCTTTTGCGATAATTTCTTCTACCGAGTTCTACCGATGTTCGACTGCGTCTATGTTCTCGGCGGAGTGGTAGGGATGGTAGCCGCGCGTCTCCATGGCCGTTTCATCAAAGAAACAAACTATTTTGCCGAGGTAACGTTTGTTCCGTCCGTGATCGTTGATCAACTTGACCCGAGAAGACGGTCAAGAAGACACGTTATACGAATCGGCGATTAGTTATCAAAAAGACGGAAATCCGGCGAGCGGCTTTATTTAACTGATTATCAATTTCAGGGCAAAGATCTCGATCGCTTCAGCTCAAGATTTGAGCCCCGGCTCGCCGAAAAGACCAACCACCGCGATGAAGAAGCGAGCGAGGAATATAAAGGTGAAGAGCGAGAAAATTTGTTTGCGCAAAATACTAACCGTATTTAGTGATGCGAATTCAACCAAGCGAAGTGACGACCACGTACTCATATTTTTTCGTAACGGCGATTTTCACGCTAATTTGCTACTCGATCAAATTCGTGTATGATGTCAGATATCTAGGAATCAAGCGTTGATAATTAGAATCTGAACCTAGGCCTGGCTACCTGTGTAAAAAACCTGAGTCAGGGTCTTTTCTAAATTAAGATTCAAATCTATCTTTATTCTGGCGAAGACGGGAAACCGACCCTGACTCAGGTTTTCTACTCAGGCTGCTGAGCTCAGATCTGATTTTGAGCTAAAAGCCTGTGAATAAACCTGTGTCAGGGTCCTGAATGAGCTTTGAATCTTTTTCTTAAATTTCATTCCGGGCCCTGACTCAGGTTATACAGGTTTTCGCCCAAGTTCTCAGCTCTTTTCCTCTCATTTTGATCAATTTTCAACCTTGAAACAAAGCATCAACTGACCAGCTATCAGAATACGCAAAACTGCCAGTGCAAAAAGAAGAATTCACCAACGAGATGATCAACTGTACCGACATCAAATGGCAGTACCACGAGCACTCGACCGACATCGTCTTCGAAATTCTCGGCATTTTCATCCAATGCGTGGCGCTCAACTTTGCGGTCAAGTCGCAAAAGCTCATTCCTCTCAAGCGCCAGAAAAAAATCCCAAAACAAATTAAAGTTTGACCCTTGATTCAGAAATAAAAACAGAAGATGAAAAAAATCTTAAATTTGTTGAATTCTGTGTTTTTCGAGGAAAAAGAGTTTCCCAAATGATGTGGTGTTGATGTGAACAGCGTGTCCGACATGCCAGCTGACCTTTCTCTCCCGAAAATTTGTAGAAACTCTTATGACATGATTTTTTTAACAGGGCACCTGAAATATTTTTAAAAGGAGACTCAAAGCTATAATGATGATTAATTAGCGTAAGGCTACGTTATAAATGCTTCTCTAATCATAACTGATTCATATTATGATCTTAAAGATCTTATTGATCAAAATCACAGCTGGAAGAGTCTTATTTGTCGAGAAAGAATTACTCATAAGAACTCAAATGTCTAATTGAAATAGTTTCCGAGAATAGGCGCCTGTCTAAACATTCCTCACACACATCGATTTTTGAGCCGAAATGTCATTGAATTTATCCTTTATTATTTTAAAATATTTCCAGAACCGGAATTTTGGATCGCTCGATTAGCACTTAAAATCAGAGAAATTCGCAGTACATTTGCAGTAGTCAGCTGATCAGATCATCAGACTTTTCTGTCGATCGCGAACTCTCCTCCTTTTCGAAAGTGCGCCACCTAGGCCGCGGCGCGAGGCGGACATGAAGCCAGCCGGATGTCGCGCCAAGGATTTGCTGAACTATTAAAAATTTTGGAAATTCCGAAAATAGTTGTGCCTTTTTTGTACTTTTTGAAATCACTCGTCGAGAGATAGAGATTGAAGAAATCAACAACGACTGGCGACCGACGATATGTTGTTGTCGCTGATTTTGCTCAATTTAGGAAAGTGGTTCAATTCTTCAAGATTTTCGTGAAAACGAGAAGCCGCTTGCGGCTTCGAGCGAAGAACTAATAAAGCCGCGCAAAGCGCGGCTAAAATAATCTTTTTCTTTTAGCCGCAAGCGGCTTCTCTTGAAAGTTATTGAAGTCTTTGAAAGATAGATGATAAAACTAATTTGTCGAACGTGAAATTCCTACAAAAGAAACAATGAAATTGAACCGTTTAAAAGTTTGTACATTTGTCAGCGCGGCCCGACCAGGTTACGTCGCGCCGAGCATAATTCAGTCGCATAGAAGCGTCCGGCAAAATCCCACTGCCGAAGCTCTAACCGACCCAAGCCAACCAGGTAAATTTGAAATTTCATCAGAGAAAAAATCTGAAGAAGGATTAATACTCGATAAAGTGCAACCAGCCGGTCGAAAGGAGTGTTTCTCAACTTGAGCGCTTCAAAATTATAGAATTATCTTTTTTGATTGATTTTTAAAATCAAGATGTTCGCGCGAAATTTCGAGGAACAAATTGATTTTAACGCCAGTTGGAAAAAGTAATTTGGGTAAATTGGTTAAGAAGTTTTCACGTTCGAGCGAATTTCGAAAAATATTTGATTATCAAGATGGATCCAGGTTGTAGTACACGATTCCAACTGTACGAAAATGGATATTCTTGAGCTGGGATCGGCAACCCTGATCGGAAACCCTGACTAAGGATTTCTACACAGGTTGCTGAGCCCAGTTCTTGAGTCCCTTCCAGGGGTTGATACTTTGATTACAACTCCTCATTTCAACTCCAATTTGGCCATCCTAATTTGGTCGGGGTTTGAAATGAGGTTTGAAATCAAAATATCTACCCCTGGTCTCTTCTATGAATTTCCCTCTGGAAAAGTTCTTATAATAAATCAGATTTCAAAGCTAAACATTCTATTCTAAATAATTGAGCTGGATCGAAATGATTTCCCAAAATTGGTTCCTCCCACGTGTGTCCCTCTTTCATCAGGAAAATTAGATTGATCAAGTCTAGCGAGATTCCGCCGTGAATTTATTTTATTTTCGTATTGGATCAGACGCCTTAACCGCGTCTTGCATTTTTCTTAATCAAGAATGGATTTGAATAAAGTCCCTTTCTTTCACTTTCTGGTTAGAAACAGTATTTCATATTCATACAGATGCACTCTTATTCGATTTTGCGGGGAGAAAAATATGGCGCTAGAAATTTAGTTTCGCAAGTTTTTACTAATTTTTGGTTTAGGTGTGAGCTTTTCCCAGTCATTGTGGTTTGAAAAGAAAGATGGAACGGGATGTTATTTTCTGTTTTGGCGCTCCAGCTCAGCTCAAAGCAAAGCTGAGCTGGTGCTTGGCCGAAAACAGCGATTCCCCAGAAGCGTGGAATTAGCTCATCCTCGTAAATATTTTTTGAAAATATTTATTTTCACGCTTTGTCAACGCTAGAAACCCTGATTCCTAGATTCTATCCTAGAAAAAAAACCATTAACCCGTTGGGGCAAAGTTGCCAAAATATTGGAAAACCCGATTTTTAAGAAAAACAATGACTCATGAAAAGGGTCAAACCCTTTCTTTTCTAACCAGATGAGGACAATTTAAAATGAAATGCATTTATTCCACTTAATTGACATTTGAAATTTTCCACCGAGAGTCATCCGCGTGCGCATTAGCATAAAGCGTCGATTAGAACTGCCAACTATTTTCTAATTCTACCAGCCGCCACGTGAGTCTAACTCTACTTCCTTTTCAGAAATCGAGGAGGCAGCGGCACCTGACTTCTTCGCTCCATTTATCTTCGGCTGCGTTGTACTCGCTGGACTGACGGGGATAATCGTCGGCTTATGCCTCCGAATAGAAGCTATCAGGAGGTATGAACTTTTAAAAGCAGTTCTTAATCAGCTGTTCCCCTTCCTCACCCACGTGGGTCAGACGAGGAAAACCTCTGGGGGGTCTGAAAAATCTTTAATGAAAAGCCGCGTAGCGGCTTTTTTTATAAACAAAGCCGCGAAGCGGCTTCGCCAAAAATAAATTATAGAGAAAGCTCCATGTCAATCTATAATTGATTTTTGGCAAAGCCGCTTCGCGGCTTCGTTTATAAAAAACGATTTCATTTTGGCTCTTTAGATTCTTTTAGCATTTCAGATCTTAACATCTTGTGTTCAGATGCGAATGCGTCTCCGACATGACCTCCTGCATCGCCATTTCAGAAGACCTCGAATTTCCGGAAAAAGAAATTTCGCCCTACAAAGAACCGCTCAAGAAAAAAGGAGGAAGCCACTCAAATCCCTACCCCAATTTTAAGGTCAGTTTCGCTTTTATTTCCTTATTAGAATATTCAATATTGAATAATCTGAAAGTTTAAAAATGACTTAGCATAGATTGGTTAAAATGTCAGATAATGTCACTTTTCCTTCGCCCGATTAAGAATTGGGGAAGTGAAAAAGGCCGAGCCAAATTAACAGAGCGTAGTTCCCGAACACGTCACATTTCATATTTTAATAATTTACCTCTCGTTCACCGAAAATTTTAAAATTTAACCTGTTACAGCACTTTTACACAAAATTTGCGTTTCAGTTACAAAAACGCTCATATATGCGTTCGAGAAGCCGCTTGCGGCTTCGAGCTTAAATAGAAAAAGCCGCGCACAGCGCGGCTATTGTCTTTTTTTCTCGAAGCCGCAAGCGGCTTTTCGCTCGTTCACTCATGAGTTGTCTAATTAGCGAAAAATATTGAAATATTTGAAAAGTGGCGGTTCCAATCGTGAACCGCAGTGTGCGAACCGGGGTTATCCTTGGCGGTTTCTCAAAACGGCTCGGCTCGGTATATTTTACTTTTATAATTACGAAAACAGTTTTCATAATTACTCAAGTTAGAGGCGTCTTATTTTGGCGACGTGGACGAGCGAGCAATTCGCATTTTTCGCCAAGTTAAAAACTGGTTCTATATTCAGGATTAGGATGATTCTAAAGGATTAAGGCTCTCATTCGAGAAAAAAAAGACAAGTAAAATAATCGTCACCGAAAAGTCGGTAATTCCGTTACGAGAAAAAGAACGACAAGAACAAGATGTTGTTCCACGTAAAAAATTTTCGGAAGTCAGGAAACTGGGCCCAACTTATTCAATTGACAAGAAATGATTTTCAAACATGTGTTTGTTTGGCTGGTACCGTTGTTCAGGGCCTGGCGATTTTTCGCCGCGTCAGTTGAACAACATTTTTTCGTGGAAAATTTTTTGAAAGAATAAATTCAAATTCTTTTTCAATTTTAATTTATTTTTTCATAATTACTTTCTTTTATTTCTTTTTTTATTTTGGAGAAGCCTGGGCTCGACAACCTGTGTAGAAAACCTGACTCAGGCTTTAAAAGAGCGGCTTTTGATAGTATTTCTTTCAGAGCCTGACTCAGGTTTCCAACACAGGTTGCCGAGCTCAGGGTTGAAGCCCTTCAATTCATGAAAAACTAAATTAATATATAGAATCTATATTATAGATTATCCAACTTTTCCCCCGTTATTCAAATGGGTTCCACTAAAAATGACCCTAATTCCCAAAAATTGAAGATTTTTCTTAACTTCTAACCCTATTTTTTAGGTTCCGGAAGGTCTCCCAGGTGGACTGATAATGGTCTCGGACAGCCCGCGCCTGAACAGAAAGAACTCACTTCGCAGCCTGTCAAGACACGTTTGGAAAATTTAAATAATCCTCTTTGGGCGCATTTTTGCGCTTTGATTCACTTCCCATCAAAAACTTGCGGTAGATTTTAAATCGCAAAATTTGATTGTTTAGACGTGGTTTTAAGCTCTGCTGGACCAGAGATTTGATTTTTGTGGGGAGGGCACCTTTTCTAGCGCCTTGATTTTATGTCCTTTGGGTCCCTTAATATTACGAAAAAGAATACTGTATTTACTGTAATAAGACAAATTAATAAAAAGGTAGCAATAATACCTGAGGCTCAAAACCTGAGTCAGGGTCAAATAATCAAAAATAAAAAGCCGCGTCGCGGCTTTTACAACGAAGCCGCTGAGCGGCTTCGGAAAATTTTCGAAAATATATTTTTAACCTGTTTTTACCGGGGTCTCTTGTTTTCAGCAGCGTGTACCCATAAACGCCCATTATTAAAATCCGCTCTCCAAAACGTCACCTCAGTCTGCGCACATTCAAGGTAAGCCTATTTGCCCTCTTTTCTTCCTAGGTTCAAAAATATTCACAACGTTTGATCTCGAGCGGCTTAATTACGCCACGAAATTACGCCTATTCAATTAATTTTTAGTCGCTGAGCCAGATTGGACGCAAAGTCGGACCAAGGGACATCTTCAGGCAAAATTCGATCACAGGTAGTTTTGGCGCTAAGAGTTTAGGTTCCAAGAAGAGCGCGAATCTTTCCTTCAAAAGAAAGTCGATTGCGGATGGGGATAATACATCCATTCATTCAAGCAGATCTAATGGAACATTGAGGAGCAAGGATGGCAACTGGCTTTCCCATAGCTGCCAGCAGGTGAATTTCTAGCGGAAAAAATATCGATTGGAATCGTCAAAATTTAGGCAAACTACAACCGAGTGAATCAATACCTCGCTCAGCAGAAAAACTCTGTGACACCAGGCAAAGCTCATGCATCCCCACTTTCGATCCGAAAAGCAAGCACCGATAAGGTATCTTTACCATCCTCTTCAATCTCTAAACGCATCTTCAGGTTGTGCTCTCGCCGTACGAGACGATCGTTGTGCGACCACAGTCGACTTTCCAAAAGCAAGCGACGGTTAACGAAGCGATCGTGTACTGATTACCGCTCTAATTTTCAGCTGCCGCGTTCACCAATTCTCCTTTTTGAAATGCGCAAGCAAGTTCGATTCACAAAGAAATACTTTTTCTGTACAGCTACTTTACTAATTATTTTCTGAATGTACTGAATACGTCAATACTACTGAAACAGCCTTCTGGTAGAGCAAATCTATTCGAGAAGCAAATATTGTATAAATAAAAACTTTAACCTTTTCTTGAATCTTCTGAATAAGAATTGAAATCAAGGAAGAAAACGGGTATAAAAGTACAAAGTAAGCAATTTCTGTCAATATTTGAATATTCGTAGACTTTAGTTCTTGGAGTAGCTAGGAAAGATAAAAGAGCCGGAAGCGGTAGTGACATTCGATAGGGCCAATCTGCCCGTGCTTGTTGATCTAGTCAGGAGCGGTCCTTGTTGTTTGCCTCCTTGTGAACCTGTCAACAAGTAACTACCGCCCAGATCAAAGTGAATACGAATCAGCTACTGGAGGACTTTTAGACGCCGCAGAAGGGTGACACTGGGCTCCAAAGAAAGTTTGATAATCATCAGATTTCGTGGTAACAGAAAAAACTGTGAAGCAAATACGAAGTTATGATCATTTATGAAAAGAAATGTTTCACATCTTTTTCGATGATATTGCTATCTGAGAAAACATGTGTCAGAATTCTCGTTGATTTGTGTCACTTCCGTTGGCAAACCTCCGATTACATTTGTTAAACACGACCTTGAAGACCTTAATTGTTTGCAACAAACAAGACTGTCTGTAGATCTTGCTATTCTGGACCCACCATGCTATCGAACTTGCATTGGATATCAAGCAGATACTCTTCTGGCCAGGAAGTACAGTGGGGGGCGAAGGGTGAGCGGAAAGCTGAGAATTTTCTTGAAAACAGGGAGTCAACACACAGTAGGACTTTTTTCGCATCTCACGCTTGTCTGTTGCAGCTTTGATCTTGGCGCAGTGCTACTTGTTGCTTAGACAGCTCCTGGTAAATAGAAATATTCCGAATGGGGTACTTCAAAGAGATAATTTCTCGAAGGTAAAATCCTCAAGGAGAAATTTATACTATAATTTTTTTAGTAATAACCATAAATCAGCACATTCAAATCCCTTCCGATCGAAGTCCTTGGCAAACAAATTCGCGCGAAAATCACCTGATGAGAATTTGTTTTTCTTCCCACTTCCTGAATCAACAATATCATCAACCCAAATCACCCGCTGAGCGGAAACCCGAGCAGCTCCATTTTTCGCGATCTCCCGTCGCCCAGCGTGCAAACACTCGCCGCAGGGCAAGACGCAAACACGTTCCAGACAAGGTGCGAAGAGACAAATTACTGACTGCTAATTTGATTGCCCCCGAGGCGAGTGCCACTTCCGAGGCCCTCTTCTAGGCCATTGTCTGCCGAGGTGCGTGTGTGCCTAACGCGCTTTTTTCGATTTGTATAGAAAGCAGCCCGTAGTGAAAATAAAACCTACCACTTGAGCTGGATGAGTGGCAATTCTGACGAATTACTTGGGCACACAAGAGTTGAATGTACAACTACACTACTTTCTCTTGTAAAAACATTGATTCAAGGGCCAGTTTTGTATTTTTATCGAGTTCTGTACAGATATTCAGATTACTGTAAGGCTACAGTACTCCACTTTGTTTTTCTTTCCGAACCCTGACTCAGGGTTTTCACACAGGTTGCCGAGATATCAACTTACCTTGTGAGTGTTAAATGGGGTTTCAGTAAATTAGCTTTAGATGAATTGTTAGTTCCGGTTCGGATTAAAATGTTTCTGGTGGAAAGTTGTATTCTGTGGATTTTCCCAGGCGTGCTCCGGAAGTGCATTGCCCGGTTTGTGTGTCTTGGAAGTTGTTTGCTGATTGATGTCGGCGCGATACTGTGAATCGGATCGGAAGTAGACTTTTGCATTATCGAACATGCGCCTGACATGGCGCACAGCGATTATGGAACAAGTCAAAAACTTCCAAAATCCATTCGCGAATAAAGAAACACAGCACAATCAACGATTCTTTGATTCAAGCGCTTTTGATCGAGCAGCTATCGCGCCGGAAGTTTTCACTGCCGCTGACAGCGCCGCCTCGATACAGTCACACTGTCAACCATCAGACGAGTAGCTTTTTTATTCTGCCTTCATTTGTGCTTCGGAAAGCGGAAATATGGGGCATCCAGTGATGGAAGCTATCGGCTCCAGCAATACTCCGTTAGTTCTTCTTTCAATACGCAATTCTGGTGCTCTATTTCTGATTATTCCTCTTGGATCTGCGCTCTGCAATCCGTATTAGTAATAGGATTCCGTATAGAAAACCTGAGTCAGGTTTTTAAGCGATAAAATGAAAAGCCGCTAAGCGGCGTTTTTTATGGACGAAGCCCATTTTTGCGGCTTCGCAACATAACCAGTTTAATAGATTACTAATTCTTAGCGAAGCCGCTTCGCGGCTTCTTTCGTAAAAAAGCCGCTACGCGGCTTCTCATTTAAGATCTGTAGAACCTGAGTCAGGATGTATTCTTCAGAGATCAGCAATAATTTACTGCATTTGCTGTTGATTCCAGGTGCAAATTACCCACTAACTGGCTAGATAGTCAACTCCGAACTTCCTGCCCGAAATGGAAACGGAAGCCGGAAGTTTACAGTAATCGCTATCACAGTGCTCGAGGCTTCCTTCGTGTTGGCCTCACTAGCTTCCCTTATCGCTCCGGGCATGTTTGGGCACAAGTGCCTCCGACGAGGATTAGCCGCGGAAATTCTTTAATTACTTTTTCTACTTGCAGTGAACTAGTTTGAAAATTCATTATCAGGAAAAATAACCGGCTCCGTTGTCAAAATACAGAATTTCAAGTGATCCGGTCACGTGTCAACTTACAGTAAGAGCGAAAGTATTCGCCCCTGCTAGTCTTTATCTTTATTCAGTACGTCGCCAAAGTGTACGGAATCCGGTACTAACAGTAATCGTCTTTCAGAATTAGGGCGTACAGATTAATCGATGCGATTTTGTCATTTGGCTTCCGGAATATGCGTGCAGATATTTGAGTTCTTGAACTGTAGAACGGAGAACTTCTACCTGCCGCCCAAGATATAACAAGATAATCAAGCTAGCAGGGGGCTGCCTGACCCTAAACCTAACGCAGGGTAACCCTAACCTTAACCCCTCCCCTTTTTTATTTTCTATGAAGAAGATACCATATTTCTATGAGTACCAGCAAGTTTCTTAGTCCTCTTGACCTTTGAATAATTCCCAAAATCACCTTGATTTTTCGACAATTCAAAAGTGGCATTAGCTTTGGCGGAAATTGGCGTAAGAAGCCGGTCAACAAGGAATCGAGCGACAGGCGCGCTCAAGTTTTTTCGGAAGCAAATTTGAGCAAATTTAGAAAGAAAACGAAGAGGAAGTTGTTTTATTTACGCGTGCAGTTTTGTTTCTGTTCGCGAAAAAGGTCAGAAAAACGACGATCTCGGGATTTTATTAGGACTTCAAATAGGTAGTTTGTATATCCATTTATTGCACCTTGCTTGGCTCTTTTTGGGCTCTTTGTTTGAAAATTGGGAAAAAGAGGAGTTTTCAATGGAAAAATTTATTGTCAAAACGATGGTAAAAGAACACCGATAGAATGGTTTTTTGATGATATCATAAACAATAAATTTTCTCACAGGGGAATAATCTACTCATTACTGTAGTACGAATATTTTTGGCTCTCGAATTGGCAATATTTTGAATCAAAGAAGGTCTAATTACTTTTCTCAATTACGCTGTTCAAAGTCTCCCACGGCAAAAGTCTTCTGATCTAACCAGTGTATTCTAATTGCTATCTATTTAACCATTGTTATTCTTCATAAAAGTTGTCTCTTCTCAAAAGTTGCAAGCTGCAATTTTAGAAAGAGCGCCACCACTTGGGAGCGCGCCTCGGAGCGCGTAACACGCACCGCTCTGAGTGATGAGCGCCGCGCTCAACTCGTTTGTTACCAATTCCAAATCTAAAATTATTATTTCCGCTCTACACCCTCAACTCAAAACATAACATAATAAGGACTAAACTTTTTCTTCCCGCATTAGTCTCCTCGCCAAAAACAGCAACTGAGCAGTGAAAACATCGAAGATAGCGCAAGAAGGAAATCAAGAAAGAGAATCCGAAAGGATGAATTTTGGAGAACATATCAATGTAAGTGCAGTTTAATTCGGTGCCTTTATAATTTATGGCCTAACAAAATAATGCAAATATTGATTGAAATCAAGGAAGAAAATGAGCTTTCATGAGTCATAAATTTTAGAGGCTCCAGCTTCAAACCCAAGTTCCACCAGCTGTCAGTGATGTTCGTGTTCCAGCCATTCTTCCAGGAAGTCCGGTAAGTTAAAGCTAATATCTATCGATAAATCGTCCCGTAAACATATCGGAAAACTCAATAAATATCTTGAAAATAATCTCGAGACCTTTTCATAAAGAATTAAACAAAAACCCATGACATTCACAATGATTACCTGTTAGTGTTGAAAATGTTATGGGAACCGTCACCTGGACGCCTGGCTCATCGTAATCATCTAAAAACATAACAAGTAACATAATGTTAACTTGAAAGGACAGAGATTAGGCGAAAAGGGCATCGCTAGTGCGTTCCCACAGCTAGCAAATCATCCACGTCACTTTCGGAATCAGGGAGGCTCCAGAAATCCTCCCTTTTTTCGGTTTCTCCGGGTGATTTTAACCTCTCAACTTGAGGATCATAATCAATGTTTGGGCTCGGCAACCTGAGTCAGGGTCTGAAAGATTTCCAATGAAAAGCCGCGTAGCGTCTTTTTTGACAATTAAGCCGCAATCGATTGAAAAGATGACTTTGCAAAGCCGCTTCGCGGCTTTGTTCTTCAAAAAGCCGCTACGCGGCTTTTCATTGGAAATCTTTCAGACCATGACTCAGGTTTACTACGCAGGTTACCGAGCCCTTTCCTAATTACGAAATGTGCTCAGGTTCTCAAGCTCCCGGGTGGGTGGGTAATCATCATCATCATCATCATCATTCTAACTCATCTATTTCCGTTTCCGAAGTCTTGATACCCTTTTGCTGGTTTAGGTACATTTCTTAATTATTTTATTTGGCTGAGAAGGCGCCAGATAATCCGCGTGTCGTCCTCGCGCAAAGTTTAATGAGTCTCCCATGGGATGATCGTGTAAAAAGGCGAAATGACATCGGAAACCGGGGGTGATGGGCGCCTTTGAAGCGGTCGCTTAATAGCTTGTTTACTAGAGGTACTTTAAGCACAGTAGAAATCGTAAAAATGTAGTGAGCAGCCTGGGAACATATAAGACTCTTCAACTACGATAATTACTCTCCCAGGAAACTACTAACGGCTACTTCTAGCTCTACCCATCCTCCGGCTTTCTCCCAACAGGCTATCCATTCGGTGGTTTAGCCTTCCACCCACAAAGTACCATCCAGCGGCGACAAACAGCTCGGGAATCGACTGGTCCTCTCAAGTCATGGCTCCAGGAACATCCAAGAAATCCCTACCCAACTAAGGCAGAAAAAGTGATGCTCGCACTCATTTCCGGTTGGTGTTTATTTTCATGAACTTTATGATCATTCATTCCACTTTAGGAATGTCCCTGACGCAAGTAAGCACTTGGTTTGCGAATGCTAGGAGAAGATTAAAGAAGGAGTCCGGAAACAAGGAGGATACTACTGATGATTCTATCGATGGAAAAGGTAGAAAAAGGTCATATTTTTCACGAACTAACGAAAACTTAGATGATACCGCTGATGAGTCGGCTTTGTCGATCGTTGAAGTAGAGCCAACTGTCCACGTGACACCCTCTCTAGCTCGCGAGCGGGAAGAAGAATCCTCTGAAATCAAGGAAGAGGACCCCCTTCCCGAAGACAAAAGCGCTTCAAGTTCTAGCCCTGCTCCGCCTGCTGAGGGGAGAAAATCCAGCACCGACAATCAAACCGAAAATCTGGAGAATCGTCGACCATATTCAAAATGATTGAATATGAAAAAAAAAATGAAAATTTGAAGATGATAATCAAACGAAGAGTAAATTAAGGGATTGATACTCAGTAATGCGCTTTCTACTGTATGAAAAAATTACCCAACGCTGCTTTTTCTTTATGCTTTATTTTCCTTGTGAATAGTTAAAATAAATATAAAGAGCTGAATAGTTCCGTTTGTCTTTCCATAAAGTTTTGATAGTGAAAATGCGGTATCTGTATTTGTGGAGGTAGAGATAGCAGCGAGGTATGAGCGACAGAATCAAGCTCTTTGATGTGTCTCGCTTGAATTGAAATTATGTATCGGCGGCGATTTAAGTGGCTACACGACGTTTTGACTAAACCGACGTTCTCGCTAACCGACGTTTTCGCTAAACCGACGTTCTCACCAAAAGTCAAAACGTCGGTTTGGTCAAAACGTCGGTTTAGTCAAAACGTCGGTTTTCCTTAAAGATGCGTGGGCGGCTTGAATTTGGTTAAGACTCAGTTTGGAAACCGACGTTTTCATTATCTTTCGAAAGATCTTTGTGAAGAGTAAAAGTATAAGAATAATGAATATCTTCATTAAATTAACTAATATGACTAAAATAAATCTTTTAAAAATGATCTCAAGACCGATAAAATATAAAAAGATCAGAAAATTATGCAGACTTAATATTTTTTAAAATTATTGATTTTGTTATTCAAATAATAATTTTAAAATAATAAATTAAAAAATATATATATTTTGTTTTTCCAAGTTAACACTTTAAGAGAAATTTCGGTTTGAGTAAGACGGCGGGCTTTAGACAGAATTTTTAATCCAGGAAGAGCCTATTCTCATTCGCTCTGATTTCCCCCGCATTTTTAAGGAAAACCGACGTTTTGACTAAACCGACGTTTTGACCAAACCGACGTTTTGACTTTTAGTGAGAACGTCGGTTTAGCGAAAACGTCGGTTAGCGAGAACGTCGGTTTAGTCAAAACGTCGTGTAGCCGATTTAAGTTGTCTGTTATTTAGGAACTTGACACTTTGGAAATTTATTTTCGATTTGGTGTCACAAACGGAAACAACTTAACAAGACTTGTCCGCCGCTTGGCGCCACGAATAGGCTCCTGACAGTTTGCCTCTCTCTTTACAGTAAGAGCAGCGCCAGATTTGGTCCTTGAGGCTATTCCAAAATTGAATTTGGAGCTTTACGAAATCGGAAAACTGAACTTTAACATGAAAGAACGTGTCTAAACATCCTGTAGAAGTACCGTGTGACCCTGATAAATACAAATTTTCCGTATTTTGCGGATTAGCGCGATTTCCTGGATTAAAATTCGCTCATGTCGTGTTTCGAGCAGAGGGTGACTTCCGCTGCGAATTACGGCCAAAGCTTTTTTGCAAATAGTGCTCATGTCTTTCAGCTAGCCACGACAATTACAACGACTTCAATTACAACGTTTCTGTCTTGTCAAATTGCTTTCATAATAACTTCGAGATTGGTCTGGTCATGAGTCATGGGTCAAAAAGAAGCCTAATCATGACTCATCAGTATTTCTCTTCGGCAAATGGAAATCAACGAGAAAAATCATTTCTTTTTCATCTGTTTTCTAGATTTTCAATCAGTTAGAGAGAAGCGGAAATCACTCAAAATTGCGCAAGAAGAAACGAATAGAGATTTTAGGAGATTCATTTTTCAAAGCTGATGCAATTTTTTTAGATGGAAAATTCGGGTGCGCGTCAATAGCTACGGTTTTGGGGGTTTGCGTCAGTAGTTACGGTTGCGTCAATAGCTACGGTGCGTCAATAGCTACGGTTAAAAATGAGTCATAGAGACCATAGAAATTGACACACAGTTTAGGGTGGGCATCAAGCTAGGTCGGGTTTGCCGGTTATTTAGAAAACCAGAAGAATTTGAAGCTATCTAGGTCGGTCGGAACGAGAGTGTGGTCGCTTTTCGCTTACAAAAGTGATACCAATATGAAAAAATACCATTTTTAGCGTTTATTCAATAAACATTGTGCACAATATTACCTATTACTTTTTTGGAAGCGTAAAGCGACCACACTCTCGTTCTGACCGACCTAGATAGCTTCAAATTCTTCTGGTTTTCTAAATAACCGGCAAACCCGACCTAGGTTGATGCCCACCCTAAACTGTGTGTCAATTTCTATGGTCCCTATGACTCATTTTTAACCGTAGCTATTGACGCACCGTAGCTATTGACGCAACCGTAACTACTGACGCAAACCCCAAACCGTAGCTAATGACGCGCACCCGGAAAATTCGGTTGAAGGTACGATTGAGGGTCACGAAGAGCGTGTCGGCTTGGGAGTCGAAGGAATCAAGGAAGAACCGTTGCTTGCGGAGAGAAAGGTAAATTAGCTAATTGTGAGTCTTCTGATTGGAAAATGATATTATCACTATAATAATAATTGTGTAATAATTATAATTGTGACCCCCTCTTTTACTAGAGAAAAATTTACTGACTTCATATTTTTAGCGCGGCAGAAAGACAGGCGAAGGATATGTGTTCAGTAAACAAGATGTCGACTTTATGGAAAGAGCTTTCGAGAAGAACGCGTATCCGTCAAGCGAGGATGTCGAAGATTTCAGAAAAACGCTCAGCCAAACAGCTACGCAGATCGTTGCATGGTTCTGTAACAGGAGACACAAGGAAAAGAAAACGAATCCAGAGTTTAAAAATTTCTCGGAGTTGAGAACTTATAAAAAGGACGTCGAAGTGAGTTCACGGAGGAAGATAGAGAGTTTTGGAACAAGCTTATGCAAGTGAAACTTATCCATCGAAAGAAGACCAGGAAAACTATGCAAAAACGCTTGGCAGAACTCAGGCTCAAATCAGTAAATGGTTCAATAACAGAAGGCAGAAGGCTAAGAAGATAATTCAGGCAGAGTTGAAAGAGTCCAAGAAGAAAAACTCTGCTCAAGTGTTCAGTGAGGACGAAGTAAATTTTTTGGAAGAGGCCTTCGCAAAAATGCGTATCCCTCGAAGGATGATTTTGACGATTTCCGGAAGAGACTTGGGAAGAACTGTGCTCTGATCCGTGGATGGTTCAACAGGCGAAGAGAGAAAGAAAGGAAAATCAACCCTGCGGCAGAATTGAAAGATCCTAGAAAATTCAGCGATGCCCAACGAAACCGACTGCAAGAAGAATACGAAAAGAGTGCCGAGAAGCCATCGGAAGAGACCATGAATAAGATCTCCCTCGAATTAAATCTTACCCGTTCGCAGATCGACAACTGGTGGAGAAGGCGACCAATGTCAATCAAGACTGAGCAGATGGAGAAGCCGAGCACCTCTCGAATTGTCGCGCAGAAACCGGAAGTCGACTCTACCCAAGGAACGGTGGAAATTAGTTTCAAACTTTTGTCTTCTTTCAGTATTGAATTTCCACATTAAAGAAAAAGAAACAGAAGCGACAAATTTTCCAGAGAACGATTATCTTGAGATCATGGACGATACTACCGAAGGTAAATTAATAGAAAACCTATTTAAAAAAACTAAATAATTATTAAGGAAACCGAATTGCTCGAGAAAATATTTGTGAAGACCATGCGAACTGCGCTCTGGGTAAGCAAATACTGTAGAAAGTTGATCAGAAGGTTATTTATTATTTCAGCTGGTCAAGAGGCTGAAGACAACGAAGACTACGAAACCGACTACGATTCGGACGCATCTTACGAAATCGTCGCCTCGACGCCCTTGGAGCCAGTCCAGTTACCACCCGACTTCAATCACGCGTGCTTGACTCAAGACAGAGAAATTTTTCATGTGAAAGAACGCGATCTCGTTTTTGAAGACGAAGAAACATAACTGCCAGATTTAAGCCACTGTAGATATATTTTTTGAACTGGAAATGAAATAAATGATGGCTTTACTACTGCCACACGAGTAATCAGAAATTAATATCTTTATTAAAAAAAACTACTTCAGACGTTGATAAGAACAGAGCAGCAAGTGAGGCATCCGTCGACTTTTGAAAGCTCTGTGTTTCCAAGCTCGACAATTTCAATGTCTTTCGCGATGTTGTCTTCTATGATTTCTAAAGATAAATTGATAGCTTATTTTATCAACAACGATTTTTAAAATACCTCTTGATTTAGGGTAGCCGGCAGGAATGAAAACAGTCTTGTTGAAGGAAACGACATTTGAAGCCTTTATATCCGGGACAAAAACGAAGGTGTACGAATTTTCAGCAGCAGCGATGATTCCTCTTGCCATGCTTTTTCCGTCTTTGTCATTCGAGATGATGATCTTGTTCAGTCCGAGCATAGAGCAGTTAGATTTGAGATGCAAACCTTCGTCAACTTTGATTTGATGTACTAATAATCCAGGTTAGGGTTGAATACATCGCTTTGTTCTACCAGGGATACCGAAAGATTTTCTTAAAAACTCGGCTCCAGCTTTGTTTGATCTTTTCGAGTCGCCAATGAAAATTTCACTTCCAGTAAAGAGCACATCTCCTCCGTCGACATGTGAGTCTGGCTCCTCTGTCATGTCGAAGACTTCCACCCCAGCTTGTTCAAGAGCCTTTCGCATTTCTTTGGCCTCGGCTCGTCGAGCTGGATGCCCTTGATTCGTAAGAACAGCCTAATTCAAGACGTAAAACAGCTATTTTTGAAGCAAGTTACCTTTTTGCCGACGACAACTGCAGCATCTTCGGTAAAGACACAATCGGGTAGAGTTTCATCTGCGGGTAACTGGATCACTTTCATCCCACACTTTTTTAAGGCATCTATACATGAGAAAAATTTACTTATAGAGCTAATTTACCAGTGTATTGATCATGTTGTCTTCTCATCAAAGCTTCATCGATTGGAGAGTGATTGTTCTCAAGTCGAAGTCCATTTTCGATCAAACTTGTTGGGATTCCTCGGCAAATGGCTGTGTTGTACTCCATTGTCGTGCCTCTATTCTAAATCGAAATAGTAAATGAAAAATAATTCAAATCTGGTGGTAATCGACGTGGTCATAAACTTGCTCGTTAATACGACGCTTACTCTTGAATTTGGAAAATTGGGACAACTTGAATTTCTCTAAAAATCAAATTCTTGGTTTATTTGATCTGCTGGAGTAGATCCAACAATAAACAAATGGGTCTCGAAAATGCGCCAAAATATAATTGGAAAACATAACGGAAAGCCAGAATTTCGAATAATCGATCAATGCCATGCAAATTAATAATCTTTATTCATTCCTCATCCATGATTGCTGAGCTACTTCCTGCCATGAAACGGCGCTGAGTCTACCCAATAGTCGAGAATACGTGGGAAGTGCTGAACTTGCCTTCGATTTATTTCTATCTCCGTATCGATTTTTCTCACAATCAGCTCACAGTCAGTCGGCACGCTTTTCTACCATCGACTCAGAGAAAAATTACCAGTTGACTTTCAGTGTGATTTTTTAGAAACCGAGAAATGTCGCTTCCGCGAGTGTATTTCGACATGATGATCGGCAACCAAAGAGCTGGCCGAATCGTCATGGAGCTCCGATCGGATGTGGTTCCAAGAACAGCTGAAAACTTCCGCGTTCTCTGCACTGGAGAGAGGGGCTTTGGATACAAGGGCTCTAGCTTTCACCGGGTTATTCCTCAATTTATGTGCCAGGTTTGACATTTACGATGCTCTGAAAACTCTTCCAATTTGAACCCAGGGCGGCGACTTTACGAACCATAACGGCACAGGAGGCAAGTCGATTTATGGAAACAAGTTTGAGGATGAGAATTTCAACTTGAAGCATACTGGTCCTGGAGTTTTGTCCATGGCTAACTGCGGCAAGCATACAAATGGCTCACAGGTACCACCACTGTTAGTTGGTAGTTCTTTAAAAATTTAAGTTCTTCTTGTGCACCGTGAAGACCGACTGGCTTGATGGCAAACACGTGGTGTTCGGCAGCGTTGTTGATGGAATGGATGTCGTCAAGAACATCGAGCGTGTCGGAAGCTCAAGTGGAACTACTAAGCAGAAAGTCATCATCTCCGACTGCGGTCAACTCAACTAGGTTTTCGCTACTAAGGTGAGAGAGGGTGAGATCTCCTTGTTGATTTCATAATTTGTTCAGTAGATTTTCTCCAGCATCTTGATTCACACCGGACTACATGTAGACTAACTGTTCTTTATGTTTTATTGCCTTTTCTTTTCTTTTGAACCCCATTTTGATGTCAAAATTACAGGAATAAATTGCAGGATTTTATTTTTATTTTGAAAAAATACTCTTATATCCTCTCTGAACTTTTACATCGTTAATTGCAAGCATGAGTTTTTGGCGAATCTTAGGTTGAGTAATTCCGAGCTCTTCGAGGTCACTTTGATTGAGGTTTTTGAACACTTCAATGTCGATTTCTTGCTCGGCGAAGATTTTTTGATATTTTTTGGTCATCGATAATTCGTCCAGGACGCTCCGGACGTCCTAAATTTTGATTAGATAGGAAGAGAAGGGAGGAGACTTACGTCGTCGAGGTTGAGATCATGAAGAGTAGGAGTTAAAGTTGATGACGTCTTAGAGCTGGCAGAGGCTGAACTGTAGGAGCTTGATTTGGAAGGTCTGGAATAATACTTGTCTATTGTATTTCTCCGACTACTCTAGGATTTTCTTCATAGCGTTCTAGTTTTAAGCTTGTTCGAATGAAAACCCGGGACTATTAGCGTAGCGCTGGTAATCAAGCAGATTCTTACTGGCACTACCATTTGAGGAATTACTTTTTGAGCTTGTTGAATCAAAAAGCAGCTTTGAATTCACGACTTGAAATTCAAATTTTTTTCTAAAGAAAAAAAATATTTAGAACCTGATTTACGAGTTGTTGATTTTTGAGTTGATGGAGCGCTAGAATCTGTATTTGTTTTTGGTGATGCTGGAGGGATGTTGCGACGAAGAGAGGTTTTTGGAGGCCCAAGTTCAGGGAGGTCGTCAGTTTTTCGAAGATTGAGGGGGACTGAATTATGATTCATAAAATGACCTTGAAGGCCTTGAGCTATCAGTACTGACCTTGATGAAGAGGTGAAAAAATCTGTTGCGAAAGAGATTGAGAGTTATTAGGCGATATCTTCTTTCGGATCATTGTTGCGGACAAGTCTTCTGTCGACATGTTTTTCGACGGCTTCGCTAGTGTCCGGAAGGACTTTGTGATCTTGGACAAGATGTTTGTTGATTGAGATGTTGTTCCTTTTGAAGCCGTTGATAAATCGTTGAAGCTTGATTTCTTGGGCTGCATATCCATCTCGATAGAGCGATCAGCGAGCATTCGAAACAGTTCTGTGTCGTTGAGGTTGATCAGCATTGCCATGTCAAATGCCGTTAGCCCATTTTTAGCTCGGAGATTGACATTCGCGCCACTTAATGGTTTTTTTTCCATGTGAATGGTTGTTTTTTGAAGCAATGTAAATATTTATCCATATAATTTTAGATAAAGTTATATTTCTTTTTGTAAAAATACATGACTTCCGGAAATTACCTCAAAATTAAGTATTTGGCTATTTGTGCCTGTCCATAATATGTCGCTTGCATAAGTGCTGTCCATCCATTTTCATAATCTTTAGCATCGATATCCGCTCCATTTTCCAACAAGATCTCCACCAAATTGATAAACCCAAACATCGAAGCGTACATAAGAGGTGTAGCAGCATCTTTAGATTGAGAGTTTGCGAGAGAAGCATCATCGAGAAGGAGCTTTTTGACTGCAAGCTCATCCCCTTTTTTGACGGCGGATATTATTGTTTCTTTTATTTCCTGCGAGTTGGAGAGATTTTGAAGAGTTTTGCGATCGATGAAACCCGCAAGTTCGGAATTTTTGCACTTTCTAGCGATAGATGCCGCGTTTTGACCATTAGTATTTGTCTTTTCTCCATCAATTTCGTTCTTGAAAAGGAGTCGAGCCGTGCAAATTTCGCCAGAGACCGCGGCGGTCATCAAGGGAGTCCATTGGGTAAATTTGTTCCGAACGTTGCCATTTATTCCTTGCCGCAGGAGGACCTTGACGATGTCATCACGTGACTGGAGAACAGCAAGGTGAAGCGGATTGACGATAGAAGAAGTAAGTTCATCTAGAATTTAGTAGATAAAGCGAATTCATAGAAAGAACGGAACCTCTGTCAATGAATACATCCGCCGCAATTAGTGTCTCGATTATCTTCTCAAATCCGGAACCAGTCGCCACAGCTGAACAAAGTATATTTAACAAGATCCTTTATCCGTATTCAACGTTTATCTTAATTATTTACCAAGAGCATTATTGCCAAGTGGCGTTGTGGCATTTACATTCGCCCCGTGAGCGAGTAGAAGTTGGACACAATCGTAGTGGCCTTGGTGGCAGGCCTGCATTAAGGGCGTCCATCCGTAACGGTTGAGTTTGTTAATAAGGTGCGAGTGGTCTTTGATGAGGTACTCGAGCAGCTCGAGATTGCCAAGGTATGCAGCAACATGAGCTAGAATTGAGTTTGAAAATCTAGGCTTGGCAACCTGTGTAGGAAACCTGAGTCAGGTTTTGCATATTTCTAATGAAAAGCCGCGTTGCGGCTTTTTAAGAAACAAAGCCGCAAAGCGGCTTCACCAGAATTCTTAACCTAAGACCCTGAGTCAGGTTTTCTACTCAGGTTTCGAGTCAAGCCCAGATTAATTTTTGAAATCAACGAAGAAAATTATAAAATATTACCTGGAGTATTTTCATCTTCCAAAATCAGATCATCTCCTCTACTGTTGATCAATTGTTTAACCTGAAAAATTTGATAAACTCTCTTGGAAGAAAAAGTAAAACTTGAACTCAACCTTTTCCAAATTGCTCTCCTCTAGTATCTCAATTTCTGCGCCGGTCAACATAAACTAAGCTGGTTTGGAGGGTCTCAGTTTTATCTGACAAAAGAAAATCCGCCATGGAGTGGAGTCTGAGAGTATTACTCAAACTCAAAGTCAAACAATGAAAATGAATGTTTGCGCAACGCAGCCACAAATTTTCAACTGCTAAACAATACCTATTTCACGTTTTCTTGCTATAAGAAAGATCAGCTGATGTTCACGTGTCCAGTAGATTAGTGCTACAAAGTAGAGCCCTCCAAGAAGCGTTAACCTTGTTGAATCCAACCCACCTTCATGAGGCTCAAATAAAATTCGAAAGCGTATGCATGCAAAGCTTGTAAAAAATGCTAAGCGCATTTCCAAAAACTCTCCAAATCGTTTTTTCCATCCAACGCACTTCCGAAAATACCATGAATCTTTTTCGTTTCGTTACTACGCAGAGTTCAAGAGCTGGATAGCCCGATATTTATATACTTTCCGGTCGAAAAAGTGGTTGAAAAATAGCATGAATTGAATCACCAAAAAGTGCTTAGACCCTCAGAAATCCTAGCTCACTAATATCTCCGGAAATTCTGAGAAATTAAGAGTTCATGAAATCCTCAAAGGCGGTGAAAAAAGGAGCCGACTCGCCAGATTTGCAAAATTGAGCGCATAGCGAGGCATTGTAAGAAAATTGCTCCACCGCAGATTGTCCTTCTCTCATTTCTAGCCACAGATTTTGCTCAACCCTTATCCGGCAAGGTGATCTAGTCGCATTCTTTAATGTGAACGCATACCATGATGGTAGCACGGTCAAATGTATTCGTAAATTGGCGAGAAATAACGCCAAAAATGCGCCTTTACATGCATTTTCGCGTGAAAAAAGCACTTGTTCAACGTCAATTCTTGAGTAATGAATTATCGTCAGTAACTTTTTTTAACTGATTTATTTTATTCTCTTCGCAAGGATGGCACTAGAACAACTTTAATCGACAGGGTACATGAGAGAGAGAAAGTCCTGGTTCTTGACCTTGCGATTGTTGAGCTTGCTGCTTGTTTTCTTTCGCGGCTCCTCTCCGGTTTGGCAACACTTGTCGACGTTGGTTCCGAAAAACGGCACCGGATCTTCCACGGAGCGCTTCATTTTCTCCCATGACGCTCTTGGACAGACATTTTCAAACATTGCCGCTTCCTTGAATATGCTAAAAACGCGTTGAACAGATCGAGTAAGATATGTTAACTCACCTTTTGGCATGTTTACGAATATCTGGATCCGTTGTTTTTCGCGTAACATCGAGTGCGAAGGCTGTTTAATTGGATAGTAAACATTCGTTAATGACGTGTTAATGATTATTAATTTGGATTATTATTAATTTGGACTTCCTGACATGAACATGACGGTTCCATAAATATTTGAATTATAAATCCTGTCCTGTTAGCTTTTGCAAAAGACCCCACATTTCTTGGAGATCGTCTTGGAGATTTTCCACCCGCTCCTTGACGTCGTAGAGTTCATCCTCACTGTCAGGGCCATCGTCTTCTGCTGCTGGTTTATTTCGAATCGTCACTTTTTCTGATTCAATTGGTATGTCGCTAATAATGATTTATGAGTTCTGCTGAATTGAATCATTCCTTCGATGGGCAGTTTCTTCTGTTCAGTGCGCTCTTCGTCCGAATCGACGACTTCAATTTGTTCTTCGGGGCCCGGGAATGAAAGCTTCTTGCTATGATTTGCCACTTTTTTCTTCAAAACAGGAATTGGCTTCTTCGGGCTGTCAATAAGTTGGGAAGAAGTAAGCGGAATCTTCCGCTGAGCAGGTTGGGCTGGTTTGGCAGGTTTCTTGCTCTTGGCAATAGTGACTTTTTCAGGTTCAATTATTTTTTATAAGCATAAGTTTTAGAAAATATTCTGAACCAGACCTTCAATCGGCATTCGTTCATCTTCTTCCTCCTCCTCTTCAGGAGAGGCGGGCTTTTCCACAACCTTATTTCTTTCCGTCAGTTCTTTGAAGGATAAGTTGATGTCCATTTTCTTCCTTTGAATCATCTTAACCTGCTGATTTGCAGACTGCCCTGTTCCACGAAGGACCGAACCGGTTGGTTTCTCTGGACTTGCGAGAAGATCTTCTGAGCTCAAGATTTTTCTCTTCTTGCTTCCAGGCGGTGGAGGACCAGGCCGCTTTTGAACCTTCTCCGGGCTCGCCATCAACTCTGCTGAGTTCAAGATCTTTTTCTTTTGGCTTCCGGGAGGCGGTGGAGGCATTCGCTTTTGCACCTTTTCCGGGCTTTCCAGAAGCTGCGCAGAGGTCAAAATCTTTTTCTTTTGAGCTGGACTCGTGCCTGGTGGTAGGACGGTTCTTCTGGCAACTTTTTTCGGCTTTTCTGGGCTTGCAAGGAGATCATCAGAGTTGAGAAGGATCTTTTTTCGAGGAGGTTCTTTCTTTTCGACTTCGAAAATCTGTTTTGCCAGATGATCATCAGGTTTTTTCACTGGTTTCTGCGAGATTGTCCGCTTCTTAGGTCTTTCGGGACTGGCCAGTAGATCAGCGGAGCTGAGAATCTTCCCTTGTTTTCGAGGACCTGTTGCGTTCCCCGGTCGGCGGGGAGCTTTCTCTGGACTGGCAAGTAGATCTGATGAGCTTTAGTAGGAGTTCGATAACACGTAAAGTGACTTTATACTTTCCTGTTGCATAAATAATTTCAGAACTCTGACTTAGAGGAATCTTTCCCTGTCGATTCCCCGACGCCGAATTCGTCGGAATTTTTCTCTTTGGTCTCTCAGGACTAGCGAGAAGATCTGCTGAGCTGAGTGGTATCTTTCCCGCTGGTTTTGGAGGAACGTATGGCTCTGGCTCATACTCTTCTTGTTCGGGTTCGTCCATTTCATCGATCTCCTGAAGATCAGCTTCATCAAGTTCCGGCTCTTCGTCTTCCTGCTCTTCTTCGTCGAACTCTCGATCGGAAAAATCTTCGAGCAAGTCGATCACTTCTTCATCCATCGTGAAAACAGAATCAATCGACACTAACAATTTCTCTTTTTTTGCAAAAAACGTAAAGAACGGTTGTAGCTTTGTCGCGTTGTTTTGTTAAAATTGTTCTCGAAAGATTCGATAGTGATTAACAAATTTCATCTAGAGACTTTTTGACGAAGATTGAAGCTCAGCAAGACTTCACTAAAAGGTCAACTGTACTCATGTAAAAATAAGTCCTGCGATTTGTAAACATCTAACTGCGAGTTTATCTAATTACAGCTCGAATCCCAAGTGAAGATGAAGTTGCTACACGTCTGATTTTTTCGCTGAACGTTTCGTTTGGATCCTGGAATTTGACAGAGGTGCACACTCTGTTTCTGCGGACAACTAGCATGACTTGTTGAGTAATTTGAATTTGCCAGCATGGACCCTTGCAATTCATCAGCTTCGAGTGGGCTCTCGTGAACTTTAGTTTTCTTTATAAAAATTTTGTAACTCCTTAGTATGTTTTTTATGCGTTGCAGTAATGAAAGAGCATGTTATTCTGGCATGCATCCGATCCGGAAGACCAGGAATCCGGGGGCGAGAGGCGTTATCGAAGGCGAGCCCAAAGAATAAACCACAGAAAACGTTCTAACTTTTTCCTGAAAAAAACATCCAAAATTTTAAAATGAAAAGGCGAAAAGAAATCGTGATTGAAGGAGGTAAACGAGACAGCTTGGGGACGAAAAAATGTGAAATGGCGGATGCTTAGCGTCAAGAACGGCAGGTAGAAAAAGAGGAACGAACAGAATTGTCAAATGAGTACTTGTGAAGGACAAAGCAGCTCGTGACAGCTAAACGTGAAACTTACCCTCCAGTTGCTTCTGTTTTCTATAACTCATAGAAAAAAGCTCTCAACAGCCCTTGAAATTCTATAAAAAGAATTCTAGTATATCAGAAAAGGAATGGGCTGTTTTTGAATTACGCATATAATTTCTGATATCTTCGAGAATTAATCATATTATTCTAGTGATGATGAACTAACGTTGACTTTTTTTTTAAGAAATGAAATAATTTTCAAGTTAATGCTTATCGGCATCAACGATAGTATCGCGTTTTATAATTTTTCGTCGAAAAGCGCCAATTAATTTGGCAATTTTAGTAATCTCGTTTCTGTTACGTAGGGGCCGCGTTGATAAGCCCCGAAGAGAAAACTGATAAAGCGCCGATCGCATCCGATCTTTTACAACGGACAGCGTGGAACGACTTTCCACTGCGTACAGAAAGAATCGTCCCCCGCCGAGCTTATCACGGGGCGGGGTCCGTTTTCTCACAACAATGAAATGAGCTGGAATTGCAGATGCATAGAAGATGAACTGGTACTTGGATAGATTTGATCAAGGGGAGGGTGACTTCTCAAAATTCAAAATTGAGGATAGGCGCCATGAAACTATTTCTAAACCTGATTAGAGAATGAAATCAGTTGCGCTTCTCAATTACAGGCAAAGAAACAGTTCAAATCCAAGAGCTTCTTTAAATCCGAGTGTTACTCTATATATATACCGCAAAACTAAGAACGAAGTTCAAACGAGAAATATATAATTTGAAATTTAAAATATTGATGCGCACCTTTCTCCTCGCCTTGATTTTTATAGTGAATGCCGGAAAATCTCAATTTGAAGAATCCAGACTTTTAATCTTGGAAATGTTAAATGACGCAAAAACATCAACCGACCGTTCACCTGAAGAAAAGGACGCGCTGGCGAAGTTTCTGAGACTTATTCTCAGATTTGATAAGATTCACAAAAAATTAAATGACAATAAAAATTGCCTAAAACCTGGCTTTACATTATTTCGGTAATAATGACTATTTATTGGAACAAATTAAATTGCTTTAGGGATGAGAAAAATCGTTGTACCGTGGTTGAGAATTGGAATATGAATGTGGAGATGAGGCTACGAAAAATGAAGAAACTGGGAAAACGAAAATTGTCCGGCAAGAAGTGTAAGAATATTGGACGGGCTCATGAGCGTTTGCAGAAGCTTATGAAGAATCGTTTCGAAAAGGAATATACCATACTTCGGTCATTCTATTGCACAACGTAAACCGATTATTGACAGTGTGGCATATTTTTTTTATATATTTTCTATAATTCTACGTTCTGTAATTCCACTTATTCCCTATTCCAAAAACATGTTGTTGAAAACCATAGTTAGGTTCTGAAGAGCTAAAATGAAAAGCCGCGTAGCGGTTTTTTTTTAAACTAAAGCCGCAAAGCGGCTTCGACAATATTTTAAAATAGATAAGAATGATTGTGATGGGAAGACGCAAAGCGGCTTCGTTTATTAAAAAAGCCGCTACGCGGCTTTTAATTTTAGCTCTTCAGAACCTGACTCAGGTTTTCTACACAGGTTGCCGCGCCCAGCCCTGTACCAAAAAGAGCAGGTGCATAGTATTCTGCGCACTCGAAATCAGACTTTCCAATTTTTGTCAGCTGTGTGACACAATGTCCATGCCGTCCCTTAAATATTCATTTCAATATCAACACTGAATAAACCTTCCTCTTTTAAAAAATAAATCGCCCCTGCGAATTCTCCATCTGCAGCAGCTTAGCGAAAAAATAGAAAAGAATCCTTTTTTATAGTCTTTGTTCCGCGGGGAAAAACAAAAACGAGGCGGCGATTATCCAGACGAGTAGTAAAATAAATTTTGGCTGATTAGCCCGCTGGGTAACTCGATTATTTTTCACCGAGCAGCTAAAAAAGAAAGAGATTTCGAGCTTCAAGAAGACGCATGTAAAGAGAAAGAAAATGCCTGGTGGGTGAGGTTGAAAAGCTTTTTCTTTTCATAAAGTGGCTTTACAAGGCGTAATTATGAATTTTTATTACCACAGAGTCGAGTTTTTTCAGCTAGAATAAATTTTATGCTCAATTTCGAATTATAGGATTTTAAAAACCGCAAAAACTAGGACCGATGTGTCATTTTTTCATGTAATTTTTTGTGGCAAAAATAGGTCAAACAATTTTTCAACCAGCATCATCAGCACAATACAGGGCTGGGCTCTATTTTGAACTTCAATGACATTTGACCAAAGCTCCAAAAATGGCCTCTGGAGACTTATTGTTACGATAATGACGCCAATTAACGGTTGATTTCAAATTGGAATCGGGTTATTCCAATCGATTTAGAAGGAAAGCTCGATTCAAACATTCAAAAAAGAATGACAGAAATAAAGCAAATTGTTTATCGCGTCGGATAACCTTAAAATGAAACTTCCAGAGCCCAGAGAAAAGCTCTCAGATACACCTAAACGAATCGAAGTTTTGGTTGGCACTTATCCTCAGCAGGAATACGGAGGAGTTTACGAGCGAGAAGATGAGATGCTGAATGGCAAACCGATTTATGTACAAATCAATCAGGTAATTTCCGGGCCATTTCCAAACAAGGGACAAAATAAAGAAGCGGATGTTTTTGCACATTCGGTAATTGACGGGATACAGTGTTGTCTCGGCTGTAAATCTAATCTGGAAAATGAGCTAGAATTACTTCAAAAAATCGAAAAGCCGCTTGCGGCTTCGAGCAAAAGAAGACGAGAAAGCCGCGCTTCGCGCGGCTTGAGTTCTCTATTACTCGAAGCCGCGAGCGGCTTCTCGATTTTCTGTAGTAATTCTAGTTTATTTTCCAGATCAGATTTCAGCCGAGACAATACTGTATCCCATGTAGTGGTTCTAGTATATTTCCTATCAGAAATGGTTCTGTAATTTTCGCTACAATTATGTCCTTGAAATTTAACAAGAATCTATTTATCAACTCTTACATACGTCGGCAACACGAGATTAGAAACCTGAACCCCAGCTGACCGAAAAAATTAAGATGCGCTGGTGTGTGGAACACAATAAGCCGTTGTACATGGCGGCGAACAAGAAGTGCCAGAATTTCGTGCAGTACGTAGCCAGGCACCGGGCTCCGCAGGAACAATAATTGGAGGCGAGAAAACTCGTCGTTTTCCAATAAGGGCCCTCAAAAAGCAGCGACAAGAATTTTGTTTGGATGATTGGCCCAGAACGTGGAAAACCTGTCGGTGCTTTCTACTCCGCCGACCCGACCATGATACCTACAGGAATCGCTTTTTCGAATGTGGAAAAAGACACCTCTTGAAGCACCTCAAGAGGTAGCGGGAAGTCTAGTAAAACAAGTTGAAAAGCGTTCTACAGAAGCCAAAAATTGGCATGTGTGCAAGTACAAAGGATTTCGAGGCTCGAAGAATTCGTGGGTTCCCGCGAAGAAAAAGCACTTTTGCATCCAGGTATTAAACATCCTTTCTCACCATCAAAATATTTCTCGTCAAAAATTTTTTTTCTCAGAATAAGCTGGGCTCGGCAACCTGTGTAGAAAACCTGACTCAGGAACTGAAAGATCTCTAATGAAAAGCCGCGTAGCGGCTTTTTCTTAAACGAAGCCGCATAGCGGCTTCGCAAAATTATCATACAATTTGCCTTTCTATTCTGGCTCAGATCCTGACTCATGTTTTCTTCACAGGTTCCCGAACCCTGAACACCATCGCAAAAACCAACAAAACGATTTTCAGGATAACGATAAGCCAATGTTCCTGAACCTCGATGTTGGTTCCCCAATCGATTCGCGAAACGGCGTCTACGAGCTGCTCCCAAACCCTTTCAATGAGAAAGCCGCATTTATACAAATTAAAGACAGGTACCAACTCTAACTTGACGTGGAAAGAGAATTCTCGTCGTGGAATTTTCGAGGATTTTCCCACATTTTTGCTCTACTTTTTCTGAAATTTTTGAATTGAAACTTGACAGATAAAGAATTTGGGCAGGATCTCAGTTTGGAGGGTTCGTTTGCTGATAAAGTGAACTCAATTCTTGGTCCTTCTTTTTGGCGATAATGGTTTTCTCCTTGGAATGAATTATTTATAGGAATGGTTTACCGATACAGGAGCCCATGCAGAATGAGGATCGCAAAGAAAACTTTATTTATTGGATCAAGGAACGGCTGAGTCAATAGCAGACTTTAGTGAAGTTTGATGATCTGTTCATTTGTGAATTCTTTTCGACAGACTGGACAAATTTTCGGGGAAAGTTCAGTTAGACATTTGCGGCAGAATCGATGACCACAGTAGAGAACACATTCATATTGTTTACTCTTGTCATATTGCTCCATGCAAATATCACACGTTGATCTTTTATCATCTTTTTCTACTTTTCTGTCTGATTTTTTAGATTTTATCAAATAACAAACAAGATTGCTAAAATGTACCTGTCCCACCCATCTCAGCTGCTGCTTCTATAAAAGCCAGCCTCGTTAGTGACTTCATATATTCTCGCTCAGACTGAGCTTTCTCAACCTCGATTTTTGCCAGGGCTACATTTTGCTTTGCAACGGCTAGTTTTTTCAGAACATCTTCAAGTGTTTTTTCGCATCTTCTTCAACAGTTTTAGAAGCCTCGAATTGTTCGGTAACTTTCTTTTGGTAATCAACCCTATCATATCCATATAACTTCCTTGCTTCCTCACAACATTTGCCGATGAAGAACTCTCTAAACGTAAGCATTTCATTGGAACATTTCCCAGCTGGACATTTGAATTTGGCGTCTGATAGAACAAATCTCCCTCCTTCAGTTCCATAGTACGAATTATAACCCTTACTTTTTTTGGCTTTCTCGTAGAATTAAAGAACAAAAATCTTTATAATCGAGTCTATATTTTGTAGACTATTAAGTTGAATTTGAAATGATAAACTGATACAATATAAATTGATAAGATTTAAAAAGTATCTCCAACCAAAAAAGCCAACACAATTTTCACAAACAGTCTCTCCATCTGACTTTTCGAACATCTTATGAGTTACTCTCTCACTAAAATATATATATATTTTCATCTTACTTATTCTTCTTCATTTTACCAAGGATAACGCATCCCATTCATAAACTGCGCATAGTGACATTTTCCAAAATTTCCAAAATCTGCTACATATTTTTTAGAAATCTCTTTCATTTTTCCAGATCTTTTTTTGAAAAAAGAATTCTTGATGAATTGATTTTTTATTTAGTTTCACACAGAAGTGTTAGCAAGTGAAATACTCGCAAAAGGCTATAACGAATAGAAATAACAACATCAAATGTCAAAAGCCCTTGAAAGTCCAACGCAAGTCCGACAAAATCTCACCCTGACGGACAATACGTGTGGATGATCGGACCCACTGCCGAGAAAAAAGCTGATAAGCCGCCGATTTTACGTAATATGGGTGGATTCTACTCAGAGGACGACTGCCTAAATCCTGCGTTGTGCACAAACTGGGCACGGGATTTAATACCACTAATCAAAGGATAACCAAACAATCGTAAAGAAAATGTTACGAAAAAATTTCGCTGAAATCGTATTTCAACCATTTTTGAGCAAAAGCTGGAATCTGCGTCCAAGGAATTCAGAAAGGGATGAACCCTGAATGGATTTCCATAATGAGCGGGCTCATTTCCAGGAGGAAACAATTAATCCCCGAAAGTACGCGTTTCACGAAAACGAAGGCAAAAAGGGCTTCTGGGATGACGCCGGAAGCGGCTTCAAACTCACCCAAATCAAACAGCCAAAACACATCTACATTTCTACTGGAGAAGTGCGCCGATCTGTAAGGTACTTTTGAGCGCTTCTTGAAATAAGCAAATACTGGTCTTAAGCTCTGTTTAGTTGTTAGTCACCATTGATGTTTTCATTAATTTTTTTCAAGTGAAAACAATATGTTGCTTCCGAGTAGGTCTCTTAAATGCTCCTTGTTTTCCCAAAAGTTCGTCATTCTTTTAAAGAATATGAAACCGAGTGTATAAAACAACCCTCTATATTATTTTGAAATGGCAATTTACACGACTTTCTAAAAATAACTCTCTTTTCATAAGAGCCGCTTTCCAGCAACAGACGAGCTACACTTCACCGAAAGAATTCTTAGAAGCGCGGAAAGAGACTCTAAAGTCCAAGCACCTGATGGAACTGCGCAAGTTATCAGGTGCGAAAGTTGCAGCTCACTCGAGATTAGTAGCTCTAATTATGCCACTAACTGTGCATTATTAGCGGTCGGCCTCTATCGCGAGCACCAGAGAACGCTCAACGGAAAGATTGTATATGAGCAGATTTTGCCGGAGAACTCCCCCGACGAGCCCTATTTGATTCAGTGGGTTAGCAATCCTTGATTTGGTTTTGAATAATTTTTTTTCATAAAACTTCATTTTTGTCAACCTCGACCTTTGTAGAAAACCTGAGTCAGGGTCTAACGAGCTAAAATGAAAAGCCGCGAAGCGGCTATGCCAGAAATCAATAATAGATTGAGATGGTCATGTTTGCGAAGCCGCTTTGCGGCTTCGTTTACAAAAAAGCCGCTACGCGGCTTTTCATTTAAGCTCTTCAGACCCTGACTCAGGTTTTCGACACATGTTCTAGAGCCGCAACTTCTTCCTAAGACGGAACTTTCTTTTGACCTTTTTCAAAACCAAAATTCCGCGGAAAATACGAGTGGATCATCCAGCGGGGGTGGGACAAGTGGGACGGGGAGAGCATCTGTCTTTCGAATTACATCTTCAAAGGGCGTCGACCCAACCGACCGCTCTACATGACCACTGAAGATCACCGCTGGCCGACGAAGATTAGCGAGTTCAGGTAGTCTCTAATAGAAATTACGTGAAAAATACTTTTGCTTCTTAGATGGAAGTTATTCGACGAGACGAAGCGCGGTGGCTCATTCGTAAAAGCTGCTTGGGAGACGACCGAGAAAGACATCCAAGGAAACGTGAGTACTACTCGTGGCAACCCAAGAACGGAAATCGCTCGAATTGCTCCACAATAGCGATTGCGGCCCCACGATAAAATTTTCAGGAGACAACAATTCGCCACGGTTTGAAATTCGAAGAGATCGAGATCCCGGACTTCATTTCCATTGAACACGCCAGTTTGGGCGGCAACTACGAAATCGGCTCTGCTCTTTTCAACGGACGCTATTACTGGCGCCGCGAAAATGAAAAAACAGGTATTAACTCGATTCCTCGGCAATTTGAAACATCGACGGGTTGATTAGGTTACCTTCACTGGTCGCAGAATCGCGACCGCGAGTATGTTTGGTCTTTATCAGGTTAGTTGAGTCAATTTTCCCGATCCGCCAAATATTTTTCTCGAAGATAAACTCGGCCAGGTGACGAACTGCACCAGTTATGATGATGCTTGGACACCAAAGGATATCATCAACTGGAGACTCGTTGTCGGAGGTAATCCAAATTATCCACGTTTTCAAGCTAATCAAAAATTAATCAAAAAGCCGAAACGAAGACGATAAACTTATCGGTTCCTTCTCGAGAACGATTTCTTCGAATTGAGCATCTTTGAATTTCAAGCAAGAACTTCTTTCAACTTCTATTATTACTTGCCTCTATTCTTCACTTTTCTTCAATCTCAATCTTAATTCAACCCTCTATCGAATTCTGCATGCCTCGAAAGAACAACAATACTAGCTAGCCAAGAATTGCCTACAGTAACTCAAATAAACTCCAGAAATATGACTTCAAGAAAGATTTTCATTCGGTTACCTGTGTAGAAAACCTGAGTCACGGTCTGAAAGATCTCCAATGAAAAGCCGCGTAGCGGCTTTTTCAGAAACTAAGCCGCGAAGCGGCTTCGAATAATTTATTCGAATAATGGTTAACCATTCCAAACAATACCAATTCAATACTACACAATGTATTGAAAACCTGAGTCAGGGTCCTGAGTAAGAGATCAAATTTAAACTCTATTGGTTTTTTAGCGAAGCCGCTATGTGGCTTCGTTTTTTTTTGAAAAGCCGCTACGCGGCTTTTTATTGAAGGTCTTTGATAGCCTGACTCAGGTTTTCTACACAGGTTTTTGAACCCTGATTAGAGCAAGATGATTTTAGCAAAGCAAGTGGTGCATATTTATTCAGTTTCGAGAGTCAATAGAACTCGTAAGACACATTTTGAAGGGAAAGAAGAGAATATCAGGCTTCTTCGTGGCTGGCTGTTTCGGGCGGCTGGCTGCCACAATCCTGAATAAGCGAACACACGTGAATTCTTCACTCGTCGTGTTCGGGAATGAAATCGGCTTGCAGCGAACCGTAACGGGGCTTTTAACGGGACTCAGAACATACTTTATATTCAGCGGCGAAACTTCTTCTCAAAGAAAATCTGTGAGAAAAAAAATGTTGAACTAAGGTATATTTATCTTTTAAAGTTTATGTGAAACTGATAGCATGTAGATTCTAGTAATTATAAAGCTCTAACTGTAAGTCATGTGACCCCCCCCCTTTCGGGCCCTAGTAGCCACGTGTTATCTCTCCGCCCAAAATAGTATTTACTAATCAGCGTTTATCGAGAGAAAAAAACAGCGCTAATGCGGAGGGGCCCGTCCATTCTGCTTTTTTCTTTAGCGATAAGAGCATGCGTTATCCCCTCTGTGGCTGATAAGACAAGTTTTCTCGACCACTAGTAAGTGAAACGGTAATTAACATAATGGCCCGAAAACGAGTACCTCACTTCTTTGACTTGGCGAACTTGTTTTCAAATATTCTTATTCAAAAGAAAAAGTGAATAAAGCTAGTTTGAAATTTCAATTTTAAATTTTAAAACTCGATGATTTTTTGAAAAAATATTTGTTTGAAAAAGATTGAAAAGCTGAGTCCATTCCAAAAATCGTTTTTTCGAAACAGCCGGGACGGGAGTTTCCGAGTGGCGACGCCCTTCTTGAATCGTGGACACGTTTGACAGCCGTGGATGCGCCAGCGACCCCAAACTGTTGCGTTTTTCGACTGAAATAAATTTTCATCCACCGTCATAATATTTCCTTGTTTGGGCGTACACGCTCAACATTTCAAAGCACAAGAATTATTCTTCCGAAGAGTCTACGGTCTGCTGAACAATATCAAAATGAAGATTATAATATGCGTCATATTATATAAAACGAAAAAAGGACGACATACAATTACTCATTGAGTCCAGCGAGTGGAGATCTTCAATGAGCGCGAATGGATCTTTACTTTCAAGGGCTCTTTTTCTCCCTTATCTCGTTTTTGTTTATGCAGTATCTCTAATTAGGATTCATGAAGTTGAACTGATATGAATAAAAACAGAATGAGCCCTGGTTCCTAAGTTTCCTTCCACCAGCGCTTATCGTCGCTAAAGAGGATTAGATAATTTTAACGCTGGAAACTTATAAATCGCACGTTCACGAGATATGATAGAAGATCGAGGTTCGGGTGAGATCATGGGCGTTCCATCGTTACAGTCGTCAACTACAGTCGCATCTGAAAAAAAATTTCATCAGGAGCTCCTCATTATGACGGATATTGAACGAAAGAACTTATTTCTTCAAAAATAGCGACCCTGTCTTCAGAAACGTATGAAGAAAACCTGAGTCAGGACCTGAATAGTCTAAAATGAAAAGCCGCGGCTTTTTTTAAACTAAAGCCGCGAAGCGGCTTCGCCAAAGATCAAATGGTTATCTTCCAAAGCCGCTTCGCGGCTTTGTTGATTAAAAAGCCGCTTTGCGGCTTTTCATTTTAGACTATTCAGATCCTGACTCAGGTTCTCTTCATAGGTTACCGAGCCCAGAGCGACCTCCTTCTTCATTTTCTTGAGAAATTCCAGACAGCTAATGTTTTTGCCCTCGTCAAATTAGTAGGTGAGAAACAACAGTGTCAAAAGCCTGGCACTAACGATTTACGCCGTTATCTGCTCGTTGGAAAAGCACTTGTTGAGTTTTACTTTCCACCCATTATAGGTATGTCATTTTCGGATTGTCTAATGCCTGTCCCGATGTTCACCGTCGGTAATTGTCAAGAATTTGACCCTAACTGGACGGATCAAACAACGTCAAACGAGCTTCAACCGATGACGAGAAAGTTTGCGTCAAGCCGGAGCTCCTTTTTGAAAGCTGTCAAAATCGAATTTCTCAAAAAAGAAAAAAAAACGGCCATCTGTATTTTTGAAAATTTGTATAATTCCAACTCTTGGAATGGAAACTTTAAGGTCACCTACCTAACGCAATATTCTCAGCAGGGAGTTCTTCTTTCATCCGCCTCCTGAATTTACGTTTTAAAAAGGGCAGAGGTGATTCGGAAAATCGTTCCTTTCGCTTGAAATATTCAAAAACTGACGACAAGAAATGAACTTTAGGATGCAGATAAAAACGTTTTTAAGGTTTTGGCTCGGTAACCTGTGTTGAAAACTTGAGTCAGGTACCAAAGAGCTAAAATGAAAAGCCGCGCAGCGGCTTTTTAGAGACAAAGCCGCGAAGCGGCTTCGCAAAATCCCAATCTCAATTAAAACTACAATTATGGCGAAGCCGCTTTGCGGCTTCCTTTTTTAAAAAGCCGCTACGCGGCTTTTCATTTTAGATCTTCAGAACTTGACTCAGATTTTCTTCAAAGGTTGACAAATGCAGTTTAAGGTGCTCCCGTCTGTTAAAAACGTGGTTCTTTTTTTCTGCAAAATCCAGTCACTAATTTGTTTGACTGGTGGGGGGCTGCTTGTGACAATATTGATGACCTGTGGGTGCCTGCTGGTTAAGTAGATTACGAAAGATGATTCGATAGGCTGCCAAATTGGTGAATTAACTTGCAAGAAAACGAACAAAAGTACCGGTTAAAGAGAAACGGGATTAGGTCACTTCCACGACTTACTTGATCCGCCACAGCCACAGCAAAACCAGAACGACAACCACTTCAAAATGGCTTCGAATTATTGCTTTTTGGAAACGTTGCAAATTTATTTTTATGATTTATGAAAGAAAAAAAAGCTGAGGAAGCTGAGTTCATTTTTCTAAATATCCAGCCCTCTTAGGTGATAAGACGCTCGCGCTCTTGAATTTTATGAACTTATCGCATCATCACTTCTATCCCGCGTCATTTTTCAAAGCAAAATTCGAAGCCGCGAAAACCCTAAAAGACTTATTCCCGCGGAAGCCAAAACGAGCTGATTTATCGTTAGCGGCCCATTCATCTTCTCCTCATCATTTTCTCTCGACATCACTTTTTTCGGGAAGCAGTTCGATAATCGCTAATCTTCAGCAGCGCTCAGTCCGCGCGTAATTGGCAGCATTTGCATCTCTTTTTTGTTGCCGCTCAGAATGGAAAGGAAATCAAGACTTAGCGCGGATTCACTTTTTTGGTCGACTCTTTCTCTTGAAAGTTTTTGTCTACAAAAGACGACTTTCTAGCTCTCTTGACAAGAACTCAGCATGTGTAGAAAATCTCACTCAGGGTCTGAGAAAGCTAAACTGAAAAGCCGCGTAGCAGCTTTTTTAAAGACAGAATTTAAAAATTTGATTTTAATGGTCATGTTGCGAAGCCGCTTCGCGGCTTCGTTTTGAAAAAAAAGCTGCTACGCGGCTTTTCATTTTAGCTCTTTCAGATCCTCACTCAGTTTTTTCAAACAGGTTGCCGATTCCAGGGAACCTTTTTAGACGGTTAATAATCTCAATAAATCTAATACTGCGGACACTCGTGGGATCCCCTTGCGTCTCGATTGTGATCCAAATCCGGACTCCGTACCCGGCGTGTCCGTCTTTCTTCCCAGATTTACTGATGGAAAGATCGAGAAGGGGGGCAGTTAAAATTTATTAAAACTTTTGCGAAGATGACGCATTTCCTTTTGAAAATCTTAATTCTTTATCATTGCAAAAACGTCGCCGAACCTAGTTTTGCGGTTGATTTTCCCGGTTGGTTCTTAATTAGCCATTTAACCCCCCTTCGTTTCACTATTTTTTCCCAAAAATGAACCCGTTGATTCCTTTTTTATACCATTTTTTTCCACTTCGATGGTTGTTTTTTTCCTCTCCTTCTTT